CCTAACCCTAACCCTAACCCTAACCCTAACCCTAACCCTAACCCTAACCCTAACCCTAACCCTAACCCTAACCCTAACCCTAACCCTAACCCTAACCCTTAACCCTTAACCCTAACCCTAACCCTAACCCTAACCCTGACCCTGACCCTGACTGGCTCGTTGCCCTACGCTTCATGGGGTGCCCAGCGGTGAGCATGAAGCATTGTGTCTGGGCTGATTCGGCCTGAATCCATCGAAGGACTAGTAGTAGGCTCCGAAACAACGGCAGCAGCAGCCACTGTACTATCTGAAGAGATATGGTATGCAGGAGAAGTGGATGTAGTGTCCATGGGGGCAAGAGCAGCCGCTGTAGGGTCCAGTGAGGCGGTAAAGGGCTACCTGGAGGAGATGAAGGGGCAGGAATGACTTTTAACGCGGCAGCGATGGTGGATCGTCCTGAACAGTACAGCCATTAAGGAAGCGGGGGGGTAAGGAGTGTAGGGAGGTACACGTACATGTGCGGCTCTTTTGGTCACTAAGGTGCCCAGGTAGGTCTGCAGAACCCGTCTTCCTATGAGCAGGAAATAGGCCTTATTTCAGTAGCCAGTGAGCTTGGACTGTATTGTTGTGTGTTGGCTTCAATCACACACAATCATGCAGTTGGTGCGAACGGTTGCCGCCCGGGTTCTTCCGCCTCCAGGCAGTCATCGGCACGTCCGTGCTCCAGCCACACGTAACGTAGACTCGTCAAATTCCAGATTCGGTCGGGACAAAGAATGCAACGTTCAGACTCCCCGCCTCTGTCGTCGCTTTTCCGTCGCGGTTCATCCTCATGCGACAGTTCTACGGGGAGTTCAGCGTCGGCTGCATCAGTCGAGGTGGACGAGAGCGATGATGATGGGCTTTTCGCAGTCAAGGATGAGGAGAGTGAGGATGCGGATGAGCTGGAGATGAATTTTGGACATGATTTCGCACTGAAAGATTCCGCAAAAGAGTTCAAGTGCGTTACGCAGACACTCCGGCAAGAATCTCGTTCAATCTACAATCGCCTCCATTCTATCGCGCACGACGCATCATTCGTCCAATTCGTCGCATCAGCATACAACCTCCCACTCATCGCCAACGAACGATGCGGTTTGTGGTATATCCAACCCAACGACCTCGTTGGCTCAGTATACTTCAAAAGCACGGACGGGCACCATGGACAGTGGTCTTTCTCCCTGCGGCGACTGAATCTTCACTTACCCGCATTATTGGAGGAACACGGTGGAGCAGTCATCGTTGATTCTACAAGACGCGGCAAGAGGATGCCGGATAGTTTGTCAAAAACGATACCGATCTGGTGCGCTGTGATGAATAGGGCGTATGCTAAGCTTCACCCTGAGGCTGGGTGGAGCGGGGATGACGTTGCGCTGCATACTCCACCGAGTACGGTCTCGCGTGCTGAGCATGCTTCTATAGAGGAAAGGCTCGATAGATTCGTCGATTCCTTGTTATCTGTTCTGCCATCACCACCACAATTGAGCAAGCCGTTGCGTTCGCTGTGGCACACACCAACGTCAACACTCCCACCATTACCGCCTACCTGGGACGAATTCACCCCAATTGTACTATGTACCGCCAGCGAGTATGTCGATGCACCCGAAGGCACTACGAGCATGGAAAGTGGTTGGACGTACGTCCAAGGCGCGGCGGATGATCACGAGTTATGGAGTCACGGTCTCAATCCCTCCACCTTCTGGGACAACTCCGAGAAACTACTCGCCGCGGCACCATCTGACGTCGAAAAATTCGTCAAAAGGACGACCAGTACCCCTAATCCTCGATCTGCACCATCTTATGATCGAGTTGGGAACACCCGGATATGGGTCGGGAATCGGGCGAGTACGGGTGTAAGGAAGTGGGACGCTGTCGTAAATTGCAGTTTAAAGTATGCGGAGATTGAGGAGGGATGTCCGTATCTGCATCTGAAAATCCCAGAGGGGAAGCCCGGGCGGAAAGAATTGTCCAGAAGATTACCGGAGGTCGTGGAGTGGGTACGGTCGAACGGCTTCATCACCCGGCCAAAAATGGCGGATGGAAACGCTGGCGGCGTGTTGGTCGTGTGTGACCAAGGTCGCGATCGCAGTGTGGGGACTGCTCTTGCCTTGCTGTCGATATTCTATGACGATGGTGCAAAGTTCCGAGATTTGGGTGAGCCAAATGGCATTCTGAAGGAGTATATCAGGAAGCGTCTCGTTTGGATTACGAGCTCTAGGGAGAAGGCAAACCCTAGCGGAGCAACCCTGGGCGCCGTGAACCATTACCTCATGTCATGATGGGGGAGTGAAGAGCCGATTTCGAAACCTTCTTTCTATTAACCTGATATGATAGGAAACGCAAGGTGTGGGTATACAAGAAGAGCTATATGCTAGACGAGAAAAAAAAGCTACTTTACTTCACTTCTGCGACGACGTCTGCCTGATATCAACCTTCACCCTGATCCCACCAGCTTCTGCAAAGTCAAAATCACTAGGTCTCCTCTCCTCCGCATAAACCGAGTTCGTAACCGTTCCCGTCCTCTCCGCAGCTAACGGCGAGTCATGAGGATGTATCGAATCCACCTGCTCAAAATAACTCTGCTTCATGTCCATGGGCGGCGTTCGCGAAACATGGGTCGAGTCGCTCTCGAATGTCTCGACGGGGTCGATACGGACCTCGACATCACCCTGTCCATACTTCCTCATCTTACTCAAATCCCTCTCTTTCTCATCCGCGTCCGCACCGCCACGCGAGTCCGTCATGGACATCATCACCGTACTCCCAAGTCTCTTCGCACTCCTCATCAACTCCGGGAAAAAGCGGTTCAACCCCACTGCTTTCACGGCGGCGATAAGCCAGTCGCGATACATGTTCATCGCATCCGTACCCAATCCGAAAACGAGGAAGAGGAGGATCGCGGCGGTGGGCGGGATCCATTTCTGTACGGTCCCGGCATCGGCGACGTTTCCGCTGATTCTGGTGTACGTGTTCCAACCCTCATGGACGGCCTCCCAGGAGTAAGAAAGGAGAGGTCGTCGAACGTTTTGGATGAAAACGTATAGTGAGAGAGGGAGGAATGCGGCGATGTAGAGGGACGAGAAAAGGATGAGGCGGACGAATCGAGCAGTCGTCAACCCTGTTCCGGAATTGCGGAGAATGGTGCCGAAATCGCGTCTGCGCTTGTAGTACCGGTACAAAACGATGCAAGCGTAAAACGCACCCATGAACGCAAAGATCGGGTTCCAGATATACCTCAACGGAATCGTTGGCCACGAAGGATCCGCAGACGCCGCACATCCCTGGTACTGAATCAACACGTACCGATTCGGCTGGTAAATATAATGCGTCGCCATCAAAATAATCGGCATGCCAAACGACAACGTGATATCCTCCCACATATACCTCTTCTGCTGCGCACTCGTCAACCTAGCCGGGGTATTCGGATCCATAACCCTCGCCAAATACCTCTCGATCGCGACTGCCGCTCCAGTCGTCCCGACATCGTTTCCCGTAAAGACCTTGACCACGATATCGCACCATACTTTCCCATTCCACTCTGCCCAGATGTTTCCGTGCCAGATGAGGGAGTTGACGAAGTAGATTATGTTGGAGAGGGTTACCCAGAAGATCAGGCAAAGGGCGGGGATGTTGCGGTTTTTCCAGTGCCAGGCTGCGGGTGTGATGGCGCAGACGATGCCGAGGCCGGTGAGGACGGAGAAAGCGGCGTTGGCTCCCATGATCAATTTTTACCCTTCGTCACCGTTTGTTCGAAGATGCTAAAAATTCGAACCAGTACTCGAAACTGGAGGTAGTAGATACTTTAAAGACCCCACCAAGAGGCTCAGTACGAACAAACGGTCCACCACCTCCCTTCTAACCCACTTGCCTCCCATTGTTTTGGACGAGCATGGCACAAACAAAGGCTTTTTGGTCCATTAACTGTTCCCCGTTCCAACGGGCCAATGCATCAGTTCGTACGGCTGCGAAAGCTACATGTTGGTGTTAGCGGTCGAGAACTTCTTGGACGTGGGCGTATTGGGTTCCCGATTGGGTAATTTGCGGACCGTGCGCGGTAGAGAAACTACTGGATTGGGACGGGAATGGGGTGGGAGGTGAGGCAGGAGCGAGAATGGGATTGGCGGTTTTGAATAGCTTCGAGCATTGGATTTGATTGAATTGGACTCGTAACGTGCTCTGTCACCTGGTACGAAGGATCAATTGATTGAATTCACGTCTATGTCTATATAAATACAATTTAGAGTGACCTCGCTAATCAAGGCCCAATGGTCTAGTAGCATGATTGTCGCTTCGGGTAACTCCCACCTTTACGGGTACTTGTGACAGGTCCCGGGTTCAATTCCCGGTTGGGCCCTTGACTTTTTGTGGACTTCATTCCTGTACATGTCTCATCTCTCAGTATTTTCTCTTCGCCTTGTGATGGATTTCTGGGACCCTTCTCTTTTCACCACGGCGTTGACGGACCGATGAGGTCGACCTCGCAACTTTCTCCCACGTTCCCACGCCTCGACTGAGCCCGCCATCATCGCTCAACACTCGTCCACCCCTCCAACTCGTCGTTACCAAGGTCGTCGGCCTTCTTGACGGCAAGGAATCCTCGTCGAAGAAAAGTTCATCGCCCCGTGTTTCATAATCGGCGCAGCAGGCCTCAAGCAGGGACGTGTCTCATGGTGGGAGATCACCACCACGTCGTGCTCCTCCAACTCAATCTCTCCCCCTCGAGCCCGTTGATCCGGCTGGCTATGGGTATGCGATCGTGTTTGTGCGGAGTGGCATGGGAGCGGAGCGGAGAATACGCATTAATATTAGAAGAAACAAGATATAAGATCCACAACCATTATCACCATCCGTGTACCACCAATCCATCCTCGATCTACTTCTGCACCTTCGACGGCCACTCCCCCTCATCAATAAACTTCCTCAACCCCTTCACACTCCCCAACATAACAAACTTCCTCTCGGTCTCCTTATTCACAAACCCACTCATGACCTTAAACACCCACGCCAACATCCCCGGAACATTCACAAAGAATTTCTGGGAAAGGAGCTCGGGGTAGTATGTCTGAAATGTTTGGATCGTTGTTTTTGAGGCGAGTTTCGTGGTGGGAGAGATGGAGAAGAAGGAGACGTTTGCGTAGTCGTGGACTTGAGCTACATGAGCGGATGCGAACGTTAGCTTAGGTTCAACAAAAGAGACATGTGAAAAGAGAGGAGGAGGACGTACCCATCGAATCCCTTGTAACAAAATCAACCCCCTCCCGAATTCCCCTCTCCATCAACCCAACCCTCCACCTCAAAAACCTCTCCACATTCCCAAACACCCTCTCATTATCCAACCCTCCATAAAAGTTCCACGTCACCAAACCACCTTTCTTCGTCCTCCCATGAATCAACCCCACCTGTCCATAAAGATCTTGATCATATTCCTCATCCGCAGCTTCGAGAGCGCGGAACTCGTGTCGCCAGATGAGGGTTTCGCGGAGTTGGTCGTAGGCAGCAGGAACCGAAAACTTATTCGCTCGGAGGAATTTGACCAATACCACCCTAAACCGAGCATCCGTCTCTTCTGCGCCGATTTTGATCGGGATGCCCCAGCATTCGTGGTCGACCTCTTGGCCGCCGGGGAGCGAGTCGAGGAGGCGGGGGAGTTCGAGGAGGAGTTGGGAGAGGGATTCGAGTTCGACGGGGGTGAAGCTTGTTGTTAAGGTGTTTTCGGCGGGCATCTTAGGAGAGGGGGGTGTTGTGTCTGAGGTGGGATGGGAAAGTTTTGGGTTAAGGTTATCTGATCCGGCAGGGTGCGTGCGTGGACGTGCAGCTGGCGGTCTGTGCGCGGGCGCGGGCTATGCTTGTATCAAGCACCTAATGCTCGGGGACCCACTGGAACTTGTCCAGCAGCTGCTTTGCAATTTTTTGGTATGCTTCTGTTATTGGATTGCAAGATGCTGGATAGCTGTACATGTGTCAGGATGTACGTGCCGTGAGCTCATTGTGGTCGCTTTCGGGGGTTAATGAGCGAGAACACTTGGCGACAAGAACTACCAACACGAAAAGGAACCTCCAACGTCCCTCAAATGCTTTAAAATCGTTTCCAATTTTCATCACGACCTCCCAAGCCCTTCAACGCATACATCTCCCTCAAATCCTAACCTGCCCCCTCTTCCGATGCCACAGCACCTGCCCTCCACAAAATGCCAAAAACACCGCATACACCCCGGCGGCCTGAACACACATCCACGCAACAGCTTTCCCATCTTCGGGATCGTTGGTGGATCCCATGATTGATTCGAGGTTGACGGCGAAACAGGCGGCGAGGATTAGGAGGAAGAGGATTCCGATGAAGGAGATGAGGGTGCAGAATGTTGCTGTTTGAGTAGGGTTAGTGAAGTGAGGGGGGAGTGGGGAGTGAAATGAGAAGGGGGGAGGGAGACTTACCGAGTCCTTGGCCTACTAATGGCTTCATGATGATGATTTCTGGAGTCTTGGTCCGTCCTGAAGCTGTATCGATACCGTGACGCTCCGGCGTAGAGCTGCTGCAGGGCTGAGCTCGAGCAGCAGCAGGAGCAGCGTCGACGCCGAGTTCGGTATCACAGTTAAGAGAATTGTAAAACAACCTAGAACATATAGACATCAAGCAATTTCCTCACTGTCATTTCTTGAAACTGTACACGGCTGCTGCTGCTGATGCTGCGGTACTTCCTTATCGATCCGACCGCGGCGGCCGCCGGTACGTACCGCCAAGCACAGCCGAAGTACTTACTGTACACCAGCTGTGCATACATACGACACGACCTCGCCAAAAGTTTACGGGCTTACTCCAGGAAACCGCCAGCTGCAGTCTTCGCAGTGTATCTATCCTGTATCGGCTGGAGGAGTTGATCTCGGAGAGTGCGATCAATGGTTTCTACCGGTAGATCGTTGGCGTCGTCGCGTGCTGCGAGAGCCGGTACCCGGAACTCAGCAAAACGGAAAGGGCTGCTCCTGTGGGACTTCCCACAACTTGGAAGCATTCTCTATGTCATAGTGTGTATTGCGTTACTGAGCAATGCTGCAGAAGCGTCCGGAGCGTTGGATATTTCGATACAGTTGCCGGTACTGGACTTGTCCATCGACTTCTCCTTCCAAGACTGGTTTAACCCACTCCAGCTTCAGAGACGAGCAGATACGAATACGACTACAGAGTTGTTTTCAGACGATGTGGTACAACCATCGATCTCCGAGACGGACGTACATCATTATTACTTTACCACACCCGGTTCTTCGAACGATAACGAGACGGTGTATAATGTGTCTATCACGCTCTCGACATGTACGCAGCCGTTGCCTACCAACTCATCGGTGAATCTGACGGAGGTGTATGCGAGTCCGGGACCACCGCCGTTGTATTTGTGGGTGAGTAACACCACTTCGAACACGTTGCCCGGACCGCCAAGTACGAGGACGGATAAGCAGGTGTGGAATACGACGTACTGGGGGTTCACGAATTTCACGATGATTAATGTGACGGCGGGGACATCTGTGTATATCGGTGTCTCGGCGCCGAATTTGATGTCGACGGTATTCGCGAATTGGTCTGGAGATTGGTCGTATCAACTCGGTGTGTCGACTACGAGTCCGCTTCATGCTGTACAAGCTGGCGTCAATACTTTCGTGCAGGACACGGATTCGGTTGCGGCGTTGATATCGTCGAATAACCTCACCGCGGATACCACCAACGAGAATCGTCCTCCGTTCGGGATCTTCCTCAACCCATCCGACGATGACTTCGTTCTGACATCCCTGGCCAACTCTTACTGCGCTATCGCCGAATTCGTCAACCCCACCCTGAAGTCAATCAACGATGCGGACGTAATGGTAACGACCAACACACCCGGTCAAGTCCCGCAAGAGTTCTTCTACGTCAAGTCCCTAACCTCAAGCACATTCTACAACGCCTACCTCACCCTCGCAAACGACGGCCGCGTCGGCGGAACGGTCTACCAAATGCAAAACCTAACAACCAAAACCGCAAACACGACATGTCGCATTATCTACAATCTCTCCTTCTGCGATAGCGTTGCGTACGCCGTCCCGGGGAACGACGAATCATACGATACCATCGCGAACTGGTATGACGCCCAAGCCGAAGCGCTTTACCAGAACTTTACGCATTCACTGGCACAATATCCGTGCAATATCACTGATTCGGCGAAATACTCACTCAGCGATAACGTAACCTGCGATAACTGCGCCGCAGCATACAAGACGTGGCTCTGCTCGACGCTGATCCCACGATGTCAGAGTACAGACCCGTTCAGCATGTATCCATCGCGGAATGCGAGTACGAGTCGGAATCCGAGTTTGGTGGGGTGGTTGCCGGATAATGCGCAGTACTATGAGGTGTTGCCATGTAAGGATTTGTGTTATGCTGTGGTGCAGATGTGTCCGGTGGATTTGGGATTTACATGTCCGACTGGAACGGGGCTGAAAGAGTGGTATGGGGATGATTACGAAGACTCGGATCGGACAAACATTACGTGCAATGCACCGTGGGTGACATACAAAGTTAACGGAGCGGATGCATTGTGGCCTCGGGGAGGTGAAGAGACTGTGATGTGGGTGATCGGACTGGTTTGCATTCATTTGGCGTTCGTTTGGATTTAGGCGTTTGGTTTTGGATATCTCTGACGTTGGCAGGCAACCTCACGCTGCCTATACCTACTTTTGGACTGTGAGATTTTGTCATAGAGAGGTCGTGGACCAATTGAAATGACACGCGTTTCTTTCATATCTAATATCGTAACCATATTTTCCTAAACCTATACGTGTGACTTAACAACATCTGCTCTTACTCCTCGCCCTCTGCCGCCGGCGCTGCTTCAGTCGGTGCATCAGCAGCTTCCGCCGCAGGCTGAGCAGACTCTTCCGTGGCATCAAGAGGCTCCTCAACAGCTGTTTGTACGGTTTCTGGCTCTGCCTCTGCTGCCTCAGCAACAGGTGCAGGCTCCTCAACGGGCGCCGCGTCCCCCATCACATCATCATCCGCCGGCTTCTCAGCAGGGGCTTCATCCGCGTCGTCAGCTGCAGCCTGTGGAGCATCATTGTCAGTATCCTCCACCACGTCTCTCATCGGAACATCATCATCCTCGTCCGAATCAACCATCTCCTTCGATATCTCCTTCTTTGCCAGCTTCTTCTTCTTCTTTGGTCTAGCCTCCGCTTCTTCATCACCCTCATCATCGGACTCCACAGCCTTCTTCTTCTGCCGACGACGCTTCTTGGGCGCATCGCTCTCATTCCCACTTCCCTCCTCATCCGTGTCGACAGCCTTCTTCTTCTTGCTCCGGCGTTTCCGGGGGGCACCGTCGTCAGTCTCCTGTGCACTCTCCTCATCATCCGTACCGGTATCCCTCTTCTTCGACTTCTTCACAGCCTTCTTCTTCCTCTTCGGCACCTCCTCGCCGTCAGAGTTGACCTCCATCTCCTGTCTCTCCTCCTCAGCCCGCTTCTCGCGCCACTGTCGAGTTTGCTCGGCGATGGTTTTACGTTCCTCCACGATCCTAGCCTGTTCCTCCCTCTCCATCTTCTCCTTATCGGCCGCTTCTTGTTTACGACGATCACGCTCATCCTGGACCTTCTTCCACGCCTCAGCGACCTGAGCCTCATGTTCCTTCTCATACTTCTCCGCCTCATCGAGTGCCTTGGGCAACCTCTCATCAAGATATTTGCGACCCTGAGCGACACGCGCCTTCAATGTATCGATAGGGTATGGAATACTCTTATGCTCACCCTCAGCGAGCTCACTCATACCCTGCACAGCCTCTTTGAGACCTTCCACCGCATCCTGGATATACTGCGTCCTACGGTTCGCTTCATCAGCGTACACCATCTGCTCAGCAAAACTGAACTGCGTGAACGCGACATTGAACTTGGCCGCTGCATCCTCAGGCGCGAGTTCCAACGCTTCCTTGGCATACCTCAACGCTTGGTAGAAATGTTCCCAGTTCTTCTCAGACTTGGCCTTCACGATCCAGATACGTCCAAGGAGCGCGATGACCTCGGCACGAACACTCTCGTCCTTCTTCAACGCCATCTCATAAAACTCAATCGCGCGATCCAACTGGTTCAACTCGTTATAGACATGTCCCAAATTGATAAGTACCGAAACATCCGGAACGGCTTCCTTGACCTTCGACAATAACCTCAACGCAAGTTTCGCATTCTGCTGATCAGGAACCTTATTCTCCGCCAACGCGATCGCGATACCCTGTGCAGCATAAGCATTATGGTGATCCTTCTTCAACACCGCTTCGAAGAACTCGATGGCCTTGAGGTAGACTTTACTCCTCTCCTCCTTCTCCTTCTCGTTAGTTGGCTTCATATCCCTCGCCTGACGCAAGTAAAGATTGCCGAAACCGACGAGAGAGTACAGATCACCACCACCGTAATTCCGAAGCGTCTGCTTATAATGCCTAGCCTCCAGATCCAGCTCAACACTCTTGATCCTCGTACCCGGCATCTTCTGCTGTGCCAACGCCCACCCATAAAACGCCCGAACCTCCGAATTATCCGACGCGTCCTCCAACAATTTCTTCGCCTTCGCCTCCAAATCCCCACCAACAACCTTCCCCTCCACGAAATCCATATACACCAACCGAACACGTGCCTCAACATACTCACAATGCTCCAAAATCTGCTCATACGATTTCCTCGCTTCCCCAAATTTCCCCGAAGCCTCCTGCACACGCCCGAGATTATACGACAACGTCGTCAACAAAGGTCTCCTATTCGTTCCCGGGTCTTCCGCGAGCAACGTACTCACTTCCTCCAAAGCTTGTTGATACATCACGCTCGCAGCTTCGTAATTCTCATCACGCTGCATGAGGACCGCGATATTATTCCCCAACGCCGGAGATAAACGTTCACCGATATTCTGCATATACTCCATCGCGCTCTTCAACGCCTCATACGCCGCTTTCGGTTCGTCGACTTCACACAACTTGGCCAGTTGCAAATGCAACTCCGGATCCGTAAACTCGCGGCCCTCGGTCGTTTCCATAAGCTTAATCCCCTTCCTCAAGAACTCCTTCGCATCCTTCCTCGCTCTCTCCCTCGCCTCAACACTCTGCGCCTCAATCTTCTGCTTCTCCCTCAGATCAACGCCTTTGCTGATAGGCGCATCAGGCCTCAACACATCCTCCATCAACAACAACCCAAGCATAACACACGCCTCAACACACTTCGGATACCGCTTCGTAATGTCATGGAATGCATTCCTAGCAGCATGACGCCCATGCTCCTCGTCGTTCTTGTTCAACTGGACATACATCTGCGCCAACCCGAATTTGGCAACGAGGTTGTCTTCGTTGAGTTGGACGGCGAGTTGATAATTGCGCTGTGCGAGTTCGTGGTGGCCTTGAGCGTGGTGTGCACGAGCTAGCCACATGTACAAATCACTCAACACGGTCTTCACGTCCGTGGTTTTGATCAGTTTTTCGGCGGCCCCGATGGCTTTCTCATATGCCTTCTTCGAGAAAAGCTGGCCAATAAGCGGGACAGCCGCAGCCGGAACCCCACCCGGCGCCATCTTATGCCCAGCCTGCGAGAGCTGGAATCCCTTCTGATAAAGCGGCGTAGCCTCCCCCGGATCCATCGTATTATTCGCCGCATCAACATACCACAATCCCAACAACGCCGTCGCACTCGCATTCTCCTCAACCTTATTCGAGCGTTCCCAAGCCGCTTTCGCCATCTCCTTCCTCCCCAACTTCCAATAACACAATCCAATCCCAATACGCGGATCAGGTCGCATAGTCGGCCTTAACGTCAAGACTCGCTGATACTCCTTCAACGACTCCTTCCACTTCTTCTTCTCATACAACACTTTCGCGCGTCCCAACAACGCCACTAAGTTGGGTTTATTGGCCGCAGTTTTGGCGTGTACGGCATCGAAGGCTCGTCTCGTCTCCTCGATCGAGCCGGAACGCATCGTTTGGAAGATCCCCTGAAAAAGCGGGTTCATGTGCCATTTGAAATCTAAGCGACGGGCATCGTTGAGTTCGGAGGTCGCTTTGCCGAAGTAGAAGTCTTTCGTTTTGGCTTCGGTGCCGAAGGTCGTTTCGGATGCACGGGCTGGTGCGGTACGTGCTTTTCTCAGGTAAAGCGCGGCGAGGAATCCCTTCAACGGCAATTTCTCATCTTGTTTCTGAAGCGCAGGCGCTATATCCACACACGTTAGCATCCGCATCCACAACCCCCCTCACACAAACTCATGATCTTCACGCACCTTTTGACCCCCTCTCCAAAATTTCAATCGCCTGATCAGTCATTCCCTGCAAGTTATATTCATACGCCAGCTTCGCCCACAAACTCGCTCTGCAATCCTCGCTTTCGAGGATCTCGCAGACTTCGGTTGGGTCCTCCACGAGGGCGGAGCAGTCCATCTCGAGGGCGTCTCCGCTGCGCATGGGGATGTCGAAGGTGCGCGGAGCACGGGCATCTTGGTGACTCATCCCGCGGTCGTTGTGGATGGGATGGGATGGGGGCTGTTGGAGGTTAGGTTTGTCTGTTTCCGCGTATACGCATCGAGGGCCGGATCTCAGTAGCGGTGGGCAGCCCAGCACGATGCGGTCAGGGTCAGCTGGTGGGCCACTTCGAACTCGTCCCTCAGCAATTGCAATATAATCAATCACACTCGTTTTACTTAATATCATTTGCCCTCTCGAGCTCGTTCTTTCACTCTCTCTTTGAATTGGCTGTTCCATCTCATTGTCGTACTCCTGCACATGAGATATCAAAGGCACATAAAAGCGTCCAAATACCGTTCTCACTTCCCCTTTACCGTCTCCGCATCACTCTCATACACCGTCTCCTCCGTCCCCGGCCAACTCCCGTTCCACATCCACTCCCCCTCCTCCCCCTCCTCATCCTCACTCCCTTCCTTCTCCCTCCCATCCCCATCCCGAGCACAACCCCCACAAACCCTCGTCTCCTTTTCCTTTTCCCCCTCCCTAACAAACTCCGAACACTTCCAACAAATAACACGCCCACACATCCGACAATGATGTTTCCTCACCAAAACCCCGAAACGCGTGGTACGGCACGCCATACATACATCAGCCATTTCGTCGGGGTACCATACCACGTCGGCGTTGTACTGGAACGAGGATGTTGACACCATCGAGACGTTCGAGGCGACTGAGGCGACTGAGGCGAAGGATGATACGGTACCGTATTTATCATGTCCCAGTGATTCCTGAAGTGTAGACAAAAACGAGGGATCAAACGTCAACCCACCACCAGCACCACCCGCATATGCATTCCCCTTCAACATCTTCATTGCGGCGAGTTGAGAACGAGCCATGACTAGATGTCGACGTACTTCGATTGTTTGTTGGAGGGTGCAGTAAAAGGAGGTACATGGGGCTTCGTCCGTAAATCGGACGGTTTGGTGAGAGCGTCGGGTGGATATGGTGATATGTCCCGCCTGCGGTGACGATATCTCGATCTTCGTGACTGGCAGCACGGTCTGGTCAACCAGCTTTGTAGAGTTCACGGCCTTAACCCCCGTTACAAGCACATCATTAAACAAGAAGACCTGTGCCCCCACTCGTCAGCACACTCCCTCAATCCCCCCTTACACATATTACTCACCACAACAGCTCCACCCACCCCATCCCCCTCCTCCCCCTCCAACACCACCTCCACCTCCCCAACCAACTTCCTCCCCCTCCCAACCAACCCCCTCCCACCTCCAAACCTCATCTCAACCCCAACGACACCATGAACCTCCCTCCACCCCTGTCCAAACTCCGGCCGTGTCTTGAGCCGCCTCTCCCGTTCTTTCGCAGTTTCGGGGGCCCGGGCGCGAGGTGGATGATGACGGTGGGTATGGCCATGGCCCCAGAGCCGTTCGGTGGAGTTGCGCCAAATCAACCCCGGCCTCTTCGACTTCGAAATCGGTGATGTGTGCGGAGTAGGAAACGCCGAGGGAGAAGATGGAAGAGCACGCCTCGGATCCACAAACTTGAATCGACTCGCAGTGGGCAATCCCCCCCTCTCCCCCGTCCCAAAATACCCCTCAACGCCCCTCAACCCAAGACTAACGTCAACATCCATCACCCCTCCCGCTCCAAACTCGAACGCGGGGGATAGAGAGCTCGAGGGCGGGCTGAGGAGCCCGGGGACGGGGTGTGTCTCGGCTGTGAGAGCTGGGATTTGTTTAGGTGGTGGGGAGACTGCCTATCATCGTACCCATCAGCATCCATCCTCTTACTTGAAAAGGGGGCGCCAATACCCGTTCGAACAGCTCCGCGGTCGAGGTACGCATCGCTTCCCTACGTCCAATGACTCGAACCCTCTGTTTATGCTTGTTGTCCATTATCCTTGCCTCGAACATCGAACTGAATTGGAAGATAATGATAATGGGATGGGTAGAGATGGCGATGACATACTCCAGATACGAAGAGGAAGTCCGAGGGTCGTTTAGATGGTGTGGTGGTCCGTGCGCAGGGCTTTGTCGTTCTGATGTCGACGTCGTTTGTGTGTGGAGGTCGAACGAGGCGCTGCTGTACGGTGTGCTCTTAAGAAAATCAGATATGATCTCTTCTGCCTCGTGATTAGGGTGTATATGGGTATATATCAAGCGAAACCTCGAGCTCCTTCCCTCGCACGCCATTATCTTCCCTCATGCCTCACCGGGAATTCCTCACCCAACGATCGCTATCTCTCCAACAACATCCTCCTAACCTGCACCGTAACCCCCCTCCCAAAATCATTCGGCAGCGGCACATACTCAACAACCTCCCCACCCATCCCAACCCCCCTCTCCCTCCTCCCCCTCCAAAGACTCCAAACATCCCTCTCCACCCCCGCCACAACATCTTTCACGATCTTTCTCGCAGCTTTATTCGCGCCCTCCACCGTGCGGTGATAACTCACGATCCCAAGCGTATCGTGGCCTTTCCACCGGTGTACTGCCCATATCCAATTCTGTGGGTTCGTGTACCACACCTCCCGTATGACGGATATCTCGAGTTCGTACTTGCCCTCTGCATCCCGGAACCGTGCCCAATATCGCCCGTTCTTGGAGCCGATGAAGAGGGGGGTGTAGTCTGTCGGTGGGATACTCGAAGCGAGCAAATTTGCTTCGGAGAGGGAGTAGATTGGACGAGAGGTGGCGGAGCGGATCACGCCTGTGTTGCCGCCGAATTTATCGTTGTGGTGAGGGACGATGTCTTTTACGACGAGGTAGGACATGTCTTCTCGTACTCGTAACCCGATCTCGCGGAGTCGTTTTGGCATCTTGGTATCTGTATCGGTATCGTCCTCTTCTTATGATTGCAATTAATCTTGGCAAGCTGCCGTCGACAGGCATACACCCTTCGTTGCACTCCAAACCTTCACCTCCTCCCCAACCCTGCAGAACTTGCTTACACCATCACCTACCTATCCTGCCGACAGCAAGCTTAAGCCGGGCCGTGGCCCAGATCATTCCATACGGCCGCGGTCCGAGCAACCGCGGGCTGATCCGCTACCGTGATTATGCTGGATGCGCATACACGTAACAAGTCTCAGCTGCTGGTTGTCAGCTGCTGCTTGTCAGCTTGGACCGGGGAACTTGCCAACCCGCCAAACCCGATCACCCGTTGGGGGACGCAAGGAGTTCTCGCGCGCGCAAACGTCGGACCACTTCGCACATGAGGGTATCAATCGTATAAAGTAGAAAAAGGAAGTCCCTCGCGCCCATTGAATACCCGCGCCGAATGTCCTGGAGTCCAGCAATAACGCCTTAAAGCAACAACACGCAAACATCCGCTGTCCTCTCCCTCTTCATACCTTCTCCTTCCCGCCCCAGCTCCCCGCTCGGCAGCGCACAGTTTACCCCCCATACCCATTCCCCGCCGCCAACGACGAATCCCCCTCCACTGAGATGGATTTGAGGCATAGTTTGGTTGAGGGGCCTGTTGTAGAGTTTTTGCGGGGGGTTATGCCGAGTGTAGGTGGGGAAGGGGGTGGGGTGGGGGTGGGGGTGGGGGGATGGATTATGTGAGGTTTATGGAGGCGATGGTGGAGATAACATACCCTTTCCCATCCGCCACATCTCTAAAACTCTTCAACACTTGTTCCGGTGAATTCTGGTCTTCGGTAACATCGACCATGAATCGGATGAATTGTTCGAATGTGACGTAGTCTGCGCATGCGCCGGAGGATTGTGACTGTGTGGCTTTGAAAAAGAGGGATTCCATTTCATCGTCGGGGTAGACGAGACCGAGCGAAGCGAGTGCCGCATTGAACTCGAGACGTTCGAGGACGTTGGTATGGTCCCTGTCGAAATGGCGGAAAACGGATTCGAATTCTTCGAGTTGGGCGGGGGTCATGTTGGTCATATTCCGGGCAATGATCTGGTTTTCGATGAATGCGAGTTTAGCAGCGACGGCGTCTTCGGCGAGGGCGAGTTCGTATTCGAGGTCGTCGTAGGTGTACACTGTGTAGTCGTTTTCCTCGATGTTCGCTTCGATACACGCGATCTCCAACTCCCTCAACTCCTCCACTTCATCCTCGAGCGGAGTGATATTATCCCTCAACGTCGCGACATGCTGACGCTGCTCCTCCAACGACCCATGAAGTGACGAGATCTGAAGCGAAATAGTGTTCAAACAAAGTGAGAACTCATTCGCCTTATCCGCAAAGTCACGACGGAGTTGCTCCTTGATCCTATGTCAACACTCGTCAGCATCATGCATCAAATCATGCGAGAGACATTCAACATACGCCCTGATCTTCCCATTAATCTCCCGGCTCCTCTCAGCTTCGGCCGACAATAACCCCCTCCACGCCCCATCCAAATCCACAAGCCCCAATCCCTCCGGCGGCTCATACCCCCTCAACCCATACGTCCTCAACTTCGTCTGAATATTTCCCAACAAACTCTCCAACGCAGTCTTCTCTTTCACCCACTCCCTCTTTTCCAATTTCTTATACTCGTTGAAATCGTTTGATTGTTTTTTGGCGTCGGCGTAGGAGTTGTCGAAGGTTGAGGTTGACCAGTGAGATTGGATGGAGGAGATGACGGAGAGGAGGGCGCGCATGCGGGATTCGTAGGAGGATTGCATCTCCCAGGCGGACATGATCATTTGGATAAAGTTTTCGACGCGGCGGCCGGCGGTTTCGACTTTGTCTGTACCGTGGGAATATGTCAGTAATCATCCGCGAAGCTCAATTTCATGATGATAACTCACCAAGGGCGGAGAAAGCGTGAAAGTACTGTGCGACGTATGTCATCACACTTCGCTCATCCGGCTTCTCCACATCGACCACATCCTCCACCTCCAACAACTGCGGAATCCCAATATGCTCTGCCGCAACCTCAAAAGCAAGCTGCGTATTCCCCCTCCAATCATCCTTATCCAACCCCTCATAATCCAACAAATCCGGCCGATGACGATGAATAAGCGCACAAAACGCCAATCCATCCCTCCAACTCGTCGAAAAATTCTGTACATCGACCTCCCTATACGGAGCCGTCTTCCTCTGACACCAAAGTAACAAACCCTCCTTCGCCGTTAACCCTTCCTCATTAATCTCCGCGATCGTAAAACGCAGAATTAAGGTCCAGATGAGTCCGAGGATAAGCTTGAGGTTCCCGTCCATGATGTCTTCGGGACCGATGTTGGTGAATTGGACGCCGCGCATTTTGATGAAGTCGAGGGCTTTGGCGACGTTTTCGGCTTTTTGGACGCGCATGCGGGCGAGTTTGTTGTACCGGCCGAGGGGTTCGTCGCCGATGATTTCCTGTATGGCCGTATAATCAGCATTCACTCCCGAAATAAGTCGACGGATGACTGTACCAGCAACTGAATCAACCTGATTCCATCACTTAGGTCTTTACTCAGGTCCTCCACCGGTGCAATAGCCCTCACGCTCAACTTGCTATTAAACCTACACAACACCCAAAAGTCAGCATACAACCCCCTTTCCCGTGCCCCTCTTCCCGCTTACTTACCACTTCGTGAATGTCCTATTCTGCACATCCTGCCACCCCGAGTCTAACAAGCCATCGTCTCTTGTCTTCTTGCTCATCCTGATGGTTGAATGGTGGATTGTATGCTCGGCGTAGACCACCCTGTATTTGGGTCCGATGGATGCAGGGACCCTCGCCAGCCGTTGACGCCGAGAAGGAGCGCGCCGTAAACCTGGGCCTCACGAGAACGACGAAAAAACCGAAAGGATGAAGATTGCGTTCGTTCATCCTGATCTTGGAATTGGAGGGGCGGAGAGATTGGTCATCGACGCCGCGGTCGGGTTGCAGAGCCGTGGGCACCAGGTGGTGATCTACACGTCTCACTGCGACAAGACTCATTCCTTCGAGGAAGCTCGGGATGGTCGGGAAACTTTGACAGATCGCAAGTCGTTTGTTGCTGACTCTGATCCTGACAGGCACCCTCGACGTCCGAGTCCGCGGCAACACACTCCCAGCAAACCTCTTAGGCCGCTTCGCAATCCTCTTCGCAATCCTCCGACAACTCCACCTCACAATCCACCTCCTCCTCGAATCCACAACCTACGACGCAATCTTCGTCGACCAACTCTCCACCTCAATCCCCCTCCTCCGCCTCAAAGCCCCCGTCTTCTTCTATTGCCATTTCCCCGATAAATACCTCGCACAACCCGGTGGTTTGTTGAAGAAGCTATACCGTATCCCATTCGACGCCGTGGAAGAGTATACCACCGCAGCGTCGGACGCGATCGTGGTCAACTCGAACTTCACCCGCAGCGTCTTCGCCAAAGCATTTCCACGGATCAGCCGCACCCCAGGCGTCCTCTACCCATGCGTCGACATCACCCACCTCCCCACCACGCCACCCTCACAAACCCCGACCCTCCAATTCCCAGAGGGAACAAAAGTCATCCTCTCCATCAACCGCTTCGAACGCAAAAAGAACATCGAGCTCGCACTAAAAGCCTTCGCAACCCTCCGCGGCCACCCAAACTTCCAAAACCTCCGTCTCGTCCTCGCCGGCGGCTACGATTCCCGCGTGACCGAAAACGTCACATACCACCACGACCTCCAATCCCTAGCTTCCACCCTATCCCTAACCCACCAAACCATCAAACCCACCTCCTCCGCCCTCGCCCTCGACCTCGATCCCAACACCAATGTCCTATTCCTCCTCAGCATCCCCGGACCCCTCAAAGAGGAGTTGTTGAGAACGTCGACACTCCTAGCCTACACCCCAACAAACGAGCATTTCGGGATCGTTCCCCTCGAAGCCGGTCTCGCCCGCCTCCCCGTCCTCGCAACAAACACCGGGGGACCACTCGAGACTATCGTCGATGGAGACACAGGAACAGCTACAGCGACTGGGTGGTTAAGACCGGCGGATGAGGGGGCGTGGGGTGAAGTCATGAGAGCCGTTATCGAGATGTCGGAGCGGGAGAGGGAGAGCATGGGGAGCGCGGCGAGGGAGAGGGTTGTTACGAGGTTTAGTTTGGAAACGATGGCGGGGGATTTGGAGGATGGGATTCTGAGCATGTTGAATGAGTGCAGGAATAAGGGAGGTGTGCCTGTTGTCGGAGTATTATTGGCGGTATTGCTCGTTGCGGTGGTAGTATGCCTTCCACAGATCGCAAGGACGACATAGGAATGAAGAATGAAATGATGAACATATATATTATCGTAGTCTTTTGAATGCGCCCACGTAAAATGCTCGCTGATTTCACCTTGTGCAAACGTTGTGCAGTGTGGTATCTATACATCCCCCCATATCCCATTTTGCACACCTCACTACTTGCCATACGGCATGCTGCCCCTCCTTCCCGAACTCCTCCTTCCACTCGCCGCACTGTCCGAAGGTCCCTCCTCCTCCTCACTATCATGCAACTCCGCCAACCCCATCATCTCCTCCTCCTCAGCAAACCCAGCCAACCTAGCTTCCCGAACACTAACACTCCCCCTTCTCCCACCACCAGCCTGCCCACTAATACTCCTCCTACTCCTGTCCAACTGTATCGACCTCCGTGCCTGGATTCCGGCATTGAGCATATCCCCTCCGAGCGGGAGTCCGTCATAGTCTTGCGGCGGTGGCGGGTGTTTCGAGGATGCGTCGAGGGTGTAGAAGTTGAGTAGGTACACGCCTGCGAAGATGATGAGGAAACCGCAGAGGAGGGAGATGATGTCGACGGCGGAGGTGGTGTTGAAACCTTGGAAGAGGATGAAGGAGGCGCAGAGGGTGCAGGTTGTGAAGGTTACGTAGTAGATTGGGTTGACCCTGTACATTCTCAGTTAGTCTTCATCGCGGGGAGGAGACATGATAGAAGAGGATGTACAATGAGGTAGGAAACTGGTCCAGCGCCTTGTTGAAGTAGTTCATCTGGGTCAAGATACACACGGCGACGACGATTGCGAACGCATACGTACTAGGATGCGTGAACTGGTTGCTACCGGCGAGAGTGAGCTTGAGCGCGATTCCGAAGGCCTTGATGGACATGACAGAGACGGAACCGACGGTGGAGCAGATGGAGAGGTAGACGAGGGGGTTGCGGCGGCCGTAGAGGGGTGCTACGCGGTAGATCATGACGGTTGCGAAGACAGTGACGATGAAGCAGTAGAAGAGGAATCCTGCAAGATAGTGATTAGTCCATGTGATATCCGAAGTTGACTGCTATACGAACCTGGCTGAACAGCGTAGTTCAGGATCTCGTCCACGGTCTGAATATCCTTGTCTTCCGGAGCATGTAGTACAATGACAATACTCCCAATCAAACAAATCGCACATCCTAACCGTCCAAGCGGTCCCAACTCCTCCTTCAAGAACACACTGGCAAGCATAGCTCCGACCAACACCGACAAAGCACCCAACGGCGTAACCAGAATCGCCGGCGCAAACGTATACGCAGCGAAATTCGCGATCTCACCAATAATCATGGTGATCATTCCTGCCCACCAGATGGGGTTCTTGAGGTATGCATACTCATCGTTCTGCGCGAAGGTTTGTCGGCGCTGGGCGTCCATGAGACCCTTTTTTGTGATGATGAAGGAGGTGCCGATGGCCGCTGAGGAGGAGATCGCAAGGGCGAGGCCGATATATTTGTCGTCGACCATAGCTGCTGTATGTTACGGGTATTGCTGTGTCGACCTCGGTGTTGTATCGATGTTCAGGACCAGGTGAATGCGATTGATCCCAAAGAAGACAAATTGAATGCGCTTTCACACATGCACAAAGAGGGCAAACGTCAGTGATATCGTCCTCTTGACACGTAGTTGATCGAGGGACCCGTGCTCGTCGTCGTACTGGGTATATTTCGGCTGCGTGTTTTGGCGTGCGGCTCAGCCGCTTGCCAAGTATGACGCTCGTAAACACAAGGAGAACGCTTCCTGTCTGCGAACAGGGCAGAAGAGAGCCAATTGAGAATGTTTTCGCTTCAAAAACCTCAAAATATTTGCCAATCAGATTCTGGCATCCCGCATGTGGAATGGCGTCGGAACGTAAACAGCTTCTCCGCAACCTTAACTTTCATAACGTTCACTGCCCCTTTATCCATATTCCAGCATATATCCCCATCCGACGGTCTTCATCGAGCCTCAAAGTCGTAATTGCGCCCTCCTCTCGACGCAGCATCCACCACGGCTTCCATAAACCCCCTCCCCCACATTGCCGGCTCCGGCGACCCCGACGAACGTCGTCGGGCAACTGAAGAGGAGGATGTTACCATTGAACCCGCTTCGCTCTCACATGGCCTACACGTTCAAGAACCATCACAAACGACACTAACAACACCCCCTCCGGTACACTCTCCAACAACTACCCGTCCCCATACGGCCGCCAGCAAGAGCACCCGTCCACTAACAAGCAAAAGCACTCGTCTCGACTTCCCTCCAAACACACACCCAAGTCCATTTCATCTGGAACCAGTGGACCATACACCCAGCGCAGCATACCGAACCATACGAATACCAGCCGTCTACTCAAAACGCGATTTAGCACCACAGTTCAGTACGCGGTTTAGCCCACTCCTATCAACCTTCGTGGAGGAAGCATACTGGCACGACTGGATATGCCACATCAACCGTGAAGTATGGCTAGCGAACTGCGTGACATGGGGCACAGTCCTCTGGAACATCGTCGATGTCGCGAGTTTATGGGTATGGAGTTCGCTGGTGGAGAGGCCATATAAGAAGGTTTGGCCTTCCTGTGACCCGTTTTGAGCGTCAGGGACTGATACAATGGGTAACCAGAGATTACGTGCGCTCGAAGCGTGGATTGAGGAGGAGAATGAGAGGGTTTGGAGGGTTGCTGGGGCGGAGGTCGTGAGTCCGAGGAAGACTGCGTACCTTCACGTACGTCATAAAACCCTGCCCATAAGCAGTCGTGTACTAACTATCATGATCATAGCTCGATATTGAAATCCTGAGTATGGAAGATACTGCGACAACGAGCAATATCAACGGCACGGGGTATGGAACAGCGTTTTGAGAATCCTTGGCGTTGAAACCCGAGCTTCAAGGTTCTGTTTCATCTGGACGTTGCAGACAGGCAAGAGCTGATGGATTCAGAACAGGTTGATACCTTGGGCAACAAGAGTTCGAAGAACGTCGGATAGCTACGCACGTACGGCGAGACGATATCTATAGTAGTATCATAGCTGTATACGGCACCAACTCGAGCGTAAAAGAAATTTGGACACAGTCACGGAACAGACGAGCAACCGTACTCCGTTAACCATAAAGTCATTTTCATTCAATTTCACCTTCCAACTCATCCTACCTTGATAGGCTTGATCTGCATAGGTCTATTGTTAGCATTGTCCGCTGTCATGAAGGAGAGTCTGGAGCATACCTTGAAATGCAGAGCAATGAGAGAAAACACCAACGCCTTCAAATCCTGAATAAGATAATAGAACACCCTCAAGCCCTCTGGGTCCTCACTCTCCGTAACATCCACCAGACTGCCAATCTTGGCCGTCTCAAAACTGATATGCTCGTTGCCCAATCTGATTTCCAATTCCTGACGCCCATCCTTATTTTTTCTTGGCCATTGTGCGTCATCTTGTTCAGAATTTCAAGACTCTTGGATGATACGTTTCAGCTCTGCGATCATAGCCTGAGAAATGCACATTTCCTTTCTGATGAGGGAATCATTGCGGTAGTTCGAATTGTTGGCATATCGTGCGACACCGTCGGCTCGAAAGTCGAACTCTATAGAAGCTGTAAGCATCGTAACGCGCTGAACGTCTCGAGAACTCACCTAAGAACTCGTGGCCGAAGCCACCGGTATGACCAGAACTAACAAGCGCGTATCAGGACTACGCATGGATGTGGCGAGCGGATCAAGTACTAATATCTCAGGTAGAATGGCTCGTCGGACGACATGGTTGATCCTTCAATTGCAACTGGTGGTGTTCACGTACATGACCCTCGTACAACCAGATCATGCAGTGGCCCGGGTACGTGCGATATATACCTCCAAGTACGTCAGAGAGCATACTGATACAAATGCAACATCGAACAGAAAAGAAAAGAAAAGGATACCGACCATCGACATCTATACAACACACATTTGGAGAGAAAATGCACAATGATATGACAAGAGAATGTAATCCATTATGGTGTAGCTTCACCAAGATCTCCGTTGAAAAATCTCCAAAAAATCACTCCACACGCCTAAAGGCCCTCCACCACGCTGCGCACAGCTTTACGCAGCAGCAGCAACCTCAACAGGCCTAAAAGCCTCCTCAACTTTCTGCTCAACCTCAACCTTGACCTCCTTCTTCGCCAACCCAACCTGCTCATCAGTCCAAATGGGCCTCGCCTCAACCCCCTCCCCAACCCCCGCCCTCCCCCCCGCAACCTCCCAATCCCTAACCCGCCTCAACCCAAACTTCTCCCAAACACTCTCCAACGCCCCAACAAGCACCTCTTGCTCACGCGCCCCATGCGCCGGAGTAGGCGTGATACGCAACCTCTCCTGCCCGACGGGAACAGTGGGATAATTAATCGACTGCACATAAATATCATGCTCGCGTAAAAGTTCGTCAGAGGCCGCCTTTGCCTTCTCCGCCGACCCAACAAGCACGGGGATGATATGGCTCGGCCCCGGCACGACCGGGATACCGACCTCGTCCAAGCGACTCTTCAACTGGCGTGTATGAAGCTGCTGTAACACACGATCCCCATTGTAGGCTTTTTGGTGTTCGATCGCCGCTGTGGCGCCGGCCATGACAGCGGGTGGTAAGGTGGTCGTGAAAATGAACCCGGGCGCGAGGGAACGGATCGTGTCGACCAATCTCGCGCTTCCCGCAATGTAGCCGCCCACGACACCGTATGCCTTCCCGAGCGTTCCGGTGATGATGTCGATACGGGACGTAATTGGTTTACGGGCATACTGTCCAGAAACGTGGGCCTCGAAATCGAGGTGTTCGGCGACGCCGCCGCCGGTTGGGCCGTACATGCCGACGGCGTGGACTTCGTCGAGGAATGTCAATGCTCCGAACTCTTCCGCCAAATCACAGATTTCCTCGATGGGGCCGATGGAGCCGCACATGGAATAAACAGACTCGAATGCGATGATTTTGGGTACGTTCTTCGGGATTGACTCCAACTTTGCGCGAAGGTCCGCGACGTCGTTGTGTTTGAAGACCATCTTTTTGGCCAAGGAGTGGCGGATACCCTGGATCATGGAGGCGTGGTTGGATGAGTCGGACAAGATGACACAGCCGGGGAGCTTGGAGCCAAGCGTAGCGAGGGTAGCGTCATTCGCAACGAAACAAGACGAGAAAACGAGCGCGGATTCCATCCTGTGCAGGGACGCAAGAGACTTCTCCAAGGCCTCCGCATGGCGGTTATGCCCAGCAATATTACGGGTCCCACCAGCTCCAGCACCATACCGGGTAAGCGTGTCAATCATAGTATGAACAACCTTCGGATGCTTACTCATCCCCAAATAATCATTCGAGCACCAGACCATAACCCGCTCATCCTCCTTCGCAGTATGCGCCTTCGGGAACTCAGCAGCGAGACGATTAATGTTGTTGAAATACCTGTACGACTTATCGGCATGCTTTTTGTCGAGTTCGTGTTGATAGAAGGATTCGTAGCTGTAGGAGGTGTTGACGTCCTCGGAGGGCTGGATGACGGAGGTTTTGCTCTTGAGGACGCTGGAGACGGATTTGTTCATCGCTGCGGCGGTGGCGGAGATGTGGGGGCAGGCTTCGACGCCTTTGGAGAGGTCGACCACACCGACGCCGGCGTTGATGTGGACGGTCTCGACGGTGGCCATCTTGGCTTTGCGGGTGGTGGTGGGAGCGACATAAGTACGGGCAGCCTGACGCATCGTCTTTCCGATCACGGGACAACGCTTTCCAGCAACAGCCAAGGCGGAGATACCGGAGGAGCTGGTGCGGGTGGAGAGCATGCGGAGGGTGGTAGGTGACGAACGCTTGAGGAAGGGACAGAGCGACCTGCCTTGTTTCAAGAGCGACTCCATTTTGTATCGAGTTTTGTTTTCTTGGGCGGACTTTGATTGTTGGGGGCCGTATTGGAGTTTTATTCAGTCGTAGCCCCTGAGTCGTTGCTGAGGGAGGGGGGGGCGGCTCCGGAGGTCGGCGCCTTTGTGCGCGTGTTGATTGGCTGGGACCCGACATTGGTAAGCCGCGACTTGTTCGAATTAACCAATATATTACTCGTCGTTTTGACTTAATTGCATCTGTTCACGTAACCATCGCATCCGACTGGCCCAGCTCATCTCATCTCGTTGCAATTGGTCGAGGGAGGGTGCTTCTGTTACGTCACGATTGCAATTCGCGGATTGACAATGCTCTGCCAAGACTCGAATGCCGATCCCCCATGGACACGTCAATTGCATTTCATTACCTACGAATACGTAGACTGAGATGAACAGCACGTCCATTTCTGTGAACGGTAAACCCTCCGAATCTCCTGTCTCGCACCCAAGGATCATCAACCCGGATCTACGGGCTCCGAAGGTCGAAACGCCGCTTCATGCACCTCCCCATCCCTCATCTCCCCCCTCCCCCCTCGCGTCCTCGCCCCACGAATCACCCGTCCCCCTGTGCTGCTTTTTTTCGGACAAACATGTAACCAAATGACGTTGTGCTTGGATGTCAAGGCCCAATGGTCTAGTAGCATGATTGTCGCTTCGGGTAACTCCCACCTTTACGGGTACTTGTGACAGGTCCCGGGTTCAATTCCCGGTTGGGCCCTTGTTTTGTCCTGCCACCACTTCCACCCGTGCTCCCGCATAACAAACACCTACATCTCTCCATATGCAACCAAAAGGTTTTACACACAGTCGATATCAACGACTGTAGTTTGGTTGCTTGTATACAGCCCATAATCGCGTTGCCTGTGTCGGCAGCGAGCGCTAGCGCGTTTCTGGGGGTCTGCCTGCTCGAGCTAGAGCACGCATGGATTTCGAGTTTGGACTTTGAGTTATCGCGGAAGCGTCTGGCTGTGTCACCATCGGCGTCGAGTACCATCGTGCTCCCGAGTATCAATATCCCACGCAACTGGATCAGTTCGATGCCGTGATTGACTGGGCCTTGGGTGAGGAAGGGAAGAGCAGGGGAATTACCAAGGTCTGTGGTGGTGGTGACAGGTGAGATCTCCCAGTCAGCAGGGATTAGGACAGAGTTGATGACAGTCCAGTGCAGGTGGGAATATGACTGCCGCTTTAGCCTTCCGCAGACGAGACGAAGGCAAGGAAAATATGGCAGGGCAAATCCTGATCTACCCCGAAACACGTCTCCCATTCGATACGAAGGTGTGTCAAGAGAATAACGCCACGGCGGATGGAAGTCATCTATATCTCGAGGCGAACGGGATCCCGGGCTTTGCGCAGAATTACTTACCTATGAGCGTTCCGCCGTCCACGTCCTACACGTACAGCATTCCCCTCCCCAAAATAATGATTTCCTTCTCTGTTTAGTTCACCCGGCATGCAAGACCCCTCAGGCCTCAAAAACCTTTCCCCCGCCCTCGTCTTCACCAGCGACTTCGACCCCCTCCGCGACGTCGGTGTCGAATATGCATACAAACTACAGAAAGCTGGCGTCGACACAGAATGAGTGCATCATCCGGATAAGACGCACGGGTGGGTCCAGTTTGGGGGTTTTAGTGACGAGTGTTTGGAGGCTACGAGGGATTTGGGGAGGAGGATGGGGGAGTTGGCGCATGGAAAGCAGACTTAGAGACCAGGGAAGACTGCGTAGTTGGAAACTTGCAAATTAATTGGAATAGAATCTCATGCGAAACATGGTAACCTTACATCAACGCTATCCGGCCCCGGGTTCCTGAGGTCCTTAGGATCCTATTTTTAGTAACAAGCACACAAACCACTTCCACACCACCAAAAAATGCCCACCCTCGCCATCGGCAAATCAACAGCGATCCTCATAACCTACCATGCCACAATCATGCTCCTCCTGACCCCCCTCCTCACCCGCATCTCCCGCTCCTTCTCCCTACAGCGCATCTCCCACCTACTCTTCGCCTTATTGACACTCATGAGTCTCGCATCGACATGGAGCAACATGTATCGCTACTTCGCGCGGTCCTATACGGAAAGCGGCGCGGGAAGTGTGGAGGAGTGGCTACAGGGGACGGGGTTGTTTATGGAGGCGTGGGGGGTTGTGAGTGGGGGGAGGGAGGGATATTGGTGGACGGCGCAGGTTTGTGGGGTTTGTGCGGGGGTTTTGACGCCGTTGTTTTTCGTCGAGGGTATGTATCAAAATGAGGATGTCAACTGTTTTCGTCTTGCTGACGGGTGTGTAGGTCGACGACGAGGGATTGGTGGGTTGGGGAGGTTCATGGCATTGGCACAGCTTGTCGCTATTTCGTTTGCTACGTCGTTGTTCTTTCTTACACTGGTTACTACGACACCGCTCGCACGTCCTCTACCTCGTCCATCGCTCCGGATTTTGACGCCTTGTGTTCTGCTATCACTCGCGACCGTCCCATTCCTGGACCCGACAAAATCGACGTTCCTCCCGTTGCTGTTGGCGATGCACGCACTTCTCTTCCCACCATTCTTCACGCCGAAGAAGGATATGAAGGTTAGAGCAACAATCGAGGAGGAAACACCCGCGTTACATTTTCTGTACGTGGTCATCGCGTACGTGAACTGCGCTTCATACATCTGGTACACATACCAATACGCCTGGAACCACCCTGCCGGAATCCTGGGCGGGATGAAAGCGTTGCTCGGGCATATGTTTACGCATCCGGCACGGGCATCGATTGGATGGGATTTGGTATGTGTGAGTGCGGCGTTGTTGGTGTGGTTTGTGGTGACGGCGGAAGGGGGGAGGAGGGTTCATGCGTTGTGGACGGGGGTGTTGGGGATGGTGCTTGTTGGGCCGGCGGGACAGAGTGCGTTGGAGTTGGCGACGAGGGAGGCACCTGAGGATGATACCCCATGAGAAAGGCATGTTAGATCGCCCTCGATCCCCGATACTCCAAATAAATCAGATGTAGTTAATTGTTATATGGGGTGTGGCTCGTGCACGTGCGGGCGGTGCAAATATCCGGTACACCACCCCAAATCGGCTTTGAGTGTAACGACGACTGAAAGAATCAATCGAGATAGAACTCGCTCCCAGGTCTCTTACACAATGTCAGTACTACGATCACTCCGCTCCCTCACCGGCCTCTCGAGCGTCCGCACCGCCGGCATCCGCTCCTACGCAACCCGCGGCTCCAAATCCGAGGCTTCAGGCAGTCTCGCCGACCTCAGCGAACAACTCGCCGCAGCAGGCGAAGCAGGAGCAGAGACAGACCCCAAACCCGAAGCCCCCGCACCCCTGGCGAAACCCTTCATGGCTCACATGCTCGAAGCCAAAGCGTCCGGAGAACTCAAGACAAAGAGTGCCCGAGAGAAAATCCTAAGCGGAAACGCGAATGTACTCAACCCCTTCAACCGCGACGAAATCTACCGTCTCCGCGTACACTGCTCGAAAAACAACACGATCGTAACCCTAACCCTCAACCACGAACCCGTCGGTGGATGTAGTGCCTCATCCGGTTCCGCCGGATTCAAGAAACACAAGAGAGGCGAGTACGAAGCCGCATACCAAGCCGTCATGAAAGTGTTTGCGAGCATGAGGGAGAGGCAGGTTAGGCCGCAGCATTTGGAGATCGTGTTGAAGGGGTTGGGACAAGGACGAGAGGCGGCGACGAGGATTTTGACGGGTAATGAGGCGAGGGATTTCAGGAGTGCTATCAAGGCGGTTGCGGATCTTACTCCGATTAGGTTTGGTGGGTGTAGGCCTCCAGCGAGAAGACGTATCTAGGCGGATGACGGGGATGGGTTGGGGGGTTCAATTGGTGGTGTGTACGTTCTGGTTCAGCATACATATACGAAAGACGAATTTCGAAAAGCTAAAAAGTTCAGTGAATCAGTCAATCTACCATGTTCATCGTCATTATCCATCGTCTATAAAAAAAATCGCGAAAGAGAAAAGAGAGACACCAGTCCAGACCTCACACCATGCCGAATAACAAATACCAACGAACCGTCCAGCAACGCTTGCTATACCAATGTTCAAATGTCAAACCCCAATAAACAACCAGTCCAGCAAGTAATGTCCGGCGCACAGCGCCCCATAACGACAGAAAGCAAAAGTCTATCTCATCTACGAGTGCATCCCAGACACAGTCCAGTTCATCACGCATCCATACGCTCATCCACCCTATCCACCCCTTCCCCCACCTTCAAACTCATAGCCTCCTCAATCCTCTCCACACACCCCAGCACCCACTCCTCCGCAAACCGTCTCCCAACACACTCAACCCCCACCGTCCCCTCCCTTCCCCCTTCTCCCACCGTGCGCACCGGAAAACAACAACTCGCATAACCCAGTAGGTTGAATATGGCCGTGTAAGACGCCGTACCTTCGGCGCCAGAGTGACCGTGTTTCATAGCAGTATGACTCGTAACCGGGCTCAAAACACAATCAACCCCCATCTCATTCCAATACCCCAAATACCTATGTGCGTACTCATCCCGCTGGCGATGTAACTGCCACAGCTCATACACGCTCGTTCGTTTTGGGGAAGGGTGGTGGCCATGGATGCCCGGGACGATGTCTTCGGGGTGGAGGGAGGCGCGGATGTCTTCGCCCGCGTCGGCGGTGTACATCTTGCAGACGATTTCGAGACCGGATAGGTGGGGGGGTGGAGACCATTCCACGATTTCGTGCCCCGCGTGGCGAAGAGACGCGACAAGGCGTGACATCGCGGCACGAACTTCGGGTGATGGCGGTTCGATGGAGTTGGTGCTCAACACACCAATCCTTAAACGCCGTGGAATCACGAAATCGCGAAACGCGAGTTCGACGCATTGTGGGTCCCGGCGCCAGGGCATCGCACCACACACCGCCCTCAAGAAGAGTTTGAGATCCCTCAATGATCTCGCCATGGGTCCAGCGACGGATGGTACGGATTCTTGTCCCATACAGGAGTTTGCGGCGCCGTAGTATGGGATACGGCCGTGTGATGGCTTGAGGCCATACAACCCGCAAAACCCGGACGGTACACGTATCGAACCACCGATGTCTGTGCCGACGCCGAGGGGTGAGCCGTGGGCCGCGAGGAGGGCTGCTTCGCCGCCTGAGGAGCCACCGGGTGAGAGAGAGGTATTGAGTGGATTCAACGTCCGTCCGAATATATTATTGACGGTTTCGCCGAACATGAGGGTTTGTGGGACGTTGGTTTTGACGTAGAGGACTGCGCCGGATTCGAGGAGGATATCGACCAGTGTGGAGTTTTGGGATGCGATTTGTCCGATCCATTTTACGTAGCCCATTGTTGTGTCGATTCCGGTTATGTTGAATTGGTCTTTGAGGGAGATTGGGAGGCCGTGGAGGGGTCCCATCGTCTTTCCCGTGCGGCGGAAATGGTCGTCGAGGTCGTGTGCGCGAGACAGCGCGCGGTCGAAAAAGATCTCGGTGAGGCATGTCGTGGTCTGCTGTGCAACCGCGGCGGATTTACAGTATGCGGTCGTCACCTCGACCGCAGTCCAATCCCCATTTCGCATGTTTTCGAGCGCGACAAAGGCGTCCACCGAGACGATTTCACATTCTTTTTCGGTTAGGAGGCCACATTTTTCGAAGAAGCGGCGGACGTCCCAGGCTGGGGTTGAGGTGAAGTCTGCGACGGCTGAGTGGTCGTGGGTTACGTCGGTGAAGTCGAAAGGGAGGGGGAGGGAGGACTGGGGGAGGAGCCAGTCGGGGGGGATTTGTGAGAGCTGTGCGAGACGTTTCTGGGTGAGGAGAGGTTGGGAGGAGGGGAAGCGGGTCATTTGCGTAACCCTGAGTTTGTGTGGCAAATCTTCCTTGTTGTCATCTTCACGCTGTTTTGTTTTTTTCAAGAGTTTGGGTGGGGTGTGGCGCATGAAGTGTCAAAGATAAGAGTGACGAGAAATTAAATCTTAGCCGAGATCGTGCAAACAAAAAGTTCGAAAAGATTGTAAGGGAAACTGAACTCGAGTAGCGCTAACAACAAGGCGAGAAGTGGGTAGGAATTGGAAAGTGATAGTAGTGGGTCTCAAGTGTTGCTGCATTGCCTACCATATTCGAGTTTCGGTCTGTGTCTGTATCTGTGCACACCAGCTGTCGGCGATAGGTGCGGTAACCAAATATCAAATCGGTCAGTTTGCATGCCAAGCAGACCCGAATAGGTTCTAGAGGCTTGTACATACCTCTTGAGTGTACGTATAAGTTTCAATGACGGTCCGTTTACTAGGTAGGGTAATGGACTTCGATACACATGGGCGTGGTTCCCACGGTCTTCACTACCCACTCCTTGGAAGGGACACACTGACAGACGGTCACATGCGTCAAACTTCTTTCAGACACATTGAATGATAACCCGCCATGATTCCGGCACATTTTTGTTCCTCCGCACATGGGGACCCACGAAAATCAAACAAATCCATTTGCGCACGAGGGACATGGCCAGTAGCTCATGTAACTCACCAAGTCATGCTGAGTGTAGATCCAAAGTACTCCAGTTCAATCGGACTGCCCCAAGTTAATCTGTGTTTACGCGGGTAGCGTCATAGTTCCCACGGGGTCACATCGGTCAGTTTACCATGACATTGCACGGGACGGATTCGGAACGGTCTTTTAGCGGGTGTGAGTGGATCTACGAAGTACCAGCCCAGTCTATGCCCTTGATCTGGATCACGAGCATGCCTGCGAGTTTTGACACCCCACTACTAGACACAGGTCTAAGCGATGATGACTAGTCGCCGAGCAGGTCGAGCAGGGCACTGATCCGGATATGAATTTGCAGAGTTGAAGATGAGTCCCGACTGCGTCCGCTGCGGTGTAGCAGAGAGGAGGGCGGTCTTGAATCCTCCGATGTTCTACTCTGACTCGAAAACGTGGATAATACTTCGATCGTTGCCAAGGCTCTCCTCTGCCAGGACTGAAATCTTGTTGTAATCTTCTTTGTTCTTGCTTACTCAGGATAAGAGCTTGAGATCCATCCATCTACCCTTCCCACCGAATTCAAGTCACGGCTACGGGCCGTATTCGTGATCGGGTGTCCAGGGAGCACGTAGTATCGAGTTTCTCTTCGGTCGGAGTACGCAGTGCCCCCATACAAGAACGCTCTAAGATCGTCACAAGAAGGGCTGGACATCTTTCGGGGTTAATATCAATGAAACAGCACTGCAGATTTTCAGGGCGAACATGATTGAGTGCACACTAGCGTTAACTGTTGACATGGGTACCCCTGCCATCGCTATCACAATCCAGATTTGAGGTATCGGAAGGTATTACACGGGTATATTCAGGTATCCTCAGACAAGTCTCCAAACATGTACATATACCTCACAGCGTATACCTGAACCCTTTGTTATCCAGCTCCGTCATGTCCTTCATGCCAGCTTCGATTGTTTCCTTTTCTTGCTCTTCCGTCAGTGCGGGTAAATCGGCAGCGGCCTTGTTCCGTGCCTTGTTATCGCGCCACATGTAGATGTACAGAACGACAACCATGACCAACTTGATGATGTAGCCAATAAGCATACTAAAAACACAGCCTTGTCAGTAATGGGGTCGACTGGACACGAACATGGGGGGTGGAGGGTTACGTACGCGACATAAGCAGAGTGGTAACCAGGAGCCTCACTGCTCTTGAAAGTCTGCGGACCAATAATGTTCCCAACGCAATATCCTGTGAACACCGCAGCACCCGTTAACTGCTTCTTTGTATACCCTGAAATGTTGCTACTGATCATCGTCAAACTCATCGAAAACCCCAATCCCTGGAAGTAACAAAGCCATAAAGCAACCAGACGCCCCCACTTATTCGAGTTAGGCAGGCAGACGAGGAGAGCGGCGCCGAGGATGCAGATGGTGTTGGCGACAATCATAGTGATACAGCGTGAGTTTGGCCATTTGGTGCAGATGAAGCCGCCGGCGAGGAGGGCTGCGAATTGGACGAAGCCGCCGGGGATTTGGAGGTATTGGCTGCCCAGAGTATCGAAACCGAATGATTTGACGATGATTGAGGTGAACTACATTGAACCAGATCTGTTAGCGTATTGCCCGCTTGTTACGCTCGGACCGCCTGTGTCACAACGCACGCTAGTGAGGGCCGAATTGGGCACCTGAGCGCCAATCGCCATAACAAACAACATCCACGTCTTCGGATCTTTGGCACATTGCCAGGCTTGCTCTGTCTTGAAATGCATATTCTTCACGCCTCCCCGGTTCGATCCGACTCGTTTCACGGCCACGGCTCGTTCTCGCTCCGTAAGAAATTTCGCCGTCGTGGGAAGGTCAGGAAGAATGAAAAGGGAGACGATACCCCAGGCAAAACTGATCGCACCGAAGATAAGGAAGACGTACTTCCAGCGGGCGAGGCCCGTGTTAATGTGGCCGATGGCGTACCCTAAGAGACTGCACGCAACTATTAGCAAAAACGTACGGAAGTCGGAATCGTTGTTATAAACTGAGACCGTACCCTCCGAACATAGTAGCGATACCTTGACAAACGTCAGTTGGGCCTTTCAGACAGGTATGTCAGAATTTGCTTACCGTTGGTGCAATAATACGTCTCCAACCTCAAAGGTTGCTCAGCGGCCGTGTACCACATACCCTGAAACGTTCGTCAGCCTTTGCCTCGGCACACTTATCGAGATGCAAAGACACCTACCATGATAAGCACGAAGCCTAAATACCTGTTAGCTTCTCCGTTGCAAAGGTCGTCGAGCTTTCACGTACCAGGATTGACGGCAGCCTCCACGACTCCGAGCATGAACCTGTTGATGGCGATTCCGGCGAAATTGTGGCACGCTGGGGTGGTGAGCAGGATCACGCCCCATGCTAGGTATTTGTTAGCTCCTGTCGCATGCATAAGAACAGTAGGACTGTACGAACTTATCGTTGTCCAGCTGAGGAACCTGCCGATAGGAAAGCTACATCATGACACTCTATTAGCACATGGTGATTAAAGAGCACGGGGATGACACTCGGCCATACCGTTGCATAAGGTATCCTGACGGGTATTGAGCAACCAGGTAGCCGAAGTAAAAGAGTGAACTGTATCATAGTCAGTTCTTGGCCTTGGTGACGAGCAGGCGGTGAATACATACTTTAACCAGGAGTATTGACTGCCATTGATGTGCGTTCCGGCGTTGAACCCATACGCGCTTGCGTAGTTGATACCATTCTAAAGACATCAAAACTGTCACCTCGTGCTACACGGCACAGGTAAAAAATCACCCGGGTCCCGTACCTTGTCCAAATACTGCAGCAGATACGTCCCAAACAGAATCGACACGACACGGTAATCAATCTTCCTCAACACCTTCTTCGCTTCCTCATCGTCGTACTCAAGGTTTTGGATCTGCTTGTACACCTCATAACTATCGTCGTACCCGCTAATGGTGCTCGAGGTGGCGAGTGTGGGGGTGCCCGAGGAACCGCGTTCGAGGTCTTGTTGGTAGACAGTGGTCTTGTCGACGTCCTCAGTGGTCATGGCGAGATCAGAGGAGGTTTGTGCGGCAACGATGCTCTGGTCTACTCCAAAGGGTGGACAAGAGTCCTTATATACATACATCCGAGCACGACATCCGAGATCCTTGATAGACTTCATTCTACTTACTTCGGCTCATTCTCCGAGGGATGGCGTGCTCGGTCACCAGCACCGAGGTCATGGCGACGGCCTGCGCGGTTCAGTCCTCGACGCGCACGCGGAACCTTAACCTTGCAAAAACCAATTGAGAGAGGAAGGAATTGGTATGGTCTAGATCTGTTTCTGACCGATTATTTAATCAGGTTATTCCTTGTCCTCGTGGTTCACGAACACCTCGTGCGTCCTAGCCCTCAAGCTGCCGGTGCCGATGAGCGAGCACGACATCCGTTCGTGCATGACGCAACCGTTATATGAAGTAAGGTATATGGGGTGGTAGCTTCCCTCGCCAGATTTACGAGGTCGATGGCTTGAAACAACAAGTCTCCATAGGTGGCTTCGCACAGCCCATCAACTCGTCGGATAGATTCTTCAATTGCAAATCACTTTTCAAACCTTCAGCCAAATTTTCGACCGTGTCGGTGTCCTCAACCACGTTCTTGACGTCGTGCGAAGGTCAACGTTCAACGTAAGCAAAGCTACAAATCTTCAACAGCGTCCAAAATAAGCCCAAAGCAAAGGTTGTGTGATTTTCCTGCTGTGGGTAGTGGCATTCAAAAAATTCCCACGCTCGCCGGTACGCGCATTCCGTATGTGAGTGACGAGAGCGCACACTCGCAGCTACAGTACCAAGAAATCAATTGCAAGGCAAAGCCAATAATGTTGTCCTCCATGTTGTGCCCCAGATGTGTTCACATGATTGCCCAAGTAATGTCGGGCCGGACATTGCATGACGTCACAACCCCGCTCCTCGTCCGCAATGCGTGAGAAACCACCAAGACCTACCATGAACCGTTTACTTCTGAACACCGCCGTCTGTCCACCTCGGCCTCAACTTACCTTCGTCACCAAACCCCTTTTCAACAGCAACAGCAACACCAACCCAATCAACATCAGCGTACGTAAGATGACTGAGATTCACAACACAAACGAAGCCTGTTGCTCCATTCCTCCCGTCCAGAGTATGTTGTTGATTGGTTGCCGTGTTAGACGCACACTGATTCGATCAACAATATAGGCAACTACCAGCCCAAAGGAATCACCACGACGATCAACGGGTTGGAGACGTATGTCACCTCCAACTCCTCTAAGAAGATCCTGATCTGTGTACGCACCCCCCGGCCTTCCTCTTCCTGTACAGTGTCACTGATCCAGATGCTTCCTTGCAGATCTACGATATCTTCGGCTTCCACCCGCAAACAAAACAAGGCGCAGACATCCTGGCCACCGCCGGCTTCAAAGTCTACATGCCCGATTTCTTCCGCGGGTCTCCATTCCCTGCATCATACTACCCGCCCGACACTAAAGAGAAGAAAGATGCATTGCAAAAGTTCTTTGGGGCTGAGGCGAGCGTGAAGAGGAATTTGGAGGTGTTGAAGGGGGTTGTGGGGGAGGTGGTGAAGGGGAGGGAGGGGGAGAGTGTTTGTTTGGGGGTTTATGGATTTTGGTGAGCGAATCTCATGGTTGCCCCATGAAAGATCGGCAAACTAACACTGGTTCACTCACAGTTGGGGCGGCAAACTCTCCGTCCTCGCTTCGGGTTCCTCAACCCCCTTCAAAGCAGCCGCAATGATTCACCCCGCTATGGTCGACCCCGCCGATGCCCGCGCCCTCACGATCCCCATCTGTGCTCTTCCCTCCAAGGACGAAGACAAAAACACGATGCAAGAGTTCGAGAATGTCGTCAAGGAGAAGAAGTTTGGAGGGGATTGCGTGTTCAAGAGGTATGACACGATGCATCATGGGTGGATGGCTGCGAGGGGGGATATGGCGGTGAAGGAGCAGAGGGAGATGTTTGATGATGGAATGAAGGAGTTAGTCAGCTTTTTCAAGGCAAGGCTTTGAAGAGTTGGTGTTTGTGCGAAAGGAATTGTATCGATAGTGACTCTCACGAACTCCAAGATACCATACTGGGAAACTGTCGTTCGTGCTTCGCGCCCGCTAGCGCTTCACTGAAATCCTGTCTGCACTCAGCCGTAGAAGCGTCTGCAGAGTGCTAGCGCTAGCCTATGCTGTAGCAAGTTCATATCGTGTTCCCCCTTCAGACGCCAAGGCCAGCGAGGTAATCGAGGGGTCATATTGCTTAGGTTTTACTGGATTCTCGTCATGCACACGGGATTTGATTTATTGTTTCATTCCTCTGGTCTTCTGTCTTGAGATTGACATCTTCGAACAGAAAACATACTGTCCTATAGCTTGGCCTACGGTAGGTAAACTCCAATGCACCCAATAGTGAATCTTAACTATGCCATATCTCAATGCAAGACCAACACCAAATCGCAAACGTGTACCCACATCCAAACGCTTTCACCCTTGAATGATCATCGGGAACTCCTTCTCCTCCTTCTCCTTCAACTTCCTCTTCTCAACTTCCTCAGCCTCCTTCTCTTCATCCACAGCACGCCCCATAGCCTCGATAACTCTGCTGACACCTTGACCCTTCATCGCACAAACAGGAATAACGATCGGACACGGCACCTTCTTCCAAGGTAGCTTCTTAGCAGGCTTCTTGACTTCTTCATCCAACCCAAGTTTCGTCAGCGCTTTTTCAAACTTGTCCATTTCCTCAGCTTCCTTGCGGTCAAACGCAATAGTGCCAGGCTTAGCCGCGTTGAACTCGACAACAGGTGGCTGTGCGTCGAGCATCGCCATCTCCTCCTCCCACAGCTCACGGATCTTCTTCGAAAGCTCAGCATATGCCGCCTGCGAGCCCTCCGTATCCGCTTTGTTTGCGACAATGACCTGACGCCTCTTATCCAACCCTTCCTTGTATGCTCCCAACTCCTTCTTCAAGGTAAGATACGCACTCCACGGGTCTCCTCCCAAATCGAGTACCATACATAAAACCTTGGCACGCTCAATATGACGAAGGAAGGAGTGTCCCAGACCTCGGTTGTCGGATGCGCCGGCGATGAGTCCGGGGATGTCAGCAACCGTCATGACCTTTTGTGCGTTTTGGTAGGGAATGGTACCGACGTAAGGGTTGAGCGTCGTAAATGCATAAGCGGCAACCTCCGGTTTCGCGTTACTAATCGCTCTCAACAACGTACTCTTACCAGCATTCGGCAAGCCAACAAGTCCAATGTCCGCCAACGTCTTCAGCTCAAGGTGTAGTCTGATCCTCGTACCAGGTGCACCGCGGGTAGCGTACCGAGGCACACGGATATCCGGAGTCTGGAAGAACGGGTTTCCTAGCCCACCCCGGCCACCTTTGAGAATCAGTTGAGGAGGAAATGGGTCATCGTTCTCGCCCGCATCGGAAAAGTCAAGATTAACTTTCGGCGTCTCACCCAGCGGCTTCAAGTTTTCCGCTTCCATGATCTTCTTCGCCAAGAAGCGTTCTCTGCTATTCCCATGAGACAACACTTCTTCTTCCCGGACAATAGACGGCGCTTCGAGCAAAACCCTGTGGGCAGCAGCGCGGAGAAGATCACTCGCCTCGTTCTCATCCTCGAAATTGGGATAGTGAACCCACATATCCTGCCCTCGCTTGATCACCTTCTCACGTGTACCAATCTCAGTGACCACCGTACCCGGAGGAACCTTAATAACGATATCCTGCCCCGCCCTCCCGTGCATCACATCACCTTGCCCAGTCTGGCCATCATCCGCAATGATATGTGGCGGCACCTTATGCAAACTCGTCTCACCCTTCGTCGGAATAACCCACACATTTCCTCCTGCTCCACCATTCCCTCCACTAGGCGGCCCTTTTGGCCTGTACTTTTCTCTCGCAAAGGAGACGCAACCGGCACCACCGGTACCGGATTCGACAATAATGACACGGGTATCGACGAAATTCGTGCCTCTTTGATTAAGTTTGTAATCAGCTGATCGCGTGGCTTTGGATTTTCTGAGGAGTGAATCGAGCTCAGGCTTGGACTCGTTGCAGAGGATGGAGGTGGAGGCGAAATGGCGGTAAAAGACAGTGAAGAAGCGGCGTGCCGCCGGGGTGACAGTCGCCGACGTCGGTGAACGAAGCATACTAGGTTGTGAAGACGTGGAGACGCAGAACGAACTCGACCGTAGGGCTGTACGACGTATGTACTGCAGCTGTCTCGAAAAGTGCGCTCGGATCAGCTGCGGTTGCGCAAGAGAGGCACAAGTTGACCGCGGAAGGCATTCGGCGCCGGCCGCGGGTCATCGAACCAGATCAGTCGTTCACCACCAAATCATCCCTCGACAAAAACCATCATTCAAGATGACTGTCGATTTCTCCAAGCTCGATGCCCCGCTCCGTATGTCCTTCCTCAGCGCTGCTGCCGCTCTGCTCGCGCCGCTCCTCCCATACTAATACCGTGGAACCCCAGCCTTCTACTTGACTTCCGACAAGAAGTCCTTTGCATGGCCCTCCGTGGTCGAGCGCTACCCAATCATCCTAACCCAAGCGATTGATGACATGCACCGCACCATCTCCTCTCTCCCCGCCGACTCCCCCAAGCTGCCCGAAGGCAAGAAGATCATTGCGGGTATCGCGGCTCTCAAACACGAGGAACAACACGACCGCGTCCTCACTCCCCTCCCAGACGACGGTGACGCGGACGTCAAGGATTACAACGATGAGCTCAAGTATTGGAATGAGAGGGAGGGAAGGGAGATTACGTGGTTTTCGGGGCCGTGGCTGTATGTTGAGTGTTATCTGTACAGAAGGTTGCACTCGTTGTTCGCGCAGTCCGAGCACTGGAAATCCTATGACCTGTTCCACAGACAGAAAACCGACACCTTCCGCTCCTCCGCCGCCGCCGTCAACGAACTTGCCGTCCGTTTTGGCGAGCTCGTCCGTGATCTCGAGAGCCACAAGGGCCTCACCCGCGACGCGGAGGCACAAAAGCTCCTCTTCCTCGAAATGGCACAGATCTCCTTGTGGGGTAACGCAACCGATCTGTCACTATTGACAAACCTCTCGTACGAAGACATCCAAAAACTCCAAGGAAAAGAAGCAATCGCCAAATCCGCCGCCAACATCCTCGTCAACAACCTCGACAAAGCCTGGGGTTTCATCTCGCAGCTCAAAGGTGGCCGCATCGATTTTGTGCTCGATAATGCCGGATTCGAGTTGTTTGCGGATTTGATCTTCGCGACATACCTCCTCGAGACAAACCACGCACAAACCATCGTCCTACACCCCAAGGATTTCGGCTGGTTCGTTTCAGACGTTCTCCCAGCCGATGTCGCACACTGTTTCTCACAACTCCGTGACTCGACATTCTTCACACCCGAGGACAGGTCCGCAATGGACTTCCTGATCGAACGCTGGATGGAGCATTACGCAGAAGGCCGTATCGTCATCCGTCCCAACCACTTCTGGACAACCGGTCACTCATACTGGCGTCTCCCAACCTGCGCCCCCGAACTGCACGCCGACCTGCAGGAATCCGACCTCGTCATCTTCAAAGGTGACCTCAATTTCCGTAAGTTGACTGGTGACGCGATGTGGCCCCGTACAACCCCATGGACGAACGCAATCGGACCCTTGGCGACGAGCGGATTAAGGACGTTGTCGTTGAGGACTGCGAAGGCGGATGTTATGGTGGGCTTGAGGGAGGGGCTTGAGGAGGAGTTGGATCAGAAGGATACGAAGTGGGCTGTGAATGGGAAGTTTGCGGTTGTGTTTTATCATGATGCGAAGAAGTAGAGGACCCTACACACAAGGGGTAAAACAGGCGATTTAAAAAGATGCTAGAGGATGTGATAGAAAGATCATATGCAGATTATGATGTTGACATCTATCGTACACTTTACTTTCATCTGATTGAGCTTCTAGCACCCCTGTGCCCAATCTCTTGCATGCTTTTCGGCTTGTATGAACGAACGCCTGTGAATCGGAGTTAGAGACGATATCATAAACTAGCTCGCAACTCACCTGAAATGAAACTTTACTTCATCCTAAATCCCTTAATCACCGTATGCGCAACCGCCGCCGCAGCCAACAACACGTTGAAGATATTGAACATCTGCAGGCGAGACCGATACGTCAGTGACCTCGACTCCCGAGAACTGGGGCTGATCGTCACTTACCTCGAGCACACTACCCAGCTTGACCTCTGTCTCAACCTTGGGTTCCCCGTTTTCCGTCGGAAAATGTCCGTTCGTGTAGAAATACTCCAGTAATTCCTACGTACACCCCTTCCGTCAGCAACCAAAAAAGTATACTCGGTGGATGCCTACACATACATCCTTCTCCTCCCAAACCCGCCTCAACCACACCTCAAACTTAGGATCATCGTTCAACGGCACATCCTTCACCTTGATCCTCCGCACATGAATATGAACACCCTTTGGCGCTTTGCCCTCTCCATATACGGATTTCAGGGTATATTCGATTCCGGCGAAAGGGTTGACGGAGGGTTGGATGCCGGAGTAGCCGATTGTTAGGTCATAGATGTAATCGATGGAAGGGTCGAGGGTTGCCAGGCAGAAGTGGAGGCCGGTCGTGCGGGGGAGGAGGAGGTGTTTGAGGTCGGACTTCACGGAATTAAGTTAGTTTTCTTTAGACAATACGGCGAACAAAGATAACGTGTACCTGTCCGGTCTTCTCCGCAAATTCGGCGGATTTCTGGGTGGTGTTAGGCGAGTAATTCGTTCCCTCAGGGAAGATGAGAAGCCACATCGGGTCATCAGGGTTCTTCAACTTTTGCAGACGATGAAGCATCTTAGGCTTGTCATGTGACCATTTTCTGTCAGTTCACCGTCAGCCATCAAATATGTAAGAAAGATGTGTTATGGGAAACCGACCTCGACATGAAGATAAACCCGTAGAATTGCATTGCCCATCCGGCGATAGGGATCCATTTCAAAGAATCCTTGAGGATGATATAGATTGCCCCGTGAAGGCGGGAGGTGTACGCCAACCACCAGATATACAACCAATCCGAGTAAATCTGTCCGAAAGAAGTGTTAGTCGGTATTCAACCAATTGAGACTATCCCGGACCTGATGATTGGCGATAACGACAGCTCGTTGTGGAAAAACGCTAGATAATCTCCCATCTTCGGTTTTGCGTAGTTGTCCCGCCATGTCCGTATCACCCGTAACTACCATTTTAGTTGGAGCGAAGTACTGCGTGATGAATACGCAGATGAGACCGAACGACTGTTTGGTACGGGAAATATACGCGTAGTACCATTGTTTATCGTAGAAGTATAGCGGAACGCCGAGTAATTGGGTCGAGAACTGTATGGTGAAATGTCAGTAATGGCACGAGGCGATTAATTGTCTTCTTCAACATACCACGCAGACACATGTCAGGTTAAAGAGAGTGATCAAAGTGACCAAACGAAGGAGCTGCTTCCACGCGGGAGCATGTTTGTCCTTGTCCGAGGTCAATGCTGGATCCATTGGTGGTTATGTTTCGTTGGTCGAGGAGGACTTGAATGCGCTCATCGTGCGGAGGTTCGTGCAGCGGGCCCTGGCGGGAACGCGAATCCGTGCGAATATTTGAGATGACTGTACGAATGACTGGATTTCCTATGTTTTTTTACGTCTATATCTGCTTTATTTAGATAAGATTGTCCTACTCGTCATCCTCATCACTATCGTCTCCCATGTCAATCGTCGGCATCTCATCATCGCGTCCCTCTCCCTCGGTCTGTTGGACATCCATTTTCTCTTCCTTTTGCTGCGAGTAAGCGACTCCAAATGTTGACGCAGGTTGGGAGAGGGCAACAGGAACTGTCTCGATCACAGGCGGAACCTCGACGGCAGGGGTGGTGGGCATAGTGATCGCGGGAGCCGAGGCCGCACTGGACGCACCAAACCCACCAAAAGGCGTAGGAGCAGAAGCTGCCGGTGCCGATGCCACAGGCGCAGAAGCCGAGAATCCAGTCGACCAAGACGCACCACCACCAAACGCCTGCTGCGACGGTTGCTGCTGCTGAACAACCGGTGCCGCAATCACAACAGGCGGAGCCACAACCGCGCTTACACTCCCACTCCAAACCGGAGCTGGGGGCGCGGCCCTCATCTCATAGTCATCCTCACCATTCTCTTCCGCTTCCTCATCCTGCTGTCCCCTCATCAAGCTCAACACACCTTCCGTCGCCTTTCCGTTCGGATCGACCTTTCTCAAAGGTGGGAAACGGGTGTGGAGGACTGCGTCAAGCTGTTCGACACAAGCCAACTTGGCGCGAGCGAGGTCAGCGTTTGTGGAGTGCGATGCGGAGTCGAGAACGCGGAGGACGTGGGGAAGGATAGCCGCCTGTGTAGACGACGGAGAAAGCACAGACGCAACAAGCGCATCGTGCAAAAGAACACGTACGCTGGATGGAATAGTGACGGTGGTAGATGTGCTCAACTCCAGCAACACCCGATCAATACTCGACCTCAAAGACGGAGAGATCGCTTGAGGCATACACTGTCCCAAACAAACCCTCAACAACCCCAACGCAGCCTCGAGCATCTTCGTCCTAGGAATACGGTGGAACGCGGCGGGGTTGGTGAGAGCATCCGAACTGGCCATCGCGCCGGAAAGTTTGGCGGGGGCGTCGGAGGTGGGTGCCTTTCGCTTGCGGGGGTTCTTGGTGTTTGAGCCTGAAGCGGCAGTGGCGATGGCGTCTTCGACGGGGGTACGGGCGGAAGGCGGAGCGAGACGGGTGAGGTCGGAGAGAATTGCGGTGATGGGTGTGTTCGATACTTTCGCGTTCGAGGTACCAGCGCCGAACAGGGTGGTGCAGGCATCCAATGCCTCGTAGATAGCCTGACGGAGTTCCTCATTCGTGGTGGACTGAAGAAGACCGGAGGCTTGAGTGACGAAGGAATCGAAGTGAGGGAGGAAGTTGTGGGCGAGGACGCGGATGAGCGTGTGTGCGAATTTGACAGTAGCGATGTGGAGAGAGGGGAGGTGAGAGAACAAGAGTCCTTGCTCGTTCTTGTCGGTGGCGGGCTTGAGGAGGGCGTTAAACTTGATGTCGGTGACGCGAGTGAACAAGTCGACCAAGACTCCGACCGGGACCCTAACTTCCATCTTTCTACCCAAGCTCAAGAAAACTTCCAAGAGCTTGATCAAGACAGCAAAGCGCCGGCCACCAGCTACAACAGCAGAAGCGTGAGCGGTTGGCAACTCAGGCATACCCATTCCGCCCGGGTTAGTAATCCCATCCCGATCCTCATCCACAAATCGGAAAAGAGCATCGAGCGTTACATGCGCCTCACCTACGACTGCCAACAGGCCCTTCCTCCACTCATCCGCAGACCCATTCTTCGGTGCACAGAGATAAAGAGAAGCGAAGCACTTCGCGGCCGTCATCTCGACCTTGGGCGACGCCTGTCTCGAGCCGTCCAAAATCGCAAGGCATACAGATGTCAATTTTCCCGCAAACGGACGAAAAGTCGTAGGATGCTCAGTCAACGTCTCATGCAACGCGCCCAGTCCGGTCTGAAGCAAGTAATCGTTCGAACACAACGCAACGAGCGAAGCGAAATAGCCGGGCAACGCAGGCGTTGTGATATCTCTGATCAGCGCCGGCTTACCCCTCGTGAGCCTGAACAACGCCTTCAACGTAACAATCGTCCGCTCAAGCAACACCGGCGGCTCAGGTCGACCAAGGATAGCGATCAAGAGTCTCGACCAAGTCGCGCCATGGCTGAGTACGCAATCCCAACTCTGCTCCAATGTAGCTTTGATCAGGCAAACACCCGCCCACCTAACTCCAGCACTCTTCGCCTGAACCAAAGAAGTAAGTCTGGTAGTCCATTTGTGCAACGTAGCCGCATATTCTTCCTGATCACGCGCTTCAGAGGCGAGCGGACGCTGTGAAATGAGGGTTTCGAGGATGCCGGGGAGGTTTGTAGGGAGGGTGGGCTCGACGGAAGCGGGAAGGTACGAGGAAAGGATCGATTTGACCGTCAGGAGGCCGGTGTCGGGGGCTCGATTGGCCATTCTAGGGGGGGGGAGCAGGCCTGGAAATCAAGGCGGGTCGAGGAGGGTGGAAGGTGCTTATCGGCCAAAAAAGTCGTAGTGTGCCTTATCGACGTTACATCCGCCGACGATAGATTATAATACACCCAAAGGGAGACAGAAAGACCGAAATTGATTTAGAGATGTTATCGATGTGCTGTTTCTCGCAATAGAAGAACATGAAGGTGAAGTGCATTCCCTTTCCTATTGCGGGCACTCCATTGATCATGTATTGGCGCATCCATTAAGCTGCCGAGGTCACCTGCGAGTACGTCCACGCCCAACCGCGGAGTACGCTCGAACCTCCTCTGACTGTCCCGTCTCCTGTCCACTCCTCTCCAACTTTCACACAAACGCCGAAACCTTGACGGTTCATTACTACTCTCCACTCTACCAATCAATCAATTACAGTCACTTTTTGAATACAACACCTGCACAATGTTCCAAGCAAAGAGACAGAACACCTCCGCTTTGTTCAACGCCGCGGCTGCACCGTCATTGAGTCAGAGCGCACACGTCCCGTTGTCTCCTGATGTCCAGCGGAATCTTTTCCAGGTGCATATTCTCTCTTCACATCCTAACCTCACACTCCCGCCCTTCTGTCTAAGTGGGTGGGGAAGTTCTTTGGCTTTTGACCTACGAGCCCGGGATGTATGCTGATACGAACCATAGGTCGGCATGCGTGTCCGCAAGTCAGTAAACGCAGGTTACAAAACCAAAACCCAATCCATCTTCCCTACGACCGAGAAGAACGTCACTCCACCCCCTACCTTCATCCTTTCTACTTCATCTACGCTTTTCAACCCCGCAGCAGCACCCCATGGTCTTCTTCCGTTCAGTGCTGGACCAGTGAAGAGCTTGAAGAGAAGTAGGAGCGATCAGGATGACGAGGTCGAGCCGTTGAGTCAGGATGTTATTATGGGTGATGGAGGGCGCTTGGCGGGATCGCAGAGGAACGTTGATGTTACACCTGAGAACGACTTTGAGGAGGCAAGTTTCTTGCAGCCCATCGAGAGGCTCTAAACCTACCTCAATGCTATGGGCAGGTGAAGGCCAGTTGTGTTTTTGAGGATGAATGCATTTCATGTGCATCGGAGGACGTCGCTGTCGGGACGATTCGGTCGTCAGCACGCTACTACCACGACTGCTCCACGGGCACTACAAAGTCCCGCTTGATTGTTTTGGTTTTTCTTTTTCTTTCTCTTTCTCTTTCGGCGCTGCTTCTTACTGTTATGTTTATCTGTCGTTTCTGGGTCTTTATGTTTGCACGATTTGGGTATGGTTGGCGGTTACTGCTGGCTGGAGCCGGCTTCTTTGATACCTTTGTCGTCCGGGAGAGAGGGCGGACCTTTGTCTATGTTTGTTATTCAGGTCATTGCATTAATATTACTACTTCTCTACAACGCAACGTCGGATGATGGATGATACGATAGAGCTGATTGGACCTTGGGCATGCTTGAGCTCAAGGTCAATTGCTTCGGGTAGAGGAGCCGATGCCATGACGATGCCCACCCATTGGCCCAAGTCCAAGAGCGGTTGACTCGTCAATTGTGGTTTAAAAGTGTAACAAAAAGTCTTATTGCATTTTGAGGCCACCCTGAATACCACTTCCTCACACTCACGTGCACGCATACCCAGAGCCCTGACAGCTCGCCGGCGAAAACAACGTGGGGTCAACCTTAAGAGAAGCAGCTCGGTAGACAAGCACGAAGGTTCGATTCCGCCTGAACATCGAAGGGGACCCTGAACATCCCCTATCGAACTGAACCTCAACAGAGATCCCTTACGAGCTCAACCACCAGCACACCTGCAACGGCTTACACTCACCACTCGAGGGTCCATTCGATAAATACCATACATTCAAGATGAGCTGGAACGGTCCGGATCAGGCGACGCTGGCGCAATTGACCCAGATTTTACAAAACTCTATTTCGGAGAGTGCACAGGCAAGAAATGCTGCCAACCAGGTTTGTCTACTCACTCTAATTGTCACGGAGTTGTGACGGTTGCTGACGGCGATTGCGCACCATAGCATTTGGAACAAGCCAAGTCCTTGCCAGACCTCAACAACTACCTCGCATACATCCTCGTTCGATCAACGGACCAGGAGATCCCCGTACGGTCAGCGGCAGGTTTGTTGTTGAAGAACAATGCTAGGCTGTACTACCACGACATCGCCGAGCCCGTGCTCAACTTCGTCAAGGAGGCTGTTTTGAACGGATTGGCGGATGACCAGCATCTCATTCGCTCTATTGCCGGAAATGTCATCACTACGATTGTTTCCCGGGGTGGAGTCATTGCGTGGCCGGAGGTGTTGCCTAGGTTGATGGATATGCTCGATAACTCGACTGGTGCGACACAGGAGGGTGCATTCAGCGCCTTATGCAAGATATGTGAGGATTCATCGCATGAGCTGGACCAGGACTATAATGGACAGCGACCGCTCAACTTTATGATTCCGAAGTTCTTGACGTTCTGCGAGAACCCTAACCCGAAGCTCAGGGAGAACGCGATTTTCTGTTTGAACCAGTTCGTGATGATCAAATCTCAGAGCTTGAACATTCACATCGACTCTTTCTTGGCTGCGATCTTCAACCTTGCGACCGACACCACCCCCGAGGTCCGGAAGAACGTATGTCAGGCACTCGTGCAATTGCTCGATGCTCGTCCCGACAAGATTGAGCCGAATTTGAACTCGATTGTTGAGTACATGATGTACTCTACTTCTGATGACGACGAGACCGTCGCGCTCGAGGCTTGCGAGTTCTGGCTTACCATCGCGGAGAACGACGACTTGCGCCTTAAGCTCGAGCCTTACTTGCCTAGAATCGTGCCAATGTTGCTTAAGGGTATGATCTATACCGACATGGACGTTTTTGCGCTCGGTGGCGACGAGGACGATGCGAACGTTCCTGATAGGTTGGAGGACATCAAGCCTGTCTTTGCGCACGGTAAGAAGCACACTCTTCAGAGCCAAGGTGCTGGTAATGGAAATGCGGGAGGTGATGGTGACGACGACGAGGACGATGAGGACTACGATGATGATGAGGAGGACGAGGATGACATCTACGCCGAGTGGAACCTCCGTAAGTGTTCTGCTGCCGCTCTCGACGTATTGGCAACTGTCTTCCCCATGAGCCTCCTCCAGTCCGCTCTCCCTCACCTCAAAGAGCAGCTCTTCAACGCTGACTGGAAGGTCCGGGAAGCGGGTGTTTTGGCCCTCGGTGCCATTGCGGACGGATGCATGGATGGTATCATGCCCCACTTGCCCGAGATCTTCCCTTACTTGATCAGCTTGTTGAAGGATCCCAAGCCCCTCGTTAGGCAGATCACCTGTTGGACACTCGGTAGATACGCTCGCTGGGCCGCCGCTCTCACCACCGAGGCCGAGATGAAGATGTACTACGAGCCCCTCGTCGAGGGTCTCCTTCGCATGGTTTTGGACAACCACAAGCGTGTCCAGGAGGCTGGATGTTCCGCCTTCGCGAACTTGGAGGAGATCTCTGGCGCCGTGTTGTTGCCGTACATGATCCCCATCTTGAAGTCCTTCCAAATGGCATTCCAGAAGTATCAGCACAAGAACTTGTTGATCTTGTATGATGCTGTACAGACTCTCGCCGATTCTATCGGTGGAGCATTGAACAACTCTGACTACATCAACTTGCTTATGCCGCCTCTTATTGAGAAGTGGCAGGCTTTGGCGGATGATGATAGAGATTTGTTCCCGTTGTTGGAGTGCTTATCCGCTGTTACTGCCGCGCTCGGGTCTGGATTCATTCCGTTTGCGCAGCCTGTATTCTCAAGGTGTATTCACATCTTGTCGAGCACCATCGCACAATTGCAGGCCTGTGCGCAGGACCCCTCCTTGGAGTGGCCCGATAAGGACTTCCTCATCACCTCGCTTGATTTGTTGAGTGGTGTCGTCCAGGCCCTCGGACAGAACTCGAGTCAGCTGATGTTGACCTCGAATCCTCCAGTTGTCCAGTTGTTGTCTGTTTGTATGCAGGATGAGGTTGCGGAGGTGAGGCAGTCTGCGTACGCGTTGTTGGGTGATATGGCGATCCAGTGTTTCGACACGATCAGACCGTACATCCAATCCGTCATGACTGAGCTCATTCCGCAAATCGAGCCCCGTACGGACGCATTCTCGGTGTGTAACAACGCTGCTTGGGCGGCTGGTGAGATCGCGTTGCAGATGGGTGCGGAGATGGCTCCTTGGGTTGAGCAATTGATGGGTCGATTGGTGCCTCTGTTGAACGCGAAGGGTACGCCTCACACTGTTCGGGAAAACGCCGCTATCACCCTCGGCCGTCTCGGTCTTGTCTGCGCCGAACCCGTCGCGGCCCAACTCGACCAATACGCCGCCTCATGGTGCGAAGTCCTCGCCAATGTCCGCGACAACGAGGAGAAAGACTCCGCATTCCGTGGAATGTGCACTATCATCTCCAAGAATCCCAACGCGCTCAACCCGTACTTTATCCAGTTCTGTACTGCTGTCGGAAGATGGCAGGAACCGAGTGCGGAGTTGGCGAATATGTTCCATCAGATTTTGATTGGGTATAAGAGCATTATGGATCCTGCTACTTGGGCGCAGAGTTTGCAGCATTTGACACCGGAGGTGCAGGCTGGGTTGCAGAAGTATGGAGCGTAAGTGAGTGAAGAGACATCGTGGGAGCGAACGTGAAAGGAAATGGAGCAGTGAGCTGAAGAAGAGATAGGAAGAAAGGAATTGAGTGAGAAGAAAGGGATTTGAGAGTTATTCCCGTTATTTTGTTTTTCGTAGACTAGTCATCGCATCTTGCATCGTTATAATCCTGTTTTTCTATCTCCATCCACTTCACCTCTGCCTCAGTCCTTCTCCTTACCCGTGGCTCAGCACTGCAGCTGCAGGCACTGTACTCAGAAAGTTTAACGCGCCACACATACGAAGCGTCTCGATAAGTGAACCCTCAGCGAACATCTTCTACGACTGAGCCGATATACAATGCCTCCAAAGTCACGGTCATCACTACCAGGACCCGCCGCAAAAGGTGCGCAGCCTCCAAGACCGGCGGGTGCGGCAGCAGGCGGTCAAAAGAGGAAGAGGACGCGGAAGTCGCGGACGGAGGTTTCGTCAGATGAGGAGAGCTCAAGTGAGAGTGAGAGTGATGACGATAGTGAGGGTGATGAGGAGGAGATGAAGGATGATGAGGATTTCATGGGACGGCATGAGGTGGACGTGGACGAGGAGGATGAGCGCGTGGATCGGGATCAGGGTCAGGATGAGGAGATGAAGGATGTGGGTGCGGAGGAGCAAGCGCAGCCAGTACGGAGAAAACAGGTTGCTGATGACGAGGTATGAATCGAGGCTGAGGGTTTCCCCGGGGAAGCATGCTGACAGTTTCATATAGCGGCTGAATTTGCCCGCACCCATCGCGACCCTCGATGATCGAGATCCAGCATTAGCGGAGAGGTTCAAGGATTACTACATGAACCTAGTAACGGAGGAGTTTGGTGATGATCTGAATAAGATCAGAGAGGTAAGGTATTCCTGGTGTTACAGTACTGACAGAAGGCTGACTTGATGCATAGGAATCTACGTTCAATGAGCGATCACTGCCGATGCTCATTCGGTCGCTACAGTCTGGGACGAATATTTTCAGTGGGGAAGAGAAGGAATTGTTTTTGCGAGAGGCTGATAGAACGGGGAAGGCGATGGAGTAGGTGTTTGGTGGTGCATATTGACAGGCAGAGGGATGGAGATCGAGGTGAAGGTCATTAAGGGGAGGATTATCCGCGGGCCAGTATCTGGTGCTGCTCCCGTCATAGCTGAAGAACAATGTATGCCCATTCAGCACTCTGCTCGATCGTGCCCTCTTCACATTCGTAATGCGCTGTGTTACAGCAGGCTGCCCTTGACCGACCGGTCCCAAATCCCCGGCGCGTGCACCCCAAAGTCGCGAATTCCGCCAAAGTCCTTGCGCCGCAGCGATACTTGTACACAATTAAAGTAACACCCACCCTCGGAAACCATGAATGAGTCTAAGGCCGTAGGGCAAGCATTACCAACTGGAGGTTTGTTGGAGAAGGCTATTGCAGATTGAGTCGTCCGATGCTAATCATGCCGTGCAGATTCGGCGCCGAATGTTCATGTTGATGACAATGTCGATGTCGCGAACCAGAGGGAGGGGCTTGAGAAGGATCTGGAGCAGGTGAAGATTGAGGATACTAGTAATGGGGATGGGCAAGCGAATACTGAGGGAGAGAATGGTGCGGACGTACGATTACCGCTCACTGATGCTGCGGAGGAAGGAGATGGAGATGTCAAGGTCGAGGTAAACGGACAAGAAGCCATCGCAAAAGTGGAAAAAGACGCATCAAACAACGACTCCGTCAAACTTGAAAGATTATCGGACGCCGGCGACGACTCACCATCCGCAGAAACTAAGGAGGAGACAGCAAGCGATGCGTCGTCACCACAAGAAGACAAGCCACGTAAAGCCAAGCCCGTCACTCGCGAACCTCAGCTCTTCGACCACCTTCCCTCCACAAAAGATGAGGCGGCAAAAACCTTCGAAGAGCTCGCGAAGAGTTATTATCAGAACAAACAGCTTGGGGTGTCTTCGCAGAATGAGATCATGACGTGTGATTGTTGGCAGCAATGGGGTACGTTATTCTGCTTATGATGAAATGTGCTGGTTCTGATGATTTGGTACAGAGGATGGTCAGAATATGGCTTGTGGGCCTGATTCGGATTGTATCAATAGGTTGACATCGATGGAGTGCGTTGACGACAGCGGATGTAATTGTGGCGACGAATGCCAGAACCAACGATTTCAACGACGACAATACGCCGATATCGACGTTATCAAAACTCAGAAGAAGGGATACGGACTCCGCGCCAACTCCGATTTCCCACCTGATCACTTCATCTATGAATACGTGGGCGATGTGATTACCGAACCACAATTTCGAAAGCGAATGGTCGAATATGATAAGAGTGGTGTTAAGCATTTCTACTTCATGATGCTGCAGAAGGGAGAGTTTATCGATGCGACGAAGAGGGGTGGGTTTGCGAGGTTTGCGAATCACTCCTGCAATCCGAATTGTTATGTGGATAAGTGGGTCGTGGGCACGCATCTACGCATGGGTATCTTCTCGAAAAGGCCGATTAAGGCTGGAGAGGAGTTGACGTTTGATTACAATGTAGATCGGTATGGAGCTCAAGCACAACCGTGTTACTGTGGAGAACCGAATTGTATCGGTTTTATCGGAGGAAAGACACAGACTGGCGCAGATAACACCAAGATGACACAAACGGTCCGCGATGCCCTAGGTCTGGAAGACGAGGAAGACTGGGAAACCGCAACAGCCAAGAAGAAGAAAAGAAGAAAGGGCGAAACCGACGAAGAATACGCTGCCAAACTAGCACCAAAGGCAGTGACGGAGAAGGGCGTGACGAAGATTATGAGTACGCTCATGCAATCCAAAGAACAATGGATGGTCAACAAACTTCTCACTCGAATTCGAATTAGCGAGGACCCCGCCGTCCACCGCCGTGTGATGCGTATGCACGGGTACCAAATCCTCGGTACCGTTCTCTCCGACTACAAATCCGACCCAGCGATCTCCACCACCATCCTCGAAGTCTTACTCTCCTGGCCCCGTGTCACTAAGAATAAGATCTCAAGTTCGAGTATTGAGGATACGGTTAAGGAATTGTCTGGTGCGGAAGATGAGGTGGTGAGGGGTTTGGCGGAGAAGTTGTTGGGGGAATGGAGTACGCTCGAGATGGCGTATCGGATTCCGAGGAGGGCGAAGACGGAGGCATCAGTGGATTCGGCGGCGGTGAGTGAGGCTGCGGAGAGTCCGAAGCCGACGCCTATCGAGGCACCGAAGGGGCCGGCGGCGGAGAGGGCGTATCAGGGATCGGGGATCGGTACACCTACGGGTTTCCGGCCACCGTTTCCGAGGCTATTCCCGCCGAGACCTCGACCGATGTCACGCGGTTCGTTTGGACCGGGTGGCCCGCCGATGGGACCACGGGCCCTTAGAGGTCCGGACGTCAATGCGCTGCCGCCTGGCTGGGAAGAGGCTCAGGATGATTCTGGGCGGACGTATTACTACAACAAAGCCGAAGGCAAAAACCAGTGGACGAGACCTATGTTTAGCGATTCGCCAAAGCCGGTTGTCGAGACGAAGCCTGATTTACAGTCCATTATTGAGGCTGCGAAGGCGAGTTTAGCGCAAAAGGAGGAAGCTGAGAAGAAGGCTCAGGAAGTTGAGAAAGATGGTGGTGAAAGGAAGGAGAGGAAGGAAAAGCCTCCCACACAGAAGCTGCTCGAAAAGGTGCTTGCGCCCTTCGTGTCCAACACAGTCAACAAATATTACGGCAAATCCGGAGCACTTGGCAAAGATGATGTCAAGAAGTATGCGAAGGAACTCGCTGCCATTCTCGTGCAAAAAGAGATCAAGGCGGGGAAGACGGAGAAAGACTTCAAGGAGTTGAGTGAGGAGAAGAAGAAGAAGGTGAAGGGGTTTATTGTGAGCTATATGGACAAGCTGATGGCGCATAAGAAGAAGAAGGGGGCTAAGGGTGGGGAGAAGGAGAGCCAGAGCTCGAGTCAGGGAGGGAGTCAGACGCCGATGGAGAGTATGGGTGACGCTTCTCAGAGCGAGGTGCTACCGAAATCAACGGAAGATACCGCGTTGAGTACGATGGGTGCAATGAAGGAAGCGCCTCCTCCACCGCCGCCTGTTGAAGATAATGCCGTTCTGGACGAATTCCAAATCGGCGGCGACGACTTTGGCATGGAAGACGAGATGATGGAGGAGGCCAGCGCCGCGCCGAGTCGCAAGAGAAGCGGATCACCAGAAGCATCGAACAGAGATGAAAAGAGACCGAGGAGCGCGTCCGAGGTGAAGGGTCTGGAGTCAGGTAAAACCTGGCAGGAGTTGGGCATGAATGAGGATAGAGCACGTATGCTGGGATTGTTGTAAGGAGTACGGGCATAACAAAAAATATGGCATTATATTATAGGGAGAAGGAACATTTGACTAGGCGTTTGAATTGGCCGTGGCATATCCAGCAAGGCATATATCAGGAGGGACATCGTTCATACGTTTGACCAATCTTGTAACAAGAAATTTCCCAAGCTCTAACTGCCTGGGTACTCGGCTGCGCTGCCGTTATCAAGCTCGGCGGGGTCCCTGCACGCTGCGTCATGCGGGGTCTGATCAGCTGCTGCAAACGGTATACCCAGGATCAGAACGTCCAGCATTCATTCGACCATGATCATTCGTTCACGAGCATTCATTCGGTCAGCAAGACTTGCTGCATTTTCTTTAAGACGCTATGCCACTTCCTCTGCTCTCAATGGTCTCCTCGCCAAAGAACCACAAGGTCCGAGCGTCCTGACCGAGCTTCCGGGTCCCAAAGCTCGAGCAGCGAAAGAAGAGCTGTTGAAGGTAGCTGACTGGCAATCGTTGAATATGATCCTAGATTACTACAAGAGTTACGGGAACTATGTGTGTAAGATTGAGCGCGTTCTCAACGATTGGCTACCTCATGATTTACACAGGCCATTGATCCAGATGGGAATGCGTTTCTGGATGTATTCGCACAGATTGCCAGGTTTGAAGCATTCCAGTTCTGCAGGTTGAACCTTGCTCACGGATTTCTCAAACAGTATTCCGATCGGGTACAATAACCCTACACTCCTCGCCGCTGCCACGACACGGAAGTTCGCGACCTATTTCATGAACCGACCAGCAATGGGTAGGGTCTCCCATTCACGGAATGTAACATGCCTCTGACGGCTACCCTACAGGCAACTTCCCACCTGCCGAGATGGCGCAAATCCTTCGGGACGGAATCCTGTCAGTAGCACCCAAAGGTTTGAATAAAGTCTCTACTTCGATGTGTGGAAGTTGTGCGAATGAAACTGCATATAAGGTGACAGCGAATACGATACCCCTATGTTGAATAGGCGCTCACGTTTTCATGTCACAGGCTGCGTTTATGTATCATGCACGGCAGAGGCGTGGGATTGATACGGATTTCACGGAGGAGGAGATGATGAGCTGTATGCGCAACCAAGCACCAGGTGAAATACTTCCAACAGCCATAACGCACCGTCAACTGATGTGAAAGGTTTCACAGGCTCTCCCGACGTTGCCATACTCTCCTTCACAGGTGGCTTTCACGGCCGGCTGTTTGGGTCGTTGTCGACCACACGCTCAAAGCCGATCCATAAACTGGACAGTACGTCTAGAATGTAATCATCGTGATTTGTCATGTACTGATCATTCGGGACATACAGTTCCAGCCTTTAATTGGCCTCAAGCGCCGTTCCCGATGTTGAAGTATCCGCTCGAGGAGCATGTTGAGGAGAACAAGGCCGAAGAAGCACGATGTCTAGAGGAGTTGGAGCGGATCATTAAAGAACGGTGAACAATGACTTCCCGTAAGGAAACCTCCTGCTAAACTCGTTGCTTACAGCAAAACCCCGATCGCTGCTGTAGTGGTTGAGCCTATCCAAAGCGAGGTACATGGAAAACATTGTATGTCAACCAAGACAACCACTGATTTCACTACGTACAGGGCGGCGATAACCACGCCTCTCCTCAGTTCTTCCAGTCCCTCCGCACCCTAACCCTCGACCACTCCATCCTCTTCATCGTCGACGAAGTTCAAACCGGAATCGGCGCAACCGGACAATTCTGGGCACATGAAGCGTGGGGGTTGGAGGCGCCGCCGGATATCGTTACGTTTTCGAAGAAGTTTCAGGCTGCTGGGTGGTATTATGGGAGGGAGGAGTTACAGCCTGATCGGGGGTATAGGCAGTTTAATACGTGGATGGGGGATCCGGTTAGAGCGTTGCAGGCGAAGGTTATTATTGAGGAGATTTGGCGACTTGATTTGCTTGCTAACGTGAACGAGACGGGAAGTTGGTTGTACGAACAGTTGGAAGATCGGTTCCGGAGGAAGGGACTGGTCAAGAACCTGAGAGGGAAAGGCCGTGGGACGTATATAGCGTGGGATATGGATGATGGACCGGCACGAGATAGGTTCGTGATTGGGATGAAGAAAAGGGGAGTTAATATTGGGGGATGTGGAGAGCGTGCAGGTAAGTCTCATCCTTCTCGTCTTGTTTCGCTCATTATCGCCAAGAACCGAGCTGACTAAGGATTGGACAGTGAGGTTGAGGCCGATGTTGGTGTTCACGAGGAGGCATGCAGAGGTTTTGGTTGGGGTTATGGAGGGTGTGTTGAATGATGCATGAGAAATGGGACCCGATCATGATAAGTTTTTCGGGTATAGCGGAAGGTTTTACTGTCAGGTTCTACTCCATTGATGACGCATACTGACTGTGCAAACAAATGTCATCGCTAAAATACCACGCCTAAGACAAAGCTGTCTAGCTGTATCGAACGCCCATAACTAGATCACTGCGTCCCATCTATCTCCTCTTCCCTCCCCTCCCACCCCTTCCACCCCTCCCGCCACGCTTCGCCCCATCCCCATTAATCCTCTCAATGTCCCTCTTTGACACAACCAACGAACCATTCTTGAATCTCCCCACTCCAATCTCTTTCAACCGCCCATGCGCATTCCTATTCCTCACATCCTCCTTCCACCCCTTCCTCGCCTTATTCGTCAACTCCTCCTGCTCGGCCGTGGGCTTTGCGATGATAATATTCGCTTCGCGCGCACGAGATTGGTGTGCGAGGATTGACTTGCGGGCTTTGTTTTTGATACCGTGGAGGATTTGGGTTGACATGCGTTCCTTTTTAGGGCCTGCGCCGCCGAGTTCGGTGATGCGGCTTTGTAGGGCTTTTAGGCGTGCCTTCCCGCTGAGCTCCAATGAGTCTCCACCCGCCTCCTTCAGCAAGTTCGATTCCCGCAATAGTTTTTGTAGAGCTGCATCATTCTTCAGATCATCCTCCTCGTCATTCTCGTCCCCGTCACCTTCCAAAAGGTCTTGGAGGTTCTTGGCGGAGGTGGTGTTGGAAGCGTCGAGTTTGGGTGCTTTGGAGGACATGAAAGCTTTCTTTTGGGATTTGTCGATTGTGACGCCGCGTCCTTCACGATCGGCCGAGGCATCGACGACGACCACTTTGGAGGGACGAGCGACTTCTTCCTCATCTTCCTCCTCATCTTCATCAGACACTCCCTCGTGGACGATGTCCAACCCATCCTCGTCTTCCGAGCCGGAGGCTGACGGTGACGGGGAAGGAGAAGCCCCCTCGTGCCTCCTCCTCTTCCGCGCAGTCTTGCCCGCTGAATCGAGTAACGCCGTACTCTCACCCCCAAACTGCTCCGTAAATCGTCTCCTCATCATCTCCTCGTATGACTCCTCCAGCTCCTCTTTCTCCTCGTCGTCTTCGTCAGCTGAGGAAGCTGCTGGTGGAGGGGAAGGGGCTTTGACGGGTTTTGGGCGGGAGATCGTGGGTCGGGAGGGTTTTTGCTGGGTCCTCTTGAAGGACGCGTTGAGTTTCTTTGCGGTTGCTGCGAGCATACTTGATCTCGTATCGTTCAGCTGCTGATAAAATACGAATCAAAGGCGTAGAGGGGGATGTCAATGGAGGTGTACTTTCGGAATAAGGTTTACCGGGGCAACATTTCGATCGTGGCGCACCAGGGTTTGGTGTGGCGCAGTGTTTCACATGCCGAGGACAGCTGCCGTATCGTCGTTACATCGCTTCCTCGAACCTTAAGCTTCATAAAATGGCCGAACAGAAACAGCGTACACGGTACTTTGATCTGCTCCAAATATCAAAGGAAAACGACTGACTGACAGATCAACAGCTTCCGCCCATGCATCGACATCCACTCTGGCGTCGTCAAACAAATCGTTGGCGGATCCCTCTCTACAACCACCCCCTCAATCCTGCAAACAAACTATGTCTCCCCAAATCCAGCATCATACTACGCGTCCCTCTACCGCGAGAAGGACTTAACTGGCGCACATGTCATCATGCTCGGACCCAACTGTGAAGAAGCCGCGATGGATGCGCTCAAGGCGTGGCCGGGAGGGTTACAAGTTGGAGGCGGTATCAAGGGAGGAGATGATGGGAATTGTGAGGAATGGATTGAAAGAGGTGCAGGGAAGGTTATCGTTACGAGTTGGTTGTTCCCCGGTGGAGAGTTCTCCATGGAGAGACTCCTCGACGTCGAACGCCGCGTCGGTAAAGATCGCCTCGTTGTCGACGTATCTTGCCGGAGAGATCCTACATCGAGTGCTGAGGAACCAAGATGGATCGTCGCAATGAACAAATGGCAGACCCTAACCTCTATGTATGTTACCTGCGAAACCCTCTCCCTCCTCGCCGGCCACTGTTCCGAATTCCTCATCCACGCCGCCGATGTCGAAGGTCTCTGTCGCGGGATCGACGAGGACTTGGTGCGTGCGCTCGGGGAATGGGTCACCATCCCGACGACTTACGCAGGCGGCGCGTACAAGATTGAGGATTTGGAGAGAGTGGATGAGTTGTCAGGTGGAAAGGTGGATTTAACCTACGGGAGTGCGTTGGATTTGTTTGGAGGGGATAAGGTCAAGTTTGAGAATTGCGTCGCTTGGAATAACCGCGCATAGTCCCTCTACCTCGCACGAGAGATGTAGGATATGGGCAACAAGGGATAGATGGTAGAGGGGTATATCATGCATCGTACATCACTTGATCTCGCCGTGCAAAGTCTATCGATTCCCACAAAATATGCGACTCACGCCCACGCCGTCCTCCCCTTCGTCTGCGGCCCCATAAACGACTCCTTCAACCCCGCAAACCATGTTCGAGCCCATGCGCCCCAGTCATGCCCATTCGTCCTAACATGCGCGAAATAAATCCTCAAACCGACTGTAGCCAACGTCAACCCAAAGCCCTAGCGTCCCACATTAGCCCTGCATTCTCAGTCTCGATGCTGAGGGGAGAGGAGGATACGTACCTGTGCTAATGGCATGATAATATGGTCTTTGATCGTAATCAGCGCGACCTGCCAGGGTGACTGCGCGCGCGATATCGAGTTCATGTATGACTGCTCAAACCTCAAATTCGGAATCGCGGGCATCATCGGGACTCTTGCCCTTCCCACTCCTCTACCACCCCTGTACTCTCCCTCTTCCCCATCTTCCTCTTCGTCTGAGGTGCTATCGAGCGCCGAGTCGTATTCGAGGTCGAGATCGGAAGCGGTGGATTGCCGTGATGAGGATGAATCAGGACGCTCGGAGCGCAGAGGCTCGCCGGGGGTGGAGTTGATGGAGGTGATGTGTGCGGAGGCGGAGGTTGGGGGACTTATGTCCTCAGATGAGGGGTTGTGAACGATGTTGGAGTGGAGGATTGTTTCTGCTAGAGCGTCCATTGTTGCGTATTCTTGTCCGATTTGGTTGGTTGGTTGGTCGGCTCGGGGTCAAGTGCTAAGGTTAATGATGGGTGTTGGAGAGGAGGATGGTGGTGGTGAGTTTGTGGGGTTGCACGTGACTGCCGCTGGATGACGTCTGCAGCTGGGTCGCACGCTCACAGCGTCGATTTATCAGACCACTGAGATTGTTGCTGAACTTGTGATTCTGGATGTTTTCATCTTCATTCTCCGTTTCATGTTCTTCAGCTGCTGCAGATTGCGTTTACGAGACGGACGACAACCTATGACTCCAACCTTAGAAAGCACCACGTCAATTACTGTCACTTCAACATGTCATTCTCCGACGTCCCTGATGAAATCATCACCTCCGTTCTAGCCTACCTCTCCGGCCCAGATCTCCGCCAGATCAGCCTCATCAATCGCCGTCTCCACCGTCTAACCCAGGATCAAAGACTCTGGTACACTATCTGTCGCGAAGATCACCGGAACAACGAGACAAAAGGCGCTATACACAATCAACCCACCCCGCAGCAAATGGCGTTTTGTCGGGATGCGATTGATTTCCCATATAGCCCCGGATACGATTACTTCCAGGAATACAAGTGGAGGCATGCGCCGCAGCATCGTGAGTGCATCAAGCTTAATGGAAACAATTGGGGTGAGGATATAACAGCGTACACTATCAGCAGCACGGGCGATTCTGTGTTTGTGTTATCGGATGTTGGGGTGGTTTATCATTACGTACGTTCTTCCTCGGAGGGAGAGTACGCCTTGGTCTACGAAACCGCGCTTGAACGGCCGGAAGCGAACGGGGCTTTCAAGCCCGTCGTTGTATCGAACAGTACCATCCTACTTGATGAGGAGGGGGCATGCCTGTATGTCGCCTATCAATCATACTATTACGAATTGGACACCATGTTCGGAGAAATATTGTATCATGACAAGCTGCAGTTAACGAGCTCCACGGAAAACGAAGCTTTCATTTCTTTGGCTCGGCTATCACCTGGTGTCATGGTCCTAGGAACCACCCAAAGGAAGATCCACCTCCTCCACCGCGAAGGCCAGCGCGGCCAGATCCGCAATACCATCCACCTCGAATTCCCCGCCTCAGCAATGATGGTCCTAGACACACACCTCCTCGTCACCGGCCGCGGTGCCGGCGCAGCACTCTTCCGCATCATCGTCGACGGCACCCTCATCCTCGACAAAATGGTGCACCTGGGACAAATGACACACGCAATAACACAACTAACACACAGCCAGAACGTCAACGACGGCAGTCCTCGCATCATCGCCTCCATCCACAAAACTTCCTCGTTCCACCTGAGCGAATACGCACTCTGCCTTCCCTCAACCCCCTCCCATCCCGCGGGCGCAGATCTGAAATTGGTCCGCCACCTCCCCTCCTGGCTCCAAGTCGGCCCCCTCCAATCCATAGCATCCCCCGGGCCCCCCTCCCACGGTCCCAACTTCGCCCTCATGCAGCACGACGGCCATGTCGCGATCATGGACGAAACCCTAACCCGAAAAATATCATACATACCCATCGGGAGAAACGAAGTCGCGTCTTCGCTGAGGTGTACGCATAAGGGAGTCTGGGTGAGGGTTGAGGAGGAGGGTGGGGTTAGGTTGGAGTATGTTACTGTTGGGAGTCGACCTACGCGTGTGGGTGGGACTGATGGGGAATTGGGTGGAGGGCGTGGAGAGGGGGAGGAGAGGGAGAAGGTGTTTAGGAGGGTGTTTGAGACGAGTGCGAGGGATCGGATGCGGTTTATGCGGTGATGGGTACTGGACTTTGCATGTTCTGAATAGAATACTGTTGAGCTAGGGCAGACATAAGTCAAGTGATCGTGGGAAGTCTCCTATTAGATCAGGGCTCGATACACCCCCAAAAGGCGTTGAAGAAGAGAGAAGAAATCATATCAAGAACCGTATGTACAACAAAAAGCAATAACTCCAGCAAACCCGAAGTTTTGTAAACATTACGAAGCGCATAACCCCAACAATTTCCACCCCTCCCATGGTCATATCCATCCTGTATCGATACCAGTCATTTCCTCGAGTTCATCAAGCAGCCTCCCCCTTCTCCTCCTTCAACCTCCTCACCTCCTCCCTCAACCGGCTCATCTCCTCCTCAAGCCCCCTCTTCTCCCCCTCCAAAACCCCAATCCTCTCCCTCCACCCTCTAACTTCCTCCCTCAACCTCCCCACCTCCTCACTAAACCCCCCCTGTACCCCCAACGCATGCTGCAACTCCTTAATATGCTCAACCGCCCTCTGCAAAATCGATCCCTTGTTTTTTTCGCACCGCGGGACGAGGGAGGCGAGTGCGTTGATTCCGTCGTTGATCATTTCTCGACGACGGCGTTCGACTTCTTTGTGGTTGTCGCGACGCTGTTTATGCCATTCGTCGCTTCCCACCGAGGGTTTGGGTGTTCCGGGTCCACCACCACCACCACCACCACCACCACCGCCGCTGCCTCCATTCAAGGGCGCACTCGACAATAACCCCGGACCAGGCGTCCCGACACCAGAAGGTGGGGATACACCCCGAACAACAGGCGCTCCATGCGCCGCAGCCCCAGCAAGTTCAGCAGCTGTGAGAGGCGAGATAGAGGCAGCGGCAGCAGCGGCGGCTTGAGCGTATAATGCGGCCGAATCACGGTGTGCGGCGCCTTGTGCGTGGGCGGCTGCGTGTGCTGCGACGTGTGCGGCGGCACTAAACGCGTTTTGTGGTGCGTAGGGTTTTTGGTAGGCGCGGTCGCTGAGCGTGGTAGCCGTTACGCTGGAGGAGGGGTTGAGGAGGGTTGGGGGGGGAGGTGGGGTGTATGGGATTGGTTGTGCGCCGGAGGTTGGGAGGCGGGCGTGTGCGGGTTGGTCGTCGTTGGGGAGAGAAGAGGAGGAGGAGGAGACGGCGGCTGCGGCGATGTCTTCGAGGGTTGAGGGGTTCGTGTTTGCGCGTTGGCGTTTTCGGGAGGGGGAGCCGGGCGCACCACCGCTCGACAGCTCATCTCGTTTGTTGTTGTTGGACATCTACACAATGATATCAGCACGGGGATCCAACACAAACCGGGGAATCAACGCGTCGAAGCGTACCGAGGAGAGGAGATTCAGGATCTCCGCGTCATGACTCGACCGGGCGGCGGCATCGGCCTCAGCAGCGACGTCGTGGTTCATCAGTGTCGGGCCGTCCAGCGAGTGATCGTCCATGAGCTTTGGAGGAGAGATGGAGGAGGGAGGAGTTGCTGTTGCTCCAGGCGGGGTTTCTCACACGGTCACGCGAAGGGGAGTCACCTGACAGAATTTCGTGGCATGCAGGGGCAACACCCACTGTGAAGCAGATATTATATAATGAATTAAGTCAATGAATTAGATTATCAGCACACTTCGGCTACAAAAACCTCCTCGGTCCCGCACCCACACCACCCCACCACCCTCGGCCGCTCACCCCTCCTCAACTCCACCACAGCCGACGTCCCCGCAAATGTTGATTCGCCTTCTGTGCCCGTTCGGTTACATGCGACAAAGACCATCGTTTTGTTGCCGCCTGTGGGACCCCGGTCCTCGCCTTCCTCGCCCGAACGACAATCGTTCGGGACCTGCCAAAGAGGAGCGAGTCGCTGTATCCAATACCCAACCGTCAACTGATCCGGGTCCGCGGGGTGTGCGTCAGCCGGGTGTCGCGGGTGTCGTAGCCATGCCATTGGTACTAATACCAAATCCGCACCCTCCCCCTCCCCTCCTTGTTCGTCTCCGTCGTCAGCTCCGAGGATGTGATGCGCAAACTCATATGCTCCAAAATCTGCTTCGAACTTGTATGGGTTGAGATCCATACAAATTCCCAATGTGACTCTCTTTCCCAAAGTCCCTACCCACCCCTTCCAGAATCCCGGGCCTTCGGAGGCTCCCCATCGTTCATCCGTGCTATATAGAAAATGTTTCCGGTAATTCGCTATCACATCCCCCGTTGGGGATACGAAGACTGCGGAATTGTATACCGTACCCTTGAGGGAGCAAAGCTCAGGGTACCCAACGAGTACGTGCATCCCCCACTTTCTTGCAACACCCTTTGCCCAAGCCGTCGTCGCCCCCGCTGCCGTTGGCTCCAAGAATGGTCTGATATCCTCTGGGGTCGGGAAGTTGTACCCGGTAAATGCGAGTTCGGGTAATATCAGTATGTCGGGGTTTCGCCGTGTGCTGGTGGAGGCAGACGGGACAGGGAAATGGGATTCGAGGAGGCGCGTTGCGTGGGTGATGTTGCGTTGGAGTTGGCCGAGGATTGGGGCGAATTGGAGGATTGCTATTCGTACTGGCATTGTTGGAGGGGTGTTTTGCGGTTTTTTGGTCGGTGCCAGTACGGGTTCGGTTCTGGAGTCTGGGGTGCATCGGGGAATGCTCGATGCGTGGGAACTTTTGGCTGGCTGCTAGGATGTAAAGGTGTCGCGGTAGCCATGACCATGGGAAACTATATTTTCGGACGAGTAGCTCGACGCTACTCAAGTGATTCGAGATATTCAAAATATGATCAGTATTATAAACCTATGCAATTTGTCCTGCTTGTTCAAATTCGACGCCAAAATTCCATGCCAAATATCAAACTCAGATCCTCAACACCTTCGGCTTGTTCTTCGGAGCCGCAGACACGCGACCCATAACTTCCGGAACCTTGGCCTCGGTTTCCTCAGCGGTCGCAGCAGTCTTCGCAGCCTTCTTCTTCGTACTCTTCTCCTTCGGCTCGTAGATTCGTGCTCCGCCAAGATCTCTTCTGACCTCATCCAGCTGGTACAACCCGTTCTCATGCTTCGACATCGGCACCAACTTCTTTCCCTTCACCGCATAATTATCCAAGAAATCATCGAAAATAGCCTCCAAATCTGGTCGCTGTTCAGCATCGGCGAGTTCGTCTTCCTCTTCCTCATCCATGTCGTCCATATACTCTTGCTCAATCTTGTCGAAACGATCATCAAGAAGCGTGAGACCCTCGTTACGGAACATAGCGGAGGAGGACATGGAGTAGTTTGATGACACTACTGATCCTGGTCCACGTCTGTTCTTGTTCAACTTCAGCTTGTTGAGGCCTGCCATGACGCTTCCGTAGTCTGAATCCATGTCGTCGTCGGAGCCTGGTGCGGCTCTTCGTGCTTGCTTGAATTTCGAGAACTCGTTTTCCCAATCTGATCGTGCTGGCTGTGCCGAGGCTTTCGTAGTGTCGTCCGTCGCATAACCATCCTCCCCCTCCTCCTCCTCATCATCCCAGAAATCGTCGTCATCATCGAATGCATCAGCCTGGCGTTCACCACTTGCCGCCAACTCCGCGAACACATGCTCGTCTTCCTCGACATATGCCTCGTCCTCCAAAGCCTCCAAAACCTCACGTAATCTGGGATCCATATCAGGCTGGAAACCAGCAATCTCATCCTGCACAGCCTGGAAGTTCTGGTAATTCCGTGGGATTTCTTCGTTTGATGGCAAAACCTCTGCCGGCAGAATGTCCTCCTTCAACGCCATACCCATCCCAGTTACCTTCGCCTTCTTCTTCTTCTGCTGTGCGCCCGGTGCCTCGACCCAAATCGCATCAACGCTGTTTCCGACCTCGCGAATGTGCTGCATGTAGTCGTACTGCGTATCGTCGTACAAGATACCATAATTCGCAGCCTCACCCTCATTACCGCGAACATGAGAAGCCTCCTCTCCCAGCTCGGCCTCCAAATCATCCTTCGTCTTCACCGCCGCAGCGCCCTTCTTCACATTTGGCGCATCCAGGGGCTTGAAGACCATCGCCGAAGCATCCTCATCGTGAATGAGCGGATCACGCTGCGAACGATGCACGAGCTGGAAGGTCTGCGCAGTCTTCTTATTGATAAACCCCTTCTTGCCCATGTTGAATGCGAATAAATGCTGTTTGACGATAAGGAAGCGAGTATCCCCAAGGTACTCTGTCAAATTCTGGTGTGGCGAGGGGATCCCAGCTGATTGAGGCGCGCGGGGTCCCTGCCGAAATTTCAAAGTTAGGATTACGAGAGCGATAGAGACGAACTTTTTTGATCCCCAGAAAAACGTCGTTGATCCGTGATTCTTCAGCAGTATGGGTAAACGTCCGCACTCAAAGAACCAGGTCGGCCTTGGTAAGGCTATTATGAACAGCCGTTTCAAGAACAAGGGTCCGCCGAAGGAGTTCGATACTCAGCGTCACACAACCCTTCACGACGTCAAGGAGGAGGCGAGCTGGGTCAAGTTGAGATCAATCACTCAGGAGAAGGCTTTGGATGAGTTCTTGTCTACTGCGGAGCTTGCTGGTACCGAGTTCACCGCCGAACGTCAGAATATCAAGATTATTACCAACGAATCCGTCAACCCATACCTCCTCACCCGTGAGCAGGCAGACGAGGTCGCGGCGAAGGAGCAGGCACAGAAGGACAAGCTTACCGTCCCAAGAAGACCAAAGTGGGATGCTACTACGACCCCGGCAGAGTTGGAGAGAAACGAGAGGGACTCATTCTTGGAGTGGCGAAGGCAGTTGGCGGAGTTGTCGGAGAACCACGATCTTATGTTGACGCCTTTCGAGCGTAACTTGGAGGTCTGGAGACAACTGTGGCGTGTCATTGAGCGTTCAGAGTTGGTTGTTCAGATTATCGACGCGAGAAATCCCTTGCTGTACCGTTCGATTGATTTGGAGAAGTATGTCAAGGAGATCGACCCGTCTAAGCGCAACTTGTTGTTGATTAACAAGTCCGATTTGTTGACTTTGAAGCAGAGGAAGCTGTGGGCGGATTTCTTCGATAACGAGGGTATTTCGTACAGGTTCTTCTCGGCGGCATTGGCGAAACAGACTTTGGAGGAGGGTATCGAAGAGGAGAGTGATGAGGACTTCTATTCCGAGGATGAGGATATGGATGATGAGCTTAAGGGTGCACGGTTCGAGTTCGAAAACGAGGACGAGGACGAGGACGAGGATGAGGATGAGGAGGAAGACGAGGAGGACGAGGAGGAGGAGGATGAGGAGGAGGATGAGGAGGATGAGGAGGACGACGAAGAGGATCTTGCGGAGGCAGCGGCGAACGTCAAGCTTGACGAGCACGCCGCTGACGCGGCTGATTCAACACTACCAGAGGAGAACGAGACCTCAAGACAACAGGAATACGAAGACGAGGATCCCAGAACACATATCTTGACCGTCGAGGAGCTGGAAGAAGTCTTCCTTCGCGAAGCACCAAAGGTCTCCGGACCCGACCCCGGAAACCCCATGCTCCCCCGCCGAACAAACATCGGTTTGGTCGGTTACCCCAACGTCGGAAAGTCCTCCACCATCAACGCACTTCTTGGAGCGAAGAAGGTGTCTGTCTCTGCTACACCCGGTAAGACGAAGCATTTCCAGACTTTGCTCTTGTCCCCTGAGATTGTGTTGTGTGATTGTCCTGGTCTTGTTTTCCCTAACTTTGCGCAGACGAAGGCTGAGTTGGTGTGTAACGGTGTCATGCCTATCGACCAGTTGAGGGAGCACACCGGTCCTGCCGCCTTGGTCGCCCAGCGTGTGCCTAAGGAGGTTATCGAGGGTACCTACGGTATCACCATTCACACCAAGCCTATCGAGGAGGGCGGTGACGGTATTCCCACGGCGGAAGAGTTGTTGGTTTCCTACGCTGTCGCCCGTGGCTTCACCAAGTCTGGACAGGGTAACCCCGATGAAGCCCGTGCCGCTCGTGTCATCTTGAAGGACTACGTTAAGGGTAAGGTTCTCTTCTGTCACCCACCTCCGATCGAGGGTGTGACCGAGAGGAACTTCAACGAGGAGAACCACGACGTTAATAGCCTTCCCACCAAGAAACGTGCCCCTGTCACCCACGTTTCCCAGAAGGCTTCTACTTTCATTCCCTCTATGGCTGCTTCCAGTGGTGAGGCTGGCCCGTCGTTGCACACTAAGAAAGGAGCCATTGACCGCGACTTCTTCCATTCGCAAATGCACTCACGTCCCATCTTCAAGGGTGTCGCAGGTGCCGCAGGTGCCGGTAACGGTCTTGGTCGTGTCACCATGTACGGCTTCCAGAAAAGTGTGAACGCCGATGGTACGGGAAAGCAGCTTACTGGAAGAAAGGCTCGTGCGGCCATGGCCACTGAGATGGGTGTTGACCCTGCTCAGTTGAACTCCAAGAAGCACAGCAAGATGAACAAGAGAGAGAAGAAGCGCAGTGGAGCTGGATATGACTAAGGAAGGGGTTTCGGGGGTTCTTTATCTTTAGACATATTCTTTTCGGGGGTTGTGGTTTTACTTCGTTTTCGGTTCGCATTTGCATAGTTTTGGGATTGAGTCAGGTCTTGATGATCTGAATTGAATTATAATCAAAGAGTATCCTACCAGAGGTGTATGTGCCTAACCTAAATCCATGCCATGCTTGTCAAGACGCCTCCTGTAAAATGCAAAACTGAAGTTATCATGCTCATGCTACCCTAGATGTCGGTCATCTCCACGTCAATATCGCCATTGCCAGCTAGCTCAGCAGCGGTCTTCTTCTTCTTCGCCGGCTTTGCAGAACTTTTCGGAGCTGCTCTCTTTTTCGTAGGAACTGGAGTCCCAGCGCCCGTAGCGGTACCAGACCGGTCTTCAAAGTTCCCTTCTCCTTCGTGGTAGAAGTCCTCCAGGGACCTCGTAGCATCCTCCCCGGCTCCCAATACGTCCGCACCCAACTTTTTCTTTCCTTTGCCCTTCGGTTTCTTGCCGCTCTTTGCGGCTTCCTCGTTAGCCCTGTTTTCGGCCTCTTGTTGCTCCATGAGCTTTTGTTCCAAGGTATCATCATCCAACAACCAAGAAACGACCTCGCGGGTCTTTCCGAAATCGACTCCCTTGGGCTGAGCTTGGAAGTCACCACCAGAGATGACAACCTTCTGCACCTCCTCCTTCTGCTTAGCACGCTTGAGAATACGCTCCTCAATCGTGCCTCGGGTGATGAGACGATACACAGTAACCTGCTTCGTTTGGCCGAGACGATGACATCTGTCCATGGCCTGACTGTCCATAGTCGGGTTCCAGTCGGAGTCGTAGAAGATGACAGTATCGGCCGCAGTGAGGTTGATACCCAAACCACCAGCACGAGTGGAAAGCAAGAAAACAAACAACTCGGGCTTCGTCTGCCAGTCAATGACCATGTCGCGACGGTCTTCAACCTTAGTAGAACCATCCAAACGAAGGTACTTCCAGTTGCGGTAAGCAAGGTACTCCTCAACGAGGTCGATCATCCTGGTCATCTGGAAGAAGACAAGGACACGGTGACCCTCAGAGTGAAGTTTCCTCAACAACTGATCCATCTTGGCGAGCTTGCCAGAGTCTGCGATGAAGCGGTCCAGCGAAGGAACGCGGATGTTGTTGAATCCAGCCTTCTCCAATGAAGGTCGAGGCATGAGACCGCCGACAACATCGGTGACAGGATCAAGCTTGCGGCTTTCTTGCACAGCCTTAAGCTCAATGGCAGGTGAGATACCAAAGAGCGACTTGCGCGAAAGAGCGTCGTAAAGAGCGTTCTCCTGCTCGATCACAGCGGACCTGTCAGGGCAATGCAGCTCGATTGGAGGAGCACTGGCCTTGGAGACGAAGACGGGATCCATCCTGCGCATGTTTTCTTCTTGGACGTAGGTCGTTGAAACAGAAAGCAAGGATGCCATAACGCCCTCATTTGTCTGCCCCGCCAAACAATCGCGCTTTGCGGCATCGTTGCAGAACAAGAGTTGCGAGGCCGGAACCTCCTTTTCGTCCTCGTAAACAGCGGAAATCCTGGCATAATCACGATTTTGTCGACGAAGCTCCAACGCTCTCTTCAACAGGGGCTCATGGAAAGCCTTCGAGACGTCCGCAGGAGACGCATCAATGAATCGAAGCCAGGAGAAAGCGCCCTCCTTTTCAGCCTCCTCGTTCAGGTGTTGAGCAGACCATACATCAAACATGCTGAGAACCTTCTTCCTCATGCCGGCATTGGTGTACGCAGAAGGAACATGCAGCATACCGCCCTCCCTGTAAAGGAACTTGGGAACCTCGTACTGGATGATGTTACGCGTAGAGTATGCCATCTCGAGCTGCTTCCCTTCGCGGTTCATCGCACGCGACTCACCGAATGTAGCCAAACTAAACGGCGACGTGACGTCCGACCGCTCAAACAGGTCAGGGTGATTACACACCTTACGGAACTGCATGACGATGTTCATCAAACTGTCGACAGAGTCGTCACCACCATGGGCAGCCCTCTCAATGATTTCAGCAATGGAAATCTTGTCACGCAGAGCCTTGTACAGCATCCGCTGACGGTGCGTCATATCACAGTAAACATCGAGCTCGATCTTGTCGCCCAACTCAGACTGCACGTTCTTCTTGACACGACGCAACATGAAAGGCTTCAAGATCATATGCAACCTCTTCAACTGCGCCTGGTTCAACTGCGTATTACTCTGCGCATGACTCTCAATATCCTTGGAGAACCACTCACTGAACTCATCGTGAGAATCGAAAAGCGTCGGCATGATGAAATGCAACAACGCCCACAATTCCTGCATGGTGTTCTGGATAGGCGTACCAGTAAGCAACAACCTATTACGGCAGTTGAACGCCAACAACGCCTTCCATCGGGACGACTGCGAGGATTTGATAGCTTGAGCTTCGTCGAGAATCATGTACTGCCACTTGACCCTCTGCAGATACTGCGCATCCTGCACAACGAGCTGATACGAAGTAATCAACACATGAAATGGCGCATCCTCGGTATACGTCGTCTGCGACTTCGTCGACCAGAACTTACGCAAAACCTTTCGGTCCTTCGCACTTCCCCAATACGGCAACGCCTTCATCTTTGGCACGAACCTGCTGATTTCCTGCTGCCAGTTATGCAACGTGGAAGCGGGCGCAATAACCAAGAAGGGTCCCCAGACGTTGTGAACTTCAGCAAGATATGCCATAACCGAGATGGACTGTACCGTCTTTCCAAGGCCCATTTCGTCGGCAAGAATGCCGTTGATACCCTGTTCGTACAAGTTGACGAGCCAGTTGAGACCCTTGAGCTGGTACTCCTTGAGCTGACAGGCCAGCATCTTGGGTTGCTTGATCTCGATATCACCCATCCCAGTCGGATCCTGGAAGTTCAGCTCTCCACTCTCCTCATTCATGTCAGCCGCAGCCTCGGTATTTTTTACACTTTCGTCGAAGGCCTTGGCGCGATTCTGTGCGTCCCGGACAGCTTTCTGCGCGTTTCTCTTCGCAGCAGCTTCGAGTGCAGCTTCATCATCCGACCCGAAATCCATATCGTCGAACTTGCCCCCGTTCTCCAGGTCCTCACCCGCATCACCCATCTCGACATCCCCATCCTCAGCACCTGGCGCATCAGCCTTCGCCCGCACAGGCGCATCCCCATCCATCTGTTCCGCCGCCTCCGTATTGATCTTCTTCCCAACGAAATGAGAATACAACTCCGTCTGCGTAATCAAAAAGTTCAACTTGCGTTGCTGTCTCCTCGCTTCGCGCATTTCTTCCTCTTTCTTAGCTTTGTCCGTGGCTTCCTTTTCGGCCTTCTTTCGGAGGTCACGTTCCTCCTTTTCGTTCTTCTTCCAGAACACGAGCATCTCGCGCATCGTCCTCTTGGCCTTTGCTTGTTGCATCTTGAGCGCCTGCGTCGTCTTTGTCTGCCACCGCCTCGCTTCCTTCGAGGCAGTCTGCGCAGTCTTCCGCATGTTCAGATTCTTATTGGCCAAGTTCTGCTGTTGCAAACGGTAAATCTTCGGAATCTCCTTCTTCGCGATATCCCTCCAAATCTGCGCCTGGATATCCACGATCGCCTGATCCTTCCTCCCCTTAAACTCCACCGCTTGTCTGTCCTTTTCCTCGTCCGTCAACTCAACAGGCTCCTTCGCCTTACTTTTGCCCTTCTTCGTACTCGGCGGAGGCACAACAGGCACTTGTTCAACTACACTCGTGCCCTCTGCAGGAGCACTGCCCATAATCTCATCCTCGAGAGACTTGGCCGCCTTCCGCTCCGCCTGCCTCCTCTTCCTCCTCTCTGCCTTCAACCTCTCAATCTCGACAACCGTCCTCTCCACAACCTCCGTCAAATCCTCCAACTGGGCCTTCTGCTCCGACCTCTTCGCTTTCTCCGCGAACCTGTTCAAAAGAGAAGCATGGATCTCCGTACGCCGTTTCTTTGCGTTTACGAGTTCGTGGTCGGAGAGGGTTGCGGCGCGTTTGGTGAGGCGGGAGGTATAGGCCGCACGGGCTGGGGCGAAGTATTCTTCTTCGGCGGCGGGGTCGTACGAGTCGTAGTCTGGGTCTTCTTCGAGGTCGGGGTGTGTGCTGCCGTTTGCCTGTACGTAAAGTATTAGCTCCCTGTTCTTAGAAGATCAAAATTCCCCGTACCTCATGTCCATCGACCTTCTTCACCTTCCTCGCACTCCGCTTCCCACCGATTGCGTCCTTTGCCTCCCCGGTCGCCGGGGTACTAACCTCCGCTTTCTCCTTCTTTGACGGTTTCATCGTTTTCAAAACTTTCTTCGCAGCAACTGGCTTCGACATATCCGCCGCGCCATCATCCGCCAACAAACTCGCAATGGCCATCGCTCCTCCCCTCGCCTGCGACGGCGAGCTCCGAGGCTCAGCAGCGAGTTGAGTGGATTCTTGCTCGGCGGCGGCAGGGAGTGTCGGGGTCACGGGTGGTTGTTGGGATTGTCGAAAGTCTGGGTGCATGGCGAGATAGGGATCCACGACGGGTTGTTGAGCAGCGACTGGGACTGGGGTCGCTTGTTGGGAGACTGGAGGAGGTGGGTGTGCGTAGTGTGGGTGAGCGTAATATCCAGTCTGTATCCCGTCAATTAGCCTCCATTCCTCTTCCCTTGTCTACTTCTGAACCGAGGAAAACATACCTCGTAGGGGTGATAGCCGTGTCCACCCCATGCCATCTCAGCACCATGGCCCGGAGGGGCAGCGGCAATGTAGGTTTGTCCGGTGTTGGGGTCGACAAAGTGCATGCCGTGTTGGACGGGTTGGGCGACTGGTGGAGTCGGCGGGATGGTTTGCGACGATTGTGCGTCGCGAGCCGGGTCGAACATGTTGTTTGACATGGTTCGAGGAGCAACCTATGATTGTCCAAGAGTGGTGTCGATCGTGGACGTAGGACAGACGACGATGATGTTCGTTGGGTGATGAATGTGTCGAGCTCGCAAGCAACTGGGATGGGATGTTGTGTGACGACGGCGTCTCTCCTCTTGTGTGTGCCTCGTCCGACTAGTCATTTTGCACGCTTGGTTGGGCCCGGGTGCTGCATGGCGTGTCAGACGGGGACCGTCGAATAATCCGGCGGGGCTCGGGAGGGTGGGACGGCCATTCTGGATTACGGATGCAGAAGGAGAGGAGAATGGATTCTCGATTGAGGACGCGAACGGCTGCGAGTAACTCTACTTTCTTTCGTCTACGGAGGAAGGGGCACCGACACAGCTTGGCGGTGAGGTTGACAGCAGGATAGAATTGGAATAAATGCTCCGGACGAAGCAACAGCTACCACAGTTCACCAGGCTTCAGCTCGTTTGAAGGGTCAACGGGAGAACATCAGCATGACGCGGGGCTGCTCCCCAATCAAAAGCTCATCAGCTGCGCAAGCTGGACGGTCGCGCATGCACTCCGATCCGATCCTCCTTTTGAACCAACGAAAAAGACGCGCGCACAAATGCCGTTTGCAAGCACCGAGGAGTCTGTTATCGTCAGCAATCGTCGGTGGGACGTGAGGGCACGGCCGTGAACCCTGCCCTGAACGACCCCCCTCCCAAGCAGCGGCCCAAACACGCGTACCCTCCCGGCAAGGATCCTCTCCTCTCCCTGCTCCTCGAGCTCCCAGCAGCTGTGCCGTGGCTGGTGTGGCACAGGGCGCCGTGCCTGGCCCTGCAACCCAGAAAAAGTTGGGTACCGCGTAAACTCACAAGAATCCTCCACAAATAAAAAATGTCTTCCGACAAGAAGAGAAAGGCTCCATCGTCCACCGAGGCCCCCGCGTCCATCGCCGTCAAAGTCCGGTCGGGAGAGGATGCACGGACGCCCTACATCGCGACCTTCCCCGGCGTAACTGCACCCCAGAACCTCACCTTCGACGCCTACAAACGCAAGAAGCCAAAGAAGTCTTCGGAGGCGAAGGATGTCGTCCTCCACGGCTCCACCGACCGTATCGAATTCGACGCGCAGAATTTCGGACACGGAGAGGAGGGGTTGTGCGATTACTACGTCGGTATCTACGATAAATCCACCAACAAGGTCGAGATCGTCCCAGCTCCCCACGTACACGTCACCCGTACCGTCAAAGCCCTCAAGAACATCTCCAGAGACGACAAAGGCCGTCAACAATACCGCGAAGCGCGTAACGCACTCGGAGAAGCCTTCGGTACCAAGAAGGCGAAACAAGCGATCAAGTCTCAGGACGCGAACAAGGTCGAGGCGAGCACGTTGGATAATGTCGCGGACGCAATCGTTAGCGACGTCAAAGCCGCCACAAAGAACATGCCCACTAAGGAAGACATGAAGCGTGAACAAGAAGAGGACAGACCCATTCCCACCCCCAACGTGGAGTCAGAAACCCCGGCGGGTGTATACCCCCTGGACACCGTCATCTCCCCCGCCGAACTCTCCATCATCAACGTCAAACCCTTCCTCGCACCCGACCTCGCAACCGACAAGAAGAAGCGGGAAGGGTTGTTGCCATACCGACAATCGACTTACGTCACCGACCGCCTCACCAAGATCTTGTCTTCGAATGCGGAGAAGAAGGATACGCATCGTCTCAAGTTGTTGTATTATGCGTCGCTGTTGATGGCATTCTACGTGAACCACCGCGTCGCGGGCAAGAAGGACATCCTCTCCACCAAACTCGGCTCTCCACCCCAAATCCTCGTCGACGGGTTCATCTCCCGCTACACCGAACAACCCGGCGGCGACGCCCGCCCCGTCGTAACCGCAAAACGCCTCGACAAAGTGCTGTGTTACCTCTTTGTCGTATGTCTCCACCTCGACAACTTCTCCGTCGACATGAATATGTTGGCGGCGGATTTATCGCTCAAGGCGGCGAGGACGCAGGAGTTATTTAGGACGTTGGGGTGTAAGGTTATGGGATGTACGGAGACGCAGAGGGTTGCGCTTAACATCTCGAAGGCGGAGGCGAGGAATTACAAGAGGGCTGTTCTGAAATGTCCGCCGGAGTTCCCGGAGGTGAGGAAGCGTATCATGGCGAAGCGATAATCAATCGTGTTCGCCCCTACTTATTCCAAAATATCATATCATATCATATCGTTCCACACGTATCACTTCACTTCTTTTCCTTCTTTTCCAGTTCTTTCAGTGCATTCTTCAACTCCTCCGACTCAGGCTCAAACTGCAACCCAAACGCATACGCCTCCCTAGCCTCCTTCCACCTCCCCATCTCCTCCAACGCCTTCCCCTTCCTAAAATGTCCCTTTGTCCACAGCTTCTTCAACTCAATCACCGCACACGAATCCGCCAATGCCTCCGGCCACCTCTCTGCTCCCAAATTGGCAGCGGCGCGGTTAGCGTACATGATCGCCATCTCTTCTCTCGCGATGTTGTGGTGTTCCCAGGGTGCGCGGTCCAATGCCATCGAGATTGCTATGGTGTAGAATTTGTGGGCGGAGGCGTAGTCGGGTGGGGAAGCTTTGAAGGCGGCGTTGCCGGAGTCTTTGAGGCGTTGGATGTGGGTTGACCGGGCGGGGTGGATTTGGTTTGGTGGGGGTGGGACGGGGATTGTGAGGGCGGACATGTGGCGGTAGAGGGAGTTTAGCTAGGTGACAGGGTTAGATACCATGTATGGAAGAGGGGGGTGGGAAGGGGTGGGACGAACGTTGGTGAGGTCTATCGAGGGGTCGGAGGAGGTGACGAGTTTCTTCTCCTCATTGATCTCCAGGGGAATCTCTGTGGACGAGCGTCGTCAGCATTGAAACCAGCAGTTGTTGATGGACGGACCGTTGAATGTATCTGCCATTGACATCTTGACGGGGTGTATGCTGGGTGTATGGTTCTTGGTGGTTACCCCCCCCGTACCGGTATCGATTCGGCCCCTGCTCCGCCACCCGCGCCCACCAAAAAAGTGGTAACCTTATCCTCGACCAGCTGCATCCTATGAAGGTCAAACAACACTCATGGCCTCAACGCTCGCGTCCCAGCTCGCTGCGATCAGCCAGCAGAGCGTCAACACCCTCGACAGAAAAAAGCATGTCCGGAACATCAAATCACTTCTCTTCGACCAAGCCGAGGCCGCGGATCAGGATTATGAGACGGTATTTGCGATTGCGGTTAATGGATACGTCGAGCTCCGTTCCTTGGATCACCGCTTCGATGTTTTTGAGAAGGGGTTGTTTTCGGAGAGTTCGAAGGGCGTGAATCGTGATAACATGAACGCGAAGGAGAATGAGGATTTGGATGTGGCGATTGTGTCTTTCGTCCAGCTTCTCGCACCACACTTCCTCCTGCGTTCAGCATCAAAAGCATTGGAGTGGCTCATCCGTCGATTCAAGGCCCACGAGAAGAATGCCGCAGCTCTCATCATGGCGTTCCTCCCCTACCACACCCACCCCCTCTTCGCCCGCCTCCTCTCTATCCTCACACTACCAGAAGAGTGGTCCTTCCTCTCCCAATGGCGAAAAGCTCGCCAATCCCCAACCAAAGCCTCAATCGTAAAACAACTCGCACACCCCACCGCGCCCCACTACACCCTGCTCTCCGACTTCCTCATCTCCGCCGTCCAGAAAAAGAGGACATACCACGCCCTTGCGTCCTTCTGGGCCGCGTACGCGGTCGAGGCCATTACGTTCATGAGGACCACGGGTGTCGATGAGGAAAAGATCGTGGAGAGGGTTTTGCCGGGGGTTGCGGATGGGATGAAGTTCAAACATGCACCCGAGTTTCAGATTGCGAATTATATGATTATTACGGCACTTGCGTCGCGTGCGACACTCGACGACGTGGTCATTAAGGCACTCATGGACGCTGTTGCCATCTCTTGGGGATCGCAGGCTTCGGCTCGTCGTTGTGGGTTGATTTGTTTGGCGCAGTTGGCGCAGATGAGGGAGGGGACGCCATCGTTGCCGCGTACCACGCTCAAGGCAATGGAGAACTTGGAGGGAGGAGAGGGCACTTTGCTCGAGATGGGTGATAAGTACCGTGTCGATAAGTTGTGGACTGCGTACTGCTTGGACATCATTGAGAATGTCCACGAGAACCCCGCCGCGTTAGACAAGGTCTTGGCCTTCGTCAAGACTGGGAAGTTGTCCAGTAACCAGGTCGCTACGATTTTGAAGACCGCTGCGCACGCCGCTGGTGGCAAGAAAGTTGATACGGAGGTCGTGCAGAAAGTCAGTGCCGTTCTCGAGGATATCCGCTCCACCACTTCTCTTGCCGAGGCATGGACCGAGTTCACCAACGGCTTGGGCCCGAACAAGGTCAAACAGTTGGAGATGAAGCTCACCATGACCCTCACCGCCGAAGTCGCCAACGACGTCCCCATGATCGAGGCCGCCCCCCCTGTTGAGTCCGCCGAGCCCTCCCTCGAGGATAAGCTCGCGTCCATCAAGCTCGAGGACGAGAAGTCTTTCTTGGCTGCGGAGGAACCCGCGTCTGGTAAGGCATTGTTGCGGCTCTGGGACGATGCACTCGCGAACGAGAAGGACGTTGCCCCGATTCTGGGGTCCTTGAAGGGTGATGTCGCGATTATCACCTTCCTCGTATACGCATGGACTCGCTCCGCTCGTGAGATCTCGCGTGTGGCTGCTATTAACGCACTCGCCTTCACTCAGGAAAAGGTCGACTACCAGCTCCTCGTCCCGCACCTCATCGGTGCTCTCGCTGATATGTCCGCTGCTGTTCGTCAGGCAGCCGCGGACGCATTGAAGGCTCTCCAGAAGGTATACGAGAAGCAAGAGGGAAAGAAGAGTGTGGTGTGGGCTCAGGACGTTATCTACACTTCCCCTCAGGGCGACGCAGAGGTCGAGTTATTAAAGTGGGCCGAAACAACTAAACTCCTTGTCGAGGTCGTGGGCCTGAAGATGGAGGAATGCGTTCAGGATGAGAAGTTTGTTGTCAAGGCCGTTGGAGGTGGGTTGTCTGGTGCTGGAAAGAAGGGTAAGGAGAATACGTGGAAGACTTCGGTTTATGCTGCTTTGGCTTCGCATGTTATCGCTTGCCCGTTGATGGTGACAAAGTTCCGGGTTTTGAGCGTGTTGAACGGTGTCGATGGTGCTGCGAGCTTGAAGGGTAAGAACCTCCTGACTGTTCTCGAGAAGTACGCTACCAAGCACGACGAGTTGAGGTCCGCTTGTAACGCCGCCTCTGTCCCCGTCGTCGAGATGGAGCAGGAGTTGGTCAAGATCGTTGAGGATGGAAAGGAGGCTTCGACATCCGTCCTTCGCGCCGTTATTTCGAAGGCGAAGGGTGGTTTGGCTGTTGTTGCTATTGAGCGCGCCAAGGCGATTTGGGAGACGATCAAGGATGAGAGTAAGCTTGAGTTGGTCAAGACTTTGTTGCAGGTTGCTGCGGATGGGGCGAAGGATGTCGTTGCTACTGCTACTGCCGCTTTGGACGAGGTTTCTATCGATGCCGCCGTTCTGTCGCAGCTCATTGCTGAGGTGCAGTTGAAGGCCCCGGCGCAGGATGCCACTCCCGCGAAGAGACAGAAGGGCGGAAAAGCCGCTGCGGAGGCTACTGCCTCTTCTTTGCAGCACGCCATCCAGCAACTCACCGCTCTCCTTGAACTCGTCGAACGTAAGGGCGCGGAAAAGTACCCCGAGCTCCTTGGCCAGTTCTTCGGTATCTTGGGTGACTTGTTGACTGTCGAGATTGACCTCAAGATGGCCATCTCTTACCCTCAGCAGTTGGTGTTGTCAACCATGACTCCCATGGTCGAGAACTACACTGGTGCGTTGGATGCGAAGGTTGTGCGGATTGACACGCTTGTCAACTGTATCCGCAACTCTGTTAACCCGCAGGTCCATAACCGTGCGCTTTTGCTTGTTTCTGCGTTGAGTGATGTTGCGCCTGAGACTGTGTTGCACAGCGTTATGCCCATCTTCACCTTCATGGGTGCTAACGTTCTTCGTCAGGATGACAGCTACTCTGCTCATGTCATCCAGCAGACGATTGAGCGTGTCGTTCCTCCCTTGGTCAACATGTACCGCAAGAACGGATCCAACGTCGTTGTCGACGCCGCTGGTGTTCTCTCCAGCTTCGTCAACGCGTTTAGCCACATCCCCGTCCACCGCCGCTTGAAGTTGTTCCTCGTTTTGGTCCAGACTCTTGGTGCGGAGGAGTTCTTGCACGGTATCTTGGCTTTGTTGGCGGAGAAGAGGATGGATGTGAAGGGCAAGAACAAGGATTCTGAGCTGGAGTACCTTGATGACTTCTGCTTGTCCCTTGGCCGTTCGTTCGGTGTTGAGACTGAGCTTATTGCTGTTGAGAAGCTTATTGATCTGGCTAGGGATCTTCCTCTGCGTGCGGCGAATGTCGACAAGAAGGGAGAGTACTTGTTTAACTTCACTACCTACACCGATGAGAGGTTTGCTCGTCTCAAGGAGGATGTTTTGAACCTCGCCTCCTTGATCCTTGGATCTAAGCAGTTCAGGGTTGATCTCGCCAGCTACGCCCGTGCCGCCGGTGTCGAGGCTCCCTTCCAAGACCGTCTCGCTTCCGTTGTCGAGAAGTTGCTTGCCATGCTCGGTACTGCCAAGGTTGCCGTCGTCACCGACGCCTTGTACAAAGCTTTGGACAAGACTCTTTTGCTCTTGCCCATGCCCGCTTTCACCGCCACCATGGAGAAACTCGTCGTTCACTCCGATATTTCTCTTCGCCGCAAGTCGATCGCTATTGTTCGTTCCCGCGTCGAGAAGGAGTCCCCTATGGACCCCGAGGCTCAGCAGGCTACTGTTGCGCTTTTGCCGTTGTTGGTGGAGAGCGTTACTCCCCAGAGCGATGGCGAGACTATCCAGATCGTGTTCGACTGTATTGGGTCTATGGCTGGCAAGTACGGTAAGCGTGAGGCTGGTGCTTTCGCGAAGGTTGTCGAGCCTATCATCGGTGACGGTGGTTTGCTGCACGAGAACGTTGATGTCCGCGTGTCTGCTTTGGTCTGTCTTTCGATCATGAGCGCTACCCTCGGTCCTCGCTTGGTGCCTTCTCTGCCCAAGATTGTTCCGCCTGTCTTGAACATGTTGGACGAGGCCGTCAAGGACGAGTCTCTGGACTTGGTCGAGCTCGCTTCTTACTCCTTGCTTGAGGGTCTCGTCAAGGTCATTCCTTCCTTCCTTGGTCCTTACATGAAGAAGACTTTCATTGTCTGCTTCACCTCTGCTGCTCAGACCGACAAGGGTGATGAGATCGTTGAGGTTCGTCGTGCGTTGCTCTTCGCTATCGCTGAGCGCGTTGCTGCCAAGACTGTCCTTGCTGCCCTTTTCGACACCTGGACTACTGTCTTCAAGTTGGGCAAGGTCGCTGTTTTGGACTTGTTCGATGTTCTTGAGGAGGTCATGCGTGTTGCTTCTCGTGCCATCATTGGTACCCAGGCTGCTATTTTGATGAAGTTCTTCCTTTCCGCTTTCGATATGAGGAAGGATGAGCTTTTCCAGGGTAAGGTTCTTCAGGTTTTGGAGAGCCGCGCTATCGATGTTTTCATTCAGATGGTCATGAAGCTGAACGACACTACCTTCAGGCCTTTGTACTTGCGTCTCGTCGACTGGGTCTTTGGTGAGTTGCAGGAGAAGAACGACACTCAGGGTGCCCTTGCTCGTCAGATCTTCTACTACAGGTTCTTGGCTACTTTCATGGACACCTTCAAGTCTGTCGTCAGTGGATACATTGGCCCTGTTGTTGACCACACCGTCGAGTTGCTCGGCCAGTTCACCGAAGGCAAGGCCACTACTCCTGACCTCTGGCACGCTGCTGTCGGTGCTCTTGAGAAGTGCTTCGCTCATGCGGAGGAGGGATACTGGCAGAATGCTGCTTACTTCGATAAGGTCGCCCCTGCGTTGATCGCTCAGGCAACCTTCGCTGATGCTGTCAGCCCCAAGAGCAGGTTGATCCCTGCCATTGTCGAGCTGGCCGCTGCTTCCCCGTCTGACGACCACTTCAAGAGCATCAACACCCAGGTTCTCCAGCACATGCGCTCTGACAACGCCAATGTCCGTCTCACCGCCGTCAAGGCCGAGACCGCGTTGTACGGCCGTGTCGGTGAGGAGTGGTTGACGATGTTGCCCCAGACTGTGCCGTTCATTGCTGAGGCTATGGAGGACGAGGATGAGAATGTGGAGCGTGCTACTCAGGCTTTGATTGTGAAGATTGAGAGCTACCTTGGAGAGAGCTTGCAGAAGTTTTTGACATAGATTATTTAGCATATCATACACTCGTTTATCATAAGATTTTTCGTTTTACCTACTGCTTCTTGACCTCCGCGGCCGTCCTGGACTGGACTGTGAAAACTTGTCCGTCTGAATTAGAGTTTAGTGCGCTGCACGCCAGCTGGCGCCAGTCCCGATACCGTACACCGCAGCTTTACGTCAACCGACAAACACGACAAGTATTCCTCGATGCTGCCCATCGCTGCCCTCTTCGTAGCTACGTTCGATGTTAGGCAAGGTTACTCGATAGTCTGGCAGAAGCATAACTCCGATCTTGATTTGAGTGGGGTTGAGTTCTCTGCCTTGCCAAGCGGTTTGCACGCTGTTGATGATGATCTGATGTAAGTCACCTTGGACATCACGACAACAACCATCGCTGACTTCGAACAGTCACTTCACTCATCAAGACGGTTATGTCGGTATCTCCGCTTTCGCCAGCATTGCGACAGATTCTGCGGAGGAGCGGGGTTCCAGATCCGCATCTGTTGGGTTACTGGTCAGAGAAAGTCAGGAAGCGATTGGGACGCTGCATGAGCATTCGAGAGCTCTGAAGCACTTAGCCAGGTGATGATTTCCGACACTTTCTTCCACAGGATTCACGCTGACGCTTATCACAGAAAGCATCTCTCCGACCCTTCAGCAGCATCGACTGAGCTGGAGACGTACTACACCGAGCACGCGAAACGAAAGGATACCTCAATCTTAGAGCAGGCATCCAGGCCAACACCGGACAATTACCCATCAGAAGCACTGCGTGACCTGCAGTTAACCTTTGGGCCGCTTCTATTCCGTCTCTACCGCGCTGCTCTGACTCAACGACGAATCCTCCTATCCGGCGACCCACCCGTCCGACGCATGTGCGATATGGTCTACAACATCCAGCACCTCGCATCAATACCTCGCAAAGTTGGTTCACAACTCGATATCGCCGTCGACCAATCTAAACTACTCTTCTGCGTCGGCGTGAGCGACATCCCCCGACTCGAGGCGCATCCCTCGCGGCTGGGGAGTGAAGACCGTGAACGGGGTTGGTTGGCGTGTACGACTGACCGGATCATATCATCAAAACCTCAGCTGTACGACATCCACGTAAACGTACCAAAACACGATGCCGAAATCGTGAAAGCACTTGACCTTTCCAACGGGCAAACACTCAAGCCCTCCCTCCGAGACGTGCGCGTATACCAACTCATGCTCCGACACATGCGTTTCGACCCCCTCTTCGACCGTCGAGAAACGTCCATCTTCGCCGCATGGTGGTCTTGGGTCTTAAACTGGTGGCAGGTGATCCTCTATACTACGTCGTCTGGCAAGTGGGGGAAGCTGGAACAACCCGACAGTGCCGGTTCAGGAAAACGATGGGATGCATTCGATGATATGGTACCGCTAACGTCTACCATCTCGCCTTCGCCGAGTTTCTTTTCGGAGACGTCGGGGGATACGACGAGGAGTGTACAACCCGGTACCCAAGGAACCGAAGAACACGGTCTAAAAGGCTACTTCGAGCGGGTAACAAAACGCGTATTCAGCAACCTCGCACTCATTCTAGAAGCAGGGGAAGAGGACATGACGGGCGCAGTCACGATCACATACGACGATATGCGAAATCGATTCGGGCTGGTACCGGGATGTAAAGAGGATCGAGAATTCTTGTCGAGGTTGGCGGAGATATATTTTGGGAAACGGATATCATTTGAGAGAAAATGCTGGGATTTTTTTGTTTGGGTTTAATATGTGTGCGTGTGTGTCGGTGCAGGGAGCTGCTGGGATGGGGAGGCCGGGATTGGGTTCTGCCCCATGAAAAGGTTGGGTGTGAGAACAGTTGTTGCCCGCTCTAAATTCGTACTTTGCTAAGCATAGACCTAGCGGACCACATAGCAATGAAAACCCCGGTCCTCCTTGAACCATGCCCCACGCTTGGTGAAGGCCGAATTCGCACGCTGGCGGCCGGATCCGGATCCCACACAGATCGCTGCAAACCTTGACAGACGCGGCCAGTCTTTGATGTCTGAAGCACAACCATACGAAAATAGTTTCGTGATCCAATGCTTTGATGCTATCTAGATAATTCTACTTCAAATCAGGCTTCAATGTGCTAGGCTAAAACAATCCATAAATCTTTTGTTCAGAGCTCATCATGAGTCTCCAGTGCAGCACTCGTACTCGCTTTCGCCGTATCAGAAGTAGAGCTACTCGACGCCGACGCCGACGCCGACGCCGTCCTCGTCGCGCTGTTCTTCTTCTCATTCCCGTTCTTCTTCGCCTTCGGAGGCTTCCTGTTCAGCATCTTCGTCAACTCATCCTGCAACTGTTTTGCCTTCTCCTCGACCTGGTGCACCAAGAACGCTGGTGTATCCCAGATCTTCAAGGCAGCCTGAGCGGCCTTGTTCTTCGTCAACCACTTCTCGACTTCAGTCACCGTGTTGGAGATCCTCTCCAACTCCTCGGCACTGAACAATGGCGGGACGACCTCAGCAGGAGCCGAGGCGGCAGGGCTTGAAGACCCCTCCTCCTCCAGCAGCTGATCCTCACTCAACCTCGTGATCGATGCACTCGCAGTCGCAGATTGGATCTGCTCCTTCACACCCTCCACAAATCTCTTAAAGTTTTCCACAACCTTCTCCAACGCCGCGACTTTCTCCGGCCTCGACCGATGTTCCTTCACCCTCTCGCTGATCGGTTTAGCAACTTTCTCTAACCTCCTCATTCTCTCCAACAACTCCTCCCTCGTAGCCGTATCCCCATCTTCGTAGAGGGACTCAGTGACCTCATCCAAAACACTCTGGAGCACCTTCTTGTCAGAGTCGCTTGACGCGGCGTCGAAGTCCTCGGAATCGAGTTGGTCACGAGTACCGTAGATGTATGCCTCGAGTCCATTTCGTGCTTCCTCGCGGGCATGACGCTTCCGGTCGAGCTGATCAAGACTCTGCAACTTCTTAAGCGAAGCGGCTTTTTCGGCGGCACCGTAAGGCTTGACACCGGTATACTCAACATCGAACGTCAACGGCACAAACTCGCTCTTCTTCCCCACCTCAGCATCAGGCGTTGCAGACGCCGACGCGGACGCGGAAGAATCGGAAGAAGTGCTGTCTTCTTTACCACCAAACAACCCCTTCAACTTCCCCGCCAAATTCTTTTTATCGACCTCACACTCCACAAACGCCCGCTGCACACCGACCAACCCCGAGTTATCAATCTCGAATGTGACCTTGACAGCCGGATCAGAACATGAGACCTTGGCGAGGGCATCTTTCAAACCGCCGACGTTGACAGCAAAGATCTCGCATGGCATACCAGTTGGCAAGGAAGCCTGGGAAGCGTACATCACGTCGACCTTGAAGTCACCACTCTCTTTGAAGGTAACGTTCTTCGCAGATCCAACGGGTGCTCCAACCCCAAACAACTCCTCCTTCCCAACCTTCACCGGATGCAACGCAACATCCCCAACCTGAATCTCCTTCACCTTAAACAACCCACTCAACCCCGCCCCTCTGAACACAGCCCCCATGACAGCCGCCTCGTCCGCATTGACATTCTTCGCAATTTTCTCCGCGCCTACCTCATTCTCCAACGCGCGCTGGACAGCTGGGATACGGTTATTCCCTCCGGCCAAGATAACGGATTCAATTTGGGAGATGGAGAGACCGGCTTGATCGAGGGCGGTTTGAACGGGGAGGGTGACACGAGCAGCGAGGTCAGCGGTGAGAGATTCGAACTCTGCGCGGGTGATGCGGGCGCGGAAGTCGATGTCTTCGTGGAAGGACTCGATGGACAGGCGTGCCTCGGTGTTTGCGCTGAGGACTTGTTTCACCCTCACCGCTTCCTTTGCTAACTTCGCCATCGCGCGTCCATTCCCCCGAATCGATGATCCGGCTTTCTTTCCGGGGCCTTGTTCCCAGACGTCGGTGAAGTGCTCCACGAGACGGGTATTGAATGCGTTGCCGCCCAAGGAACGGTCATAACCAACTCCCTCAACATTGACCTGCGTGACCGTCTTGTTGTATCGTCCGACATCCTTCACGCTGGCTGAGCGGAAGGAGACAACACTCGCAGTCGTACTCCCAGCCCCCATATCATACACAACATGCCACTGCACTTCCTCCCCAAAGTTCCGTCCCGTAGCATAATTAACCCCAATCGCCACACCATCACTCATTAGTTCCAATACCCTCAATCCCGCGATTTCCGCGGCATCGATGAGTGCGAGTCGCTCGGACTGGGTTAGGTATGGTGGGGTTGTGATGATTGTGTCGCGGATTGGTTCGCCGTTGGCCATTGCTTCGGCTTGGGATTTCATGTTTGCAAATTGCATCGCTAGGAGCTCTTCGAGTGTGTAGTCGTCCTTCTTTTGCTTGAAGGTGACGGTGGAGCGGTCGGAGGGGATCAGAACGTTCGCGGGGTGGAGCGCGAGGTATTCCTCAACGATCTCCGACTCCGAGAACTGTCCCATAATGCTCTTTAACCCCGGATATACCGACTCCGGCTTCCTCGCCGCCAAGTTAAACGCATCTTGTCCATATAACCTCTCATCCCCCTTGAACCCCACAACACTCATCTCCTTCCTCTTCGAATCCCGCGTCAGTACGATCTCCATCGGCACACCAGGCTTCACAAGCGCTGCTTTCGTCCATTCTTGGCCGTAATCGATTGCGAGGACGGCGGCGTTGGCGATGGTGCAGAGGAGGGTGAAGAGGGCGAGGGTTAGGTAGAGGTTTCGGGATAGCCGGGATAGAACGGCAACCATTGCAACTGCGGTTGACCTGGTCGTGTGTTTGCGAAGTTTAGGGAGTGTATGCGGCTTTGTTCCCTCGAGGACTGAGCGCGCGACTTGGGTGTACGACGTGTACGACAGCCTGGCAGGCACAGATTCAGGGACTGGTGAATGACGCAGTTTGTATGAGATCGATGAGAATGGGAATGGTAATCAAGAAGTCGATTGAAGGCACAATTGCAATTTGGAAGGAATGTTGGGAATGTCGAATGCACGAGCAGACGTAATCAACGGGCGAGGTTGTTCCGAAACCGCACTCAATTCAAACAATCCAACAAGCCGTTACATAAACCTAACATACACACATCTCCATATCTTACGACTGGTCACCACCTCCATCCCGTTCTTCCCGTCCTTGCCCTTGACCTAGAACTTAGTATACGGCAAGAACTTACCCCTCTGCGTAATCTTAACCCAAGTCCCGGCCTCATCGACCTCCTTCTCAATCTTCGTAGAAAAAGAAATCGCAGACATGATCCCATCACCGAACTTCTCATGGATGATGGCTTTGTAAGCGTAGCCGTAGATGGAGACCATTTCGTAGAGACGGTAGATCAGAGGGTCGCGGGGGGGCATGTCGACGAGCTTGCCCTTGTCGGGGACTGTGATCACATAGCGTCAGTGCTCCACTTGCACGAGGGTGGAAGGGCACATACAGAAATCCTCACCATACTCCTCAACCAAATAACTCTCCCTGACATCCAACACCTCCGCCAACTTCTTGATATCCTCATTGTCCGGCTTCGCTTGTCCGTAGAACAGGGCAGCAACCCAGACTTCGTCACGGTTGCCGAGTTTGGAGGCGATATCGGCAAAGGTGTAGCCCTTCTTCTTCTTGGCGTCAAAGAGGGAGGGGGCGAGGGGTGGAAGGCGGGATTGAAGGGTTTTCTGGGGTAGGATTGGGGGTTAGTAATTGAAGCACGAGCAATTGATCCGGTGAAGCGGACCAACTGCCATGGAGGAGAGAACTCACATCCGGAGCCATCTTGATCTTCTGTTCTGTAGTGTTGGTTGTAGCTATCGAGAAGTGACGGGATACCCAAGCTTAAGGCCTTCCAATGACAACGCTATCAGATCGTCGGGTCGGCCAGTTCTCGTCCAGCTGTTTCTCCACTTTCTCGATTTTGGCGCGCGATGCGAGCGTGCTGCACCTTTTACGGGAGGGGCGCCATTTGAGACTGGGAGGTGCACCGGTGAAACTCAAAGTCAATTCGCCTGATCAGCTGGGTTACGACGAGTGATTTGACCAGAATCGACAAGATCCTTAACAATCGACAGCAGCGGCGAAGAAACGGATCAGCGACCCCCCCAATTCCCCCAACTCCTTCAAATCTGGTATCCATATCCCAAGATCAGCCACGGCTGCAGCTTCTTCGGTGGATCGACGGCAGGTATGAAGCGATGGCGTGCATGCTTCCGTTCCGGATAAAACTCGTGAGAAAGGCGATCGCGATATCGGAGGAAGGGTGATAAGATAATATATGCCACGAGTAGTGTTGGATGACGATTGGGCTAGGCCTAGGCGTTTGGCATAACGGATGTCGCGCTGTCGGTACTCGCGTCGAGCTCGAGGCCTAGGGTCTTGATAAGACCCGCTTAGCGACTCACATGCATGAACATTGCGACGGTAGGCGAAACGTAATCGAAGTAGATTAGATAGTTTCATGGAAAGTACAGAAGCATCACTACCCTCACGGCCGCTCACTGCGCAAATTAAAGATTGTACGGATCGGCAGCGCCGCTTCACGTTGCTTAACCTCCTCAACACTCCTCGCAAACGAAAACACGCCCCATATCGCTAGAGTAAATGACAGACCTCACAACCAACCCGAGATGATAACAACATATCAAAAGATCAAACTTTCATTAAACTCAATCCCCTCCTTCTCACAAAACTCCTTGTACAACCCCATGAAAGTACCCACATCAATCGTATTCGCAACTTCCCCTTCTTCATTCAAATATCTACACTTCCCGTCAGCACACCGCAACCCTACGCAGCATGAGATGGATTCACTCACTCAATTGATCCCATAACCGTAACCAACACCTCCGTACCCGGGTGCATAAACAACGTATGCACCGCACCGTGGCTCTCGACAACGTAATCGCCCGCTTTGCCTTTCCATCCGCGCTCGAGATACTCGAACTCTCCCTTAAGACCAAAAGCCGTCACAGGACCACGGTGCCTGTGCTTCGGGACGCTCTCAGTGTTGGGGGAGGAGTCGGGACCGGCTTTAAGGATGGCGACGACGAGGCCAGTACGGGGTTCGAAACGAAGGGGTTTGAAGTGGATGTTGGCCCAGGGAACCCAGGTGGTGTCTTTTTCGCCGTCGATGCGGATCTCTTCGGGTTTGACGAGGTTGGAGGCTTCGGGCATGACTGTAGTGGTGTTTCGCTTAGCGATGGGCGGATGGAAGGTTTCGGTGATATATCGTTTGACTGCAAGGTAAACAAGGTTTATATACGCCTGCCGGTGAACACGAAAACCAAGGCTCTCTCGTCGTTGCCAGATCTCTTCATGCTAAGCCTCCTCTTGGGATCACACGACCTCAGGGCCTTTCCCTGGCCAGGACTTTAACTGGAAGTCGTAGCCTGGATTAAGTGAATATCGACCTCCTGACCTGTTTCGATCTGCGACTGAAGACGCTGCGGCATGTGTTTTTCATACCTTTGAGGCGAGATGTCGCTTTCGCTTAAGTTACGGGCCGCTTAATTGGCGAGTCACTTGAGGTTTATGTCGCGGACCGGCGCGAAAGCAACATTAGCCATCTACCAAGCCGTGGTCAGGAGTTTATTTTGGCCCGGCTTGATTGAAGAAACACATGTAGGCCTTTTTAACCTGTCCATGCTTGCGCGTTGGGAGTGTGCTGCTCGTCACGAGCCAACTAATGTAGAAGCCTGTAGTCAATGTAAGCAGATGTAAAACTGAGGCCCGGAGACAGGTAACACATCTTTGAGGAGTTCTTTACCATGTTTGCCTTCTCTTGATGCAATTGTGTTCTTGTACTTCATCGGGAGAAGAAAGTGGCCTGCTCAATTGCAAGCGCACGGCTTGATGAATTCAGACGCGTGGGAAATTTGAAGCGTACCATTTGTCAGAGCGTAAGTCCTAGCAACATTGGAAAACAAAATTCTTCGACCCCTATACAATGACTTCTGGAGACGGATCGTCATGAACGTATCTGTTGTTCCATATGCGAGCCAGGCCTGCGCCCAATTGATGCGTTCGCGTTCGGACCGTGCCCGCCGCTGTGCATGAGCATGACAACATGCAGCGTCGGCCCTCAGTCTTTCTCTGGAAACTCCGTGGGGAACATGTGACAGACAGCCCCGCTTTTCATGTCCGAAACTGGTCGTTATACAAGAGGAGTCACACGCCCCTCACACTCCTTCACCAAACCACAACGTAGCAGTGAGTGGGCAGCAGCGCTGATGTGAAAAAGCTAACCAGTGTGATACAATGGGGTACAGCAACGATCTGCGACTCTCCAGATGGGATCGATACCAGCATTGATCCTTTCATCCCACGCCTGGTACGCTCCGTGCGGCCCTCGCCACCGACCATAACGAGGGGACCGATGTACCGCTTGAGACAATAACTTCATGGCTTCAATTGGCCGCCGCTACCATTGCGAAACAGGGTGGAGACCTTTGTGCCGTCGTTTCCCTTTCGACATTGTCCTGTTTGTCTGTGTGCTGCACGATTTGGCGGCGGCCCCTACTAGCCCCCCGAATTCGACTGTCACGAATGCCTGATTCGTGATTGCACAAATATGGAATAACATATTCCACTTTCAGCAAAAGCACTCGAATAAGTCATTCGATTGTATGAAAAACACGAATAAAGTGGGAAAGTATTCAAGTAGAGTGGAATTCCAATTCATGGTACACAAATACCTTATTTGACCTGGAATGATATTCGTTCCAGGAGAATAAGATATCCCACATCAATAAAAACGAGATTGAGGATCCATTGTGGGATGGTCGAGGGTCTTCGAGGGAGGAGGGTCTTCGAAGATCAATGGTCTTTGGTCACGGTTCTTAGGCCTGCGCCTCTCGAGAGTGACGTGTGAGCACAAGCGCTGATGCGCTGATGCGCTGGCAAATTTCACCAAGTCCTTAGCACCAACCAGGAACCCACCACCATCAATGTCTCAATGTCCTGGGTGTCTCACAACTGATTGACGCAAGCATCGAATCCTACGCCTCCCTGGTCCTCTCCCATCTGTTCTCCCGATGCTATGGCTTGTATCGTCTCAACCCAAACTGGGCACATGATCGCTGTTGCTGAAAGGTTAACATGATGGTTGTTTAATCTCGACACTCTTGCTTGATGTCTCCTCTTATTCGGGTGAGTCCCGCACTTTGTTGACAGCAACAGTAAAACGACTACTCATCAGGTTTTACTAACCCGCCCTGACCCAATGGCAATGAAGGTTCGCGGTAGGAAACAGCCTGGAAAGAAGACCTTGCGCACTTCAGGGGCATCAAATCGATATACGTCCAATCGCAGTTTCCAAGATGATCCGGAGTTTGATGTTGACGATGATGGGATGATGGCAATGACGATGATGATGTTGACGATGATGATGAAGACGATGAAGACGATGAGCTTGTTTCGACTGAGTGGACAAAAGAGAGATGAGAGGAAGCGTCATGGTATGCATATGTGTGTTGACAGTGGGAATTGAGGCAAGGTTGGACTTCTGAAATTTTCGGGTCTTGTTTAAGTTTCAATAATATCAATGGACCTAGATTTTCATGACCTGTGATAGATGGTACCAACTAGTGTCACATCTGTGCAGTGTGCAGTCATGAGGTAGAATAATATAACAGTGTAGTGTTGGTAAATCGTATAAAAAATTCTACTTTCAAGACGAATTAACAATGCAGATTGTGCCCAGAATATCCCACTAACTCCAATAACTCTATTCGTGATACTGGGTAATTTTATTCGGGTTTTATAATCGTGTTTGGTAGAATTTGGGGGTCTCGTAGGGGGCCTCGTGCCACCCCTAGGCCTGCAACCACGCTAAGGCGTGATGCGTCCTCAGGCAGACGGTGAAGGGCACTCTTGAGAGCGACCAGAAATAGCCTCTGTTCCGCCACGCCTAGGTCATTGTCCCATAATTGACGCCAAAAGAACTGCTAGGTGCCCGGGATGAATGGAACGGTGATGTACGCTTTGTCAGATGGCTGGCTGGGACCGCCTGAAACGACCACGATAACAGGAGTAATTTTCTGAGAAGGTGTTCCCTGGGACAACATGTAATGCGGAACGATCAACCTATCCAGAGGGTCCAGTACACTATGAATGCGACAAAACCAGCCGAGAACAATAGCACAAATTCAGTTGCCATATCTACTCTCGTTGTCCAGATAGCTTGGCAAAGCAGGACTGATGTAACTCTGGACCAGTGACCACAGCCTGTGTGTACGAGTTGTGACCAATTCGGCTTCCTTTGGGCCGGGGCTTGTTTTGAATGAGGCTCTAGAGTGCCCTGCTCTTCGCGCAACGTCTTTCTATTCTTGCCCATGCCTATGCCGTTGTTTGGTTCAGTTTTTCAGCTCATCAGCTCTAATCAGCTCCTGCACCCACCCCGCAACCTTCTCCCCCATAAGCCTCCCATGCCTCAAACAAAACGCATGCGGCACCCCCTCCGCACACAAATAAAACTTCAGTCCCTTCTCTTCACCCATACTTCGAACCTCCTCCCTCGCCCACTCGGCGACCCATGCATCTGTGGCTGCGTAGTAACATATCAATTTCGATGCGTGTGTAGCGAAGAAGTTCGGATCAAGGTCGCGGATGAGAAGGAGTTCGGAGGCGGCAAGGCTTAGGGCCGAGTAGACGGAGGAGGAGTTGAGGAGTTCGTCAACAGTTGTTCTCAACCCAGCTTCCGGTAACCCGGTTACTGATTTGACGAGTGTGTTGAGAATGGGCGAGGGGAGGAGGGTGCGGAGGATAGCTGGGAGGTATGAGATTCCGCGTGCGAAACCGGGGATTGAAAGGCATCGGGTGAGGATTTTACCTTGCGGGGAGAGTGCGATGTGCGATAGGGTCGGGAAGAGGAGGATCGCTGCGTCGACGATGTCGGGTCGTTCTTTCAGGACTTCGCATGCGATGAAACCTACGGAGCACTTTCGTCAATCTTCGAGTTACGGAGCCCGGTGCGGTGAAGATGTACTCCCAACACTATGCCCCACCAACACAATCTTTGTTCTCTTCCCTCCCTTGTTCTTCATATCCATTTCCTCCAGAACCCGGTCCAATATCCTAACCTTATGCGCAACCTGCCCCCTCACATCCAATGGCTCCCCCAGCGGCAGCGCAGGCGGAAACCCAGCATGCGACACCCCCAAAATAGCGACTCTCTTTCCCATTCTCTCCCACGCCTCATCGAAGAAGTCGGTGTAGTAACTCACGAAACCTGGGTTCCCGGGGATGAAATAGATCAAAGCTTCCGGGGGCTCGTCGGCGGGAAGGGAGGGGTAGAAGTGGCATTCGGTTGGAAGAGGGTCGGAGAGGGTTGATTTTAGGGGTGGTTGGAGGAGGGAGGGGAGGGACATGGTTGTGATGGAACGACGGAGGGGAGCGTGGAGGAGGTGCCGCATCGGGGTTGGGGGAGGTAACGTTGACGTGTCACGTGATCCGAGGTCATTGAACCTGCGCCAGCGTGGGAGTTTGCTGCAAGCGGTCGCGCTCAGGACAGCGATGTGCCAAGGTGAGTAGAATGGAATCCGTATGTCAAGGCACAGTCTCTTGCTTTTTCACCGTTCATGACCAGCTGCAGGCGGATACAAATCCCGAGCTCCGCAACCCTGACCTGGCCATGGAAAGGTCGGTCAACAATCATCGGTGGTGCCTGTGCGTTCCAACTAGGTGAATACGAATAGAGTGTGGCTACGATTAGGAAGTTGGTGCTATGCCAGCAAGAGCACGCAGGGGTGTCATTGACTACGTTTCGGACCGAGGAGCTTATCGAGCCATCCGGCGGCCATAGTAGACGTTACTCTGGCAAGCCTATCAAGACAGGAAGGGCCCTTTCCGGCGCCTTAGACAACGGGAAGGTCACGAAAACTAGTGAAGATTCATTCTACCAGCCATCGAGGAGTTCGGGAAGGATCACCCGGGGCGATTGGCGCTTGAATGTCTTGATCCCACCGGGCAAGCTACCGCAGTGTGAATCACAGGTAACGCAAGCTTAACTAGCCTATCGACGGTAAAGACACGTTCAGTCATACAACCTTTCACTCCATAAGGTCAAATGAGCGCATTCGCTATCGTCATCTCCACTCCCGCCGTGCGACAGGTTACCACATGGAGCACAGCCTCAGCGATCCTCGCCAGCCTATCGAGGGCCCGGCAGCTCCCGCCGTACAATCATTTACCAGAACAAGCAAACTTTACAATCTTTCATGAGTCAATTGCCACCCCGTACAACCTTCCCATACCCGCCGCCCATCGCCCATCGCCCCTCACGCTGATCGGAACAAACCTCCCGAACAACCTCTCCCGTTTTGCACAGCCCAGCCCAGTCCAGCCAACGGCCATCTCACGACCGTCCCGCTCAATTTTCCAGCCTCTTCATAACCAGCCTATCGATTGTTGTGCTCGTTGGACATGTGGGCTATATCACCTCCCGTGGCTGGTGCGTGGCTGGAACTCTCGAGGGTCCGTGCGCTAGAAGTCCGAAACGCGACTTCTCGCTCTTCCTTTGGATGTAACACATGAAATATCGATGTCCGAGCCACCGCCGCGTCCGACCACCCCATGGTCTGTTATGCCAAGCCTAGTCGGGGAGGATAAATACCTTGATCCCTCCCCCAGCTGTAGCAATTGACCACCATCCTCCTCCCTCACCAGAGCTTCTTTTCGACGCTTTTACCCTCGTGGTAAAGTACATTCTTTTGTTGATTCAGTGTTGATCGCTGTTCAATTCACATTCTTTCTTTCATCACTCACCAACTTATCAACTTTCGTTCTCACAACACTTACCCTCTTTTTCTACAACAATCGCCAGGATGCGATTCACTCACTTCACGACACTCTTATCAACATTGTTGGCCGCTATGGTTTTTGTCCAGGCAAAGACCCTGGCGCCCGGCTACAACCGCGAAATGATCCGCGGAGTAAACATCGGCTCGTGGCTGGTCCTCGAGAAATGGATGTGTCCCTCCCTCTTCGACACCTACGCCTCCAGTGCGGTCGACGAATGGACATTCACCGAGACGCTCGGCAAGGACGCTGCGTACACCGCTCTTCAGTCTCATTGGTCTTCGTGGTTCACCAAGGATGATGTCGTTTCGTTGAAGGGAATGGGAATCAACGCGCTCAGAATCCCTGTTGGATACTGGTCTTTCGATTTGCAGGATGGTGAGCCGTACGTCTGGGGCGCGCAGGATTGGCTCGACACCGCTATCGAGTGGGCCCGCGAGGAGGGTTTGTACGTCTGGGTCGACCTCCACGGTGTCCCCGGTTCCCAGAACGGATTCGACAACTCTGGCCGCTCCGGCCCTATGGACTGGCAAACCGTCGACGGCAACATCGCACGCACCCACTCCGTCCTGAAAACCATCGCAAAGAAATACGGTGCCTCCAGCTACGCTGACGTTGTCATCGGTATCCAACTCGTGAATGAGCCTGCGTCGTGGGGTAACAACTCCAACGACATTACTCGTGATTTCTACAACGACGGGTACGGTAACGTTTGGGCGGAGATCGAGAATGGAAACATGATGGTCGTGATCCACGATAACTTCCTTCCTCTCTCCGACTGGACCAACTTCCAGGGTCCCCCTGCTGCTGGTAACTTGGGTATCGATACGCACATCTACCAGGTCTTCGCTGAATCCGACAACACCCTCAACCAAGACGGACACGTCGCGCTCGCTTGTTCGAAGGGAGACCTCCTCGCTGCCGCCAACGCCATCGTCCCCGTCTTCACCGGTGAATGGTCCGGTTCAACTAACATCTGTCTCCTCGCCGACGGCTCCACCATCGCCGGAACCTCCTGCTCCGAAGACGGCTGTCAATGCGAATCCGCTGATTCCCGTACCTGGTCCGCCGGTTTGATCGCGCAATTGAGGAGATTCAACGAAGCGCAGATGGATGTCTGGGAGGAGACTACCTCTGGATACTTCTTCTGGAACTTCAAGACTGAGCATGCGCCTGCTTGGGACTTCATGAAGGGTGCTCAGAATGGGTGGATTCCGCAGCCGTTGAGTGATAGGCAGTTCCCGGGACAGTGTGGATACACTGTTGACCAGTACTTCACTGATTCTCCTGCGTCTTCTTCTGCTGTGAGCTCGACTGAGGTTGTTTCTTTGACCGTGTACGAGGAGACGAGCTCTACTGAGGCCTGGACTGAGGCTACTTCGACTGCTGAGGCCACCGCGACTGATGCTTGGACATCTGCTGAGGCGACTACTACTTCGGATGCTTGGACCGTTGCGGCGACCACCTCCGACGCCTGGACTTCTACTTCCGAGTACGTCGCTCCCACGTCCACTGATGCCGCTGCTTCCCCTACCACTGTTGTCACCTACACCACCGCTGCTCCTGCCGCCGCTGAGACGACTGCTGCCCCCGCTGGTGGTGACTACACCTACACCGTTACCAACTACTACACCTTCACCGGTGACGCAGCAGCGACTAACACCGATGGTATCGTTAACTTGGGGATGGACTACACTACTACGCAGACGGAGTACTATACCACTGAGTGGACTACCGCCACTACCACTGCTTACTATAGGCGCGTGAAGAGGGGACGTTATGGCAGGTCCTAAACGTTCGTTACCTGATTGATTTTCTTTTTATATCGACTACTTTTTTCGATGAAGCTCTGGGATGGGCTCGATTTTTGGCTGGATCTTCTGCTCTTGATGGGTGAGGATTTGGTTTTGAGGAATGTGGATGGGTGCTGGACACCTGGACGCATTGCTTTTTCGTTACGGGCGTTTGACTCGTGTTGATGATTTACACTTTAAATTTCTTGAGATGTAGCTAGGTTAGAGTTAGATAGCTATAGCTATAGGGAACGTAGAGGTTCCACCTTTTTTGAATCTAAAAAGATATCAGGCTCATCTACCTGGTGCACATCCAATCAGGCCCGAACAATGCAATTGACCTTATCCAGGGCATACCTATATGTACCTCCCACACGGCCATTCTTCAGCCCAGCCATTGTAGCCGCCCGAACGTGATTTCTTTTTGAATCTCCTTAATCATGTGCCTCCTTTTGGAAGGTCGTGATATGTCGCGGTTGCCAGGGGCGCATATTTCCTAGCAACGGTTTGTTTATCGCCGCGAGCTGCACCACTATTACGAATGCTCCGCTCGCCTCGATAACCAAGTACTCCACACCACCAAGACTCCAAACAGTCCTCAATCCTTCGCTCTCTTGCAAACTACAAAACAAACGACTTTATACGATGTCTGCTCCTTTCAACTCTATCGACCAGAACCTCGCTGCTGGGGCTGCTTCCGGCATGAGCCATCTTGATCTTCAGAGGCAGTTGTTGGCGAAGAAGTTGCAGCAAAAGTACGTGACTAGCTTCCTGTTCCATGTTTGAACATCATCCATGAGCAGCTATGGATCAAGCTGCCTCGAAGACGGTAGATCGATGGCTGGTCCCATGACATGAAGAGAGCATTCATGCCGTTGGATCCGATGAGTAACAGTTGATGGCAGTGCTGGTTCCTCCTTCGCTTCCCCCACTGACAACCTTATGTCTCCTTGTACCGCCAAACTTCAGGCCCACAAGAAGAAGCACTTTGCCAAGTACGTCTCCTCCCCTCGACCATCTCACCTCACCACTAACATTCTCCATAGGGGCAAGCCCGTCTCCCTCGCCGGCGCCTTCGCCAAGGCCGGGTTGAACGAGAACCAGCCTCCCTCGCAGTAAACCATTCTCCTTCATACCATGATGAGGTGGTTTACATACGGCGAGCTCTAGGGTGACTTTCGGTTAACGGTGTTTTTTGACATATTTTGGTTTGCTGGGTGCTTTCGTTCATTCTTTTTCGCGACGTTCTTATACCGCTCGTTGAGAGTTCTTTTTTCTTTTCCTTTGTTGTGGCATTGAGGTTTCGTTTTTTATATGGCATGCTTATTGGCGAGGGTTAGATTGAGTCATAGAATCAAAGACCAGTTTGCCTCGAATCACATATGCGGAAGTGGTCATTGACAGGAGCGTTCATGGTAGTCTGGAAGTCGCCATTGGACAGTCATTGCTCATTGACGATGATCTAGCAATGCGTATTTCCCCCCAGTACCTACGGTATCACAGATATCCTCCGACCTCACCCCTCTTCCTTCACTGACTATATTCCACATGCATACTCCCCATATGATCATCATCACTATCATCCGGATCGCGTTCCTTCAACTCTACCGTCGTCTCATACAACGGCGGCGGCGTTTCCGGAACCTCGTGATTGACGTTACCACCCAGACCCGGACCCGGACCTGCACTGGGTAGAATAAGTGGTGAAGCAGGTTCTGTCGCGTGGGCGAGTTCCTCCTTAAACAGCTCGGTATCGCGTTGAATGAATTCCTGTACCCCAACTTCGTTAGCATCACCCATCTTAACAATGCCCAAACGATGAGGAGATACCTTCAGGGCACCATCCAACACCGGCACAGTAACATTCTCACACGCCCAATCCCTCGCATAGACAACCAACATCCCATCCCCACCGCCGCCCTTGAACTCCGCAACCCCCAGAACCTCCTCCTCACTCGCATTTCTCACCGTACACGGACTCCCCCCATTCCCACCCGGCCCAAAGATCGGTGTGTTGGTACCGGCGAGTCCGAACGGGTTAGTGGCATATTCCGGATTCCACGTAACACACCACCACTCCTCATTCCCCTCCCTCCTCCCCGTCCCATCCTCGTCGAACGAGATCAGATCACGCGCTTCGGGGGTCGGAGCGAGGAAGTATGCCGTCGAAGGATCTGGGGAGATTCCGCGGAGGAGGTATCGGTATTCGAGGGCGGAGTCGGTATCATTGGGGGGGAGGGTGGTTAGGAGGGTATTGATGCGTTCGACGACTATGGTGCCTTGTTTCATGACTTCTTCGTGGGCTGCTTTGATCTTTTCAAACTGTGCAGTTATTAGCGTATTGATATCTTGCGTCAGCTCCGGTGCGGGTGTCGTCGGTTGTTCCGTCCCCTCCATATCACTTTCGTCATCATCCTCTAATGACGGCAGCGTCACTCTCGGCTTCTTCAAATACTCGGCCACCTCATTGAACAACACATCCGCCTTATACCCTCCCTCAACCAAATCTATATCGCCCCTCCTCTCCTCCAACCTCGCCCTCTCCCCCTCCAACTCCCTCCGTTCCTTCAACCTCTCCCTAACCTCCGGCATTATGTCCTCCATCCACCTCTTCGGAAACAACTCCTTCTCCAACCTCAAGCCCGTTCCCCCTTGCGAGGAAGCAGACTTGAGTCGTAAACAGAGTACCTCGGCGAGATCCGTAAAGCAGCCTTGTTGGAGCTTGTCATCGGTGTTGGAGTCGGAGGAAGCAGGCCAGATGAGGGAGTCGATAGCGGTGTAGAGAGATGTCGTCCCAGGCTTAATCTCCAACTCCAACAAGCTAAACTTCTCCTTCTCCGACCTCTCAACCTTACCCCCCTCACCCTCACCATCTCCTTTCGGAGTCGAGAACATACACGCAGCCGACTCAAACGGATTCCTCTCCCCATCCCCAATACTCTCCTGAAACACCTCCGGCAACAAATCATAATACCCCGGTTTGTCCTCCGCCATATCAAATAACACCTTCCGTGACCGTCCCCAAACGCCGAAGAACTCGCCCAAGAACCCGCTATCTGTGCGACGAGGGGCGCAGCGTTCGAGACCACGGAGAATATGCTCGCAACTCCCGTACGCCCTCTCGCTACCACCCAAGAAGGCGATGACGCGCTGTACCTCCGCCACGAAATTGATTAGGTCGCGTTTTTCTCTTTCGCTTTCTTCGGCACCACAGACTCGCGATCCTAGCAACTCATCGCATTGGGCGTTCCACCACGTTCCCGCCGCGTCGTCGGGGGAGCCGGGAGAGCCGTAGTTTGTGAGCGCGGGGATGGGACCGGAGAGGAGGATCCGCGCGAGAGGGATGGAGTGCATGAGTAGTAAAAGCGGTGGTAGACTCGTGCCCGTGATAGGCTTTAGCGCTACCGGATCCGTTCCATGGCGTCTTCTGTCCCGCGGGGATGGATCAGGGAAGATTTCGTGAACTGCGTCCGCATGCGTTGTCGTTGGGACGAGACTCCAGTTCTCGGTTGGATATGAATTGCGGGTGGCCGGGCCAAAGTGAGCATTCGTGGTAGGTGTTGTCCAGCCTAAGCCTTGTTGAGGGGTTGTTGGGCGGACGTCTTGCATTGCGTTGTAGGCTCTTTCCACATTATCATCTGTTCACCCCGCATCATTAGCAATCCACACATGCAGAGATTGGAGGGAAGGGAGGCAAACCGGAATCCATTGTGAGGTCATATATCGGCTTCTCATTCTCAGTGATAATCGGTACCGTTGGCCCAATGCTGTCGGTATCAACCCAATTACTGTTTTCCCATGTTGAAACAGCACTGACAGTTGCTTTACTTTGTTTGTCCTCTTCGTAGCGTCCACTGAAGTAGTATTCCAGTGCACCCTCAACGTTGTTACCGCGTTCCTGTATGCTTGATTAGCCGTCGTCCTCAACAGAAACATTGGCGGTCGTGAACATACTCTTAGACACTCTGCGGCATCTTCGAGCGGGATGCCCATATCGACCATCATCGCAACATTGTCATCGGATGCTGACATGGCTGCTTCTCAGCTGGTCAATTGGGATGTATGCTGTTCTGTTGGAGTTTTGTGCGTTCAAGTCATCCGTCGCACGATGCAGGGCAATCTGGGGGTCAGCTCAGTTGCTTTGGCCGCGGGGCTCAGCTTAAGCGTCGCGAGTGCTTGTGCTGTACACCATCGACGGCAGGCTCACTGGCAATGGTTGAATGGCCGCTGGAGGGACTCTTGTTCCGAGGAGGAATTGGCAAATCTAGACGACCGGCTACTCCGGCAATCCCTTGGCTCTACCCTCCTTCACACCGAACGGCCCACACCTAGACACCGCCCGCACAAATATAGAGCCGCCAAAGTTACTCAAGCGTACATCACAAACCTGTCAGGCTTCATGGCTTCAATTTCTTGTCTTAACCTTCCAACTTCCCCCTCGCACTTGACGCGCACTTGCAGCGATTGCGCGATCACACAAATGAAAAGTCTCTCAAGCGCCCACGCACATGTACATGTCGTGATCGGACCTTCGGGATGTACGGTTTCATGACAGCCGAAGCGTAAGAGGACTGGGAATTGCGTGATGGAGATCGACGGAAGTTCGGTCATATAAAGAGTAGCGAGATGGATCGTAGGTATTTCGCTTCTTCGAAGGTCATCTCGTTTATCAAATGGACAGCTGTCACCACCCAACTCCACCAACCTCCATCCTCCTCCAAAAGCAAAAAGATGCACCCTCCTTCCCCTCGCTGCAGCCTTAACGTACGTTCTGGACAGGCCTCGCTTCCGCACCGAACAATCTTCGCGCTAAGTCCAGATTCGCCATCGAACTCAGACACAGCCTCAATTGCGCAATTCTATAGCACGTACTCCACACAGTAGGTCAGCAATAACTATAGGATAGAATAAGAAGGAAACCATGTCCACCTAGTAGTCGGATCAGCTCGAACGAAACCTCCAGGGTACCGGTGCGAAGATGACATCAACACCACGGACCCTCACCGACGTCCCTCCGCCGGCATACTATCTGGACGAGGAAGCCTCCGCCCGCCAATGGTTCAAATCCCACACGAACAACTTCTCCTCCCGCGCAAAAGCCTACCTCATCTCCCTCTTCCCAGTCCTCCAATGGATCTCCCGCTACAACTTCACCTGGGCCCTCGGCGACCTCATCGCAGGTCTCACTGTCGGTGCGGTCGTCGTACCCCAGGGTATGTCATACGCTAAAATCGCGACCCTCGATCCGCAGTATGGGTTGTATTCGAGTTTCATTGGAGTTTTCTTGTACTGCTTTTTTGCGACGAGTAAGGATGTTACGATTGGGCCTGTTGCCGTGATGAGTTTGGAGACGGCGAAGGTTATTGGGGATGTTATGGAGCATACGGATAAGTACTCCGCTCCCGTTATTGCTACGGCGTTGGCGTTGTTGTGTGGTGCTATCTCGCTTGGAATTGGATTGTTGCGGTTGGGCTTCATCATCGAGTTCATTCCTGCTCCCGCAGTGGCTGGATTCATGACTGGTTCCGCGATCAACATTATCGCTGGTCAAGTTCCGTCTGTCATGGGTACCTCAAAACTCTTCAACACCCGTGACTCAACCTACAAAGTCATCATCAACACCCTCAAACACCTCCCCGACACCAAACACGACGCGATCTTCGGTCTCATCTCGCTCTTCTTCCTCTACGCCATTCGCTTCGCACTTAACTGGGGTTCGGCACGGTACCCCAAGTACAGACGGTGGTGTTTCGGTGGATTGGTGTTGCGTAACGCCGTTCTCATTGTCTTCGCAACATTGATCTCGTGGCTCATCTGCAGAAACTACGACGAGAAGGACTTCCCGATCGCCATCATCAAGACCGTCCCCCGTGGTTTCTCCCACGTCGGATCTCCCTTCATCGACGCCGAGCTCGCCGGATACATCGCACCCAAACTCCCCGTCTCGGTCATCATCCTCGTCCTCGAGCACATCGCTATCTCGAAATCCTTCGGACGCGCGAATGATTACAAGATCAACCCTGACCAAGAGTTAATCGCTATCGGAGCCTCAAATATGATCGGTACCCTGTTCCAGGCCTACCCTGCAACCGGATCCTTCTCCCGTTCAGCAATCAAGTCGAAGTCTGGTGTACGCACCCCTTTGGCTGGTGTCGTGACGGGTGCCGTCGTCGTGATGGCCCTCTACGCCCTCACCGACGCATTCTACTGGATCCCGAACGCAGCCCTCGCAGCGCTCATCATCCACGCTGTCGGAGATTTGATCGTCTCCCCCAAACAAGCCCTCACATTCTGGAAGATCCAGCCACTCGAGTGTCTCATTTTCTTAGCCGCCGTCATCGTATCTATCTTCTCCACCATCGAGAACGGTATCTACACCGCCGTCGGCGCCTCCGTCGCGCTTCTCTTGTTCCGTATCGCGCGTCCTCGTGGTACCTTCTTGGGCCGTGTCACACTCACCTCCGATGATGACGCCAAGTACCAACGTAACGTCTACGTTCCGCTTCGCGAGGACAACACCCCTCAACATCCAACCCTTAAGGTCGAGCCCCCGCCGCCGGGAGTCCTGATATACAGACTGGAAGAGTCCTTCACGTACCCAAATGCAAGTGTCGTTACTGACCGAATCGTGGACCACGCTACAAAGTATACAAAGCGTGGGAAGCCGAACGTGTACGCGCGTAAGGGTGACAGACCGTGGAATGACCCTGGGCCCAAGAAGGGGGATATCCCCTTCGAGGATGATATGCGTGCCGTCCTTCGTGCAGTCTGCCTTGACTTCTCGTCTGTGTCGCATCTTGATACGACTGCTGTCCAGGCATTGGTGGATACGAGGAAGCAGTTGAGCAAGTATGCGGATAGGAGTGTGGAGTTCCATTTTGCGAATATCCTGTCGCCGTGGATTAAGCGTGCTTTGATTGCGGCGGGCTTTGGGGACGTGGTCACCCAGAGAATCAAGGAAGTCGCTTCTGCGGTTCCACAACCCGATGCCCGCACGGCGCGGGAAGCAGATGAAGAGGAGATCAGCCAAATCGTCGACGTGGGTTCATCGAGTGGTACATCCTACTCCCAACTCGGCGTCGAGATGAACGATCTGGAAAAGAGTGGAGGGGTGGAGACGAATGAGAAGGGCAGGAGCCGGGGAAGTGTCGGTGGTACCAGTAGTCAGAGGACGAGTGAGGATGGGAGTGTTGTCATTGTACGATATCCGTTTTTCCATATTGATTTGGATGATGCGGTGTATGCAGCGAGTCGGGTGTGATTCGACTTACCATGGATTGATCAATATTGCATAGACGTGGTCCGTGGAGGACACAAAAGTTTTGGATACCTTTGGATACTTGGCATATGACGAGATTAGCATAGGCCTGAAGGCACAATACCATTGCATTGCATTAAACAAACCGTTGCATCTTGTGTATTTGTAGGAATATAATGGTATACTGAAAACAAGTCTCGCTCGAGAAAAACAAGGCAAACGTTTATAGATGTCGCATATAACTCCGTATATCCGATCTTGCCGCATCATCTAGCAATGTTCAACAAGCCACTTAACCGCACTCGGCAGAATCTCCGTCTGCGTGTTCGGTTCACGCATCAGATCATGCATCGCACCCGGCCAAAGCTCGATGTCCTTATCCTTGGCCGGTGCTTGTTCGTATAGCTGCTTCGCACCTTTGATCTGTTCCATCGCAATCGTTAGCACGTTGTCTCAAGCTTATTCGACAAATCGACACCAAGGGAACATACATCACAAACTCGATCCGCACTCCCATGCATCACCAAAAACGGCACCTCCAACTTCCCTAAATTCTCACGCGCATGAACCATCCCCCTCAACAACTGCAACCCCGTCGCGATACGTAATTTCCCATGATATGTTAGTGGATCACTCAAAAAGATATCCTCATTCTCAATGCTTGAACTCAAACCCCGATTCGCCGGCGACACAGGCAACCAGCCGAGGAAGTGAACGAGGACGCGGGCGATCCATTGAATGAGGACGGAGGGTGTTGCGTCACCGACGGAGTAGATCATTGGACAGAGGATGACGAGACCGTCGATTTCGGAGGGAAAGTGGATCCCGTATTCGAGGGTACACCAGCCGCCGAGACTTCCGCCCATGACAAAGAACTTGCGTTTCTCCCCCGAGCTTGTGGGATTCTGAGAACGGACGGTGTCCGCAACGGTTTTGAGGGCGCGGATGAGGGAGAATATATCGGTCATGTAGGCGTGTAGCCCGCTTGATCGCCCGAATGATGGTAAGTCGGGCATGATGAGCCGGAACCCAGCATCGAGGATTTGCTTCACCACATCCGCTGATCTCCCAGCATAATCATTCAACCCATGACACCAGAGCACATCTGCGTTGCGCTGCAACTTCGCATTCGTATCATGCCACGTTTGGTAATAAACCGAGAATCCATCTGCGGTTTGTACGCGGCCTTCCGTCCACTGGTACTTAGCCGAGCGGAACTCGTTTTCGGCGGGGGTGAAAGGGAGAGAGGCGCGGCCGAAGGTTGGGTCTTTGCCAATTGGAAGTTCCTGGTAGAGACCGCTCACTATCTCATCCGGGCTTCTCGTAAATGTCATTTCGCTACGCCCACTGTATACCTTCGTCGTTCGTCTGTTACGGAAGCTGCGACCGCTGAGAACATCGTGCAGGAAGCCGCACGCTGCTCTAGATACCTAACCTCAACACCAGAAACCCAAAAACAATCCTCCTCGAGCACCATGTTAGAGAGAATCCTGGTAACGAGGCACGGCTTCAGAAGTAACTGGGACACAGAATGGCTACCGGAGATGTCGCCGACCGGTATGTCCCTCCGGACCCTCCTCGGTCCCTGTGTCCGAAAGGCATGACTAACCGACGGCTGCAATGACAGGTATCCCAGCTGACCCCTCACTATCCGCTCACGGCGTCGACCAATCAAAAGAACTGGTAAGCCAAAAGGTAGCGGTAACTTATGGTTATCTGACTAACCCATCCTGCTTACAGGCGACCTATCTCTCCTCCCTCCCCTACAAAATCGACCGCATCTACGCCTCTCCCTTCTACCGCTGCGTCCAAACCATTGACCCAACCGCCGAGCTCCTCTCCCTCCCAATTTACACCGACAACGGTATCGGCGAATGGTACGGCCTCACACGCGCAACGCATCCCTCCCCGGCCCCCGCGAGCGTAATGAAGGGATTTTTCCCGAGGGTGGTAGAGGGGTATACCCCGAGTCTTGTGCCGTCGACGACGGGGGAGAGTATGGCAGATGTACATGAACGGTGTCGGAAGGCGCTTGATGTCTTAATTGAGAGGGCTGATGCGGAGGGGTTGAAGACGATTTTGATTTGCTCTCATGCTGCAACGCTCATCGCTATCGGGCGTGGACTAACAGGCAAACCCGACCTACACGTCAACGCCGCGACATGCTCGATCTCAGAATATATTAGAGGAGAGGGCGAGGAGAGAGTGGGGAACTGGAAGCGTGTCAGAAATGGAGATTGTTCGCATTTGAGTCATGGGGAGGAGAGGAATTGGTGGTTTGAGGGGGATATTCCGGTGTATACGAACGATCCGGCGATGGCGGAGGTGGTATTGCCGGCGAATGCGAGTGAGGTTGAGAGAAATGCTGATCCGAGTGCCAACTCGAGTGCGACGGAGAAGGAGAAGGATGAGAGTAAGTTGTAGGGTGCATACATCAAAAGAGCGAGAAAAGAGGAGGGAAAGACTAGTAGAGTACAACGATAGAGGGCACGCTGGTTATTCATATACCCAGATCCGGTCAGGACTGGATCTAAACTGCGTTCATGCTTGCGTTCATCATGCCCACCCTATAACCCAGCACAGCACAGATTTATCTCATCAACGTCCCACTCCCCTCCTTCGGATGCGCCCTTTCCCACGCGTCATCCTCCTGCCACCTCCTCACAGCCTCCTCCTCCCTCCACCCACTCCCCTCCAAATACCACCGCGCAACCTCCCACTCGACACACTTCGTCCTGCACTGAAACCTCTTCACCATACTCTTCCTCCCCGCGTCCGGATCTGGCGAGGGCGAGAGTGAGGGACCGGTGTAGTGGGATGAGGGGATGAGGATTGTGTGACGGCCAGGGAGAAGGTGGTCGCTGAAAAGGGAGTTGTGGGTACGGAGGAGGGGGAGGGGGATGTGGTAGGCGAGAGAGAGGGAGATGAGGGTATCGGTTGGGCGGATATAGTGCACCACGCCTGCTTCCTCCTTCCCTTTCCCGTTCGCCTTCGTGACTCGGGCGGTTTCACTGGGTGGTAGGGTCAAGGCGACTTCGTATGTCGGTAACTCACTCTCGTACGCCGGTGGAGAGGGTTGTAGGGAGGGGTCGATAGGTAATTGACACAGCATGCAATAACTCGCGAATCGTGGGTTCTTCTTGGTGCAGGATGGGCAGACGAAGGTTTTGCAGCATGAGGTGAGAAGGGGTGGGTAGGTATTGAATGGGAGGAATCGGGCACATGTGTTGCATGTGTATTTTGGGGGAGAGGATGTCATGATGGGAGAGCGTGGGTGGCGGGAAAGCTGGAGGAGGTAACGAACCTGTTCACAGAACAATTAGTCGTCCATACGGCGATAAACTCCATTGATCACACATTGAACCTTAGATTTGTTCGTCCCGCTGAACCAAAGTATGGTGCTGAGCTCCTCTTCTACAGCTGATGTTGAACTTCTACCGTGGCAAAACATCCGTACGTCACGTCCTGCACCTGGATATCGGTAAGACACGCATTATGTGCAGACAAGGCAAAAAATCCCGATATTGAATGAATCCTAGGTATAGCAAAACAAATGATAGTGAAACTCCCCTTCTCCCTGCCCCATCCATTTCAGACCAGCGGTCCTCTCATAGCGTACATTTCTGCCTTATGTCATGGCCCCAAGCAAGCTCATGATCAAGCTTCCCTCGCAACAGGCTCTGCAACAAACCCCGGAGGCACCACCTCAGGTCCAGGTATCAGACTTGTGAAGAACAGTATCGTGATCTGCTTCAGCATCTCGAAGATTGTCACTGGCCCTTGCGCGACAGGTACGGCCGCGGGTGCTGTGGGTGTCGGTGTTGCTGCTGCTGCTGCTGCTCCTGGTGCGGGTGTTTGTGCTTGATTCGAATGTTCCTGTGGTTGCGCTGCTGGCCCCGGTGCTGGACCAGCCGGCTGTTCACGATGCTCAGCAACCACCGGCCTAGCCCCATTCTCTCCTTGCCCTCCTCCCCTCAAATACGCCAAAATCCCCGTCTGCCAAAAGAATATAACACAAGCACTCAACAACAACGTCACGAACTTTCCCCACCCCGCGCCCTGCGAAAACAACGCCAACATGAACCCGAGGCGGAGAACGAGCCAGACTTGTCCCGCGTGGATTCTGAGGCGTCGCCAAGCCGCTTCTCTTCCTAGTCCCCTCATACCCAATCCACGGAGACGACGTCCCAGCCTTACGAAGCCAGACTCTACTGCCTCCGTTGCCGCCGGGGATAGGAGGAGGTATGAGGAACCGTCTGGTCCGACGACTGGGATAACGTTTGGGGTGCGTGGCGGGAGTTGGAGGAGGTATGGGGCGCCGTTGAGGAGGATGTAACGGTAGGTGTGCGGAGTAGTTTCGATGCTGATAGGAGTTCCATCGGGAATGCCGGGGATGCTGGAGGCAATGGTTGTTGGTAGGGTTGGAGGTTGGGGAGGAGGGGCGTGGGACGGAGTGGGTTGTGATGGTTCGGAGGTTGTCTGATGAGGGGCTGGAGTCGCTGCGGTTGTTGTGGAAGCTGTTGGTGATGGCGTAACAACAAGATGTACCGTCGCTTTCGTTTCTGGCGTATACTACACACACGTCCATCAGTTCACGCCCAGCCACACACACACTCCACTGACACCCCATGTACTTACGGCCTTGATAACGTCACCCAAGACCCACCTCTCATCCAACACCCTCCCCCCAAAAATCAACTTTTGCCGATCCACTGTTGCTCCCGCATCGATAATCCTCGTGATCTCGTGTTTTAGGTCGAGGATTGTGAGGGAGGCATCGACGGTGAAGATGTGGTCGGAGGGACAGGGGGTTGTCGGGGAGGTTACTTTGATGTAGACTTTTCTGTCTGTAGGATTGCTTGATCCTTCGCCGCTGTCCATTGGGATGGTCGAGGGGGGAATGGTGTTCTGGTTGACAGGCTGGCATACGGCGGGGTCTCCACCGGCGTCCGGGCCCATGCAGCCTGACATGGGATAACGATGAGAAAGCCAATGGTGCACGGAAGGGTTACGAACAGACGCCGATAAAGAACGCCTTTTTGCTTCATGAAACCAAGACTCTTTCTCGGCAGATCCGTCTATGTCGCTCTCAAGGGTCCCTGGTGGTCGCATACGCGTACGTCTGAAGTCATGACTTTTGATACACCCTCGAATAAACCCAGTTGGAATATCTGATCCACAGAAATGCAGTCAGCAAGAATAGCTGTCCGGGCAGCAGTCCGATCAGCTCGTCCCGCTGTCTCCCTCCGCCCCAGCCCGTCTCTCCTCCCCCAACGACGACCATTCTTCTCCCTCTTCAAAAAGCAAGTCACCGAAACCACCGAGGAAGACCTTAGCAAACTCCCCGATGACCCCATCCTCCGCGAGAAGGTCAAACAAGCTCGTGACGACGAACTCGACCTCCGTACACGTCCCAACGGCAACTTCCCCGAATTCGATTTCCCGGGCGATCAACCCTCCGACCAAGTCTACAACTTTACAAACTGGGAAACGTATATCTACAGTCGCTCCCACCAGAACGTGAAGACTGCGCAGCAGATCCGTCATGTGTCAAAATTGCTGACATACCCCGTCACCGTCGCCTCCATCCTCCACGAATTATCCCCACACAACACATCTAACGGCCGCTTAACCGTCGAAGGTCTCAAAACCCTCACCGCCCTCCGCCTGGGCCTTCACCCCGAACCAACCGTCGGTCGTTCAAAGGCGCTAACAACCTACCAAGACGAGCCCCGACGAATCTTCATCCTCGGTGCCCGCGCGGACGCGACACTCCCCCGCCACGTCTGGCTCCAACTCACCTACCTCTTCCCCCAAGCTACATTTAAGCTCTACTTCATCGGTCCCGAGGCTCTCCTCGGACCCCAGACGAATGGAACGCCGAAGAAGGAGTTGTATCATCCCAATATGACGTTTGAGACGCATACAGAGTATTATCACGCCCTTCACGAACAACAACAATTCCAACCCTTCGATCCGTATCGCGACGTGTTTTTCCTGTTTTCGCCTGGAATCGGATACCCCGCCACCTCCCACCTCTGGGCTCCGACGATCCCGCAGTTGTTGCAGACAAAGTGTGGTGTTTTCGTTACGGGGTATTCCCAAGAGGACATGGACCGCGATGTAGCCTGGCTCCGTGATCAAGCTGACGACGAGATCGATATTCTGTTGAGGCCGGGAAAGAATGAGTTCATGTCGAGGAAGTACGATGTCACGGAGGGTCCTGATGGGATTGAGTTGGAGCAGAATAACTTTGGTGTTTGGGGATTCAGAGGAAAGATGTACAATGCGAAGGTGGTGGAGGAAGAGCCCGCTGCGCTCACCGGATAAGCGTAGGGATAGAGGGGCAAAATGTGTCCGTGTAGGTAGTGGGTATCAAGCGCTTTTCAATTCATTAGAACATTCCACTACGGCAACGCTCGTGACTTATCATCCCTATAGCTAATCGTACAACCCATAAGCATACCTTATGTACAAGTGTGCTACTACAAAACGAACCCCCACGATCAATTCAGATCTCAGTCTCGACATCAGGCTTGCGTGCCTTCATCGAGAACCTCCGCTTCGTCTTCCCCACAAGCGTATTCGCCCCATCCTTCGCCCACGCCGCAGTCCTCGCAGGCTTGAACTGCATAATTCCACGCTGATGACGGTGAAGCTCTTTCTGGTCTTCTCTCCACGCGTGGTACCGTTCCCGCAAGCCATGAGGTTCGTCTCTATCGCCGTCCTCTTCCGAGTCCTCACTATCCTGCCAGTCCTCACTTTGGTTCCGACCATGACGGAGTTTCTGCTGTTTTTGCTCGACGTTATGATGGGCGTCGTCGCCGATGATGTGGCTCTCGGGGATATCGGAACCAATTGTCTGGATGTGCTTCTTCTTCTTGGAGGCGTTCTGGGGCATGACCTGGGCTCCGTGAGAATCCTGGTTGAAATCGTCGGCACCAGAGCTGCCGCCGCGGTTGACCATGCCGGCAAAAGCAGTGTTCTTGTTACCGATGATTTCGCTGTTCAGGAGGAGTCGCTCATCAAACTGCCTTTGAACATGGTAACCTCGCGGTCCCACGGTCTTCCGAGGGTGCGACGGACCCCCATTAGGCTCCTGGCTATGGCGCTGTCCCTGTTTACCAAGAGCAGCCGCAGCCGCAGGTTGCTGACGAGCGTTCTTCTCAACAGCAGTCTCGTCCTCGTCATCCTCACTCGAATGACCTGCTTCGTCCTCCGTCATGATCGGGAAATCACCGGTCCTGTTACGCTCGCCGATGGACACAGCACACTCCCAGCCGTCCCAACTCTGCCTAACATCATGGTCAGCCTCGCCAAAGCGCTCGTGGAATCGGTCCATTCCAGCTTTAAAAACGGCGTCGAACTCCACCCATCCAATCTGCTTGACGTCGAGCTTCCGCATCTCGATATCCTCATGGCTCTCCACCACGCTCTGCTTGATCGTCTCCAGATCATCACCCTCAAACAACGCAACACGATGACTCTCATCAACGTTGTCCATGATCTTGTGGAGCCAAAGGACACCAACAGCAGTTGCGTGGGTCCTCAACGACAAGCCACGACTCCGGAGCTCGATAAGCAGCGCAGATCCATACCTCCTCCGGATGGGAAGATGCTTCGCGTTCTCGTCACTAAACTTCCACTCAATCGCACCATCCTTTGTCTCCGCATGCCGGCTCGATAACTTGCTCGATGACTCCCCAGTCTGCAGAGCGAGCTTCATAGACCTGTATCCACCCGCATCCGCACCATTCTCAAACGTCGTGCGAATAGAATCAGAAGTGATCTGCAACGTTCCCACATTCCACCCAAGCAAGTTCTTATCCAACTTGGCTTCGACAGATCTGAAGAGAGTAGAAATCCTCACACGTCCGAAGCCGAGTCCACCAGCCAAGGGGTAGTACTTTGTAACCTGCGACGAAGTAGCAAATATATCCGACAACTTGAGCACAACGACACCAAGCAACGCATCATGCTCACGAACACGACTGTCATAACACTCGACCATAATCACAGTCTCCCTCCAATCTCCAATAAACCTCTCCGTCCCCGCATTGAAAATAGGATCAGTCGTGAATGGCTTCGAGCGGGTCTGATAAACCTTGTCATCGTTCAGGATGATGTTACAATACGCGGACGGGGCTTGCTTGGTATCCTCCGCCTGCTGACCACTCAACTCTCCAGCTTTCTGCCCAGCTTGGAAAGGGTTCTTCTTCCCATACGACCCAGTGATATTCTGCACCTCCAGTCCAACAATCTGGTGAATCTGAATACTCAAAATACCACTCGGCTGGCTCGGGTCGGGAACACAAACCAACGCATCTGCCTCTACGTTCGAGTCCGCGATCCCCCTCTGCGCCTTAAACTCCGGCAGACTCCTCAACTCAGGTGGAAGACGTTGATCCTCCCCATCAGTGCGCTGCTCATCGCTGAACTTGGATTTCTTGAAGTACCCAACGCTCCAGTGGATTTTCCCTCGCATCTTGGAACCTTTGTCGAAGCCTTCGAGAGTGTCGACGCGTTTCTCGTATTTTCCGGGGTGCCGCATAAGTTCTTGTACATCTACTTCGCAACGGCCGAGCATGTCATCCGCACTCATCCGGTCACTGTCCCACAACTGCAACGCGACGGCTTCGCCGGCCTTGACCTCCTCCGGCGTCACCAAGAGCGTAGTCCACTCCTCGAAGCGAGGGTTAACATCGGCCTCAATGACTCTCGTCGAGAACAACGGCTTAGCGTACTTCGACAATGCGACCGTGATATACGGATCTGACTTGCCTCCACTATCCGCTCCCTCGAGGTTCTCACACGCATGGATCTTGATGAAGATGACTCCCATAGCCGCAGTATCCTTCTTAACATCCTCACCGACCAAAATCTTTGCCAAGTCAAGCGTCATACTCTTGGGAGCGACGTACTCCGCCGCAGCGGCGTTGATAGACGAGTGCACAAACGTCGAGATCAACGGCAAGTTAAGGACATTGACGAAGCGCTGGGTGACGGGGACAGCAGACACGTCGATCTTCGGCAAACCCATCAACGAGAACGTCAGGTTTTTGACGAAAGGAGGGTCAGGCGTGAATTGCATCCTTAACCTAACCTTTCCCACGGCACCCCTCATCTCAACCCAAATGGGCAACGGAATACCAAAGAAGTTCTTGAGACCAAGATAGAAATGGATTAACAAGTGGACGTTCTTGGCTTTTGACGCCGCGTCCGCGCCAGAGGGTTCGGCGCGATACGCGAACGCGACTTCCATGTTGACGAATTCGCCTGCTTCCTCTTCTTCGTTAGGGGCGCCGGCAGAACTCTCATCAGGAGCCTTAGGCTGGAGGTTGGGGAGCATCTCGTTGTCTGGGAGGGTACGCATCGACAGAATGCGAATCGGAGTAGATCCTTGTCCAAGATCCGCAATCTTGACGGCGTGGATGATGGAGGGAATCGAGGCTTGCATGACATCTTCGATGAGGTCGGTCGAGGAGCGGAACATCTCAGGATCAATAAGTGGGAAGAGAGTTCGGAGAAGGTAGTTGAGCCTGTGAGAAAAAGTTAGCCGAGGTAATCTCTACCCGAATTCAGCTTATTCATTCACACCATTCGACAGATTCCGGGACACGTCCTTGACTAGCCACCTCGCCCCTCTGCCTCTCCGTATCCATCGTCGTAAAATCATACCCCTCATCGATCTTCTTTGTCATGAGTGTCCACCCGACATACACCAATAACACGGCCCACATAGGGTTCCACCCCGCTCGCAACATAACGAGCGCGACACCCAAACCCGCAATAACGAACTGCAACAGCCACTCCTTGACCCATTTATTGTACTTTTCCCAGTCAGGAGGGGGCAGAGGGTAGTAGAGGATGTTGGTCTTGTTGTTCAGCTCGACGGGGAGTTCGACGAAGTTGTCGTTGGGCGTAACCCGCTTCTCCTTCGCATCGCGACGAGCAAGACGAGTGAGGCGCGACCCAGCCTGCTCAATTGTCTGCGGTTCCTCACCCGTTGCGAATGCACCATCCGCTGGAACAGTAATCTATGTCCTGAAAGTCAATCTTCATCCTCGCACACACGGATCTCCTCAACATACCCTATCCTTCGCTACAGTATAATCATGATCCGCAGTAATATCCTCAATCACCACACGCTCCTGCGTAACGGGATCAACAACCTCACGAGGGTGACTACCTTCATCTTGGGTTTTGCGCTGGTTGTAGTAGTTTTGGACGGTTGGAACGGGGTTTTTCGCGCCGTAGCCTTCGGTTGGTCGATGCTGGTGAGCGGGACCGTTGTATGCCATGGCTATCGTTGTCGTGCAACTTTCTCCTGCTCTGGTCTTTCGGATGTTCAGTCTCTTGGTGTTGCGGCTGTGCAGCGGGCTTGGCCGGATACCCCATGACGTCATCGCATTAACTACGACGATGGTTTTTGACAATGAGAAGACCTCGGCAAGAGATATCTGACGGCCGCACTCGAAAGCTGCACTTCGCAACCTCGCCCGAACATCTTGCCAGTGGCCTCAGCCGGAAAGACAGCAAGCACCCAGCCCTCACTTGCCATGCTGTCGCCGTGTCGAGTGGGAAGCCATGCCGACGGGCGTTGCCAGTAGTAAAGTCCGGTGCCTCGTTGACCCCAGAAGACAAGTATTGCTTTCAGCATAAAGATCATGCGAAGAGTGCAGCTCCGGCGAGCAGGCGGAATGCACAAGGCATCAGAGGGCCGAGAATAGCGTTACAGCCCATGTCAGGAAACTCTGACATACGTTCACAATCGCATACAACCGGACAGCCACCGATACCGCCAAACAAGCCCTTACCGCCTCCAAAGAATACACCACAGCACCAGACTATGGTACCGCCAAAAAGAGATTCTAAGGTCAGTCGCTTTTTCAGAAAGCTCTGTTGTATGTCGGACTCTGCGTTCAATTCTATCCCTCCTACTGCGAAAACAGCACTGCCGCCAACCCCGAGACCTGGTCTTCACGACCCTCGACCACCATCAGAAGTGCACGTTCCTCTGCATTCCTCTACGCCGGAGATACGTGCTGCCAATAAACCAAATATGGTGAAACCACGAAGACCAGCACCGATTCAATCGGCTTCATCAACTGTCACACTACCTCTCTCGGCCCTCGCCTCACTCCCCGGCACCACCATCCGCGTCCCAGGAGCAGACGGCCACGGGGCTTTCCTCGTTCCTAACGAATGGATAGACCCAACACTCTCCGTGACCACTCGCCGCGCTCTACTCTCAGAGCTTGAAAAACCAATCAGTGCAAGGGAAGAGCCAGGGTATATCTACGTGTTTCGGTTACAAAGCCCTATCGAGGCTGGTTTTCAGGGGAGCCGTGCCCTGTACAAAATTGGACGCACAACAAACCTGCAGAGGCGGCTATATCAATGGTCAAATCAATGCTCCCTTCAGCCCATCCTCGTCGCGTACTACCCCTCGCCCGCCTCTTCCGCCTCCTCTGCGCTCAAAGTCTCTATCTCGCACAGAGTCGAACGGCTAATTCACATTGAGCTTGCCGATAAACATCCTGTATCGGATAAGGCTGCCTGCGAGGCATGTGGAAGGGTTCATCGAGAGTGGTTTGAGGCTGAGACGGGGAGAGTGGGGTGGGAGGGGATAAAGACGGTTATCTTGAAGTGGGTCGAGTTTGGGAAGGTTGGCTGGGGAGAAGTTGAGGCATAACCTGACCAATGGAGGTCAGGGGTGAAACTGGGATGAATCATTTTTGTCGAAACTGAACTATCACGGCCTGCGATCGAGACGTGTTTGCGTGTCATCTTTGTAAGGGCGTGTCATTCCTGTGGTCAATTGGCACGCACCATTTGAACAGGAGAACAATTGCAAGCGCAAGCAGTCAGCCAAGGTATGGACAGCGTCATTGTTTCCTGCCACTGTAGCACGTCGATATCAGTAAGCCTTGGCGTCTCGTATACCCAAAAATTCTCTTGGCAACTCAATGAAGTCCGATATCAAGGCCGATGCTTGCAAGTTATTCACCAATCAAAGCTTAATTGCCTCGGCAGGGAATTCAGGTCACGGCCACCATTACAACCCGAAACAGAAGCGGCACGCGCGTGTTGTAAACATGTTACCGTATACCGTACGTACCTAGGGTTACCTTCTTTCGGAAACGGGGCAATTCAGTAACACCTGTTCATACGAACCAATCATGTCACAGATAAAGATTCGTCACGGTATATCACTGTTTATAAGTCCACGGCCAAACCCTCAGAAGAATTATCAAGAATCCCAATCTTCGACAATCGATCGTAGCACGTAACAAGATTAACAAGCATGTCCGACACAGTCAGAGCCCAGTTCTTTCCCCTACGCCTCCTACTCATTCCCTATCAAATCATCAGCGGTCTTGTCAACCTCGTCACTGTCGTTTCCAACATGATATACCTTTTTCCCACGCTTCTCTATGCGCAGTATACCTTCAAGCCTAAGCCGCTTGAACAACTTCGCCTTGGTGCAGAATACTACAGAGCTCCTGGTGAGTTTGACCATAGGACCCCTTGTCCTGGGTTGAACGCATTGGCGAATCATGGTGTGATGTACGTCTACACCAGCATGTTCTTCTTTAACCACAGACACTAATGATTTGCAGTCCTCATGACGGCAAGAAAGTCAGCCCAGTCGAACTCTACCATGCACTTCGTGATTACTACTCCGCCAATTTTCCCAGCTGCTGGGCTTTGTTGTCCGGCGCCCTCCAAAGCTCTTGGGATGGCCGCACCATTGATCTCGGCGCGTTATGTCGCCACAACCTGATTGAGCACGATGCCTCTCTGACCAGGCCTGACTCCGGTTTTGGAGATCAGAGGAAGGCTGATCCCGCCTTGCTGAAGAAATTCATCAGCTGCAGTAAGGATGGGAAGTATTTGACGATCGACGACATTGGAAGGTACAGGGTGGAACGTGTGAGGCATTCGAAGGAGATCAACCCAACTTACTCCCTCGACCTACCTCACCGAATTCTCTCGTACGGCGAACCCACCCTTCTCCTCGACGTATTCGGTGATGGCAAGAAAGTTTCTACACATATTGTGGAAAGTTTCATGGCAGAGGAAAGGTTCCCAAATGGCTACGTCCCGAAGTTGTTGCGCACGAATAAACCAGGAGAGAGTTTGAGTCTTCTCGGAAGCTGGAGCAAAGCGTTTGCTGTATCTGTGGCAATGGCGAAGGCTGAGAAGGAGATGGCGGGAGAGGAGTTCAAGACTACGGCGATCACTAAAGCTACAGAGAAGGTGTTGGCTGCTGCAGATAATGTCCCTCGCAAGGTGGGGAACAGGACTCAACAACTTTACGAGAAGCTTGATCCTGTTTGTGATGGTTTGTCTGGCGAGAAAGATTTGTGAGTGTGCGCGCGGGTGTCGGTTTGTCGGGATTTTTTTCTTTTCTTCGTATACGTTACAGTGTAAGTTTACCTTCAGCTGCAGCTAAGCTCGAAGAATCTCATGATTCATTGCGGTTGTATCGCAGAGGGTCATTGGAGAGATACAATAAGCCATCAACTCCTCACGCTTTTGTTGGGCATTCCGGGCCGTTCGGGCCGTTATCCAAATGCTGCATGAGCCCATGTTCGGTGATCATCAAACACAGGCTTGTGTGCTTAGCAATATCACATAACATCGCATCACTCTGAACCAATCGCAATCCGCCAAAACATCCTGGCCATATGTGTAACAAATGGTATATAAGTGCCAAGCTTCCCTCATGACGATGACCTCGCCGTCCGACTTCGCCCTATACATATACGTAGCTCCTAGTGCCGTCTAGCCTGCTGTTACACCGTCAATCGCCATGGAGCATAACGACTTCAACGAACAACTACAGAGCACTCTCCGGTGCAGCTACGGGTATTGTTGCCTGAAGCTGAGGAGTTATGCCTCTTTTGAAGCCTTGAATGCGCACATCAGAAACACTCCGGGCCACGAATGCTACGATTGTACTTGCTCCGGGCAAAGCGTCTTTTTTCGCACGGAAGCCGACTTACTCCACCACAGGCATACCAACTGCGGCTTTGCTGGACAGGATGAATTACAGAGGTTCAATCGCGAAATGAGGACCTTTTCGAAGTGTCCATACTGCTCGAGGAAGTACGGCTTTTTTGAGGCATTGGAGGCTCATCTCCGCGCTACGGCTGTCCACGGGTTCTGGTACAAGGATTGCTGTAAGATGTACTTCCCCGACGAGCAGTCGATGCATCAGCATCAGCACACAGGCTCCCGGATCGGTATTCAGCCATCTCTCCCTCAAGGAAGTGGCGCAAACGTCGTGCGTGGGAGTGCGCAACCCGCTCTTGCTGCAGCCGCTAACCCCCATGATATCCTTTGACATCTCTGAGCTTCAGCGTTATCTCACGCTCAAGAACTACAGGTTGGGCATCACCTGCCGCACCTGTGGCCAAGAGGTGGAGTCTGGTGCGCTCCTCATGGGACATAGCTGCTAAACTATTGCTGCCTTTTTCTAACCCTCCCACCAATCACACCGAACCCTGAGCAAGAAGCGACCTCGACAAAGGGCAGAGCATCCTTTCCTATTCAAACTTATGGTTTGAGTTCATGGGCAAGGACGAGCTGCCCTTTGTTTAGAGCTTTTCTTCCTCCGGTTTCAACGAGTTGGTTTACGTAGTAAACGTTGAGTTTTGATTCATCATCTGCCCCAAGCGCTCTGGTGTTACTACCTTCATCGTTTCGTAGGACTGCAGCTGTGTCTGTCATTATATCCCCAATTTCTCACGACGTCGACGTGGACGCCAACGACAAACCCATACTCTGCATTTCTGGGCTTTTCGACCAGTGTAAACGCGCAAGTGTTGTCTTTGACGAATGTCTCTATTGATAATCCGTTCCATCATATATATCCACCATCCACAATCACTCACTTCCCGAAATACCCACTCTTCACATACCCTCCACCCCCAACCTGCCTATCCTCACTCAGACTTATCCGATTACTCCTCTTGCCCGGAACATCTCTCAAAGGACCATGTCCCAACCCCTTCGGTTCCACATTGGCACCAACAAATCCCCAACTAGCATTCGCCTCCCCAACTTTACTCATCCTCCTCTTCCTCTCCCTCCTCTCCCTCTCCGCCTCTTCGTCTTCGGCCGCCTTCCGTGCCATCTTACCACCACTCACGAAACCGTCTGCTTCGCTCATTTCTGTATCACCATCACCGCCGACCATCTTCGTCTCAATCCATTTTTTGTTACTCGGAGACGCGTTCCAGCCTTTCATGACCTTCTCATCGTACAACGCCTCTAACTCCGCTCTATACCGTGCTAACCAGGGATGCTCGAAGGCTTCCTCGACGCTCATTCGGTAAGCCGGGTTTCGGACCAGGAGTCGATGCACGAAATCCTTCGCTTCGAGGGAAATCTCTTCCCATTCCCAAGAGTTGAGATCGAGATCGGTAGATTGTATCCGTTGAGCAATTTGGGAGCGAGAGTCGGTTTGAGAGGTCGAGGAGAAGGGCTGATGACCTGTTATGTCCCGCTGTTAGATGGCTGAACCAAGAAACAAAGCAAGTTCAACATCACCTGAGAGGAGAACATGTACAATCACGCCCAAACTCCACAAATCAATCTCCTTCCCATACCCGCGCTTCCCCTTCTCGCGACGACTCATCTCAGGAGCGGCATACTCGGGCTGTACACAGTGATCAGCAACCTCCACAAAATGACTCTGAGAACGGCGTACATACAGTTCCAACAATCGTACTCATCCTCCTAGCGTCTTCCCACTGCCTCGCAACACCAAAGTCGGTCAACACGACTCTGAACCCCGGCTCCGAACTCGAGATAAGGATATTTTCCAACTGTGATTGAACTATTAGCGCTGAAGAAATAGCGAGGAATTTACACCAAGTCACCTTTAAGTCACGATGTGCAATATTCCTTTCATGCAAATACTCCAACGCTTTCAACACTTGCCAGATGACAAACATACACTCCACTTCGCCGACGACACCGCGCTCTGCGAACCAGGAGAACAAGTCGCCGCCGCTGACTAAGTCCTCAAAGATGTAAATGTGAGACGAAGTAATATAACATTTATGCACACCGACTACATTGGGATGGCAGAGTGAGGAGAGAATCTCGATCTCCTGGATGTACTTGATCCCCTTCTGGCGAGCATGGGTGAGGTCCATGACTTTGCATGCGTATTGACGGTGGGTAGTTGTTGAAGTTGCCATGTAGATCTGTCCAATGCTCTGTTAGTACGAGAATTCGCCCATTGAGGAAGCACATGGACCTTCGCAAACCCCCCTGTGCCGAGGAGTCTCTTCGTCAACTTCCACTCACTCTCAAACCCCCGTGCATCCGCCTCGACAATCTTCCCCAACTTGTTCTCGTAGTGCATCTTTTGATTGAACTTAAACGTGGCTGCATGACGCACTTCCAGTTCATCACCATCGGTTAGAAGAGCACATTGGTCCTTCCCGAGCTTGTGGCCGTTGTGGTAGGTTCCGTTGAGAGACAGGTCTTGAATGTAGATTAAAGGGTCGTGAGCCGCGTCGAATTGGACCGTGTAGACTTTGAAATGGGTTGAAGAAACGGCCCGATGCGGGATGACAAGGTCGCTGTACGAAACCATCAGCATATATCCGGCAAAGAAGCCTTGGCCCGTACCAGGAAGACTTCCGACCGACGAAATGCGTCTTGTTGAGGACGATGGGCAGAACTGTTTGAATCTCAGTTTCCCAACGCATACAATGGGGTTATGATGACAAACCTTTATCCCCCTCCAAGCTCGTCGACACCAAACTCGCAACACGACCCCTGGCATGTAAATGATGGCCAACACTTTGTACAGAGGGAGCATCATCCATTGAAGCGAGAATTTGGGTTGAGTGAGAGCGGTTCATAGGGTGTATGCTAGGTTAACGAAAGCAAGAGAAGAGATATCAGACAGGTGTTGCTGGAGCGGACAGGAGGAGGTGTTGGTGGTTGGCTGCTCGTACAGCGAGTGGCGTGTGGGGTCGAGTGTGGCGATAACGGATCAGATAAGAGTCATTCCGCAAACCTCCAACAACACCTCCATCATCTTGGAGATGGAGCGCTTTCATGAACCGCCGACAATGCCGTCGAAGAAGATTGGGCAGGGCGTTTCTGTGAGCGAGAAGGAGGTTCATCCGACGTACGAGGCGTTTGAGCATACGCAGATCGGGGATTCGACCAGGCTACACCTCCGTTCTGGAAGCGTCTCCGGATCAGACTTTGAGTACGAGTGTGTTGGCGGCACCAAGCTCTCCTACGGCGAGATCATCGCCCTCGCAGGCGACTTCTACGGCGACCCATCCGAAGCCATCGTCGAAAGCCCAAACCCGCACTCCTGGCGCAAGCAGTTCACCTCAAACGTCGAAAGCCTGCTCCAAGACACAGACAAGTACCTCTCCAAAATCACCTCAGCCCTCCGCTCCCAACAACAAACCATCCGCGACGGTACCAAGCGTGGTGTTGATCCCGCCACCACAGCGACCTTGAACGACGCTAAATGGACGACGCAATATACGTTGGCGACACGTGGTATGTATCTCCGCCTCGCATGGTCAAACTATGATCATTTCGGACAAGAAGCCGTACACGCCTACGAGACCGGCCACTCCCTCGCTCTCACCATCGCCGCCTCCGCAGGCCGCGCCTCACCTCCAAATATCGAACAACTCCGCCAGGCGTATGCGTACGAAGCTTTCGCTGCACACTTCCTCACAGACCTATTCTCTGCTGGACACTTACGCACTCCACGCCGTCTCCTCTCCGGCGGCCTTTGGACAAATTTCTTGTCGAAGGACATGCATGACGAGGAAGACCGTGATGGATTACGTGTAGTGAATGGGGAGAGTGAGGAGTGGATGGTGTATGGGGATAAACACCTGAACAGCAAGAAGGGAGAGGAGAATTTGAGGAGGGTTGGGGATGCGGTACAGGCCAGTGCTGATGAGGTTTTCGCGGCCTTCAATCAAGAATGGTCGGCGTTGGACTTGGATTATCAGTCTGCGGAAGCTGGGCCGGGGAGGAGGAGGTATCGTGCACTTACGCTCGCGCCCGATCTCAAACAACTTGCGGATCCGTATGACACAGCTAATCCAGCCCCGCTTTACGCCGTCCACCTCACCAAAGACAATCGTTGGGAATTAACGAGACGTGTTAGTGTGGCTGATAGGAGCGATTATCGCAGGGTTGTTGTTGGGATGTTCTTCGGGCCTGGGGCCGATTTTGTGGTTAGTTTGCCGTTGCATTTTGGGGTTGGGTGGAGTTTGTCTAGGATGGTCATGCATGGCCCGGTCAAGCAGGAGATAAGTGGGGAGGGGGAGAAGGAGCAAGAGAATGAGAAGGAGGATTATGTTAAGGTGTGAATGTGTGAAGATGGTGTTGGAGGATTGTATGATTATCGGCTGCTATGGCGTTAGAGGCCGTGTGAGCTCGCAGGTTGAGCTGTGCTAGGATGTGGAGTTTGCTAAGGAGTACTGGTAGAGATTAGGGCTTGAGCATTTTCTAATGGAACGATGTGTGATTCAGCAACGAATGCGTACGAATATCATGGACTTAACGTGGCACCGGTGGCCAAGGCTCGGTCCTTACAAGCAAAGCAAGGTCAGGATCTGGTTGTACGCCAAGAAATAGATAGCTAATAACCTCGGAGCCTTGACAGACATCCGGGTATACCATGGTCACCCACGGCAACTCGCGCGGACTGACCCAATTACGATTTTGACGTCATGCGCTGAACCCTGCTTCTCGAGACAAACCTCTCCGCCAAAACCAACATCAACACCACCACTCGTTCCGATCAATCAATTGCGACCATGTCGAACGCCGAACACGCAATCAAAAAGGCTGTCAATGTCGTGAAGACGGACTACGACAAGACCTATGGCTACCTCCAATCACAGACTGCTGCTGCCGCAAATGGTGTCGCGTCTAGTCGTCAAAGGTTCGGCACCGTCCTTAAATTGACGTTTGAAATCATGCTAACGTCGTGCAACAGGTTGATGAACACGGCTAAGGCTTACGCGTCCACATTCTGGGCTTATTACTTGCAGTTGTGGGAGAAGCATCCTTTTGTGACGGTATGAGTCTGATCCAGTGCATGATGTACGTGGGCTCATTCGTAATACAGGCGTTTCTTACGGTTGAGGCCAGTCTTGCCGCTATTCCCCTTGCCATCTTCGTCGGCTTCGTCCTTGCGCTCACCATCGGCGCAACCGCTACCGCCGCTGCATTTGTCGGGTTCTGGTCCGTCGTCGCTGGTTAGTCTCATCCTTTGCCTCTATCATACATGTAGTGTCATGCTGACATCTGTCGAACAGGCGCTATCTTGTTGGGCACCCTCGCTGCAACCTCCTTCGTCGGCCTCTTCATCTACGCCTCACTCCTCTCCTCCTTCATCTTCATCTCCTGGGCCCGCTGCGTCTACCTCGAAATGGGACCTATCGCCGGAACTATGCGCTTCCTCGGATACTCCCAGACTGACCGCACTCGTGTCCAGCACTACCAGCAGAGAGCTTATCAGACGGTTAAGGAGGCGCCGGGGGTCGCGGCGGGAAAGGCGAAGGAGACGGTGGGGGAGGCGAGGGAGAATGTTAAGGATACGGTTGAAAGGACCGCGGAAGGGGCGAAGAATAAGGTTTATGGAGCTGGGAATGCTGCTGCCTCGGCTACTGAGCATGTCAAGCATACGGGGTCGATGTTGATGCAAGACATGGTTCCGGAGCATGCGGGCGGTGCCAACACGTCCGCTCCTACACTTCCTGCTTACAGTATTGCTGCCAATGGATCTCAGCAAAAGGGACACGGTAATGGGATGGGCTTGATTATTGAGATGGTTGGGCCAGAGGTTGGGGCCGCTGGGAAGCCAAGTGCGGTGTTGCCGGGGTTCATGCCTGGAGTGGATGGGTTGCACGGAGTGGAGCAGAAGCCTATGGCTGCTTGAGCTCATTTGATTCTTAAAACTATATTGGTAGTGCTATTTTTGGTTTTCGATGCTTCTTGATATCTGATATATCCTCCATTTATTCTTTAACTCGCGCTTAGGGTCTTCTGAGCCCTGCCACTCATTGGCTTATCCCCGCCACAGCATCAGCCGCAGTAAATCCCCCCTCCACCGCAGCGAATTTCCGCGACCTCGAAGAAAAGTCCTCCGTGCTTGTCGACCAGTCAACTTTAAGGTATGTTGCGAACCTCGTCAAGTTGTCATTTCGAAACCCTGGCGTGATGGTTTTTCTGTGATCGATGTCTTGGGGTTCTCTCCTCCGTCTTCGGAGTTCTGTTGGGAGTGTATGCGTCGTTGGGGGTCGGTGGGGATGAAGATGGTTGCGGGACGAGGAGAGGGCTTTGAGATGTTGATATCATGTGAAAGGCTTTCCGCGATCATAACGTTATCCTATGGCGTTCTCCGACTCCAATTGGAGAACGTCGATGATGGATCTAGCTATGACACCGCGCGAAAGGGATCCCTGCTCTCTGTCTTTGACCGGGCATGAATGCACATCCACGCACGTTCAGCTTTTGCTATGAGCTTCTTGAACCTCTCCGGAGGCACTCTCGAACGCTCCAAGGGTCGAATATTGACTTTTTGTGATTGAACAGGTAATATCTCCTCGCCACATCAGTCAATATGCGTGCCTCCGTCTTGAACGACTGTTTGAACAACATCAACAACGCTGAGAAGCGTGGAAAGCGTCAGGTCTTGATCCGTCCTTCCTCCAAGGTCATCATCAAGTTCTTGTCTGTCATGCAGAAGCACGGTACGTTTATTCCTGAAAACCAGAACTCGTTCTGAAGGGGCGTTGGTGGGTTGGGTGTTTGTCTTCGCTGCGCTTTGCTTCCCGTGTTTCACCGGGTGATAACTACTTGGGGGATCGCTACCTACGACCCTCGAGCTTTAATGTCCCGGAAGATTATTTCCTACAGCGAAGACTTACACGCCAACGCTTGCGTTGAACCATCAACACCCTTTAACGAGTTTTGGTGTTTATTTCTTCGACACATCTTCTGACGTCTCATGTCCAGGCTACATCGGCGAGTTCGAGGAGATCGACGACCACCGTTCCGGCAAGATCGTCGTTCAGTTGAACGGTCGTCTTAACAAGTGCGGTGTCATCTCTCCCCGCTTCAACGTCCGTTTGACGGACATGGAGAAGTGGGTTTCCCAGCTCCTTCCTTCCCGTCAGTTCGGTTACATGATTCTCACCACCTCTGCTGGTATCATGGACCACGAGGGTATGTTACTGTCATCTTCGGAGAAACAAAGAACGGATGCTAACAATCTTTGCAGAGGCTCGTCGCAAGCACGTTGCCGGAAAGGTTCTCGGTTTCTTCTACTAGACGGTTCGCAAAACCCCGGATATGCGAGGAGAATAAAAATTACCTTTTGAAGTACCTTTGTCCAATGTCCATCGTAATTGTCATCGTGAATTCCTGTCATAAGAACGGGTAGAACCTTAACTTCTATGAGACCGGTAGGTATGCCTGTCAGGTACGGCGCCGGCAGCATTTCGCAACGCTCGACATTTGTGCTGAAAGTGCATGCCTGTAATCCAGACAGTCATTCGCAGGCTTTCACCGAGGATCTTTACTGGTAATCAAATCCGTACTTTTTCTCGCTCTCTGTCCGCTATGGTCCACCCCGAATCCGGCTCCCCCTTCGACCGCAATCAGCTCGAGGAGCTCCTCAGGAAGAGGTTCTTCTACGCTCCCGCTTTCCAGCTCTACAACGGTGTTGCTGGTCTCTACGATTATGGACCACCGGGATGTGCTATCGAGGCGAACATTACTGATCTCTGGCGTAAGCACTTTGTTCTCGAGGATGACATGCTCGAGGTTTCTACCACCATGTTGACCCCCGAGAACGTCTTGAAGACTTCTGGTCACGTCGACAAGTTCGCCGACTGGATGTGCAAGGACCCTAAGACTGGAGAGATTTTCCGTGCGGATCACTTGGTTGAGGAGGTTCTTGAGGCACGATTGAAGGGTGACAAGGAGGCTCGTGGTGTTGCTGAAGAGGCTCCCAAAGAGGAGGATGACAAGAAGGCCAAGAGGAAGAAGAAGGTCAAGGAGATCAAGGCTGTCAAGTTGGAGGATGCTGTTGTGCAGGAGTACGAGGAAGTTTTGGCCAAGATCGACAACTACGACGGACCCCAGTTGGGCGAGTTGATCGCCAAGTACAAGATCCGCAACCCTGCTACCGACGGTGAGCTCACTCCCCCCATCGCCTTCAACCTCATGTTCGAGACCGCTATTGGTCCCTCTGGTGCCTTGAAGGGCTACCTCCGTCCCGAGACTGCTCAGGGTCAGTTTTTGAACTTCAACAAGCTTCTCGAGTACAACAACGCCAAGATGCCCTTCGCATCTGCTTCCATCGGAAAGTCCTTCCGTAACGAGATTTCTCCCCGTGCTGGTCTCCTCCGTGTCCGTGAGTTCTTGATGGCTGAGATCGAGCACTACGTCGACCCTCTGAAGAAGGATCACTCCCGCTTCAACGAGGTCAAGGACATCAAGATGAAGTTCTTGCCTAAGGATGTTCAATCTGCTGGTAAGACCGATATCACTGAGATCACCATTGGTGAGGCCGTTGAGAAGGGTATGGTCGACAACACCACCCTTGGATACTTCTTGGCTCGTATCTACCTGTTCTTGACCAAGATCGGTATTGACCCTACCCGCATGAGGTTCCGTCAGCACATGGACAACGAAATGGCTCACTACGCCTGTGACTGCTGGGATGCTGAGTTGCAGACTTCCTACGGCTGGATCGAGTGTGTTGGATGCGCTGACCGTTCCGCTTACGACTTGACTGTGCACTCTAAGGCTACCGGTGAGAAGCTCGTCGTCCGTGAGGCTTTGGACGAGCCTTACATCCAGAAGGACTGGATTGTCGAGACCAACAAGAAGAAGTTCGGACCCAAGTTCAAGCGTGATGCCAAGGCTGTCGAGGACACTCTTGAGAAGTTGTCAAACGAGGAGAAGCAGGCTCTTGGTGAGCAGCTCGAGAAGGAGGGTAAAATCACTGTTACTGTTGAAGGACTCGGTCAGGTCGAGGTTGAGAAGGACTTGATCCTCGCCATCGAGGAGCGCTCCACCAAGATCTCCACCCGGGAATACACCCCCAACGTCATCGAGCCCTCATTCGGTATCGGCCGTATCCTCTACTCCCTCGTCGAGCACTCCTTCTGGACCCGTCCTCAGGACATCCAGCGTGGTGTCTTGTCTTTCCCTCCTATCATTGCGCCTACGAAGTGTTTGTTGGTTCCCCTTTCTGGTAACGAGGTCTTCAAGCCTATTGTGAAGGAGTTGGGATACAAGCTCCGTAAGGCTGGTATCTCCAACAAGGTTGATGATTCTAGCGCTGCTATTGGAAGGAGGTACGCTCGTAACGACGAGTTGGGTACTCCTTTCGGTATTACGGTTGACTTCCAGACCGTTAAGGATGGATCGTAAGTGTTTCCCCGATCTTCACTTTCTGAATAAAGCTAACGATCTATCTAGCATTACCCTCCGTGAGCGTGACTCTACCAAGCAGATCCGTGCGTCGCCGGAGGAGATTATTGAGGTCATGGAGCAGCTTATTGAGGGCGACGCCAAGTGGGAGGACGTCCTTGCCAAGTACGGAGAGTTCACCGGCCAGCAGCTCGACGATTAGAGAGCGGCCGGGCGTCAAGAGGCGACGGAAGCAAAGTAAAATACGAATATAGTACAGTAAAGATCTTAATGCAAACCTCATTCCAGGCTTCATCCGTTCAGGTCGAGACGTCATGCGTTTATGCCCGGCGTCATTCTGCCTCCTCCTCCGTTCTCCACAGACAGCCCGGGTGCAGGCAACACGCCTCCAGGGACAAAAAGCGATACAACCGGTTGTCATGGGTGTCTCTGAAGCGTATCCATATCTCCGCATTCGGGGGGTTGGGTTATGCTTGTTTTCCTTTTCGAGCGCCTTACCTGCCCCAAACAGGCCAGCCCCCTCGACTGGTGCGCTCTAACACAAAGGAATGGAGTTAGAGCCAAACAACGCAACCAACCTACAGAGCAGCATGAACGCCGAATCAGCTGTGTCAGAAAGATCGGACCATATGGAAAACGGCTGGAATGGCGGGTATCTGCGTGCCTGTGCAACCGCGTGGGTGGTACAGACCGTCGAGGGGGGCTTGATCGGCGAGGCGGTCCGTTATCCCTCTCCAATTTATTGTGCCGGCCCGCACATTCTGAGCAAGGTCCTCTATTCGACACGTAATCCACTCCAAACGCTCTTTCAATAAAACCGCAGTATCCGCTCCCTTGTCTCGGCTCTCTACCACTTCGACGACTCGACATCTTCTTTACGACATAAAGACTTTCGTTCTTTCTTTCACGAACAACCGATTGCTAGTTACAACCGGTTCTTTCACTACATTTCGACACTTCATCATCGATCAAATACAAGTTTAACTCCACGAAAACATGTCTCGCTCTCGATCTTCCATGTTCGGATTCTTCTCCAAGAAGGCCACTCAGGAGACTCAGCTCCCCACGCTCAACGAGCTCGATGCCGATAACGACATGCTCGCTACTTCCGCGTTTGACGAGATTTCTTTGGACGACTCGAACACGAACGCCATCACCCCTCGTTTCGAAAAGTTGCACGCACTATACATTTCTCGCACAGCTTCTCTCCGGTCTGCGTTGACGTCTATCCGCGAACTCACCACTCGTGCCGAGAAGGCCGAGCACATTGTCAGGGTTCGGGAGGAGAGGATTAGTGTTTTGGAGGAGGGAGAGACTGCTGCTATGGCCACCATCCAGGAGTTGACTCGCCGTTTGCGTCTGGCAGAGGAGCGTGCTGAGCAAGCTGAGGACCAGATTGAGGACTTGAAGGAGGGCCAGAAGGCCTTCCGCAACCAGATCGTCCACCTTACCGACGAGCTTGGTCAGGCTCAGGAGGAGATTACTCGCCTTTCCGCCTGGAGCGTGGAGGGCATCGAGAGATCTCCATCTACTGCCTCTTCATCTGCCGCTTCCAGCCCAGCTCGTGTCAGAATTGCAAGGGCGGATTCTGGCTACGAGGGAAGTTCCCGTGGTGGTTCTCCCGATGTTGAGGATGAGCAGGAGTTGAGGTCGGAAATCATGCGGTTGAGGAAGGAGAACGAGATGTTGCACAATGAGGTTGAGAGGCTCGAGCAGGTCAATGACGAGGTTGCCATGCTCTTGAACGGAGAGCTCTGAGCCGGTTTGGGATGATGTGTACGATTGATGATTTTTGTTTCGGGTATATTGGCGTTATTGACATGGATGTTTTCCCAGGGTTTTAACTATAGCTATTTTCATCTGACGAGCTGAAAGAGGCAGGATCCTTTCGCTTGGTCTTTTCACTTTTATTCGTTACTCAAATCCAAGAGAAATTGGAACCTCCTTCAAACATGCTCATCTTCCATGGTTTTGTCCCTTGTCCAACTCTATTTTCCGGTTCATGCCAGGAGCGGCAACTTTAGGCACGGCCGCGGCGGCGCGCGTCTGGATTGGCGCCCGCAGGAGTTGACTGCCCAAACCGTAGAAGATACCTCTTTATCCCAAACACCCCCCCCTACCAGTCCAATTCGACAGAAAGGGACCGCATATAGGCAGTCGACTGTTTGAGATATCATTGAGGACGCTGCTGGTACACCGTTCTTTCACATTTCTTGTGCTAAACCTCGTTCACGACCGAGGACGACCTTCCTGTTCTTCACGCGAGCACTGCTGAGTGCGGTCGAGCGTGTATTTACGCGACATATACGACAAACGAGATGCCTTCCTTTACGGCAGCTTACCCTCCATCACCGGATCCCTCGCGGTTCTTGAACCCAGGCGCAGCGCCCTCTCCACCACAGACAAAGCCGTACTCGAACTCGACATCTTCATCCCCACGGAGCCCTGCCTTGCGTTCTGCAAGTAGCAACGGCGAGCTCAAATCTGGCTGGGCGTCAGTGAAGGAGGATGGTCTCCGCGCGTGGATTTGGTCAAAGAAGTGGTTGGTGTTGAGAGAGGGGAGTTTGGGGATGTGCAAGAACGAGACGAGTACGGCGCCCACCGTGTTGATTTTGTTGAAGGATGTGGTCAGCGTGCAGAGAGTTGAGGTCAAGCCTTATTGTTTCGAAATTCAGACGAAGGCACGGACGTGGTTGGTCAGTTTGAAGGGCGATGGAGAGTTGTATTCGTGGATGGATGAGATTTATTCGGTGCGTCGAAAGAGTAGCCTTTCTTCTACAATGTGCTGACACATTCACATACAGCGGTGCCCACTCATGGGTGTTTCAAACCCTACGAACTTTACTCACCAGGTCCATGTCGGCTTCGATCCTATCTCTGGCGGCTTCACCGGCCTTCCCGACGAATGGGCGAAACTCCTAACAGCATCCGCCATCACGAAGGAAGATTACGCAAAAAACCCTCAGGCAGTTATCGAAGTTCTCGAGTTTTACTCTGATATCCGGAAGAAAGAGCAGGAAGAGTTTGGTGGTCGTCAGCAGCCTGCAGGATTCCCGGCTAAGCCTGGAGCGAATGACGCTTGGGCGAGCATGTCCCACAAGGATGTACCGAAGAACAAGCTGCCCGCGGCGGCACCACCTGCACCACGGGTTCCTCAGGAAGCATTCAACAGGATGAATCTTGGACCGTCTGGACCCAGTCCGCAGAGACCCGCACCGGCACCACCTCAAGTCCAGCGACCATTGTACCAGATGCAGCGGACGCAAACGGACAATGTTGGTTTGAGCGTCCAGCCACGCCCAGCACCCGACCACCCCATTCAGCCTCCGAACGTGCGACCAAGAACGCCGCTGGGTCCCGTTCAGCAGACTAATGGCGTTCATGGTATGCCTACGCCTATGAAGACTCCGAGCCCGTTGCCGGTAAAGAGGATTGATGCACCGGTCCCTATGGCGAATGCTGCTGCCGCGGCAGCGGGTAAGGCTATGGGTCAAAGTCCACACATGCCCCAACAGATGCCCAGGCCGAATATCATTCCCCAGCGTGCGGCACCTCAGATGCCTCCCCAGCGAGTTCCAGCTCGATCGATGCCGTCCGCTGCGCAGCAGTTCACTAAGCCGCTGAATGTTCCCGCGCAGAAGCCCGCTTCGAAGCCGACGAGTCCGCCGCCTGTGGTTCAGGTCAAGAAGCCTGGTCAAGGCGGTGAGAAGCGCATCAGTGCTATGAGCGAGAGTCAGATCATGGAGAAGTTGAGGAGTGTGGTTAGTACCGGCGACCCCAACACGCTCTACAGCAAGATCAAGAAGGTTGGGCAGGGTGCGTCTGGAAGTGTGTATGTCGCGAAGCAGTTGACCGGAGGCTCGAATAAGGTTGCGATCAAGCAGATGGATTTGGCGCATCAGCCTAGGAAGGAGTTGATTGTGAACGAGATCTTGGTGATGAAGGAGAGTAGGCATGATAATATTGTCAACTTCCTCAATGCCTTCCTTGTTGGTTCGACGGAGTTGTGGGTTATTATGGAATTTATGGAGGGTGGAGCTCTCACTGATGTCATCGACAACAACACCCTTGAGGAGGACCAGATTGCGGCGATTTGTGCGGAGACGGCAAAGGGCTTGCAGCACCTTCACTCCCAAAACATCATTCACCGAGATATCAAGAGTGATAACGTCTTGTTGGATGCGGCAGGTCATGTGAAGATCACGGACTTTGGGTTCTGTGCGAAATTGACGGATCAGAAGAATAAGAGGGCGACGATGGTTGGAACGCCGTATTGGATGGCTCCTGAGGTTGTGAAGCAGAAGGTATGCCGCTGAAAACTATGATGGTAGTCTTGTACTCCCATGCTAATTTGACATACAGGAATACGGCGCAAAAGTCGATATTTGGTCGCTCGGTATCATGGCCATCGAGATGATCGAGAACGAGCCACCCTACCTCGACGAAGAACCCTTGAAGGCACTCTACCTCATCGCGACGAATGGTACACCGACGCTGAAGAAGCCGGATAGGCTCAGTGCGGAGTTGAAGCAGTTCTTGGCGGTATGCTTGTGTGTGGATGTCAGGAGTCGTGCGACTGCGAATGAGCTGTTGAAGCATCCCTTCTTGGGTAAGGCGTGTAGTTTGTCGAGTTTGGCGCCGTTATTGAAGTTTAAGACTGCGAAGTCGTGATTTGCTGTTTGCTTAGAAGAGAATCCAGAGAGACGAAGGAGGTGGAAGAGCTTGAACTTTTTTGGCATGTTGGCGCATGTGTTGCGGAGTATACCGCGTCGCTGGTTCGACACAAATCTAGAAGACACATCTTGTTTTCGATAATATTTAAGCAAATTCCTATGCTGCTCATACCCGCTCTGCCATCCAATCCTTCCAAGCCTGAACATCATTCTTATCCACACTCCCCGACACTACATCAACCTCCATACCCTCCAGCATCGCAAACTTGAAATCCTCCCCCTCCCATCCCAGGAGCTCTTTGTCTTCGTCGTCCTCACCTTCTGCGAGGGAGATTTCGGCGGAGCGGGCTTTGCGGATTTTCTCGATTTCGGCCTCCAAGAGGGTTTTGACGCGAGGAGCGGGGAGGGCAGTGAAAAGGTCTGATTTATTACAGGCGATCAACACCGGCACAGCGGTCTTGACCTTCTGCAACCGTACAAGCAGTGCGTACAGTTGTTCCGCCACGGCACGGATCGCGTCCGGACGCGCAAGGGCAGCGGAGTCGATGACGAAGACGAGGCCTTTGGGTGTGTTGAGAGCCAGCTCGGCTTCGAAGAGGTGTGCCAGTTTTGGGTGGCCGGGGAGATCGACGAGGCGGGCTGTGCGGTCGGCGAGGGTGAGGGTGAGGGATGTGGAGGTGTTTGGGTGTTGGGAGGTGTGTGTTGGGGATTTCTTGCCGAATTGCAGCTGCAAATAATGATAGGTTAGAGATAAATTTAAGGCAAGGGAAGAACTCTCGAGTGGACGTACCAAGGTGAAGAGTGCGGTCTTACCGCCGTTGCATGGACCAACGAGGAGGATTGTTGGCTGAGAGGAGGCGGCAGAGAAGGAGAGGAGGTAAGCAAGGACTGCAGCGAGTCCCGCCACCACGATCGTCGCAATGATCAATAGAATCGAAGCCATTCCTACGACGTTCTCGCGGTGTTTTCTTCCCGGTCGCGACTTTCGACGTCCTCGACGCGGCCGGGTTTCGTGTTCGGTTGGCGCCGGCACTTTGGGCGACTCACATTGGGCAGGCACTCGTCCCAAGCATCGCCAATTAAGGTTCACCAGCCAAGCACACAGTTAAGGGGCTCCCCGTCATCATTGAACAAGGCCCTCGCGGATATGGCCTCTGCGATCCATCACCATAAGGCCGTACAGTATGCCCAACAACTGGAGACGGCGCGGTGTAGCGGCAATTGGACAGGCATCGCGGAATTGGCCCGGAAGTTGCAGAAACATGATTCGAAGCGGGTGTGTGTAGCGAGGACTGCGGTTGCGGAAGCGAGTTTGGAGGGGTTGTTGGAGGGAAGTGGGCATCAGGGGATTGGGAGTAGTGAGAGTATTGGGTCGAAGAAGATTGCGGGGAGGGGGGTGGAGGAGGTTATTCAGCAATTGAAGGGCGCGATGGAGGAGAGTGGGACGGAGACTGATAAGCATGAGGCGAGTATTGTTTTGGCTCAGGCATATCTTGCGCTTGGCCAGTACTCCGACGCAGCACGCGCTTGTCAGCATGAATTGCTTCTTCAGACTCCTGTCGCGTCACTCTCAGGATATCGAATGGTCTCGGTTATGAAGTGTTACGGCATTTACGGTATGGCGAAAGAGGGACTGGGCGAGGACAGTGTTGCACTGGAGGTCTACACGCGTGCTCTCCAACATCTTCCAGTATCGGAGAAGCCAGCAGTGATGGAGGTCGGCGTGATGGAGACGATACTTTACCGGAAAGCACTATTGACGGAGCGAATGACGAGAGAGTCTGAACCGGTTATTCAGTCATTCGAGCGTTATCGCGTGTTTGTGGCTACGACATGCCCCAAAACATTCCGGTTAAATCGACGAGCGAATGTTTATCGACATTACTATCAATATCTCTCTGCTATGTTGCAACAAGAGTATGCTGAGGATGAGGAGGCAGATTCAGAGGTTGTCCCGGCAAGCGCCGCAGCATCACCAGTGTCCGAAACTTTCCATTCACCACTTGGACCACCAGCGCCTGTACAACAACCTGCGGTGAACGGAAATGGGTTTGGTAACGGAGTATCGCCGCATCTCGTCCTGAACGAGGTCGTTGCTGGTGGCGATAGCAACGGCCTCGCAACTTCACACGGCACCGGTACCTACTCACCCACGACATCTGCCGCGATGCCCGTAGTCCACCACATCACCCCGCCAACCCCAACAACCTCTCACCTGCCCCCCACCCGCCCCCGCATAAAACGCAAAACAACCGTCGCCGCCCAGCAAATATACTCCCGCCTCCTCCTCCTGTCCCCAACCTACGAAGACCTCCTCCACAAAACAACCACATTCCCGCGCGCCGGTTTCACCAATACCGCACTCCTCTCCTACCTAGACCTATTGTGCTCGAATTGGTCGTTGCATTCAGGGAGCGTGGAGGAGGCGGAGGGTATTGTGGAGGTGCTTTATAGAGCTACGGGGAAGACGTTTCAGAGTGTTAGGGTGTTGAGGTGGTTGAGGGTCATGCTTGAGAGATTGGGGAGGTGGGAGGAGGGGGCGAGGGCGGTGGAGGCTTATGTGGATTTGGTGGAGAAGGGGTTGGAGAGGCATCCGGATGCGGTGGCCATGGGGTTGGGGAGGGTTGATACAGCGGCTGGTGGGGAGGTAGGGGAGAGGGAGGGGGAGGATATGGATACGAAGGAGGTTATTGTTGGGACGGTTGCAGATGGGGCGAGAATGGTTGGGAAGTATCTTCAAAAGGTTAGCCTCCGTCGAGATAAGCTGAAGATGAATGCTAACGGAAATGGACAGGGCAAGGATGCATTGATGTATGCAGAGAAAGCACGGATGTATCTCGAGAAGTGGGGGTTGGAGGGGGATGCGGCGTTAGCGGCGAAGGTGTGGAGGGTATTAGGTGTTGCGCATGGGCTGTGGTCTGAACAGAGTAAGTGTGCCAAAAAAGCTGACCATGTTCGGTTTTGCTGACTTGACTTGCAGCTATTGAATCTGAAGAACGTACGGTGCAGCAGCAGAAGGCCATCCAAGCGTTGCAGCGGTCTCTGGACTACGAGCAGTCTGCTGAGACTTTCTTCCATATTTCGTTACAGCTTGCAGTGACGCGTGCTATACCTGAAGCTATTACTGCTGTTAAGCAGGCACTTCATCACGATAAGCACCTTTTGCCCGCATGGCACCTCCTCGCTCTTCTCCTCTCTGCACGGAAAGAGAACGAGAAAGCCCTTCGAATTTGTGAGACTGCCTTCCAGCTTATGGATGACACGCAAACCCCGGCGAGTCTGGGCTATGAAGAGAAGGAAACATTGTCACAGCTCAAGATCACGGAGTGTGCGTTGTATGAAGCCGCGCATGGTATCGAGGCTGCTATCGAGAGGCAGGGTGAACTGTTTGAGTTGTGTGCGAGGATGTCGATTACTGGGCCCGTCAATGTGCAAGACGCTATGGCTACGGAGTCATCATCCCCGCTGAACCCCCCACCGAAGTTAGAGTTGAATGGGAGTTCGGTAGTGGATCAGGATGCGACTGAGCGTGCTTCGCTCATGAGTTCTCGGAGGTCGATACGCTCCATGCTTGGTCGGAAGCGTGAGAATAAGAACCGGTTATCGATGTCGAATAGCCCGTCGCTGATGAAGCCGAGTCTCGATATTCCGCGACCGCAGACAGCGCCACCGAAGCATAACGAGGTGAACGAGAAGTTACCTTTGCCGAATCAGAGCCCGAGCATTTCGAATGTTCAGGTTAATCCCACATACCCTGGAGAGAAACCTTCACTGCTTGAGACGCACGAGAAAGAGGCATTAGGGAGGTGTTTGCTGAGTGTTTGGCTCGCATCGGCTGGGATGTTTCGTCGTGCGGGTAAGTTCACGGAGGCACATGCTGCTGTACGGGAAGCGAGACGAATCAAGAACGAGGATCCGGATGCGTTAGCGCAGTTGGGGATGATTTATCATGAGCAAGGCGAGTATGAGACGGCATGTACTGCGTTCGAGATCGCAACTGCCGTCGATATGGATCATCCCGTCGCGAATGCCTGTCTCGCACGAACGCTTCTCGCGCTGTCCCATGCTGACCAACCAGCCGCACGCGATCGCGCAGAAGGTTTGTTGGACGTGGTAACGAAACTCCGCGGGTGGGATATACCCGAAGCATGGTTTGATCTTGCGGAGATCTATGAGCAGTTGGAGGAGCATGAGGAGGCGGAGAGTTGTTTGTGGTACTGTGTTGATTTGGAGAATACGAGACCTGTGAGGAGATGGGAGAGTGTTGTGCCGAGATGGGTATGAAAAGGGAAGGATGGGGTAAGCTATAGGACCTGGTATCTGCATTGATTTGGAGCATCACGATGGGGGTTTGGTCCACAAATCTATACCTAGGGAAGTTTGAGTAATACAAGCCGTGACAGAATTGTCTTCGTCGTATACGTATGCACGAAGCTGCAGGGTTTGAACACCGTACGACCAAACAGGACAAATTACGTACGAACCCCAACACCCTCAAGCACCCCAATAATGTCCAAAAGACCCGCTTCCAAGACCTCAGGGACCATCACAAAGAAGGCCAAGCTCGCGCCCTTGCTCCCATCTGTACCTTCCAGCACCTCGACTGCAGCATTCCGTGTGATTGCAGGATCGTATGAGCATGTGCTGTATGGCCTCGACGCCATGTTCGATTCGGCGGCTGGGAAGGGAAGTGATGCACACATGGAGCCCGTCTTTATCTTCCCGGCACATATGGCTGCAATGAAGACCCTCGCTGTTGGAGGAAGGTATTTGGCCTCGGGGGGGGCAGACGAAATCATCAAACTCTACGACCTCAAACTCCGGAAAGATCTCGGCACACTACATGCTCACAACGGCTCCATCACACACCTCTCCTTCCCCACAAAACAGCACTTATTGTCGTCTGATTCGACTGGAACGATTGTTGTCTGGAGAACAAAGGATTGGGAAAATATGGCGACGATGAAACAGAAATCCTCGGTACAAGGCGGTAAGAAAGGGATTACATCTTTCGCTGCTCACCCATCCGGGAAGATTGCGCTCTCGGTCGGTGAAGATCGTCGTGTCACTTTGTGGAATCTCATGACTGCCCGCCGTGCCGCAGTGAACAAACTCCCCCTCCAACCAACTAAACTCGGCGATCCACTCAGTGTTGCGTGGTCACCCTCAGGCGACAGATACGCAGTGATGTTTGATAGACATCTTGTTGTGTACGGGACTGCGACACAGACGGTTGTTGGTGGAGCACAGTGTGTTAGTAAGATGCATTGCTTTGCGTGGTTGGATGAGGAGCGGGTTGTGATTGGGCACGAAGACACCAAGATCCGTGTATGGAATCCCATAGCACCTCCCGAAACCGAAGACGTTGAACGTCATCGTGGTATCGAGATCCAGGCCTGGACAGGCCACCGCGCACGCGTAAAGTGCATCGAACGCGCACCCACCCCTAACACCAATATCTTCGTCACCGCTTCCTCAGACGGCGAGATCAAGCTCTGGCGAGTTGGGTCCGAACTCACGGGGGAGGAGAACAAGGGAGGAGAAGAGGTGGAGGAGACAAAGGAGATTGGGAGTTTTGAGTGTGGGAATAGGATTACGTGTTTGACGGTTGCGGATGTTGGGCATGTGGAGAAGTTGAAGGAGGAGGTGGTAAAGACTGAGGTTGAGAGTGATGGGGAGGGGGAGGGGGATGAGGAGTAGGTCCTCTTGTCGGTGGTATGGAGCAGATCAAGCATATTCAAGAATACTTTCTGGCCTCATCTTGCTCGGGTCTAATGAGTCATGCGAAGGCGAACATCGACACTCCGTAGAGCTAACCTTGCGAACAGAATAGCTTCCCTGTGAGTGAAGCCGGAGAATTTCCCTTCTGCGTATGCACCAAGCTGCACGGTCCGAACCCACGACGAAGCTCCGGCGAGTACACCCCATATGCATCAGCGAAGGACGTCAATCCATCCTTGTCCTCTGTGCCACCTCATTTATACTCTGGGTCGTACAACCCCCACCAAGCTGTCGCTGTCGAAACGCAAGATTCGGGTGTTTATTCGGGCGTGGGAACAGCGCATAGCCCTCAGTACAGAACCCCTGCTCAACGATGCTAGCAATCAAGACTTTCATAAAGCTGAGGTCGAAGAAATGGAACGCCTCTTCAGCTCCATGTTAACTTCTGTGGCACGCATAACACTCAGGCTGGGCGCTCGTCTCCAGATGATGTTGAAGGCCGTGAAGCGTCTGTCGGGGAGTGTCAGGACGAGATGATCGCCATGACAGCCAGAAGCAAGGCTGGAGCTGCTAAGGACTTGTCGTCGGGTGAGCAGGAGAGTGACGTCGTGAGTCATGAAGTGACAAAAGATGAGGCGGACGCTGGTGACAGCGAGGGCGAGATTGTCGGACCCACCTCAATCGATTTCTCTGACACTCCGTTGTCATCGGACTAGAGTGAAGTTTGAATTATAATGGATCATTGGGGTTGTATACCAGGAAGTTTTCTACTATTCTTAACGTAAGTGGGCATATGGGATATCGCTTGATACGCGTCGAGAACGAATATATTGCAGTTCACCGGATGTTTTCGTTCCTAATCCATATCAGTATAAGTCCTGGACCTGCCAAACCGCCTTAACCCTCCAAGAACCACATCAAAAACTCCTTCCTCCGCCTCGCCTCTGCCGCATCCTTTCGGACCTCCCACTTCTCGCCCACCACCAGCACGTCACCAAACACTCTCGCAAACTCCTCCCGCGCAAAATGCGGATTCCGCTTTCCATCTTGACTCATAGCACTGACCAGTTCCTTGATGAATCCGGTGATATAGAGGAATACCATCGCGTTGGGGATACTCAGATCATCCACGATTCTGTGTGCTTCTTCTTTGGAGTTGGCCCCATAGGTGATGACGTGTGAGTACATTGTGTGGGGGATGACGCCCCCTGGTACCGCTGCTAGAAACTTCAGAAGTACTGAGATAATGACTCGAGGGTCTTCGTCGGGTGCTACATCGTCGCCGGCGTCGATTGCGCGGATGATCCGTTGTTCTGCTTCATGGTCGTCGTTGTCACTTTGCACCAACATGTCTGGTGCCGCAGCCCAATCCTTATTCTTCACGAACCAATCGGTTAACCGCCATAGCTCCAGTGGCAGCGAGTAGGCAGTTGTAACCTCCTTTTCCGACGATTCTTTCAAGCTTCGCTTCTCGCACAAGTCTTCTGCATTCTTGTGTTCCATTCCCAGGATTTCAAGTGGTTGTGCGAAACATGTGGGTCGAACGGTTGCGCGCACAGTGATGAAGCGGTCTTCCTCTTTCCGCTCTCCTTCTTGCCCGTCGGCGTCTTCGGTCTCCAATCGTAGTACAATGAGGGCCCGTAGTCCTCGCTCTCTGCCTGGTGTTGCGTTGATCCGTGCAACCACGTCAGGATCCCTCAAATCAACCATAACCTTAATATCTGTCGTGGGATGATCCGTGTCATGATCTTTCTCTGAATGTTTCAATGGGATGATCCCTTCCCTGGGCAACACCTCCAACCAGCTTGGATCCTCCCTCACCGACTCGTGCCCACTGGCCTCCCGTACTAGCACAACCTGCCACCCAACGACCTTTCTCCCCATATTTTTCAGCACAATCTTCCGTTCAACATATTCTCCGACTCCAATCTCCTCAACCTCAATATCATCATCACTGACAGTCTCGACCTTCGCCTCACCCGTTACATTCTCAGCCGAATTCGCCAAGATCTCCAGTGCGGCCTCGATCATCTCCTTCTTTTGTTGGTCCACGCTCTCGACTGATAATGAGAACGTTGCGGCGACAGGTTTGTGGTCACTCATCGTATAGTCCATAAAACTCTCATATGACCGTACCTCCACATCTCCCGTCTGCTCACCCCTCTCGTGATCGCGCCTACTCCACCACATCACCCTATCACACCAACTTGGTACGCGGCTCTTCTCGCTCGAATCCAAGATATCCCGCGTGCCCACATCATACTTAAACGTCGGTTCGAAAGTGATTTCACCTTCCCTCCATCCATCCTCAACCGGAAAGGCCCGGTTTGCGTTCATCTCGTGCCGTAGCTGATCATACGGCAGCAACAACCTTCTCTCAATCGGCGCTTCCGGCAATAGGAAGGACCGCGCGGTCTGTGCGGGGAGGTCTATCCGATAATTCAAATCCCCACACCAGAAAACATGATCCGTATCCTCAAAGATCCCATCTCCACCACGATCAAACATCAGTCTCCTACAGATCTCATGAAAATCCGCATTCCGCCTATCCACCATATTCGTCTGCGCAGCCAAATGCGATCCAATGAAGACCAAACTCGTATCCCACACACGCAATTTAATCCCCACGGCTCCCTTGTTGCCGATCATACCCATGATACCACAGGCTACGGAGCCGGTTTCGACGCCGCTGAGGACTGGCACGATGGAGGCGTGTGCGAAGACGAAGAGCATGATACCCACGAGCTGTCGTTGTGCGATTTTGGTGTAGGATGAGGAGTCGCCAATCGTGGAAAGGATTACTGCAGCCCAGGAGTTTGCGATGGTGTCGTCGGTGCGGAGGTATGCTTCCGTTGAAAGATCCGCTTCCTGGAGTGCGACCACGTAGAGCGCGGGGAGGTCACGCCTCTCTCCTCCTTCCCAGTCATCGTCTTCCTTCACCGGCGCGCCCTGTTCATTCTTTGGACACAGCCATTCCCGTAGATCCTTGTCGGATTTCTCAGGTAGTCTTCCGTTTACGTTCCAGGTTCCGATACGGACTGGTATCCGTACTTTATCGACATACTCCACTCGCCTGCGCTCAAGCTCATACTCCATCCACCTCGATCGCAAGCTTTGTCTTTCTTCCACTACCGACGGCCCCGGTGATACCGGAAATGTTCCAGGCAGTGTCAACGTCTCCGCGCTCTCTTTATGCGGCGGTGCCATAATACTGTTTATCGAGGGTAATGTCTCGAGCGATGGTTGCTTAGTGATGACTGCTTGGATAATAACTGGAGAGATATCTACTAGTGCTGAAGGAGACTCAGGAGGGTTATCGGTGTCGTGTTGGTGGGGTAGAGGCGCGGTGTGTGAGGTTTCTTGCGAAGTGAGCGTTTGAAAGAGTGGAAGGCAGGGTATGAAGGCCTTGGAGAAGCAGCTATTTGAGGAGCCCGTACTGGCTGTACTTGTGCTGTTTTAGGGAGTATAGATAGAGCCTTCGACTCCTTTCTGCTTGGTGGTGAATGCTCTTGGGGGTGCTTCTTCGGTGAACGGTCGGTTCAGGGTGCAGCTGCAAGTGACGTCGATCAGCACAGCTGCTGCCCAGCCGGAGCGAAATTATGGAGTGGAAACCTTGGAATTCGTATATCGTATGACAAACACTCATCTCTTGAAAATGCATGAACCCTTAAAGAACACTCCAAAGCCCTTCGCTAAGGCTGATGCCTCTTTGAAGCCGGTCCATCATCAATATCACACAAGATATCGCTCAACGTAATACTCTCCCTCGACATCGCCCTACCCCTCGTCCGCCTCCTAGGTGACGCACTCCTCGGCCTACTCTGAACTCGAAGCTTCCCCAAATCAGGCGTACTCGCCTCACTCGCAACCTGTCCTAACAGCACCTGTTCCAACGCCGACGGCAACGTAACAGAACAGTCACTCTCCCTACTCGTGCTCGCAGGTCTCCGAAACTCCGCAATCGAAGGTCCAGCCCGACTGTCCGGTCTCGAAACGGGGATCCTGACATCTGTCGTAACATGCTCACTCGACGCAACCTTGGTCCACTCCTTGGTCCTCATCGCCTCAAAATCCATGATCATGATCGTCTCAACCCTCAATCCATCCCTAAACGTATCAGCTGCCGAATACCTCCCATTCATCTCTCTCACCTCTCCCGGCCGTCCCATATGTTCCCCAACCTGTGTCGCGGTCAACTCGCACATCGACATCACCGTCTCACCCTCCGCCGCCAGCCGTTTGACGGTGATACGCGAACCATGAAACCGCGAGCGAAAGTAGTTTGTCCACTCGACCATGTGTCGGATTCCGTTGCCGCCGAAGTTGGGGTCGGAGTAGACGTGGTCGGGGTGGAGCATGCGATTGGGGATTTCGTCGCCCTTTTCGCCGGAGTTGAACCAGTCAATCCAGAGGTTGAAGGCGGCTTTGTTGCGTGTCATGACTATGAACCACGTCAGAACTCGAACAACGAGAGGATGGAACCGATCGACTCACTCGCTTCGCGTTGTAGCCAGCGATCTGGCACAGTAGGATCAGGATACGCATACGTCGGCGGTCCCCAATCTGCCCTCGTAGTCAACAACTCTACCCTCATCTCAGCCAAAGCAGGGAGACTCTCACCTTTATATGGATCCCCTTCGCTCGAGTCATCAGACGGCTCGGGTTTGATCTCAGGCATAGGCGAATCTTCTTTAAACCCAGCAGGCGGAGGCTGATATCTGCCTGGACTCGCTTGTGAGTTAATGCTTTTCAGCGGAGATGCAAACACCGGGGTATGGTGACAGTACGTGTTCCGTGACGTCCTCGAGATGCGGATGATGCCCCGCTACTCACATCCTCCACTCCGAAGTCGAACATGTATGAGAAATTGTGAGCCGGAGCTGTTTTGTGACCAGTAACTGACAAGGTGATGTGGTGTGGTGTGATATTGACAAGGTAGATAGTTGATGCGAGAGTCCAACAATGAAGTACTACTACCTTACGAACCAACAGCTTTAAGTCTCTCACTCCTTTCACCTCGGAGAATGCGGACTCTGCGGTCCCTATAAACCCTGACTCACCCCAAAGTCTCGACCAGCCGGGCACCTTTCTTTTTCATGTGGGAGGGAGATATGGCACAGTCGGCTGATACGACAGAACTGCCATTGTAGCAAATGTTTAAAGTTCAATCTGCGTTGCGGGGGCATTCTCAGCGTAAGACGCCGTGATATTCAGACATGTACAGCGGGTTATGCCACCCCCACAATTTGGGACTGTATGGCGGCGCCGGCCCGGGAAGCTCTCTGGAACTCCAGCGATAGGAAAATGAAGATTTCATACACGAGACGCAAGGTGTGATCCTCCGTGTGGTTTGGATTCGGTTTCTCCTTAGATAAGCTCGCTCGGATTCCCAACCATATCGCGGTCCGTCCCGAGTGCGATCTAATTAAGAACCGATGTGCGGTTGATTGGATTCGAGCAGGTGCCGCCGCCGCGGTAGAAGCCGCAATTTGCTCAGACCTCCCGGCCGACGGGAGGGGACACGGCTTTGTCTAAACAGGATTTTGCAAGGTCGAGGGGTCGAGGCCAGTCTTTCTTTACGGGCCTTTCTGGTTGTGAGCGTCCAACGTGTTCGTGTTTTCAGAACATTCAGTTCGCTTGTGGGTAAGGTACCCATGGGACAGGTCTAATTTGACAGTTGGTTTGACACAAAGGTACAACGATTTGTCAGCAGATGGTGAGGCTGTTTGCGGACAGCTGCAGCTGAGGTGTGAAGCCCAGTATGGAGATTAGACACATGTGTTAATAGAGTGTACTGCTTCTAGACCTAAGCCTTGGTTGGCCCAGCTGCACCTATCATAAACCGACATCACGTCGCATGATATCTTCAATGGAAGACTGCAGTGTCAGTGACAGCCTTGGCAGCCGCAATGGCTCAGTCGCTTTGTCTGGCCCTAGGACTGTGACCTGGAGCCACTGCTGGCTTTTGTGCTGTCTGTGCTGGCCTCGTTTATGGGTTGCTTTCTCTTCCCGATCCGTACCAACCTGTGTTCATCCGCCATTGATCAGAGCACTAGAGTAATACTCTAGCTCCTCGCCTTGGTCATCCACCCACACCAACGAATTCGACATCAAGTCATCCTGTACCACAAAATCAGTCCCCAACTCAACTCTTCCGTTCACCATGCTTACCAAAACAGTACTCGCCCGTGCATGATCCCACTGAAGATTAATCACCAACATCGACTTGCTAACGAATCCCAAAAGCTTAACACAAACATGTCAGTAGAATTCACTTCAAAGCAATGTTGATGTACTTGAGCTGCTTCCAGTACTGTCGCCTGATCATTACTGAGTTCGCGAGGAACGGAGCGGATCATCTTCGTACTTCCAATCGTGACGATCTCGATGCCTTTGCCGAGGGGTTGAAGTGTCTTGACGGCTCGTATGATATCCTCACTGTACGCCGTACCCGTTAGCCAGAATTCTTAAGCCATGAGTAGCAAAGCATACTCTGTAACCGGATTACCTCCAGCTCTCTGCAACCTTGCCGAAATCAACCCCCGCACTTGGCCCAGCTCAATCAACCCTCCATTCTCTTGCCTCGTCCTCCGGCAAACCTCAACGATCCTCACAGCCAACTCATAATAAAAATCCCCAACTCCAAGCATCTCACTCCAGCCCTTGATTCCACCCTTCCCACCCCTCCCACTCGAAAGAGGATCAACACCGATCGCAGCACACATCCTACTGAATTTCTCCCTAAATTCCGGATCTGAGCGGATTTCGCGGGCGTGGAGGGTAGCGAAGGAGGAGAGAGTGCTTTGGAATGTTGCGAGTTGGGAGGTGAGTTCGTCGATGTGGGTTTTCAGAAGGGCGGAGCCGAGTTCTTGGTATTGGGAGCGTTGCTGTTGGTCGCGGTCGAAGGCGGCGAGGCCGACGCCGCGTCGTTGCATCTTTGCAAGGAGTGTATGCTGTCGTTAAGACTCAGTCTTGGAGTAAATGCTGCTCTTGATCTGGAAGATACTGGGATGAATGCTCAATCGTCGACGTTCAATGTTGTTGTCGTTGTTATCTCGGCCAGCGTCACCGTACGGCGCTGGTGCCGGTAATGTCTCACCGTCAATTCCCGGATTGGGTACGAACGTCTACGTTACATAGCCCTCGTCCGACACCTCCAAGAACCCCCCACAGCCAGCGCAATGGATCCAGTAAGTCCAATGTCGCTTACATGATTGGAAAATACTAATGGACATCCAGAACGATGATGCTATGTGGGCATCGCTGCCTATGAGCTTCGGCAAGCAGACGAAGAAGGCCAATGTCTCGGCGCAATTCGAGGCGACCAAGAGAGCGAGCTCTGGCGTGCAGGGCTCAGATGCCAAAAAGGAAGAACTCAAGGCACCATCCGCCCCTAAACCACCTTCACCCCGCCGAAAACCCGCAGACGACAGCGACTCCGACCCCCTCCTCTCCGATTCTGATTCCGAAGACGGCGACAACACCTCCCTCTTTCCCATCAGCCACGAACTTGTCCTCAAAGACCACACCAAACCCGTCTCCGCTCTCTCCCTTGACCCCTCTGGGGCTCGCCTAATCTCCGGTTCCTACGACTACAATCTCAAATTCTGGGATTTCGCAGGCATGGATCCGAGTACTTTGAGGCCGTTTAGGAGTATGGAGCCGAATGAGGCGAAACCGGTACATCATGTTGAGTGGAGTATTACGGGGGATAGTGCGCTTGTTATTCCGGCGAGTTCGCAGGCGCAGTTGGTTGACCGGGATGGTGATAAGATATGTGAGTTCGTGCGTGGGGATATGTATATCCGTGACCTGAGGGGGACGAGTGGACATGTTGCGGAACTCACTTCGGGGACATGGCATCCCACTGACAAAAAGCAGTTCGTTACGGCGTCGGCGGATGGAACGGTTCGTGTTTGGGACGTCAATAATACGAGGAAGCAGGTGATGGTTGGGGTGCATAAGAGTAAGACTCCGGGTGCTGGGAGGGTGAAGATCAGTGCCGTGCTTTGGAGTCCAGATGCGAGGTTCGTGGGTGCGGCGGCTGTTGATGGGACGGTGAGTTTGTGGGATGGGAAGGCGAGGTCATGGAGTCGGCCTGCGAATGTTATTGATGCCGCTCACCTGAAGAATACGGAGACGAGCGGGATCGTGTTTTCGCGGGATGGGAACTTTATGGCTACTAGAGGCGGTGACGAGACGGTGAAAGGTATGCATTGTCATCCTGCATTTTTTGACATTCCTGCTAACTCGATGCAAACAACAGTGTGGGATACCCGAAACCTCAAGAAGCCGCTGTCGACGCGTTCCGGCCTCTCCACCAACAACGCCGAAACAAACATCATCTTCTCCCCCGACAACAGATACCTCCTCACCGGCACCTCGGTCCCCTTCAACTCCCCCACCCCTGGCACCCTCGAAATCCTACACGCCGGGGACCTCAAATCCGCCGCCTCGATCCCAATTTCCAATTCCTCCGTCATCCGTGTTCTATGGCACAGCAAAATCAATCAAATTATCACTGGATCCGCGAATGGAGATGTCAGAGTGCTGTATTCGCCTGAGGAGAGCGTGCGGGGTGCGAAGCTGTGTGTTGGGAAGGCTCCGAGGGTCCGGCATATCGATGAAGACCCCAGTATGGCCGCGGATATCGATCCCAGCGCCGCATCGATTATCCTCCCGAATGCACGTCCCGAAGATCGCAATGAGACCTTCTCCAACAAGACAAAGGCGAACATGGCCCGTAAAAACCCCATCCTCTCCCGCCGCCCACAAATCCCTGCAGCACCTGGTCCCCTCGGCGGCACTCCCGATCAGAGACATGTGGACGAGAATATCGTGGGAAGTGATATGAGAAATGAGGATCCAAGAGAGGCGTTACTGAAGTTTGCGGAGATTGCGGAGAAGGATCCGATGTTTTTTGGGGTTTATAAGAAGAATCAGCCGAGGAATATTTTGGCGGGGGAGACTGGGGAGGAAGAGGAGGAGGAGAGGAAGAAGAAGAGGAGGGTACTGTGAGCTAAAGTCACAGAAATGGAGAAATCTTGGTCGCATAGGAAGAGGGTGCGTGGTTTGGGATCAATGCATATCGTGACATTTTATATACTGCCGCCTTTAATCCACCCCCATGTCGAAGGCACCCATTCACCTAGTCCACCATGCCAGTTGCAACAGTTTCTTTCACTTTGCTGGCCTCCGATCGATTACATGAAAACAAAAAGAAAACGCCCATATCAAAAAACTAGCACCCGTTCCACCCAGGTCACCAACACTTAATGGTGAGCAGGCTTAGCATCACCGTACTTCTCCTGAGCCCACTCGACGGCACAATATACGATGAAAGCACCGACACCAAGGGGGAGACCAGGGAGGGCGCGGCTCCAGCGAGCACGGGCGGTGAAAGGGCCTTGGGTGCGCCATGCATTTCTGTTAAGGCCATGTTAGCACCGTTCAGTGGAACACCTCGCAGTGAAATGCAATCGTTCAAGATAGACGTCACGCATTCATGCGGCGATTGACTGTGTTGAACAGGGATAGACGGTGTGTAATCACCTTTTCGCCCAGGGATCGGACGTTCTGGGGTTGCGGTCATGAGGGAACAATGGTGCATCGGCCATGGCTAATCGAGACAAGTCAGCGAAGGCCGTTGAACGACGCTGGAGAGCAGCCATCACATACCTGTTCTTATATATGGAATTACGAGGGGTATCGAGTTCCTCTTACAGGTCGGTTCACCTGACTGCGCCTGGCCTGCAACATTCAGGGGTCGAGCGTACCGACGTCGACCGCACGGAAGATCCAACACCAATACTCCCCAGAAATCGACAAGGACCCCGGCTCGATCCACAACTGTTCAGAGCTCAATACACTCAAACTTGAACGCTCGAAGCTTCAACCCATACCCCTTTCACTCTCTACGCACTCCCGTTCGAGGAAACCGTCAAGATACAATCCTTCACCATTCCCAAACGGCGCGGACAAAAAGCGACTCCTCTGGTCCAGCACCACCGTTCCGCGCAAGCAGAGAAGATGCCGATCGGGAGGAGGTCAGCTGGTGGTGGCAGGGGGGTGAGAGGGCAAGATGGGGATCCGAGACCGCAGACGCGAGGAGATGGTGAGGGCAGGGAAATCAGAGAGGTGAGCATGTATCGTCGTATAACGCGACAACAATTTGCTTAACATTAATGCAGGTATGGGCGCATAATCTCGAATCTGAGATGGCATACCTCCGTGACCTTGTCGAGCGATACCCCTACATCTTCATGGACACCGAATTCCCCGGAGTAGTAGCCCGACCCATCGGCAGCTTCAAATCCACCTCCGACTACCACTACCAAACTCTCCGATGTAACGTTGACCTGCTGAAAGTCATTCAGCTCGGTGTAACATTCGCCAACGCCGAAGGCAAGTTAGCAAATGCTGAGAATGGAGGGCCATGTACTTGGCAATTCAACTTCAGATTCGACGTTTCGGAGGATATGTGCGCGCAAGATTCGATCGATCTGTTGACGAAGAGTGGTTTGGACTGGAAGAAGCACCAGGAGATGGGAATTGACTTTGATCTTTTCGGAGAGCTGCTGATATCGAGTGGATGGGTCCTGTTCGATGACGTGAAGTGGATCTCTTTCCATGGGTTCGTTGGAAAGCTTTTATGGCGAAATGGTTGCTAACTTCCACGAACAGAGGCTACGACTTCGGCTACCTCCTCAAACTCATGACCTGCTCCCCCCTCCCCACCGAACCTAAGGACTTCCTCTCCCTCCTTCAGATCTTTTTCCCAGCAGCTTACGACATTAAATACCTCCTCCGCACAGTGCGTCCCGCAACTGAGAAGACTGGCCTCCAAGCCCTGGCCGACGACCTCCAGATTCAACGTATTGGGTCGCAACACCAAGCTGGCTCTGACTCGCTTCTTACTGCGGCAGCATACTTCGAAGCCCGCCGAATCTTTTTCGAGGGCGAGATTGATGATAAAAAGTACCGGGGACAGATGTTCGGTATCGGACACCAAACCAACACGAACACCAGAAGTACCGGCTTCTCCTCCCAACCCCCAGATGGACAACAACAAGGTGGTGGTGGTATGCCACCCTTTTTCCAGCCGTTTACTCCGAGAGGACAAATGGCGGAACTATCGCAACGCGACCCGATTCCGACGCCGTATCAGGGTGCGAAGAATGTGTTTCAATTTGGGGGTAAGGACTTCGGGAAGGTTGGCGTATGATGGGAAGTGATATCAGGGTTGTTGTGGGTTGCGGGTTGCATGGGTAAAGTACGGCACTGGATTGATAGTTGTTTTAGTTTAGTAGTAATGCTGCAGCTTTGCGAGCTCAATGTGTCAAGTGACCTTCTTCCTCAGTACCACCGGCGGCTCGGGTTTTCGACGTGGGCGGCTGGGTCGTTTGATCCCTACACGTACAACCTGACTGAAACTCCGTTCCCGAATGGGACGGATCAATATCTGATCCGCGGAGCTATTGCTCCCAGGTTTCCTGGTGCTTAGGGGTTTGTGGGCAGTGAGCTCGCGACGGATTGTTATCTATTGGTATTGTCCCAACGAGCGTGTATTATGTGGAACTCAACCACGTCTCTAGGTAAAGCATATTTTAACGAGTGATCGTCACCCAAAAGCATCCCATGTCCATCCGAACCCTTTCCCAATTCGTGATCCCATGCTTGTTGTATCGTCCATGCCCTATCGTACAGTCATTCAGATCCATTGACCGTTCCCCGTACTTGAGGTTCTGTCCCTCAAAACTCATACCTATCCCCCACCTTCGGCCTCACAAACCTCACCTCCCCAATCCCCGCCTCCTCCGCCAAGACCCTACACTCATTAACGATCGTCTCCCCACTCTCCCCCTCACTCATAATCCCATGCAACGCCCCATCCAACTTGATATGCGTAACAACAACCACAAGCCCATCCAACAACTTCGCACTCCTCCTCGTTCGTGGCGTTGTTGGCCGTGGACTTAGTTCGGACAGGTATCGGGCGAAGGTGAGGAGTTCGTGGATGAGGTGTGGTGGGGAGAGATGGCCGAAGAGGAGGTGGATTGGGCGGGTCGCGGAGTAGGAGCATTCAATCATGATTACCCTCAGACCCTCGAGAAATTTCTGGGCTGCCGCTTCCCAGACGATGTGGTTTCGCGGTTGGGCGGCAACGGCATCAGGCTCTACATCTCCAAACCACAAAAACTCCCGACTCGTCGCGTCATCCCTGATAAAAAGGGCCGAGGAGGTGACACCGCCGTGAGCGACTTGGTGGGCCCAGACAGATAGACCACCGGATATTGGGGTGTAGGAGGATGTTGAGATTGGGGTGTAGGAGAACATGCCTTCGCGTGCGAGGTCGGGCCAGATGATGTCATTGAAGATGTGGGTTTTGAGGTTTTGGATGGTGATGTCTGTGCCGGCTACTTGGCAGTCTTTGTATATTGGTGAGTCGGTGACGAGGGCGGCACTGTGAGCAGAGAGTTAGACACATCATCAGATGGAGAATGAATCTACTTACATATGATCGAGGTGAGCGTGACTGATTACGGTCGTCCCCAGTAAATCTGTAATCGTAGCCGCCGCGTTCGCCAATGGTGTCGCCCGATCCAGCACCTCCTCCGCATCAAAGAACGGTCCCTCCCGTATTAGCCAACGCTCCATGATCCCCTCCACCGCCGTCAACTGTACCCCCGCATCTAACCCAACCAAACAATTTCTCTGCCATGGCACCGACCTCGACTTGACAAGATACGACGACAGATCTCGTGAACCCGGCCCACCCAGCGGTCCGAGGACGATCAGGGAGAAAACTGAAGGGTTCGGCGACGGAAAGAGGGTTATAGAAGCATGCGCCGACGCGTTTCGCGACGGATCAGGAGCGTGCGAAGCCAATGCGATGTGGTGTTATGAATCGTTGTGAGAAGTCGCGGTAAGACCTGCTACGAAGACGAGGGAGGAGCGCGAGAGGATGGTGCTATGGAGATGCCGGGTCGGTATGGAATGAGGAGGGTGGATACAAACGTCAGAGCGTAATATTTTTCCTTCCTGGCTGCCGGTGTAACCTTCTTCTTCGACCTTCAGCTAGAACCAGCCACGGATGTACGGTGGCTGCAAAGATCGCCAAAGTTGACCTTCCCGAACAAAACCCGACGAAAACGCGTCAAGCCAGTTATTCAGCAGGACTGGATCTGGCCTGCTAACATTGGAAGACCAGGTTCCTTTGGTTTGGACCTCATCGCCTGGGGAAGCTTACCGGTGCTCCAACGAGCGTTAGGTATAGCTTTAGATATCGATGGCACCGGTGCTCCTCCATGAAGGGCCACGTCGTAATGCCGTCGACGTTGGGCTGTCAGAACTCGTGCGAGCTCAAAACCCCCAGAATAGCCCCGCTGATCTCCCCTTCAAGCGAGAAATTAACAGAGAAGCTGTCATGAAGCTTCTCAAGCGCTTCGGAGTAACTCGTGTGTGGAGATAGAAATTGGCGATACAGTACATTGCCTTGGCTAAGCTCAAGCTCATATACTTTCATCCAAAGTAAAAACAAAACTGCAATTGCGAAACGAGAGAGAATAAAGAACGCCTGTCCCAAGAAAACGCGAAATCCATAAATCCTAGCCAAACCAGCGAGCTGGAGAAACCAGCTCACAGCATCAACGACGTACCGTTTTGGTGCCGGAAGCACTCCCTTCTCCAACATCCTCCCCATCACTTACATACTCCGGCGGCGGAACAGCAACAACCATATTCGCAAACGGATGTCCCTCCTCCAGTACCCTCACCGGACCAATCTCAGGAACCTGTTCCGCCTGTCTCGTCGGCCCAATAACCAACGGACTACTGCTTGACCCACTCATAACCCTCACAACCTCCGTACTGGACACTTGCGGCGTATACGGCGGTCTCTCTGCCGAACTCTCGCCTGGCGTGATAGCAGTCTCCAACAAGATACTGCCCCCATCAACACCATACGCAGGCGGTGCTCCCAGGGTCCCAACCATCGGCGCAAGACCCCATTTCTTCACGTTCGCCTCGATGTACACGAACCCGCCTTGTCCGAAATTGACATGTACGCTACAAGGCCCGTTCGCGCCGACCGTGGGGAATAGGTTAACGGTCTTATACCCATGGAGTTCCGGACCCTCGGTTTTGCGACCGTTGCGGGTCAAGAAGACGGAACCTGTGCGAGGGCGGTAGCCGATACCAATAACATCTCCCTGAGTTAAATTCGGCAGAGGTGTTGGGCGGAAAGGGTTTGAGAGGAGGCGGTGGCCCGCGGAGGTGTACGCGAGGGAGATCCGGTTCCAGCCAGGGAGTCTGAAGAGGGGGTAAGGTTTTGTTGTTAGGCCCACGCTTACCACTGTGCTTTCTGGTAGATCGTACATCTTTGCTTCCCAGTAGTATACTTCGTTCTGTCTTGGGATTGGGAGGTTGGTTTGGACTGAGCATTCTCTATCGTAGAACTGGATTTCCGTTCGTGCTTCGACGAAACAGTTTGCGACTTCGAGGTCAGGTACAAACTCCCATGCTGAGACACCCTTTTCTTGGATAGACAAGTATTGGGAGAGCGAGATATCTGTTGGAACAGACTCAGGCGGGTTCTGCTGTTGATAAGCTGTGAAGAAGATGTCAGCCTCGTTGGAAACCAACCTGGAAAGCGACTCTCAGTCTCACCTTTCGCACGAAAATACGCCAACCTACTAATCTCATCCATATGCTCCACAGCCTCAGCCTCCTGCCTCGCCAACTCAGCTTCATCATCAAACTGGCCCGGCAACCAATTCCCTCCCAACATGATTCTCCTCCCCCGCCTCGTGTTACGTGCGATCCATATTCCCAGTCCGATGAGGGCGAAGAAACCCAGAGTCCCGAAGAGGGAGGCGAGGAGTGCTATGAGCATTTCGCGGAGTTCTTCGGGGGTGAGGGGGCGGATGGGCGGTGTTGTTGAGCGGCGGTGGTTGATGGGGTTGCGGTGGTAGGAGGTAGGCGAGTGTAGTGTTGTCGTGACTTGCAGTTGCTCGAACGCCACGATGGAAGTTTGTGAAGGCGATGAACTTGCTCACGCCTTGAGCTTATGGAGGTGTAACGTCCCAATGGATATGCACTTCGTGCCTATGACGAATCCTGCTCGGCAGCGTCTCCGACAGTGGCGGCTGGCTGTTTCACCAGTAAATGGACGTGAAGCAAAGCAGACTGCGTCCTGTACAATCACAGCTCGTCCTTTGCTTGATCGAGTCGTCTTTTAACCGAGGTGAATGCTGGTGGGGTGTTCCTTTCTCGTCGTCTTCTCTCGTCAGGCTCACGTTATCCGGCCGCAGCAGGTTGCCGAAGCCCCGAGATCTGTAGGTGTGCATATATACAGTGCAGCAACAGGACAGCGCATACACCCAGGGAGCACTCATTCTTGACCATTACAGCCATGGACGATTTGGATAACGAGCAGAGGAGGAGCCTGGAGCTGTTTCAGGTGAACTTATCTGTGCTGAAATGGTTCGCCCGGCTAACAGATGGTTCACAGGCTGTCACCCAGATCGATGATGTAGATGCTGCCGTCGCACGACTGAGTTCGAGCGATTGGTCTGTTGAGGTGACCAGTATGCGACCCTACACATGGAATCGTGTTGACGTGTCTTACAGCGTGCCGTCGCCGGTGTCTACGATGCTCCACCTCCTGTGTCAGCATCAGCACCGACACCAACACGTACAGCTCCAATAGCATCGTCTCACAATTCCTCGCCATCTCCACCACCAGCGCAACCTGGTCCTGCACCTTCACATCCGCTACCACGTCAGTTCTCTTCAGGTACCGGCCTGCCACAGCCTTCGCCCTTCAGAACACTGCTAAGTGTCTTGTTTTTCCCATTCACCTTCCTCCGATCATTTGCATTTTTCTTGGCCGGTACATTTCCGTTCCTCGGTCGTCTACTACCCTTCTTGTCGAACACTACACCGCGTCGATTGGAGCGGAGGAACGTATCACCGAGGGATCTGGCAGATCGGTTCATCCGCTCTTTCGAGGAGACTTATGGATCCGCACATGTGTCATTTCACGCGGATGGATACTCTGCTGCTCTCGCCAAGGCGAAGGAAGAGCTGAAGTTCATGCTCGTCGTCCTCCAAAGCGAGGAACATGACGATACAATTGAATTTAACCAAGACACACTATGCAATCCTGAGGTAATCCAGTTCGCACGAGAGCAGTCATTGATAGTCTGGGCCGGCTCCATCAGCGAGACCGAGGGTTATGAAGTTGCCAACACTCTCCGTGCGACTCGATACCCATTCATCGCCCTCCTTGCGCCCACCGGCTCACGCTCGCTTTCCGTCCTCCTCCGTCTTGAAGGACCAGTCGGGCCTAGCCAGCTTCTCGCTTCCCTAACCAATGGGATGGCAAAACAGTCTACGTCACTTAACCGGCTTCGTGCTGAAGCTGCTGAGCGGAATGCTGCTCGCGAACTTCGTCAGCAGCAGGATGATGCGTATGAGGCTTCCCTGCGCCGGGACCGTGAAAGAGCAAGCGAGGCAGAGGAAAGAAGGGCAGAAGAGGAAAGGAAGAAACGAGAAGAAGAGGAGAGAGCTACGGAGGAGGAGGAAAGGAAGGCGAAGAGGGATCAGTGGAGGAAGTGGAAGAAGATTCAGATGCCAGCAGAACCAGCGGCTGGTAATGGTGCTGCCCGTATTTCTCTGCGTATGCTCGATGGTTCACGGATTGTCAGACGGTTTGGTGCGGAGACTACGTTGGAGGATTTGTACGCGTTTGTGGAGACGTACTCAGTCGAAGCTGAAGAAGAGACACAGAAGCCGGAGGGATATGAGCATGCGTATGATTTCAGGCTGGCGACGCCGATGCCGAGGAAAGTGCTGGATGTGGTAACGGAGGGGCAAAAGGTATTGAAGGATGAGAAGAGTCTGTACCCGAGCGGGAATCTTGTGGTAGAAGAGTTGGATGAGGAGGAAGACTGAATGGCCAGAGCATCTCTCTTTAGCATTTACCAACGAATTCTGGTTTAAATCATTTGTTCTTTAAATGACGGTGCATTAAGTGATCGCCCTGGCTAACCCCCTCGAAAACTCAACGACCGGGAGCAATCCTACGACGGGACGAAAAAGTCAAATCGACCTTCAACAGCCAGGATGCTCGCTGGTCGATCAATATCCAGCCTGTGCCGGCGGGCAGTACAGGTCCACACCTCCCTCCCTCCATATGCCGCCCTTGGTTCCATCCGTACCTTAAAAGCGGTCAAGAACAGCAAGGATAGCAAGGTCAACAGGGCTGCACTCCTCGAAAACGCCGAAGATGTTTCCAGTACCGTTGTCGCTCCGAACGTTCAGGAATTTCAGTTGAGGAGGTACAAGCCGCGGACACCCGGTCTTCGTCACAGAGTCACTGTCGTCAATGATCACCTCTGGAAGGGCAAGCCGCACCGTCCTTTGACCATCGCCAAGCGTGGTACGGGAGGAAGAAATAATACCGGAAGAATCACTGTTCGTCACCGTGGTGGTGGTGTCAAGCGACGTATCCGTATGGTCGACTTTACCCGCTCTCAGCCCGGTCCTCAGGATGTTCAAAGGATTGAGTACGACCCTGGACGATCTGCGCATATCGCTTTGATTAAGCACCGTGCGACGGGTACGCTTTCATACATTCTCGCCTGTGATCGTCTTCGCGCCGGCGATGTCGTTGAGTCCTTCCGTGCCGGTATCCCGAAAGACTTCTTGGGTTCGCACGGCGGGCAAATCGATCTTGGTATGCTTGCGGTCAGGACCATTATCCGTGGTAACTGCCTTCCCATCAGCATGATTCCCGTTGGTACCATCGTCCACAACATCGGTAACACGAGGTACGGACCAGGAAAGTTCGTCAGGTCTGCGGGAACCTATGGCCGTGTTCTTGCGACAGGACAGGAGGGATACGCGATCGTTAAATTGCAGAGTGGAGAGACTAGGAAGGTTCCGGTGAACGCGTGCGCGACGGTTGGTGTTGTGTCGAACATCAACCACCGGCACAGGAAGATCGGTAAGGCTGGTAGGAACCGGCTCCGTGGTATTCGTCCAACGGTTCGTGGTGTGGCTATGAACGCTTGCGGTATGTCTCCCTTTCCCTTTGATAATGAAAATATTTACTAATTGGTCGTATAGACCATCCTCATGGTGGTGGTCGTGGTAAGTCCAAGGGTGGTAAGGATCCACGATCTATCTGGGGTTTGAAGAAGTTTGTCAAGACTGTGAGGAAGGTGAACAAGTTCGTGGTCCAAAAGAGACCACCTGGTATTAGAAGATAAGGGTGCTAGGGGGGTGGATGTAGATAGGTTTCGCACAAGATTATCGGGAAATTTCACAATCTCAGCAATCATCATGTTTTGGGGCCAAGCATTCGAAGAGCAGCAAATGAAGATTGGAAGTCATACAGTTGCCTTTGTAGGGGCTAGGTTATGCCTACGTAACTTTGAGGTCAAATCACCCACCGATCTTTCCGTCCAACATTAACCTTCCAATCAAGAACCCCCAAGAATCAATATCGAGGTAATACCAAATAACTAAGAACATCCTTCCTCCATCGCAGAAGCAGAAATCAAACTACGGTAGTATTACTAGATTTTTGTCGGCAAAAGCTGATGCTGTCAATTAGTCAAGGCAAGACACTTCGTGTCAAGTGTCGCGTGTATCGTTGTCGTGTGTTGCTAGTATTGTTGAATGTCGAAATGGCCGATTAGGATGATTTGACCTTTTTGAAGGCTATATAGACGTGATTAGCTTCCGTCGTATTCGCAACGATGAAATATGGGGCACATACATGAAGGGCCATCCTCATCTTCGACGTCGTCGAAAGACCTCTTGGTGTCAGATGCAAATGAGTTTTCCGCGGCTTCACCAACAGGCGCATTCTCCGGGTCAAGTGAATCAAAGCCAAACTCGTCGACGTGCTCTGGATCATCATTCTGAACGTTTTCATAATCGTCTTCCTCAGGATATCCCTCTTCGTAGCTGATGAGATCATTGCCTTCGAGACCTATCAAGATGTTAGAATAGTTGTTCGTAGCAGTACCGGGTCGTCGCGCCATACCTTGGTCATATGCGGCAAGAGCAGCCTCACCGAGACCTGAATCACCTTCGGCAACTTCATCGCCAGCCATTTGGAGATTCTCCTCGTGATCACGGCCAAGTAGTTCTTCCTCCTCATAATCCTGCACCTCGTCGTTGGGGAGCTCCACTTCTTGTTGTGTGCCATCATTCGTGTTAACAGATTCGCGAGACTCAATTGCTTCATCGGCCAATCCGTCGAGCTCAGCAGCGGGAGCCTCCGCGAGAGGCTGTGCTGGGACTTCTTCTGCAACCCCACTTGCCTCCGTATTCTGCACATCATTAGCTGGTCCCTCGCTGTCATCCTGGTCCTCCACCACCTCATCTTCCTCTTCCGGATGCTCATGAATGGTCTCAAGACCCTCATACTCTTCTTCTCCCTCGTCAACCCTGCTCCTAGATGCAGCCATGTTTGCCAACTCATTGAACCTAGCGATAAACCTGCTTTTGTATCCCAACTGTACTTCCAAAGGCGGAATGTCCTCAATTTGCTCATTTGCCTTAATGCCGGTGTAGATGTTCACCACGTCGAGTAGCGTCACTTCACGTGAATAGACGTTGTCTTCGGAAATGCTCAATGCGAGTGACGGAAACTCGAGAGTCAACTCAATATCCTGGGGGAGACGATCAGAAACTTCCATTCGAAATGCGGCGATCAGAAGTTCAAGCGGCTCAAAAGCAAGGCTATCGTCGTGAAGAAGAACCTCGAGTCCTTGGTATTTCTCGTTGTTGATGGGTGCAAAAAGGGCGTATGATTTTTGGTTCATATCAGTAAGGACGACGGGGAATAAGGAGGCGTCCTCGGTATCATCATCGTGATCCTGAGCCTCCTCTTCATGTTCGTTCTGATCCGCAACAACCGACTCGGGAGAGCCAACTGTGGCAGAAGCGCCACCAATGTTCGCATCCTCGTGATCTTCCTGCTGTTCTTGCTCTTCCTCGACGTTGGTCTCTAGGGCATCGGCACTCTCGGGCGTCCCTACTGGAGTCCCATCAACGAGGCCCGAGGCAGTCTCGTCCTTGTAAGTTTCTTTCTCCTCGGTACTGATCTGTTCTGGAGTCTGTGTCTCAATTTCCGGCTCTTCGGCAGGATTACGTTCGTTTTCGTGATCCTCGTCCGCCACACTGGCTATCCTAGAATCCGCAGCCGCCTCTTCATCTGGGTTCTCATACTCATACGGATCTTGAACTTCGACCTGATCGTCGAATACCTGTTCGGTAGCCTCGGCTTGACCTATCTCCTTAGGCTCCGTTGTATGTTCAAGGACCGGCGGAATGCCATGAGTCTCCGGATCAGCGCGTTCTTCGGCTGAAGTCGTGGCATCACCCACATTCGCCTCCAACATGTGATCGGGCTCTGGCGCGTCCTGGTGCTCGTTGGCGACTGCTTCAGCAGACAGAGCTTCTGCGTGAGGCTCGTTTGCGGCAGCGACGGCAGGTACAGATTCGCTTTCGCCTTCGACGGTAGAGGCGTAGCCAGCCGTCTCGGTCGGTCCGCCGGAGAAATGCGCGTCATCAAGGCCCATGTCGCCCACTGTCGCAACAACGCCTCGATGATCATGCTCAACATCCTCATGGTTCTCCGCGTCAAGACGATCGTATGTTTCTTCCGGCTGCTCAAAGTCATCGATAGCATCGGGGTAGATGTCCTCAGGTTGTGGTACATCCTCACTGATCACCTCCACATCGTCCTCCATGCTGTCTGAGCCCTCTGCATCACCCAACTCAACATCTTCGCCCGCATTCACGGGGTCTTCTTGCATGACTTCGTCCTCGTAGTCTGCCATCATGTCGTCGTCCGCATCACCCGTAGGTCTATCAAGGACAGTCATTTCCGCATCGCTTGCTTGGTTAAAGTCGTAGTCTTCTTCCATATTCAAATCGCTCTCCAAATCCTTATTTAACGGCGTGTAGTCGGGCAAGTCTGTTGATGACATACGTCCCGCGCTGAAGTCGATCGCTGAGGTCGCTCGGTTCTATTTGTCAGTCACGTTAGTATCAGGTGAGGTACTGTCACTGCGAGCTTGCGAGAGTAAATGCCGGCTCGATGGTTCGAGCAACTGATCGGTATGTATGGTCGCAGTCGACTGGTCTCCAACACGGCGGGGTCCTTGGTTCTCGGGTTGTGGCTGGTGCCCGCTGCGCCCAGGCCTCGGGCTCGGCGGCCGCTACGTGTACCGTCAAACAACCCAGAGCGTCAATATCAATTGCATTTAATCCCGTCTCCTTCCTGAGTTTGTGAAGATGGTATGTTACCTGGAGCCATGGTTGTGATCTTCTACTAATGCTGTATTGCAGGTTGTCCTCGCTGCTTCGATCTGTACCCGAGGCGGAAAGCGTGCGTATATTGCTCTTTCATCCAAATATCTTGCTGACCATTCGTGATGTAGCTGTTCTCTCTCGTCAGTTTCGCGACATGACCAGAACCCGTATCGAAGGTCTTTTGGCTGCTTTCCCCAAGCTCATCGACGCGAGCGGGCAGCACACCACCGTTGAGACCGACAACGTTCGCTACGTTTACCAGCCATTGGACGAGCTCTACATGGTTCTTATCACCAACAAGCAGTCGAACATTCTACAAGATATTGACACCTTGCACCTCTTCACTCAGGTCGTCACGTCCATGTGCAAGACCTCCGACGAGCGTGAGATTGCCCGGAACGCGTTCGAGCTCCTCAGTGCCTTCGACGAGATAGTGAGCCTGGGATACAGAGAAAACGTCAACTTGTCTCAGGTCAAGAACTTCCTCGAGATGGAGTCGCACGAAGAGAAGATTCAGGACATCATCGCTAAGAACAAGGAGATGGAGGCCACGGAGGAGCGCAAGCGTCGGGCGAAGCAGTTGGAGATGCAGAGACGCGAGGCTGCAAAGGCACAGAGACAAAACAGGGCATCCGCCTACGGTTCTAGTGGATACTCTTCTGTGCCGTCGCAGACGTACACACCCGAACCTACCTACGAGGCTCCCAAGCCACAACCATCATACAGCAAGCCCGCTGTCTCGGCACCCAAGGGTAAGGGTATGCAGCTTGGCAAGAAGTCAAAACAATCGAATGTCTTCGAGGCTGCGCGCCAGGAGATCGCAGTCGAGCAAGCTGCGCCATTAATGGCAACGCCAGAGCCTACCGCACAGCCAAGTTACCTCGACGAGGCCCCAGCCCGGCCTACTGACCAAGAGCCTATCCACACCGAAGTCACGGAAACTATCTCCGCTAAGATCAATCATGATGGTGGTGTAGACTCCATCGAAATCAAAGGTGATCTCCAGCTTCAGATTTCTGCCGCGGAAATGACTGGTTTGCAACTGCAGATTGTCGGCGGTGACCGTGAAGGTATTCAGTTCCAGCAACATCCCAACATCGACAAGGCTGCCTTCAATGCCTCGCACGTCATTATCCCTAAGGCAAAGCCCTTCCCTGTAAACAGACCACTGAAGGTGCTGAGATGGCGCGTCCAGTCTACCGACGAGTCTCTTCTCCCTCTAAAGGTCAACTGCTGGCCATCTGGTGGCGATGTCACGATGGAGTATGAGCTGACCTCTTCAGATGCCACTCTCTCCAACGTCGTCATTCGCATCCCCATTCCTTCCGGCGATGCGACCGTGGCGGATTGTACTGGTTCATATGACTTCAACGGCTCTGAGCTCTCCTGGATTATCCCAACCATTGACGCTTCCGCTTCATCGGGATCTATGGAGTTCCAGTGCGCGGATGATGACGCAGATATCTTCCCCGTTCAGGTTGAGTTTGAATTGAGTGAGACCGTTAGTGGTGTCGATATTGGTGATGCGGAGTTGCTTGAGCAGGCAGGTGTTCCTGTTCCATTCTCGAAGACGGTGAGAGTTATGGCGGAAAACTACAATGTTGTGTAAGCGTAGGAATAGAGGAAGGAAATCTGGTCGTGTGTTGCAGCGTTTTGATATACCGATTATTCAATCAATGAAAGGACGTTCATGATAGGTATGTTTGCCTTGTAAACGAAATGAAAACCTTGAGGAATTAGAGTGTTCGAGTTTATACAGGGCGTTCACCATAAAATACCCATAGTAAGCAGTCTACACTGCGATAACACACTCACTGCTAGGGTATTGTACCCCCCTATGTCAGCCAATAAACATGGACAAAAACACGCAGATCAGACGGGGAGTGCCTGCTGCTGATTGACAGGTTGAAGACTCGCTTCAGCGTATCTGGAAGCAGCGCAACGAATTGTCATAAACAAATACAGGGAATGAAAGTCGGCGTGGGAATTCTCCTCAAAAACATATATCTTGATTCAAGGGACAATCACAACAACTGAACAGCAACTGGGAAGATGGCCGAGTGGTCTAAGGCGCCAGCTTCAGGTTTATTCCGACATGCTGGTCTCTTCGGAGGCGAGGGTTCGAACCCCTCTCTTCTCACCATTTTGTCGTTTTGTTCTTCTTCCGAAGTTCCCACGATCAGCCCGTGTGGTTTCGAGTTCGTTAGTCCTGGCGGCAGACGTTTACCTCTCTGGGTCACGTAACACACATCGGCTGATGTTTCTTGCCATTAACCCCACAGTTCAAGGGTAGGCGATGACCTCAACAGCCGTGTGAAGTCCCTATAGCTATGGACCATGTGTATTAAGCCTGATTAATGCCATGCCCCTTAACCTATTATAATCAAACCCTAAGAAACCCGGATTCTGTAAACCAACTACACCATAGGCACAACACTTAACAACCCCATCACAACACTCCCCGCAATAACAACCGCACTCCAACTCCTCTGCCCACCAACCGCCCCACTCGCCGCCGTCTTCGCATCAGCCGTCGTGGAAGCAGACGTTTCACTGGCCGCGGCACCACTCCCACTTGCCTTCGCGGCACCGGATCCGGAGGCGGAGGAGGTGGAAGTGGAGGTGGAAAGAGGCGGGATAACGGCTGTCGTGCGACCGTCTGCAACGGCCCAGGTCAAACTGAGACGGTCCTTGGCGGCTTGTATGTCGCTGCTTGCGGGCGTATCGGGGAGGGAGGCAGAAGGGTCGACATCCCATGCCCCGGACGTCGAGGCCGGACAAGCGATAGAGGTGATAGTGGGGCTGTATGACAAAATCGGCGTCGAGGAAGGCGAGATAGACGCCCACTGAGACGAAAGAGCATAGAAATCGCTCAGCGGGGTCGGGGAACCGTATGTCCCGTACGGCGTCGCAGGCGTGGGATACGAAATCAAACCATAATCATTCGTCTCCTGAATCCACTCATACACCAGCCCCCCACTCCAAACATCCGTCATCGCATCCCCATACAGCACGGGGATATCGGCGAACGTACGCGGTTGTACGACATTACACCCGAACTCGCTGAAGAATGCTGGGATGGGGTAGTCCGCGAATTCGGAGGTACGGGCGGAGTAGCCGGAGGTTGTGAATGTGTCTGAGGCTTGACACCACTCGTAGATATTCAGCCCGAAGAAATCGAGGGAGGAGTTGGAGGAGGCGACGTCGTCGCATGCGAGGTAATCCTGCAACATGGGACGGAGTTGGGCGATGTCGGCCGCGGCGTATCCGACAGGGACCTCACGGTAACTCTTCTCCTTGAGGTACGCCTTCGCATCACGAATCGAAGCCTTGATATACGGCGCAGACGGCGACCCATCCGCGGTAGTAATAACCTCATTCCCACTGAAATACCCCAACAAATTGTCATACTGCGCAAACTCGTCCATCACGCTCTGCCAGCCTGCATACTGCGCTCCAGTCCACGTAGGATCAGATTGGTTGATTTGGGTGGTGAAGGTATCGAGGTCGAGCAGGAGGTAGATATTGTTTTTTTCGAGGATGGACATACAGTCTGTATGGGATTGCGTGGGATCAACGTGGTAGACGCGGATTACGTTCGTGCCGATTGAGGCCATGAGTTCGAAGTCGAGTTCGCATTGGTTGGCGTCGAGGAGGGGGTCTTCGGGGGTACGTTGGTATGCGATACCCTTGAGGTAGAATTGGTCGCCGTTCGAGTCGTAGAATTTCTTACCCTTTGTTGAGATTGTCGGGATGGCGGAGACGAGGCAGGAGCAACCGAGGAGAGCAACGGTAACGAGAGTTGATAACGAATGCATTATTCGGTCTTGGCAGAGTAAGAACCGAAAGTGAAGGCGGAGGGAAGGTGAGTGAGAGAAGGGAGAGGCAGGAGACCAGCCCTTTTTATTTGTTACGGTGGATTACAGGGTCCGAGGGAGATATTTCTATGGGGCAGTTTGGAAGTCCCTAGCTCGCCTAAGTCAAGCCGAGGACTGCCCAAGCGTGCGCGTAGTTGTAACCTGGCATGTTGTAGCGATGGGTTGCCATTGGAAGCAACGGACAGCTTGAATTCTGAAATGTTATCAGGAGAAAAAGTTCAATGATCTTGTCAGCCTTTTGGAAGGATCGCTCACGTGCTCGGGTGGTCGATTACCGAAGTGCGGGGGCCGGGTATGCTTCGCTGTTTGAACCCCGCCTCCGAATCTACAAGACCTCCAGATTCGGTGTGTCAAGGGTATATAACCCAACCAAGATCTCGAATTCAAGGACGAAAACGAAACTCGACTGATCAACCATGGCTACTACATACACCGGGCCCGTCATTCCCGCCGCCATTGAGCCGTTGATCTCTCAGCGTGCGAAGGATCTCCTCCAGAAGGTATTTCTCTTTAATCCTACTCATAACTTAGTAGCTTACGATGAGAATAGGTATGGGACTTCGTTGACACGGAGTGTATCCCCGCTGAGGCACTCTTCCACCACCAAATCAGCACCGACCCCGCAAAGCGCTGGGCATCCTACCCTCAGATCATCGAGGAGTTGAAGGAGAAAGCTAAGAAGGCTGGTCTGTGGAACCTGTGGCTTCACAAGGGCTACAAGGAGGGACCTGGATTGACGAACGTCGAGTACGCCTTGATGGCCGAGATCATGGGGAGGGCTGGTCACGTTGCTCCAGAGGTATGTGCTTGTGATTCGATCTGAGGTCGAAAGACTGCTAACATGATGCACAAAGGCCATGAACTGTGCTGCTCCTGACACTGGTAACATGGAGGTCTTCGCCAAGTACGGGAACGACGCCCAGAAGAAACAATGGCTCGTACCCCTCATGAACGGCGAAATCCGCTCTGCATTCGCCATGACCGAACGCTTCATCTCCTCCTCTGACGCGACGAACATCCAGACCTCGATCCGTCGTGAAGGTGATGAGTACGTCATCAACGGCAACAAATGGTGGATCTCGGGTGCTGGAGATCCAAGATGTAAAATCTACATCGTGATGGGCAAGACCGACGCCGGAAACCCCAACCCGCACAAGCAACAGAGTATCGTGCTCGTCCCTGCCGGGACACCTGGTGTGAATATTGTCCGGCCGATGCACATCATGGGCTACGACGACGCGCCGCACGGCCACATGGAGATGACATTCACCAATGTCCGCGTCCCCGTCTCCAACCTCGTTCTCGGCGAAGGCCGTGGTTTCGAGATCATCCAGGGTCGTCTCGGACCCGGTCGTATCCACCACTGTATGCGCACCATCGGCGTCGCTGAACGCGCTTTGGAGTTGATGCTCCGTCGCCTCACCGATCCCACACGGAAGACCTTCGGGAAGATGATCGGCGAGCACGGAACGGTGCAGGCCGACGTCGCAGAGTCCCGTATGGAAATCGATTCAGCACGTTTCATGGTTCTTAACGCCGCCCACATGATTGACCTCCACGATGCCAAATCCGCCCTCAGAGAAATCGGGATGGCCAAAATCATCTGTCCATCCATGGCTCTCCGCGTCATCGATCGTGCGCAGCAGGCGTATGGTGCAGAGGGAATTTGTCAAGATACCGTCTTGCCCAACTTGTGGACCCATGTTAGGACATTGAGGTATGCGGATGGTCCGGATGAGGTTCATAGGGCGCAGGTTGCGAAGTTGGAGATGAGGAGGGCGAAGGCGGTTGTGCAGAAGATTGAGGAGCAGGAGAGGAGGAGTGCGATGCTTTTGGGGCAGAAGGCGAAGTTGTGAAGATGTGCGAGCATGATTTGTATGATTAGGTGATGCTTTTTGTTATACCCATTTATTCGATATACCACTGCTACTTGCTGCTTTCCCACCCATATGCTACGCCGGTGGCTACATTCCAAGGTTCCCCAAGCGAAACCCAGGTCTTCGCTATGCTGCGAGCCGGTGAACACCTCGACACCCTATGCGCAGTTCCGATACACGCTCGGCCTCGCGAAGAAGTCACTGGGCGATATCCCTCTGACGACAACTGTAATGCAAGACGCTACAGGTTTGACAGCTCACCGATGAGCGTTCATTGGTTCATCGATGCGGAGACCCCAGACTTTATCCCGCACGGCTAAAGCGTTCAGATGTCTATCTATCCGAGTCACCAAAAGGATCTCCTCCCCATCGACTGCTATAAATATCACTCTTTGGGGCAGTTTGACAGGCCAGGCGCAACCGCTGCCGCGGGCGGCGATGCGCGGAAGAGACACGAACGTTGCGTGAAACGATGCCAGAGATCATCCCGTGCAATATAAGCCCTCCCTCCCCCAGTTGATACCTCCGTAGCAGTCCGACCAACAATGACCACCTTCCTTCGCCCAAGAGCATTCGCAGCAGGCGGCATCCTTCGTCGCGGGCATCGGTAGGTGCTTGTGTTAAGCGCACACGGCGTTAAGTCAGTTCGTACACTAGAGACGGGACTAACAGCACGTTGGAACGGCAGTGACGCCAATCCATTCGACCAAGCAAAGAGGTTATTCGCCTCTCGGCCATTGCTGTTCTTCTCAGCCTCGAGGACGCTGAAGAATATAACCGAGGAGTTCCCGCCCGCTCAGCCGCCAAAGGACAAGAGCCCCCTCGAACCCACACAACCCGTCAAGAAACAACCAAGACACGCAATCATGGATCACGCACCTCCCCCCGCTCCCGGACCAGACTTCAAGGTCGCCATCATTGGTGCCGGCGGAATCAACTTTGGATCCGCCGAGGGTCCTTGGAATCACTCTTTCCGTCTCGAGCACAAGCTCGGTCCTCGTCTCAAGGTTACCGCCTTGATTGACCCTCACAAGCCTACGTCCGATAAAGTTCTCGCTTTGAAGCGTCAATCTTTCGTCGAGCAGGCATACGCGGCTACCAAGCAGTACGCTTCCCTTAACGAGTACCTCGCCGAGTTGAAACCCGAGGACCATCCTCATGCCGTCATCATCGGCTCGCCACCCCAATTCCACGGTTCCGACAGAGAAGGCATCGACGTCGAAATTCAGCTCGCCAAGGAGATCCCCGGAGTCGCCCTTTTCGTCGAGAAGCCCGTTTCCATGTCGCCCGTGCCGGAGGCCTTCGCCGTCGGAGAGTACCTCGACAAGGAAAACGTCATCAACTCGGTTGGATACATGATGCGCTACCTCCGCTGCGTTCGCAAGATGAAGGAAATCATCAAAGAGAATAACTTGACTGTCACCGGTACCGTCGCCCGCTACGTCTCCTCCTACGCCAAGATCTCCAAACCATTCTGGTGGACCAAGTCCATGTCTGGAGGTCCTGTCGTTGAGCAGGGTACCCACTTCTGTGACTTGTCCCGATTCTTCGGTGGAGATGTCCTCCTCGACACTGTGCAGGCCACCGCTGTCGAGTGGAACGACCCAGCAGGAAAGCTCTCGGCTATTCCCTTCGACGAGAGCACCATCCCAGAGCACGAGCGTATCCCACGCATGACTGCCGCTACGTGGAAGTACGAGAACGGCGCCATCGGTTCCTTTACCCACGGCCTCGTTCTTCAGGGCTACAAGTACGACACTACCCTCGAGGTCTACGCCGACGGATGGCAGTTGCGTCTCGTTGACCCCTACGACGTGCCTATGCTCTACGTCCGTTCGCCCAAGGACGACCGCGAGGAGCAGCATCACTTCACCGACGACGATCCCTACTTCGGTGAAATTGGTGCATTCATTGATGCCATTGAGGGTAAGGGATCCAAGGATGCTATTTTGAGTAGCTTTACGGATGCTGCCAAGTCCTACGAGTTGTCTTGGGCTATCCGTTTGGCTGCTGAGAGGACCTCTGCTATGAGGCATGGAAAATCCGCTTAAAGTGGATGTAATGATAATGTAATGTGTGAGGATTTGCTTGTTTCAGCTCGACGCGTTGAAAAGATACCAGGGTTGCTTAATACAAATACCATTTGCTCGTTCGTCCAACAAGGACTGGACTACCTCATAACTATATCTTGATACAAACCCTCCTGAACAATGGATGCGTAAAATCTTTGTCTTATTACGATGCACAAAGGGTACCTGGCAACGAAATCCCAAAACTCCAGACCTGTAATGAACCGTGCTATTTACTTTCTTTCACATTCGCCTCGATTGTCCGAGTCCGACACGTTCCATCTTGCCCCATCATATTGTACATTTCAAATACTCCAAAGAGCAAACTTAGTTACCCTTGCCAGCCATCTTCTGCTCCTCAACCAAGTGGTCGCAGTTGATACCGACCATAGGCTCACCCAAGTTCTGGGAAACCTCAGCGAGAATCTTGGCGTCGTTGAAGTGGGTGACAGCCTGGACGATAGCCTTGGCACGCTTAGCAGGGTTACCGGACTTGAAGATACCGGATCCAACGAAGACACCGTCACAGCCGAGCTGCATCATCATGGCAGCATCAGCGGGGGTAGCGACACCACCAGCAGCGAAGTTGACAACAGGCAGTCTCTTGAGGCGAGCAGTCTCCTTGAGAAGGTGGTATGGGACCTGCAAGTCCTTGGCGAGGACGAAGAGCTCATCGTCAGAGGCGGCGGCAGCCTTGCGGATGTCGGCGGTGATCTGGCGCATGTGACGGACAGCCTCGACAACGTCACCGGTACCGGCCTCACCCTTGGTTCTGATCATAGCAGCACCCTCGGAGATGCGACGGAGAGCCTCACCCAAGTTACGGGAACCACAGACGAAAGGAATCTTGTAGTTAAGCTTGTTGATGTGGTGGACGTCGTCGGCCATGGTCAAGACCTCGGACTCGTCGATGAAGTCGACGCCGACGGCCTCAAGAATCTGAGCCTCAACGAAGTGACCGATGCGGACCTTAGCCATGACGGGGATGGTGACGGCCTCGATGATCTCCTTGATCATCTGGGGGTCGGACATACGGGCAACACCACCGTCCCTGCGGATGTCAGCAGGGACACGCTCGAGGGCCATGACGGCACAAGCACCGGCCTCCTCAGCGATACGGGCCTGCTCGGCGCTGTAAGAATGTTAGTAAACGGTACGGATCAACATTCCAGAGCGCTCCAACTCACTTGATAACGTCCATGATGACACCACCCTTCAACATCTGCGCCAAACCAGACTTGACGGCGAAAGAGCCGGCGACAGGGGTCTGGGCACCGGAACCGTTGACTTGCTGCTCAGCCGACATTTTTGGATATACTGGATCTGAAGGGAATGGAAGGACTCAAGGGTCGTTGGTGTGGGGGTCGATCGAGCAGAAATATATCGCGAGTGTGGCGAGGTACCGACTTTGCCCTGTGAGGGCGGATCCCGAGGACTTAGTCATATTTGGCAGGATCGCGAGTGGGGTTTAGCCGCCCGGATCTTCCGAACCTTAACGCTTGGAAATTCCTTAAAATGGGAATAAATTATGATCGCAGACTATCCTGATCCCCAGCTGCCTAGCTTGTCCTTCGAGTCGCCCTTTTTCTGCGGGTCGCTTAACCCTCCTCGGCAGCTGCAGTCCTACGCTGATGTCGCCATCGATCCAGTCGGCAAACTCAGAATTAACTCCTTCTGCTCACCCGCGTCCCAGTATCCCCGATCTCGTACTCGTGTTCACTCGCACGCAGCAACCTCCTTCCATGCCCCTTCCTTCCAGCTCCTGTAATCATACGTACGCCGCCGTGAACCGCCCTGTAGGGCAGACTCAATAGTGACAGTGTTAACATGAGCGGCAAAAGCGCGAGCTGCCTGATGTAACCGAACAACACACCTATGGTAGACCACTGCCGGGTCATTGTTTTCTCGCTCTTGAGAATCACCTCCATCACATCATCCATCTTCCTCTCGATCGCCGCAATCCGCTCCTCCGCGTGAGCGCGGTGCATCGCCTCCTTCTTCTCGTATCTCCTCACCGCGCGTTGAACAGCCTCCAAATCAGGTCTGACACCCTCCCTTGCATCCGCTACCAGTTTCTCCGACTCGAATGCCGAGACCGTAGCGCTGACTTCTCTCAAGGATTTCTGCAAATCCTCCACCTGGCCGATGAGTCTGGTAACACGCCCAGCGGGAGGCTGATGTACCAACGTCTGCAGATGTAGCGTCTTCCTCTCCAGTAACTTCATGGCCTGACTCATGGGCCTCATCTCCGCGGCCAGCACGAAGAGCGTGATGTTGAAGTTACTGACCATACCTTCCGAACTCCTCGACAACGCAGTCCGAATCCAGTGCAAAAGTAGCCCTCCGACAAGAGGTCCAGCAAAGCAGGACAGCAACGCAATGTTCTCCATCATCTCTAGCTGATCGATAGCTTCATCCCGTCTCGTCATAGGTGATAACCTCTCCTCCTCATCAATCCCGGATTCCGACGGACTCGACGTGGTCGTCCTCACGCCATCATCATTCAACGCATCTGACCGTTGTAACTCGATCACCTTGCGTGCACCAGCAGCTTTGTACCATTCCCAAGGAACTGTAAACCTAGTTAGCTTTTGCACATCTAGATTAAAGTCACTAGGCTTGCACACATTTCACGAGATACCTCAGATACATAGCAACAATCGCCATTAACATAAAATCCGTCCAGACATCTCCTCCTCCCGCCCTGCCACCAAAGACAAATCCAAACACCGGCGGAATCAAGGCAAACGCCAAGGGTACATGATGCCATGAATCTTCAGTCGGTGCAGGAGGTTCATCTACAGCCTCCAAATGTGCGGCTTTGGCAGCCTTCTCAGCGGTACCGAGAAGGTCATCAGTCTCCCCGATACTGTCTACCGACCCTTGGATATTCCGATAACGGCGAGATTCGGGGGTGTCGCGATCTTGCGGAGCCGCCGACGGGTAATTCTTGCTGCGACGGCGAAACGACGAATATGAAGACGATGGTGACCCGGACATCGTTGATATGGATGATAAGTCCCTTCCGGTTCTTCTGACTTGTTCAGGGTCTTTGTTGTTATGTAAGCTTCCTTGGTTGATCTGGTCCTTCGGAATTCTCGGGCATGACATCAGCTGCTGCCTGCTTGCCGCGACCGCGATGCGGAGGCGCGTCCCGTTCTCAAACACGGTTGCAATTGGAATTGTAACGAAAATCAATCAACTTCAGCAAATAAACGAAGAGAACTCCAAGTCTTTAGCAAAGATGCCCGCCAGATCTCAAATAAGAAACGCATCCAAAATCCTACTCCATCTTCCGCCTCCGGATCCACAATGTGCCGGGTATAGCAATATTAGCGATTATCGTAGCATCCCCCACAGCCAGCTGTATATTGTCGTGTATTTTCGTCTCTCATGTGTATCATGCATCGCACTCCACTCAATGATCGTCTTCTCCTTCTTCCCTCGCATCCTCCGGAATCTCCAGCTCGGTGTTGTCACAATCACCTCCCACGTCACCCTCTCCACCTCTCCCATTACTCCGCCCTGTCATGGGACTGTTCAAAAACTCCGAGAAACTGATTACACCACCCCTGAGCGGCGTAGGTAACGTAGGACTGGACTTCAGATGACTTTGGTTCAACTGCGACTTTTGTGGCGTCGGCGCTGGTTGTTGGTAATCACGCTGAAACTGTCGTTGACTGAGTGGACTAGGAACGATCGGCGCGTTCAAGCTGACAGGGTTGAATGCAGCAGCGGAATACTGGCCCATCGTGGTAGGACTAGCTCTGGGAATACCTCCCTCATAGCCGACACCAGCACCCACTCCAAACATCCCCGTAGGCGGTGGACTCGGTGGTGGAAACTCAGATGGCCACACCCCCGTCGCAGCATAATACTGGGCAGCCTGATCAATAGTCATTCCCTGTCCACTGACCTGACCCTGCTGCATATTGATACCCTGTTGAACCATCATCTGTTGCGGGTACATCATGCCCATATCTTGGCTCTGCATTTGCTGCTGCTGCTGCTGGTGTTGTTGTTGTTGCTGATGGCCCTGTTCAGGTACCCTTCGCCTTCCATAAATCGCCGCTTGACCAGTCTGAGTTTCCTGCATCTGGTAATACCCTGGTGGCACCATCCCCTGTCCAACATCAAGACTCTGTACCTGTGACCCCATGCCGCCCATGCCCATATTCATGCTGTGGGGGTAGTGACGCTCCTCTTGAATTGAAGGCATGGCATATGCATTCATTTTCGGATTCGACACCTTCCTCCTCTTGATTTCTATTTGCCCTGGTACTTGGAAGGGATTTTGCGCGTCTTCCATGGGGAACGCCGGAGCAGCACTCCTTGCCCGATCCACCTTCTGATGAACGTGCATCGGGAAAGAATCACTCTGTGACGTGCGCACCGGAGGCTCCACGTAGATCGGACTGGGTACATCTTCTCCAGCGACAGGCGATCCAGCGGCTGTGGAAGCAACGTACACCTTCGACTGGGCGTCAATTTCTCCATTACGGAGCCGCTCCTCCTCACGAGCCACGCGGTAAATCTCCTTCAGCAGCCCGGTCTTATCTTGCGGAATGAAAGCGCCAACCTCAGCGGTCGCCAATTCCAATCTGTTCACCGGAACCTTCCCGCATCGCAACATTGTCATCAATAACTTTATCCTCTCCGGCTTCATCAGATGGTCCGGTTCTTTGTGTCTAACATCATGCGGCCACCAGTCTGGTCTGGAGTCTTCTCCTTTGTTGTAGGGATATCGCGTCTGTTTTCTCGGTTCGATGATCTTGATCCATGCCTTCGAAACAATCTTGCACACCATTTGTTGTAGTTGACGGAAACGCGTCTCCATGAACTGCGTGACTTCATCGGTGTTGCCGATAGTGAGAGGCTTGTATTCGATGCTTCCCGACAACGGCAGACCGGCGTCAAGAGAGGCATTTGAACTCTGGCTGAGGTTAAGTGGTGCAGGTCGGTGCGGTTGAGACTGGGAAAGGTGAAGAGACGCAGCAGCAGCGGCAGCTGCCGCGGACGCGGGATGATGGACTTCAGGCATTGCGCCAGGCATCGAGAAAGTCCGGCGGAGACCCTGGGCGCGTAGCTGGTTATTCGCGAGATACGCCACCGGTTGCCTGATTCCCAACTTTGGGGCAGCCGTGGCAAAGTTCATCTTCGGCGGTCCTGCTTCCATATTCAAGCTGTCGTCTTCACCAAACTCTTCGTCGCCACTCATGTCTTCTTCCTTCTCAGCAGGTCCAAACATATCCTCGTAGTTCATCCTTTCCGCCTTCGCCTCCGTCTCTGCAGAACTGTTATGCGCAACAAGTTCTTTCGCCTCGGCGAGAACCTGGTCGTTGAACCATGCCGAGAGCTTTTGTTGAAAGACTTGAGACGCATACATCTCCGAGTCACCACGGGAATTCACCCATAGGATAGCGAACTGAGAGCCATTGATATATGAGGCTTTTCCGAGTGCGCGAAGTATTTGGTCACGTTTGTTCTTGAAGTGGCGGTGTTGCCGTGCCGGGCTCGAGTACGGCTCGACTCGTACTGGTATACGCGGCTGTTCAAACATCGTCAACGTTGTTCCAGGTTCAAGGGTGCGCGCCGCAGTCATCTTATATCGGGACTCACCATATTAAAGTTCTGTAATGATTATGACGCGACTCCCGTAACCCCAATCGTTCCAAAGCTGTTGTGTCTTATCGAGGCTGTATGCGGAGAGGTCTGTGCGCTTTGCCGAGACGTGTCCGAACGCGCGGGTATAGAGATAGGCTGCGGGGAGTACAGATATGCGTAGACAACGGCTTCACAAGGGCTCCAATACGGCTGTATGCTCTGGCTTCGTCGTCGTAACTGGCCGGGTCAGGTATGCTGGTTGGCTGGGTATGGTGTAGTGTTTGTGCTCCGAGTCGCATCTCGCCGTAAACAACAACGGGCGCACTGTGCCGGCGCTAAGCTTATATACTGTAATTACTAGACGCCAGGGGTAGATCCATGTGCAGCACCGTGAGTGTATGGGAAACAAACGCTGATGTATTCAAAGTCCATGATCCCTCGCAGTATACTTTCGTTCTTCCGGCGTGACCCTTCTATTTCTTGCCTCCCAATCCAGCCTCCTCCACCAGCGCGTAAAACAACGAATCCTTCATCTCCAACAGGTTCGCAGGCGTGTCGAACTCTGCTACCCTTCCAGCAGACAGAACGAGAATCTTGTCAGAATCCATGATGGTGTTGATGCGGTGAGCAATCGTGAGGATAGTCCGGTCCTTGAACTCGCGACGGATAGTTTGTTGGAGAAGCTGATCGGTCTCGACATCCACCGCTGCCGTCGCCTCATCCAGCACCAGCACCTTGCTTGGCGTAAGCAATGCTCGGGCAAGACACATAAGTTGTCTCTGTCCACTAGACAAGTTGCTTCCTCCTTCATTGACAGTCGCTCCAAGCTTTCCAGGCATCTGCGCCACGGCATCCTTCAAATGACTGTGCTCGAGGACCTCCCACAGCGCAGCATCGTCATGGACACCCGCCGGATCGAGGTTATCTCTGATCGTCCCCTCAAACGCTTGAGAGTCCTGAGGAATGATCGCCAACCTCGATCTCAAGTCATACAACCCAACATTACTTGTGTTCACTCCATCCAACGAGATGTGACCATCTGCGGCTTCAATCAATCGGAACAAAGCCAGCGTCAAACTAGACTTTCCGGCTCCAGTACGCCCAACAATACCGATTTTTTCGCGTGCCTTGATAGCAACGTTAATGTCCTTCAAGACAAGAGGAAGTCCATCGCGGTAACGGGCAGAGTACTTGTGGAAGGCCAAGTCACCCTTGGATGGCCATGATGGGCTCGGGCGGTTCTCCTCAATCACCCTAGGAGCCTCAGACGGCAATCTAGAGTACTCAAGAACTCGCTCAACAGAGACAATGTTGGTCTCAACCTCCACAGTCTGCCTAACAATCCAGTTGAGCGACTGCGTAGTCTGCAAAGCGTAACTCATAGCCAATCCAACAAGACCTGCCGAGATACCAGACGTAATCAACGTGACCACACTCAACGTTGCAGCAGACAAGATGATAATAGAACCGATGAACTCTAAGCGCACCGCCAACCATCGGTTAGCTGAGATGGACGGGAAGTAAGCGCGCTGGTTCATGTCGATCCTGAAGGTGTTCTCAAACTCAAATCGGGTCTGCTGGTTGTAAGCACGAATGGTTGAGATACCACCCAAAGACTCCTGGAAGTGAGCGTAGATAGGCGAACGAGTGGTACTGTCAAGACGCTTCAGCTCTCTCGACGTCCTCAGGTAGAACCTCTGGACATAGAGATAAACTCCGGAGAGAGGGACAATGATGGCCAAGAATGGCGGAGTAGCGCGCGTGATAACGCCAATGACGAACAGAACCTGAACCGTAGTCCTGAAGAACATACCGAAAGTCCTCATGAGCACCTCATCAATCTTGTAAACGTCGTTACTGAACCTGTTCAAGATACGTCCAATGGGAGTAGTCTCGAAGAACTGCATTGGGCTCCTCATGATGACCTGGTACGCCATATCGTCGTGAAGCTTAGTCGCGGAACGGATACCGCAAAGAATCCAGAGAATAAGGGTAGAGACAACAGTGAGTCCAGAAGAACCGACGCCGAGACCGAAGTAAACAGCAAGGTACATGCCGAAGCCCTTGTTGCTTCCCTGACCCGAGTTGACTTCAGCCCAGTTCTTCAACCACACGTTACCAGCAACAGATCCAGCCTGGGACGCGAGCAAGAACAAAAAGTAAAAGAATACACCGTAGCTTGAGCAAGACTTGGCGTATTCCTTGTACACGTCCCACTTCACTTTACCCTGCTCCGAGAACTCGCGAGCTTGAGCAGTGATCTTATTTGCCTCCTCATCAACAACTCGACCACGAGGCTTCGAGAAAGATGCAGTAGATGCTCGTCTCAACGTAGCACCGGTATCACGCCTGTTGCGATCCTTCAAGGATACTCCAGCTGGGTCCGAACAATCTGAGTCAGCAGCAGCGACGGTCTCAGAACCAGAGTCCTCATCGTCCAGGACTTCATGCGCCTTCTTACCAAACTCAGTGATGAGAGCAGCAAGCGAGGACTTCGCAGCCATCACATCCTCGTAGGTACCGCTCTCCACAATCTTACCTTCACGGATCATAGTGATAGTATCGGCCTGAGACAACACCGGGATAGCATTCGTGGCCAACACCCTAGTCTTAGTAGCGAGAAGACCCTTGGGACCGAGAACATTGTCAATCAAGTGACGACCAACATGAGCGTCGACAGCAGACAGGGGATCGTCAAGCAGATAGACATCAGCACGGGTGTACACAGCACGAGCAAGCGACAACCGCGCCTTCTGACCACCGGAAAGCGAGATACCCTTCTCACCAACCTCAGTCCGGTCACCATCAGGCAAACTCTCGAAGTCCTTGACCAATGCACAAGCTTCAATAGCCTTCTGATAAAACTCAGGGTCGTACTTGTGCCCGAAAAGAATGTTCGCCTTAACAGAACCGTTCATGATCCAGGGCTGCTGCGCAACATATGCGACGCGTCCACGAACGATAACCTCACCCTGAACCTTGTGCAAGTTGCCCAACAAAGACTCGATGAAAGAGGTCTTTCCGGCACCGACGCGACCAACAATGCAGGACAACTCACCCTTTCTCGCAACGAAGTCAACGTCCTTGAGGGTAGGCTCATCCATTTCGGCGTTCCACTGGAACGTGGCATCCTCGACACGGATAGTCTCCCCGCCCATCTTCGTGTTCGTAGGCTCACGACGGACAGCATCAGGCTGCACTTCCTCTGCAAGGAGGAAGTCCTCGAGACGGTCGACAGCCACACCAGCCTCAACGATACTCGTGATGACCTGTGGCAAGATGGCAAGCGGGAATGTCAGCAAATTGAACAAAGCCAAAGCGGGGAAGACGATATCGGTAGTAAGAGGCTTGCTCTGTGTCAGCACGAAAACAGCGAACGTCGAGCAAGACACTAAGAAAGGAGCACAAGCCCAGGTAAAGTTCGAGCAAGCGTTGATGACACCAATCTTCCTCAAATTCTTCAACTCACGGTCGTTTCGGACCTCGCGCAACTTCTGCATGAATGCCGGTTCCCACGCATAAAGCTTGATACTCTTGATGTTGTTCAAGATCTCAGTCATCAGGCGCGTCCTGCTATCCTTGTTGTGCATTTGCTCCTTCTGCATACGCTTCATCAATCGTGCGAGCCATGCGTTGAGCGGGATCATGATGATCATGACAGCCAAACCAGCGAACATTGAGAAGCCGACAAGGTTGTAAAGGGAAATGAGACACAATGTAATCTGGAACGGCGCGGACCAGACGATCTGACCGTTCTGGCAGAGATCACCAAGACGCTGAGTGTCTACACTCATCAGGTTCACAATGTCACCCGTGGACTTCGTCGCACGTCCATCGTTGCTGAGGACAAGCGCCTTCTTGTAGATAGCGGAGATCAGACCGACACGTGTACGCATACCGGTCTCAAATGCACGCTGGAAATACTGGTGAAGGAACATCGTCTGAAAGAGCGAAACAGCAAACATCGAACCTGCAATGGCGAAGCCCTTGACGTACGAATCGGGATGGTCAGAGGTGTAGGTGTTGACGAAACTGATCAACAATCGGAGGAGCTGCGGCTGAGTGAATGCAAGGACATCCTGTGCTAGCTTGAAGAAAGCAGCAACAGCGTACGGGCCGCCGTAAGCCTTGAAGAGGACACGCCACAAATTCACCTTCTCCTTGAGCAGCTCCTTGTCCCAGTAGTACTCGAGACGACCCGCCAGATACTCTGCTGAATCCTCCTTACGCGTAGTCCAGAGATCGTTCTCCGTCAGGAAAGTGTTGTATCCCTTTTTCATCATGGGGGTCATCCATGAGAAAGTGATCTTGGAGAAGATATTCGCATACACGAGCGGGCTCGGGTCCTCATCTTCATCAACAAGATGGTAATCCAGGTTAGCCTTCGGGATGAACGACTCTAGGCAGAAAAGAAAGACCTCCAATCCAAACCCGATGACATAAGTGATGAAGTAAGGCATCCACGACCGCTGAACGTCCATAATGACAAGATGCCTCAACTTGAGAGCATCAACCACAATTCGTCCCAGCCAGAAGAAAAGCAAAACAGCACTCGCAACACGGGCTCTAGCATGCTCCAACACGTGAATCGCCAGCGCCGCGGTGGTGGCCAATGCACCGAGCATCGCGCTCCAAAACCTAACATCATCCCAGAAAGCCTCGATCCTGAGCGCATACAAAACAGAAAGAACGACCTGAACCGCAACAATCGCATGCGCCAAGATTACTTTCGCAGAGTAATGCCAATCCGCCTTCACCGGAACCGCGGATCGTCGAAGAAGCTGCCACAGCCTGTATGCGCCAAAAGTAAGAATAAACAAGTTGACAGCCGAGATAAGAATGCCCTCGTAGAAACATGGTGTAAAATCCAACCGTACGGAGGAAATTGGGCCCCAACCCTCGGAATTGCGACAGAAAGCAACGCGTCTCACGGCGTCATGATGCTTCCCGTGCTTCATCACCGTCTGCAAAGCACCGGTAGCAGAGAAATCCATGGTAGATCCCGTCTATATGCTTCGGTAGGTGTGCAGTTGATGGCCGAGGATACAAGCAGGAGGACTTGAGCCTGGCGAGAATGACGGCGGAACAAAATGCCCAGTACAGCTGCAGTAGGCAATTCAAGCATGTCTGTGCATGAGCCAGCAATTACCGCGTTCCATCGATTGAGAGCCGAGATTGCCGCCCGTAAGAACATTAACAAAGTTCCATTTAATTGTGTAGAAAGTGTATTATGAGTTTGTAGGGGTAAAATGCTAATAAACAAATCCAGAGAACGCTCCAAAAGACAAACAACAGGCAGATCTATACAAGTACAGGCATCCGAGACACAATCAACCTCTTCACTTTCGTGCCTGGTTGACCATCTCTCTAGCCCACCGAGCAGTCTCCTTTGTTGACTGCTGGTAGCCGGCCTTGGATCTGCCCTGCTTGAGACAGTCAGTAATCCAGTCCTGGAGGAGGAGCGTCTTGAGCTGGCCGTTGGGAAAGGTCTCAGCCAAATCACCGATCAAACCGATCATGGACCTCGTCAAGCCCTCAGTCTTCTCCTGGTCGCCGTGGACGACAGACAAGAAGCCAAAGACGTGCTGCACGTAAGGCAACAAGATGTCGGCCTTACCAGTACCCTTGAAGGCCTGGACAATGCCGACGTAGGCCTCAACGATACCCTCACGGAGCTGGTTGACGTAGTCGATCATGTCGAAGCCATCATCGGGGCTTGCCTGCATGCCGGAAGCCTGCTGAAGAACCTGCATGACAACCTCGAGGTACTTCTGGAAGTCAGCACCGATAGCAAGAGCGATGTCTCCGAAGCAGGAAAGAATCGCGGGCTTGACGTTGCGGTGGAGAACAGGAGACTGAAGGTTGACAAGGAGCGCATTCATGAACTGGTCACAGTAAGGAGCGACCTTGTCGCTCAATGCACGAGAGATATCACCAATCAACCCAACGGCGATAGAGCAAAGCTGGTACTCCTCGTGGTTAGCGAGAGCCTTGCTGAGGAAGGGGATGAAAGTGTCGAGGTAAACGGCGAAGGCATCTTCGAGGGCCTGGGTGAGAGCACCGATAGCCAAGAAGACATCCTCGTGGATGATGGACTGGTTTCCGGCGTTGGAAGTCAATTGGAGCAACACGGTCATGATCCTGTCAGCCTGAGGTCTGACTTCACCGCTGAGACGGCGGACCACGCTAGTCAAGACACCGCAAAGGTTGCTCTGCAACTCCTCATGCGCCGTTCGGTCATCCATACCCAAGATCTGGTTCTGCATAGCGACAGTTGTTTCAAGACGCTGAAGAACGATACCAGCAACATTTGCAACCATTGGTAGCACATCCATGGCAGAGTGCTGAACCAAAGTACCTAAAGCCTCGTATGCGGAGGTTCTGGAGTTGTTCTCGTTACCAGGTCGCTCAGTGACGTGCAGCAGAGCTGCGATAAGGTTCTCATAGTATGCGCTCATGACGGAGGTCTGAGACTCGTAAGCATCACCGCCAAGCTGCTCAGAAAGGTTCATAATAGCCCAACAGCAGTTGGCGACAATCCGAGGGTTGTCTCCCAAACCACTGATCAAAGAAGCCATCATACCAGGAAGGTGAACCTCAGGGGAGATAGCCGAAATGACCATGTCGGAAACACGACCCAAAGTCCATGCGGTGGTGTCCTTAACTTGAACGACGGGGTCAGCCATCATAGAGATGAGGACAGGCAAAGCCTGCTGAACGAGGTTCTCAAGCATCTTGATCTCAGGGCCCTCAAGGATAGAGCCGAAAGCCATGACGGCGGCCTCCCTCTGCTTCCAGTTCTCAGCACGGATGTTGCTCTCGATGAAACCGAGCACGGGCCCAACGATGACACCCTCCACGGTCTGAGCAAGGTGCTGCAAACAGGTTGCGGAAGCCATAGCGCGGTTCCAGTCCTCATCGTCGTCGTCCTCGCTCTGGGTGCACAAAAGCTGGAGCAACACAGGCAAAACCTCTGGCAGAGCAACCTTGGCAAAGTTGTAGCACTCACGGTCTGGTCTCTCACCCAACTCCATAGCCTCCTGGTTCTCCAAGTTAACCTCAATCTCCTCCTCACACACAGTGCTCCAGAACTCGATAGCCTGCAATGCAACCTTCTCCTCGTTAGACTTCATACCGAGCACAGTAAGTCCGAACAAAGCCTTCTCCATGTAGAACCTCATCTTGTCGTAGTAAAGCTGCATAATACGGACAAGACAGGCAAACGCAGCCTCCTGAATCTGAACGTCGGTGTTTTGAGTAGCCTCGCATACAACCTGCATGATGTAGTTTCTCTCGCCTTCTCTCTCAAAGTTCTCGCTAACAAACTCCAAGGAGTCGTACAAAGCGTGCAATGCAGCAAGTTGCACATCCCTGCTCGGCTCCTCTTTTCTTGCTCCCTGGACAACGGCAGTAAGAATAGCGTTTGACTGTCCTGGTAGGATGTTGCGGTCGACGGACTCGCAAATGTAACCAATGGCCTGAAGGGACGCCTGCTTCAAGTGAGGGCCGGACGACTCTGAGACGTTCTGGACGAGGGTAGACATGAGCTCAGGCCATTGGTTCTGGGGGAGCTCAATGGCGGCGATAGCAGCGATGAACTGAGCGGATACCTGTCCCGCCTTGCTGTCGTTGGAGTGCAGTGCTTGGATGGCGAGGTTTTTGATCTGCTGCTTCTCGCCGGCTCCCATAGCTAACCATTTCTGATGAGCTTCTTCTCTTCTCTGAACTTCTCTGGCTGTAAGGGCGTTCTTCAATGCCAAACCAGCGGCGTTACGGATATGCGATGGTGATTGCTCATTAGCGAGTTCTTGGGAAAGCATCCCCATATATGCGGTCTAAAGCGTCATATTAGCATTCTATTGCACTTCAAATGTCGTAAAAGCAAATGTACCCAGTGGTCCCGAGCAGCATTCTCCAAGTGCTGGGTGGCAGCAACACGAATATTCGCATCTAACAAGAAATACGATTAATACGGAGCCCGCTCAGCTACGGAACACATCCTTTGCTTACCAGGCGACAAGGTATTCTGCAAAACCTCTCCAACATTCATGGTGGGCAATCGACAATTAGTGAGAAACGCGAGTGATAGGACGTTATCGAAAGGATCGTTCAGGTATAGAACTTCGACGGATCGTACGGGCTGAGTCGATTGGGTACTGGAGGCAGTTGTGTTGTGATTCGGTCACCTCTCAGAAAAGTACAGGTAAGCTTAAGGCCCGAGTCGACGTCGTCGGTGACTTGATTTAGCCCCGTATCCAGAGTAACCGTGCACGTGCCAACTGGCAAGATCATCAGGAAAACGCTCAATTGATTCTGAAAAACGTTTTATTTGTATTTATTTGTACACTTTTGACGCTCTCCTCAGAGGAAAAAGAACCCTCACCACGAAGCCCAAGATCCATTGTAGTTCCCAGTCCTGTACCTTAGATCTCATACCATTGGCAGTTCTATCCTTCTCGTCTATACATGCTTTTCATACTCCAGGGAGTGAGTAATCCGGGGTACTGTGCCCGGAAGCGACCACTGCAGTCCTCTCCTCATGTCAGCAGTGCCAAGAATGCACCTCCTGTGGTTCTCCTACTACGCGGAGCCCAACTCTTCCTCAATAAGCCTCGCCTGAGCAGTAGGCCAGTACAAGGCCATATCTCGCGATTCTCTTCGCGATTCTCTCTCGTTCGCGCTCATCGCACTGCATACTCAAAACTAGGATCCATGAAAGGCAAGATTTTGACGGCCAACCCCGGCCCAGCAATAAGTGCTTCAGACTCGTCATGCCTCGGAGAAAAGACCTTGACGTTCCGGACGTGTGTGTCTTTTCCATTTTGGTGATTGCCGAGAATGCAGACTTGAATCAGATGTAGACGGAGCATACCCCTACGTTGACGCGGTCAGGTTTTTGTCCGTCAGTGTTCAAGCAGTAAAAGAGCACATACATATTGCCAAAGTCGCCCAAAGGAACATGTGTCCAGCCGGTGGGCTCATTCATGCCAACAACGGTGACTTCCTGCAAGTCATGAAAGCCGGTACCAGCCTTGATACCAATCTTATTCGGCGTATAGGACTCGTCTTGCTTGTAGTCCGTGTATATTGACAAGTACTGGCATCAGTTAGCATTTGAGACAGGATTCTGGTGCAAATAATGTACATTGACCGCCACCCGTTTCGGGAAGTGAATGTTGATGAAATGTGGTTGTGGACCGTCTGATTGCCAGTACTGTTCACTGTTCTCGCTGCGCAGTTGCGGAATGCCAAAACCAGGCTTGAAGGAAGATAATGACCAGTGCGCAAGGTTACCGATATCGCGCTTATCGGAGAGGTCTGTGAGAGAGGCAGGTTAGAAGGAATCGCCGCTTGTGTCCACAGTCTCTCACCAGCAACGTCGATAGCTGACCGGGACGTTCCATTACTACCCGCGGATGTCGGAGGAGCACTCAGCATTTCCAAATCGGAGGACATTGTGTAAAGTTTGCCTTGTTGGTAATGTGTGAACATTGTTGACAATAGCGTCGTCTCGAATCCGGGGTATCTGACTAGTAGCTAAAAATAGTAACAAGACTCCAAAGTAGAACGCAGAACCCAAAAACCATCTCTATTATTCTTCCATATCGATTTCTTCTTCATCAGTATGCGCAGTTCCGTCCTCGCTTTCGTCATCAGCATCTAGGTCAAAGATGAGGTATCTTTGCTGCTCTTCGGCCATCACGCATCCAATCCGTCGTCCAGCTCGACCGTTGACCGCAATTGCCCTTGGCACAAAAGCTGCATCAAACCAGTGCTTCCTAGAAGTTTGCAGAGGCTGTGAGGGAATGTCGGTTGTAATCACACTTCCCTCAGCCAAAGGGGAGTACGTTAACGAGGAGTAATCCAAGGCCCAAAGAACATATTTTGAGCTATCTATAGGCCGATTAGAGCTGACGTAAGATATCGGAACCAAACGTATACCTGAAGTGCATAGCAGAAGGAGCATCGACTGGTCGTCGACGAATGCGAGGTCCTTGACCTCACATGGCTCCCCGTTCGCCTCAAGGTTCACTACCGCAATGCCCACAAGTAATGTAGAACACGGGTTCGCGTCTGACCCTGACTCTTCCCTTATAAGATATCGGTGGACATGTACTGCTTAGGCATTAGCAGCTAATTGTATGACAGTATTGCTCTACTTACATGCACGCTCACTACCATGAGTGACGTCGTAGGCCATGAAGACTTCCTTCTCATTCACGCGCTCAACAACTCGTAAAATAGATGATGTAGATCTACCTTCGGGATTCCCTGTTGCCAATAACTTTTGCGGGTGGATCGAAATTTTCTCACGTAGCATTTGCGCTGGCGCGCGGAATACTTCGATGGAGGACAATCTCAGGGTCTTCAGGATGTTCTCCAAACTAGCCTCGTCAGAGACAGCGTCTCCTTCGATCTGTTGAATAGACCAGTCGTTCATGAACGTCTTCGACATCTTAATATCTGAAGCCTCCTCAGGTCGCTGCTGACGTGGCAGAGCGGGCCCCTCATTCTCGAAGTACGGTCTGATCCGTGATTGCGGTAAACATCGCACAATGAACTCCGCTACCTTGGTTGCATCAATCTCATCAGGCGCATCATCATTAGGTGGAGGAGCACCTTCTACCGGGCTGATCTCATCGAAGATGAACCTCAACCAGGCCGCGAAAGACTTGAATCGTACGTCTTCTTCGTTCATAATTCGAAGAAGAAAGTGTGACTGCATGAAAAGCATGCGATGAAGGTCGAGACACCTTTGAACGTGTTGTCGGTGTAAATCAAGAGACTGATCACTCGACAGCTTTTCCAACTTTGTCAAAGCCAAGGCAAGTCGGTCGAGGGCAGGATGAACATGCTCCACCACTAGTCTCCGAATGGCGGCATAACCTGACACGCTTGCCTTTTCCCATCTCTTTAATCCTCTTTCCGTTAGGCGATCTGTCAGCCATTCCCTGAGTACACTACTGGGAATGCCGGTCATCAGCAGTTGGAACAGCTCGATGACAGGCGTCACAGGCCCTGCTCCGTGTTCCTCAATCGTTTCAACGCAAGCTTCCATGTATAGCTGCTGTATGCGCTTCATTTCCTTCCATTCGGCGGTCATTGCTTCAAAGGCTTCTGCCAAGTAAGCAATCAGCGAGAAAACCTTGGTTGAGATGGAAGCTAGGTTGCGGATTGAGACATTGTAATGACGGAAGAACGACATGTCAAGCAAACTCCATTGTCGATTCTGAACTCCTTTGTCCGCCACGGTGATAATGTGTGTAGAGAGAGTTGAGGTCGACGAGTGATGTGCAGGTGCTGGCACCGGCAGCGTCACCGTACCCAGGAAAAACGTACCGAATATGCTTACGTGCAGGTGGCCTTGGTCGTCTGCTGCAATGAGAACGTCCATGACCGCTTCATCTGCGGATTGCACGATAGCATCCAAAACCGAATGTGCGCCTGCCTTGCTTGTCGAAGTGATCTTGTTCAACCGTGGCATGAATTTCTCGATGTCCTGACCATCAGGTCGGCGAAATTTCCTCTGTCGCTGAGTTGGATCTTCCTGTACCCAGCCAACCATGCAAACTTTTCCGAAAGCGTATGATGCATCAATCTTGTGCGCAACGCTCCCATCATTCACGTCGCAGAGCAAAGTAGCCCCGTTGTCCAAGCCAATTGCCAGGAGTTTACCATCCGGCTTCCAAGCAATGCATTCAACTCTGACGTTCACATCTTGCGTCCAAACTCGCTGACCGCTCATGCGATGCACTGACACTGTGCTGGTATCGGCAACGAACGCAATTATGTCCATTGTAGGACACCATGATAGCAATCGTGCAGGCGCAGGCAGTACCTTTTCATTCAAAATGGTGAACGCCTGTCCTTGAGCATATCCCTGGGCGTTCATCGCCCTTCGTAGGGTTCACTGGCGGAGGTTCTCTTTGGGAGACGCGGCGGTCGTTGTACGACAGCATCGTGCAGCCGCTTGCATGGGACGTACAGCACACGAACCGACCGCGAAGGGACCACCATCTATTCTTATACCAGGTAGCAATCGTTCGGTTGGGAGGCTCAATGTTCCAACCGCCTCGTTCAGGACACGCTATGTTCTTGCATAGGATCTGACTCGGCGAGCTTACGGCAGGCTCGACTAGAAACGCGTTGTGAGCCTCAACGAATGCACATCTCCCCCCCCCCCCCCCATAGGTCCCACGAACGTTTTGGCTTAGCCTTCGGTTGCAGCTCACCCTCAGCCGGCGGAGGTCGAATAATGACAGCCCTCATTCACGGCTTTTGCAAGTTCGCGGACAAAGGCTGCATGTTCAACCACGACGCGGTACAGCATTCACTCAGGTCGGCCATTGACATGGTTTGTGCTGACAATGTGACCTTTGAAGAACAAGCAACAGACTTCACAGCAATCCCCCGTGCCATCAAGGCCCGAAACACCAAAGAAGCTCAAGATTGACTCCCCAATGTTCCAACCCGCGTCACCGCTCAAGAGCACTGCGTCCCTCGCAAGGGATGCTCCGGTCTTCGTGCCAAAGACACAGCAGAGCTCCATGGTTGCTTTGGCGCCTGAATTCAAGCCAGGACAAGACTTCATTGGGTATGTTCGCACATGAAACATGGGTAAATGCAGCAATTGATGAATGCATTCAAGCGGCGCCGATTCAGCGACAAGCTTCGCTGCAAGCAGCGTTCCTGCCCCCGAATTCACTCAGCAGATGAGTCAGATGAGCATGGATCCGGTACGCTGGCTTCTTGAAAGACGCCGTGAATGTAGCTAATGATTCCTTGGTTCAGAGTCAAGTGTACTCTGCTCCTCCTGACAACATGAACCCTTACGCCAACCCATCCGCTTCGATGTACTACCAACCATCTATGCAGCCCTACCAACCCCTCCAATACCATCTCTACGCGGCGCAGCCTCCCCACCGCTCAGATCTCCTACCATACCAGCGCACGATACACGGCTTCTTTCTATCAGACAACATCCGCGAAGAGCTGCAAAGAAAGAGTGCCGCGACATTACAGACGATCGGTGACTTGAACTTGCCACGCTCTGTGCATGTATACCACTCGCTCGTACCACTAGACACGAAGCGCGAAAAGGACACTAGGGTGTTTGGGTATCCCAGTTGGGTGTACAAGGCCTTTTCTGGTACTACTGGGAAGACGTATGCGCTTAGACGGATAGAGGGCTTTAGGCTTGTCAAGGAGCAAGCGATTGGATTGATTGAGCAGTGGAGACGGGTGACGAATGCCAGTATTGTGACCGTGCACGAAGCATTCACGACCAAGGCGTTTGGAGATAACTGTACGTACCCAGCCAGGTCTGCTTGGACTTAACTAACGTGCGCATACAGCTATTGTCTTCGCATACGACTTCCATCCCCTGTCGACCACGCTTTACGACACCCATTTCGGACCGAGCCCCCGTTATGTTGCCAAATACGAAGGCCAGGCTGCCGTCCCAGAAAAGGTTATCTGGAGCTATATCACCCAGATCACTTCAGCCCTCAGGACGATCCATGCTGCTGGGCTGGCCGCACGATGCATCGACCCGACAAAGATCCTGATGACGAGTAAAATGCGGATCAGACTGAACTGCTTGGGTATCGTCGACGTCCTTGCGTACGACACTGGAGGTACACTCGAAGAATGGCAGCAGGATGACCTCCTACAACTCGGTCGACTTATCGTCTCTATTGCTTGTGGATCGCCATTGGCTGCGAATGACTTTCCTTCAGCCGTGGATTTCATTTCCCGACATTACTCTGTGGAGTTGAAGGATATCATCGTCTATCTCATCTCCAAACCCTCGCCGACGAAGACGATTTCGGAAATTGTTACGCTCATCGCTGACCATACCATACAAGACTTCAACTCCGCCCTTCACTTCAATGACAATATCGAGGCTGCGCTCGCCCGTGAACTGGAAAACGGTCGTATCGCACGACTCCTCACCAAACTCGGCTTCATCAATGAGAGACCAGAATACGACCATGACCCGCAATGGTCGGAGACTGGTGATCGCTACCTAATCAAGCTCTTTCGGGACTATGTGTTCCACCAGGTCGACGAACAAGGCAATCCAGTGGTGGACATGGCTCACGTACTAAGCTGCTTGAACAAGTTGGATGTGGGTAGCGACGAAAAGGTTATGCTCGTTAGCAGGGATGAGCAGAGTTGTTTGGTGCTGAGCTACCGAGAGGTATGGCGACTCTTTACCTTGTCCATGGACATATGCTAACTGGTACTTTACAGATTAAGAGCTGCATAGAAGTTGCCTTTTCACAGCTATCAAAAAAACGTTAAACGTAAGTGGAAACTTAGTATCTAGACCCTAAATTGACGCTAGTGTTCACCTTTCCCCATGAACTGCAATGGTAGACTGTAGTATTTGGTCCTTCGAATCGGTTGAGAATGGGTGTTGGCCATAGAATCGTCCTCGTCGACGATCTCGCGGCTTGATCTGCCGACACGGCCCGCGCGCCCTGGATTTCGACTATAGGGACCGAGCTTTCGTCCGAGGGAGTCACCACCATACAGGTAATCATAAGGTCCCAGGGATCCATTCGATCAATAAACAGTAATGACCAACTACAACATTGTCGTTCTTCCCGGTGACGGTGTCGGTCCCGAGGTCACCGCCGAGGCCGTCAAGGTCCTCGAGACCCTCCAGAAGGTCAAGTCCGACATTAAGTTCGACTTCAAGTACGCCCACATCGGCGGTATCGCCATCGACGAGACCGGCAACCCTCTCCCCGATGAAACCGTTGAGGCTTGTAAGGCTGCCGATGGTATCCTCCTTGGTGCTGTCGGTGGACCCAAGTGGGGAACCGGTAAGGTCCGCCCCGAGCAGGGTCTGCTCCGTATCCGCAAGGAGCTCAACTTCTACGCCAACATCCGTCCCTGCAACTTCGCTTCCGAGTCTTTGATCGAGTACTCTCCTCTTAAGGAGCACGTCTGCAAGGGTACTGATATCACTATGATCCGTGAGTTGGTCGGTGGTGTCTACTTTGGTGACAGGAAGGAGGATGACGGTTCTGGTTTCGCCCTCGACACTATGCCTTACAGCCGTGAGGAGATTGAGCGTGTTACGCGTCTTGCTGGTTCTTTGGCTATGCTTACCACCCCTCCTCAGCCAGTCCACTGTATTGATAAGGCGTACGTTTGATCCGTGCCCAAGCCCGTCATGTCATATGTTAACATGATCTACAGTAACGTCCTCGCCACCTCCCGTCTTTGGCGTACCGTCGTCTCCGACATCATGTCCAAGGAGTTTCCCGATGTCGAGCTCAAGTTCCAGCTTGTTGACTCCGCCGCCATGCTCCTCTGCAAGAACCCCCGTGCTCTCAACGGTGTCATGCTTACCGAGAACTTGTTCGGTGACATTCTCTCCGACGAGGCTTCCGTTATCCCTGGTTCCCTCGGTCTCCTTCCTTCGGCTTCCCTCAACGCTACCCCCGATGGCAAGTCCCGCGTGAACGGTCTCTACGAGCCCATCCACGGTTCCGCTCCCGACATTGCCGGTCAGGGTATCGTCAACCCCATCGCTACCATCTTGTCCGTTGCTTTGTTGTTGAGGTGGTCTTTGGGTTTGGAGGCTGAGGCTAAGGCCATCGAGGATGCTGTTAGGAAGGTTTTGGACTCCGAGAAGATCGGTGGTCAGGGTTTGAGGACCAAGGACTTGGGTGGTGACGCTACCACTTCCCAGATTGGTGATGCTGTTTGCAAGGTTCTCGAATCTACCTTGGCTTAGATGTTTTTCCAAAACGGTGTGAGATAGATCTCAAGTGTATGTTATAAGGTGTATGCAAAATCGAATCCTAAAAAGTGTTTAAACGTTGCGTCCTCCATTCATCTTTTAGATCCGGGGTATGTTCAGATAGACGCAACCAAGTTGACAACCCACAATCCCGCACCCAATACAGCAAGCCGGATTCTCAAATCCTTTCCAAACTGTCCCCATGTTCCTACTCGTGGTGCGGTGGGCCTGACTGGAGTATCTGGCTCGCCTTGCCCAATGGCCTCCCCTTCGGTCTTCACAACAAGCGCAAGACTCTTGCCCTTGTGATCGCCCTCGTTTGGTACGGTTGCAGTATCTCTCACCGTCGGCAGGGCTGCAACCGGCTTCTTTTCCACACCCATGATCCACTCCGTCAGCGCACCAGTCTTCTGGCTGACAAGGTAGGAAGCACCCAAGAACACAACAGTGGAAATAACAAAATTCAACAGCCACCAGTCCGGGTGGGTAACAATCAAGAGAGTTTTGGTGTCACCTGCCAGCCAGATGTGAAATTGGAGGATGAACGTTTCCAAGGAACACCTCCCGATCCATGCCATAGCCGTTGAATGCGAATTGCGAAGTTTCTGGGTGGCATTTCTCAGCACAATGAACGCCAGAATAGGAAGGAAAGAGACGTATGGGTGCCAAGCATTGTATACAAACTTGGTCTCCCGGGTCGCCTCGAACCACACAAACACTGGGATGACGACTGCAGACGCGACGATTGCCAGCTTCCGAATGCACGGCCAAGAAGGAAGACTCGTCCATTTTTGCTCGGAAGACTTGATGAATGCAAAGCCAACTAGCACACCCACCCACGGGGTGTACAGATCCAAGGCCACACGGAATCTGAACTCCTTCGCGTCACCGTGCAATAAGGCGACTGCCTTGAACAGCTTGCCAAGACCCTCAACAAAGAACGGCACTTTGATGATAAGCGTGAACAACACAGCTGACGCCAGAAGCTTGCCTACCATGAAAAGGTTGTTGTGGTTTAAGTGACTTCCAACCCTCATCGTACACCAGAGGACCCCAAACCAAACCGTAACCAGCGGGCTGAAGTAGTAGAAGAGGTAATCCGTGTCCATCATGTACGCAAGAGCACATGGAAGAATATTCAGCCTCAACAACACAGCCGCGGCCCTCTTCAGACTGAAGTCGCCCTTCTTATAGAAAAAGACGAAATGTCCGAAGCCAGTTTGAAAGAGATACGACGCAACCAATACTCGGATGATGTTGTAGATCCAAGCAACCTTGCTGGCACCGGTGTAGTGATAGATCAAAATCGCAATCTGCATCCATCCCTTCCATTCATCCGTTTGGTCACGGGCGAGGAATGGCTGGTCCTTGGATGACTCAGTAATCGTTGCGAAAGCAATAGCAGCTGCGATGAACGAGAGGCCGAGAAAAGAGGTCTGCGTGTAGTACTTGGAGATCTTCTCGAAGTAGTGAGTGCGGTCGGCGTAAAAGCAGTACAAAACTACAAGACCAACAGCCAACAAAGCCTTATAAACACGTGCAGAGGCAAAATCGTTGATGCTGTGGTAGTTTGCGATGAGCAGAGGTGTTGCGACTGCAATGGCGAGTACCATGAGTAGCTGTGCCAAGTTTGCGTTGTTGTACGTTGCACAGCAAGTTGCATCGAAAGGAAACTTCCTTCTGAGAGTGCTGGCAGCGTTGCACCTAAGGTTCAACAGTATATTGGCCTTCTCAGTAGCTACGGAAGCAGTAGAGTGCAAGCCGTCCTTACCGCGCGATACTCGATTACGGGACATTTCTTCCGCAGCAAACATGATGTTCAGTTTCGGGTGCTTCCGGCTGAGATCGTGCAGGTAGTTGTTCATAGCCTCGAGCTCCTGCGTCGTAATACTTGCCTTCCGCGACAGGTCAAGCCTGTTCGTGTCGGGGTATTCCACACCCTGGATAACGAAGGTATCATTGCCCGGCACAAACGGACCCCAAGCTTCCTGAGCCATGACCATCTTTGAGACAGCATTGTCGATGGCATCTTTCCATTGAATGTAGGATGTCTGTTGGTTGTCACTGCCGTATCTCGCAAACCATAGTCCTGAGCCAACAACAGCAAGGGCAAACCGTCGGTACTCATCAGTCTGCTTGGCATTCCAGTCCAATGCCTTCAGACCAGTACCATTGAGGTACGGGTCCCAGAAGAACTGCATCTTCACATCACCGGCATAAACGCTGATATCCTCGTGCTTCTTGTCCGCAGCAATGTACCCCCCTTCCGCGTTGTTGGCAGGATCAACCAATTTGACAAACGCCCAGAAGGTTTCCCGCACAGTGGAGTCTCCGACAAACATCACTCGTTTTCCCCAGAGGCATTCCGATGCCGATGTGATGGATTGTCCTTTGGGCTTTGCTGCGTATGATTTAAGCACGCAACCACTTGGCTGCCATGACTTTGCATGTACTGGGTCGAGGTATGCTCCTTTCGTTACCAGTGAACGACAGTGATATGGATCCTCTTCGAATATCGGTTAGCTACCGATATAGCCATGTCTTGGAAAGCTACTCACGATTGAATGCCGCAGCGAAGAAACGAAAGATGACAGCGACCGCAATAGCCGCATACACGGCATACGCGGCAGCGGGAAAAGAGAGTGAACGTTTCCCCGAGCCTAACATCTGAGGGATTATTGCAACCATCCTCGGCAGTCCCCTAAGCTGGTAGACACGTATGGTGTTGAGGTTGTGTGGGGTTGTGTTTGGCCTTCCCCATTCCTCGAGAACGCGCGCGCAGACTCTAGCTACAGTTCAAATTGGATTCGCCAAGTCCAACACTAGCAGAAACCTTAACCTTAACTACCCTGACTGAACTGTTTGTATAAGTCGTATTAGACTTTAGGATATCAAGGGTATTATGATTACTTCAGCTTCAAGCTCTTCAGCACGTCATTCCTCGCCATCCATGCCCTGTTCCTCTTGCCCAGCACGTACATGGGAATGGACAATAGGCATATCCCGATCTGAACACATCCCATGACCACACAAATCTCCTTCACACCTCGCTTCAGCACCCAGTCATATGCGACCAATGTCAGACCGAAGCTCAGCAGTCCCTTAAACAACAGCAAGCAGACGAAGATCTCCGTCGACAAGTCTCTATGAGCATCGATGAGGTAAGCGAGAGATGAAGTGCTCGCCAGGATGAGACCAAACACCATCAAGCCGAAGAAGATGGTCGGTGCTGGCCAGTTGTCACCAGCCTTCATCGACAAGCCGAACCCAAACAACCCCATACAGCCGATAATGAGGTTGCCCGCCATCAAGGGAATTCTGAATTCCGGCTCATAAACATCGTTGTTCTTCCTCGTGAGATACTTGACGCTCCAATCACTCAACATACCGGCTACCACTAGGCCCACTACAGCACCAGTGAAGGGACTCGCGTAGATGTATCCCACCTTTGCTTCGTCAAACCACAACGGCGGTAATGAGAATAGCTCTGCGACGATGGCACTGAGCATCACCGTCCAGGCGATCATACTTCCTGAGGAGAGGCAACCCCAGAAGATGGAAGGCATGAACAGGAGAGGAAGGGGGCGGATGAGGAAGGTGAAGAAGCGGAGGGGTAAGCACAAGGGAGTGAAGAGGCGAAGACTCTGCAAGTAAGACTTGCGTTGCGTTTGGAGGCTTGCATCAGATCCCTGCCGGTGCGCGGTAACCGTGGCAGTTATGCCAGGCTTCTCGGACTGTTCTTGTACAACAGCACTTTGCTCTGTACTTGCTTTGAGATGCTCCTCAGTGACAATATCGGTGTCGTAAGCCTTGTCTCTCACAAAAATAGTCTCTGGAACGAGGACCGCAACGGCGACCATAGCCAATCCTGCAAATCCGCTCAAAAGGTAGAACGGCCAATGAATGTTCCCGCCGTGATCCTTCGTCAACTTCCCTGTGACGACAGGTGTAAGAAATGTTGACCCGAACAGCGCCATCGTGCTGAGAGCCACCCTTGTTCCACGCTGGTGAACGTGATATAAGTCTCCGATGGTGGTGTACAACAGACATTCGAACGGACAGATGCCGACACCCTGAAGGATGCGTGATCCCAGAAATGATTTGTACGAATTTGCCAATGATGACCAAAGGCAGCCAGCGAATAAGAGAATGGTTCCCAAAAGATACACATGACGCTTCCCGAGGACCCTGGAGGAGGCGGAGTAGAATGGCGCAGCCAAACCAAGCATAAGCACATTGTACCCCGTCAGCGCCGCGATATCGTCAAATGTATGCCCGAATTTGAAGACAAGTAGGAGCGAATTCGTTGCCAAGATCGGCGAGGAGACTGCGGCGATGACACTCGCCGTACATAAGACAAACAACACAAAATCCCTATAGGGCAAACTCCAGTTCAATGGATCATTCGGGTCCTCGCTGGGTTGTGGGACGAGTACGACGTCTGCATCGCGACCGGTACCGTGTTTGAGACCTGCTACCGAGGCATCGACCAACTCAGGGTCTCTGAAATTGTGGTCGAGCATGCGGGTCGTGCCCGGAACATGCGAACCCGGCGGGAGGTTGGGCTCGAGGATAAAGAGCCCCATTGTGATTGCTCGACGACGACCGCCTTAACAAATGATCAAGAGACGTTGAAGAGACGGGTTTTTGGTGAAGGTAGGGTCGTCGTTTCAAAGGTGGTATTGATTAATTAACAGCGGCACGGGGAGGACCCCCCATACCGCGTCTTGCTGCGGCACAAGATGTGAAACACACCGGCCGGTGCTCTCGCCTAAAGACCCTCAATAGGACGACTGTCCATCACAGTTGCTCAATTGGATTTCAACATGTTTTCCCAGTCAGTCAGCAACTCTCGCTCTAAACGCTGTTTCCTTCCTCATATCGCGTATTTCCCTTTTGGGTCGTCAATGTCGAACGTCCCCAGGCTAGGCGAAACAACAACCGAAACCACCGAACTCGATTAAACGCATCTACTATGTCGCAAACAACGCCAATCAAATCCCTTAAGTCTCGCCTCGGCCGCGAGGGGTAATTGTAGCGGTGTGGGTACTTAAGGCCTTTCGACCCCGCCGTCCTTTGGCTGTTTCCATCAATTCTATACTCAAGATGAAGGCTGCTACTATCACCCTCTTGGCCACGCTCGGTGCGGCTACCCTCGCTTCCGCCCAGATCTCTGGTCTTCCTACCTGTGCGGCCACCTGTTTCGCTACCCAAGTTGGCAGTCTTTGTACGTCCCTTCTCCCACGTCCTCATTTTTGGAGGAGTCGCTGACTCAGCTCACAGCCTGCAGTTCTTCCGATGTCGCCTGTATTTGCGGCTCCACCGGCTTCCTCACCACCCTCTCTGAATGTATCTTCTCCTCCTGCTCCTCTTCCGACCAGCAGGCCGCCATCTCCGCCGCTCAGTCCCTCTGCGCCGCTGCCGGTGTGAGTCTCGACGCTTCCGCTATTGCTGCGTCCGCTACCGCTGCCCCCAGCAGTGTTGTCGCCTCCGCTGTTTCTGCTTCCGTCACCGACTCTTCCTCCGTCTCTGCAGTTGTCAGCTCCGCCGTTTCCAGCGCCGTTTCCAGCGCCGTTTCCAGCGCTGTGTCCGCCGCGGCCAGTGCTTCCTCCCATGCCTCTGGCGCCGCCGCTGCTACCTCTAAGGCCAGCAGTGCCGTCGCCTCCAAGACGTCCTCTGCTGCTACCGCTGCTGCATCCTCTACCGGTTTATCTGGTGCTCAGGGCGTCGCTGTCGGTGCCGGTGCCGTTGTTCTCGCTGGGTTGGCCGCGATGATCTAAAATGCAGGATGGTATTGAGACGCGTAGACGATATACCAAAGATGGAATTGTGACGTTAGGAAGGGGCGACGATGTTTTTCTTGTGATACCAGCTTTCTTCTTGATTCGAAATAATACAGATTGATCTCCAAGTTACTGAGTCTGTGTCTAGCCATAATTACGACTATGAGGTCACCTAGAAAACATCTACCTCGCCGTACTCAATGGCCGACCTACCGCTGATGCAGTCGTCGATATAGTCTCGTACTCAGCTATGCTCCGAGGAGCGTGTTTAGCGAGCATCCAGCTCATGCGATGTCATAGAAAGGCATTGCAGAGCGAGGCAAGAGACATGTTGGAGGGAATGATCGGGGAAATGGAAGGCGGTTCGAATGGATTGTATTGCACTATCCTAGCCTTTGCTATCGCACGCACACTTGGATGTTGGTTGCAATTGTGAAGATTTGAAGGATCTCGCGTTCGACTCTGCGAATTTATACCGGCGACTGACGTGATGCAGGGGTCGCATACGCGGTCGCGCACCGGTCGCCGTAACGTTAACATACAGTGCCCTCGAAGCAGAGAGCATTGTACCGGAAACCAGCCATCGGTGAGCGACCTTCAGGACTGGAACGACAGTCTCGCCGCATATTCCAAGCACTGTCCGTCTCTGCGCAACCGTCTTTCCAAATCAATTGCGTGATTCACCATGGCCGCAATCGCTCCGGACCTCTTCCTCTACTCCCTCACCCTCCTTCCGCCTACGCAGATCACCAATACCATCATTGGACAATTCTCCGGCCAGAAAACTCAAGAGATCATCATCTCGCGCGGATCGCGTCTCGAACTTCTCCGGCCGGATCCAACACAAGGCAAGGTGCACACAGTTCTCTCGCATGATGTTTTCGGTATTATTCGAAGTTTAAGGGCATTCAGATTAGCGGGTGGAACAAAGGATTACATCATTGTGGGTAGCGATTCCGGACGGATCGTCATTTTGGAGTACAATCCGCAGAACAACAAATTCGTGAAGCTACACCAGGAAACATTCGGCAAGACTGGAGTGCGACGAGTGGTTCCAGGTCAATATTTGGCGACTGATCCGAAGGGACGTGCCTGTATGGTTGCTTCGGTGGAAAAGAACAAGCTGGTCTACGTTCTGAATCGCGATGCACAGGCGAACCTTACTATTTCGTCACCCTTGGAGGCACACAAAGCGAACACGCTGATGTTTGCGTCAATTGGGCTTGATGTGGGATACGAGAACCCTATTTTTGCGTGTCTGGAGGTGGACTACGGCGAGGTGGATCAGGATCCGACGGGTCGGGCGATCGAGGATGTGCAAAAGACTTTGGTATACTACGAGTTGGATCTTGGTCTGAACCACGTGGTGAGACGATGGAACGAGGTGGTGGAACGATCAGCAAATCTGTTACTTGCTGTCCCAGGAGGAACGGACGGTCCATCTGGTGTTCTGGTATGCTCAGAGGACTCCATCGTCTACCGTCATCATGGTAAGCGAGCACACCGAATCCCCATTCCACGACGTCAGGGCGCTTTGGAGGACAAGAACAGGAAGAGACTCATCGTGGCTGGTGTGATGCATAAAATGCGAGGGGCTTTCTTCTACTTGTTGCAGACGGAGGATGGAGATCTCTTCAAGGTCACCTTGGATCACGATGGCGAGGACGTACAGGCTGTACGGATCAAATACTTTGACACCGTTCCTGTGGCAAGTGGTTTGGTTATCTTGAAGAGTGGATTCTTGTTTGTTGCTGCAGAGGCTAGCAACCACTACCTCTACCAGTTCGAGAAGCTTGGCGATGATGATAACGAGATCGAGTTTACGAGCGCAGATTCGGAGGTGAACGCCTTCAACTATGACCCAGTGTATTTCCAGCCTCGAGGATTGGATAATTTGCTGCTGGTGGATGAGATGGAGAGCATGAGCCCTATTCTAGACGCAAAGGTGCTCAACCTTGGGGATGAAGATGCACCACAAATTTACACTATCTGTGGACGCGGTGCGAGGTCGACTTTCCGGGCGCTGAGACATGGATTGGATGTAAGCGAGATCGTCGCGTCGGATCTGCCTGCCGCACCAACGGCCGTGTGGACCACCAAGCTCCGATCTGGTGATGTCTATGATGCGTACATCGTTCTGTCCTTCACGAACGGCACCTTGGTCCTTTCCATCGGTGAAACCGTCGAAGAAGTTACCGAGAGTGGTTTCTTGTCGAACGTTCCTACGATTGCAGTGCAGCAGCTTGGCGACGATGCGCTGGTCCAGATTCACCCTCGCGGCATCCGACATATCCGTGCGGATGGAGGTGTGAGTGAGTGGCCCGCCCCTCAGCACCGTACGATCGTGCAGGCCACAACGAACACTAGGCAGATCGTCGTCGCGCTTTCTAGTGGTGAGTTGGTTTACTTCGAGTTAGACACGGAAGGTGCTTTGAACGAGTACCAGGAGAGAAAGGAGATGTCTGGTACTGTAACAGCGCTCGCTGTTGGTGAAGTCCCAGAAGGGCGCCAACGGTACTCGTTCTTGGCAGTCGCCTGTGACGATTCCACTGTCCGAATCATTTCCCTCGATCCTGACAATACGTTGGAGAGCTTGAGTGTCCAGGCATTGAGTGCGCCAGCGAGCGCTTTGTGCATCATCTCGCAAGAAGACTCATATTCTGCATGGACTAACTTCCTGCACATCGGTCTGTATAACGGTGTCTACTTGAGAACGGTTCTGGATCCAGTGACTGGTCAGTTAACCGACACTCGTACCCGGTTCCTGGGATCAAAGCCAGTAAAGCTGTTCAACGTTGGGATTCAAGGACAGAGAGCAGTTTTGGCGCTTTCGTCAAGATCTTGGTTGGGCTATACCTATCAGTCTTCTCTGCACTTGACGCCGTTGTCATACGAGCCACTCGAGTTCGGATGGAGCTTCTCAAGTGAGCAATGTCCTGAAGGTATCGTTGGTGTTCAAGGAAGTAACTTGAGGTAGGCAGAAAGTGTGACACCTATTCTGAGTATATGCTAACTGCGGCAACAGGATATTCACCATTGAACGACTCAACGAAAACTTGAAGCAGACCTCTATCCCGTTGACGTACACGCCTAGACGATTCGTTCGTCATCCTACTCAGCCATTGTTCTATACCGTGGAATCTGACCACGGTGCTCTTTCGCTGCAGCAGTGCCAGAAACTTCTTTCAGGCAAGCAGAATGGGGAAGCCTATGCGCTCCCCCCGGCACAGCTTGGGTTGCCAAAGGCAGGTTTGGGTAAATGGGCATCGTGTATCAGTGTTCTGGATCCGGCGGCGGGCCAAGTCCTGAGCAAGATCGAGTTGGAGGATAACGAGGCTGCTTTCAGTGTTTGCACGGCTGTATTCAAAAACCAAAGCGAGGAGCCGTACTTGATTGTTGGTGCAGGCAAAGACTTGCAGTTGGCACCAAGGTCCCTGACATGTGGCTACATCCACGTATATCGTTTTAAGAACGATGGACGAGAACTTGAGTTGGTGCACAAAACCAAGACCGATGAAGTTCCGATGGCCTTGATTTCCTTCCAGGGACGCCTACTTGCAGGTGTCGGGAAAACACTTCGGATTTACGACATCGGTAAACTACAGCTCTTACGTAAGTGCGAGTTATTGGAAGCAGCGGCCAGCTTCATTGTACGACTTCAGTCACAAGGCAGCAGGATCGTTATCAGTGACATCCAGGACTCTGTATCGTACGCTGTGTACAAGTACCAGGACAACCGATTGATTGTCTTTGCCGACGACACTACGCCAAGATGGGTCACAGCTGCCACCATGGTAGACTACGACACCGTTGCCGGCGGTGACAAATTTGGCAATTTCTGGGTTGAACGTGTTCCCAAGGATGTATCTGAGGAGGCCGATAAGGATTCTTCTGGCGCGACACTCCTGCATCAGAAGCCGAAGTTGCAAGGAGCACCGCACAAGCTGCATAATCTTGCACATGTCTTCGTCAACGATATTCCGACGTCGGTCAACAAGGCGGCGCTAGTTGCTGGAGGACGTGATGTCCTCCTGACAACGGGTATGATGGGCTCTGTGGGAGTTTTTGCGCCATTCCAAGACAAGGCGGATATCGACTTCTTCCAGCAATTAGAAGGTCTTATGAGGACTGAGGATCCACCGTTGGCTGGTCGAGATCACTTGATGTACCGGGGTTACTACGTCCCAGTCAAGAGCGTTGTTGATGGTGATCTTTGTGAAAGGTTTGCTTTGTTGCCAAATGACAAGAAGCAGATGATTGCTGGGGAGTTGGACAGGACGGTTGCTGAAGTACAGAAGAAGATTGAGGATATGCGCATCCGATATGCGTTCTAAGCCAGTTGAAGCGTGTCGGTATGGAATTAGAAAGAATATCTATACCTATGTTTGAAAGGACAACGAACCTTGCTCCTTAATGTAGCCAGGCGTACAATTGAAAATAAGGTTTGCCTAGCGCGCGCCAAAGTCCAACGACGCACTGAACACCAGCTGAAGCCTGCACCCCGAAATCCAGGCCATGACGAGTTATCTTCCAAGGACCTCAAGGGTCATCTCAAGGCAGTCGCGAGCGGTGAACTTACGGCGAATAACAGTTCGGAATATGTCAGGTGTTGACAGTGTAACGGCAACGTCTCCGACCCCGAGCTACGACTTTCGAAGTACGTTATGTGACTTTCTGTGACTGTGGGATTCAACTGCTTACTATTTCCATGTCAGGTGATACTGTAACTACGCCAACTGCGTCAATTCTTGCATCGCTTTCTGGTTACCCTGTCGGAGATGATGTCTATCATGAAGATTCCACGACTGGCGAGCTTGAGAAATTCGTCGCCGATCTGACAGGGAAAGAGTCAGCCCTTTTTGTACCTACAGGTACCATGGGCAATCAGCTCTGTATACGGACATGGTTAACTCAACCACCACACTCCGTTCTTTGTGATCATCGGGCTCATGTGTACGCATGGGAAGCCGGAGCTATGGCTATGCTCAGTCAAGCGATGGTAAGCCCAGTGACACCCTCAAACGGGGTGTATCTCAGAGCAGAAGATGTTGAAGCCAGCCTCGTCCTTGGCGATGATATCCATACTGCGCCTACAAAGGTGATCTCCTTGGAGAATACACTTGGAGGAACCATCATGCCCCTATCCGCGATTCAGCGTATTGCTGGATTATCAAAGGCTGAAGGAATCAAGCTTCACTTAGATGGTGCTAGGTTGTGGGAAGCCAGTGCCGCTACTGGCATCGCTATGGCCTCTTACGGATCGTACTTTGACTCCATGTCACTTTGCCTCTCCAAAGGAATTGGCGCTCCCATGGGCAGTGTTATCGTAGGACCTGCAGATTTCATCAAAAAGGCACGGTGGTTCAGGAAAGCAATGGGCGGAGGAATGCGGCAGACAGGGATCATGGCAGGTGCAGCTCGGACTGCCATTGAAGAAGTCTTCTTCGGCGGTAAGCTTAGGGAGGTACATGCTCGGACGAAGCAACTGGCTGGTGAACTCATGGACCTTGGATATACTTTTCAGCTTCCTGTGCAGACCAATATGATCTGGATAGACCTGGCGGCTGCGGGTGTTCAGCCGTCAGCTTTCGCACTCGCTGCCGAGAAGGCTGGCCTAAGGGTCGGTGGTGGTAGGATTGTTCTTCATCATCAGATTGTCCCTAGTGCTATTGAAAGGCTGAAAACGGTGTTGAAGGAGTTAAAAGAGCAAAGCCCTGCCGAACCCTTGGAAAGGGATTATGTAGCGAGTAAAGGAGCTAGTGTGCCCTACGGGTCGTACGGCAAGACGTAGACAACCTAGTTCTTGTGCAACAAAGCTGGTATTTTCACGATAAGGTTCTGATTATTTCCAACCACCTACCGGCCTTTGTTTTGTCTACGTTACCTACACATGCCGAATTTGCCCGCGCATTACTTGGTGTGTAGGTCCGTGTACGTCCTACTCTACACACTCAACACCGCCATCAAGGCAAGGCCCCTTCTTCAGGAGGCCGATAGAACTACTCTTTCAAGACGATCATTCTCAACACGCACCTTTGTCCCATATCTTCATGAGCTTGTTGCGTCTCCGTTTTTCAATACTTTCGAAACATCTCCATCTCGCGACTCCTACTCGCGGTTTCTACACCACTACAGCCACTGCGTCAAGTCCACTCCCTCCATCTTTCGCAGCCTTCGACCGTATTTCGCGGCCAAAGTCTCCCATGCCTGCCATTACACAACGACAACCCCCACTTGGTGAGATGGGTGTAAAGGAAGTGAAGAGCGCTACAAATCTACCGTCGTTCGAGTACCCATCAACATGCAAATTTGAGTACATTCGCAATACAACCGAGCTAGATAGGGCTCTCGGTTCGTTACGTGGCACAACATTCGGCTTTGATTGTGAGTGGCGTCCGCAACGGCGGAAGAATATCACACACAAAGTCTCCATGATCCAGATCACAGACGGGAAGAAGATACTCTTGATTCATCTGCCTCATATCAAAAGCGGGTTTCCGACAAGCTTACGAGAATGGATCGAGAATCCAAATCTACTCAAGGCTGGCGTGAATATCCAGGCAGACGGTACGAAGCTTCATAAAGATTATGGAATCATGGCAGAGGGTTTGGTAGAGCTCAGCTGGGTGGCCCGGTCGGCATACACCGAGCCAGGCTATTACAATCGAGGTGTCGGAATGATCTCACTTGCCGAGCTGACGGAGAAACATCTTGGGTGTACAGTATCGAAGGACTCTTCCACAAGGTGTGGAAACTGGGAATCACTTAGTCTGCCGGGAAAGATGCTGAAATATGCCGCGAACGACGTATATGCCAGCTGGAAGCTCTACGAAGTGTTGGCAACCCGGGTGGGAGAGCAATCTGAAATAGATGCAGTGGAGAGGGAGATCAAGGTTGTGAGCATAAGGGAAGTGCTCGCGAAGAAGGCAGAGCTCGAGGCTGAAAGAGAATTCGAAATGACTGCTGCAGGAAAGGTCTGACTGCTAATACCGTAATGAGGCACGTGTGCATGTTCTCATAAGCACAAAATGTGCTTGTCGTCAGCACTTGGCGTAACAACGAGTAACAGAGTGGTGCGGTGCGATGCGATGCGAACCCTTTCGGATTGCCCATGACACGACCGGCGGAGTGAGCTCGAGCTCATTGATACCCATGAATACTGCAGTGCTGGATGCTGCTTAGTGTTCTCGGATGAACAAAGAAGTTGGTGGTGTTAAAATATATTCAGTCAAAGGATGCCACTGTAGCTACTGCAACCCTCATAATGATATGTCCCTTCCGAAATCATGTGGTCCGTTAACGCCATAACCATTCCGAGCTCAAACCAAAGTAGACATACTCTCAAGAAACCCTAAGCCTGTACCATATCAAATGTACTATCGCATAAGTGTCCAGCAAGGCTCCACCCGCTACAGACGTCCTGCCACCACCCGTCTCTTTCACGCTCCTTATTAATAATCTCAACACACTCCTTCTGAACTCGCTCTACAATCTCTTTCTCGGAAGTGTGATAGGGCCACATTTTTGTAGAGAAGAACAGCGTCAATCCCCAAGTTATTGCACACATTTCTTCGGGCTTCCTCGAGATGCCGATAAGCACCTTCTCCACCTCAGATGCATGGCCTGGCGCTGACTTCTCGGTCTCAACCTCCACGCCGCTATCACGTCGGAAGTGCATGGCATTGAATGCCAATCCTTGACTGAAAGGCTCGAGAACCTCGTCCATGCCGGCACAACGCCCTTCTACGTCCTCAAACCCGTATATAGCACGAAGAACACGGACAGCAGACATGCCAACATCACTAGCGCACTTCGCAGGGATAGTCGGCCACATTTCGAGGAGGCGGGTGGCAGCTGCCATGGTGGAAGGGACGACAGACTGCGGCACGGAGGTGGTGGACATGAGCTCGTTGACAGTCGAGCAAGATACACCCAGAAGATTGGGATAGAGCTTGTTCAGCTCTGCCTTTCCAATACCACGTTCCTTTGGTGGGTTTGCTCTAGTAATGCCCACCTCTGCGTTGTACTTCGGCATAACCGCATCCTCAAACGCAGGCTTGTCTGATTCAGTAATCAACCCTTCAACCCAGGTCGTCAACACCTGCGTCTCACGGCCAGAGAATGCACCAAACATCCTGCCTCCCCACTCTAGTTCTTTACACAGGCGGCTACTCTGCGGATCTCCTGGGATAACCCAGCGGCTATCGATCAAGGCTCTCAGGAATGCACGGAAATGCGCGGCTGTAGAACTCTCGGGTGGGCACCCCTGGACGGCATCCTCAGGACAAAGCCAGTCGCGAATGGTCTTGCCTCCAATTTTGACAGTTGAGCGGCAATGAACGCCTCCAGCGCCCTTTTCAGCTTTCTCACCCAGGATCTTGACAAGCTTCTCGGTAATGCTGTCACGCTCAGGCGTGGTAGGAAGCATTTCGGCCAATGTATATCCAGCGCGGACACGCTTCCAGCCTTGCTCACGCTCCGTGCCTTCAGGTAAACTTTCAAGGTAGCGACAGACAACTTCACGTCCCATGGCAGCGTGCCCCGAGGATGCATTGTCGATAGACACATGAAGAGTGAAGTACTTATCTTCCAACCCCAACTCACGGAGCTCGTGCGTGGTCAAGAGGAGATGAAGAGGGAGATCCTCATATGCCATGTTAAAACCTAGGACCTCGGGAAGAAGTTCGCACTCTGCAGCACAGATTCCCAGAGCTAATTGCGTTGTGGCAGCCCTCCAGACACGGGGATCGTCAAGATCCATATCCGGTGCAATGAAGGAAGCTTCATCTCCGGAGTTCGTGATGGGGTTCGGCAAAGTCTTGACGAGATCAGCGTAGATAGCTATGTGGTTCATCTCCATGGCGCCATCACCGAGTTCCTCAGACATGACTTGCCATGCACCACGACGAACCTCACGTTCAACACCGTTCTGGACGGGAACGCACATGATCCTTGACAACCAGGCACCATCAACAAACTTGACAGGAGTGGATTGCCTAAGCCACCACTCTGCAAAAGCCTTGTCCTTCTCCTTGTCTGTCCTTGAGCCAGTGCTTCCATCTGCTTTGAACAATTCACGACCAGCACCCTGCCGCCGACGCTGGCAATACTCTTCGTACTTATGGACATTGTTGTCGTGACCATTTGCTAGGAATGTCTCGAGTGAATGCCGATCGAAGGTGTCAGGAAGCTGCCAGATGCCATGCTTAAAGTGCAAGGCCTGTGAGAGTCGATGAGCGGTATATCGCTCTGCACGCCGTAAAGCGTCAGGATGACGTTCGGGATTCTGAAGGATATGATAGAGCTGTCTTTCTCTATCAATGTCGGTCGTGATCGGCCGCCGTGCGGGCTTTATATGCGTGGTCTCTGCTGGGTCTGCAGCAGGACTGGCATTGCCCAATTGATTCGTCAAGAAGAATCGACGATACACCGAGTTGAGCTGTATCGAGCCCTTCTGAGTCGAGACAACGATGGAAAGTGCCAGTACGAGAAACGTCACGGAATAAATGCTGGTTCTCCATGGATCAATATCAATGAAAGCAGAGGACGGCATGTTGGATGAGGTGCACTTGCCAGTGGAATGGTCGTCGTCGGAGGTGGACATGATCGCCTCCTTATATACGGTGGGTCAGTGCAGTCGGTCATCCCCTCATCTCGTCTGGTTAAGGTTTCTCGATCTCCACAGCTGAATCCGGATAGATGACGACTCCATGTGCGTGTGGCCATGGACATGTGCCCCGACAGAGCCACAATGACATCAGTTAAAATAAAATCACATTAACGCCAGAATAAATCAGAACAAAATAAATACACAGCGCCCTCAATGTTCACTGCGGTGGTCCACCCAATTCGGTACCCATTCCACTCGACTCAATCTCCATCTCCTCGTCCTTCTGTACCAAAACCTTCTTGCCCTTCTTTGTCTGCTCAACAGCCTCCTCCTCATCAACAATCATCTCTCCGTCCTCTCCGAGAGTAATGCCAGCGGCCTTCAGTCTTTGCAGAGCGTACTTTCCAGCACGAACCTTCTTCTTCAACGTCTTCTTGCTGTCGATACGACCATGCAGAATTTGGTCTGTCACGGCCAAAGCGGGGCCCTTGGAGGAGTTGCGCTCGATGACAGTGGCGCCGTTAGCGATGGCCTGGCGAGCACGTTGGGCCTTGGCCGCTGAGGGTCTGGCCTTGTGACGTTTGTGAGTGTGCTTGATCTTATTTGGGTTGTTTAAAGAAGGCATAACGGCGGAATTGTTCGATTATGTTTTTCTTCCTCCTCGAAAATCTTCGTACAGCGACATGTATCGATAGCGCACAGCCACATGTACACCAGCCTCATCGATACCGGTACCGGTAAGCTTAATACGCACCCATTCGCTGTAGACGGTAGTCCCCACTAAGTAAGGTTACTGGCAGTGAGGGAAACGTGGGACGAACGAGGTTGGTATTAGTTCCTGCAAAGGCATCAGCAATTAATGAATGCCGAAAATATCACTAGTACGGCTTTTTCGTCAGTTATCTTCATCCTCATCCGTCTCTTGCTGCTCCTCATGATTTCTCACCCTCAAGCTCAGCCATGCAGCAAGACATGTACTTATGCCACCTACTCTCAAAACCCAACCCAGGCTATCGTCACCAGCCCTACCCTCCGGCCCGCTGCCACCAAGGATGCGGAAAAGTGCACTAGCGATCAAAGTAGAGATGACCTGCGGCGCTGCAATGTAAAAGTTGTGGACGCCCAGGATAACACCAGCTGCCTCTTCCTCCTTTTCATCAGTCGAAGATGTACCTGAGGATGTATCTTCATGCTGCAAGCGATTCGCTTTCGCCTGTGCTCGTAACGAGATCTGCTCGCTGATCAGCGCAAAAGGTGCCCACAGCGTGAGCGCCCATGAGACTCCACAGACGGCAACAAGCACAGTAGTACCCCAGACCCCGTTCACCCAGTACGTCGAAAACATGCATCCTGCAAATAGGAGATGACTCAGTGTCCACGCCCTTCGAAGCGTCAAAACCTTCCACCACTTCTCCTCCCCTGTTTCCGTCGAGCTCTCCTTCACAATGATGGGCAACAAAACGTTCGCGCCAAGAGATACAAGCGCAAAAAGAAGCATGGCAAAGTTTCCAGCCCTCGTAGCTGCTTCCCATTCACGCTCTGGCGGTGGCGGTACAGTCGTGTTGGCAGAAATCGTGTCGCCGAGAGTTTCGAAGAGCACCGGCGCCCTAGGTGTCGCACTCGTCTTGATGTAGATCTCAGCGATATATGTCGTGATGTAGAACAAGAACGGGAACCATCCAATCCACGCAAAGAATTGTACATTGCAGACGCGCTCGATGCTCACCGGGATTCGGGAGATGGACAGAGCGACACGGCTGGCAAACTCCCATACCTCGGCCAAACCTGATTTTTCCCGCTGATTGCGTTTCTGCAGCTCAAGATTCGGGTTACGTTCTTTGATGCTAGCACAGGTGATTGCTACCGTGAGAATTAGAACTGCACTGGCAATGGCGCAGAGCACCTTCATCTGCGTGAAGCCAAGAGCCGGAAGGTAGCGTGGGAGATTCATGTAGCCTGAAAGGTAGCCAAAGACGTTACCAATTCCGATCATGCGAGAGCCCCATGCATTTGCAGAAGACTGCAGCTGCGGGGATACAGAATCGACAATCAAAGTCCTCGAGGAAGCTTGGACTAAACAATACGTTCAGCAGTTACTTTGGTAGCATTCAGGACCAGGTACTTACTCGTGTTAATAGCAAAGTCGAGAAGATAAATCATGAAGACCGCCAGTATGCTTGTGGCAGTCCTCACCTTATGTTCATGCTCTATACTTCGGCGTCCACCTGCAATCAGCTCGACAACTTCCCTGGTCCAGCCAAGGACAAGCAAGCTCGTGACCACCCCAATCGTGCCAGCGATGATGAACGGTCTTCTCTTGCCCCAAGATAGTGTACTGGTATCTGACAAAAGTCCAATGATGGGTTGCATGAGCATGCCCGAAAGAGGGCCAGCAATCCAAATGAGCGACATTAATGGCTTTGGTATGCCGAGGGAGATGAGGTATGGGGTGCCATTGCCCATCTCGACTGTCCATGTGAACTGTAGTCCGGCCAAGACTAAGGTCAGGACAATCATATACCCGAGACTCCTGGTAGGTAAACTTGGAGCATTGTCCACTGACGATGAAGCACCCAAGGCAGCCTCTTGGTCGTGCGAGGAGGGCGTGTGATGGGGAATGAGACTGGTGCGCTCGTCGGGAGCGTCTGAATCGCGCGGACGGTAAGGCCTCGATGGACCTGTTTCAGCTGTCATTTTCTTTGCGAAGGAGTGGTATAATTGATGAGATGGCCTGAATGAATGCTGCTCGTTGCCTTGGCGGAGTTGCACCCCGTACCCCCGTACCCCGTACCCGCGTACTGCGTGAATGTGCGTATGTGGCTCTCTCTACCGCAGATTGCATGCCCAGGTGTCGTCCTCAGCCGAGGGAGGTACCCGCGCGCGCCAAGCTGTAAAGCCAGGCCCGAGCATACACCCCAGCCGGTGGTAGCATACACCCAGCAAACAGTCCCAGTCAGCTCGATTGGACCCGTATCATGGCTTCGACGGTGTCCAGCTTCTCCAAGCTGCTGTGTAAGAGGGCAATGTCTACTCCTCTGGTGTCTGAGACTGACCATCTTTCTTCCGCAGTCCGCCGAGACCTCGAAGCAGACGAACCACCCGATGTCGACCTTGATCCAGGAGTCCAAGAGCTCTACACCTCCTGGGCCTTGTTCATTCTCGTAGCGCTCATCATTGGAGCGCTATGGACATCATATTACTTGCAGTTGCGCAAGATCCGCGCAGTGCACGAGACTGTCGTTTCCATCTTTGCCGGCATGTCATGTTGCGCTGCTGTCCGAAAGTATGGTCGCTAATAGGACGAGCAGGTATGGTTGTCGGTCTGATTATCCGCGCCGCACCGGGCGACATCATTCAGGAGACGGTTACTTTCCACTACACCTACTTCTTCAACCTTCTTCTTCCGCCTATCATTCTTAACTCAGGCTATGAACTCCACCAAGCTAACTTTTTCCGCTCGCTACCTCAAATCCTGACATTTGCCTTCCTTGGTACATTCATCTCAGCAATTGTAGTGGGAATTCTTGTCTACTTGTGGACGATCATCGGTCTGGAAAGTCTGAGCATCACTTTTGTGGAGGCTCTACAGGTTGGCGCAACGCTGAGTGCAACAGACCCCGTCACAGTCCTCGCGATCTTCAACACATACAAAGTGGATCCGAAGCTCTACAGTATCATCTTTGGTGAATCACTCCTTAACGACGCTGTCGCGATTGTCATGTTCGAGTATGTGTTGGAAATCCGTACGGGCAACAGAATGACTCACATCATATATAGGACGCTTCAAAAGTTCCATGGACAGACCATATACGTCTCGTCCGTCTTTCAAGGCTTCGGCTTGTTCTTGTTCACCTTCATCGTCTCCCTCATTATCGGTGTCCTTATCGGATTCTCTTGCGCGTTAATGCTGAAACACTCCCAGCTCCGCCGTTTCCCGCAGATTGAGAGTTGTCTGATTGCGCTTATGGCTTATGGGTCTTATCTTTTTAGTAACGGCTGTCATATGAGCGGAATCGTCTCGCTCCTCTTCTGCGGCATCACGTTGAAACACTATGCTTACTATAACATGTCGCGCCGGACCCAGTTGTCTACCAAGTACCTTTTCCAGGTTCTCGCTCAGCTTTCTGAGAACTTCATTTTCATTTACCTTGGCTTGAGTTTGTTCACGGAAGTGGACTTGGTGTACCGCCCGGTGTTCATTGTGGTGACCACAGTATGTCCTCCATCTTCAACTTATAGTCGAAGGCTAACGTAGAGAAAGCTTGCCATCTGTGTTGCACGATACTGCGCAGTATTCCCGATTTCTAGCCTTCTGAATCTCATTTCTCGGGCAAAGCACAGACCTGTGCATCCATCCGACCAACCGGAGCAGTTGACGCCAGCGTATCAAATCATGCTCTTTTGGGCTGGTCTACGTGGAGCAGTCGGTGTTGCTCTGGCTGCTGGACTCGAGGGTGAGTACGCACCTGTATTGAAAGCCACCATCTTGGTGACGGTAGTTCTTACCGTTATCGTCTTTGGAGGAACAACTGCAAGGATGTTGGAGATTATGGGGATCAGGACGGGCGTGGAGAGCGATGAACCCGATTCAAGTGACGAAAGCGAAGATGAGGAAATGAACGCAGGATGGAGACCGGTCAGACGGGGCAGTCCGAAGTATGAGAGGAAACAGAAATGGAGGGAGTCTGAGAACGTGGAGATGGAGACGCAGCGAGGTCCGCCACCGCAGCGGAAGGGGTCTCCGTTCACCAATGGAGTGAAGAATGGTGGTGCTAGCCCGTCTAACCCACAGGTTATGAGCAGACAAAATTCCCTACTCGGACAGGATCTTGGTGCAGTCCTACGTGATTCTGACGATGAATCGACTGCATCTGACCTCCCGCCTAGCGCTGCACCCGGGCACCTGGGTGCGCACAGGTCAAGATCGGAGCCCGCCCTACAAACATATCCTTCAGGTGAAGGCGGATCCTCTGTCGAGGCGGTTACGGCTTCGGACCCGGCCGCGCAGGGAGAAGGACGTTTAGCGCAGTTGCTCAGAATGGGTGGAGAGGAAGGAACAAGATGGTTCTTGGAGTTTGACGACAAGGTTCTGAAGCCAGTACTTTTGAGCAAGGACCCTTGATTTAGGGAGTTTTGAATATACCCATTTATACGTCTATTGTATGCATGGAATTCAAACCAAAGACATATCTACCTGAGCTTTGCATCCACGTTCGGCTCCAAATTCGGCTCCAACGAAACGCGAGCTCGTTGCGCCTCGTCCGTCATGACAGCTCTCTCGTCGAACAAGCATGCAAACGAACAGATAGCTGGCTTTGAATACTTATATACCCTATTCGAGAAAGTTGAGCTGTATTTCGATTATAACCTCGCACTTTCACCTGCGCAACCGATTTCGGGCAAATCAACGTTACTGACGGGGTAACGTTGACGCGACAAAGGGCCTAACCAGGAAGTCCACTATACCCGGCTCTAAACAAGAAGTCGCCCTCTCCACTCAATCAGTTTCATGAAATAATTATACGTCCAATGTCAACTCCATTCGAAAACAGTCAGCTCCAATTACCGCCCTTTCAACTCGCTCCACCCGCCAATCCTCTCAACCCCCTTCCTCCTGCTGCCCCTCCTCCAGCTGCCTCTACACACGCCGGTTCGCCTGCCCCGGCTTCTCTGGGCCCTCCGCTATCTCCTCGCTCCGCCGCGAAAGCCGAAAGGCTACGTTTATATAAGCGCGAATGGCAGCGCCAGCGTCGCGAGAAGCGACGCGCTCGCGGTATTCAGAGCACGGAGCACGAGAAGGAACAAATTCGTCTAAGAACTGCTAAATGTCGCGCAATGAGAAAGGAAAAGGAGGTCGCGATGAGTTTATTGAGCTTGAACGTCGGATCGGGCAAGAAAGGAGCTGCTGCCGCCGCGGCTGCGACGGCTGCTATGAACGCTGCTGCTGCGGCAGCTCCACCACCACCTGAGCATGCGCATCGAGTTTTACCGCCGCCTGGAGTACCACCGCCGGCGCCTATGCCAACGGGGGCTATGCCTCTGCCGCCTCCGGGAGCGCCCGTGCCCTTACCGCTCCTGCCTCCGCAGCCTCCTTCACCAACTACGGCCAAGTCGGCTACGCCAGCTCCTGGATGTACTCAAGCTGGACAATCACAAGCGTCTAAACCTTTCAATCATCGTCTCGTCAATCCATCTGCAGCGTTCAAGCCAAAGTCGGGGCCTGCTCGCACGATGTCGAACAACGAGACCAATACTTCCGATTCTCCTCCCGAGAACACGGAACCAGCGATTGCGGACCCGCCGTCGACACCGACCGGGTCCACAGGTCCTGATGCGTCGCCCAAGCCTGGCGCTGCCACATCCCCCACAGAGTCGCATCCAGTCACAACTGGTAAGGGTTTGGTCCGGCCAAGTTCACCCAATGTCTATGCGTCTTATCCCCCGCCATCATCCAATCAAGCAAGCCTCATGTCGACATTCAAGATTAGTCCGCCGCCGAACCAGGCTGGTATGATGTCGACATTTTCGATTCATACTCCCTCCGCGGGCCGCGATTCCGCTTCAAAAAAAAGAAAACAAAGTGCTTCGAAAGCTTCGACTGCTCCCAAATCGAAGGTCAGCGTGCCGGTTGAGGTTATGGACGCAAGCGCTTCGTCAAAGAAGGGATATGAACCTCGCGCAGGCGCTGGAATGGGATTAACTACACCTACACCGGCACGCTCCACTACCGATAGCGCAGATGCCAGTCCCTCCGTCTTGTCTGATATGCACTCCCTCCCAATCTTAACCCCGGCGTTTGACCCTCGAACGGTCCTCCCTACTCTAGGAGCCGCAGCCACGCAAGCGCTTACAATATCGGATGTGTCTGCCGTGAAAGACAAGGAAGCTTCCAAAATCATTCCTGGGACCGGAGTGTTCACATCGCGCGTGGACGGTGAAAGCAACAAAAGGCAAAGGGTTGGTGTTAGTCCGTCCCTGTCGGCGTCTGATATTGGAGCCGACCCATCTGAAATCACACAATCACCTGCTCTGCCAGTAGCCGCCGAAGTTGAGGCCAGCAAAAGTGATTCTGTCACTTTCGACGCTGAACGAGTGTCGGCTGAACCCTCACCTACAGAGCAGTCGGGCGAGCAAACGCAGGAGCTCCTATCGAGCAACATACCGAATGATACCGGTCCTGTACTAGACAACGGAGCGAATCATACGATAACCGACGAAGGACTGAGCCTTGCGGCTGATGTTATGAAAGAAGTTCAGCCTACCCTGGAGGCTGAACTAGGATTGGAATTGCCTGGTGAAGATGATGTTCCCGGACTACTAACGTGATGCGGCGGTTACGGTGGGATGGCCACAGGGGAGTGTCAACGATGTTTTTTGTTTCTATGTTCTATCGCTACTCAGTAGCTTCAATCAGTCACAGGACAAGCCTGTGTTGCAGCTTGCTTACCTTTCCCGCGCTTATGCTGGACCCGGGAGTTCAACGTATCGCTTTAATGCTACTATAATTTAACACACTCAGAGGCAGCTGCTGCAAATGTGTTTCTTCATGCTCATATGTTTTCCCCGATTTTGTAAGGCCATACTGGCAGTCGTGGGATACATTTTTGGTCGTGACGTGAAGAAAGACGGAAAGGCTAGGGACGCACCATCTCCCCAATCATTGACGCTAGGAGTAAGACCTTCTTGCCAACACATGACAAAACGAGAACAGTTGGAAAACAGACATGAGCTGGAGAAATGTAGCTGCACGTAAACCTCAGGAGCCAATCTCAAGCACGTTCTTTGCTGCTTCCCTTGATGCGGAATCTAAGTCGCGTTCTGCAGCTGGAGAGCCACGGACAAAGGAGAACTCCGCACCCGAAACCAATTCCTTTGTCAATACCCGGTGGAGGTAAGGCGTCTCGGAGATGGCTCTGATGAAATGAACTGTCAAATGCAAATCATCTGCAGATAACAAAGCAATATAGAAGCAAGCTCAAGCCTCTTGCTTCGGCTTTCCGTGGATCACCCGCATGATATGAACGTGAAACGACGTCAGTCCATGCCATCACAGAGAACAAAGGGATTCTTCTGCTGGAGAACGCGTGCACGTTCATGCTTCGTCAACACCCAAACCCCTGGCACGTACGTCTTCTCTCCATGATTGGCCAGAAACGCGTCGAGGTGTGTCAATGATCCGCATCATCGCACCGACGGAAACACTGGTCATGTACAGGCGAAGCAGTACGCCGCAGGCAAACGAAATCAAACCGCATCTGAGTCGCGTTCTGCATATGATGCTCCACCGCATTGAGGTGGAGTACTGTATGATGCGCAGTTGACACTTCGCGGTGTATAAGAAGGGAATGCATCCTGCCCGTCATGGAATCTCTATCTTTGATCTCCTTAATAACACGGAACAAACCTCTCAAGTACACTCCCCGCACACCAGCCTAAGGTACGCGCCATGTCCAACATTCCCGAACAAGCTTCCACCGCTGCCATGCCGTGCTCACCGGTACCGTCGTACGACTCTGAGGAAGCACTGCCCTCGGTACCGCTACCTGCTTATTGCCCGGACAAGCTTCCAACCTACACGTACGCTGAGCGCACAGAGATCCTCTCGCAAAAGGCAGAATATCAAGGAGGTCTTGACCTGCCCAAGCAATCACGAACATTGTCGCAAAAGGTATTGCGCGTCTTATCAACCTTTTCGCAACTCCTACTGACATTTTGGTAGCTTTTCATGCTGGGCTTTCTTCTTCCCGGTCCTATCTGGCTGGTTGCAGCCTACCTTTTCCTATTGCACCCTTACATCGCCGCCAGCATCGGACCATACAAACTCCAACCCGCGCCTCTGCTACCTTATTCGTTCAGAGGCAGTTTTGCTTCAAGCATTAATTCCGTTCTGAAAGGACTCGACAAGGATGTTGAGGTGGCACGGAAGAAAGAAGAGAAGCGATGGGGTAGGTATTCATTGTGGGCTTTCACTGTTGTAACTGTTGTGGTATGCTCTGCCGTCATAGTTGGACAGCAAACAGGCTGGGCGTTTGGACTTACACAAGGGAGCTCGGGTCATGTTAGACCGGTTATCGTTGTCTAACTATGGATTACCTCTTGTTCACAGGCTGGTCATCACATTGAAATTCGCAAGGGTATATTGGAATGCTAGGTATAACCAAAAGACAAATGCAGCATCATGAATGACAATTGTGTACACACGAAGGAACGAGCCAGCGTCCTTACAAAATCGCATGACGCCGAAAATTAGCTCATGCAATCATATACCCTGCCCAGTGTGTATATCTTTCAAACCACGTGTCCAGCATCTTGAGCGGCGGTAACAACACTCCTAGCGGCCTCTCTTAACTCCAGCGCGTCGTATCCTGCCGTCTCTGGTCGCCTACCTAGTGAATAGTATTCAACGCCCGGAGAACGGGTGAAGCACCCATCAGGCGGCATTGTGTTCGCATCCCAACCCGAAACGGCCGCGGAGTCATTCACGGAAGTTCCCAGACCATCTCCGGACCCCAAGCCTACGATATCAGACGCGGCATCCTGGATGTGAGGATACGGACTTCCGTCATAAGCGCTAGCCCCAACAAACTGCTCTTGCCGGACTTCCGCGGTATATGAAGAGGGCTCAAAGTCAGGCACCGGAGGTGGTGCAAGGTATGCCGACGACACGCTTTGAGCCATCACCGGCTGAGGTGACCTTTCGTGAGAACGCATATGTTGCAAAAGATTGTCGTGTCTGCTAAATGGCCTTTCACAAACATCGCAAACGTAAGGTTTCTCTTGCATATGGGAGAGCATGTGCGCCTTGAGTTGTTCGTATTTCCTGAAGATCTTGCCACAATTGAAGCGGCACATATACCCCTTTGTGGGTGTGCCGTCCACGTCTATCATAGGCGTTGCAGAACGTTCGTAGGGGGAAAAGGTCCTCCGGCGTTGCATGGCGGATGCACCCGACCAGGTATGAGGGTGCAAACCATTCGAAGAAAGACGAATCTGGGCAGTAGGCGTGGCGAACGATGATTGAGAAGGGATAGAGAGGCCCAACCCAACACTGCTCGAACGAGACATCGAGGTCGGTTGAACCATAGTCACTTGCGGAGGAACCGAAGTCACTCTTTCCATCGGCCTTGCTCTGAAAGGAGAAGCTTCACTGGGCGAAGCGTTGAAAGGAAAGGTGGTTCGCCTTGGCGTGGTCGTAGCAGGGGGCGCGAAGAATTGCTCTTGCTCAGGTAGTCGGACGGACAAGTCTTGTAAGCCGTACTGTGCCTCTGGAGTGAAGCTGTAGGACCTCATGTACGTTGGCGGCGCAGACATACGCGGGTATTGCGGCTCCACTGATCCAAACTCGCTGTATAGTGGCACGGGCGACTGCTCCACGTGAAAATGGGACTGTGCTCGAACACTGGGAACGGCAAAGGTGGGGGCTTGTAGAGTTTGAGGAGTAATGGGGACATAACCAAGACTTGGTGTCGTGTACTGTTGCTGGTATGCTGATGGGTCCATGCGGGGCTGAGGAGATGCCGTGAAGGCGGCAGATTCAGCATATGCTTGAAGGTTGCCTTGCTCCGGTGACGGACTCGGAGTGAAACGCTCAGAACGGCTACCTGCGTACTGCTGGCCATATGGGCGGAGCATGCGTGCTTGATGACGTTGACCTAATTCTTCGTATCCCTCGTCGTCTTCTTCCGTTGTAGCCCGAATCATCTGCTCGTACAGACCAATCTTCTCATCGTAGTTGAAAGTGATAGCCGGCTCTGTAATGGCTTCAGTGCTGGCATCTTCACCCCTCGCTTCCCTCTTCAAGTCTCGTTCCAACGCGTCGATGAACAGACGATCGTGAGGGACGGAGAACCAGAAGAAGACCTTTTGCTTCTTCTGTGTGCGGATGCAGTTGTTCTTGTAGAGGAGGTCAAGAAAAGGGGATTTGGGCTGCTCGAGGACGGCACATTGAGGAGGGCGGAGATTGCGAAGGTCAGAGAAGATACCTTCCTCAAACTTCTTTGCGTTGACGATAGACCGACCGAAAGCTGCAAACCGACAGGTGATGATGCGCACGATGTCGGTACCGGTGATGTAGAACAGCTCCTTCCATAGGACACAGCTCACGTATTCTCCTGTGGGCAATAGAAATCTCCTGATGACCTGCTCTTTCTGCCAGCTAGCTGGCGCGGTAAGCAGGAAGAACTTGAGCTCATCGACTTGTTCAAGCAGTTCTCGTGCCTCGTCCGGAAGGGAGTTCTGCTGATGCTGAGGAAGGAAGGACGACTCAGTGCGATCGTGTAGAATAGTCGCGGCCGACTGTGTTGAAGTCATTCTGACTGGAGGAGTCTTGTTGAGAGGGATTGTGAGCTGTCGCGTCCGACGTTGAGTGTTGAGTTTCAAGAGCGTCGTCGTGACGGGAGTAGCGTTTTGAAGCTGATACGAGGCAGGACCGGCCTGGGACGTTCAGCAGCAGAACGATTTGAGAGTCCTCGTCAGAGATATATTGCGCTTCGGGAGAAGAAGGGAAGGACTGTTGCTATAGGCGTTTCCGGCACGTGTGGGCTCAGGAATGTCCGAGCGTCAGTTAGATTAAGCAGACCCTTGTCGAATGGATTGACCAGTATATTTCAAACCAAGTCTCCGTCGCTGGGTAATACGAAGCTCAAGACGACACAGAGCTCGAGCGTAGAAGAGACGGCAGCTTCCATCGATTTCCCATTCCCTTTCCCATTCCCTTTGATCCTCTTCACCTCGTCAAGTCGTCTTTGTGCCCGTGCATCCATTGTCTCGCCCGCCCGTATGCATGCCCCTCAATCAACTAGCCACCCTGTATTACGTTTAAATTTGGCCAGTAAATAAATGGGATTTCAAATAAGGCATACTCCTGTTGCTATCCCCAACGCCGTGAAACCCGACCGTAATCATGCCCATGACCTATGCTGGCTTTGTCGTCAACAGGAGCTTAAGATCCTAGCGTGCGAATGTTAGCTAACGTTCAAGACAAGCCACTGCCCATAGGCAACTTACGCCCAAGCGCTCCTTCTCTTCATCCTTCTTTGATAACTTGTGAGAGAGCAATTCACTGGCCATCTTCGTCTTTTTCTTCTGTAACTCCAACATCGCTTCTTCCACGCTGTCCTTCATGATGTAGTGAGTGACAGTCACGGGCTGTTCCTGACCGATTCGGTACGCTCGATCAATAGCTTGGGATTCTGAAGCCGGATTGAAGCATGGCTCCAGTATGAACACTCTGATGGCGTGTGTTGCGGATGTCAGGTTCAACCCAACTCCGCCAGCTTTCAGTGAGATGAGGAGGATTTTGCATTCCGAATTCAATCGGAAGTCCTGGATCGCGGTTCTTCTATCCGCCGGCTTCATAGAACCGTCAAGTCGCGCTACACCAAGGCCAATCTGATCGCGTACTGGTCCTTCCACCATGTCCAAGGCTCCCGTCCATTGGCTGAAGACGATTCCTTTCAGGGGGACATCATCCTGGGAATCTCGTAGCTCAATCAGATCATTGAACAATGCCTGCACTTTAGTGCTGAATGCGCGAGGGCTGTCCGCAGTAACCCTTGCCTCACTGCTCTCCTTGTCCTTTACAGCGTCAGGTGAGTTGCGAATCTCCACCAAGTTGAGATTCATAGATGCATTACAGATTGGGCAATATTCAGCTCCTTCGGCGGCACTTCTCGCCGCCGTTTGATATCGAGGGATGCAATCCAAGCAAAAGACATGACTCTCGTGTGCCATGTACCCGACGAGTGTAACTGTCGAGTCGGCTTCCACAAAACCCAGGTCGTGATTGCAATAAGCGCATGTACCTTGTCCGGACTCACGCATTAAAGTCCAGGTGTCGGTCGTCTCGGCATTCGTTGCTGTTTCTAATTTTCCGTACACACACATCTGACGCATCTTCAGGATTAGCTGGAGAATGTTCAAGTAAGCTGCGCCAGTCTTTTGCTTCGAATTAAGAGTGTTGTCGAGGATCTGCTTCGTTGCATCGCGGATGTTGTCGTAGTACATTCTTTCGCTTGCATCGAAAGTTAACGTCTTGACATACTCCGTTTTGGGCGGCAGATTCAGGATTGGTTGCCCATGGAATTTAGAATCCTTCGTGCGCCTCAACGTCGTTGCTTTTACTAGTGTTTGAACGCTGGTCAATGAGGCTGTCCGAAGAAATCTCAGGCCGTGACCTTTGTCCTCAAACGCGGGTAAACGAAGAAACTTGTATAGAGCACCCAGATCCTCGATCCTGTTGTGTATAGGCGTCCCTGTAGTACTTCTTAGATATCGCAGTGTTTTGATCGTTTGGGAGCCAAACCTGTGAGGCACCAGCGAGCATACGCCGAGACACCGCAGGCACCTTGACTTTGTTTGGTCGACGGATCTTTGATGATATGTGCTTCGTCCTTTCAAGCCTTGTGTTAACAAAAGGTTGATAAAAGCTTCGACTGCAACATACCAAGATAACGCGGAAAAAAACTGTCTGGAATAAAGGGCTAGGTTTGGAAGTTGGATCCTGCTGCTCTTGCCACTTTTTATGAGCGGCATATTCCAGCCCGAGAATCTGATATGTCGTGAGAACGACATCGTATTGTGGCAGACTCATCGCCTCGGATTCTCTCTTGCCGCCGTGATATCGGAGCGAGGTCAACTCACCAGGGAGAACGTGACTCTGCAACTGATCCTCCCAATTGTCTAACGTTGTTAGCGGAGTGACTATCAGCGTTGTCTTGACTCGTCGCAAGCTATTGTGTGCTCTTCTGTGTGTGCTATACGCTAACGCCTTCTCCTTGGTGAGACACAATAGAGCGAGAGTCGTAATTGTCTTTCCAAGACCCATATCATCGGCAAGTATACCGCCAATCAAACTTGGTGGCTTCTTCGTGACTTTCAAATTAGTCAAAATGTTGACCCAGATAGTCCGGCCATCCGGAGTCTTCTTCTCCTGCCATATACTGACAGCATCTCCGGAGTCTTCGCCTTGTTCATGCGCATTCATCCAACAAAGCGCTTGCTTCTGGTGTTTGTAAAGAGATGCAGTCAAAGCTGGAGGAGGTTCCATTTCAGCAAGATCTTCCACGTTGCCCATCTTCTCAAATATTTCATTGATCTGCCGTTTCAGAAAGTCCGCGCTGCGAGTTTCGGTATCAATACTTGTGCTATATAGACTGTTGGAAGCACGAGTTTGCGCAGGATAGTGAGGGTTGTTGTAGCTTGTATTCGGCTCCAGTAACCCAGGGCTGACCTGCTGCAGCCAAATGTTTCGTTGCCTTAACAGGTTGCCGACGAGATCCCTCGTTCCTTTTTCTGCAGGCCCATAGACAACAACCGACAGCGCGATGTTGTCCGACACTTCGGTGCTTGGTGTATAGTACTTATAGTCCTTGATCCAAGCCTTTAGTCGCACCCTCCCGAGTGATAAAAGGTAAATCAAAGGCTCGGCTAGTCTGCGACCCATTGTGCCGCACCAAGCATCGCACACATTTATCTTGAGCATACATTGCGCTGCATGTATTTTTGAAACCTCTAGTACCGCTGGAATGAAGGTCAGGTCGCTCGAGGCAGATTTTGGCGGCTGCTGAAAGGCCGTGGGTGGCAGTGCTGGTGCCTTGAATAGCTGACCGTCGCCACTGATGAGTCCGTAACACTGCTGCGGTGGTGTTCTGTTCTCGTCGACAAGCACATCATCTAGACTCCATCATGTTACTTCAAATTGATGCGAAAAGAGCACATGCTGGCCCACCGTTTGTGAGGTCTATAACCTGGCTTCTCCCTGCCGGGATCGGGTAGTTTAGACCCAACTGAGAATGGCCTCGAAGCTCCCATGTATTGCTTTTGGGACGTTTTCTCTCATTGACCCCATGCAGAGCTTCAAGCCGCGAGGCATAACTGGTACCTCTCCGCACGTCACCGTCGGACAGCGTTTGCGGTCGAGCCTTTTGGCGTTGCGGGCTGAGAAGAGCCAAGGGATCGAACCCTTGCGCCGTGGCCGTTGGAGGCTCATCGTCGTCTGAGATTACAATTGGCCTCTTTCTATCGGCCATGGGCAATTGCTGTCCGGCTCTGAATGCTGATGCTCTTCAGGTGCACAGAGCATGTGTCGTCTATGATCTGGGTCTTGTGCGATAGGCGTGCAGCTTGCGGAACCTAAACCCCTGAAACCTAACCTCCATGGAAAAGCATATACTAATCGAAAATTCATACCAGGTAGGAGGCATACATTCAGGGAAGTCTTCGGAGTATCGCTCAACTTCATGTGGTCAAAGTGTGCCAGCATACTCCAATGAGAACGTTGTCCGTTCATATTATCAATCAGAAACTGTGTGAACACGAGCATGTACTACAACATGAAGTACCTCGGTAATTAAGCCCAAAAAACGCCGTATTCCAGAAAGAGTGAATCCGTACCGTATCCATATACCTCCAAGAAACCTTGCCAAAGATGACTGCTCAGATCAACACCAGGTAAACACGGGTGGCTTAGACTTCACCGTCTCAAGCCGCTCGACGATGACAGTTTTATTGGCTTGCTCATTGTGCGCCGCCGCAAAACCCAAATCTCCTTCATCCTCCTCGAAGAAGATATTTCGGCTCGTAAGCGATTGGCCCCTCTTACGTCCTGGAGTGCCAGCCTTGACAGCTCGAGGTGTGCCATGGTAACTCAACGACCCACGAGAAAGCATAGGCGGGGCTGTGTGTTTCTGCTCTTCTACTCCTTTATTTGGGCCACTCAGCGATATGTCGTCTGATAGTCGACCAGCATCATCGTCCAACCGAGACTCACGCGAAGGTTCGCCACAGCTCGTCGTGCGACTTTGTTCAGGCCGCAACAGTGCTGTGTGCAAAGTTGGCGGAGGTGCGCTTGCAGCAGCAGCAGAAATGTCCATCTCCTCTTGCTCATCTGGCCTGATATAAATCGGGGCTGTCGTAGACCTAACAACCGGTACCTCGAGCTGGTCGTCGAAGACCAGCACTCGCACCCTACGCGTCAAGTCGAGAGGCCCCTGGTCTGCTTGTTTCAAGGTCTCCACCACGTTCCAAGCTTGACCCTTCAGTACGGCCATTTGTTTAGCAAACATACGTTCCTGAAAGTCTGTATCCTGGCTAAACAGAGCGCGTAATTGCTTCGTCGTGTCTTTCCACCACTCAGGACTAGTAAGAAGCGGGAGGAAATGGTCACGAGTCTTCTGTGAGAAGGGCTTCCCGATAAGAGAGACTGGAAGGAAGAGCCAGCCAAAGGGATACGAGCGCCATTCATCTGGATGCTTCCATGGGAATGCAAGAGAGTTGTCGATGGCGCCAACATGGATGTGTGGTACCGCAACTTGTGATGAGGACGACCGTGAACCGCCTGCGGATGCCGAGTTCAGTCCGCCATTGGCTGACGAGGTTAGACTGGTCATGTGGTAATCACCCTCGCCTTCCATGTCGAGTAATGATGACGGCACTGATTCAACGGTGGAAAGGGCCTGCGCAGCTTCTGGCCGCGAGGGAACAACCTTTGGTTCATGGTTATGGTAGCATACCTTGATCATCCAATTATCCAAGCCACGGTCTGACAAAACTTGGGTTAGCTATTTGCGCGCCAGCGTGAAGGTATTTCACATACCAGTGTTTCTCATCATGTAGTCCAAAATCACCAGCTTTTCCAACTCTTCTCTGAAGTTTTGCTGCAAGGCTTCTGTCCATTCGAAGCGTCCAGGGTCGACATCGCCACCGGGACTAAACGAGCTCCTTCTACTCTCCTGATCTTCCTCCTGTTCTTCCAATATGGTTTCCTGTCCTGACGGCCTGCAAGACGACAGGAAAGACCTTTTCTTCCTCGTCTCCGTCTGTAGCGGAGCATTTACCCTGTCCGGCCAAGGATGTTCCCGCAGAAAGATGTTTGCATCTTTGAATCCTTCCAGGAAGACCTGGAAACTGCCCACTTTTTGGGGGAATGGCTTTGCTTTCCGGTAGTATGCACGCCTGTCGAGCCATTTGTAGTGAAACGATTTACTGGAAAGCCAAACCACCTCAGTGTGAGGAACCATGTACGTCTTCAATTGGCGATCCAGTACTGAAGCTGCAGCCTCCGAGATGTATGACAAATTCGGAATCAAACTAAAAGACTGTGTAAGCACCGGACTTAAGAAAACACCCATCCAGGAAACCCACCAACTTCTGCCGAAGAAGCATGGAAACAGCGTGCGATGTAACCATTTCGTCCACTTTGGGTTCATTTTCCCGTACGGCTCCTCATTCTTGGGCTTGAAGATCCCCACGGTTTTGTTGTTGACGTCCCTTACGAAGTATGAACCCGATGAGCCTTGACTGATCATTCGTGGGTGTATGCCCCGGGCAATCGCGTGTCGAACGGATTCTAGGATGACTTCGAATTGTTCCTTCGACATTGGTTGGTTGTGATCAAGTGTGACAAACTGTAGGAATACGTTTAGAAGCATTCACTTGCACGTATTCGATTCACTTACCTCCTCAACGAGTGGCTTCAATCCCTCCGGAGGGATGAATACACTGTAGTACAGCTCTTTATCCGCGTCGGTGTCCTTCCCCTTCCTTTTAACCTTGAACTTGGAGGCAATTTCGTCTGCCCATCTCTCGAGACGCGCATTGATAGCCTTGATGTCTATGCCTCCGGTATTGCTCCTGTCGCGAGTGCGTAGTTGAATTGCGCTGGGCAGGTCAGGTGCGGCAGTGGGGTGAGTGAGCACGGACACAGTCGAACCGTCCGCAGCTGACGTCTTGTTGCCGGCGAAACGATTGGAGTAGCCGAGATCATCTTCGGCATCCTCCATCTCATCGACCTGGTTTAGGCGCTCGTAGCCAGAAGAGGCCGGCTTCATGGTGGTCGAACTCGTTCAGTGGCCAGGTTGTGCTTGATGACAGCAGCTTGGTGTATATACCGTACGTACCGTACGTCCACCTAATGCACGGTTGACCTGGAGGTGACAGGCGGACCATTCGAATAACCCATCTTATATGCTCCCATAGAAAGAAGAATGATAGGAGGATGGACAACAGCATACACTCGCAACCTTTGCTATCGGAAATTTGCTGTCCTAATCGTTTGGGTTATCGATTTCGGCGATAAGCGCGCCAACTGAACTCGACCCGCGCGAAGCAGAAATCTTAGATCTAACCACCAAACCCCTACCTCCCCCCCCCACCGTCATTCGCTCTTTACCCCTCTCCTCTTCGACTTCTGCGGGCTTGACTGTTCGCGGTTGATCATTTATCGGTTTTACAACGGTGGCTCAAGGCGTTCTTCGCGGTCACTCGCACCAACAGAATGGTGTAGAGTTGGACTCTTCTATCATGGCTCCACATCCTCCCGCCGCGATGGGTCCTTCGCGGAACCTACCTCCTCCGACTCCGCTTCACCAGCAAGTCCACCATCATCACTTTGCGCCTGTGTAAGTGCCCTTTTGCGTGGGCGTGTTCCTTCTAGGCAATGTATGCTGATTCTTCTTTCTCAGCATGCACTCCCCACATACCCCCCCGCCGCATCTACAGCACGGCCTTGCGCACCCAGGATACCCTCAAGGCCTTCCCGCGCTGCCTGTCACCTTCCCTGCGACAGCCACACCCACCACCGCGTCATCCACTCCCGGTAACCCACCGGTCTGTCAGAACTGTGCGACTTCTACGACTCCTTTATGGCGACGTGATGAGTCGGGTGCTACTTTGTGCAATGCATGCGGTCTCTTCCTGAAACTTCACGGTAGGCCTCGGCCTATCAGCTTGAAAACGGACGTGATCAAGTCTAGGAACCGCGTCAAGTCGTCTGGTCAGGTGAAGCGCAAGTCTTCAGCGACCGAAGGTCACCCTGGAATGCACGCGCTCCACCACGGGCTGGTCCACACTCCGCCGCACAACGGTCACCTTGCCGGACCATCTGGCAACGGCGGTAACAGCCCTCCTCACTCTCCGAATTCGTCGCATGCATACCCATCTCCGCAAATAACACACTCTATGCACCTTCACTACCCTGGCGCAGTCCATATGGCCCCAGATCCGGCTCTGCTTCGACCACCGACCGTTATGCAGCACCGACCAGGAAGCGTCCCCCTTCCCACAGAAAATGAGCCGCAAACCATGGAATCAGTGATGGCCTCGAACCAGGCTCTCCGTACTCGTGTTGCTGAACTCGACCTTGTCAACGACCTTTTCCGTTCACGCGTTACCGAACTCGAATCTTCAGAAACCGCATCGCGTCGCCTGGAAGGATCACGAAGGGAAGTGGAAATGCAGCTGCGCAACCAACTGGAGGAGATGGAGCGTCGGGAAGTGGGCTATCTGAACAGGATTGAGGCGCTTGAGCGGGAATTGACTGCGGAAAGGGAGGTCGGGAACATGAGAAAAAAGATGCGGGTTAGTGTTACCAATCTTCTTGAGACGCCGGATGAGCTGAGATCGATTTCAAAGAGCCCTGCCACCGCGCCATCTATGGACGAAGCAACTCCTGAGAAAGAGGTCACGGCAGAGAAGCCTCTCAATGGTGAGCAGGGCGGAAACGTCGAGGGGGGCGAGGAAGCGACTTCAGCGCGAGAGCCTGTGCTGTCAGAGGAGGCGTCGCCTATGGTGGAGGCTAGAGAAGGTGCATCTCCAAAAAGTGCTTAGGAAGGAGGCTCAGGGTCGGCGGACATTATGTGTAAATATCAGACGCCAGTGTCATTAAAAAGTCTTACGGGTGTTGGTGGGTTGGTGCTATGTTTCTAGGGTCCAAAAATGGTTTTTTGTTTATCTAGGTAAACGTCCACTATTCAGTACTGTTTGGACAAATGTGTCGGCCGGGCCATCTCACGTTCACCTACTTTTCAGCAGCTTCATGTTTTCATACGGTCAAACTACCCCCGACGAATTGGGATCTAGCTGATGAAGATGTCTATTATAAAATATGTCTAGGAAGAGCGTACTAGTTACGGTTCCTCACACGAATACCCAAAGCAATCGCAAGCGCCAGCGCTGCGCAACATGCTGTTCCCGTCACTTGGAAAGCCGCCTGGTAACACTCAAGACCTAGACGACATTCCTGATCACCAGAAACGTGAGAATCGTAGGTACGTCCATACAGCAGGTTGAAAATGCTGCCGGCAATGCCAGGGCCTACACATAACCAGCCCCAGTTCTGTGAAAAGCGGGCTACGCCGAACCTGAAGAGATGGTCAGTTTACGACAGCGGGGGCGAAGCAGAGTCAGCATACCATTCGGCGAGAAGAACCGGTGCAGTGCCAAACATCATGCCGTACGCAAACCCGGTCATGGAGCTGACAACATAGAGGTTCTGTGCGTGTGTGATGATTGAAGCAGCGAACTGGGCCACCACAAATAGTCCTGCGGCAATACAGAGAAACCAGCAACGCTGCAAACCCCATTTCCGACGGGCAACATCGGAGGTTACACCTTGAGATCGGACGGTTAGAGTTGTGCAGTTATGCGACACAAGGTGACGTACCAGCACTAATACGGCCAAGGCAGTTGAAGATGGAGATGGTGCCCACATGCGACGCTTGCATTTGACGAACATGACCGGGGGATGCGTTGGGGTGGTTGACGGACCACAGCGACTGAACGCAGTGTCCGACATTGTTGATGAGCATGAGCCCTGCTCCTGACAGAAAGCAGACCACGGTGAAAAACAGCCAAAACTCTGTACTCTTCAACAAAGAGACTCCGCCCATATCTATTTGAGATTTTGAATCCTCAGCATCCTCTATATTCTCAGCAGGATCCTCATCCAATGATCCACTGTAAGTGCGTGTATGCTTACCTGGTTCTTGCCGTAAGATTGGTCGTCGTCGATCATGCAGCGAAGGTCGACTTTCAGATACAGTCAGGTAATCGATGGCCATCGGAGGGACGATGACTACAAAGTAAGCCCCGATGAGACAAGACACGCCGGTGGCCGTGCTGAGGAGGAGAAGAAACGCCGAAGTGTCTCCCAAGAAGGCGGCGGCTGCTGAGAAGGCGAACGCTGACAACCCAAACAGGGAAATCGCGATTGATGTGGCTGTACCTCTCTATGCAGTTGTTAGTGGATGCTCATGGAGTAAACGAATAAGGGCGCACCGTCGTGGGGAAATTCTTGACGACCGAGTTTATTGCCGCAGCACTGCCAGCCGAGCTCCCTACGCCTGTCAGAAGCATACACAAGGCCAAAGTTGTCACCGACGTCTCATAGTTGTATGTGTATGCTCGATACAGGCCGTAGTAACCGGAAAACAACACGCCTGCTGCAAGCAGCAACGGTAGCCGTGGACCTCGTGCGTCGACCAGCATACCCACAAAGGGACCACCAAAGTAGACACCATAGTTTCCAAAAGCGCCTATAATGTTTGACTGTGTTGCCGTCAGACGTAGACGGTCGGCGAGTTGTGGAGCGTATGCCTGGAATGGTTGATCAGCATTCACGAGGGGGGGGATCCAAGGGAAGCACCGACGCTGTATGCGTAGTTTGTGCCCGAGGCGAGCGTGACGAGAAGCACAGCCAGGTAAGCGAGAGCCCTCGTCGTGCGTGGATCCATTTGTCTCGTTATGCTGGATGTGCTGGGGATGTATGCTGGTTGTCTCGTTGTGCTGGGGATGTATGCTGGTTGTCTCGTTATGCTGGGTGTGCTGGGGATGTATGCTGCTTGTGATGGTTGTATGCACTATGACGGGGACGGGGAGGACGGCCAGGCACAGGCACAGGCACCACCCAAAATGTGAGCCAGGGCTACTCGCGCAGAAACCCTCCCCGCCTCGAGTGGCACGCCCCCCCCGGGCTGCAAATTGGCAGGCGGATCGATCGCTTGGACGTCCCGACAGTTTCGACTCACCACCACAGCAAAGGTACGTGGTTCGCTCCCGTCGCTGCCTCGAGGTTACGCTGCTGACCCTCCGTCCCCTGTACAGATGCAGATCTTCGTCAAGACCCTCACGGGTAAGACCATCACCCTCGAGGTCGAGTCCTCGGACACCATCGACAACGTCAAGTCCAAGATCCAGGACAAGGAGGGAATTCCCCCGGACCAGCAGCGTCTCATCTTCGCCGGAAAGCGTGAGTTCCAGCGACGTTCCGTTCACAAATGAAACGACAGTACTAACAGATGGTGTTTGTGCAGAGCTCGAGGATGGCCGCACTCTCTCCGACTACAACATCCAGAAGGAGTCTACCCTTCACCTTGTCCTCCGTCTCCGTGGTGGTATCATTGAGCCCTCGCTTAAGGCTTTGGCTTCCAAGTACAACTGCGACAAGATGATCTGCCGCAAGTGCTACGCCCGTCTCCCTCCCCGTGCCACCAACTGCCGCAAGAAGGCTTGTGGTCACACCTCCCAGCTCCGCCCCAAGAAGAAGCTTAAGTAGTGGTTGTGCGCATGGAAAACATGGATTGGATGGCGCGCGTTGTTTTGCTTTTTTGTTACGGCGTTTCAATCAAGGCTCAATGAACAAATGTCCGTCTCATTTACTCTTGTGATTTCAACCGCGCCACTCATAGCAATGAAAGACTACGAATCAGGTCGTCCAGCTTGTTCTGTAGAACGTCTTTGTCTCCAAGCAGCTGCGCGTATTCCTGATCTATCCGTTGCAGCTCTCCCTCAAGTAACCGTAGCCTTGCATATTGCTCCCCTTCGGTCACACCGACGCCTGGTAATGAGTCTATCAGAGCGTCGATTTGCTTGTGCTTCACAATCATATCTCGGGCAAGTTCTCGTTTGGCATCTTGTGTTTCCCATCAGCAACATCCAATAGACATCTAGCGTCAAATGCATACCTCCAATCTTCTCGACCTCTTGTGCTGGTGCGGCAGGTGTTTCGCCTACATACGTTCGGTAACTCGTCAGCAATTAGAAGTCATAGTAAGATAACCGCATGTGTACCTAGATGTTCAGCAATCAGACCTTCGCCAGACAACGAGGACGGTTGATGCTGCGTATGTAGATAATTGAGTGCCGAGTGATATTGGTTGACTGCCTTTGGAGCAATTCAGCACACGGTTGATATTTCGGAAAAAAGAAGGGAGGTAATGACATCGTTGACAGCAGTCTGAAGCTGTGTAATCCTGTCCGTCATGTTTATTGCAATTGGCCTCAATGTTGGCCGGCGGTATACCGGTGCGTATATACGGATAGTGCCTTGCATCATGTCGTACGCACCAGATCAGCGCAAAACATTTGAACGCGTCGCAGCTCCTCAGCTCCTCAGCTCCTCACGGGCTCCTTCACATACACCCCTTGCAAGTCCTTCTATTGCTTGGAGTAAATGAGGCTCTGGAAGTGCCTCAGAGGATCCATACCTGCCCGTGTGCTCCAGAACCCGTGCCGGGAGCGGTATGTCAGACAGCTCGCTCAGGTTGCTTCAGCCCTACGGACGTCCTCCGACGCTTCCTTAAACTCAAAGGATACACCAAAACGAAATGCTATCAGTCTTCGGCCATATCAAGAGGAGTGTATAAACGTTATCGTCAGTAACTTGCAGGACGGTAGAAGGCGCCTCGGTGTGTCTTTAGCTACAGGCTCTGGGAAGACGGTCTGATCATTTTCCCCGCTCAGCGCTCACCATACTGATATAACTTCAAGGTCATTTTCACTCAGCTTATCGAGCGTGTCCCGCCTCTGTCGCCTTTGGCGACGCAGACGCTGATCCTTGTTCATCGAAGAGAGCTGGTGGATCAAGCAGCGAAGCATTGCATGAATACTTATCCTGACAAGGTACGAGTGTGCAACCCACTCTCAAGTGCACAAGCCCTAACGTATATCAAGATCGTCGAAATCGAAATGGGTGATTCTGCCGCATCCGGTGTTGCCGATATCACTGTTGCTTCCGTCCAGTCTCTCGTATCGCAGGACCGGTTGATGAAATTTGACCCGTCACGGTTCAAGCTCATCCTTATTGACGAAGCCCATCATGCTGCGGCTCCGTCTTATACACGATGTTTGGAGCATTTCGGCGCTGCGACCTCTGATAGTACAGTGAACGTTGTTGGTGTATCCGCGACTCTGTCTCGTGTGGATGGACTTGCGCTTTCCTCGGCCATGGACCATATCGTATATCACAAGTGAGCATGCACGTATCCATCTGAGCCTTAGGAATACTGACCGCGGAAACAGGGATTACATCGACATGATCGGTATGCATGCCTGAGCGCAGTCGTGATATCAAATTCTTATTAACGTGAGGCGTTATAGGCGAAAAGTGGCTGTCCGATGTCAAGTTTACCACCGTCAAATCCAATGCGGATCTGACCAAGGTGAAAGATAATCCGCATGGAGATTACCAAGTTGCTGCATTGTCTCGAGCAGTTAACACCCCCCTGTCCAACGAAATCACTGTTCGTGCTTGGCTTGACAAAGCACAAGGACGCAAATCAACCATCGTATTTTGCGTGGATCTGGCTCATGTTACGGATTTAACAAATACATTCCGCAAGCACGGAATCGATGCGCGATTCGTGACAAACAAGACGCCATTGAAGGAAAGGCGACAGTTGGTTGAGTCTTTTAGACGGAACGAGTATTCGGTCCTTGTGAATTGCGGTAAGCATATCAGAGAATCATGCATTGCGCTTCAGAAAACTTATATTGCTACCAGGCATCTTTACCGAAGGAACGGATATTCCCAACATCGATTGCGTCCTGCTGGCCAGGCCAACCAAATCGAGAAATCTGTTGGTTCAAATGATTGGACGTGGTATGCGTCTTTCTCCAGGCAAAGCTGACTGTCATGTTATCGATATGGTTGGCTCTTTTGCAACAGGCATTGTCTGTGTGCCTACGCTATTCGGTCTCGACCCTAACGAACTAGTTGACGAAGCTAGTGCCTCGGAACTCACGCAGCGAGGCAAAGAATGGGCCGAGGAAAAGGAATTGATGGACAAGGCGGAACTCGAACGTAAGTAGATCGTGGTACCCTCGTTCGCATTCTGACGCTGGGTGTCGACAGAAACCCCTGAATACTTGCGTCTTGGTAGCGTGACATACACCGATTATGATCATGTAGATGATCTTTTGGGTGACGTAACTGATCCCCACTTAAGAAGAATCACACAACTTGCATGGGTCTACTGCGGAGGGCACAAGCACATTTTGTCCATCGCAAGGTTTGGCTTTCTTCGAGTAGACCGTGATGAAAAGACAGGTTGCATGCCCCAGCGTGTCTGGTCGTGAGCTCATACTGACACTGCCTCACACAGGACTTTTCTATTGCACGGAAACGCGCAATCTGCCTATGGAACTAGGCACGCCGGGATCTTCCCGACGAGTCATCCTCTCAAAACCCCGCACCCTGTTCGAAAATGTTGACGGTTTCGAAAATGCAATCCACGCTGCGGATACATACGTACTCAACAAAGCTAGCAGGGTCCTTTGCTTGCGAGACGCAAGTTGGCGATTGGCTCCGGCAACTCCGGAGCAGGTGAACTTGTTAAATAAACACCGCGAGCCTGAAAACGCATTGACTGTTGAGGGCTTGACAAAAGGAAAGGCTATGGACATGATTACCAGGTGGAGACACGGATTCAAGAGTCATTTGGAAAAGGAGATGAAGAAGGCTGCGAAGGCGGCCAAGCAGAGCGAGAAGGACCGAAGGATTCAAGACAGGGAAGCGGTAGCTGTAGGGCCTATGGCAAAGGATAGCTAGCAATGCCTTCTTGATACACTCATGATCTAACTTCCATGGCAAATTTTGCTTTTTGTCTGCCCAGGTGCTTATCGGGTACTTCACAGCGCAACTGAGTTTGGTGCAGGGGTGCATGGTGCGCTACACCGACAGCAAAACCCCAAAGAGCAATACGAAAGGGAAAGGCCCATTCAACCCGTTAAAGAGCAGCATTCAATCGACCGACCGACCGCCGTCTTTTGCTGTGCTATCTTGCCTTGCACGTATCTTCTTCAATTGAGATCGTCTTCTTATGGCGGCGCGCCGTGTGGAGGGCTGTAGAGGTCCGTAACACCCCTGGATGCGCAGCATTCACACCCGTGAAGACTGCGATTTTAATATTGAGAGACAGACTAGATTGAAGCATGCGCGACAAACGGGGAACGACCAAGGCATGGCCGAATCGTGATCGCGGTCGTGAAGTTCCCGAGTCGGCCGTAGATCATACTCCGCCCCGCGACGAGGACATCGCTAAGACACCTCCGAGGAGCACCAATTCTAAACGAAGCAAGCGCCCAGAACCTCTAGTCGTTGATCCCCCATTACGCATTGATAAATCGACATCAGAGGTGTTTGAGAAGGACGTCTTAAGCAATGAGCCGAAGAAGCGACCTCCGCCGCGTGGGGATACGCGCTGGTCAATGTCACTCTTATTAGTGATACTCACGCTGCTATCAGTATGTGCGACTGCTTACATCGTGGATTCCTTTCTGCGTTATCAGCGAGATGACAAGGGTTGCCGCATGTCTTGGATGTCACCGTCCTATGCCAGGCTCACGAGCTTTGATACCGAACACACGCGGTTCGCAAGTAAATACTCGCTCTATTTATACCGTGAACAAGGCGTAGATATCGACCTCAAGCCAAATGGTGTACCTGTTCTCTTCATCCCGGGTAACGCCGGAAGCTATAAGCAAGTTCGACCTATAGCTGCTGAAGCCGCCAATCAATACGCTGAAGCGCTGAAGCTCAATTCTTGGATCGCTGACGATGGGAAACGGAATTTGGATTTCTTCACGGTGAACTTCAACGAGGAGTTCTCGGCTTTCCATGGACAAACTCTACTGGATCAGGCAGAATACCTCAACGAGGCGGTCAGTTTTATCCTGTCACTATACCACGATACGCGTCAGTCCTCGTCTGATACTGATCTTCCTGACCCTACCTCGGTCATTGTGATTGGTCATTCGATGGGCGGCATCGTTGCTCGTACAATGCTCACCTTGCCGAATTATCAATCGAATTCCGTCAATACCATTCTCACTATGTCAGCGCCCCACGCAGCACCACCTGTCCCGTTTGACTGGGATATCCATCAGATATATGCTACAATCAATGACTATTGGCGGAAGTCTTTTGCGGAGGATCCTGCGAACAACCCCTTGTGGCAGACATCTTTGATCTCAGTGGCTGGCGGTGGTCTTGACACCGTTGTTGCCTCTGACTATACGAGTACGGCTTCGTTGTTGCCTGATAGTCATGGGTTCACCGTCTTCACATCATCTGTACCAAATGTTTGGACCAGTATGGATCATCAGGCAATCCTCTGGTGCGACCAGTTTCGGAAAGTCGTTGCTGGAGCATTGTTAGAAGTCGTTGACGCTCGGCGTCCTGGACAAACGCAGAGCCGAGAGAGACGCATGGGAGTGTTCCGGAAATGGTTTCTCACCGGTCTTGAACAAGGTCATAACCTTGTAGCACGTGGAGCAGGGGAAGGACGAAGTACGATTCTTGCCCTGCAGGACACCTCACATGAGATTGTGCCATTGGGAGAACGCTTGATACTGAGACAACTCGGAGACCACTCGACCAAAGTGCATCTGTTGCCAGTTCCTCCCTCAATGTCCCACCCGGGCTTTTCGGGGTTTTCTTTGATTACTGATCAGAAAATTGGCTCTTCTCCTGGTCTGGCAGGAGTGCGTGTTCTTTTGTGCAGTGTTTTGCCACTTGATAAGAACGACCATCATATAATAGCAAAGGACGTGCGGGCTACTGAGTTAGCATGCAGAGATGCGTCGTCCGATACGGTGTTGCTTCCAAGTTCGAATGACGAGGCCAAACATCCTTTTTCAGGGGAAACATTCTCTTATTTGACTTACGATATTGACAGGCTTGGAGATCGTCAATTTGTGGCTGTGATAGATCAGACTCTCGAACCCTCATCTGGTTTCCTTGTCGCAGAATTCTTTGACAAAACGGAGAGTGAAATACTGTCGGAAGCTGGTTTCCCATATTTCCTCCACAACGATCTGGAATTCACACTGACGCCTAAGCGACCAATAGTGGTGAATATTCGTATCCCAGCTATCGATAGCAGTTTACTTGCTTACACGATGATTGTGGGGCCGCAAGTGTGCGATGATTACAAGCAGATCTTTGCGCCATTGGTCCGTCAATACATTACTAATCCTCACGAGTCGAAGTTCTTTGTCAACGTTCACCAGGCTGATATCAATCTGCATGGAGATGCTCCTTTCATGGTGCCAGTGATTGGTCCGGGCATACAGAAAGGTGTCACACTCCAGTTCTGGACAGATCCTAGCTGCAGTACCCCCCTCAGCGTTATCATCAAGTTAGATATCAGGGGAAGTTTCGGAAAACTAGTGATGAGGTTTCGAACCGCTTTCGCTGCGTTCCCTCTTATAATCATATGTCTCACCCTCCGACGACAATTCGTCGAGTACGACGGTGGGCAAGCGTTTATGAGTTTCGCCGAGGGCTTGAGCCTGGTGGTCCGAGACACGCTGCCGTACGCACTCGTTGCTGTTTCGATATCATCTTTGGTTTTGGCGTTAACGCATTCGCATGAGGCTATGGATTTATCCAGCATTTTCCACCATCTGGCGACCTCGTCGATTGCTCACGAGGCGGTGGGTGGTGGTCATATATGGCGGAACGATATTCTGCTGGGACTTCACAACCCTCACCTCTGGTTTTTGGCGCCCTTGTTTGTGCTCATATCAGTGGGCACTTGCGTTCTTCTGTACGTCGCGACAATGCTTATTGTCAACTTTTTGCATCTGATGTCGTCCATCCCGTTGAGGAAGTACGCTGATGCACCAGACGACCAAAAGGTCAACAATCAAACATCCTACTTCGCACAAAGTACGCCGAGAAGGCGCTTGATTACGACACTCGTTCTTTTATTCTTCGTCGCTACGTTTGTGCCATATCAGTTTGCATATATCGTAGCGTGCATTGTGCAGGTTCTCACCTGTACCCGGGCTTTGGGCTGCGCAAAAGATCAGGTATGTTCGATGACCCATAATTGCGATTTGCGTATTAATGGTCTTGTAGGGTAATTGCGCCAAGGGTGATTCACATTGGGACTTTTTCAATTACACCCATTCGATCCTTGTCCTTATGTTGTGGCTCCTGCCTGTCAATATTCCTGTCCTGGTCGTTTGGGTCCGTAACCTCGCTGTTCAATGGCTCACCCCGTTTTCCTCACACCACAACGTGCTCTCGGTGGCTCCATTTATATTGTTGGTGGAGACACTGACCGCGGGAAAGATGATTCCACGAACGAAAACCAGGCATGTTAAATATTGCAAGACATTGATTGTCGTTTACTAATGGTTTCCAGGCCGTCGATAATCGTACGCATAATACTTCTGTGCTTCGCAACAATTGCAGCGTTGTGGGGAGTCATGCACGCGTATGTCCTGCACCACCTTGGAAACATATTGGCATCCTGGTTGGTGATATTGCATTTTGCTGCCGTGGTCGGTCGCGGCGGCCGTCGACAACTGGCTTTATACGAATTGTTCTCTAATGATGAGAAGAAGAAACCCTAGAGTGATATATTTAACTGGCATTGAGTCATTACGGTGTTTCGTTTCATGGGGTTGTTTTGCATGGATTTGTTTCTGTTATCTTGGGCGTTACTAACTTACTATCTTACTCGTAAACAATAATACACAGTGAAGGGTGTTGAATGAAAGCCTTGTGCGGATAACGTCTTCAAAGCGACAGCTGCGGCCAGCGCGCGTCTTATTGCTATTCAGGGAAGCTTCTTCAGCTCTTTAATTGGCTTGCCCTCCCTTTTTAGAAAGATTTCCGTCTCGACTTCTCTGTTCGACGTCCGATGCCGTACTCCTACCTCGAGTTTACCTAACATATCAGACGCAGAGGTGTTCCATACCATTTGCTTCAGATCAGCACCCTCGTCCAAGGTCGATATTACGCACAATATCATGGGACGCTGTGAGCTCAGCAGCTGACGATTGGTTGCGTCGGTGTAAGGTTGGTTGCTTGCAAATACTCCCAGTGTGCCATTGCTCTCATTCGCTATGGCTCCCTCCATTTCCCGAACAAGGTTTGGCCCAATTTTGCGATTTAACGATTTGCACTGGACGATCACCCGGAGCGGGTCGGCGTCGTTTTGCAGATACCAGCTTCCCCGAAGATCGATACCACGGTCATCCGCACCCCCGCATCGCCGAAGCAGGAAATTCAGGCGGCGCAGAACTGTCTGGACAGTATATTCGTAGAGAGTCCCTCGGTAAACTGTCGTCTCTTGAGACAGACCTGTGGCTGCGGCGTATGCTTTGAACGACTCCAAATCAACGTGAGAAGCCACTGCGGCGCTCTTCGCCGGAGACGACAGAGAACGCACCGCGACTGGTAAGCCCAGCTGGGTCTGCAGCAGTGGCCACGCACACAGACGAGAACATAGCAGCAGTGGTGTCATGGGCCGCGATCGTTGGGGAACAGCATTTACGGCATCTTCCAGCCAGCAGAAATGGAGTTCTTTGCGGAGTACGTCTGTCCTGCGCGTGCATGTGGCTCAGGCGGTTCGTGCTGCATCCATCCAGCGACGTCAGCGCCGACATGGACCCATTGCGCATACAGTCAACAAACAATGTCAGCTCAAACAATCTCAGAGGCGGAGCAGGCCAAGTACTGGGATATCTTTACCAGCTTGGGTCCTCAGAATGGTGTCGTTTCGGGAGGGCAAGCCATGGGTGTCCTCCGCAGCTCTCAATTGTCTGACAATCAACTTGAGCGTATCTGGGACCTTGCGGATATCCAGGGTGACGGTAACTTGGATTTTGAGGAGTTCTGTGTTGCCATGCGCCTCATCTTCGATGTGATCAATGGCGTCAGTCATCACATTCTCTACTGTCCTCGTATCATACAATTCTAACAAACGCGTCTGTAGGTGTACCCAGATGTTCCAAAGTCTTTGCCGGACTTTTTGGTCCCGACTTCTAAAGCGCATTTGGTAGCTGCAAACCAAGCTGTCAACCAAGGACCTGAGCAGTTCGACCAGCCGGATGACCATGACCTCGAGGAACCGGGGTTATCGAGTGACTTTGATTGGTATATGACGCCAGCCGATCTACGAAAGTATGAAAACATATACAATGGCGCAAGCGATCACCATGGCCAGCTTTCATGTAAGTTTATTGCACTGCATATGCATGAATATCTCTAACAACGCTGGTAAAGTTGACGCGCTTAGCGACTTATACTCCTCGCTCAACAATGTACCAGACACGGATTTACGGTCTGCGTGGAATTTGGTGAATCCACGGTCCGATATTACCATCGGAAAGGATCAGGCTGTGGCATTCCTTCACATTCTCCATCAGCGCGTTCAAGGCGTTCGTGTCCCTCGCTCTATACCGGCAAGTCTAAGGGCCACGTTCCAAAAGACACAGGTGGATTATGATGTGAATAAAGCGCGAACCAATCGTGCGCAAGGCAATCAGGCATCCGCCAGAACATCCAAGAAGGCCGAGTTTGGTCAGAATTATCTGAATCGAATGGGTATCGGAGGCAATAAGTCTTACGAATCGAAAGGTACGCCTTCCCCCCCCCCTGTCCGCATTTGTGCCTCCTGTTAAAACTCAGTCTAGGAACAGACTTTTCTTCGACAAAAGATACGGATTGGGAGGAAGTCCGCTTACAGCGCCAGCTGGCAGACATAGAGACGAAGATCAAAGATACGGAAGCTGAAGCTGACCGACGAAAGAGTCGGGGGTCGAGTCACCAATCCAGTACCGCCCTGGTGCGCCGTGAGCTGGAAGCAATGTTGGATTGGAAGCGGCGAGAGCTCACCAGGCTTGACAGCAGTACAGCTGGTGCGGCTGACCAAAGTCTCGAAGGTGCAAGAAATGATGTAGACATGCTGAAGCAGCAACTGGATGCTCTGGAGAACCACCTGAGTAAACGCGAAAACGAACTACAGCAGGTCCTTGCGGAGATCGACCGTGAGAAGTCTTCGACGTAATCAATATGAGCTTGTTACCTAGGTGAAGGATCATTTCAAAACGTCTTGCTGAAGACAATGACCAGGCCCACCCATGTATATAGATATGCATTCGACTGGCTGGCTGCAAGCATCGTGTGAATTTGCTCAAAAAGACATATGTGCAATGCAAAATATGTTTCCGGTATAATGCCCAGAAAACTTTCGTAGCAACCTTACGTCGTGAAAATCATGGATTACAAAATCCCGCTCAACCCAAGATTTGTAATCGTGGATTTCGGGACAATGCCTTTTATTCTTTCCGCATAATTCAGAATTCTATTCGGCATAGTCAGCGAATCGGCTTGAAAGACCGCTGGACAATAGCCAACCTAACAGAGAAGAATCACCTCGCTTTTGCTATCACTGTGGTCAATGTCAGCAAATCGTCCTGAAATTCCGAGAAACTTATCCACCTTATGAATAGCGTACCGAGGATCCACCGAACTCGGCGCTTCGACAAACCAGCATCGACGACCAGACTGTACGTATAGAAAACACAACAGGCAAAGGAACTTCACGTCATAGTCAACCCACACTCTGAGAGCAAGGAACGCTGTACCACGTACTGAGAACCTGCCAACCTGGGCGCCGTGACAAACTACAACGACCGAAGAAACTGTACGTACTAATCAGCCCACCCCCGGATGGACAAAATCTACCAATACGTACCGAATAACCAGAAGGGATGAAGAAACTGTACACTGCAGCTGTTGTAATAGGTGACGATATTCGGGATTGTAATCCACGAGAGCTCTCCGGACGATCAGCTCATGTGATTACATGATATCGTACTAGTAGCATGTAAGTTGAATGAACTCAGCAATCGTCATGTAATCCGTGGGAAGATCATGTAACCAGATTACAAGATAAATACATGATTTTTAATCCCTACCCTAGGGACCCAGCGCTCGTGTAACTTGCACGAGCACGTGTTAAGTTCATGCAAATTACTTGATGCGCTCAAGAAATCGTTGTGTATCTTTTCCACAGCATTGCACGAGCATGTGCACGTGGAATTGCTCGTGAAATTCGCTCGGGAATCTCAGAGAATCAGCAAGACTACGGAAGAGCGATGAGCCGTATTTACAACTGATACATTGCCAGGAGTGGAAAATTGGGAGATCGTAGCATCTCGATAATACATGACATCATATGATCATGACATCATGTATGTTGAGCATGTCCATATATAGCAGGAGGCCCCTCCGGGTTAAATACATGAAGAGAGTTTGTTTATGGCAAGTGTCCTAACTTTCAAGGCATGAAGGTGTTATTTTTACAACTTTCTCAAGTATTTTGCTGCAACTTTTCTTTGACAGTGATCCATGTTTTTATCTGAATATGTAGCTTATGACATGGTTGTTGGACTTGATCCACAATTTTGTCTAGGATTTCCATCCACAGTGGAGTGTGCAATCCATTTGTAATTGCTGAAGCACTCATGATTCTGACGTGGATTATGCACTTGCCCAAGAGAAAATGGGTTTGATCCATGATTCTTCAATTTGTAGTGTGAGCTGTGGTGGATACTCGACTTGAAGTAATGACAGCTAGGACAGACGCAGCTATATGCCCAACTCTAGAGGCTGAGGCTGTGGACGCGCCAGAGTTAAACTGAGAGACTTGAGGAGTAGGGCGCCAAGAGGTCTAGGATCCCTCGTGAGCAAAAGGGTCATGCTCATCAAAATGTCGTCATCTTGTCCATCCTGCTGCTGGCACTAAGCCCCCACTGAAAACCGACTGTCTGCTGTACGCATCGGGTTGGTCTACTTAACTCAGAGGGGCCTCATAGACCTGCTATACATAGACATGATCAATATAGTTGATGTAATATGTACATCAGACCCTACGTTCGCGAGATTCATGGATTACTAGGTCCGGTTTGATTGGTGATGTTTTTGTGGCGAATAAAGCCCGATATTCCTTAGAAATCCGCTCTCAGGAATTTGAGGTCATGACATTTTCAAGGATAATCATTGTCAAGATCATGGGTTTGCTCATGGAATCCCCATGATACATTTCGGGGAACGTGAGACTTTTGCACATAGAATTCCATGAAAATATAGTCATGGAAACTTTTAGGGAAGGCAGAGGAGGGATTGTCGGAAGAGGTAGCCGCAGGCGCAGCAGCCTTCTTCTGATCAAGATGCTCAGGCAAAGGGACATATATATATGCGAGTTACTGGCACCCGATTAGTAGGATCAACAGGACGAATGAAGTGTGCGCTTCGTCAAGCCAACACGGAGGTTATTTGCAAGGGCAGAGATTCTCTATAAAGTAAAGAATCATGGATTAAACCCGGTTCCTCTTAGGAGTGCGCGTAATCTTTGTCCAATTCGTTGATTAAGCCTAAAATGGATGTCATGACACCATCCCAGATAAAACCAAGAAGTCTTGACAAATAGACAATCACAGAAAATACCGGACAAGTTGCCAAAAGAACACAAATATGTGTATTGAGAGATGGAGTGCTTGGGATGCACAACTGTTTTCAAGGAATGAACCCAGAGGGGCCTTCAGTTGTATGAAAGCATGCATTACGCGCGGCAGAATCAGGGATTATTAGGTGGGATTTAATCCACCATTTTCACTTTTGTAGAGATGATCAACATACAGGGTGTCATGTGATATCATGTATGCGTCATGTAGGTATGATAATTCCATCATAATTAACTGTCACAGTTTAGGTTGTGACTGTATTATGGCTGTGCGGAATAGTGTATAGATAGCCCTGAGGGGTCCACCGCTTCGAAAATCCCTGAAAATTTCAAGTTTTACAGTACATGGACCCATCAGCAAAAGGTCAAGGCCAGGCGTAAATGAGGCTTCCTTCCGATTGAGTTTGTGCTGACATCCTTGATCACAGAACTAAAGGACTGCCATTGTAGGAATGAGAATACTATCAACGCAAAGGTTTTTTACCTACGATGTTGCTCTTCAGGCCTAACACTAATTTCAGGCATTTTTCCCGACTTTTCGGAGTATTAAACTCGATTTTACCGAGCATTAATCGTCGTATGTCCAAGGATTATCTAGAATGAGAGTGTGGATTATGTTGAACCTCATCAAGGATTAAGCTCACATTTTCCGAGGATGTGGTTTCATTAACCATCAGAATGTTGAGCTAACCCAGAACATAAAATTCGTGAATTAAACCCGACGTAGGAGTCCATGACTCTCTCGAACGTATGGATAGGAATTCCGCGAAATGCCCTGAGCGCTCGAGCGAGTCGCAGGGTGTCATCACTGCAACTAGAGCTAGGAGAATACTCTTAATTTGATTTCCTTATGGACCTGGTAATTTCGCTTGTTTGGCCCAATAATATTCCTGATTTGCATTAAAAAATAGGGTTTAAAACAATTAAGGGTTTTAAGCCTGACCTTGTAATCCATCCTGGGAATCATGCTCAATCACAATGGTGAAGCCATCATCTGAATTTGCTGTACACAACCAAGAGAGAGTACGTGTAAGATGTTATTCGAACCATGCTCATGGGCTGCCAATGCAGGAGAGGCCTCCTTTCCCACCCTTCTTGAATTCCTCCTTTCCTACCCTTCTTTCCTACCCTCTCTTCCCAGCTTCTTCCCAAAGCTAATACTCGTTCTTCTTCCCAGATTTAACCTCTCTTTCTATTACCCTCTTATCAGAAGGGGCCAGGAAAGAAGAAGAAGAATGGGAACGGGAAGAAGAAGAAGGAGATTCATAAGAAGAAAAAGCTGTGAGAAGAAGAAGAATCATTATAGGAGGGACCCCAAAGGGAAGGGAATAAGAGGAAGAAATCGAAGAGACCAAGTGTGGGGAACATTGACGGGGAGAGAGTGATCATTACGCTCCCTGCATGTCAACCGCAATCATCTTGTGCATATACCCCCATTCGTGAGCGGCTGCTCAGAGGCTGGGCTCCGCGCCATTCCGTGGACTTGAATGACAAGATGGAGCAGATTGTTTGGCCCTGTACAAGTATGGTAACCTGATTGGCAATCATTCTGACGGGCGCCGTCTTATAGGAGGACCATGCTTGTTTTCCATGCCTTGTACGGCGGCGACTGAGCCACACATACGGGGGCGGTGCACAGCGCGCGGATGACGAACGATACGCTGGGTACCGGGAATGGGTGCTTGGTAAATGACCTACATGTCCATGGATGTTTGGTTGAAGTATGAGATGAATTCTCGAACAAACAATTAAAGTACAGTAAAAGCATTTTATCACTTCCGAGGCGATGCCGTAGCATGCGTTCCTTTTCCAACGTCAAATCCACATCCCCACTCCAAAACCAAAACTGCGATGCACCACTGATCGCTTAAGAAGATCCCTTAGGAGCCTCCTTGAAGGAGATAGCAGCCTCCTCACCCATAGCAGAGATGATGGTAACCAAAAGCTCCTTGCCATCATCGAAGTCGGCCTGAATCTTGGAGCCGAGCTCGCCGTCAGGAACACGGACATCGTCCTTGGTGTCACCCTCAGTAGTCATCAAGTTAAGGAAGCCGTCGTCAATGTCGAGGAGCTGGAACTCAGTACGGTTGACGTTGGGGACATCCATGTTGTGGGTAGAGGGAGAGAGATCCTCGAGCTTCTTGCCAGTGAAGATCTACAGGAAGGTCAGCAACGTCGCGCCAGCAGCGGGTTCCGAAACACGCACGTCAATGGCGACCAAGTGGACCTTGGCGTGACCGTGCTTACCGGTCTTGGAGGTGGACATGTCGACGATCTTGCAAGGACGACCCTTGATGACGACGTGACCGTTCTTGCGGAGAGCGGAACACTGCATGGGGTAGGTGAGGGAGGCACCGGCGGAGGCGCCAGAGAACTGTTACGAAATCGTTAGAATTGCGCATTCGGTGACATTGAAGCTCACTGGTCGTCCGTGGCACTCTCACGTCGCAATTCCATATGCGGATCAAGGCCACTGAGCGAGCGGTGAAAGTAGACGTACATCCTGCTCTGCATCAAAAGTCAGAATTTTGAAAAGCAAGAACAGTGCGAGCAAACTTACCGTGGTCAGACATGTCGGTTATGGGGATATAGAAGGAAAGATTCTCGGGTGGTTGAGGACAAGAGAAGGGTCTGTTGGCAGCCGCGGAAATTTGAGCGTACTCTAGTTGGCCGCGACTGCAGGATCTTTTTGGGGTTAGGCCTGCTCGATCTCGGGGAGGTCATCCATAAAGGATGAGATAAGCATTTGTAGAAGCTGATTTACTGGATCTTGAAAACAACCGTGTTTTTCATTTATCTTACTTTGAAGAACGTCGGGGGGTCCCACGTCAGACCGCAGTATCGTGCAGTCGTATACGTCTATGCCCAACAGCATAGCATACACCTCCAAGCATCCGAATGCCCCGCTTATGGCCGACAAACGCGAGACAGAACATCGCCGTCGAGAGAAAATCCTCTGAGGAACTTACCAGATCGCCCCTTGCGCTGCCGTCTTCGCAGAGTGCCGCCGGCACTCGCCGAACTTCATCAAGTCCAGCCCGGCAGCTGCCTCGAAACGACCCAGTAAAGGTGTTATCAGACCTTCTTGGCAGTACCACACCTAATGACGAATACTTGGCGGATACAGTGGAGCCAGTTGTCGATGAGCATATTCTGAATGACATCGACTTTGGGGATCGAGGGATTGATGATTACAACACTGATTGCACATCGTCGTTTGCGTATAATGACAGCGCTTCAAGGAAAACCGAGTATTCCGATCTACACGAATCTATCAGATCATGCGATAGCGTTCTTGAGTCTATCGAGTCTTTTCTGCAGCAGTTTCGAAAAGACTTGGGATCTGTGAGCAAAGAAATGGAAGCCTTACACCACAGATCATTGGCAATCAACAACCAACTTGACAATCGCAAAGCTGTTGAGACGCTTGTGGGTCCAGCTGTAGAAGGTATCGTCCTCAGTCCTGCTGTCATCCGTCGAATCACCGATGGCGAAGTAAACGACGCTTGGCTCGATGCCTTGATGGAGTTGGATCAGAAAACAGCAGAACTAGCAACCCATTCCCCGCAAGAGATAAAGGCATTTGAAGAGGTGGCAACTCAGATGAAGAAACTCAAGCAGCGCGCGATTGAGCGCATACGAGATCACCTCGTATTCTGTATTAAATCCATCCGCGTTCCCGACTGCAACCTACAATACATACAACAAGTCAACATGCTACGTTATCGCATGCTGTATCGCTTTTTGTCGGATGCAAATGTCGAACTTGCTGCGGATATCCGTCAGGCGTACGTCAATACTGTTCGCTGGTATTTCACGCACCACTTTGACAGATACCATAAGCATCTGGAGGTACTACCCCTTCACAAAATTGAGAAGACTGACCTTATCGGTCTCGACGAAAGCAGCCGGAAAGGCGGGTTGTTTACCGCTATTCGGTCTACGGCGCCTGCATTGACCGATGTTTACACCGTTAGTCAACGATTTGGTATTCTAGAGAAGAAAGATGCAACTCTTATCACAGTTGGTGAAGCGGATGAGGTAAAGAAGGTGAGCACACTGCGGTCTCGAATAGTGCCAATCTCACACCTGTTTGACAGAAACCGCACTTTGTGGAGCTTATCTTCCGCAGCTTTAATCTTGCCATCTCCGACAATGCAATAGCCGAGTTTTCCTTCTTGTCGGATTTCTTCGGAGAAAAAAACGCCGTCGCAAGCACCATGTTTCGTGACATCTTTGAGCCCACGCTAAATTTGGGGACCAACTTCACACGGGCACTTATTGACCACACGTTTGATGTGTTAGGGGTCCTGATATGTGTCCGTCTGACTCAGCAATTTGCATTTGAACTGCAACGACGACGTGTTCCAATTCTTGAAGGGTACATCAATGGCACTTCTATGCTTCTATGGCCTCGACTACAGGTTGTTATGGACGCACATGCGGAGAGCCTACGTCGAGCGAATTCTGCAACTATAAGGCAGTCCGTGGCAGACAAGACAGGGGTTGCCCCGCATGCAATAACGCAACGGTTTGCGGAGCTCCAGCGCGGTATCCTTTTGTTGAGCGAGGAGTCCGGTGAAGAGGAACCCGTAGCGAACAGGTTTGCTCGATGGCCGTCTACTTTGTGCAAGCTAACTTCATCGTAGCTTCGGACGTATGCGAAGTGATTTTGAGGCGCTCTTGACTAGACTGAGCGCCGCTATAAGCGACCCCAAGAAGCGAGAGCGGTTCCTTCACAACAATTATTCCCTCGTAGCTACGGTCATAAGCGTAAGTTTGTGGCATTGAATATGGACTATGACTAACACTGAGCGTATGACAGGATACCAAAGGCCGTTTAGCACAAGAAGAGAAACGACATCTAGAATCATTGTTAAGGGCATACTCGGGATAGGATTAGTTAATGTTTAATTGGACGTAGGCGACAGGTACGGTACACGCACCCGCATGGCTCACCAAATTCGAAGTCGGCAACATCGAAGAAACAGGGAATCAACGATACGCTCATCCATTAAAGCTGCTGTCTGTTGCTATATAGCGAAGTCGCTACGCCTCATAACACCCGCTGTCCCGTCAACTGTCCTACCCGCCTGTCCTCGGCTCCTGTGGTTCTGCCGTTTGTGAGGGCTCTGACCGAGTCATGAACCATGAGTCTGCTTTTCTTATGACAACAGTGAGCAGTGTGGCAGAGGTCGATCCGCCCTACACTCATGTACGTCGCTCACATCGCAAGAGGTTTCGGGTGGCTGATTGAACGTTCGCTAGGCAATGCTTGCTGGTGGGTTTGGTGGATCAATAGGTGATCTCCTCATGCATTCCGTAGACACGGTCAAGACCAGACAGCAAGTCGCTCCTCATGTCGCAAAGTACGCCACTCTACCGTCAGCTTATCGGACAATTTATCGCCAAGAGGGCCTGCGGGGTCTCTACGGAGGAATCACGCCTGCTATCATGGGAAGCGGTATTGCAACCAAAATCCGCCTATCTCGTTCATGTACTGATAATCTCACGCAGTCCCTGGAACAGTCATGTTTTTCGGCACCTATGAATACTCAAAACGAAATCTGATTGAAGCTGGAATGCCAGATACGCTTGCTCATCTATCGGCAGGTTAGTCCTCCGAGATCACACAACGTTGACCTTGAAGCTAAGAGCATTACCATGCAGGATTTTTGGGTGATCTGGTAGCATCCACCATATACGTACCTTCGGAAGTTCTGAAAACGCGCTTGCAAATGCAAGGTCGATATAATAATCCGCATTTTTCGTCCGGTTACAATTATCGCGGCACACTCCATGCTATTGAAACCATATGCAGGCTGGAGGGCCGCGGTGCTCTATTTCATGGCTACAAGGCAACAATTCTTAGAGATCTGCCTTTTTCGGCGCTGCAGTTTGCATTCTATGGTATGTAAACTTGGTGCTGCGTTGGAGTTTTCCTGACCATCTCGTGCAGAACGCTTCAAGAAGGCAGCGCATGACCACGTCGGCTCCAGAGATATCGGGATGCCGTTAGAAACCCTCACAGGCGCTATGGCGGGCGGCCTGGCTGGAATGATTACGACGCCATTAGGTAAGACAGCAGGCATGCTATCTGGATAGGGGCATGTACTAACGATCACTCCAGACGTTGTCAAGACACGTATACAGACTCAGGTTCGAAGTCCTGCACGTGAGATCGAATCGCGAATACCAAGATCGGGCTCGGCCGCGCCCTCGAGTTCAAAATCTCAGCACAGCAGGCATTTCTCCTCGTCTTGCGTGCACATGATATCGACGTCGTCACCTTCGACAACGCCGACTTTACCTTCATCAGTGAAACTTCACACGTCATCTGTGGCTGAGGGTTTGAAGATAATCTACAAAAGCGAGGGTTTCGCGGGTTTGTTTAGAGGAGTGGCTCCTCGCGTAGCTTGGACGGCTGCGCAGTCGAGTTTCATGTAAGTGTTCCTGTGTTTTCATGGGATTGTATGCTGACAACCGTCATTCTTAGGTTTGTTCTTTACGAAAACGGACTAAAGATGCTAGCAAAATGGTGGCCAGATGCCATATAGATGACTGCTTACACTCCAAGAGGCAACGGAAGCGCATTGGGTTACATGAAGAACGCATTCATATTGCATTCGGCGTTATATAATATCAACTTTGTTTTCTCGGACAGCTGTTGCAATTGTTGCCAAGTGTGCCTAATCATTTTTCCAGATGCATGTTCGGAGAAGAATCAGTTGCGGCTGCTGTAGAACTCGTCGACTGTTATTGAAAGCACTTTCGCTTTGCTCATGCCTGATAAATATTAAACATCGCCGAGGCCGAGGGTTCATGGTTGAAAGTACCCTCCCATGACATGCTGCCGAAATTGCCAAATCGCACCCGACACCGGTACCCGTAGCAGAAACAACCTTGAAGCTAGCGGTCGCATGTGCAGGGGCTCGGTGACCGGTGGGAATTGGTATTACTTAGGTATGTCATTTTGACTGATCATGAGCTGGACGGACACCCAGGGTGTTTCTCCACTCTATCAGAAAGGTACCGAAGCCAGCCTTATAGGTCTATGTTATTCAATTAAACTACAGACTAAGCGCGCTTTCCCACATCTTCCTTCAACGACACAATGCGATTCAACACAACACGTCCCTCCGATGAATCCGAATCCATGCAGAAATATCCAACACGCATGGCCTGGAAGCGGATGGCCTCAGGACCGTCGAGACGCTTTTGCTCGTCCTGCTCACCGGCATCCTTCGTCCCACGCTTCTGCATATCCGTGATCCCGACTTCGACCATAGCGTTCTTAACGATCTGTTCGCTGTTGGGATCAATGTCGGCTAAGAAGCCGTCAGGATGCGCGGACGGGTTTTCGGACTTGAACAGAGGTGTGAAGAGGCGGACCTCATCCAGTATGACAGGTGATTTGTGAGAAGGTGCGTCTCCAACCCACTGAATGTACGTTTTGGGTTTCTTGAATTCAGCATCGTTCTCATAATGGGCGTGAATCTCCGTAACAAGACCCGTAGCGGGATCCGTTTTGAAGCTAGTAGCTTTGATGGGATACGGAACTCGGAAAAGTCCCACAGATTTGCCCGGCGCTAGTCGGAAATAGTCCTTGGAGTCTTCCGTGCGGAAATCGCTACGGTCAATGTACACCCGCTTGGCAAAAGGAACCTTGCGCTCGCCCATAGTTGGGTCATTCGGCTTGTATGGTACTGTACATTCTTCAACATAGTCATCAGGGAGATTGTCAATGATGACTGGCACAGGGTCCAAAAGCACCATCAGTCGCGGCGTATGATCTTCGAGGTAACGGCGAATAGAGTTTTCGAATCGGGCCGTCTGAATGTTGGTCGTTGATGTGGTAACGCCAAGCTCATTAACAAAGTTCAGGATAGCACCAGGCGGAATGCCACGTCGCCTATTCACCACGAGTCAGATATGTTTAGCCGTATGAGTGTCTGGCGAACTCACTTGATAGCAACAAGCGTGTACAGACGAGGATCATCCCAGCCGCGAACATGTTTCTCCGTAACCAGTTTTGCGATCTTACGCTTGCTGAGAACAGTGCCGGTAATATTCAAGCGCCCATATTCACTCTGCTTGGGCTTGTAAACCTCAAGCGCATCACACAACCATTCATAGGATTGCCTAGCGGTAATGAACTCGGTCGTACAAAGCGAGTGAGATATGTTCTCGAAAGAATCAACCAGACAGTGAGTGAAGTCATACGTAGGGTAAATCTTCCATTTGTCACCAGTACGGTGGTGAGGAGCATCGAGCACTCGATAAGCAACCATATCCCACATCTGGGGGTTTCCGTCTTCAAGATCTTGCTTCATGCGAAGGATAGCCTGATTCGGCTGGTACTTACCATCGTTCATTCCCCGGAACTCGGCCAAGCTGTCGTCGATAGGTCGGTTGCGGTGTTTGCAAGCGTAACGAGGGCCACGCTCGTCACCACCACGAGCGGCATACATCTCCTCCGCTACGAGAAGCGTTAGCACATTGGATTGGCAAGTCGATGACTGGAGCATTACCTGTACAATGGCACACATAAGCCTTGTCGCGCTTAATCAACTCCTCAGCAAGGTCATATAGCTCCTGGAAGTAGTCGCTGGAATAAGTGATCTTGTAAGGCTTGAAACCAAGCCAGTTAACCATCTCCTTGATGGAAACAAAATATTGTTCTTCCTCGGCTTCCGGATTGGTGTCATCGTAACGAAGATAACAGATACCATTATGATATTTCGCATATCCGAAGTTCACCGCAATAGCTTTGCTGTGACCGATGTGAAGATAGCCGTTAGGCTCAGGAGGAAATCGCGTCACGACCTTCCCTCCCGTGGCGCGCAAGTGCTGCTCCCGTAACTCAGGCTTGATTTGCGGGTTCTCACCTGGCTTGTACAAGCGAGCAAGGAAGCCTTCTTCGAACATGTTTCCTGAATGCTCAGCGGATGCCGCAGTCTTTGCAGTATTAGTGGTGGACGTCTTGGCCTCCTTGCTGGCCGCAGGCTTCTTCACCTTCTACCAGCCAATATTAGCACATACGGCGAAAGACATTCGACGATCTATGCGCATTCATACCTTCTTAGGAGCATCGCGCTCATCTTTGGGCCCCAAAAGCTGCCCGAACTGAAGATCGATTTCTTTCTTCAGTACAGTAGCATCGGCCCACTTAAGATCAGGATTGGCTCTCAAAGCCACCATGGTGGCAGACAGCCTCTGATACCGCTCCGATTCAATCACCTCCTTATTCTCCTGAATGTATGCGGCAACAAGAGTCTTGACCTCCTCCGTAGTAACTTCCACGCCTGCGTAGATTCTCAGTCAGTAGCCTGTAAACACAATGTATTGATTACCACATACCGACACCGCAATCTTTGTTAAAGACATGCTCATTAAAGCTACCGGCGTTTTGCTTCATGTAAGCGATAGCGGCTAAAGCCGACGTTAGGGTCATCCAGATGTCGTAAAGCGATTTCGTGTACCTTCTACCTGACGCACTGTCTTGAGCCTGCCGTCTTTGATGGCCAAGCTGACATATTCTCGGTTGGGCAGGCTGCCAGATTTGTCTGCAGTAGCCAGAGCGTAGAGCAGGCTTCCGATAGCCTTATCACATCCGTCGGTTACTCCAGCTTCAGCGATAATGCCGGTCAAAGCGCTGCTGAGCTTGGTGTTCTTCACGGTCTCCTTCACAACAGCATCGCTCAGCCCAATGGCCGCGAAAGCCTTCACGATATCGTCTGCCATTGTCCGTGCACGCGTAAGTGTCGACGTCTATCGAAGCAGAAAGTTCGGGCGGGCCGCTTCCAAATGCATGCATGTGCGGAACCTACATTCAGAACGCTGGAATAAGGAGTTGAATGATATTATTATCATCAATCAATATTGAAATCTATATAAATCAAGGACTATTTTGGCCCTCCACTTGCTTGAGAAATCCAGCAACTCGGTTCATGAAGCCATCTTGGTCCGGACCACCTCTCCCGTCGCTTTCCACTGCCTGCAAGAGATGCTCCAATAAGGCATCAACGGATTCAAGATCCATACCCGTGCTATATGCAATAACCTGCTTGTACTTCCGCTCCAGTACGGAGCTTCTGCCTTGCAGCATTGACGACTGGGCAAGAAGATAATCCCTGTTCCGTTTGTAGGCTGCTATGCGGGCACGGATAATGCTTTTTGACGGCAAGTACGGTGCCGAAGGATTACCCATGGCATTCGCAGGGATTATAAACGGCGCATCGGCGTCAATAGCAACAACACCCCCGTTAAGCTGACTCGGCTTGTCGTCCCTCTGGTACGTCCCATTCAAGGATGGAAGAGGAGGTTCCTCGTGATCTTCGACGGCGCGAGCCAAATTTCGACATCGCTGTTGACTGTCAACAAGTTGCTTTGCATGCTCATGAGTGTTCTCGAGACACCGGCGAAGATCAGCCAGCTGCCGAGTTGCAGCTCGCAATCGTGTATTGACAGCCTCCCATTCAGCGTGTTTCGCGTGAACTTCTCGATTAAATTCTCCGTCTAGTCCGTCCATCATTGAGATCATTGCTAGAAAGACAACACCGTTAGTAAAATTCTTTGAAGGAATGCATTGGAAGACGTACAATCGCGGATGCTCTTGCTTTCTTGCGCGACAAAAGCCGATACCATGGGCGGAAGACAAGGTGTGATCAGCGGATCAGGCAACATGGACCCAATTCCGAAATCCGCAGCGCGCAACCCAGCTCTATTCGCAATGTTCGGGTCTGCGCCAACATCTAGCAGTTGTTGAACTAACCCTTTGTTGCCGATCCGAGCGGCAATATTCAATGGCGTGTCGCCATTCTTGTCTCTGGCCGATACGACTTCCTTGACAAACTTGGTTATCTGGCCCTGGCGAACAATCCATTCCATGATGCATTCCAGATAATACCTGCTCGCGGCACTGCGACCTTTGATACCGGCGGTGAGCGCTACATGATGCAACACGTTGCGTCCCTGTATATCGGAAAGACCGATGGAGGATTGCAAGACATTCAGCAAGACCGGAAAAGTTGCCTGGTCCAAGTTATTTGTTACGAGGACGGCACGAATCAACGCAGTTTCACCAGCATCATTGACTCGACAGGGATTTGCTCCCCTCCCAATGAGACCTTGCACAATGGGCATCCTAGCCAATGCGGATGCCCAGTGCAAAGCCGTGTGACCGAGCTCGTCAATAGGAACATCAATGTCGAGATCTTCTAAGGTCGGCTCGGATAAGATAGGAGGTATATGGTTGGTATCACCGTTCAGGAAAATACCGGTCAGCAGCTCCTTGGACCTTTCATAATGGCGAGCCATCGCAGGTGCAAGCGGTGCAAGTGGTGCGGGCTCCACAGATTCTTCCGGACGATCAGATGCTGGGAGGTTTTCATGAACAGGAGAGGTCCTGCGGCGCTTGGGCGCACGATCATGATCTCCTTGAGAAAGGTGCCCGAGGTCAGGACCATGTCCATTCAGGCGAGGAGCCGACGGTTCAGCAGACGATGCAACGCCGCTATGCTTGATGGAAGTCGCCTTTTCCGTAGATGACCTCGTGTACACAGGTGCGGAGGGTGGTCTCCCAAATGTAATGGGCGCCGGAGACCCTAGAGATGCCGAAGTAATATTCGAGTCGCTACGCTTCAGAGGCGTAGGCGCTGCATTCCCTTTCTTCATTTGCAGATTTTGCCTCTTGCGAAGTTGTTCCTTGGTAGGCGTCGATTCTGCGACGCCGATAGCGCTGATATCAAATTCAAACAAGGGTCGCAGAACATGCTCTACCCCAAATTTGTGAGCGAGCTTCTTTCCATCCTCAAAGTTAACCCTAAGAAGAAGAGGTCAGATGATGCGACGACAAAATCTCGCGCGAGAACATACCAGGTCCCTTGAAACTTTCCCGCACCACCCTGAACCTTTTCGTGTTCGACGGTCATCTCCCCGAGTAACTTTGTTCTTTGGCCCTTCTCAATCCCGGCTACCTTGAGAATCTGGGTGGCATTGAGGTAGGAATCTGCAGCTCTTCTCATACAGGCAACATCTCTGCACATCATCTCAAAAACGGGCACGCCAGAGTAGGAGGCCTATTGCAATACGATATCAGCTACAACTCATGATCCCGACATGCGGAGTACGAACGGTGCAGATCTCGGCGTGCGCAGCTGGCGGAGCAGCAGCGGCAGCGGCAGACGGCGGCGGAGGAGTGGCGACAGCAGGGGTCGCGGACATTGCTCGTGACGGGGTGTTCCGGTCCATCGGTCGCTGGTGCTCGTCTGCTCACGGCGGCGCGCTCTGTCGTCTACCGCTATATACCGTACGCGCGCGCGGCCAGGGAGACGCGTCGGCAGGGGCACTGCGCATCTGTGTATATGGGTGGGTACATGACGTGGAAGGAACTCGATCATCTTACATACAGGAGGTACGCTGCTGCTACACTTAGAGACCCTTGCCGTACTGCGTCTTCTCGTAGAACACGTTCAGCGACGCGACAATCTTCTCCAATGCCCCGAGCCACTGCTGCAATTGCTGTTGCACCTTGGCCTGGTCACTGCCGAGCTTCTCGTAGAAATCTTTTCGGTAAGGGCACGCCTTCATCGCCAGCTGCAGTAGAAGAGTAGATGTTAGCTTCAGGTAGAAGAAAAGCACGGCTGGGCGTTGGCATACCGAGAAGACAGGACGGACGAGCATAGAGTGGTGCTTTCGCAGGGTGCTCTCATAGGCCTTGGTGAAGCTGGTAGACAACTCCTCGGCAGAGTTGTCCACGTTACGGCGCAGAGCTGCTGCGGTAAAGGAAAGACCGCTATATCTCCACGCATGAGTAAAGTCAACGTAACTCGAATAACAAGGACGACTGACCGAGTCAACCACAGCAAACCCTGGGTGGCAGTGCGGTTCTTTTCCTTAACTTCGTTCTCGACCAAGCTCTCTAGGGTCATTGAAGTCGAAGGGTGGGCGAGCTGCCTATCCCTGATTTTCTAAGGGGCGATCATGTAAGACTTTGAAGCCAATGGTGGCGATGGAGAAGAGTCAAGGTTACCTTGACGTTACCAGTCATGTCCTTCTGAACCACAGAGAAAGCGGCAGAGCCAATCAGGTCTGATGAAGAAGAGTCAGTCAAATCAGTCGTACGCCGAAGGAAGAGCAGACGCTGTAAATACCGAACATGGAGACCAAGCCCTCGGAGGCTTCCAAAAATTCAGCGGTGTTGATGCCAGACTCATCAATAGAGACATCAACGTATGAGCGGCGCAGGTTGTCAAAGAAGTCAGGCATGATTGCAATTGTTCGAGATAAATGCTCCAATGCTTGTTGATCGATTGTATGCTCGGGGTCCAGTGAGCTGCATGTGGTGTTTACAGTTGGCGCGCGTCATACGAGGAGGTGCCTTGTACGGTACGTCGCGGGCGCCAGTGCCGACTCCGTGAAGAGAGGACCAAGGAGGAACCCCAGCATACATCCCCTACATGATCCGTCCATGAAGAAAATCGGCAAACCAATGGAGAGAAGCGACCCGGAACCATTTGATCCTTTGAAGTTCCTGCCAGATGACTCGCTGACGGCTTGCCGTTTGCAGCACGCACATCCGAACCACCTTCATGCAACGACGAGACGGGTATTCATCGGCCCCGTACCTAAAGGCTGGGTTCAGCACCACCGAAAGTCATGGTACGGGTCTTTCAACTATCACAAGAAAGCAGCAAGCTTCACGCTGGACGAGACAGGTGGTTTGCATGAGTATCATTCACGTCAAGGATGTCAAAATCCCTCCCCACTGGCGCCGCGACAAAGTAGCGAAACGGAGGACGACATGGCTATTATTCCCCCCGATGAACATGAACAATCCGACCAAGCGCCGGCTCGTCTGCTACCTACACCCATTCAGTCGGGAGAAGGTCGAAGAACGGCCAGTAATATGTCGGGCCAGTCATTCAGGACGGCCGCTGAATCATTCGCGGATGTTTCCGGAGATTCCGAGTCAGATCAAGATGAAGATGGCAACCAGTCATGGAATAGTAATCGGGCCACGTCGGAAGCAGAACATCACGTTCAGCAGTTTCGTACCTTGTCTGTCAAACAGTCGACGCTTCCCTCTGCTATGAGGTCGCATCTCAAGGGCGGAACGGTGCAAAAGGTTACGCGCTTTTCTGACAGTGTCGAACGGCCCGAATTGTCTCTCTCAGCGCCTTCATCGCGCGTGTTGACGGAGAGGCAACCGACGTATGGCTCGGACACGTCTTTACTACCACACGAGACAATCTCAACGCAATCTCCAAGCTCCTGTCTATTATCTCCTCGGAAGGATCGATCTATCGGGGTATCTCAAAAAAGTTTAGTACGCTTCGAAACTGGACCAGGCCAGAACCCAGCACTGGAGGACAGATCGGAAGTCATCGCCTCTATCTCGAAACGGTTTCGAAATCCGTTTAGGAGACAGAAACAGCAGGGTGAGATACTGAAGTTGGATAAGATGCTCCTGCGAATTGCCATCGCACCTGTAGGAGAGCTTCCCGTCACTTTCGATGAACATACAAACAATATTGAGGTGAAAACGTTCATCAAGTGGAGGGAATATCTGGTTGTAGCGCGCGCTGGCGGCAAAAACGGTGCGACAGCGACCATCAAAATTCACAAAAACAGAGTAATTCCGGCTATGGACAAATCCTTTGCGTCTCGACATTCGGAATGGCAAATACCGCTTGATTCCGAAGCCCGTGTGAATTTGTATTCTCATTTGGACAAGGTAGACAACCCCTATGCGTCCTCAATACCATCGTGTTACTGACTTGCTTGCTCAAAAGTCGCTCTGTATCTGGCGCCCTTACAAGAACGGAACCATATTTTATATACTTCGACCAAATTCTGTACCTGACAGTATCGAATGGTATGGGTTTATCCAGCAATGCCTGGGAAGTCATCCAGCGCGATACGCACATATTCACGTTCCGGACCTTGACGTATCGTTTCGAGTTGCGCTCCGATCCAACGCAACGGAAACCGGAAACACGGGTACCGTCGCAGCAACTGGTGCACTTGATGAAGCGGGAAACATCATTGCTGCCAACGGTCGAATCATTACGCCCGACATTCTCACGACCACGTGCCTGAATCTGTTGGAGCAAACGAAGGAATGGGAGGACGTTCTGAAATACTGGAAAGCCAATGAGAAATTGGGGTTATGCTGGAAGAGGTATGACAGAGTTGAGTGGATTCATGGCTCAAATGGTGCACGTCTTATTGGTAAGGTCATGTTGTCCTCCTGCCTGATTAGCTTTATAACTTGTTGCAGGCCAATGGACAATGGCACGAACTCACCAAATCGAACTCCGTCCTAAGACCCACTATCCTACGAGAGTACACGTGAGCCGCTCGGCAGTCTTGGAAGAACCAGAGCCTGTTGAAGGGTTTCTTGTGCGGCTCTCGTCAGCCCGTGGCCGACATGCGCGGTTGGGAAGAATGTTCTATAAGCGACTGTATTTTTCAACCCACGATCACTTGATGTTCTTCTCAAAACCAGGCAGAGCACATCCGGTACGTATGGAGGCAACCTTCGTTACCTGTTCCCTAACACTATGGTCATGATAGCCTCCGCCGCCCGAGGCAACTACAAGACGACGAGCTTTCGTCAGTGGCGGGAACACGCCGAGCCCAGATGAACTTCTATCAGATATGCCACTCATCTATAATATCGCACCATACGACGTGGCATCAAAGGATGGCGAAATCTCGTGGCTCAACCGTACAACCTCGCGTGAAGAGATTCTCCATCGCGACGCCGCAGCAAAGCAGGAGGCAGAGCGCTTATACCAATCGATCAAGTCTGCGGATGGGTACATTGATCTTACTAGGGTGCAGTTTGTCCGCCGTTGTCGACGAGAACCTGCAGGTGTAGATGCTGATGTCGGACGCGGTGAGAGCGTACCTTTTAACGAGGATGGCAGCGATGACACGGGAGAAGATGGCGTTGTTGGAGAGTTCGATGACGATCGGACCTTTGAGATGGTGCTGCTGAAGGGTTTGGTGCTGCGGCTACAGGCATACAACCGTGAGAGCCGGAATGAGTGGATACGGCGATTGAACCTCTTGATCACGTATTGGAAGGCAAGACTCGCGCAAGATCTCACAAGCCTGAAACAAATGAGAGAATCAAACCTCAAGTTGCTTGGTATCGAGCTAGATCAGGAGGGAACTTTCGGACAATCCGCCGACAAATGGGAAGTATCGAGATCTATCACCAATCCTGAACTTTACAACTTTTGCCCTATTAGCTCTTGCAGAGCGATCACGGTAAGAGTCTGTCCGTGCTATTCCGGGATATCTGCTAACGTCGAAAAGATGCGCGGTGTGCTTTTCCGCAAGATGAGGAAGAATGTCGCCTTTGACAAATTCTTCTGCCTCATCACACAGGGCGAATTGCTGATCTATCATCACGTGTATCGCAGTTCTGGCGGATCTGAATCAGCCCATATACATCATGAGCTTCACGCACGTGTTGGACTGAGGGACGCATACGTGAGTGACAGCAATTAACCTTCCAGGATGCTTGATTAACACGTTTTCAAAGGTATATTCCGGCGCCTCGACACAAGGTCTTCTACAAAGCGAATCTGTTGCGGTGCCAAGAATCTACAAGGATGGATGGCAGTCACAAGATGAAGAGACGATGCTCACATTTGTTGTTTGGCGTACGTATTCTATGCTAATACCACCTAATATTGTTGTCGCTAAAACATATATAGAGGGCAGAAGGAGAAAAGTCCTCTCAAGAAACGGCGACAATAACGCAAGAATCCTCAGTTCAGGCGTAAGATCGGTAAGCCGCTTGGGCGTAGCTGGGAAGGGTACCATCTTTAAAACAAGATCTCGACAGGAGCGAGATATGTGGGTAACAGCGCTGCAGCTTGAAATCGAGAGGATGTCCGAGGAGGACCGACATATAAGAATCACAGGCTGAGTTCGTGCACACTGCACGCAGCATTGGTGGAGGGTGTACTTGCCATCATATGATTATGTTTTGAGCTGAGTGTCGTGAATAAAGCGAGGGTCTACCCTTGCTTCTCTGCCTCCGGAGGATACGCCGGACCATCGTGGCCAAATTATGCCTTTGACCTTTGCCTCAATGAGTGTTAACGACACTGGCCCGTAAGTGTTGCTATCGGTTGAATGAAATTGCTCGTCTCCTTCTAGCCAGGCATGTCCAGGTGGTATTTCGACGTAGCTGCTAGGATACGGTTTCCGTGTAACCACAGTATCACCACCCAGACCGACAATGCGCTTGGTTAGTATCTTTCCTGGGTCCAGAGGCGACCTGTTGGAGAACATCAGCGACGCTAAATTGGCTGCATTGATGAAGAAAAGTACCGCAAGACGACAACATCACCAACTTTAAACAAGCTCTCCGGATGCCCGGCCCACCAGGCTTTCAAGTCTCTGAAACCTAGCTTATCAAGAATCACCCAATCTCGCCACAGAAGGTTTGTATCTGGATTGAATGTTGGTCGCATGGATATGCCATTGACTGGACATACCCAGCAGAGGTGATCCTGAACGAAAAAGACCACGGGCACCCAAGATGCGAGGAGTAACGTCTGGCGGAGACGTTGTGTCTAACCGGCGGAGCATATTAGTAAGACAGCTACGAGTGGCTGAGTTGTTTGGTGCTACGTACGAACACCATCCAACTATAGAGAGTCGACTGTATGCTGGCGGTGTACTTACTGTCCGTACATGACGTTTCTGGTGGGTCTGCAACGCGGGGAGTCCCGAAATCCTCTCCAGCCGCGGAACGCGCACGCAGGATCCCGCCAGAACAGCTGTACCACCATAGAACAGCAGCCCAGGACAACCGAATGAATGCCATTGAGCGTGCGGCATGTGAATACACCAGTCGACCATCAGCTGTCGCCAAATGTCCCTCACAAGGCTGGATGGTGCATCTGTCCACCGTCTATGCTCCGGTCAGGTCGTGCTTGATCTGACCAATGCCGTCAAGGAACTCGTCGAGAACGGTGAGTCTCTGCCACCACAGCTGTATGCCGTCGGTGCGTATACTGACATTCGTACTGCAGCCTTGGATGCCAATGCAAGTTACATCGGTGAGCATCTATATGGTAAAGTGTCGTGTATCTGCTGACAACAATCAGAGGTGCGCTTCAAAAACTTTGGTTTAGATTCCATCGAAGTTATCGACAACGGAGCTGGCATACCGGCCGACGACTACGAGAGTATCGGTAGGCCTTACACACGACCCGCGGCCCAGACTCACTGCTCTGACCTTGTATTAGCTCTGAAACATTTTACGTCCAAACTTCGTCAATTCGAAGATCTCACTACCGTCGACACTTTTGGGTTTCGAGGCGAGGCATTGAGTTCTTTGTGTGCTCTTGCGGACGTCTCTATCACAACCTCACAGAAGCATGAGGAACCAAAGGCAACAAAGCTCGAGTTCGAAAAGAACGGACACCTAAAATGTCGATCCATCACCTCTGGTAAGCGAGGGACTTCCGTAACAATCAACCGATTGTTCGAGAGCTTGCCTGTTCGCCGCCGGGAGTTCGAGCGTCATCATAAGCGTGAGTTCACCAAAGCTGTATCATTGTTACAGGCTTACGCCGTCGCCGCTGTGGGCGTCAAGTTTCTTGTAACAAACACTCCCCCGAGCGGGTTAGTATTCCGTGAAAGATTGATGCGCCGGACTTTTCAACTCACAATCTTCATAGGAAGAAAGCTTCGCAAATCAGAACGAATGGTGGGAAACATCTGCGCGACAACATCACTAATGTCTTTGGCGCGAAAGTGATGTCTTCACTCATGCCGGTCGAGTTTGCAACCGAGGATATCGACCTTGAATCGCGTCTCAAGTTTGGTGATCAAAGCAATTCGCCCATCGCCTTGAACGTTTCCGGTTTCATATCAAAACCCGACGTTGGCGAAGGCAGATCCTCTTCTGACCGTCAGTTGTTATTCATCAACAATAGACCATGTGGCCTGTCGAAACTTAGTAGGAGCATCAACGATATCTACGGAGTGTTCAATTCGAATCAGAACCCAGTGTTTGTGCTGAACCTACGACTCCCTTTTGGTATGTCAAAGATACAGTCTCAATTTTGTACATACTGATTGCATGTAGATTCATATGATGTGAACGTCACACCAGACAAGCGGACCATATTTCTGCATGGTGAAGACACTATTGTCGAAACGGTCAAGGTATATTCCCGAAGGACATTCGATGTTGAGATGCTAATTTGACTTTAGTTGAACCTTTTGCAGATTTTTGAGGCATGTAGCCGTCACGTCGCCAGACAGCCTCAGATACCGTATACTGCCGAGGAGTCTACGGAGCTGGTGCCTGAACCCAGCAAACAGCAAAAGGAGTTGCGTACCGACAAGGACAGCCATGCCGATGATACATATCCACGACATCCCTATCAGCATAAGGGAACTTCAGGAGAGGATCCACATCCTACAGTTGTGATACGAAAGCCTTCGAAAGACGACATGAGTGGAGATACCGTTGGTCGCACCTTGAGTGTAAACGTCGAACCTGATGATCTGAAGAGACGATTCAGTAACCGGTCATCATCAATAACGTTAGGCCTGAGTGCAGCAAGTGTCAAGCGGTCGCGGTCTACAATGCCGGATATGGACAATGCTGCAAATGAACTTCTCGGGTCGAAGCGCCGAGCAACCATATCCTCGTTTTTGTCGTCTAACGTGATAGGGGAGGTATCGGGGCTCGGGGAAGCAGAAGAAGGAGGCGAGGAGAACGATGCGCAAAGTTGCATCGGAGCACCAGAAGAAGTTGGACACGAGATTACTGACGAAATCATCTTACCTGCTTCGGAGCAAAGTGAGGGCTGTGATGCTGGCATGGCACAACTTGAGGCGGCAGCTCTTTCTGCGCCGGGCAGCCAGGTCAGGTCAGCAGGGGCATTGTTCGCTGATTCCCCAAGTGTCATTTACAAGCGAGCAGAACCGGCATATCGTAAGCAGCATCCAGACTTGGTAGCTGTTGGTGGTGAACGAAGGGAGCTGTTAGGGGGTGATATGTCACAACCCGACCAGAGTTCAGAGAACCATGACGCTATAGAATCGCCCTTCGATCGGGCTCAAGTTTTGCTTGGCATTGAAAGACCGGCAATTTGGTCAAAAAAGGCTGCGGTCCATGAGCTGTCGTTGGAAGTATCAACCTCCTTGGAAGATGTCAAGCGGAAACTTGGGGCTACCGTCATCACCGGAAGAAAGCCATCTTCTGCTGCAGGCAATGGAAATGACATACTCGAGGATATTACTGCAGACGGAGCAGAAGAGCGGCTTTCCATCTCTGTCACAAAGGCCGACTTCGCTGATATGCGCGTTATCGGACAGTTCAATCTTGGTTTCATTATCGTGGCAAGGGCCCAAATGGAGGACAATCCATCGGCAGATAGAGTTGATGACATATTCATTGTAGATCAGCATGCGAGCGACGAGAAGTACAATTTCGAACGCTTGCAAGCAGAAACAGTTATACAGCACCAGCCGCTGGTTAGGTGAGTATTGCTTTGCATGCTGTGTCGGCAATGAGCTTATAAGTTATAGACCAAAAGCACTGGACCTTACGGCTATTGAAGAGCTAGTCGTGGCGGAGAACCTGGACGTCATCCGACGAAATGGGTTTGAGGTAGGTGTCGATGATAATGGATCCACGGGCAGGAAATGCACGCTTATCGGATTGCCCATGAGCAAAAACACGATTTTTACGGTCAAGGGTTTGTGGTGCGTGCAGTTTGAAAGTCTGGCGAAGCTAATACGTGAATCGCAGATTTGGAAGAATTGATACACGCGATACAGGAGCGTCCTTCTCAAGATGTCCGTTGCTCAAAGGCGCGTGCAATGTTTGCAATGCGAGCCTGTCGGAGCAGCGTGATGGTTGGCAAGGCATTGACTCATGAAGCTATGACCAAGATCGTTCGGCACATGGGGGAGCTCGATCAGCCGTGGAATTGTCCACATGGGCGACCTACTCTTCGATCACTGTTGGACCTCGGGAGGGTTGAATGTTGGACTGAGGATCTGGTAAAACGAACACACCAAACTTGACGCATTGCAATAGTCACTTGTGAATTTGAAGAACCCATCATGCCAACGTCTCGTGCACGGGCTTGACTTGTGCGTACGTGTAAACAGTAATTAGCATACCTAACCCACCCATAAACTCCTTAACCAAAATCCCAGTTACGCCAAAAGAAAGATTCGCAGATTTCATAACGAGAGGAAGTCCCAAAAATTGTTGGCACTAAAGTACTTGCCATATTTGTTCTCAATATTGAGCGGACGCACATCTTTGTTGTCCAGAGTGCCTGCAGAGGTACATCAGCAACCAGTCCGGCGGGAAATAGAAAGTTTACGTACGGATATGAGCTTTCGCAAACCCTCCAGCGCCATCTTCCTCCAAGTCGATACCCAGGTTGCGATACACCCTCAACTTCAATACTGCAATGTTGTCCGCAGCTGCTTTGGCAGAGGAATCACCTGATGGATCTTCTTGTTCCAAGGCAATAAGTTCGTCCTTTAGTCTCTGTAACTTTGCCTCCTCAGACTGAAGCTCAGACTCAACGTCGTTGATTGACTTGGCGAGGGAGAACTTCTGTCTGTCTGCTGCAAGCATTGACGAGGCATGTTCTTCTCTTGAGGGGGAATTTACAAGAGAATCATATGTTGATTTTTCCAGAGTGAGAGCTCGCAAAAGCTCTATCATGATGAAGTTAGAATGATACGTATAACCATCAAGACTGGCTACATACCTTTCAAAGCGAGTCGCGTCTCGTCACGTCGTCTTTCCCTAGACTCTGCGATATCGCGGAAGCCATCTTGAATGCGGGCAATTGCGGACAGGTCCGACGAGGTCTGAAAGCCAGCAATAGTCTGCTGAATGAGGGCTGTAGGGGATTCCATTTGGTGTTGAGGTCGCGATGGATGCTGTTTGCGGGTTTGTTTACATCGAGAGCCGCCCCTGGGTCGCGCCTGCACCCGCCACAGCACAGAGCAACGACGTAACCGCCTCCGCTCTCTCAGTACTCCACCAAGCTCCGTCGGTTTCGTGGAAATGACGCTTCCTTGTATGTCGAACGCTTTTCTCATAGCGAGGTCTGCTGACGGTGAACATTCTAGACGCCGCAGACGCAGAAACACCTCTTAAGGAGGACGAGATCGAAGTCCTTCGCCGTCAATACCATCATCAACTTGAGTCGAACCATGTAACTGTGCAAACGAAATTCAACTACGCTTGGGGCTTGGTAAAGAGCACCAAACGCGAGGAGCAGGCCGAAGGTGTTAGGCTATTGACAGGTAGGCTTCAAGTCTTCTTCCTCAAAGAAAACGCATGTCTAAATGACTTGACAGACATATTTCGTGATGCTCCAGAAAGACGACGCGAGTGTCTATACTACCTTGCTCTTGGTCACTACAAACTCGGAAACTACGTCGAGGCGAGGAGGTATAACGAGCAGTTGCTGCATAAGGAGCCCAGAAATATGCAAGCTGCCAGCTTGATGAGTCTGATAGACGATCGCGTAGCCAAGGAGGGATACGTGGGGATCGCTATAGTTGGCGGCGCAATTGCAGTGGGTGGGTTATTGCTGGGTACGCTCTTTAAGAAGGCAAGAAGATGATTCGAGGTTCTTGGGATTCAATGAGGCGCAGACATGGTAAACGGGTCGTTTTATGGGGTATTATAGGAGTTCTGTCATTTTTGTTTTCGACTTGGAAATATATTCCAGATACCAACTGGGCTCGTACAACCGGTATGCCTTCTTACTGTATCAGCGTTATCGTGCAGCCGCAGCCGCAGCGCACTGCAGGTGTTGGTTGTACTTGAGCGAACTCTGGGGCGACGGCGACGGCGACGGTGACGGAAACCTTGTTGTCTCCAGCATACAGCCCCGTTGCCGTTGTAAATATGAGCGAGTCTGAGCCAAGCCAGGCTCTGTATTACTGTCATGAGTGTCAAGATGAGTGGAACGCACAAGAAACGGATGTCGGAATGCCATGTCCAAGGTGCGGCTCAGGTGTGTAGCCCGTCGCTTGTCCTCCATGAATGCGTGTTGAACGACGAATAGACTTCACCGAAGTGATCGATCAAGGCGCAGATCCTCGTGATCTACTACACGATGATGGAGACGACTTTGAGGACGATGATGAATACGACGACGATGAAGATGTTGACGGACTTGGCTTTAATGTTGCTGGGCCTGGAGGCATGCCGCCCTTCATGTTTGGGAATATCGCTGGCAATAATACCGATCATGGACCGAATCGTGAAATGATGGGAATGTTGCAAGGTTTGTTGCAGCAGTTCATCGGCGGCCGACAGCCTCCTCCGAGGGCTGACTCAAATGAAAATGGACATACTACCTCTGTAGATATGCCAGCGCAGCCTCAACAGGCCGCTGGCGCAAATGTGCAGTTTACTTTTGGCAGTATGGCGGCCGGGTTGGGTGTGGCGGGTACTGGACGTGGTGACAGACAAGAAAATGGCTCCGGGCATGTCCCCGTGACGGACTTGTCGACCTTCCTACAGCAGGCCTTTGGTGCTCTTGCGGGAGGGCCCGCGGACGGGGGTTTTGCCTTTGGTGGTGGAAATGGTCAAGCAGGAGGAGGTCTGGGAAGAAATCTGGGAGACTACGTTTTTGTACGGGCGTCTTGTCATACAGCAGGATGATGATCGCTAACAACTTTTCCTAGTCTAACCGTGGTTTCGATGAAGTGGTTTCCCGCTTGATGGAGCAGCATCAGGGTTCCGACGCTCCGCCTCCAACGCCGGAATATGTTATCAATGCAATCCCTGCGTTTTTAGTGGACGAGAATATCGCCAAATCAGAATGGGATTGTGCCGTTTGCAAGGACGATTGGCAAATTGGAGAAACCGCTCTACGACTGCCTTGCAGTCACTGCTTTCACGACCAGGTACAAATCTGCGTCGCTAATATCACGCGTAGGCTAACAGTGGTTGTAGTGCATAAAGCCATGGCTTAAGGTGAACAGTACTTGTCCCGTATGTCGTTCCTCCGTGCTCGGGTCGGGTACCGCGCAAAGATCTGCCGAACAGGCAGGGGGATCAAGTGTGGAAGGTGTTACAGTTGCTACACAAGCTTCTTCGAGCACATCACACCAGATGCCAGGCTCTTATCCTGCTAGTGCATCAGCCCCTGATATATTGGAACAAGACGATCTAGACTGATGATTGTCTTCTGTATAACACGGGCGCTGGTTGAAGCATATGGAGTAGGTGTTATTGATTAAAGCCCTCGGCTACGGAGGGAAGCATTCGAATTAAATACATCCTCGCCAATGCATTGAAAGACGAGAGCAATTGTACTCAAGTTCAAGCCTTAGATGTCGTCAAAATGATACCGATGCCTACAGTAAACCGGTTATGTAACAGGTAATAAAAGCGTACCGTGGGGATAACAGCGATTCCAGGAAAGGTATGTTGGGACAGTAACATCAACCACGGCCATCCATCGTCCACGTAGAAAGAGCACATGTTTAAAATCCATTTATTAGGGTGCGATATTGAGGGAACAACCAACGTCAGTTATTGACCCATCTGCCATGTTCAAGGACCTGAACAACCTTGCGGGGAGGGAGTTGCCACCCAGGACCGACCGAACCTATAGCAGCCATTGTCGGTACGACCCAACATTCGCGTTTCTGTCCCCGTGAATCAGCCAAAACCCGCGGTGCATATGGATGTTCGAGCGGTTTTGAGTGTGTGATCAATGGCGTTGGACCAGCCAAAGCAGCCAACTGAGCCCCGCTGATTACCGTCAACGGCTTCATCCTGATCCTTCCAGAACCACCACTTGCACGATGTAGTTCGTGGTAAATGATGTAGTCCGGAGCAGCAGCAGGTGAAGCTGTCATAAGGGTCGAGGAAGCATGAATGTAGACAGCAGGGTCCTGACCTTCTCTTGGACTCGAGGAAGGGAATAACGTAACATAGGGAATGTTCTGCATGGTAGCCTTTGATCCGCGGATTTGATTTTTGGGTAACAGGTCGGCTTTGATGGCAACTTGGTCGATGAAACCCGCAGCAACGATTTGCTTGATAGCCTTGATCTATTGTATAGAGAATCAGCACTGGATGCGCCTAGTCACACGAAAATACACACCTGAAGAATGGTAGGTGGAGGAAGTTTTGCTTCAAAACGGTCAAGAACTCCTGGGCAGTTCATTTGCACAATAGCTGAAATTTGCTGTCGCAGCTTGTGAATATCATGCATGGTCTATAGGCACACCCGTTAGTGACGATGTCAAGAAAAGGTTTCAACAATTAAGGTTACCTTGGCTCGGAGGAAATTTTGCTCGCAGAACGTGCTGGTTCCACCTTCGTACTCGTAGGCACACACAGCAGTAAGAAGCTTTATGATATCGCAGAGGGGGTCAAGTCCGGTGAATCGACGTTGTGCAATGAAATACGACTTCCTCTGCGCCTTTCTCTGTTCGCTTTCCTTCACGGAAGCGTTCTTAACAAACGACATCTCAGCCTTACTTACTGCCGTATGACGACGCTCTTGTCCTTCACCGTCTTCTGTCGCTTCATCATCTTCGGCCCCTTCCAGAGCTTCTTCCCTTAAGAAAGGCTCGCCCACCGACAAGGCCGCAACTATGGCAATGATGTACGGCATACATCCGTGTTGTTGCCCGATAATGAGCATCTTGGAAAAACGGGGTGCCAGGGGGAACACGGCCATTGTCCTTCCCAATTCCGTAATCTGTTTGTCGGCATTCAGTGCGCCAAGGAACACCAACAGGTTCTCCGCTTTCCGAAGACTCACACGATCAGGAGGTGTGGGGAAAGGAAAATTGATGACATTGTCAATGTTCATAGACTTCATTTGGAGAACAATGCCCTCGATAGGGCTACGAAGGATTTCCGCCTTCGTGAATGGAATAAAATCCCGTTCAAACACCGCCGACGAAAACAAACGGTAGCAATGGCCAGGACCAGTACGCCCAGCACGACCCGCGCGCTGTGCTGCACTAGCCTGACTGACCCAAGAGATGTCAAAGCTTTGCACACCGCTGACCTCGTCGTAATGTCTTTCTTTAGCCCGACCGGAATCCACAACATACCGCACGCCAGGAATCGTCAAACTGGTCTCGGCGACATTAGTAGCAACAACACAAAGACGACTGCCCTCGGGAGGAGCCTCGAATACGCGCATTTGCTCCTTCGTGGGAAGTAAGGAATAGAGTGGCAGTACATGCAGCGGCTGCGCAGTATCCCTTTCATCTTCACCTTCGGCCAATGGGAATTCAATATCGTCATCATCAGACTCATCGATGCTCATGTCATCATTCAGGACTTCACCAGAATCATCTCCCAAATCAAGATCTTCGACCTCAATACCTGCATTCCGACCAGAAATTTGAACCTTTGGCGTACGTGACGAGTCTTGACTAGCCGCCGGTGTGAGGCCAGACTGCGGATATTTCTTGCGAAGTTTGGCACATAGTTGCTGGATTTCATTCTGACCGGTCAGGAAAACCAATATAGCACCATGAGGCAACCGTTCATGGATCTTGCAAACCTTCTTGAAGGTCTCCCCGACGTAGTCGAGGTATGCTGTTTTCCGACTAAAGTGAATGGAAACAGGGTATTGACGCGCATCAACCTTCAAGACCGGAGGCGGCGTGGGAAACAATGACTTGTTCTCCGTGAAGTCTGTTACTCGCAATGTCGCAGACATGATGATCAAACGAAGGGGTTTGATTGTCGATCCTTCTTCCTTACTAAGTTGATCACGCAATCGAAGAACTCGACTGACCACACCAATGAGGATATCTGTGTTGATGCTACGCTCATGAGCTTCGTCAATGATGATGACAGAGTACTTTTGCAACAAGAAGTCACTCGCAAGCTCTCTGAGTAACACACCATCCGTCATGAATTTTAGAGCAGTCGTAGCTTTCACGGTAGCGTCAAAGCGGATCTGATAGGCAACCTTATCTTCGCCAGACTTCCCTAGCTCAGCAGCAACTCGATTCGCCATGCTTACAGCGGCAACTCGGCGTGGCTGCGTAACACCAATCATACCAGGCGTATCGCCATCTGGGTTTGCGAATCCAGCTTCCAAAAGAAATTGGGGTACCTGAGTTGTCTTACCACTTCCGGTTTCACCGCAAATCACGATACAGAGGTTCGAGTGCACGGCTTCCATGATACGCTGCTCTTCAGCAACAACCGGAAGCAGCAGACGGGAAGCTTGCACTTCTTCGGGACGATCGAAGCTGACGAAGAACGATTTTCGGTCCGCAGCGCTAGATAAACTCACCAGCTCGGCAGGCGGAGGGGTAGTTCCGTCACGCCTGGTAGGAGGTAATTTGGAAGGATCGATAGCTTCGAATTCATACACCACACCTTGATCTGGATCAGCCGAAACCGTATTTGACTGCTCGTCAAGCTTCTGCTGGGCCCATTGCTTGAATGACGCAGTTGGAGCTGATGCAGCAGGCTTCGGAGGGGAGGTCTCTGAAATGTCTGGTGCAACGGTGCTCCCAAGCTTCTCTGAGCTGTCTGGAGTGTCTTCGAAACCATGCCATGATCCAGCATCCGACGTATCAGACATATCAGATTCGTCAGAGCTATCGGCAGAGTCATCGTCGTCTTGTGCTTTGCCTTTCTGAGCTGCAAGCTGCGCCCGCCAATTGTAAGCCAACTTCGCCGCCTTCTTTGGCCGTTTCGTCAAAGGCTGTTGAGCGCCGTCTTCACTGGAGCGTTTAAGTCCGCTTCCTACTGGAGCAGCTGTCGGAATCAGAGGCTGTGCAACAGATGACGGGACCGGCAATGCGGGAGCGTCTTCGTCGTCACTAGATCCGTCCTGATAACCAAAACCATCCACGTTGTCCTCGTTCATCGCGGGGTATTCACGGTACAGCTCCTCGCTCGGATTGGCGTTGATCCCTCGTCGCTCCTCGTTGAGGGCTCGTCGTAGGCGCTCCCGCTTCGTCTCCTTGGCTCGACCAAGATTCTTCGCACTATGCATGAGCGACGTGTCGACTTTTGAAGCAGCTAGCTTCTCGATGAGAGCCTTCGAATCTTCTTTCTTCAATTTTGTTTCCTTCACAGCCCGTCGTATTAGCCATGGACTTGACTAGGAAGTAGCAAGTTTTACGTACAATATATTTATCCAACCTTTTCTTCTTTTTACTCGACATTTGCTGGCCTTCCGGTTGCATCTGCTGGCGCAAGACTTCTCTGCGCTTCTCCTTCTCTTGAGTGGACAGAGGGATGAGAACGTCGGCATTACTATCCACCGCATCACCAGGCAGCTTCGTCAGTTCAGCAGACTGCCTAGCCTTGGCATTGAAACGCTCCTTCTTGTTCCAGGCCATACTGAGAGGAGCTGACTGGAGCTGTACGAGGAGGACGTGAAGGTGGTTGAAGTTCCACTGCGCAGCGCCGATTCTAAAAATAGATTTTCTCCCTGGCCGGCGTGGCGCGGGATGCACTGAGCCCCGCATACACGTTCAGCACCGGCCGACTTGCAACAGGACGGAGAACGGAGAACGGAGAACGGGAACCCGTGAAGGCAGCATGAACGACTACCAGGTATGCCAGCTTTGCTCTCCGTCGGTGCTGTATGCTGACCCGGACCCTCGTATCGCAGTCGCTCATCCGCGTTATGGAAACGAAATATCTGGTCAGCCAGCTGAAGGACGCCTTGCGTTCTCTGGGTTTACCTGTAAGCGGCAATAAGCCCGAACTCCAGGAAAGGCTCAGGGGACACATTCTTCGCGTTGTTCAGGGAGGTGATGTTGCGGCTTACGAACGTATCCGCCAAGCTATCCCGCTAAGTCCTGGCCGTGGAGGTGGCGGATTGGCACAGAACGCTTCCTATGTGCCTACTTCAAGTAAAAGCTCGGGGTCAGTTTGTTCTTCCCCTTGTGGCCAACATTCGCTGACAATGCTACAGAGCTGCAGGATCTCCTTCACACGGTCAGCTCGGATATGCTCCTGTCACGTCCAACGGTGTTCGGCCGCCAGCAGCACCCCCAGTGAATCACATCAATTTCAGACAGAATCCATTCTACACGATACTCGACTCATGCAGTCAACTAGTCATTTGTCAGGCGACACCTCAACATAGAAACACCATCAACATCAATTTTCGAATGACTCCGTTCAGGCAAACCAAACTGGCTGAACCCGACCACAAACTGTACATTTTCTGTGCAGCAGCTGACTTTTCTCCGTTTCAGCCGACGTTGGTTGAGTTCCCGGTACAAGCAGAGTTTCGCGTGAACGACTTGCCCATCAAGGCCAACTTGCGTGGCATAAAGATCAAAGGGGGTGTGAAGCCGGGCACGCAAAGTCCAGTAGACATGACATCAGTGTACAGACCAAGTCCAGCTGATTATCGTGTTGAAATGACTTATGCGTATACGAATAAGCGATACGCAGTTGTGGTCAATCTGGTAAAGAAACATACGGTGAAGGAACTCGTGGACAAGATCCGTCAAGGAAAAGTCTTGACGAGAGAATATGTTGTTCATAAAAGTTTGTACCCACCAAGAAGCGTAGCGAGACACGCCAGCTAACAGAATCCTACAGTCAAGAAAGACGCGGAAGACGCGGACATTGTCACGACCTCTGCTGCTCTTTCGCTAAAGGACCCCCTTGGCTTTTGTCGTATCAATTTGCCTTGCAGGGGCTTGGCGTGTGAGCATTTGCAATGCTTTGATGGCGAGATATTTCTCCAATTGAACGAGCAGACGCCAACATGGCAGTGCCCGATATGTGAACGTCCAATACAGTCTATTGAGGACATTGCAGTTGATGGGTGCGTGTGGCTATCTTTACCTAACCTATATATTACTAACAGGGCAATCGTCAGATATTTTCAGGACATCTTGAACAAAGTCTCAAGCTCAATAGAGTCAGTTCTCGTTGACGATGAAGGTGCCTGGACAGCGAAAACCGCGGATCAAGAGGAAACAGCTACACCATCAGAACATCTAATGAAAGCAGAAGTGTTTGATCTAGATGGAGACGATACTGCTCTTATTCCTAAAGCAGAAGCCAGCGCAACAGCATCCCCTATACCAGCAACCCCGGCGAGATCTTCAGTCAGAAAACGTCCTCCCCCTGAGATCATTGATTTGACAAGTGATGCTGAGGATGAGATTGGAGGAAGTGAAGAGCCAGAAGCTAAGAGGCAGAGAACGTCTGAAGGTACGGATGTGCTGCGCACTTCCACAAATGGTTCAAGTGTCTCTCCGCAAGACCAGTGTCGTCTAGCATTCCGGATTCCCACCGGTGCGGCACCGCTTCCAAATCCTGCAGGGCAAATAGAGAACGCCTTTCCTGATGTCGGAGAGCGCAGGGGTTTGGCGCAGACGAATGGCTCTCTTCCTGCAGCTGTCGTCAGTCCATCTATTGCCGATTTTCCGGCACACAATACTACGCTGCCACGCCATGGTTAGCTCCGATCAGTTCTTGAGTATATAGAATGAGGTGCTATGCTTGCAAGTTATGGAAGAGAGTGAGAAGGTGTTTTCAGATGCATTGCTTGCGGTGTTTGGGTTGCATTATGGGTTATGTAAGGATTTGGCGTTTCTGGTTTACATATATTACGGGACCATACTATATAGGACGCAGGCCTCAGACATTGCAATGGCAGATGTCGAGGGTCATCAGTGCTAATTCCCTTACTGAATATCCAGGTGTAAGGGTGTACGGGTGTGTTCGACTGCGATTCCATTCCCTTCGCCCTGAATTGCCCAGCTGCTGCTCGATTGTGTGGGGTAACGTGAGCGTACGTGATCGTGCATAGCCTCGTACGTCTCAGGCAACTGACCAGCAGCTGGGCAATTGTTGCATTCAACCCATTCAAATCCGTCCAGACATGGGTATAGCTTTATCACTTCCCTTCCTGGCCGTGCCGTCGCTGGCAGGCCTTTCCGGATGGGCTCTCAGTTGTTGTGGTGCTGCCGCGGTACGTTTGCCGACCTCGAGCCTGCTCGCTTGATCTGTGTCGCTTACAAGATTCGACATAGGTCTCAGGATTATGTCGCATGTGTGGGACATGTAGCTCTTCCATAGCGACGAGAGTTGCATACGCCCTACTTCTCTTGGTCAATTCTTTGCTATCGTGGGTGATGCTGTCTGGCTGGGCAATCAAGCAGATAGAGCAAATCACCCTGAATTACATGCAAATCACTTGCCCTACGGGTGGGAAATGCTATGGTGTTCTGGCGGTAAGTCTTTCTGAAGTGAGACCTTTCAACGTTCTCATAGACAATTTAGGTTCATCGCATCAACTTCGCATTGGGCATGTTCCACCTCGGATTAGCTCTGCTGCTTCTCGGCGTCCGGTCAACGCGCAATCGAAGGTCTACTATTCAGAATGGGTATGGTATCTTCCCTTCCCAAGAAGTTCTGCTGACACAGAACTGCATAGCTGGTGGGGCCCGAAACTTGTTGTCTGGGCTGTTCTGATCGTGCTGAGTTTCTTCATCCCGAATGGTTTCTTTGTCTTCTGGAGCAAGTACATTGCTATCCCTGGCTCAATCGTCTTTATTTTCTTCGGTCTGATCTTGCTTGTTGATATGGCACATGAGTGGGCAGAAAAGTGTCTCGAAAACTATGAAGAGAGCGAGTCCAAGACATGGCAAACGCTCCTCATTAGCTCGACCCTGGGCATGTTTGTCGTTACGATTGTGCTCACGGTACTCATGTTCGTGTTCTTCGCGAGATCGGGATGTGGCTTGAACAAAGCTATCATATCTGTCAATCTTGTGCTTGCTGTCATCTCAACGCTTATGTCAATCCACCCTGCTGTGCAGGAACATAACCCTCGCTCTGGGCTTGCACAAGCAGGAATGGTCTCTGCCTATGCGACATATCTGATCATGTCCGCTGTTGCCAATGAGCCCAATGACAAACAATGCAACCCGCTGGTGCGGTCTGGGGGTGCCCGTACAGTAAGTGTTGTACCCAGCACTTGACGGATCTTCCTAACACATACTCTTAGGTCACAGTAGTTATTGGGGCTGTGTTCACGTTCCTCGCGATCGCGTACTCAACAACCAGAGCTGCAACGCAGACTTCTTCTCTAGGAAACAGGCGCGGTCAGGAGTACGAAGCATTGGAACCGGACGCATACTATCATAGTCTCATCACCTCTGAGCCCTCGTCAAGAGCAGCCATGCGTGCTGAGGCACTCCAACGCGCTGTTGAAAGTGGTGGTCTGCCAGCATCGGCGCTCGATGACGATCTTGACAACGAATCAGACGATGACAATGAGCAGGACGATGAAAGAGCCGCCGTCAGATACCATTATTCTGTGTTTCATGTCATCTTTTTCTTGGCGACGTGTTATACGGCGCTTCTGCTTACCAACTGGTGCGTGATATTGTTCGGCCTCCTCAGATCATGCTAACCTCAGAACAGGGGGACAATGAAAATTGAGGACGAAGACAACGAAAGATTCGTCGTCATTGGAAGGAACTATGCGAACGTTTGGCTCAAAGTCGTAAGTAGCTGGGTGTGTTACGCTCTTTACGGTGGGTCATTCGTTCTCGATTATGTATGATTTGCTGATTTCCGGTTCATAGTTTGGAGTTTAATCGCGCCAGCTGTCATGCCCGATAGGTTCTAGATAGCTGCTTGAATTACTCCGTGACGGTCAATGAACAAAATGTATTGATGCTTCGATCATCTTCATAGTGCCAAAGTCCCCAACACAAAAGCAGAGAAAACACCCAGAAAGACACTCGAGCGCGCCAAACCCGCAAACCCAATAGCAGAGCCTGAACTGCTAGAACCATCGGTAGGAGTGATAGTTCCTACAGCAGTCGTTCCCACACGGGTGGCGATACCAGTTGCTACAGACGTGATCCGTGTGATACTCGACACTGAAGTTGCACCCGGAACACCATTCGTGCCGCTAGTGATAGCTAAAGCATTGGAGTCCGTCGAGTTGAAGTCCGTTTCAGCAATCTAGCATGTTCATTTAGCAAAGTTACATGTTCAGAGAAGGTGGACTTACCGAGATTTCGTTGTTCTCGAGGTCATAGACAACGTAAGCAGAACGAAGGAAGGTGTCACCCAATATGTACGCGGAGGGGTCATCAGAAGCAATGATACCGATTTGGCAGACTTCTTGCCCGTTTGTATACGTCAAAACATTGCCATCCTCATCAGTCGGGTTGACGATGAATTCGTTGTAAGGGACTGAAATGTTCTTGGTTCCGAAAGAAAACACCACAGAGCCATCTTCATTCTGGAGATCGCAGTTTTTGAAGATGTAGGTTCCAAGCTGTCGAGAGTACGTCGCCCCGAGACTGCTGGCAAGGCTTTCCAAGATCGCAGTAGGCAAAGCCATATAACTCGAACCGGAATCCAGCAGCACGGGAATTGGGAAAGTAGACAACGACACGGCACTCGCGGACGAACTGCCTGGGGTCAGGAGAGACATCCCGGTCAAGGATACCGTGAAGGTCGACGCGGCGACACCAGGGATGGTGTCAATAGGAAGAGTTGTCAACTGCCCAGTGTATTTTGCAGAATCAACACCGCCAAAGATGATCTCGCCCGTCTCTGCATCGAGATCATTCAGATAAAGGGAATAACTCAGGGTGTTGATCAGCCCCTGATCCTTCATAGTCTCCACAAGGTTGGGATACGAATCAAATCCGTAATAAACGGCATATGCTTCATTCGCCGCATATCCGATACCCATAACACCTTGGGAACTCGTTGTGTTCAGACCCATGGCAAACGTCTGTCCTGTAACGGTGGCGTTTCCGATCGCAAACGTCTCAGTTGCGTAATCACCAATTGCATAACTACCATCACCGTACTGAATGACGAAGTCGGAATTCGAGTACTTGTACGAAGACGATGTCGTGTTATCGTATGTGTTTCCTTCGCAGGGGTCATCACTTTGTGAACACAAATCTGATTGCGCAACTTCGACCCAGATGTCGGAACTTCCGGTGTCGATTTGAAGAGCTAAATTCTGTGCAGGAGTTCCAATAGTTACTAGCATACAATGGTCAGCTTGTTCGTTGAAGCGTCATCATAGAAAGGCAGCCTACTGTTAGCCCAATAAAGCAGATGACTCTTCGGGTTGTCTAGTGACAAAGTAACGGTACGTTTATCAAGATGTCTTCGTAAACGTCGCTTCTTCAGAGCAGCAATGTTATCCAAGTCATGTTGCACGCTCCTGCTGGTTGTTCTCTGGATTGGAAACGCGAGGACACCGGAACCGTCGGGGCTTTTGACGAGGTCGAGAGCAAAGGCAGAACACGGGAGAGCAGCGGCTACCGCGGCTGACAACTTCATTATCGAGTGAATGCAGAACAGCAAAGCGAGCAGCAAGAAGAGGGGGTTGGTCGGGGTATATGCTGGCTCTTAAGCGCTGCAGTCAGGATGTATGCTTGGCGCGCACTCATGATCTCACTGTGCTTTTGTGCGGCCAGTGTGTGGGGACCGCGGGCCGGCTGCGGTACGGTATGTCAGAGCAAGGATCAAGGACCGGGATTCTTCCATTCTCGGTATGTGTATTTTTATCTTACCAGAAATCCAGCATGTTCCCAGTCATCCCACAACATCGACGTCCGCAAATAACTCTTCGCCAAAAGCCTGGCAACTTCAATCCGTCCACCTAAAGCCTTGACAGGATCATCTCGGCCCGCCTTCTTCATGTTCACGAAATCATTCTGAATTCTCTCGGATATTTCACTGGAAATATTCACCTCCAAATTCCGTGCTGAAGCAAGGTAACTCCGTACATCCTCCAACTCCCCATTAGATAGAGGCGATACCGAAGCGGTGGCTTCCTGCAGCTGCGGCTTCAGAGCGACTGCGAAATCCACCGGCAAGATCGTCTTCGTTTGCCCAAGGATGATGACCGGACAGTCCGTCTCGACTTCAAAATCGCTGAAAGGGAACTGAAAGGGTACGACCTGGGCCGTAATCATCCTCGTGAGCGCACGAATTTGGCGAACACCTGTTCACTCATATTAGATAAGTTATTGAGCTGCAAAGGTCCTTAACATACCTCGGTCGCCGAGCTGACCGTCCTTCATGCCACCCTCGTCTAGAAGCAAGCAGGTACCCTGTGCCAGCTGGCAAGTTCCCGAACGAAGAGTCTCTCCATCTGAACTCGGCACCATGTTGCGCGTGTTTAATGTGTCCAAATCCAACTTCTCTGACATCAGAGACGGCAAGACCGATTTCAGAAGCCGCACCAGCTTCGGCGCAACGTCTCCGGGACATGCGTAGACGTTGAGAGATAGCATACCCAAAACCTGTTGATTCTGACGGCGGATGACGCTTGATAGCAGGGACAAGAGAAGAAGCTCAGCCGCCTTCATGTCCCCTGAGAATACAGAGGACACCTTGGTGAGGATCTTCGCTCTCGCGCTCTCATGATCCGTTAGTCGAGTGAGGTTTTGGTGTAGGTAAAGCCCCTGAATATTAGGGAATTGACGGAACGACAGGACGTGAATCATGGGAATACGATCGTGATCGTCTTCATCCTCAGTAGTGGCCTCATCAGAGTCGTTGAATTCCAGTAAGCCAATCACCTCAACTATGTCGCAAACTTTAATGTTTGCGCCGCAGCCGGCGTAGAACTTCAGCAAAGCCGCCCGATGCGGTGCGTTTTTCGGATATCGGTCAGGCAAATACCGCGCTTTCCGGCTCAGAGAAACGTCATCAAGTTCTGGGAGCTCGTTCTCCTTCATCCAAGACGCTTCACCTGGGATCGAGGTTGCGTACATGGAAGTCCTTTCCTCCAAAATGATGTTGTCGGATGCTCCGTAGCCGACCTCAGGACCATCGTACGGACCAAATCGGTGCGATTTCCATTTGTCCGATGACGAGTCCTTCGAATAACCTACAAAGACCTCTGTCCCAGAAGCGTCAGGGTCCTGAATAAACGCGGCAAAGCGACATACTGCTCCCGACTCCAGCTCGCTGAATGGAACATCATTGAAGGAGGGAATCTTGGCTTGTTTAGTGCGATCATCAAAGGAGGCTGCGATGTACGTTGAGATGCCATGGTCAGACGTGGCCGAAGGTCGTTCGCGAAGCGATAGTCCGTTTGTGTACTCGGAAGCGAGATGGGCAAGCGTATGAAGCGGATGAGAGAGGAATGTATCGCTTAAGGAATATGTTAGGTATTGGGATTATATATACCAGAGTGAAAATAGCTTACCTCATAGCTGCGACCATTGTGTTCGTTGCTGGTTTCCGAGTACTTCGTGATGCTGCTAGTTGTTTTGGGTGCTCCCGATTTGGCGTGCCGCGCAGTGCAACTGCATCTGCCGTGGGACATTCAAATTTGAACTGCGGCAGCATCCTGGAGCTGATTGCCAGCTGAGGTAGCTATAGAAGATGAGATTGCTTCAAGAGGATTCTGCAAATTATTCAATGGCTAGCATGCCCATGTAGCGATAGCTATAGCTACGGGCGTTGATGTGACCCATCTTTGGTATGATATTGCAAAACAAAAACGCCGCCCAAGTACCCAAGTAATCCTATACCCACGCATTTCATATCAAGAACTCGTGCTTCCCCTTCGACCAAAGATTCCTTCGTCGAAACCTGTAAATCCTCCAACGTGACTTCTGTATCTGGCTGCTCGAATAGACGCCGAAGATGTCGCAGAAGCTCGGTCACTGCCGTATCCACGACTGCTCAAGCTAGTTCGCCGCAAGTCTGAAGATGGCGCCTGGAATTCTCCAGTTATGCTTTTTGGTGAAACGCTTGCCAAGCTAGCCGGACGAGAGCTCCTCAGGTCGTCAATCGTTAGGCTTATCAAAATTGACGAGCATGTCGAAGTCCGGCGCTTGTTTACATGACTCATGGCGTCATCCTCGTTTGCGAATGCTACCCAGCTGGTCCGCCTGTTCGTCGAGACGGAGATCTTGGATGCCCTTCTTCCATCCGGCGCTCTTGTCTCAAGCTGTTTGGAGCTGCCCTCCGAAGCGCTCACAATGCTAGCCTTGCGAGCCGGATTCCTGACAGTTATAAGCTGACCAACTTCATCTGCTGGGGAAACAGGGGAAGGCTGGCTGCCGCTCAATGTATTCTTCGCTCTCTCCGCAGCCAGCCTGCGGTCTCTTGCCTCGAGCTCGCTCTCCAACTTAGACAGGCTTGCGATTAACATTGATTGCGAGGATTTCGGAGGAGCGGGAGTAACCGAGCTAGAGGTCAGAGTTGCGGCCTGGGTGTCGATTCTTAGCTGAGCTCGTTGCAGAATGGACTCGGTCTGCACATGAGAAATGTGGGCAGACGCGATGCTGTTGCGAATGCCTCCCGATCCACGCGATTGTCCGGTGCTCGAAGTCCTGTTACCAATCGTGTTCTGATCACTCAAGCTTGACGTGGTGCTTGCGACCGTTTGGATGCTACGTGCATCCCACCGCGGGAAAGGATAGGCTGTAGGTGTGTAGCTTTCCGAGACGCTTAACGTTGGTGATGCCAAAGGCGAGGTTTCGCTCATCTTAACCAAAGTTGGGGCCATGCGCGAGAGTGCCTGATCGATTGCGTTGAATTCTGGGCTCTCGACGCTAGACTGCCGGAGCAAGGAAGCTCTGATCGAAAGAGGAAGAGGTGACTTTATCCGATCCTTGATGAATGTTTCCCACGTCGAGGCGGATTCATATTCGTCTGGTCGGAACCGAAGTAACTGTAGAGACGTTGATGATTTCCGCGAAGTCGAGGCTGACGATGGTTCAGATCGAGATTGCGTCCGAAAGGCTTCCACGGGCGACGTTGATTCTAGCGGAGCGAGGACGACCGTAGGGCCATGCTTCTTTGTTGCAGGCGCGACCGCGACTGACGAGTAATCTGCAAGAGCGTAGGTCACCAGAGGGGGACGACCAGGCTTTTTGCAGACGACAATGTGATCGGGCGTGAGCATAACCCACCTCGACTTCCAAACGCTCCGGAGTTGCAAGAAGGATTCAGATGGCAGCCAGCACCATCCTTCGTAGTCAGGATGATGTGCCATTGCGACGCTTTATAACTGAGCTCCAAAGAAGATGATCGAACAGAGCAGAACGCCGATACGCACGGACGTGTAGGTGGGCCAGAACGTTAAGGTTGGAATGGAGGACAATGAAAGGCAGCTGCACCGTATTTAATGATCCGGGCGAGGAGATGAAAGGGAGTGACGGGTAAAAAGCGAAGCAATGCAGAAACGGAGCGACTAACGGGAAAGTGGTCTGATACGACGGAAGGCTGGGTAGCCCGCCCTCCTGCACAGATGGCCCTATGGGGGGGAGGAGGCCCGAGCGCGAAAGTCGGATTATTGGGCGGCCCACTGCGGATGCGCGCGCGAGAAGCTTCGCTGGCTGGGTTCGCTGCGTGGAAGGGCCGCCGGCACGTGATTGCAGGCCCGGTGCAGGAAATCTACAGTACGCCTGACGCCTGCAACGACCGCATACATCCCCGCCCCCTAAACAGCAGCACAACACCAAGAGACGAGGAGCGACTGTATGCTACGTGCGTGTCTCCAGAAAACTGAGCATTCATTGCACCCGCGACAATGGCTGCAACGCAGAGCTATCGGCTCAAGCAGAGCACTGTCGACACCGATCAATGTTGGTCTTGTTCCCGAAGCTGCTGCACCTGCCAGACCGTCAACACCCAGATCGCCCACGCCCACGGGATCCAATCCATCTAAGGGAAACCGGTCAATACCCAAGTCGTTTAAGCAAAAGTTGTCTGCACCCAGGCCGTCCGAGCACGAATCGTCAACGTTGAAGTCGCCAACACCGAAGCACTCAAAGCACAAGTCCTTCACATCGAAACCTTCCAAGCACGAGTCGTCTACGCCCGAGCCGTCCATACACTCGAACGCAAAGCACAGATCGTTTCCGCAACGCAGACAGCGGGCCGACAGAGGACCGCGGACACCTGATGGCATTTTCAATAAGCTGTCCGGTAATATGGCTGCTGCAGTCCGTGAGCGTGATGACCTCACCAAGGAGGCCCAATCGAAGCCAGAGACCAAGGTCGAAAGTCCCGACAATGAGCCGCAATCCAACCGAGAGACAGAAGTCAAAGGCTTGGCCCGGAAGTTGCCTGCTAACCCACTTGAAGTCCTTGAAAAGACCCGTGCGATGCTCAAGTCCCAGACTATCCGTGCTAAATCCAATACTCCTTCTTCCCTCTCGAACCGCACGCCCCGTGATCAACTGAATGCAACCCTCGCAAAGGGCCGCGCGAAGCGCAAGGGCCGGACCATCACTTTCGAAGAGCCGCGATCGAAGGTAGAGGCCGATGTTGAAGGTTTCGCACAGGAATTGGAATTTCTTGAGGAGGCCCGCGCGAACCTCGAGCCCCGGACTGTCGCTGCCGAAACGATTCTAGAGGAGCAAGATGCTGAGAGCACAACACATACTGATCTGCAAATGGTGAATGACCGTGATATCAAACTCGAATCCGTAGCGCCTCCCAAACCTCAAGAACCCGTCCCTTCCCTTGCGCATGGGTTGGACAGGGTGTTATTCAATCCGGCAGTGTTTCACCTCCGAGATCCCCGAACAAAGGTTTACAATTTCGATCCCTACTTGGAGGATATCGTCCCAATCTCCAAGATAGATCTCGATGCAATCCAGGGCTTCGTTCCGCCATCAAAAGATACCGTTTTGGACACTGTTGCTCGAACGAGGGAAAAGAAGTACTTCGGATCGACGTCGAGTTTGACGGGTGTTCTTGCACATTTCCACTTTCTCCTATCAAATATGCGGCCGCCAAACATGTCGGCTCTGTCGCGAGAAAGCCATGATGCCGGCCCAATGACTTACTCGACGGCATTGACTGCTCCACACAGCATATATCTTCATTGGAAGGACGGCACCTATGCTATCGATGCAGATAAATACTTTGACACGGAAACGATTCTTTCTGTTCTCGGCCACTCCCTGGAGAAGATGCTAACGTTACCTCAAGACCAATTCGAACAGTACCTTAAGGAAAATTCGCATACCATCCCTGCAGAGGATCGTATGAAGCCTGGAACATATCACTATCTCGATGCCTGCAATTTCCTTATGAGATCTCAACTTGATTGCCAGGATCCACGGCTTCCGGGTAATAGCACGTTTGATATCAAAACCAGGGCTGTGGTCGCTGTTCGACATGATGTAAGCAAAGCCGAAGAGTATGGTTCGTGGTATCAAATTACACAGTCCCGTGGAATGTTAAATTCCTTCGAACGGGAGTATCGGGACATGATACGTTCGGCGTTCCTGAAGTACTCACTCCAAGTTCGTATTGGGAGAATGGATGGTATCTTTGTGGCATTTCATAACACACGACGCATTTTCGGCTTTCAATACATTCCGCTGGCCGAGATGGATGAAGCAATTCATGGATCAGCTGAGAATGACATAGGCGAGCGGGAGTTTCGTTTGTCGATAAAACTCTTGAATGATAGTTTGGAGAAGGCCACCGAGGCATACCCCAAGCAGTCGCTTCGCGTCACTTTTGATACTCAGAAACGTGAGGGTCGCGAGCTGCCGACAATGAAAATGTGGGTTCAACCTGTCACAGAAGAGCACATCGCGAAGGCTCAGGAAGGCCGCGCAAAGGGGATTGCCGAGTGTGTCAAGGCCGCCGCCGGACTCAGCGAAGCAGCAATAGAAGTTGGGCAGGAGGTTTCCAGTACTGTGGAACCTGAGAGTGTTTTGGATGCTACGGAAGATGATATTCCTGAGGACTCTCTCTCCACTGCAGAGCAGCAACCTGAGTTGAACCACGATAATGAGTATGAGGCAATTCGTGAAGTGAAAGGCTATAATATCATAGCGCAGAGTTATGTCGATGGAAGACGGTGCCTTGGTCCACCGTTGCTTCAACCAGGATCACGATGGGAAGTTGTATATTCGTTCAAGAATATGGATGATGAGACCGCTAGAGGCGGTCTGCGAAGGGCTTTCCGCGACCAATCACTTGTTGGTAAAGTGGAAAGCTCAACCGGAGAACAACAAAGTGTTCCCCGATTTATCCAGCAACTAAGGAGAATATCGGCATTGGGCAAAGCAGACGTGGAGAAGGAAAATGAGAAGACTGAGGATAGAGTGGTTTTCAGTCCTATAACTAGCACCTCTTCATAGGTCTCCTTAGGAAAACATAACAGCCCTTGGATCTGTAGGGCGTCCACTTGCATCGATGCCATTGGCCTTCATCTTTTCTCGCATCCATATCAACCGTGCTTTGTCGAAGTCAATCTCCTGTTCCCTCATAATTGCTCCGATCTCCTGCTTTCCTCGTTCATCTAAGCCAGCTCTTGTGTCTCCGCTATCCACGTTCGCCCCCTGAACATCGAACAACTCACTTTGGAAGCCGCTTTCCACGTCCGCAGCAAAAGAAGCGTTAGGAGTTGTTGGAAGTCTGACATAACGTCCGAGTCTGTCGCGGATTGGAGCCGGTGTGAGCGACGACAGGCGGCGGGTGATTGCTGGCGAGACTCCGAAGCGACGGACGGCGACTACAAAGAGGGCGAGGATTGCGAAGAGCGCCCACGAGGCATGGAAATATAGCGAGCGAGCCATTGATCAATCGCAATCGCCGTCGTCGCGGATGGACTGCTGTTAGGGTTACCACGTACGGTCTGCAAGTGCGCGCCCCGGCTGCAGCCTGAACCACTTAGACTGTCGTACACAAATTTCGCAGACCTCTGACAACGACACAGAGTCTTCCTCGTCCATTACCAATACTTGTATCGAAATGTCTGCCCCTTCTGCCGACCTTTGCTGGGAAGTTGTCCGTGACCAGTCCTCGTACTTGGTATGCCGATTTTGCTGTCATTGATTTGATGCCGTTGTTGACTGGTCCGGTGAACAGGTCAAGCGCCCTAACCTCGCTCCCATGTCCCGCGACCCCTTCGCCCTCACCAACTTCCACTCTTACAAGTACTCTGGTGTGAACGACAAGGCTGTCGCTGTCCAGGTTGCTCCTTCCGGCAAGGGTTTGTTTCACCTCGTCTGATCAGCAATTGCAGCAGCTGCTGACAGAAGGGCTACAGGTGTCCAGGTCACCTCCAAGATCGCCAAGCACGCTGGTTTCCCCGCTAAGAACCTCCAGACTGTCGTCTTCAACAAGAACAAGTCTTCCCGCACCACCTACAAGGCCGTTGCCACCACTGCCGCCGCCCGTGGCTACCGTGCCGACCTCCGTCAGGTATGAATCTGTTCATCTCACCCTGCAAGTCCACATGCTAATAATCATCCAGGCCGCCATTGCCCGTGCTTCCGCCATCCTCCTTTCCCAGCGCTCCAAGAAGGCTGCTGCTGTTTCCAAGCCCCGTGGCAAGGCTGTCCGTGCTTAAGTGCGTGAGCTTGATCTACGTTGATATCTGATATTAATTCTATTTCTTTGCGGGATATATCTGGTAGTCGTTTGTTGGAACATAAAAAACCTTATACCTCATCATCCTCTAGGACTTCACGTCATCGAGCCATACCATAATTGCCTTAAGCTTGACCGTGAGTTGCCGTAGACGATGACACTCGAGCGCCGTGATCTTCCGTATGAGGGTCCGTTATTGCGAGAGCCGTTGTTTATTTCGCGGCCGATGCTCCGGGGGTTCCGAAGACACAGATGGACTCACCCTGCCGCCCGGTGGTGTCACCCTGCAATTCCCCGCAAGCGAATCTACCTACGTACTACGCTGCCTCCCCCAACCCCAACCAGAACCAACTTCTTATTCTCTTCAAACAACGTACATTCATCGATCATGGTCAAAGCTGTTGTTATCGGAGCGTACGTATTGCTAATTGCCTCTCCCGTTCTCCTCAATTGCTCAGTACTGACATGTGTCGCACAGCGCCGGTATGCCTTTCCATTGCGCTGATGACCAATTGATCACAGTTTGATCCTAACCGTACGTGCTGTTAGGTGGAATCGGTCAGCCTCTCTCCCTCCTTCTCAAGATGAGTCCTCTCATCGATGATTTGGCCCTTTACGATGTCGTCAACTCCAAGGTATGAGTCGAACACAACGCCGATCGTATTCGATGTTAACCTCTACATAGGGTGTTGCGGCTGATTTGAGCCATATCGCCTCCCCTGCTACCGTCACCGGTCATCTTCCTGCCGACGATGGTCTCAAGAGTGCTCTTACCGGGGCTAACATCGTCGTCATTCCTGCGGGTGTCCCCAGGAAGCCGGGCATGACCCGCGATGACCTTTTCAAGATCAATGCTGGCATTGTCCGCGATTTGGCGACCGGTATTGCACAGAACTGTCCTGAAGCTTTCATTCTTGTCATCTCCAACCCCGTTAACTCAACCGTCCCCGTTGTTGCCGAGGTTTTGAAGAAGCACAATGTTTTCAAACCTAAGCGACTCTTTGGTGTCACCACTCTCGACGTTGTCCGTGCCTCTACCTTCACGGCCGAGGTTACTTCCGAGGGCGCTGATCCCCGCGAGTTCACCATCCCTGTCATCGGTGGTCACTCTGGTGTCACCATCATCCCTTTGCTTAGCCAGTCTAAGCCCAGCGTCAACCTCTCTCAGGAGCAGATTGAGCACCTGACCAACCGTGTCCAGTTCGGTGGTGATGAGGTTGTTAAGGCCAAGGACGGTGCTGGTTCTGCTACTTTATCTATGGCTTTTGCTGGTTACAAGTTTGCTGAGGCGGTTCTTAAGATGAGTACTGTCTCGTCGTTGCGCCTACGCAAGTACTGACATTACGTTCTTCCACGCAGTCAAGGGTGAATCTGGCATTGTCGAGCCCTCTTACGTTTATCTCCCTGGTGTTCCTGGTGGTGATGAGATTGCCCAGTCTGTTGGTGGTGTCGACTTCTTCTCGGGTTTGGTCGAGCTCGGGGTGAGTCACAATGATTAAACAAACGGAGTCGCTTTGCTGACCACAATATCCAGGCCGATGGTGCTAAGAAGATTCGCCCGCTTGGCAACTTGTCTGACTACGAGAAGAAGCTTCTCGATGCTGCTCTTCCCGAGTTGAAGGGCAACATCCAGAAGGGTGTTTCTTTTGTTACTGAAGGGTCAAAATTGTAACCTCTCCCATATCTAAGGATTCAGCTGACGTCTAATTATTTGTGTAGGTAGATGATTTGCCACGATACTATTACAGAGCTGGAAGAAGAGTGAGTGGGTATGTGCACTACCGTTCTTGATGAATCTTCTTTCTTGGGATTTGAGATGTGATTTACATACCAATACCAATATACCAAGTTTTCTTCGTTATGATCTCATCTCTATATAATTGCTGTCAGCGGCTGCGGTTGGTTGCAGTGCAGCAGCTGCGAGTAGACGTTCGGGGCAATCGCGAATATTCGAGACTTTGCCTGCGCCAGTGCACAGAATCCTTGATAAACTCAACCAATCCCATGCTCGGGCAAGATTGTAGACCATAATCAAGACATATTTACTATGGCCACAGCTATGTTCGCGCCCTCCCAGTACGCAAACTTCTGGCCCGCATCCCCGTCGCCTGCCCATAGTTATGGCTGCACGGCGCCAGTCCCGCGACCTCAGAAGAGAAGCTTTGATGTTGACGAACATGACAGGGAACGGGTCCTAGCATCGAAGAGACTGCGACAGGACAATGAGTATACCTGCATGTTACCGATCTCTGGGGGTACTTATTCAAGCACCAATTCTGCAGTATCCCACGGCGTACATGTCCCGGGCCCGGGTACCGGTGCGGATGATTCGCGCCGTGTCTGGCGGCAGCCCGAGCATTGTGGTAGCAAACCATCCACAGACGACTGCAATTGGAGACAGTCTCCCTCCTCGTATCCAGGCACTGCGTCGAGTACGCGGCCGACTCTGTATGACCTTTCCACTGGGGAGGAGCTGAACCTGAGTGTCATTGATAAGTATGAGAATGACACCGTTAATTTCGGCAACGACGAAAGCAATTACCCGCGGCCGGCCCATCCGAAGCTGCTCGAATACTGTAGCCAGGACGATCAGGCGGAGGCGAAAGCACAAAAATATGAGAGTACAGTGAGCCCGGTGGGGCTTTTGCGACAAACACTCATGGCACCGGTTGAAGACTGGATGAGTCGCGTGCGCGATGCGGAGAACGAGACGGAGAAGAAGGGTAAGGAGTTAATCGTGTATAGCTCGAATAGCAGGTTCACTGAGGTGGACGAGGAAGGAGACGTAGTGATGGATTAATTGGTTAATTGGGAGGATCTTCGCTAGTATACTTTCGGCAACGGTACGCAGCTGCAGGTCTACGTTACACCAGCCAAGCACAGACCGCTGTGCTCCGTACGCGTGTGTGCAGGTCGGTATCAGGCATCGATAGCAAGCAAATACATCTCCATAGGTACACGTACTTCCCGACAGCTCAGCCATGCCGTTGAACATCCTGAAGCACAAAAGGTACATCTCATTGTGTTAATGCCATGACCAAGGCCGTTTAACATCCGTCCGCAACCGAGACTTACGTCTGCAACAGTTGGAATGTATACAACACGTCAAACGTTGAGAGAGTTCGGCGAGATGAGGACGCCGCTAGGAGAAAAGAAGAGGAGGAGGAAATGCGCATGCAAGACGCCGTGGGTTCAGTCAGTGACTATACTTACTACATGGTAGGCTGACTCTGTTGATTGTAGGATAGGGAACAACGCCTTAACATCCTCCATGCAAGAGCGGCAGAGTCTCGAAATAGGGATGAAACGCTGTTATATCAAGGGGACATATACCACGGCGCAAGAGCCCCAAATCGCTCTCATCATGATTGCGAGGTGCTTTCAGTCCACTGATTACGAGATGTCGTGATGCTGACACTCCAAACAGAGCCTGAACACCAGTCGTAACTTCCTCAACCCGGAAGAGAGTAATCAACGGCCAAGCTCGAGGACACGCCAGCAACAAAGAGATCATGCGGGAAAAGAGAGGGAACGAATACCTTGGTATACCACATCAAACTCGCTCTCACAACCTAATCAGACAGATGGAGAGGCTCGTCGTCGAGACAGGGACGAAGAGGCAAAGCTCATGGATGATCCATTGTTAGACATCCAACGTCATCTGCGAAAGAAACGGGAGGTGGAGAGTCGGGAGAGGCCAGGGAAGCATGAACCAGACACGCAATCCAGAAGAAGCGACAGGGAACGGAGAAGACGGAACAAATCAACCGAACGGCATAGACGTGATAGCCGAGATCGATCGCGCTTCCGCTCACGTTCCCCGAACGGGAACAGCAAGAGCTCAGTCTCTCAGATTCACATTGACAAGAAGGAGGCTCGTTACAGGTATAGAAAATGAAATGAGGGATTCAAGAAAGGATGCGTGATTAAACCTTCATGGCATCGAGAGGCGACAGTCATAGATCGGGCACAAGAATATTCAACCGATGCGTACCTCAGTAAAGAGGTATTTGGGTGTTTTCCGGGGATTGTAATGCACCGTGTTTATTTGCCAGAGACCAGCTGTATCTATCTTCCCTGCATCTTCTCGAATTGCTTGACCTACACGATTCATTAGCATGGACGAAACCTGTAAACACAGGAAAAGAACGAACAATGTGAAGGTTGACATCCAAAAATCTGTCTGCGCAGTTCGCAAGGCACGACTTCTCAGTTGAGGAAAGGGCGTCACCAGAAACACGGGTCACGCACTTGGGGAAGCAGGTGTCGACGAAGTTGTCTGAACATAGGTATACGTCAGTGCAATCCGCCGTCTCCCATGTCTGGATCACTTACTAATGGAGCTCTGAATACTCGCTCTTGATTGCGCAGTCTCCACAAACGCCAAGATCTCCTTCTGGCTGGCCTCGTCAAGGTTGTTAAGGGCTGCGGTCGACATTGTTCTTGCTTTAGGATTGGAAATATTCGAGATGTCGTTTGCTGCCTCGAGCTTAATTGTACGGCCGGACGTATCACGCAGGAGTCCAGGGAGCGCACATCAAGATACATGAAAACGAATTAAATAAAAATGAAAAGAACCTTAAAACCAATCGCAAGAACCCAGAATTATCTATCGCCGTCTACCAACGCTCAATGTTCTTCAAGACACAACCCTCATCCTCGCGAGCAATCAGTCTACCGATCTCGTAAACGATCTCGCCCTCTGCCCGAAGCACAGACAAAACCTCATCCTTCTTGCTAGCCTCCACAGCAATGACCATACCAATACCCATGTTGACAGTGCGTGCCAAATCCTCGATGGGAACACCACCTGTCTTCTTCAACCAGGTGAACACTGGGGGAAGGTCCCACGCAGAAACGTCGATCTCTGCGGCGAGGTTCTTGGGCAACATGCGCGGAACGTTCTCAACGAATCCACCACCGGTGATATGAGCCATGGCCTTGATGAGGTCCTTCTTGACCGCAGCTAACAGAGGCTTGACGTAAATCTTAGTGGGGGTCAACAATCCTTCACCAATGGTAGTCGAAGGGTTCCATGGAGCAGCATCGGTGAAGCTCAAACCGGAACGCTCGATGATCTTACGAACCAACGAGAATCCATTAGAGTGGATACCACTGGACGCCAGACCGATAAGAACATCGCCGGCACCCAGGTCAGATGAAGGAAGCATCCTACCGCGCTCGACAGCTCCGACAGCAGTACCTGCACCGTCGTAATCGTCCCCAGCGTAAAGGCCCGGCATCTCCGCAGTCTCACCACCGATCAAAGCGCATCCGGCTTGTCTGCAACCCTCAGCAACACCGGAAACGAAAGCAGTAGCGTTCTGGACATCAAGCTTCCCGCATGCATAGTAGTCCAAGAACAACAAAGGCTCAGCACCCTGCACAACCAGGTCGTTGACGTTCATGGCAACCAAATCGATACCGACAGTGTCGTGCTTGCCGATGGACTGAGCGATCTTGAGCTTCGTTCCGATACCATCGGTGGCACTGACGAGAATCGGATCTCGGAAGCCAGCGGCCTTCAGGTCAAAAGCACCTCCGAAACCACCAATCTCACCGTCAGCACCTGGGCGGCGCGTGGACTTGACGAGGGGCTTGATCTGGTTAACGAGCTCGTTACCGGCCTCGATGGACACACCAGCCTGGGCATAGGTAAGGCCAGAAGAAGCAGCGGTCTCCCTGGGCTTGAGCGCACGGTGCGCAATATCTTTACGGTAGAACATGTCCTTGAACTGAATGGTCTTGACTCCCTCGTAAGCCTTGTCGACAGCCTCCTTGAGCTCGTTCGCAGTGGCGGAAACGGCGAGAACACGCCCACCGTTGGTGACGATGCCACCATCCCTAACAGCGGTTCCGGCGTGGAACACTTGCGTGTCGGGTCCAGGAGTAGCGAACTCGATCTTGTCGCCCTTAGGGTAGTTGCCGGGGTATCCGCCAGCGGAAAGGACAACAGTACAAGCGAATCCAGGCTTCACTTTGATCTCAACGGCATCCAAGCGCCTTTCCACACATGCCAAGAAGATCTCGGCAAGGTCAGAGTCGAGCAATGGAAGAACGGTCTCGGTCTCAGGGTCACCGAAACGAACGTTGTATTCGAGGACCTTGGGGCCGGTAGGTGTAAGCATAAGACCAGTAAAGAGCATACCGACGAAAGGGTATCCATCCCGTCTCATTCCATCGATGGTAGGCTGGAGAATGGTTTGCTGGACCTGCTTCAACAACTCGGGGGTTGCCAAGGGCGTGGGAGCATAGCATCCCATACCACCGGTGTTAGGTCCTTCGTCACCGTCGAAAATACGTTTGTGATCTTGCGCAGGAGGCAAAGCAACGATGGTATATCCATCGGAGAAAGCCAAGATACTGGCCTCGTCACCGGTCATGAACTCCTCAATAACAACCTCGTCACCAGCGTCACCGAAAGAACGGTCCTCCATAATGTCCTTGAGAGCGGCGTGTGCTTCCTCCTTGGTCGTGGGAATAATGACACCCTTTCCTGCGGCAAGACCGGACGCCTTGATGACAATGTCGTGGTCGATGCTGTCAAGGTACTCCTTGGCAGCGTTGTAGTCGCTGAAGTTCTTGTAAGCAGCGGTGGGGATGTTGTGACGGGCCATGAAGTCCTTGGAGAAGGTCTTGGAGCCCTCCATACGGGCGGCGGCCATTGAGGGGCCAAAAACAGGGATACCGACTGAAGAAACGTAAGATTAGGCAATGTTCGCACGAGTAACCATGGCAAACTTACCCTTGCGGAAGTGAGTCTCGATGCCCTCAACCAAAGGAACTTCAGGACCAGGTACGACAAGGTTCACGTTCTTCTCAACAGCGAACTTGACCAAGTTGGCAAAGTCAGAGACACCGATCTCGACGTTCTCGACATTGGCGAAGGCACTGCCGGTACCACCGTTTCCTACAAGATCACGTCAGACCACCGAGGCATACGATAAGACAAGCATAGAGCAACGCACCAGGAGCGACGTAGACCCTCTCGACACGGGCAGACTTCTGGAGGGCCCATGCAAGCGCGTGCTCACGACCACCGTTACCGACTAGCAAGACGCGGAGCTTCTCTGTCGCGCACAAGTTAGCAAGAGGACGACTTGTAATGATGACCGATCAAGAAGAAAAAGGACGCACCGTTGAGATCGGCCATATCGTCAGGGATTTGAGTTTTGCGGGGACTTTTACAGCTCGAGGTCCGTTATGCTCAGAATTTCGGAACTCATCGTGGCGCGCGGGGGGGCTAGTGAGACCCAAGTTCGCAGTCGCAGCGCTGGAGTTTTACCGTACATGTAGCTGCTTGCTAGAAGCCGTCAACTTGCCGAATCACAGTCCTGATCCTTTTTCTCGATAGAGCCAGATGCCCGTCGTTTCGTACAAAATCTCAGTACCGTGCTCGTCGGCCAACATCGGTCCCGGCTTTGATGTCGTCGGTCTCGCCCTCTCGATCTTCCTCGAACTCGATGTCGTCGTTGATCCGTCCTATGTTGGTCCGGAAGAATCCACCGCCCTCAATTGTACTCTCTCGTACGAAGGAGAGGGCGCTTCTGAGGTCCCGCTAAAGGCCGACTACAACTTGATTACTCGCACAGCTCTCTACGTGCTCCGAAGTAACGGTCAGCGCGCTTTCCCCCAGGGAACACATGTTCATGTCAAGAACCCCATCCCGCTCGGACGCGGCCTTGGGTCGTCTGGTGCTGCGGTGGTTGCTGGTGTGATGCTTGGTAACGCGGTGGGACGTTTAGGAATGAGCAAGGACAGGATGATGGACTACACTCTCATGATCGAGAGACATCCAGACAACGTGACGGCAGCAATGATGGGTGGATTTGTCGGCTCGTATCTCAACGAGCTTGAAGCCAAGGATGCTGAGAGGAAGGAGATCCCATTGAGCGAGGTGCTCCCAGAACCTGCAGGCGGTGTCGACACCGGTTTGACTCCTCCGGAACCGCCGCACAACATTGGCCACTACATCAAGTACGGCTGGGCCAAAGAGATCAAGGCTATTGCTATTATCCCTCAATTTGAAGTTTCCACTGCAAAGGCGCGTGGTGTATTGCCAAAAGAGTACTCCGCCAAGGACCTCATCTTCAACCTTCAGAGACTCGCCGTCCTCACGACCGCTTTGACCCGGTCCCCGCCTGACCCGGAGCTCATCTACCAGGCGATGCAAGACAAGGTTCACCAGCCTTACAGAAGTGGATTGGTAAGTTATCCAAAGATTGCTACGTTCGCACCGTGTTTCTAACTGTCTTCACAGATCCCTGGGTTGCCAAACATCCTTGCCTCTGTCACCCCTCGCTCACATCCAGGTCTCTTGGGTATCTGCTTATCCGGAGCCGGTCCCACGATCCTCGCCTTGGCGACTCACAACTTTGACGGCATTGCAGAGGAGATCTTGAACAAGTTCAAGGACGAGGGAGTTACGTGTGTGTACAAGGTGTTGGAGCCTGCTTACGAGGGAGCACAGTGCGTCGAAGTCTAGGTTTATGCAGACGCGGTATCATAGATTGATTGACGAACAAAACGTATGAATATTACCTACCCATCTACTTCTTTCGGCCAGGTCTTCCCAGTTGGGGTTCATGTGCGCACAGCGGCTCTTGGGTTTCCCCGCGCTCTTCATTTCGGTGTACGCAAGTCGGCCGTCGCACCCCCGGCCCCACCTTGACAAACTCATACAAATGCCCTGATGCCCCGTACGCAATTGCAACACATTGTCCTCCCTTACCTGTTACAACCATGGTCTACTACCCTCGGTAAGCTGCGCTCATCACCGAAGACCCAGTGATCTCGCAAGCTAACAATATTGATCCTCCAGCGTCGAACCCGCGGTGATCCCGACAAATCTCTCTATTCCTCAATTCATTCTCGATCAGCCCAGTCAAAAATATGAGTCCACCGCTCTTCACACGGCCAAGTCGCTCCTCCCATCTTCTCTCACAACCCACTTTGAACATCCCATTTTTGTCGATGGAGCTACTGGAGAACAGATCGGTATCTCCGGCCTGAGGAAGGAAGTAGACGATATCGCAAAGGGCCTCTTGGAAGTTTATGATTTTGATGTTGAAGCGAGCGAGATGGAGAAGGTGATTGTTGTCTTCTGCCACAACACCATTCATACTCCTCCGATTATGTGGGCGGCGCATCGTTTGAACGGTGTGATCTCTGGGGCAAACCCTGCTTATACAGCACCCGAACGTACGTCCATCCCCTCAACATCCTGCCTATGTTCGCAGTTGCTAACGATATGACTGCACACAGTGACTCATCAGATGCTTGATTCTCGGGCCCGTTTGGTCGTTACGCATTCATCTTACTTGCCGACCGTGCTGCCCGCCGCGGAGAAAGCAAATGTACCTCGCTCCAACATCATCACGATCGATTCCGCTCCGTCCACTGGTATTCTTTCGTTGGACGAATTGATTGCTCGAGGCAGACAGTCCAGCAAGACGTACGCCAATGTCAAATGGGGCGATGGAGAGGCGAAGCGTCGTGTTGCTTTCTTGAATTATTCGAGTGGAACTACTGGTCTTCCGAAGGGGTAAGTTGCCATGTTCCGTGAGGACTGAGTGGAAGGCTGACTCTCTGGCAGTGTCATGGTCTCGCATTACAATGTCATCTCAAACGTCTGCCAGCACGAGAAGTACGAGCAAAGCACCCCCGGATGGGAGCCAAAGAATGATGTGGTCCTTGGCTTGCTGCCTTTCTACCACATTTACGGCCTGATCGCGCTCGTGCACTTGTCACCGCATCAGAGGAGCACCTGTGTCATCATGGCCAAATTCGACTTCAAAACCTTCTTGGATCTCATCACCAAGTATAGAATCGCGAAACTACCGCTTGTGCCTCCGATTGTCATCTTATTAGCCAAGCACGATTTGGTCCTGCAATACGATTTGTCTCACGTTGACAGCATTGGATGTGGAGCTGCGCCGTTGACGGCGGAGACGATTCAAGCTTTACATGAGCGTTGTCCCCAGATTATTATGCGTCAGGGATACGGTATGACGGAGACTGCTACGACTGTTACGGGAACCCGTGTCGACGATGTTATGGACGGTTCCAGTGGTTGCCTCCTTCCCAACCACGAGGCCAAGATTGTGGACCCCACTTCTGGAAAGGAAATCTTAGAGTATGACACACCTGGAGAGCTCTGGGTGAAGGGGCCTAACGTCGTCATGGGATACCTCAACAATCCCAAGGCCGATGCCGAGACGTTCACGCCTGATGGCTTCATCAAAACTGGCGATGAAGCTCTCGTCAAATTTGGGCCAAAGGGCACGGAGCACTTCTTCATTGTTGATCGTATTAAGGAGTTGATCAAGGTCAAGGGTATGCAAGTAGCACCCGCGGAACTCGAGGGTCACCTCCTCAAGCACCATAAGGTCGCGGATGCCGCGGTCATCCCCATCTACGATCCTTACAGTGATCAAGTACCAAAGGCAATCGTCGTGCTCAAGCCGCAGTTTGCGAATGATGACCCGAAAGCGCTGGAGAACGAGCTCAAGGAATGGGTAGCTAAAGAGAAGGCACCGCACAAGAGGTTGAAGGGAGGGGTAGAGTTCCGGGATGTGCTGCCCAAGTCTCCCAGTGGCAAGCTTCTCCGTCGCGTGCTTGTCCAAGAGCAGAAAGAGAAGGAAAGGGTGAAGGCGAAGTTGTAGATTTATCAAATCTGATAAGATCCGATCGTTGTCGTTATTCCCGGCTCTCCGGGTTCCTGCATTTCGTCGTATTCCCGCTCGCCCTCAACTCTCCTCCAAAACTGTAACAGCTGCGAGATGGGCAAGAAAGACAAGAACCCATCCAAGGCCTCTCACTCAACTACCAGGGAATCCTTCCTCAAGGCCTCAGTATCAGCTGCTACCAAACCATTGGCAGATCAGGCCGACAAACATGCCCTTTACCAACGAGCTGTGCAATTACCCGCAAAGGAAGTCATCACCCTGAACAGCATATACACCGCACTACGACCTGGGTTACCTGCTGCACGAGTCCTTCGAGAGGATTTCTGTGGTACGGCGCTACTGTGTAAGGAATGGATCAAACGGAACGTTGAACGGGAAGCAATTGGCGTTGATCTGGATGAGAGTGTTGTCAAGTATGCCAATGAAGTTACACGGTCCGATGCGACTGTGGCGGAGCGCGTCACAGTGTATCATGGAGATGTCATGAAAGTTGAGGGTGTGCCCAAGGCAGACATTATCGTCGTTTTGAACTACGGTACGTAAAGCCCTCCACTTGGTCGGATGTGTTAACTGACAACATCCAGGCGCATTCTACTTCCACACCCGCCCCCTGCTACTCCAGTATTTCAAGAAGTCCTTGACTTCCCTGAACCCAGACGGCGTCCTCATCTGCGACATGTTCGGCGGCACAACACGAACCTCCGCGACTCCATCATCACTGCACAAGCGAATCCTCGATAAAGACACCACATACACCTTTACCAGCACTGCGTTCAGCATGACCAGTGGGACATTGAAATGCGCACTGAACTTTTACTTCTCGGATGGAAGTAAGTTGGAAGGTGCGTTCAAGTATCATTTCAGAGTGTGGAGTATGCTGGAGTTAAAGGAGGCGATGCTGGAAGCGGGGTTTAAGGATGTGGGACTTTGGGTTGGGAGGAAGCTCAAACAGGAAAAAGAGGAGACGGATGGTGAGGAGGACGAGGATGAGGAGGAAGAAGATGATGCCGATGACGGTATCATGGAGTATAGAAAGCACGAGTGGAAGGATCCACTACCTGCATTTGATGATTTCAACGGTGAGCAACCCTAGTCTCCTTACAACCTATGAAATCCTAACAGTGTTACAGCATACGTCGTGGGCATGGCTTAGATCTACACAGGGAGATAGTCGCCATAGAAGGATTGCACGGTTGCATTCGTTGAGACAACATGGGACAAGTACTCCTATAAACGATAATATTCAGAACGCACGGGTATACTATTAAGCCATAGAATAACGCCGATCTACTAGAGATGAACCTAAGCAATCCAATGGTATCCATATCCAAGTCCCTTCATGTTTCAATCCTACCGGCGTATCCTACACCTCCTTCTGTATTCGGTTCAAGACCCTTTTTTGATGTTTCTTATGCCCATCTTCCAAGCAACGCCATCAAAGCAGCACCACAGATAACACAAGTGATGCAGTACAACAACTTCTTGAGCTCCATTCCCCTCGTCACGGGGTCAAACAAGAACTCGTGCGCGAGCAACTCTACCAAGCCAGTGTAAAGTAAGATACCAGCAGCAGTCGAGTCCAAAATTCCGGACACAAGCAACGCGGTTTGAGAGTTCGGGTCGTAAGTTTTACGGACACCCAATCCGACAGCGATGGCGATGGGTGTGGTAATGGCGTATCCCGCGGCCAAGAACCATGGTCGGAGAGACTTGTGAGGCCAAGACACACTGGCGAGACGAGCGCCCAAACCGAGACCCTCGAACGTCTGGTGGAAGACGATGACGACGAACAAGGTGACGAACTCGGCCCCAGTGACGGCCAAAGTGAGACCGATCACTGCGGAGTGGAAGATGACACCGAATTCGAGGATGAGGACACCGAGCAGTTGAGCGTCGAAGGGAGAGACGGTGGTCGCGGTAGAGTCGCTTTCCCTCCATACGGGCTGTGCCTCGTAGTCTTTTTGTGCGGCTTTCTCGGCATCGACGGGGTCGATAGGGCCAGTAGAGGGGTCGAGCGCTGCGGGCAAGATGGCGTCGCCTTGGTGGTGGTGGTGGTGGTCGTGCTCGAGAGCGTGATGGAAGTGTGCGCTCGTGTCACCAAGGGGGATGGGAGTGTGCGAGTGCGAGTGGGAGTGTCCATGGTCCTGTCCGTGCTCGTGAACATGAGGGTGGCTGTGGCCATCCGTGATCGGCTTCTCGCAAGCAATGTCGGCATAACGCAACGCGAACAACTCGACAAAGAAGACGCCGAACATAGAAATCATGGCGAATGCCGCGGCGTAAGGATACTGCTGCCACGCCGAGGGAAGACACTCATCACCGAGCTCCTCGAACGCAGGCGTGAGTAGGTGGATGAATGCTGTTGCGACGATGACACCTGACCCGAAATATTTTGCGAATTCGAAGATGAAGTTCGGGATGCGAAGGCTGGGAAAGCGCTTGGCGACGAGAGGGAAGAAGGTACCTACGATCAAGATGTTAGCCGAAGAACAAAGGTGTGAGAATTGCGTCGGTAGCTTACCAAACGTAGAAGTCGCCAAAATGATGAAGATGGCTCCGATCCTCAGTCCAATGCGGCCGTCGAACTCGTTACCCCCACCACACTGAGGAGTTGCTGCGTCGGCCATTTTTGCCGTATTTGTGATGAGGTGAAGTTGAGTGCCTCGTATAACGGATCGAACGGAGGTGATCGAGGAGGAGGTGCCGGGGGTATATATAAGCGTATAGCGACAGCGTCCGTAAATGCCAAGAGATACCAAGTATGAAAAGACTGATTCAATGAAACACTTCAAGAGGAGGCCTAGGGGGTGGTCAAATTGCGTCGGAAGGTTGCTCGCGATCGGCTGGATAAGTTGGGGGGGAGGGGACCTTGGTGGTTACAGTGCTGCCGGCACATCGCCCAGGCCACCTTGTTGGTTATCGCGTATTAATCCTCGACGAGATGCCCATCAATTGCAACTGAGTTATTGGTATAACGATTCAAGTCTACGTGCGCATGCTTATGGCAGCGGCGGTCGAGGAAAGCGGCAGCACTTCGGGACACTCCGCGGGCAACACTCGATTGCGACTGCTAACCTTCTGGTTGAAGACGTCGCCAGTACTAACTCCATTGTCCTCGGTTTTCTGACCGAGTGAACCATGTCCACGAGTGCAGACGGATAACCAGCAAGGTATAACCCGGAGGATCGGTCCGTCTGCTTCAATGATAAAGCGTGTTCGTCGGTTGAATCTGCCCTTTCATGTTGGGTGGTGGGCGGAGAGGCGTGTGCAGAATTACTTGTAACCTTCAAGGTGCGCGGCCAACATTCTTGAGCACTCTCGCAACTGTAGCGCGAGGATAGTGTTCAAGGGTCTGCTCGTGATAGAAATAAAGTGACAGAGGTTGAGTGTCGTCGGTTTTGTGAACGAGTAGTCATTGAGGTGATCACGTCGTCAAAGTCAGCTGGGGGCCGTGAGATAGCGGATCACTTTCGTGATTGGAACGTTGTATGTAAGGCATCTCACCGTCGATATCATTGCTATGCTAAAAAGAAAAGAAAAAGTTGGTAAAGGCTATGATAGAGCAAGCCAGCAGCCACCCTGGCTTGCCGGTAATCGAAGCCACGCAGCGTGGTGCTCCGTCAAGGAAAAATCCTAAGGATCCCTTTGAATAAGTTGAAGGCCGGAACTAGGCAGTGCCAAGCACGGACGTCATATCAAGTCAATCATCAATTCATATTTTGCTCGGCCTTACGGAGCTCATGTGCTCCAACCCCAACCCCATCTCGCGCCTTCCTCGGCATTCCTCAGACCCCCAGCCTCGCCTTGCAACCCTTCCCTCCACAAACGACAGACCATGTCATCACTCACACTCATCAAAGTGTTGTCAACTCCCGAGAACGCAACACTCGTCACCTCCTTCAGGTGACCTCCCTTCAACGTGACACCCGCGCTCCCATTACCGGCAGTGGGAAAGAGCACCACATTGTTGTCACTCGATCCGCACGCAACGTAGTTTCCGTCACGACTGATTTGCGATTTGACAAAGTAAGACCGCACGGCCAACCCATCGCACCTCCACCCGGCATCGATAGGTCCACGCACCATGAATGAAGTGTCATAGCGATATAGCGCACCATCACGGCTCAGGGCATACAGCATCTGTCCGTTAGGTGCCATATTCATGCTAGTGATACCGTAGGGACGACTTTGTGAAGCTGGAGCTGGTGTGGTGATTATGGGCGTACGGGGGTGTAGACGTCTAACATCCCAGACCTTGAGACACGAGTTGGACTCGGAGGCAGATACCACATTGCCGTTTGGTAAATATGCGAGGCTGGTGATACTCGTGGGAGGAAGCTTCTTTTTCGAAGCACGTTGCTGAGGTGTCGCATGTGCGGTCAAGACGGAGTTCACTGGCTTTTGGAACGCCGTGCCGCCGTTGCTTGCAGCCGTGCAGCGTAGATCCCATAGGTGAATGTTGCCATCACGGGAACAGGTAGACAGTAATGCAGGGTTCGTAGGATTGAACAGAATCTGTTTGACCGTTGCTGTGTGCCCCATCAGACCCGCCACGCATACCTGTCGCTGAACGTCAAAAACGGCACTGGTCTGGTCACCGCTGGCGGTAGCGAGCAAGGCGTCGTCGGCACTCCAGGAAAGGTCGAAGATGGCGTTGTTATGAAGCTGGAGATGAAGCACCGGCTCGCGGAAGTTACGTGAAGGATCTGTATCGAGGAGCCGAACCGAGCCGGTTTCATCAGCGATGGCGACGAGGGAGTTCGTGTTGCAAGAAGAGACGGCGAAAGGAATCGAGTGGTCGTTCTCGTTCTCTTGAGCGTGAATGTGGTGAGTCCAGTCAGGCGTAGAATAGTAGTTGAGGGCAGCAGTTCGCAAAGGAGCTATTCTAACGTTAGTATTTGGCCTACATGCTATGAATAGGGGCTTCATACCACTCAGGTCGAACCTGCCCTCGTTCACACCAAGGCTACGGCCGAACTCAAGGCCGACTCTTGCCTTCCTGCGTCTGCCAACGACGTTGCATGCTGCATCCACAGGAGCGAACACGGGCTTTGCCGGTCGGTCACCGGGCGAGAGACGCTGACGCTTCACGCCGTTAACATGAGCGAGAGGAGAGTGGTCCGGGGTGATAGGAAGACGATTGGTGATATCATCAAGAGGGTGCTTGACAGGACGGACGGGAGATGAGTCCATCATGGTTGGTCTCCTTCTATCAGTCAGACGCGTCCTCTCCATTAAGACGCGTTCTGCGGGAAATTACTATACCTAATCCGGTAAGTGCGTCGTGTCTACGTTACATAATGAACAAATTGAACACTCTCCAGCTTGTGCAAAGGACCTCCGTTGGGACAACAGTGAGTTTGACTCCTTCAGAACGAGAATAGAAGGGATGTCGACGTGCGACAGGGAGGTGCTTGCCATGGAGTATTCGATCAATATCCTGGATCTTCCCACGGAGCTGTTTCTCTGGCTGGAGAGCCTTCTTTCAGCGTAAGATCTCCTTCGCCTATCCGCGACTTGCAAAGCGCTGTACCATGTCATGGACGACACATTCCTTCAAGGAAGTTGTATAAATGAATGCCGGGTATAGATGGATAGAATATAGAAATAGAAATGCAGACAAACGCCAAACCACCTGCATGCGCCATGATTTCACCGAAGCCCCAGCTCCCGAAGCAACCATCTCTGTCGCTCAACTTCCTTAATCCCTCTCAAACGAAGCCTTTCAATGGCAGCATGAAGTTCCTCTTCTTCTGCTGTGGTGTTGCTTGTTTCACTGTCCTGCAGCCAGTCGCCGTCCTCGTGTGACCTCTGACGTGACGCTTTCCCAGGCTGCAACCGAGCATGTTCCCGCTCTCTCCGCAATGCATGGATGGCCTTCTCACGACGTCGCCGAAGTGCAGCCGTATACGGCGAATCAACGCGGAAATTCACCGCGTGTACGGGAACATAGATATTCTGTGTGCTTGACATCACTTCCTGGCTGACAGACCGCCTCGACCGAGGTCGCTGCAAAACAGGGCTGCTCCTTTCCGACCACTCGATACTGGCTTCCGAACCGCGTCCCGAATCGTTCCCTGCTGGCATAACTGAAGGTGATGATGCATCAACCGACGATGGTGAACTCCGATTGTAATAGGACGGTATGCTGAAAGTCGTTGACTCGCTTGTAACCGATGCGGATCGCGCATCACCAAATGCCATCCGGACAGGTGAGCGACGTCGATTAGCACGAGGCGTTCGCTCTGTGTCGTCCGACAGTACTGTGCGACGATGCGCCGGATTTTCGTCTTCCCATACCGAGTCATCCCCAGATATGGATGCGCTATGGTGATACGGCCCTGACGCGGTCGACTTCAGCCAGTCAGAGCGGCTAGTAGGAGGTGACACTTGCAGTAACTTCCGAGACCTCGGTCGCTTCCTCGGTGTAGGAAGAACGCGTACTGGTGAGCCGATTCTTGAGAATGACACTGGCGCACCGCGCTCATGCAATTGGCGTGATACTCGTCGCCGCGCCTGTATAATGGGCGTGTAGTGCGCTGCTACTATCGAACGTGTACGCGCTGCTGGTGAATGTGCCTTTTGAGTTAGGTTTTGCTTAACCGGATGGGTCTTGGGTCGCGTAGGTGTAGTGGATGCCATATCGGAGAACAACATCTGCAGCCGCTTTGAGAGGATAGGTTCGGGACGAGGCTCGGGCTCAGAAGAGTCTGTATCATGCGGCGCCGTTTCCAAAGATGACAACGTAGGCTTCATCCGTTCGAAAACACCTTTGGCTCGAAACGAGAGCAAGTCATGTGGCGACGAGCCCACCGAGCTGCCGGAGGCTGCGGAAGGAGACGCTGACGACATGGGGACAGAGTAATGCGAGTAACTTGGTGATGATTGGGGCTCATTGTCCTCCGTAGCATCCACGAAGTTGTCTGAACCTTGCGAAGCCTCCGTAATCTCGGCCTGATCTTCACCCTGCTTCCCAGCCATAAGTCTCCCAATACCCAGAAAGACCTCGACCATATCCATCAATGCTGGACCGTCTCTTTCAACAACTCCTCTTGGGTCAAGATAGCTCAAGTCCATGCCCAAGACGTCATGTGCAATAGTGCCAATAAGGAGCTTGATGTTCTTGATGCGCATAGCATGATCGATGCTTCTCCGCTGCGGAATGGCAATAGGCAGGCGGGTTTCTAAAAGGCATTCATAGAGGACAATGAACAAGGGCGAAGTAATCGCTTGAAGGAAGGAGACGGTGGGAAGCGAGTACTTCGCCAGCAACTTGTTGAAAGACGGGAGTAGAGCGTCAGTGCGAGCAGAAAGAACCGAGGAATCGGCTTCAGCCGTTGTTGATACCCGAAGAACGTCGACGACCTCTCGCGCCATCGTATTTGCCGGATACCGAGCCCGCTACAAGAATCGTACGTTTGTTTACATGGACGCATGAATCTGTACGTGCATTTACATCCAGTTATTTCAATGCCATATGTTTATGGTACGACTTGCTGTCAACCAACCGGCTCCTTGGTGTAGTGGTATCACATTCGCCTCACACGCGAAAGGCCGCGAGATCGAAACTCGCAGGTGTCATTTTTTCATCAGAATATCCTTTGAATGTCGCCATTTTTTTTCGATTGCAAGTCGAGGACACTATAGCTATCCGCGGTCATCGGAAGTCTCTATATCTTTGGGTTGAGCCTTGCAAAGACCTGCTCTGGACTGCAAGCGAGCCGGGCGCGGGTTCCTGCGACGAATATGCAATGCGCCGTTCACTTTATACAAGAGGTAATAATAGAGCAACAAGCTGCAACAACGAGCATTCATCCCACCTCCACCCTCTATCAACTCCAGCTGTGAGGTACTGTACTGACGGGGAGTAATGCCTACAACCATTGACTTGACGGATGATGTTGCTTCTTCTATGGGCAACGGAGCAGACCGCACACAACAGCTGCAAGCTGAACTTCTTGTAGTCGATGAAGAGCTTGCCGTTGTTCAAGCTCAGATTGACGAGTTATATGCGCAAAAGGCTCGGCTGGATGGTCAGAGATATACAATACAACGCCAGCTTCTAGACGCTGCTGATCAGGCAAAGGCCGAGGAAACCCGAGTATCCGCAAAGCAGAGGAATTATGCTAGTGAGAACTTTCCCTGGAGTCAACGGTTGCGAGAACTTGCGAAGAATACGTTCGGGATCACAAGCTTCAGGAGCAAGCAACTGGAGGTGATGAATGCTACGCTGGATCAGAAGGATGCCTTTTGTATCATGGCAACAGGGTCTGGTGAGTGATTTTGACTTTCGGCGGGGTTGTATGCTGAAACATTGTAAACAGGAAAGTCTCTATGCTACCAGCTACCTGCTCTCATCTCGCCAGGGCTGACCGTAGTTATTTCGCCCCTTGTGTCCCTTATTCAGGACCAAGTACTCGAACTCAAAGCTCGCGGTGTTACGGCTGTAGCAGGATTATCAGCTGGAACCGATAAGGACGAGCTGAAGGATGCGACGGCGAGCATGAGGTTGCATCTCCTACCGAAGTCCAAGAAGCGAAAACACGAAGATCTTAACGAAGATGTTACTGAACCTGTTGATGCCCTCAAGCTGGTCTATGTTACGCCCGAGAGGATATCCAAGTCTAAGCGGTTCATGAGCTTGCTTGATCAGCTTGCGCAGGTTGGTAGGCTGGCACGGATAGTCATCGATGAGGCACATTGTGCATCTCAGTATGGCCACGACTTCCGACCAGATTACAATGTAGGTTCCGAATGGACGCGAAAGCCAGCATCCACTAATCCCCCGGTTTGTAGAAACTTGGCATCTTGAAAACCCAGTTCCCAGACACTCCGGTTCTGGCGCTTACGGCGACTTGCAATCCTCAGCTGTACTCTTCCGTCCTCTCGATCCTGAATCTTCACCCCTCTACAACGCTCTTATACACAGGCTCTCTGAATCGACCAAACCTTGCATACTCAGTAAAGACTCGGGCAGCCTCTTTACCTGGCCTCGCTGTTAACATCGTTGACTGGCTTGAGAAAACAGGAAATCTGAAAAGCACCGGCATCATATACTGCCTGACTCAAAAGGAAACCTTAGAAACAGCCAAGTTGCTTTCTCCGCATGTTGCTTGCGCACCATACCACGCTGGTCTTGAGGACGTGGATCGCACGCGGATTCATCAACGCTGGCGTGAAGGCACGTACAAGGTAGTGGTTGCGACCTTGGCTTTCGGGATGGGTATCAACAAGCAAGACGTCCGATACATCATACATACGAGCCCTGCAAAGTCTATAGAAGCGTACTATCAAGAAAGTGGACGTGCTGGACGCGATGGGAAAAGGGCTGATTGTGTCTTGTACTACCGTCCTAGTGATATCACGAGGTTACTGTCCATGGTGTACGGAGAACAGGAGGGATCAAGAAACGCAAGGGGTATCGTCAAGTATTGTCATCAAGTGCGATGTCGACGAACTATCTTGGCACAATGGTTCGGAGCAAGGAAGGCTATTAACATGGGTGCCGGAGCGTGGGATACGAGCTCGATGTGGGGTCTCCTGCCACACCAGCGGGATATTGTCTTTAATGACGATCTGTCGAGTATGTGTGACTTGATTGACGATAACGAGAAATGCGATGTATGTGCATCAGCTGAGGAAGAGACGCCCAAGAACCGGGACGTGACACGACTTACCGTAGCCGTCACGAAGCTACTGGATCTTCACGCACAGCAGGATGAGAAGGTAACGTTTATCATGCTGACTGAGGCTATCTTCGGTCGAGGACTGAAGGCGGGCATCAAATCTATCATGCAGGAAGCAATCCAGAAGGCAAATGGCGCAGAAGACTCAATAGGATGGGCGTCCTATGCAGAATGGCCGTTGAATGAATCCAAAGTTCCTGGACAGGGATGGACGAAGGACGATGTAAACTATCTGCTCACAGAGTACCTACTGACTGGCCTGGTGAAGGAGGACATGCATTTCACGCCCTACTCGACGGTATGCTACATCGTCAATAGCAACGCTGGTAAGAGAATCCTACAGAAGGCTGAGATGAACATGATCGTCGAGGTGATTGTGATGGAAGCGCCACCACAACGATGATGATTTGCACAAGCAGCCTGTGTCAACAAGGAATCAAAGAATTGGATTGAATAAAAACAAACTCCTCCCCGCAACAAAAATAATATTTGGAGATCAACTCCCTATAGCTATAGCCTGGAAACCGCGGGTTTTCGGATGGCGAAGACCCAAAAGTGGCTCTCAAGGCTTGGTAAAGTAACTTATGCAGCAGCTCCAATAAAACTCTCTCACATCTCCAGGACCGTGGTCACTGACCTGACAACACAAATCCTCCTCAATAATATGCGGCCACCAGGCTCAAGGACGAAATAGCACAGTCCTTAAAACCCTCCCACAAGCCCATGGCTTACCACTCGCTGCGCAAGGTGCTCATACTGGGGTAGGTGGAGATAGTACGTGCACTCTCGCGGGCGGGGAACTGGCCATACAATGCTTTCCTCCACTGGACCTCAGACTCGGTGTATTCCCTGCACTGAACTCCGTCCGAAGTCGTGCTAGGCTCGGCGTAAGTGCGAGAGGTCATATCAATGATCTCAAGACTCAAGTGGGACGGCTCAGGTTCAGGCTCGCCCAAAGGATACTCGAGCCAGTGCCCGGCAGACTTCAAGCCCTGCATGATCGTGGAGGGTTTCCGCTCGTGCTTCTTCTTCTCCTTCATCATAAGATCGAAAGAGTCAACAGACTCTTTGTGAAGGTTAGAGTGGGAACGATAGTGCCCACGATGGCGGAGAAGCATGCGACCGCGGCGTTTTGGGTTACCAAGCTGGCCTCCGATCGCCTGGTACATGATAGCAGGGGGGACAATGTGGGAGGGGATAGCGGAATCCTCGCGCTGAGCTGGCTTGCTCTTGAGGGCGCGGCGAGGGTCGTTAGCAGCCACGTTCCAGGAGTACGTGGAGCGACTGGAGTAGTAGGCCGTCATCCCCGATGTTTCGTCATCGAAGTATTCCTCGGCCCTCATGCCGGGAAGCTCGAACTCGGAAACGCGGTGACCGTTAGCGCAGCTGACAAGGACAGACGTAGCCGTGCTGTCAGCGACAGAACAGAGAGTGGAGTCATCCTCGGAGCTCCTCACTGGGCGGAGGTGGCTGTAGCCGCTAGGGATCCCGTGGGCAGCGCCGAAGGCCATGGCCTCCACGGCGTCTCCACAGCGGAGGGCGACATCCCTGTAGTGGAAAGAGACAGCCCGGTCGTTTGAGTCGCAATACTCGCGAACCTCATAACGGAGCTTGTCAGCTCTGCGCCTGTAGACACCGAAAATGATCTTGAAACACGTAGAGACGCTCTTAGCACCGGCAAGAACGCAAGACATGGTGATGGTTCTGTGGAAGAACGGTCAGCGGCGGTACGGATATGGCTGTAACCCTGGAAACGAACCTTAAGTTATTTTGGAAGATGTTGGAGATGCTTTTGAGATGGTCAAACAGTATAACTGTGCGTATAGCAGAGATTTTTGTGCTTGACGGTGGTGTGGCCCGAGTGGATAGAGGAAGAGGTTCGGAGGAGCAGTGAAGTTTCTTAAGTAGCACAAGGTCCCAAACGAAAGAGCCAAAACAGATCTCAAGAATGACGAAATGGGTCTGCGCTCGCGATCGGGGTCGAGCTTGACGAACTTCGAATCCGCAACGGGCAAGTACGCACAACTGCCGCATTCGTCCTAGCGCGCTTGACGGGTGCGGGCGCTGCAGCAAGCGGATTCAGCGCGAGAAGCGTAGAGACGCCGAAGTGCATGCATTTGCGTTATACTGGTAGCTATTGGAATGTATGGAACAACCTATCACCAATATCACCCAAACCAGGAACGATGTATCCCTTCTCGTTCAGTTCTCCATCAACCGCTCCGATAATGAACTCAATGTCTCCATGCTCCTCACTGACCCTTCTCAAGCCTGGCTCACTGGCCAAAATGCTTACAAACACGATCCTCTTGACTCCCCATTCTCTCAAGATATTGACTGTGGCATCTGCAGTGCCACCGGTAGCGATGATAGGGTCGAGGATGAACGCAGTAGTAGGTGGGGTGTCAGTAGGAGGAAGCTTATTGTAGTATTCCACAGGCGATAGTGTCGACTTCTCGCGATAGATGCCAATGTGGTGGACGGGAATGTTGTGAGGAAGGATGGTAAGGAATGCTGCGCAATTTGTTAGCTTCAACATCTCACTGAGGGTGGGCAACTCACACTCCGTCATTTCCAAACCCGACCGCAGAACAGGCACAACACACATATCCGCAGGCTCGACTCCAATCTTCGCAAACGCCACACCCAGTGGACTGGTACCCGTTCCGCATTCCTTGGTAGTGAAGACCTTTCCACTCGCTTCCACTGCGAGAATCAGACTGATCTCTCGTACCAGGTGTCGGACAAAGACTGACGAGCTGCTCTCAGCGCGAAGCAGGGAGACCTTGGATGCGACAAGGGCGTGGTTGGAGACGGTAACGTTTGAAGGTAAAGACATTGTAACTGCTGCTATTTGGTATGGTTGGTTCTCGGGCGTATATGCTGGTATGAGGTATAAAGGAGGTGAGCCGACTGTGCCGACGTGGTGTATGTTACGAGGGACCCGATGAGCACGGCGGCAGGCGGGGCACCTTATCGATGGCCCACGCGCCTGTGATTTAAAGTTCGGACGTACAGTACATGAAGATTTAAACGTTCAGATTAAACACCAAGATGAAAGAAAAAGGACAGAAATGACACTCGCAAAACCGCATCAAAACAAGATCAAAAGTCACAAAACAGACAAAAATAGACCGACCATTCCCGTTCCCAATTTGCCGGCTCGCCCTGCTGCAATCCAGTATTCCTTTACGTCTCTCTATTCATTCCGCAGCCATCGGTGCAACCTCCTTTTTCTCCTGTAGCTCATGCCCAAACCTTCAAAAGCGAGTCCCAAGAACCAGTGCAAAGACTCATGCCATCATTGCTGACACCCAAACAGCTGACACGGTTGTCGTGTCCCGACAAGGTACCAACACGTTCACCCTTGAGCACATCCCAGACCTGAATTACGAAGTTAGCAACTGTGTGATAACAAGATGAACAACAAGACTTACGTTGCAAGTGAAATCGTCGTAACCAGCAAACATGAGACGACCAGAAGTAGAGAATGCGATCGAAGTAATGCCACAAAGAATGCTATCAGAGGTATATTGGTTTAGCTCACGGTCCGCACGGAGATCGAAAATTCGGCACGATGCGTCGTCGGAACCGGTACCGAAAGCATCACCGTTGGGGAAGAACTGTACAGAGTTGATATCTGACTCGTGACCGGCAAAAGTCTGAACAGCCTTGCCCGTTCGTACATCCCAAACCTTAGCGAAAGCATCACAGGCACCAGAAACGAAGACGTTCTGGTTGGCAGGGTTGATGCTCAAACTCATCACATCACCCAAATGATCCGCAAACTCCTGCACCTTCTGACCGGACTCGACATCCCACATGACACAGGTCATGTCACCTGAGGAAGTAAGGATCTTGCGGTCATTCACGAATCGACAGCAAGAGAGGTATCCAGCGTGTCCACTCAACTCACGTGCCACCCGTTGGGGACCTTCCCGCGACGTCAGGTTGTAGATACTGCAAAGGTTGTCGAGACCACCGCATGCGACAAAGTTACCCGATGGTGCGTAAGCGCAGGTCATGACCCAGGATGACCTAAGAGGGATGGCGTGAACTTTGTTGGTGGTATATGCGTCCCAGATGATGAGTTTACCGTCTTGGGATGCTGACACGAGATGTCTTCGGTCGGTGGCCCAGTGCATCGCGTAGATCTTAGCGAGGTGACCTTTCAGTGTCCGGCGCACCTTCATCGTCGTTCGGGGCAATGAAGGTATGGATGTTGCCATGCTGCGAACTGAGGACAAGCGTTAGTTGTTTGTTGTCCGGTTGTGTGCTTCGAGAGTACTTACGGTCGCGATCTGCCAATTCATCCTTTCTCCGCTTAATCTTCTCCTTCAAACCCTCCGCATCGCGTCGTGCTGCCGCGATTTTCTCTTGAATATCCATTGCTTCGACTATATGGTTTTATGTAAATGAGTCGCTCTTGCTGTGCCGACTGTTCTAATCAAGGCGCGATGATTGAGACAAAGGTGTAGGATTCTGTTTGAATTTCTTACTGAAAGCAGGTTGACAGCTGAGGTCCGATAACCGTGAAATAGTTGCGATTCGTATACTGCGCTCCGATGATTGACGGTTGTATGCGACGAACTCTCGAGATCGACTTTTGCGACACACCCGAAAAAGGGGGTGGGGTGTGATGTGTGAGTGGAGACTGTCCAGGCGAGGGTCCCCGATGAACTGTCAGATAAGATACTGGCCGAGAGGATCGCAGAGAAGATTGGTCGCGTGAGGGAGAGCAGCCGTGTAGGGGGGCGCGGTCGATCGCAGGTTCAGCGTGTACGGTAGCGCTTTGGACTGCCTGTGTGCTAAGTGCCAACTCGGCGGGCGTCCTTTGTGTCGCGTACATGCAACCAGCCTCCGGAGGGAACCGCACATGGAGTCCTGCCAGCTTTCTTGGATTGCCTTTTACATACTACGCGTTCAATCACAATCCTCCGCCGCTGTCTTCGACGTGACCGATTCCTCGTCGGTCCTCACGTCATCGCCCGGATTCGACGTGCCTCTGAACCGAAGCCTTAAAACTCCCCATCTCCCCCACCCGCACAGGCAATCCCATATACTAATCGATCCGTAATACAACCTCTACAATAATGCTCAGAGCATCCATCCGCGCTTCTACCAGGACTGTCCGCAACGCCAGGACCGCCTTCCGCCCTCGCTACAACTCTTCCCAGGCCCACTCCTCTTCTAAGCCGGGATCTGACAGACCATGGGCAATCGCTTCCGCTATCATTACTATTCCCACTGTGAGTGCTGAATGAATTGTAAATCTGAATCGCAATGCTGATGGAATTCTGCCTAGCTTGCCTACCTGATCAAGCCCAGCTCGAAGAAGTCCGCCGCTGACCACCACGCCATTGAGGCCGTCAAGGAGGCTCCTTCTCAGGCTGCCGATGCCGCTCTCTCTGTCATTCCTGATAGCGTGAAGGACACCGTTGGCTTGTCCACCTCCAAGGTCAGCGATGCTGCCGAGGCCGTTGAGGACAAGGCCAAGGACCTTGTCGGTGAGGACAATGTCGAGAAGGCCAAGGAGTACGTGGGCGCTAGCTCTGACAAGGCTTCCAAGACCGCCGAGAAGGTCGAGGACAAGGCTAAGGAGACTGTTGGTGAGGACAATTTTGTGAAGGTCAAGGACAAGGCCGAGGACGTCGTTGACCAGGCCAAGGAGAAGGCATCTGACGTGGCTGACAAGGTCTCCGAGAAGACCGAGGATGCCAAGGACAAGGCTTCCGAGGCTTCCGAGAAGTCTAGCTCCACCGCTGATGATTTGAAGGAGAAGGCCTCCGACGCTGTCGACTCTGCTAAGAACAAGGCCTCCGACGTCGCTGATAAGGTTTCTGACAAGACCTCAGAGGTTAAGGAGAAATCTTCCGATGGCGCCGACCTGGCTAAGAACTCTGTGTTCTCCTCTGAGAAGGCCGCCAAGCACGTTCCCGCTCACATGAAACTCTCCCCATCTGACAAGAACGATACTCCTGACAACAAGGAGTCTTCCTCCTCTTCCTCTGAGGAGAAGGATGCTTCTGGTGAGTCTGTGATCAAGGCTCAGCCTGGCGACAAGGAGAAGTCCGACAAGCAGGCCTCCACAGAGAACCAGCAAATAGAGGGACAGAAGGGTCTTTCCAACACCGAGACTAAGCACCCTCTCCTCGGTGAGATGGCTAGTAAGACTGGAACCGGACAGGCCCCTGCTCAGAAGCAGGAGGGTACCGTTGACCCCAGCGCTACGGAGGCCAACCGTTAAATCCAAACCTCATGATGAAGTGCTATGGAGAGAAGACATTCATGAATCTGTACGAGTGAAAAAGGGAGATAAATTAGCTGCCCATGCATACGGCCGCGATTCTGTGTGCCGAAGGGCATAGTATGGGATGTAGGATAGCAGATAGCCAAAGTACGAAGTACGAATATTACTTATTTAACTGTACACCCGCTCGTTCACTTCCCAGCTGACGGTTGCTCGCGCACTCTTCCTGCAAGGCGATTGTGGCTAGTGTATGGCGCAGCAGAGGGTGCTTGAATTTCGCTACGCCGAAGAGCAGAGGGAAACTCGACCAGCGCCAAATTCAGCAAATCCTCATGGGTAAGTGATGATATCTGTCGTTCGTGTTGTCGTGAGTCTAGTTCAGAGAAACGCTGCTGCTTTTTCCGGCTTGTTTTCGACGGTTTTGATGATGGATCGGTCAATGGCTGCAAGGGTGCTGAGCGGCAGACGGGGATGGGACAGCGCACGACACTATGCACCAGTCAATTGGGAAAGATGAGGAGGTTAGATACATACAAGAACGGCCTCTTCAATCGGTCTCGTTGACCTTCTCCGACATCTTCAACATTCGCAGCAGATCAACACCCTTGCCACAGCGTTTCTCTCTTCAGGCTCACACATCTCGATACGACGGCTTAACACAACAGCAATAGGTGACTAACATCGTTTCTAGCTGTCGGAAAGAACAAGCGTTTGTCCAAGGGAAAGAAGGGTATCAAGAAGAGGGTTGTCGACCCCTTCACCAGGAAGGACTGTATGTTTCCACCTCGTCCGTATCGTACTACGTTTTGGTTACTTACATGATTTCTGTGCAGGGTACGACATCAAGGCCCCTTCCATCTTCGAGGTCAAGAACGTTGGCAAGACCCTTGTCAACCGTTCCTCCGGTCTCAAGAACGCCAACGACTCCCTTAAGGGCCGTGTCCTCGAGGTCAACCTCGCTGACCTCCAGAAGGATGAGGAGCACGCTTTCCGCAAGATCAAGCTTAGGGTTGACGATGTCCAGGGCAAGGCTTGTTTGACCAACTTCCACGGCATGGACTTCACTTCCGACAAGCTCCGCTCCCTTGTCCGCAAGTGGCAGTCTTTGATCGAGTGCTTCCAGGACGTCAAGACCACTGACGGTTACTTGTTGAGGCTCTTCGTCATTGCCTTCACCCGCAAGAGGCCCAACCAGATCAAGAAGACCACTTACGCGCAGTCCGCTCAGATCCGTCAGATCCGCAAGAAGATGTTCGACATCATCACCAAGGAGGCTTCCACCTGCTCCTTGAAGGAGCTCCTCCAGAAGCTCATCCCTGAGGTTATCGGCCGTGAGATCGAGAAGGCTACTCAGGGTATCTACCCTCTTCAGAACGTCTACGTCCGCAAGGTCAAGATCTTGAAGAGCCCCAAGTTCGATGTTCAGAAGTTGATGGAGCTTCACGGTGATGCTGCTGAGGAGGCTGGTGCTAAGGTCGCTCGTGACTTCAAGGAGCCCGAGGTCCAGGAGTCCGTCTAAACGGAGGTGGACAGCGTGTTTGGTCTTGTTCTATATCTTGGTCTGGAGTTCTTTGCTGGATTTGAATGAACCGTGTCTAAAAGTTTTGTTTTCTTGCCATTAACTCCTTGCCATATAATGACGTGACCGTTTTTTCCGACAGCTTGTGTTCATTGCCTTCATTGTTCACTGTCCAGCTCTAGATCTCATCCAGCTACGATAACCCATCTCCATAAGGGTAACCTTCGACGTCGACCCTGAACCCGGTTGGGACTTCACCCATGCCGTCGGGCACGTTAGGGGAGTATGTAGGAGCGGAATGACAGTAAGATCTTCGGGCCAAGCAACCGGAAGCAGGCTGCAAACCCCAGAACCCCCGTCCATCAATCTCTGGCTTATATAATTCTCTACGTAACTGTTCTGTGCCGTTAGCGACGGTACGAGCTTCAGCCACCACTTTACCGGTATCAAGGTTATCAACCCGCATATGCGCACGTAAGGTAGACAGACAGACTCCTGAATCGTCGTACCCCTCGGACTTCAGAACAGGTTACTCATGGCACCATTCGAGGATGATTACGTTCCAACGCTCAAGATCCTGCTCATTGGTCAATGATGCTCCTCCCATGGATGTCGTGCCATCGGCTGATGTCGGTCCGTAGGCAACTCCTCGGTAGGAAAGAGCGCATTGATGTTGAGGTTCACAAATGACATGTGGTAAGAGCGTTGAATTAGGTTTCCCAGCAAAGCTCATTCTTTGCTAGGGCACCCGAAGAGAGTTCGACAACTATCGGTATGTACGTCTGAGCAAGCGTGAGGTATGACGACACGTTGACCGCAACAAGGGGTTGACTTCAAAGTCAAGATGGTTATGGTGGGTGGCAAGCCATATAAGTTGACCGTATGGGACACGGCCGGTCAAGGTATGTGAATTTCGCCCTCACGTGGAGTAATGACTCAATGAATTATGCAGAACGGTTTCGTACGCTCACGAAATCTTGTATGTGAACACCTGCGACATCCAACTGAACTCAGCTAACTCTAATTAGATTACAGAAATGCACAGGCTGTTCTTGTAGGTAAGTCGTGACATCCGACAGTGGTTCTCACGCGAGCTAACCTGGGCATATATTAGTTTATGGTATGACAACTGCCCCCGTCTTCGCCAGACATATTTTGATGCGTTTTAGATATAACCAATAGGGCAACATTCGAGGAGCTACCACGGTGGTTAAAAGAGCTTGAAGCCAATACAGCAAGTGACATTGTGAAGGTCTTGGTCGGCAACAAACTCGATAAGGACTCATCGCGTGCCGTGACCACAGAAGAAGGTATGAAACACTCCTGTGGATCTTTGTACATTGTGCTAACCCTATTCCAGGAGAGGACATGGCTGACCGGTATAATGTCGGGTTTCTTGAAGCATCAGCTAAGTCAAACACACACGTCAAGGAGTGCTTCATGGAGATGGTTGAAACGATCATTGAGACACCTACGTTATGGGGACAGTCTACAACAGGGTTGCTACTTCCAAGAGGCGATGATATTCTTGAATTGGAAGCTGCAAGGGAGGAGAACGGCGGACTCAGTCTATGTCAATGCTAAGACCCAGGCGTGGGAAAACTCTGTGTGATATCTAGCGCTCCGGTTTTTAAGGTTATTTCGTGTGCTCTAATCAGTTTCCTGGTCTTTGATCCAAGTTTCTACGGCTTCCTTGAACTCGTTCGGCTTTTCCGCTTGCACTATACTGGCCGTTAGCTGTGCTCCCTAATTCCGTTGTGCGGTCAACACTTACCCCAATGTCCCGCTTCGATGCTGTTCAGAGTGAACCTCGGGAAGAAGCGCCCAATCAGTGGAATAATGTCATCAGGCACGTAATGACTGGTTGTTCCGCGGACAAACAGCGTCGGCTTAGCGTAGCGGTGCGTCTCAGGCAGATACGGGAACTCTCCCATTCTATCGAGGCTCTTTGCAAGAACGTCCAAGGGAATGCGGAACTTGAGGGTCTTCGTCTCTGGATCACGGAACATGTTGGTGAGCAGAAACTGACGGATGCCAATGTTCTGTTCGTCCTCCTTCAATATCTCGTCGGCCTCGCTCTGTTTCGATACCTTGGCCTGATCAATCCTCTTCATGGCGCGCACGTAACGGGCGAAATCACGGCTCAGGATTGCGTTGACGGGAGCGTTGTCAACCGCAATCAGACGATGAACGAGGTCAGGGTTCTGCAGGGCGAGAGTCATTGCGACTTTGGCACCCCTACATGATTATTAACTCATTGCTCTTGTACAACAAGACACATCACGCACGTACATCGAATGTCCCATCAATATTGGCGAGTCAAGTTTTTGCTCTTGGATGAAAGCCGCCACATCTCCGGCCATGCTCTCATAATCATGGCGATCCGTGTGAGGACTGTCGCCGTGATTCCGCAGATCAAGACAGAAGACTTGTCGGTTCAGGTCTCTTGCAAATGCTTTTGACAGTGATCGCCAGTTTTGTTTGGAGCCGAAAAGGCCGTGCATGATGATAAGAGGAGATGCGCCATCTTGTTGCTTCAGAGAGGTGATCAGTGATTGCACTCCTCCGGGCGCAACGGACGTACTTGATCTGGGTCCTGCTTGTAGTAGGCGAGCTGCACAGTCGAAGACGTAGCCAAACCCCGACGAGCGACTCCTTGCACCAAGATGATTCTCCTTAAAGCCGGCAGCATCTCTGTTTGAAACTGTTGGGCTCGTACTGCTCGTACAGCTCGACCTCGTACGCCAGGCACGAGTTCTCCGGTAGTTGGTTGCAGCACACATGCACCTGCAACACACCCAGTCGACCATTCACGAACCGTGCAATAACCACCAAAGATGACGCTCATGAGCAAAACGAAACCCACCTTCCTCGCACAGAGGACTATGCAGTCCGGCTCTCACGCCGTTGCTCGCACCCGTGCCCTCAAACTCTACAGATCCTGGCAGCGAGAAGTATGATACTGCTACGCCAGTGTCTCGAGATAGCTTTGACTGATGCTTATGGCTACTTAGGCGCCTGAGATCGTCTCTCTATACCAGTTGGACCTGCCTCTCTCCGTTGTGCGATCCAAGATCCGCGCAGAGTTCGAGAAGCATCGTTTCGTTCAGGATCTACCCGTCATCGACATGCTTCTGTTCAAGGGCCACTCAGAATACCAGGAGACTGCAAACTTCTGGGTAAGTTAGTTACTGTATCGTTCTTCAAACGGAGCGCTAATTGGCATGTCTATACAGAAACAAAAGACCCACGTTATGGTACGTTGCATACAACCAGTGCAGAGCTCCCTCGATGTCAGCAGGCGGAACACTACGAGAATTGTTGCTGACGTTGGTACAGAGATACTTCATGGAGGAAGAGTCCCCAGCACGCCGTTTGCCAGATAGTATGTGCACACCTCCGGATGCCCGCAGCTGGATCATATCGCTAATGAATGCTTGTAGCTTTCTTGGGCAGGTTCCTGGAAGGAAAGAACTGAGCAGGGAAAACGATATATATTTAGCCTTAATTCTACCTTTTCGCATTGTATACCGATCTGTAATGCGTTCACGTGTTTGTTCTGCCGAATGTGCCATAGCGTCGTACATCACGGTAACGTTGACAAATCTAATTGTCAATCGCAGCCTCGACTGCTCGACCATTTCAAACATTGACGATGACCAAGGCAGCTGCTCTCGAAGCCAAAAACAAAGGAAATACAGCTTTCAAGAAGGGGGAATATGAAGCAGCTCTTACATTCTACTCCGAGGCGATGATCCTCGATCCGCAGGATCAGGTCTACCCTTCCAACAGAGCTATGACAAACTTGAAGCTAGAGAGGTAAACCCGCACTCTCTCAACACCAGTTTAGTTCCAGAGCTAACACTTCAACTGCGCAGATGGGCAGACGCCGAGGAAGACTGCAACAAAGCACTTGCATTGACCGCACAGAACGTGAAGGCGTTATGGAGAAGAGGTATTGCACGGAAGAATCTCGGTAAGCTTGTTGAAGCCCGGCAAGGTATGTGCACATGAGGAGACAGACGGAGAGCAATTGTTGACGGTCGTGCTTCCAGACTGGGAGCTTGCTCTCAAGATTGAACCGGGAAACAGCACCATTATGGACGAATTGAAGCAATTGGAATGGTTGGAGAAGAAGGCAAAGGTCCGTGTACTTCATTTCAAGAAGGGCTTCGAATCCTGACACTGTTTGACAGAGAGCAACCCGGGGTATTCGACCGTCAAGATTAGCTAATGTAGAAAACAATCCTACACACGAGGCATCAGATGCCTCGTACGCGTCACTCGATGCAAGAGTGACACCGGAAAGAATCCGGATACCTGTTAAGGAAGTTGATGAGCTACCTGCGGAGCTACTGGACGTGCCTCAGGCATCTACACAGCCAGATTTGCCGACAAAACCTGAGCAGGTGAAGACAGCTACAGCGGAGCTTACATCGATAGAGCAACCCGCAGCTGTTCCAGCACAGGAAGAACCAAAGATCGGCACCTCTTCCATTGCTTCTCCGCCGTCACAAACCCCAAAGATCAGCGCCTCATCTAGCGTTGTTCCGCCATCACAGGCAAGTCTCGACTTGGCTATGTACGGTATCTCCCCAGGTTCACTGCCCACGGTATCGGCTCTTCTTCAACTCCTCCGAACACCGGTCGCTAGCAACCCCGGTGCCGCAGAATACCTCTTCTCGATTCCTAGCGAAAAGCTGCCAACCATCTTTGGCCGAGCTGGGCTGGAAACGAGCCACTTGGAGGGGTTCTTGGATGCGGTGCTGGTATGTAAGTCGGTAGGGTACGAGGATTGGAGAAGGAAAGCACTGTCAGTTCTGCAGGTGTTACCCATTGTCGGTCGATTCAGCATCGCGAGCATGTTCGTGGGACGAGACAAAGTCCAGAAGGTATTTGCCGCACTCGCCGAGGAGGCCACGGCAGAAGAGGAGGAGCATTCAAAGAAAGCAGGAGCATCATGGGGTATCTAAGAATCATTGAGGCGGCTGGCGCACGCAAAGGTACCAATATGAGAGGAAGCAATGCAATGATATTATGCTTGCAATATGACCGATATTGAGGGAGTCCACTCCTGGGACTGCTCCATAGGATATAACCCGAAAAAACAAACTCCGCGATATTCAATTCCCACCCGTGACCCGCCGTGTGAAGGAACAGAAATAACTCAATCCCACCTTTGCTTGTGTGAAGCTCTCCACTATGCCCCCTTAACTTGCTGTTCCGCCGACTGCATCTGCTCGAATAGCTCTGGGGCCGGAAATGAAACGTATTTGGTATGGTCCGTTGATACCGAGGGCTCATAAGGGGGTGTAGCGTAGCTGAAGTCTTGTCGACTCTGCCGTCTGCTATCTGCTGGTGTACGGGCACGCTTCTCTCCGCCTTCATCCATATTTGATACAGCAGGACTTGAAGGTGCATTTGCGTCACCTAGACCTTTGTCAATTGGTGATAGTGCCGGCGAGTTTGCGTATGACAATTGGGCGGAGAGAAGGTCGGTGCATGATGTTTCTGGCGTGATGAGCTCTGAATTCGCTTCCAATGCACGGACAATTGCCGGAGGTGTTGTTGAAGGAGGTGTCAAAGCTGATAGTAAGGATGCTCGTAGTGATGGAGGGGGTAGAGAGATGAATGTAGGGTGTTGCAGTTTTCCATTCTCGCCTGTAGACGCTGTCGAAGGCTGTTTCCGCAGAGGAAGAGTGGATTGATAAGAAGGTTCTTTGATAGGCGGCATTGTGGTAATTGTCTGTTCTGTAGAAGGCATCTCGGGCTTCAAATATGGCTCGTCTCTTTGTACTCGCCGTACCGTTCAGGCTCGAGAGCGTCCCTATATTTACGACTCTCCTAATTGAGGCACCGGTGTATCTGAGGGGTGGGGAAATGGAAAGGGCGTGGAAACAAGACGCAAAGGGGCTCAGTCTTCTTTGATATTTAAGAATAAACTTTCTGCTCAAGTTTCTGTACATTTTGACGCGAATATGACACCCGTGTCTTCATTACATTCGTCGCGTAATTTCGTCGCGTTACCTGAAAGGCGGCTTTCGGGAATAACTTGGCCAACCCACCATGGACGGAGAACCGAGTCCCAAACGAAGGAGATTCTTCAAGGAGGATGGTGATGAACAAGAATTATTACCCATGCCGCCATTTGAGCCCGCTCCCACCTCAGCACCAGCAGAGAAGCCGCCCTTGCCCAAGCTAAAACTTACCGGGATGCTGGCGGATTTGTCTGGTATTGTTGGGGAGAATGTGCCATTGTCAACTTTAAAGGTTCTTGCAGACATATCGAACGGAAACTTGGAAAGGGCTGTGAACATGTACGTCTGTCTGTCTTCGTCCGCGATAACCTACTCATGAGCACGCAGGTATTTCGACGGGTCTTGGAGGCAGCACCTTCCTCAGTCTGTGGCACCTGTGCCAAAACGGGCGAGCCCGCCGGTACAGCAGCCCACACAAACGTTTGCGGCCCAGGCTGCCGCGCCGCCACAAGCAACGCAACCGCGGCAGAAATTACCAAAACGTCGGGCACGTTGGCATCGCAAATACATTGGGTCCTTTGGTGTCGAAGGATATGCTGCATCATCAGGCTCCAATCTTATCAAAGGCGGCGAGGCTATCCGTTTGGAACGCCAGAAACTGTCAACTCTGGCAAAAGGGCGTGGTAATTCTCCGTCAAGCTCCGGGAATGGTACCAGAAAGCTGCAGGCAAAGTCCAGGGGAGTTCCACACAGACTATCTGGACAGATGGTACCTTCTAGTATGAATACCGTCGTTCGCTTTGTCAACATGCGAGGCTTCGAGATCGGGCGATTACCCAAGGAGATGGCCAGTGTTGTTGCACCTCTCATCGACGGCGATATCTGCGAATTCGAAGGGACATGCATTTATGCTCCGGAGACGCTTCGTACTGGACAGAACATTTTGCTGCAGCTACATTGCTACGTTCTGTTTGATGCTTTCGCTGCGCATACATTATCGCCTGAGGAACAGATTCAGGATCGACCATTCCATTTCGAGAATGAGTCGGAGGACGAGCGCCGGTTACGCCTACGGAGACATGCACTCTTAAAGATTCTTGACGAAGTCCACCTTGAACCTGTTCAGACCAACGATGTCACACGCCAACATAAGCGCGCTGGGTTGTGGGAAGCTGCTCAAATGGCTGACCACTTTGAAAGTGCTAGAGCTATTAGCTCATCGCAAGCTACTCCTCCTCTCAAAACAGATGATTCAGACGAAGCAGAAGAAGGTCAGGAGTTGGACACCCACCAACTTGACGCACTCTATGCAAAAGCGCAGCAGTACGACTTCAACATGCCCTGCATGGACCCAGCCGATACATTTGCCTTCGATCTGCGGAAGTATCAGAAGCAGGCGTTACATTGGATGGTCAACAAAGAGCGTGCAGATGAGGAAAGTGCGAGAACAACAAATGCCTTGCATCCGCTGTGGGAAGAGTTTATGTGGCCTACACAGGATGCTGATGGTAAGACCATTGTGCACGAAGAGGACGATGACAAGTTCTACTTGAACCCGTACTCCAGTCAGCTGTCTCTAGAGTTTCAGAAGGCTGGCCAAGATTCTTTTGGAGGCATTTTGGCTGATGAGATGGGACTGGGAAAGACTATTGAGGTCCTCAGTCTGGTACATACGAACAAATGTTCTGAGTCTGACATGAACGATACCATGGAGCGTACCGGCGGCAAGAACTTTGCTTCACGGACCACGCTGGTGATTGCTCCGATGTCTCTTCTCTCACAGTGGCATTCTGAAGCACAGAACTCTGCTAAACCCGGTACATTGAAATCATTGGTATACTATGGTGCAGACAAGTTGAATATCGACATTCGTGCCTTATGCTGTGGTCCAAACGCAGCGCATGCTCCCGATGTGATCATCACGTCTTATGGGACCCTGCTCTCTGAGTGGGGCTACACAAATGGAGGGCAAAACGCACCTTCTGGGCTATTCAGCGTTGAGTTCTACCGCGTTGTCTTGGACGAAGCTCACAGCATCAAGAACCGTGCTTCGAAGACCGCAAGGAGTTGTTATGCAATCAAGGCGCAGAGGAGGTGGGCATTGACCGGTACGCCGATCATCAACAAACTGGAGGACCTCTACTCACTGGTTCATTACCTCCGTGTTGAGCCGTGGGGTAACTTCAGCTTCTGGCGAACGTTCATCACCGTGCCTTTCGAGAACAAGGAATGGGTCAGAGCTCTGGACATCGTGCAGAGTGTGCTAGAGCCTATCGTCCTGAGAAGGACGAAGGATATGAAGGATGCCGATGGCCAGCCGATTGTACCGCTCCCAGGAAAGACGATTATCAAGGAGTGCCTCGAGTTATCTCCCGCTGAACGAGAGATCTACGACTATGTCTTCGTTCGTGCGAAGAATGCATTCGCTGGTGCGAAACAAGCTGGCACGATCTTTAAGAATTTCACAGGCATCTTGACCATGCTGCTACGATTGCGTCAAAGTGTCTGTCATCCAAAGCTAGTAAAGCAGAGGATCGGGGCTGCAGACCTCGAAGAGTCCGTAGAAGGAGAAAACGAGTCAAATGCATTCGATGTCAGCGGTGATGATGTTGATCTTCAATCTCTGATTTCACGCTACTCCGAAGAGAACGACCAAAATGCCAACGTCAAGTTTGGTGCAAACGTCATCAAGCAAATTCTTGACGAAGCTGAACAGGAGTGTCCCATCTGCTGTGAATCGATCGAGAATGAGGCAGTTACGCCTTGCTGGCATATGGCTTGCAAGGAGTGTATCACCGGCCATATCCAATATCAGCGCAGCAAGGGCGAGGCACCTCTCTGCCATACGTGCCGGAAACCAATCAGTGAAGGTGAGATCTACGATGTAATTCGACACCCGCCAGTCGTGCCGGGCGAGTTACCTGAGGTCATTCTTCGTCGAGCACAGGGCACGTCGTCTGCCAAGCTTGACGCACTCCTGGGCCACCTCAAGACACTACGAAAGACGGAGCCGATGACGAAGTCCGTTGTCTTCAGTCAGTTCACGTCGTTCTTGGATTTGATCGAAGCGAGACTGAGGAAAGAGAAGTTCACGGTTCTACGTCTGGATGGTACTACCAGTCAGAAGAATCGAGCTGCCGTGCTGGAGAACTTACGGAGTCACGAAGGCGGACTGGTGTTGCTTATTTCACTGAAGGCGGGTGGAGTTGGTCTCAACCTTGTCTCTGCCTCGAGAGTCTTCATGATGGATCCTTGGTGGAGTTTCGCAATCGAGGCACAAGCCATTGATCGCATTCACAGGATGGGCCAAGAACGGGACGTAACGATCGTGCGCTTCATCGTGAAGAACTCGGTCGAGGAGAAAATGCTGAAAATCCAGGAGAGGAAGAATTTCGTGGCGTCGTCTCTCGGCATGTCAAAGGAAGACAAGAAGGCACAAACGATGCAAGATATCATGACATTGTTTGAGGATTAGGTTGGGGTTGCCATAGTAGACTAAATGCCTGGGTATAATATAATCAGTGCAGGACGCCGAACTCCGTCTTTCGTTCTTCTCTTGCTTGCCAATGCCTCCTATTATGCATCCCTCGTAGTCGAAATCGTCATCGTCATCGCCGGTAAGGGCAGGGTCGTGATATCAGGCGTCACGGTACTCGGAAGTCCTAGATTTGTCAAGGCTCCTCGTAATACACCACATGGGAACCAAGCATATGGTTGAGCTCTGCTGACAGTCTCTTGACCGCCAGCTTCCGTGCTCATAGCCCTGAACCACTTGAAACTGTGGTCAGTGAGGACATATGTACCTCGATGATTTGTCTTCAGATTGTCGATTTGTTTCCGAAATAGGATCGTCCAGAGATCCTTGCAGATGAACTTGATGATATCGAGTGTTTCCACGAATCGTGGCTTATCTCGAGAGAACCTGTAAGACGGTTAGCCTAAAGTTGTTGAGGATTCTCGAGTGACCCGGCTTACTTTTCCACGAGTCCCTGGCCTACTCGGTATCCCAGCATTTCAAGTCGCCGATTTACTACCTGCCTCGCCTCCTCATCTTCACCCAGACCATCCAGCTCTGACGCCATTCTTTGAGCTAGCGGGACAATCTCGATGAGGAGGAGGTCCAAGCACGTCGTATTCAATAATGGAGTTGATGGGTCGCCCCTAGGAATGTATGCTGCAGTATTGAGGTCGGCCACTACCATAACCGATCAGCGGCATTCAGCCCGACATTGATCAGTCCACTCACTGCTGTCGGATCCGAATGGAGGAATGTGGTGGTGGTGAGGCCCTTGAGCTGTACGGAGCGACTGAACCCGCGTCGCTGCGGTTTCATGCACGGCCCCAGTTACGCGTGAAGAGCTTAATTCTCTACATCGCACGGTATACCGTAAAGGCCAAGTCTGTTATACGCTCTTTTTATTCGTTCAGCAACTGCAAAACTCCAAGCAACCTTTCATCAAAATCAAAAACTAAGCCTACTTCTGTCAACTCAAATCGTGTACATAAAGTACGGATTGCGATCACCCATGTCCGCCAACTCCTTCTCCGTAAAGCTCAGACGACCTTCCGCAATCTCACGCTGCTGCTTCAACTTGTTCTTGTTTGCCTGCAACAAGCAAAACCAGTACAGGCACGCATTCACCAAAGCGAGCGCCGAGAGGCCCAGGGCGATCAACAATGCCGGCCTGTAGTTTGGGGCATCTTTGGCATAGCTACACGACGTCCAGGTTAATATTTGCGATAAAATCATCCACGTGGTCACTTACAAGATGTTTGAGCTGATACAGCCCGACAACCCTCCGATACCAATCTGCATACCGATCGCAGTAGCCCTCTTGGTCTGTCCGCCGATGTTACTCGGCAAGATAGCCACGACACTAACAATCCCAGCGTAACTCCCAATAGTGGCGAGGAACATCGCAAAGTACCTGACATGAATGTTATTGGACCCGTACGCAACACCCCAACCGATGAGGTTGAGGACAGCGCCAAGGACAATGAAAGGTGAACGCATCCTATACTTGTCGCTGAAGTAGCAGAAGATGAGGACACCGAGACATCCGGCGACGTAAACTGGCACTGTCAACAACTGCGACGTTGTCGTGGGGTAACCCAACCCCCTGATGATAGACGGCAAGAACAACGCGATACTGTCACAAAAGTTAGCCACGCCCACACCATTTTCTCAAAAGACTTACCAGTAAAGCGGGGTCATCGTTCCGTAGTACGTCAACAGCGAAAGCCACACCTTCCAGTCCGTAAGAGCCTGAACAACGAATTTCCATTCGTAATGATCAGACATAGGAGTGCCGGCGCTACCATCATACTTGACTCTGTTCTCCACGATCGTCGCTTCCTCCTCGGTGAGGAACTTGGCTGTACGCGGCGAGTCGATGATCATCCAGTATGCAGCGATAGCCAAGGCGACAGTTGCAAGACCCTGTACTCACAGGTTAGAAGGAAACTAAGGGGTGGGGAGACAGTGACCGACCTCCAGTGCGAAAATCCACCTCCAACCTTCCCAGCCTCCGACACCATCCATCTTGCCGATGCCGTAAGCGAGGAGACCACCGAAACCTCCGGCGATGGTCGCAGCACTGAAGAAGATTCCGATACGTAAACTCTGTTCTTCACGCTTGTACCCTAAACACTTGTCAGTAACCAGCGCAACACGAGTACAGAGCACGTTTGTGTGTCTAGAGGAGGATCGAGGGACATACACTATTCCATAGGTTAGCAATTGAACAACCGCGAGGAAGAAATGAACGGGGTGTACGAACGTTGGTCAAGTAGAATGTAACACCGGGAAACAAACCCGCTTCAGCAAGGCCGAGGAAGAGTCGTGCGGACAGGAGACCCTCGTAGTTGTGCACCAGACCCATCAACGTCATGATCACACCCCACACGAACATAATCTGAAGTCACTGTCAGTATGAGATGGCTGTGGCGAGATAGCAACGTACAAATGGAATCCACTTCCGCGCTCCATACTTCTTGAGACACAAGTTTGACGGCACCTCAAATACTGCATAGGTGAAAAAGAAGACAGTCAAACAGAGGTTGTACTCAAGACTGGTAAGTTTCAAGTCTTCAGTGAGACCGTCAATCTTGGCCTACATACGAATCTCGATGAGCGTGGTTCTCAAGAACATACTGTGAGAATACTCACGTTTCCGATGTTTGTCCTGTCCAAGAAAGAAAACCTAGCTGGAGTCAGCGTATAGTCCAGCAAAGCATGTGGATCAAGACGTACAAGTAAAGCAACGACATCACCGGCAAAATCCTCCAGTCCAGCTTCCTGACAATGGCTCTGGTAACGTGGCTCGGCGGTTCGACCCATTCTCCCACGCCCGCATTCGAAACTGATCCAGGATCCGCCTCCTCGATATGGTGAGCATGGAGTTTCGTCTGAAGATCGTAAGGTTGCTCCATCACGAATGAAAAGATGTATTGTCAGATAGAACCTCACAAGCGTCTACGGCTTAATCTTTATTCGAGAGGCCTCAATCCAGCTTACATGTAACCGGACATCTCGCGAAAGTGCTTCCCCACACAACGACCAGGTTTCACCGTGTTTTTCCGTACGTACCCCAGCATGTCATCGGATGATTGCTTCCTACTACCACCGTCGGGCCGAGAACGCGTCCGGCGTACACGTTCCGAGCTCATAATCTGGAGGCGGCGGCGGGGAGTGCGGGTGAGCGACGCGCAGGGCTCAAATTATGCTTAACCGGATGCATGCTTCCTGTCGATGTCGAAGGAACCAATGAGCTTGAGACTGAGAGCAGTTTAGCACCGACGGAAGTACAACCGGTATCAAATTTTTTTCCTAGGTATCAAAACTTGCTTTTACTGTCTCCTCAATCACGGGCTCAAGCTCTCAGCACACACATCCAGTCCCCCATCCATTACGACATCGTCTGTCCCTCTACATTCCTCCTCATTAAATCCAACACGTCCTTCTATCCATAAACGCCCTACACCTGCTGCTCCTCAAACGCAGACTCCACCGGGGGCTCCAAGAACGACGCGTGACCCAAGATAGTGACGGCGCTTGCACCCAAAAGCCAGAACACGGTCGAAATCGGAGAAGCGAGGAAACCAAGAGGGACGGCAACGACGAGGAGACCTATGACACACATTGTAAGCATACATCCCGGCGCGGCTGGGGTCATGTGACGTACCGGTATATAACTGGGAGGTAGTAGCGTGGACAGGGCCGATGCTCAAAGCCTCACCGTTGAGCTTTCCGATAAGAAACATCCCACCGACGACGAGACCCTGCACGTGAACACAATTAGTAACTTGACGGTGGTTGGGGGTAATCGTCGTAGTAACGTACAATGACGAAGAGGAGCAAAGGGTTGGAGATCAAGCTGTAAAAGCAGAGCATAGCGAAGATGACAGCATAGTTGCTGCTGAACCGGGAGAGGTTGTAGTTGACACGCTATGAAGAGGGTCAGCTTGATGTACGAGATGTTCACCAAGGACGCTTGTCATACCTGGGTAACATCGCCGAAATGCGCTGGCTTGGATACCCTACGGATATCAAAGAACTCTGCACACACGCATCAGACTAACTCTGAAATCCACCACCATCCACTATACCATTGAGAGGTCGCAAATTAGCAAAGCGCTCGCTCTGGACACGTCGCCATTAGCATTCAGCCACGTAACAACCAACAATACAGGCAACGACATACGCGGAAGCGTTCAGGAACGTTGAAATTCATTCCAGAGAGACGTTCTCTGATCATAGGGATAACTTGAGCCATTGCGCTTGAATTGCTGGTCAATTGGGTTTTTGTACGGTTGATCGATTCGGCTCCTTTGGAACGCACATGATGCTGCGTGGCTTGAACTCGCGGCCTGCAGGTTGCCAAGCGGAACAGCTGGTGGGGACGGACGGTGCGAAGTTACGAGGGTGGGCTGGAAAGGTCGAAGAGGGTTACAACGGTTGTTTATGGCAATTGGACACTCTCTCAGCTGATGGACTTGCAATCAACTCTTGAGCCGGACCGCGGCCGGCTGCTATACGTTCACGGTCCCGCAGGAAAGCACATGACTCTGCATACAGCCGGACCCGCTCAGTGAACTCCTCGGACGTCTCAGAGGTTGCCAGGACATCGAATGCACATGAAATATCAACGGCGACGGCAATGAGTTTGCAAGAACCGCAGGCCTGGCGAGAGCAATTGCTTTCGCGGCTCCTGGAACGCGATAGACGGGAGAAGGCTCACACGGAGATGATACAAGCTTGTAAGCTGCCTAGGATGGTACACTCGAGAGCATACACTCATGATTCATAGATACGAAGCTTGCAGCAGGCGTTGTGGAAGCGAACAAACCCCGGCCCAGTAGTGAGTCCGGCGCAGCTGAGAAAAGGTAGGCCACGAACCGGACCGTAATGCAAACAGCAGACTCAATTACAGTGCACAGCACAAAGTTCCCTTCGGCAGACAGCAGCGATAACGTCGATGAATTCAAGGCAACAATCGCGGACCTCTACAAGTTGCAGAGTGAGTTGAAGCAGCAACTGAACACAACGACCAAGGAATTAGAGACGACAAAAGACGCTGTAGCAAACATTGAGAGACAGTCTGTCACCATCGATCTGCCATGCTAAGCCCCTACTAATTCCATCGACAGGTTGTCACACGCGCAAGCGCGCCGAGATGCCCTCGAACGCAAAGATCGCGTCAACGAGGAAACTATGCGGGAGAAGAACAAGGAGATCCAGTACTTGCAAGATGAGATCCTCACCTTCCAATTACAGCTGTCACTGCTGGAAGACAAGGTAAATGGACTTGAGGCGGATAACAGGCAGTTGCTCGAACGATGGATGCAGAAGATGAAGCAAGAAGCAGAGAAGATGAACGAGGCCAACGAGATGTATGAAGCGGTACACACAGCCGGTGCCAAGCCGCAGCCCTAATAGCCCAGCTTCCCCTCTTATTTTCTCGTATAAAATGCCGCCATTCCCTATCTCGTTTTACCTAAGCCACCAGGTCATTTCACGTTATCGCGATGGCATGCACAGACATCTGCCTAAGTCGCGGGTGGGGAACGTCAAGTTGCGCGCGCACGGCATCGCCGGTTTTTTCTTAAGTGGAACACCTCACCGCGTCAAGTCAACCTCGACCAAACCACCACCTTCAACCAGCAACCCTCCACAGGCAACTCTCTCCATTAAAGACGATGCAGATCACTAGAGTACTCCGCGCTTCTACTTACACTCCCTCCATTCGCTTCTTGGGCAGGCGCACCATTCCGAGTACGTCCGATCCCGTCCTATCGAAGCCGGATAGTCCCGATCCGTGTCTTCACAATTGGCATTTGCTGAGCATTTTCTGATTTATTTGTTTACAGAGAACATTGATCACTCTCTCAAGCCTCACCCCGAGGGCCCTCGCGAGTTCCCCGACTCCTTCATCAAGTACCGTTCGTCCGCCCAACAGCACGGACCTCTCGGCAACAACGGTCGGGACGCTTCCACCTCTCCAAATGCTCAGTCACAGGGTAGCCTGTTCATGGACCGCGACGAGTTGCCTGCCCGCTTCCGCAGGATGGTTATGACTGCTGCCGAGATGGAGGCCGTCGAGACCGGTGGTGCTACCATCGTCTGGTAAGCGACAGCTGCCAAGAGCCGGTGATCTAGGAGACGAATGATGCTCTTTGCTGGATCGAATTGTATCATTATCAAAAAGGTGCGATCTGTGGAGGAAGACCGGTCAACCTGCAAAACGGGTCATATGGTTATATGGAGCAGGCCTTCGTATCGATATCTTTAGCCCGATGAGGAAGAGGTCAAGGGTACCTCAGCTTGTTTATTACTTGGAGTCTTCTGTGGACTGTGTGTGTCCTGGAGTTTATGGACGGAGCTTTTTTCTGGAGCGATGTTTCTTACACTCAATACCAATTACATGTATGCTTGACAAATGCTTCGATTTTCGCTCAATGCGCCTGCCTAAAATCGACTGATATCATGTCCTAATAACACATCATCTAACTGCCTACTTCTTCTTCTTGGCAATACGCTTAAGCGCCCTCATCTCCTTCTTTCCTCTGCTGTCCACCATCTTGTACTTGCCCTTAACACCCTTAGGACGTCCTTGACCCTTTGTAGAACCCGTCGCAACAACGACAGTAACCTTCTGCTTTGGTCGCTTACCCTTTCCAAGCTTAGACATGACCTGAGTAATGTTCTTCGACTTCTCCTTCTCTGTCAAGTCTTCGTTCTCGTTGATAAAATCAGCCTTCTTCGCCAACTTCTCGGCCTGCTTGATGACCCTCATTTTCTTACGGGCCTTGGCTTCAGACACCTTCTTGATCGGGCGAGCGTTCAAAGCGCGCATTTTGTCCTTGATAGCAGCAGCGGCCTCCTTGGTGATAGGACGGTGAGGCTTAGAGTGACTCTTCTCGTCATCCAAGAACCACGTAGGCAGACCATCGCGGTCAGCAAAGGCGTACTTATTGAAGTGCTCGTCCACAACGTCCTTGGCGGTCTTCTGCTTGGTAGCGATCTGGTGAGCGAGAGTCATGGCCTCCTCGGTAATGATATCGAGACCCTTTCCACTCTTGCGCTTTGATCCCTCATCATCAGAGTCAACTCCATTCCACTCCGGCGCCTCGGGTTCTCTAGGAACAATCTCGAAGTCAGGCTCGCTCTCGTCACCGCTATCTTCCTCCTCCGCTTGCAGCCCCTCCATATCCTCATCCTCATCGTCCTCTACTTCCTCGCCCATCTCAACGTCCTCATCCTCTTCCTCGTCTTCCAGATCGTCAAGGTCATCGAGACCCTGGAAGATATCCTGGTCAAAGAACTGCTTTGCCCGTCGACTCAGACCATCCGCCTTCAGGTCCTCGCCCTGAAGATCCGTTGACAACTTCTTCACTCTGGGCTCATCATCATCACTCTCCAACTCATCGCTCTCAGCGTCAGAGACGCTCGCACCCAAGCCCTCATCATCCTCACCATCCTCATTCTCAGCATCACTTGCCTCGATACCGCGCCACTCACCACCGTCAACCTCCTGACGAGCTTTCTTCGCACGGAACTTGGCGTTCGCCTCGGCTTTCCGGTTGGTGTAGTCCTCGTACATGGCATCCATCTCCAACTCCAAGCGGTCAACCTCATCAGAACTGTCCAAGTCTGAGTCGTCCCCGAAGTCTTCCTCCTCGTCCTCTTCATCCTCTGGAATCGCATCCATGCTTCCCTTCACAACCTTGTCAACACCACCGTTCTTCTCGACAGTTTTCAGGGAGAAAGTGGTCTCGTCCTGAGCCTGATCGGTACCCAAGTCATGCGGCGTAAGCATGTTCATCTGCATCCTCTGAATGTTCTTGTTCTTGCGCTCATTCTCCTTCCTCTTGTCGCGCTTACGGCGGGCAATCTCGGCAGCGTTGAGGTTGGCGAGGTCCTGCTCGAGCTGTTCCTCCTCATCCATGGGGGTGATCTCCACCTTCTCCTCCTCCTCTGCAGGCTTGGACTTGTTGCTAAGACCGAGCTCATCGCGGACAGCAAGACGCCACTTGAGAATAGATCGGAAATCCTTCTTACCGAGAACCTTCAAATCACGACAGCACTCGATAATTTCAGGTGTAGTCTCCTCCATCTTCTTGATCTGCCTCGTCTGCTCATCATCCGCTTCCAAAGTGAACGTTGATGAAAGACCGAGAAGCTGGATAGGCTCTACGCTGGTGATGAAATCCATAACAGGAATGGCCTTGTACTGAGTGTAGTCACCCTCCTCGTAACCCTCACGGTGACGCTTCCTCTTTTCAGGCTGGAAAACCTTCGCCTCCTGATTCTCCGGCTGCGCTTCCAGATCCTCGAAAACCGCCTTCGGGTCCAAGAACTTAGGGTCAAGCTTATGCGGGGCCTTGTATCCACGACACACGACGAAAATCTCAGCAGAGACGTTACGAGATGATGGCGGCTTAGTAGCCTCGACGGTCTTGAACAGCTGGTTGAAGACCCACATGAGGTTGTTGTAATCTTTAGATCTGAAAACCTTGGTGACGAAGGTACCGCCCTCAACCAAGAACTCGGTTGCGAGCTGCAATGACTTCAAGACGAGCTCGGCTTGGGAGTAGGCATCCTGCAACCATGCGGCACCGACATTGGGCGCACCATCGTGCAACACGGTATCCGCCTTCCAGGTCTTCATGTGCTGTCTCAGTTGATGCCTACACTTCTCGGTCGTAATATCATCAACCCACGTAATAACCTTGGGGATTGGCTTAATCGGCGCCAAATCCACACCCAAGATGAGTGCGGAGGCGGGCATGTACTTTGCGGCGACTTGGAGCCATCCTCCGGGTGCAGCACAAAGATCGATTAGGACTTTTGATTTCTGAAGGAAGTTGTATTTCTTGTTGAGCTGGATGAGCTTGAAGGCGGAACGGGCACGGTAACCTTGCTCCTTGGCGAGCTTATACCATTTGTCGAGACGACCTGTGGCAATTGTCAGTTGCCATCACAGCAGCACTGGATGATAGAAGAGGCTCACCCTTTCCCTGCTTCTTGTCGTATTTACCCATGGTGTACGGGTCTCTTGGGTATACAGTCGCTCACTCTCTTCTCTTCGCAGCTGCACCAACTCGACTTTTCTTATCGATGGGAAATTTAGGTGCTGAGATCCACGCGCCACCTGCGCCGCAGAGCCCTGCCCCCGAGAGAAGAGCCCTGCGACCGTGAATACGAGGAAGGTTATCGGAGGATATGGCTGGGTCGACAAAGAGTACGCCTGTCAAGTTGGCGCCGAATAAGGTCACTGGGTCTGGGAAGAAGCCTACGAGCGAGATTTTGCGGCTGCTGAAGGAGACGGATGAGCTTACGAAACGGTGTTCGGCCTTGCGCGTGGATTCGAAGATCTTGGTCAGGAATCTCACGGATTATGCGACCCAGTTGAAGAATGTCTCTCGACTGCCGCCTTCAATCAGTCCAGCTCAACCGGCACCCGGCTCGAAGAAAGCGACGGATCACCTCACAGGCGGAGGAACATTGGCACGGCGAATGGAAGGATTCCTGACCGTCAAGATCCAAGAGTGCTTCGATGATCTCTACACGCACATGTGCGAACTGGAAGAAAAGTACTTTGATTTGGAGGAGGTGAAGGATGACTTTGTAGCACTCCTGCAAGCGTATGTCGATCACGATCCCTCGCTCGCGCCGATCGAGTCCGGTATATCGCTCACGCCGGCGTATGATCTGGTTGAGACGGTATACAGCCAACTGAGGTTTGAAGCAAGAAGTCGATGGAATATATGGAATAGACATGTAGGAAACGGGGTTGAGGTGACGTGGAAGACGCACATCAACTGGAAGGAATTCGCGGATGAATGGCGGGATCTGGATACGGGAGGAAAGGAGAGCGAGAGCGATATAGAGGACTTGATCCAAGTAGGAGAGCAATGGGAGGAGCGGCGATAGTTCGTCTGCACTTCGTTTCGCCCTTCACCGCAAAATACGGCGCTTGCACCCGTTGCGTGCTAGCGTCGGTCTGCTGCAAATACAACGACCTAACGCGCAGAAGCCACCCGGGACAGCGCTGGGTCGCTGCGTCGTCGTTCGTACCATCCCAACACCCCCCTAGCATACACTCCCGGCCAGCTCGACCAGCATACACTCCCGCCGCCAGCTCGACAAGAGAGGCCAGCTCGACCAGCATACACTCCCTCCATTCGCTGTCCAAAGGATGATGCTCCCTCCCATCAACACCGCTCCTCCCGGTCAGGACGCTTCTGCCTTGCCTCCGCTGGGCCAGGGTCCAGGACCGCAGTACCCCGTACAGCTGCCTCCCATTCGCGATCCGTCTCAATCAGCTCCTCTACCACGGATGCACCCATCTTCTCATCCGCGTGACTACTCTCGACCATCAATGGCTCCGTCTGCACCCTCTATGCAGCTCCCGCCCATGTTCCCTCCGCGAGACTACCCTCCTCAAATGGATCAACGGCACCACGGCCCTCTGCCTCCCTATGGCCAGCCCCAGCAGATGGCTCCCATGCAGCAGATGCGGCCAGGACTGCCTCCGATGCACTCGTACCCGAGTCAACCTGATCCGAACGCACGGCCCCCACCACCCCCAGACAGGCCTCAGATGCCGCATACATACGCGGAACCACCTCGGAGACTCGAGCCTGAGCATCCGATGAATCAATCACAGCAGTTGCCGCCCATGTTCCCACCGGGTCCGCCTGGCTTGCACCCCAGTCAGCAGCAGAAAGGATACCACAGACCACCACCTCCGCCCCCGCCGGCACCGCCGGTACACCACCCAAGAGAGCAACCTCCGCTCTCACCAAGAGCTCCTAGAGATAACGAACGTCGATTCAATGAAGCGCCTCGTTCGCCGCCTCGGCAGCGGCCAAAGTCTGAAAGGTCCTCATCCTCACCAGAGTCGTCTCCTCCGCCCTCTAGCTTGGATATGCGTTCCGTGACGCTGTCGACTCTGATCACCGCCGGTCTCATCCAGCCTGGGGCGATCCTGCAACACAGAGGCTACAGCTGTACCCTCACTGGGTACGGAACCCTCATCCCTCTTGAGCCACGCCCAATGTTCCTCCTTCCTGAGTACTCCTCTCCCTCCGCTTGGACAACTGCTATCGCTCGTAAAGGCAACCCCGCCTCAAAAGCCTCCATCAACGGCTGGGAAGCAGTAAAATGCGTCATCAACGGTTCCGAAGTCCTCTTAGGCAACATGCGCCGCAAATACGCCGAAGAAGGCGGCAACATCAAAGGCGAATGGTGCGCCCAAGACGAAGAAAAATACGCCAAAAAGAAGAAGAAGAAGAGAAAGAACTCGATGAGTCACATGATGAGCAGGTTCAAGAGTGCGGCTGAGCCTAGTCCGGCCATGATCGCGGCTATGCAGCAGGCGGCGAGGGAGCAGCAGGATGAGAGGGCACGGCAGCGCGCACAACAGGATTTGGCGGAGTTGTATTCGCAGAGATCGGCGACGAGTGCTGCTGCTGCGCTCACTGCTGCTGCTTCAAGAGTCAACGGAAGCCGTCCTTCACAGAATGGAAATGGAACGCCGCATTTATCGCACAAACGCTCGCATTCCAGCATCGACGACTCCGGCGATCTGGTCAAGGGTGCGGACGTGTTGCTGAGCATCGCGTCCAAGAGCAAGAAAGAATCACCAGAAGTCAAGAGTGAAGCCTCGAACCCGCCGGCCGGGCTCGAAAGTTTGGCCGTCGAAGCACTTCTTGGGATGGGAACCCGTGTTGGTGCGTAAGTTAGGCGTGTGTGGTGTCAAAAGTACTAGTATTTCTACATTCTCTTTCGGCTTTTTGGATATCGGTGTGACGAGAGTGTTCAGTATTATAGCGGTTTGCTTTTTGTTTGCAATTATTCTTAGAGGAGGTTTTGAGGTTGGAGTACGCTGTTTGTTTGCTTTTGGGACTGTGAGATATCGATCAAAAGTTAACGTTAATATCCCTAAATAACACCTTGACCGGTTGTCCGCAGTCTAGGCAATGAAAGTTCCGATCATTCGTCAAAAGAAAGTATCGTGCTCCAGCATCTTACGACTTCTTCAACACCCTCTAACAAGCACATCCACCAGAGGAAGTACCAGTATCAGCGCCCAAGTTGATAGGGTCGTTAAAGTCACCCGCGTAGTCCTCCTGATCCTCCATCGCCAGCGCATTCCGTGCAATCACCTCGAATGCTTGCTCAACATTGATTGCCTCCTTCGCACTCGTCTCAAAATACGGGATATCACCCTTTGACTGACAAAACGCCATCGCGCGCTTCTGCGAAACCTGTATGCGCATACATTAGTATCCTCCTTCGAAGCGTTGGTGTATGTCGCATACCATTCTCTTGCTCTCATCAACATCGATCTTATTCGCCAGACAGATAAACGGGAAGTTATCCGCGTTACTCGGCGCGGCTTGGATCAGGAACTCATCTCGCCATGAATCCAGGGTCTCGAAGGAGCGGGCATTGTTTACGTCGTATACGAGAACACAGCAGTCTGCGCCTCGGTAGAATGCAACACCCAAGGATTGGAAACGTTCTTGGCCGGCGGTGTCCCAGAGCTGTATGCCAGATTTAACACAGGGGGTAAAGGGGGTGGGAAAGGAGGTCGAACCTGAAGAGTCACTAGGCGGTCATCGACCATCACATCCTTCGTCAAGAAGTCTGCGCCGATGGTTGCTTTATATTGATTGTTGAACTTCTTGTTCACGTACTGTGGGAGCATGTCAGTGAGGGTGATCCCCTACTTTAAGGCATCACGACACATACCTGGTTCATCAAACTGGTCTTTCCAACACCGCTGTCACCGAGGATGATAACCTTAAGGAGAGCCTTCTGTCTTGGTGCCATTTCTGTTTGTTCTTCGCTGGAGGATGTATGCTGCCTTGGTGATGCGCGGTGATGATGTCGGTTGGCGCTCTGGCGCACGCCCCTGCTCTATCGCCCACCTTAATTGGAAAACTTACATGATACCATATTGTAGGAGGAAAAAGTTGTGAGATTCTTTCCTATATGCTAGACGTCCTGTCACTTTATTACGCCCTCCTGCTCTTCAACCACTCATCCGCGGCCTCGAAGTTGCCCAACTTGTACCCTCCCACGATACCATCTTTGTGAGCAGCCTTAACACCGGCGACGACGGCATCCCAGAGCTTGAAGGCACGCTGGACGTCTCCAAAAGCATCGACCGTACCAGGGAAAAGCTTTGTGAGCGTCTCCTTGGCTCCTGACACCTCTGCACCTGTAGTCTCATCCAAGAATGCTTGCACCACGACACCCAAACCTGCATTGACCTCCTTGCCCAAAGGCAACCTCGCAGAAACCTCTCCAAACTTCATCGCATCATCCCTCTTCCAGTTTCCGTTCAATGCGAGTGACAGCGCCACCATCTCCATCAAGTTCCGTCCGCATCGCGAGAACGTCTTGACGAAGGAGTTGAATGCCATCAAGCTCTGGCTCACAGGGCCCGACCAAGGGACTTCCCTGTGGCGGAGCTGAAGCAGACTCGCAACCCGAGAAATGAGCCGGATGTGGTTCTTCTCATCATCAGACCCCTTGCTTGGACCGCCTCCTGTCGCAGAGGTGAACGGTTCCCGCTTAAGGACATTCAACTTGAGCAGCTCGAAAGCAAGGTACAAAGCCTCTGACAGATCGTCATCCACGGAGGTGGTTTCGACAGCAATAGCAAGGGCCCTGCCCCACTTGGTCAACTCATGACCGTTAGAGACGAGCTGTCGCAGCTGCATTGTCCTCCACAAAGTATTCGCAACCACTTCATTCGTAGACTGCAAAGGATTCGCAGCATCCTTCAACACTGTCGTTTTCTTCGCGCCACCCCCCTTTGCCAGAGTCTGAACAGCAAACCGCAGATCGACCTTCGTGTTATTCTGCGCCTTCAACTCCGCATCAAGGAAATCATCCTTCACATTCCACGTCGCAGTCTCCTCATACGGGGTAGGTGAAACCTTGTGCTGCATCTGCGTTTCCTGACCAGGTGCATACCAATACACGATGCTGGTCTTCTTGTTCTGGAAGTAGCGGTGCAAAGGGTGGGTGAGGAGACTGAGTGCCTGTGTCCTGATCTCATGCAGATCGCCCAAGAATTTACGGTATTCCTGGGAGTCACCGTTGTCGAGTGGTGCACTCTCAGTGTGGATACCGGAAACGAGGGTGTTGATGACGTTAGTGCCGATGTAGCCCCGTGAGAGATAGTAATAAATCTCCTCTGGCAACCTCGTACCAATGATCTCGTGAATATCGAGGGGGATTTCGGCGCTGTTAAGGTTCTGTAACTTACCCTCTGCACCGAGTACGAAAGGATACTTGATAGCGCACCAAGCACTCTGGTACCTGTCGTTGTATGAGTTTGGCTTGGGTGGGAGTGTGTTCAGGTTCAAGATAGCGTTGTAACCTGTTCTGTAGGCCTTGATCATATCGAGTGCAGCCTTGAAATTGAAATTAGGACCGTAGGGGCTCGCGACCTCGAGCGGTGCAAATGTAGGACAAAACTCGCAGCCGCTGAGAAGACACACGTCCAGAAACTGCTCATCACTGATGCCCATGGCATTGATAATGTCACGCTTGAGGACCCAGCTAAACTTGCTTTCGCCTAGTCTGAGAGAAGTGACAAGACGCTCGACGCCTTGGTACAGCAGAACCTCAGATGCTCCGTAGATGCAGTCAATGTATTGTGAAGAATGGTTCTCGAGGTAAGAAAGCTGCGCCCATGCAGAATACGGCGCAACCTGAAAGTCGACATCTCTCTCAGCCAACACTGACTGTGCGAACTTGGCGATATCATTCATATTTGGTAGGGTTTGACCAAAGTTCTGCAATGCGGCGTCCACCTCACCCTTTTCGTAGCGTTGCCAGGCAGCAGTACGTTGCGATGGTCTCTTGTCATCCCGAGAAAATGGGTCTTCCTTTTTCAACAAGTTGATGCCATTGAAGACGAACACGGGCTTAACGTCCAGTCTCTCGAAGTCATCGAGGTCGCGGTTGATGTGGTTCCTGAGCGCCAGTGGCAGTCCGCCGAGAGCCGATGTCAGTGGCTCCTTTGATTGTTGAGATGTGAGGATCTGTTGGAGGTAATATGTCGCGTCGATACCCAGCGAGCATCCCTTGAGCATGGACAAGTTGCTGGCCTGGATGAGCTTGCGCTCCTGACAAAAAGCATCGAATCCTCGGACTGAACACCCATTAGCCAACAGGAACAGAGATTACCGCATTCACTCCCAACTCACTTGGCATATTTGTGCTTGTATTCCCTTGATTCGTTACCCTATGCTTTCTCGACGCAGTGCGGTCCACCGACGTGAACGCTATCCCCGCGTTGATTAGCCATGCACTGGTGCAAGTGCTCGCTGGAACCTTAGGTACTGTGTGCATACGTAAAACATAGTGCAGCCAAACGCCAACAATGGATGCGGTTCCCGTGATTGATATCAGCAGGTTCGACGAGGAGAGGGCAGAGAAGGTGTTGGATGCTGCGATCAATGTTGGGTTTTTGTGGATCGATGTGGGTTCTTCCCGGTGTCGCTGCGTGGTTACTCGGCTGACTCGGATTGCAGGGACATGGATTGTCAAAGGACAATGTTAGGAGCGCGTTCAACCTGGTTTGTCTGAATGGTTGGATTCGACAGTTGCACGAGGCTGACCAACTTCATGGCAACAGTCGCGTCAGTTCTTCACCCTCGATCGCGAGGAAAAGTCGAAATACCCGATCCAGAACAATCAAGGCTTCGCCGCCTTGAATGTCGAGGAGCTGGATCCTTCCACTCCTTCAGACTACAAAGAGTAAGCCGGGCCTGCTCATGTTGGTGAAGTGACGGCTGACATGTTTGCGCAGGTCATTCAACTTCGGAGCCGACGATCTCATGAACGGCACCCAGAACCAGCCACTGCCCCCAGTCTTCACTGAACAACACGACTTTCTATCCTCATTCGCAACATCGTGTCACAGCATCTGTCTCGATATCCTGAAATTCTTCGGACACGCCCTCAAGGTTCGTCCAAATTTCCCACGCTCGAAGTGATCCGTTCTAACTCAGGGTTATACGGATTGACGTCGAAGCCGGCGGTCCCTATTTCCTGGCAGCATCACACCAACCCGGAGCATCATCTGGTTCGACGCTTCGATTGCTACACTACCCCGCCGTCGAGGAAGAAGTCCAAGGCGATAACCGCGCCGGCGCACACTCCGACTACGGCTCAATAACGCTACTCTTTCAACAACCAGGTAGCAGCGGCCTAGAAATCATGCTACCAGGAAAGGGATGGGTGCCAGTGCCCGCACTACCCGCGAACGACACGAACAGCGCACCGCCAATCTTGGTGAATATCGGTGATCAACTGAGTTACTGGACAGCAGGCCTGTTACGATCCACGATCCACCGAGTCCGGATGCCTAATCGTGGACAGGAGAGATACTCAATGGTGTACTTTTGTCATCCGAATGATGATGCGCTGTTAGAGCCTGTACCGAGTGAGATCGTGAGAGAGAGGAAGGGTAGGGGTGCGAACGCGGCAGAAGGAGAGGTGTTAACAGCGGGCGAGCACTTACGGAGACGGCTGGCGGCAACATATGGATGGAAGGAGAACGAAGATGGCCAGAAGCAATAGGAAACCAAAAAACTTTTGTTGTCCGTCTATGATATCGTACACTCACATGTCCACGTGTCCACAACCAAAACTCCGCATTTTTCCCCGTCCAACCCTGACAGATGCCCCTTCAGAATGTCCCCACCCGATATGCCCACCTTGCACCCACACCCTTTTTTGCCACGAAATGCACTTACATACCCTCAAAGTACTTCATCATCTTCATCGTCTGCTCCATAAACGTCAACGTCAACACAGTATGAGGTCCAACACGCAACAAATGAGCTCCGAATCCCTTGTAGAGCGCAAGGAATCCCTCCGCCTTCACAGTCTTGTAGAAACAATCGAAGGGGTTCTTGTAAAGCTGACCACTCTGGTTGTACATACGAGTCATAACGGTATCGAAAACCTGCATGACGGTACACACACCGAAACCGGAGATAGCAGACGCGGACAAGTGTTTGGCGGGTCCGTCACCGATGAGGTCGTGTTTCTCGATGAATGCCTTGGCGTAGTTATATATCGGGAGCTGAACCGAGGATCCGGCTCCAGTTCTCATAATCGCGGCGTCCATACCACGGAACAAGCCCTTCGCGCCGTCTTTCCTGTAGATCTGGCCGAACGCATCAAACATGTGGCGGTAATAGTGCTGCGTACCGACCGGCAGCACGGGGGAGTATGACTGCATTCTCGTCTTCACCAAGTAGAACGGCGATCCCAAACACCCACCCAACACACCGGAGAAAGCACCAGCCCAGACAGCGGTAGCGACTGATCCGGGATGATCCACATCCCCATACACAATCTTATTCGTCCCTCTCCGGATCGGCTCGTAGAATCCCAACCGACACCCATTCAAGGCAATTTGGTATACATACGCCGTACCCAACCCCCGCTGCAATCCCCTGATTCCCTCATGCTTGAAGATTGTACCGATAGCTTGGAAGACACCGGTGTAGATCTTCTTGACTTGTCCGCCTTTTGCGAGTTCTCCTTGGAGCTGCAATCGGGTTTTGGCGAGTTCGGCGGGGTTGGTGACGGTGACTGCTCCGCACGCAGCGAGACCTCCGGCGATGAAGGAGCCCAGGTGGGACATCTGCTTCGGCGGGGGGGCCATGGCTGCCCTTGCGAACGGGAGCTCCTTGTCGGCGGATAAGGGAGCAGCTGTCTGTGACATTGTTTGTTCGTGTGTGATCACCCTATGGTCGATCCGGTGGACCCGAAGGAGATGGGGACCGCCCTGCGTGCAAGTGCCGCGTCCCAGAGAGCAGCGCGTACCGTATACTCGAGAACTACTACACCACAAAAATGACTTCAACAATCAAGATTGACAGTCGCACCCTCTCCTCGTTCAAGACCTCCAAGCAGTTCAAGGACAATGTCGACGGAAAGCCAATCACGTCCATGGGCTTTGACGATTCGGGAGAGTGGTTGATCACCTCTGCCGACGATAGTTCGATGCACTTGTACAACTGCAAGACTGGAACGTACGTGTCTTGCTCCAGAACGCTCTAGCAGAATTGCTGACAGATACATACAGTCATACCAAGAAAATCCTCAGTCAAAAATATGGTTGCGACCTCGCAATGTTCACACACCACTCTCAGAACGTCGTACACTCATCAACGAAGGGAAACGACCGTATGCTGTTGGACGTCCTCTAGATGTCGATATGACTGACAATCGCATACAGACACCGTGCGCTACATGTCCCTCCACGACAACTCCTACATCCGCTACTTCCGCGGCCACGACGCCCGCGTAACCTCCCTCCAACTCTGTCCCTCGGACGACCACATCATCTCCGCAGGCCTCGACAACACCGTACGTCTATGGGATCTCCGCTCCTCGACAGCACATGGTGTTCTCAATATCCCGACACCGGCAATAGCGACATTCGATAACTCCGGGATGATCTTTGCTGTCGCGTCGCATGTGACGAGTTCGATTCTGTTGTATGATTTGAGGAGTTTCGATAAGGAGCCGTTCTCGACGTTTAGGTTGACGGATGATAAGTGGCTATCGACACGCTCTTTCCCACCACGGATGCCAGAGTGGACAACCCTGGCATTCTCGAACGACGGTTCACAGATCTTGGTTGGGACTTCGGGGGACGCACATTACACCATCGACGCGTTCAGCGGCCAGATGAGGACGAGATTAACGGGGCACCAGCCAACGAACTTTACGAGAAGTACTGGCGACGTATGTTTTACACCGGATGGAAGATACGTCATCGGAGGAAGCGGAGACAAGAATCTGTGTGTATGGGACACCCATGCACCAACACGCGACAAGCTCATCACGCCGGAACATATCCTCGGAGCGGCGGGTGCTAGTGTACCACACGTTGTTGGCTTTAACCCGAGAAGTGCGATGCTCGCAACTGCCTCCACAGAACTCACGTTCTGGCTGCCGGACGTATGATGAAAAAAACAGAGGAATTGAGGAGAGAGAGAGAGAAAGTCCATTTGATACCAGATATAGAGTGACAACCTCATATACCCATGCTCAACCTAAGAAGAAACGCCGTTCCGTACACCGTCCCACATAACAAGCTAATAGCTACTTTCGATTCGTTTTACCCAGCAAGATGATTACACCTCGCACACCTCAACTGCGTATGACTAGGATGCTTCGGATCCCTGAACACCTTAAAATTGGTCGCACCACACCGCTTACACCGCACACCTTGGTCCTCCTCTTCCGGATCGAAAAACTCGTCGTCGCTTTCGTCGTCGGTACTCGTTGCTTGGGTGGAGACCGTGGCGGCTGTGAGGCCGCTGTCCATGCGTTGGGTTTTGGCGCGCATGTTGTAGTAGGTGCTCGTGAGTCCGGCGTCTTGGAGCATGGCGTCTATGACGGATTGTTCGCGTGAGCGAGACTTTTGTTGTGATTGCGGCTGTAGGGTGGGTGTCGGTGCTTGTTTCTGTACCTGTAAAGGCGAAGCAGGCGACATTGCTGCGTCCACAGACTTTCGACTCATGGCAGACCGAGGTGTCACGAACTCTTTGCTCTTAGCCGAAGCCGGCGTTGCTTGCTCGCGTCTTACGCCCTTGATCGTCGGCGAGTCCGTGTGGCCGTAGTCATTGGTGTTCTCCAATGATCCACGTAACGAACCTGGCGTCGAAGGCACCCGCAGGCCCTGTGCAGAATTGCGCCAGCTACCGTGGACGTTCGCCTCAGTTGCGGAGTGTTGCGACAATGTGCTGCGACGACGGAAGAGGCTCGAAATAGTTCGACGGGAGGATGTCTCGCTGATGTTGTCACTGAAGGAGTGGTAGGCACAGTCCTGTCGGAAGACCTTGATTCTACCGGTGTAATCCGCACAGACGATGATGTTTCCGTCCGGATGCGTTGGGTGGTCAGCCTTCGAAGTGGCAGACGAATACGTAGTCGTCTTCCTGTGACCACAGCGAGCCGGGGAGTAATAAGAACTTGCCAATGATGAGCTTCGTGCACGCCCGTTCGCAATATCTGTGCAATCCCGGTAGGTCGGATCTCCACTCATGGTCAGCAGTTGCTTACTCTTGATCGGGGCGAAGGCCGCAACAGTCACAATAGCCGAATGCGCTTCGAAATGTTCGTACCCACGACGATCCTTCTTGTCATGCGGACCAGGGTTGACGTCCCAGATGTATACTTGCCGGTCTTCTGAACCACAGATCACATAACGACCATCGTCCGAGAAGGTAGCGCGAATCTGCGAACATGTGTTTTCGTTGCCCTTGAATTTTGTTTCCAGAGACTTGTCTCGCATATCGTACATTCGGATACGGGAATCATTGCTGGTAATCAGAAGCTTACAGTCTCCGTGAGGATTGTCAGGAGGCATTGATACTGTCTCGATACCAGTAATCTTGCTACCTCGAGAGTTCCTTCCTCGACTACTTCGCACGTGAACCTGCGTGTGATACCGCAGACCTTCCGTTTCGTAGAACAGACAAAGACCGGTGAAGGATCCTGCTATCGCAACGTTACCATCTGGGGTAAATGCTACAGCCGTGATAAGTTCCGGTAGTTCGTTCCAGTAAGCGACCTCCTTGTCCGGAATACTCCACAGACGAAGCTTGCAGTCCAACGCACCACTGAGGAAAAACCGGTCATCCTTCGGATGAAATGCAATAGCGGTGACAAAATCGCTGTGTTCAAAGCAAGCCAGACACACCTTTTGAGTAACGTGCCACAAGCGAACCGTCTTGTCCATACTTGACGACAACAAGAAGTTGTTGCGACTCCAGCTCAAATCCAAGACATCCGCAGTATGCCCTCGGAACTCGTGCAGTGGCTCAGATGAGAACACTGGTGCGTTGAGCTTGTAACCAGCATTCTGTCCCTCTGTGTTTCTCTCTTCCAGCTTTTCGTGTTTCGCACGCTCCTCTGGTGATGATATCACGGCCCACACTCGAACAACCATGTCTTGTCCTCCGGTGGCCATATACTTGCCGTCCTTGCTGAACTTCATCGCCCAGATTGCACCAGTCTTATGCTCAGGCAATCCGGTGCCGTTGGTCTTTCCTGCATCTCCTGGAATGCTTCCACCGCGCTTGTTAATCTGCTCCGCTGTTGCCGAGCTACGACGTTTGTCGTTTGATTTCGTCTCATCGTATACTGGAGGTTGCAACTCCTGTGCCAGGAAGACACGGTTGAACTCCCTCTCCGATTTGCCTGACGAGCGAACGCGGATGTACTTTGGCAACGCCGGTCGTCGTGGTACATGACCGAGGGGCTGAGAGAACAAATCCGCATCAAGACCTTCTCGCCGAGTTATGTCCTCCAATGTTTCCTCATCGTCCCCGCCGTATTTCAGTTTTGCTCCTCCAATCATCTTCGTGAGAAAGGAAACAGACTTCTTAGACTTTTTGCTGTATGACTTGATGGAGTCGGCCGTCGCTGGTTTCTCTCCAGAACCGTTTTCAAGAGATAGCATAGATCCGATCCCATTGATAATCTCGCCAGCTGTCGACTGCTGCCTTACTCGCGAGGGGGCACGATCTCCCGGTGACAACGTCGATGCCGGTTGATATTCCTCCACCGGCGTAATCATAGACCTGACCCTATACGACACAGCCCGTTCTGCAATCCGCTGCGACAAAGGATCCGAACCAGGAGACTGCTCAGATAGCCTCGCCCTCGATGAGGCAGCCGGCGTGTGGAAATAGTCATCCTGCGCATTGCCCGCACCCGGCGACGACGAATATAATGAACCCGCTGCTCCACCATTCCCGGTCCGCCTCGACATGGAACTCGCCCTCGAGCTCGGTGATGCGGCGGCAAACATCGGTATTCTTGTCTGAGACGTCAGGGATCTCGATGAATGACTCCGGCCCGAGGTAATGTATGGGCCCGAGGGGTGTAGAGTATCGCTCTCGGTCCTCGGCGCGTTGTCTCGTGGGATCGACAAAGATTCGGCGAGTGTGTACGTAAGTTGAGGCGACGCTGACTTCAAGTCAATTGTGGGCGATGTGACGATGACAGGTTCTGGGGGTGTCCTGTGCGGATACGAGCCGGGGAGGCCATCGGTGAGAGTATGAGTAGGCGCATCGCGGTCAGGCCGCGCAGCAGTGTATGCCATAAAAGGCTTGATTATTGACAGTGGTCTGTCGAACCTCGAAGAAAAAAGGATCCTTCAAGGTCCCTTGAGCTTGACGTTGCGTCGTTGGGGTTTTAATAACAGAGCTGCGACGGTTGCATTCCAGCTGCTGTGAGACGTCGCGCATCGACGAAATCTGTCGTACGGCGTGTTTCATCCGCCCAGCGCTCGGGCCGACGTACACGAGCCCGAGCCGAAGAGCTTGGTACAATGGACATGTTGAAAAGGACAGGACGGGCAGGATTCAATGGAAAGAAGTGTAGTGTTTATTCTGAAGTCCTATCTAACTAGCTAGGTTGAACGATTGAAGGATGAAACGCGATTGTCCATAAGAACGATCAATAAAAAAAACAAGAAAGACCCATACGCCGTGATATCATTAACTCCGAAGCACACACAGGAAAGCACAAAATTTGAGCAACGAACCAGCATTGCCCGCATAAGAACCGAAAACACCAGGGGCGAGACGTTTAGAAGTCCTCGTCGAAGGCGAAGTCGTGAGCTCCCTTTCCTGTGGCCTCACCAGCGTTGCGCTCCTGTCCAGCCATGACACCGGCCTTCTGGTAGTCAGAGACACGCTTCTCGAAGAAGTTGGTCTTACCGGCCAAGGAGATGTTCTCCATGAAGTCGAAGGGGTTGGTGGCGTTGTAGTACTTGTCGTTACCCAAGGCAACGAGGAGACGGTCAGCGACGAACTCGATGTACTGCTCCATGAGCTTGGCGTTGATACCGAGGAGAGGGACGGGCAGAGACTCGGTCAAGAAGGCCTGCTCGATCTTGACGGCCTCGGTGATGATGTCCTCGACGACCTTCTTGGAAGGACGCTTGCGCAAGTGAGAGAAGAGCAAGCAGGCAAAGTCGGTGTGGAGACCCTCGTCACGAGAGATAAGCTCGTTGGAGAAGGTCAATCCAGGCATGAGACCACGCTTCTTCAACCAGAAGATAGAGGCGAAGGAACCAGAGAAGAAAATACCCTCAACAGCAGCGAAAGCGACGAGACGAGTGGCGAAGGTAGAGTTCTTGTCAGAAATCCACGTCAAGGCCCACTGAGCCTTCTGCCTGATGCAAGGAATAGTCTCAATGGCGTCGAAAAGGTAAGTGCGCTGAGCAGGCTCCTTGATGTAGGTGTCGATCAAAAGGGAGTAAGTCTCGGAGTGGATGTTCTCCATCATGATCTGGAAACCGTAGAAACAACGAGCCTCAGGGACCTGAACTTCGTTGGAGAAACGCTCGAGGAGGTTCTCGTTGACGATACCGTCAGAGGCAGCGAAGAAAGCAAGAACGTGGGAGATAAAGAAACGCTCGTCATCGTTCAATCTGTTCTCCCAGTCGTGCAGATCCTTGGACAAGTCCATCTCCTCAGCAGTCCAGAAAGAGGCCTCGGCCTTCTTGTACATTTGCCAGATCTGTAAATTGACGCGTCAGTACGCGTCTCAAAGTGTAATGAACGCGCGTAAATGCGGACTCACCTCGTGGTACTTGATGGGGAAAAGAACGAAGCGCTTCTCGTTCTCAACCAAGAGAGGCTCAAAGTCATCATCGTTCTCGGCAGCCTTCTCCTTGGTGTCCTTCTCCTCGACCTTAGACCCAGTCTCCTTCAAGACCTTGGCCCAGGCGGCGCGGAGGTCCTTTCCATCATCCTTGCTGAGCTCAAGACCGGAAAGAGTGTTGGCAACCTGCAAAATTGAATGTTAGCAAGACGCGTCTTGGAGATGTCCTGGCGATGGGGGAGCAACTGACCTTCTTGGAGGGAGTGAGATCGACAGTGGCAGTAGTCATTTTAGTGTTCTCGGTGGTTATTATAGAAGGATGTCAAGAGGATGCCGTGATGGATTGGTTCGTTCGTGGTTGTTAACCTTCTCCGGGGGGGTTGGGAGGGGGAGGGTTTTTGTAGTTCCGCGCACTTCACGTGCCCTTAATTAGCCCTACAGTAAACGCGGACGCGCGAAAAGTGATGTCCTCGAGGAGCGCGAGACGCGTCGCGATTTCGTCCCAATGGATGGATCGCAGACAAGGGAATAGCCCGACGCTTCTGGACACCTTGCCAGCCAATTACAGGCCTGGATCAGATCAGATCGTTCGATCTGATAATGCAGATCGGAGACCCAGACGCAATTGAAGACGCGAGGAGTGCTCATACCGTGCCCTTAGTCGAGAATGACTCTCGGAAACGGGTGCCGGGTACGCGTTTCGGCGAGGCGCGATTTCTACTTACAGGCTATAGGTGGGGAAGTTGGGGACCTAGGTAATACTTAGGTCATCATAACAACTGACCATCGGCGTCGTTGCTACGTGGATCGGCGGGGTTACTTCCTGCTGACTGAGACGCGTAGGATGAGATGGGACTGTTCGTACATATTCTTGGCACGTCGACCGTGTAACTATAAGTGTGTGCCCTGGTCGAGCGCCTGGCATGTTAGGTGATCTATTCTCTGCTCAGACAGAGCAAGACATGATCAAAAAAAACATCCGTTAGGTCACTAAAGCCATAGTAATTTCTCTTCATTATATCAGTGCGCTCGATTCAATGTTTCAAGCGACCATTGACTTTTCTGCATACCCTGTGCCAGGTGACCCGAACGGAGCTGTAGCGTGTGATCAGGTCTGCCGAGAAGAACGGCTAGTCAGATTGCCTTTGTGGGGACATCTCAACGCTCTCCAAAGCGGGAAACGTAATCTTTCCCCATTGCAGCATCAGACTCCAGTCGACCGACCACCAGAGACAGCGTGGGAATAACAGCGCAATGGTCCGGGTGCTCTTGCCTTGCCCCAAGTGTCGAGGCAGCCTTTCCCCATGAAGTCCTTGAGACTACGCAGAGGTTTACATATTTTTGATATCTCAAGTAAAAAACCTAGCTATAGTCTGCCACTGATGCGTTATTAAACATCTCCTTCTCCATGATTTGATGACTTGCCGGGTTGACAAATCCCAATGGCGAGCCTGCGCAATTCTGACGTACCAAAACAAGCACGTTCGACCTACGTCTTGGCGAAGGTGAACACTCCTCTGAGTACCTCGGCCATTGCTGTTCTCTTAGAATTGTTCAACCTTAAGTTTCCTCGACTTTCCTCGACCCCGTGTACCGCGAAAATCTCACATCACTGTATGCACACTTGAGCAACCCCTGAATTCGCCTGGCCCCAAAGTTTTTGGCTGCAGATCCAGCAGCAGCGCTGAGAACGACCGACAGGATTCACCGAACAGTCGACCTTAAGAACATCCAAAGAATCGCAATCATGGGTACGCATTCGATTGCGGGTGCTGAGGCGACGCGATTGATGCTAATCTTGCTGTGTAGGACCTAAACAAAAGGGAGTTAAGATGAGTTTGAACGACTTCATTGGCGATGACCGTATGATATATGAGCCCCTATCGTGAGGTGGATGTATGCTAACGTCTTTTTGATCGATAGAGTTCGGCGCCGGCAGTTGGGCTGATGAGATGGATGAGGCTCCTATCGCCCCCGCCTCGCGCTCTTCTGGTGCTGGTGAGGGCGGTGCCGGCGACAAGTGGCAGCCTACTCGCTCTTCGTACGGCGGTGACCGCGAGGGTTCTTTCCGTGATCGCGACGACTTCGAGTCCCGTCCTCTCCGTGAGGAGGTTCCCCTTCCCACCAAGGCCCCCTTTACCGCCTTCGTCGGTAACCTTCCCTGGGACGCGACTGAAGATTCCATTGGCGACTTCTTCTACGTCGAGCTTGAGTGTCTCGTTACCAACGTCCGTCTTGTCAAGGACCGTTTGGACGACAAGCCTAAGGGCTTCGGATACGTTGAGTTTGAGGATCTGGAGTCGTTGAAGAAGGCCTTGGCTGCCAGCGGACAGAGTATGGCCGGAAGGAATGTTCGTATTTCGGTTGCTGAGCCTCCGAAGAACGGCGCTCGCGCACACGGTGATGACAGGACTGAGCGCGAGTGGGTTAGGACTGGACCTTTGGCGCCCATTGAGCGTCCTCAGCGTCAGGAGCGTTACGCTGGCTTGTCTGGTGATGGCAAGGAGCGCGATTTCTCCAACTGGGAGCGCAGAGGTCCTCTTGCTCCTCGTGAGCGCCCAATGGGCGACCGCCCTCCTCGCGGCGACCGCGAGGGAAGCTTCGAGCGTGGCGCTATCAGTCCCCCTGCTGAGCGCAGGCGCCTTGTCCTTACTCCCCGTACCGAGAAGCCTCTCGACCCTCCCAACACCCCTGCTGCCGCTACCCCCGCTGCCTCGAAATCTAACCCCTTCGGTGCCGCTCGCCCTGTCGACTCTGACGCTGCTTTGAAGAAGGTCGAGGAGAAAATTGAGCAGCAGCGTGTTGCTGCTGCTGAGGCTCGTGAGAAGGCTAAGGCTGCTCGTGAGGCCAGGGAGGCGAGGGAGGCGAAGGAGGCTAAGGATGCTGAGGCTGTTGAGGTCACTGCTACCAAGAAGCCCGTAGAGGCTGCTAAGGCTGATGCTAGGGAGTGGAGACGCGCACCCGCCGCAGAGGAGAAGAAGGAGGAGATCAGGGAGAAGTTGGTTGAGAAGGTTGAGCAGATTACGTTGGAGGCTACTGGTGAGGCTGCTCCCCAGGGTGCTAATGAGGAGGGTTGGGCTACCGTTCCCAAGAAGAAGTAAAAGGGGTTTTTGTGTACGATTGGCAATTGCAAGGGACGGGCTGTCTGGTTTGACATGTTGTGCTATGATTAATCTAGCATGTATTAATATTTATCACCCATTTCTTTGTCCTGGGAAGTGGCTGGTGAGGCACGACTCTGTACTCAAATTTGTGAGTGGCTCAAATCACGTGCAGGCAGGGTTTCTGTGCGCGGTTGCCCTCAGGCTTCCCCCGAGAGCGGCGCCCTGTGCCTAGGCGAAATTTGGTGAGCTCCTCCAAGGAAGGCCTTCGTGAATATCGCCAACCGACATCCAACACCAAAGGTACGTGATCATTCGTTGCAGAGGTGTCCTTGCTGTCAGTTCGAATACGTCCGGCACATTGATCTGCTCCGTCTCCGTTTTCCCCGGTCCCCGTTACTCATTCCTTCGTCCAGATGGCCGCCGCTAAGCCCCATGTCCCGATCGTGAAGAAGCGCACTGCGACCTTCAAGCGCTTCCAGTCTGACCGCTTCATGCGTGTTGGTGAGTCGTGGAGGAAGCCCAAGGGTATCGACAACCGTCAGCGTCGTCGTTTCAAGGGTACCGCTGCCATGCCCAAGATTGGTTACGGAAACAACAAGAAGACCAGGCACATGATGCCCTCTGGTCACAAGGCTTTCCTTGTCCGCAACGTTGCCGACGTCGAGCTCCTCTTGATGCACAACAGGACGTAAGTGTGGACTCTATATCGCAATTGTTGTGGTTGGTGGAAATTCAGTACATGGCTTGGCAGACCGGATTTGTGGATGTGACATGGTATATGCGTGCTGGGACGTGCTGTATGTGGATTTCGGATTGAGTGGTGGAAGTTTGAATGGAACCGGATGTCACTTCGCGGACCTATGGAATTTGTCATCTGTCAGGCCGTGCTGAATTTCCGTCAACTTACGACTTTTGCGAGCCTTATGAGTCTGGGGCAGTTCACTAACATTTGTTTCTCTAGCTTCGCTGCTGAGATCGCCTCCAACGTTTCTTCCCGCAAGAGGATCGCCATCATCGAGAAGGCTCGCGCTTTGAACGTTAAGGTCACCAACGGTCAGGCTAAGGTCCGCTCTGAGGAGTAAATATCTTCATTTACTTTCAGATCTTAACTTTGTCTGTTGCGTTTTTGGATTTAAAAGGGGCGTTTATTCACCGGGTTTTCCTATGAGGGCTAGGGGTTAGGAGGAGTGGATAGGGACGCGAGGACGTTTCATTGCATTTGGTTCTTGCGGTCTCTGGAAGTTGTATGACAGCAAGCGGTCACAATGCAAACTATTCACCATCTCTTGTTGGATTGACGCTGTATCCTGGACCCTGGACTCCTCCATATGAGCTTGCAGTATTGACTAAGCTGCTCCGTTAACCCCATACGCCCCATGCGCTTGCTTGTCCATCATGAACCTCCAGAAAACGACCAGCAAAGCCCTTCTACATCTGCTTCCCGTGATCCCATGTCGCTACTTTTACCCAGAAGTCCAGTCCCAGCAGCTGCCGCACGGGCTTTCCAAGTTGCGCGCGCTGTCATCGTGCAAGCCGTCGATATCCGGAGCACCCCAGCCTGCGGCCGCGGTTCGTGAAACAGCACTGGACGTGCCGTCGATCCATACCTTTCGAGGCAAATATCAACGGACCCTTCGACATTTATTGGACAATACCGACGATTGATCAGGCCGATCCAGGGGTATATGATCTTCAACTGAGATCCTCGGTCATACGCCTTGTGCGAGCGTCCTCCCGTGCACTATTACCATGTTTAGCTTCTCCAACCTCGTCGCGATCGCGATCGTGTTCCTTATCCTCCTGCCGTTCTCGACCTTCGCAATCCTACATACAATCACCGGAATCAAGGTTCGTAGCTATGGATACCTGTCACTCCGCCGTCTTAGTTATACGACACCGGTTGGCATACGTCTTTATGTGCGATCGGTAGGCCTTTCGCTACACCGACCTACGATTGCGCGAAACACATGGATCAGCATTGTTGTTACAGGGATCAAGGTCCAACTGCGCCCGGAGCATGTCGCGAAGCACATGAAAGGACGGAAGTCTCCTGATCATGTGGCCGTAAAGGAGTCTGCCGAGGAGCAGTTGCGCATCCTCGGAGAAAAGTTATCCAATGTCACGAAATGGATCAACATCGTGGATGTTCAGATTGACAACACCTCTCTGGAGGTTATTGAAGTAGGGACGTGGCAGATTGGTCGTTTGCATGTCGCAGCGGAAACATCGGCCTGTAATGATGGACGAAAGGGCTTCGGGATTCGAAATTCCGGTACCCGAGGGAGGGCGCAATCACTCCCAGGGGTTTCACCCTGTCAAAGCACAGTGGTGACCGCAATGATTCAGCATGTCCTTGTTACACCGCCTGATGCTGATGCAGAAGCCGTCGAGCTTTTTGACATGTCGCTATTCACAGTCACCATTTCGGCAAGCGCAGATAAGGGTGTCACCAAGGTCAAGCTGGAAGCTCGTCTGACGAAACTGTTTGTTCCAGTAGACTGCTTCCTGCACGTACTGGAGGAATTCAGGGTCCGCTGTCTGGTTGAGCAGGATGTGTCCGTGTCAGAGACGATGCACGAAAACCCGCCGAAGCCACCAAACCCCATTCTCCAAGTTATTGATGAAGTCCACGTTTACATCGGGGCGTTGGAGGTTACCACTGCTCTCGCTCAGCTGCAGCCCACGGGAATACCGTCCCGGTTTACTCTGTCCTTGAAGGACGCTGGGCTGGAGTTTGAGAAGATACCTCAGACAAGCGCTGTGCACCGCATGCATTTCCACCCCGACACTATCTCGCATCAAGCAATTCTCACCGCTGTCTCTATCACGGTGTACGGTGGGCCTGAGGACCAGCAGGATCAGCTTATTTCGGTTCCACTCATGACCGTTGCATGCAAAACGAGCATGGTGAGTAGGTGGTTGGGGTTGGGCAAGTTACTTGATGACCCGAATACCAATCTGGTTACGGTAAATGTGGTCATCACTAACCCATCTGCTGACCTGAGGCTGGACCATGTGCCGATCTTCCTTTCCCTCCTGAGACTATCCAAAGCCAGGAAGACTGGGCAAGTCAATAGCGACGAGAAACCCACGTTGAAGTCACGTATTTCGAGCACTCTACCACGAATGTCCTTGAATTTTACTATTCACGAACCGGCGATGCGTGTTCTCCTACCCTCGATTTTGAGGAACACTGATGGAGAAGACAGCTTCCGTGACCGCGCTCTCGTTTCTCGTCAAAACAACGTGGTATTGGACGTTGAAGGTGCCCACACGGAGACAGGGCAGTATGCTATGTCAACGGCCATTCGGTGGGGCATTCAGCGTGTGTACTACAGGATTGACGGTGCGACGCATGACGTTATCGATTTCGATGGCCTGCTCTTGCGGTTGAGAACAGGGTCAGCGCAAGAACCTCATGTGTCAGTGTATAGCTCCATTGAGAATCTCAAAGTCAAGTTGGATCATCCGGATACGGTAGCTTGTCTGACCGAGATTGCTCATACCATCGACAAGCATGTGGTGCCAACAAAGGTCGTAAGCGTCCTTGATACGCTGAAACTCCCGAACCGACTGAAGGAAAAGCGGTTCTTCCTACGTAACCTTCCTGAGTGGCTGCACGATGTTCGAGTTGAGGGTAAAGATGTGCAGGTCGCTCTCGCCGACGTTGAAAAGGCGATATCGGAGGACGCGAAAGGAACAGGTCTTCAGATTGATTCTTGGGTTGCGGACTATCGTGTCGGCCCTCATACTCACAAGCATCATCACAAGACCCTGGATGCATCCATAATTCCTCCCCTTCAGGATGATTCTGGCCCGTCCCCGGCTGAACCACAGACGCCGCATGCCAAACACTCAGACTTGCATGATGAGGACCATCGCGACAACGAAGACGAACAGAGGATGACTGTCGTTGTACGGGCTTTGCGAGTGCTAACCATCGACTCAAAAAAGAAGTGGGATCATGACGAACCTCTGTTAGCTGTGCCCGCGATTCACGTATCTATGTCGACAGCGAGCGATGAGGAGTCTGACTACGGCAAGATACGCCTGAATGTGAAACAAGCGGATTTGGGATACTCCTTGAACAAGCACTATACTTTGCTTCAGGCGATTAACGTACTGAGAAAGGCCGCTGCAATGAGTCCACCCGCGATTCAACGTCAAAGGGAAGACAAAACAGTGGAGCAAGGGCAACATGTGCAACACAAAGAGCCGCTTTTGATCGACGCTAAGGTTCATTCCCTTCGTTTAAGAGCTTCGTTGCCCTTAGGCAGGCGTGCCATGATCGAAGTTGCCAACCTCGAGTTTGCAAAACCACGGTGGGGAACTCCTACTACGAAGGCGCGATTCGTGCGTGGATATGTCCCCAACCCTATCTTGAATACCGCGTGGGATCGAGTTTTCAGTCTGAGCCAGGTGAAGGTGGAGCAAAAGTATGCCAAAGGCACTTCACAGAACGGAGATGCTCACTCAGCATCCAGCAAATCCTTCATCTTGAGGTCTGACGCCATTCGTCTACGAATCCCTGATCGATTCGTCCTGCACGAGTTGATCGAGAGTATCATCAATACCGCCAAGGCTGGAAAGCAACTACAACATCGATTCATCACGGGTTCAAATGACTACATTCTTCAACCGCATGCAGAGGACGCGAAACATGTTCCTCGGGTGCGTGTGAAATCGCGGGTTACCAGTCTTATCCTTGAAGATGATCCATTTGAATCCAGGCTAGGGCTCATCTGGCGAGTTGGGTTGATTGAGCAGAAAGCTCGCCTGGCTCGGGAGGCCGCTTTCGAAGCGAAGTGCGAAAAGATCCGCGAAGAAGACGAAAAGAGGAGGGCACGCAGCGATGCGCATAAACGCGCGCATTTCGAGGATCAGGATGTTGACAAGGTTTCTCAAAAGACGGACAGTAGTACACTTGCAGACCTTGAATGCGCGGTGGACGCCGCCGCTGAGCACATGCAACAGGATGCTGCATCCACTGACAGTTCTGTGGAAGTTGCAGATCGTCCCCAACTACAACCTCGTGACACTTCAACGTCCCTTCGGTACAATCCAGAAACAGCTCCAGAGATTAGCTCGAGTGCCCGGGTTGATATTGCGACCGCTGAGAGGAACCTGCAGGAGCATAATTCCACCGCGTGGATCAAGAGGTTTAAGTGGGCCAATGTGACCAGGTCGGCGAAGATGGCTGCATTACGCCAAAAGGTGTGGGGCCACGATGATCTTATCACACATCACTCTGGTGCTCGTGAGCGGATCTTGCCTTTGCCGCAGAGACCACCTCTCATGAGCGTTGTTCTCATGGATCTTGACTTCACCATTGACAAGCCAAGCTTTCCGCCAAGCTATCTACCGAGCTTCTTACATGACGTTGGCAAAGGTCTTCCACCGGACACGCAGTTTTCGCTTCTCATTCCATTGAGTGTACGATGGGAGATGAGTGAAGCACGTGTTAATTTGAGAGACTACCCGTTGCCTTTGATTCATATCCAGGCGCCTTCCACGAACCGGACCTCGAAGATGCCGACGTTCTCGCTACAGGCCGACTTCGTTATTGCCGAAGAACTTGCTGATTTTGAATCAACCCGGCATGTTGATGTGACGATCATCCCCTCGGACACGGGACGAAAGGGATCACCGTCGTTCAAAATGACCATTCCTCGGACGTCGAATCCCCCAAAGACGTATTCGACTATCAATATCGGCATTAACAGTGATCTACCTACCCGCTTTGCATGGGGTACATCTCTGCAACCAGCCATATCAGATGCAATGAGGGTATTTGAGTCTTTCACAAAACCCCAAGCAGATGTTTCTGAGAAACTTGGGTTTTGGGATAAGATTCGTCTCGTGTTACATAGTCGCATGCGCCTTAATTGGGGGAAGGCGGGAGATGTGCACTTTACCTTGAAAGGTACCCGTGATCCCTACATCATCACGGGTGACGGTGCCGGATTCCTGTTTTGCTGGCGAGGAGAAACGGCCTGTCAAATCGCGTGCAACCCGGAACCCAGAAATCTTCTCCAAATTGAAAGCGAGGAGTTCATGCTTGCGATCCCTGATTATACAAAGGACGTCTTCGACAACCCTGTTGCAGCTGCATCAGGTGATCGTAAAGTACGTGCCGATCAGGCTCTATCAGAAGCATCACTGAAGCACAACGACATGTTTCAGAAGATTGTCATGAAGCTTACTGGCCGAGTTAAATGGACAGCTGGACTAACATTTGAGAGACATTGTCCACCGGACTGCAAGGATTGTGAAGGACAGAACAAATGTCGTTTGTATACTTTCAACCCACATTACGACGTCGTAATGAAAATCCCCCAGTATTCAATTCTGAAGAACGGGCAGGTAAGGGACGCGTTTGCCGGCTTCCGGAGCAATTTCCTTCATGGACAACTTTCTGTTACTTGTCCGAGCAGAACGGAGGATGCCAACCTCACTGGTGTCGGTGGGAAAAGCGCCGTTAATTCAATTCATCTGACCCCAAGGGTGTTCTCACACTTCTTTTCCTGGATTCATACGTTTTCAAGCGCTTTGAACTTACCCTGCCGTCAAGGCTCGTTGTTTCCAAACCCTGAGAAGTCCGGTAAAAAGTTCGGAGCCTATCTTGCGACTTTGAAGTACAAACTGGAGCTTTCGCCTCTGTTCCTCAGTCATATTTACAAGCACAAAGACAACAGAGATTGGGAGCAGGGTACCCTGACTGCAACTGGCATAAAGGGTCGCATTGAGAGATTCTCTATGGATATGCATCAGCGTCGCGAAGAGCATGTTGATCAGGCTAAGGATCAAAATAAAGAGAAGAAGTCACATATGTCAGTCAATTTGGCCGAAATCAACTTTATCGACACCGATCTCCGAGCAATTCTTGCTACTGCGCAGGAGTACTCTGCCAAGGACTTGCATTTCATGCGTACTGCACAAGAAGAACAAACGGAAGCTGATCATGTTGTCTTGGAGAACCAGGCTTGTCTCGGTCTTCCCACAGAAAATCGCGAATGGGTCGATATGAACGATTTTGTGGAGCTGGATTACGTTCTCGCCCAGAAGAAACCCGAATGTATCATTATGCCTTTGGCATTTACACCGCGATTTACTTACTACCGCGAGACAGATCCGTCTGAGCATTCCCACGGTAAATCGCGCGGCCCTCATGATGCATCCCGCGTTACGAAATCGAGATTTAACGATGAAGCGACTCACGACTGTGCCATGCAGGGTATAGGGAAGAATTATCTCGCCGCCCAGTTGAAGTTGGCGAAGAATCGAGAAAAGGAGATCTCGCAGCTAATCAAGAAGAATGCGGATTATCTTGAGCAGATCGAGGGTCAAATTGCGGCAACGCCGTATAAAGACGTCGCTCCCTTGATCAAGCAGTCTGAAGAACTGGTACAACAGAGTGCGTTGTTGTACGACAAGCGCAATTTCATGTCAGCGCTTACCCAGATTCTCATCGAGCATTTTGAACGAGGCAATTTTGAAGTGGATGACGAAATTAGGAAAGTACTCGAAGAACAGGCGAAGAAAGAGGGTCCAGCCAACCTCAACGATCCCCGGCTTCAACGCTTGGAACTTTCACCTCTGGATGATCCTTTTCATGACTTCAGCAATCGGTTCGTTGTGCATAACGTTCAGCTCAAGTGGTACAACGCAGTCCGCAACGCGCTTCTTAGTTACATACACGAAGTCGGCCAACGACGTGGTTTCATATATTATATGTCCCAAAGAGCTGTTCAGTTTATCTCCAACCTTGTTGAAGAACAGAGGGAACAGAGTGAATCCGTTGTGGGTGCCGAGGAGGGAGAACTGAAGTACGAAAATGAGGAGGAAAGGGCCACAGAGGATCTTATTCGCCAACTTCTAGAGGATGCCGACCAACATTTTGTTGTTAAAGACGAAAAGTCTACTGTCAAACCCCCAAAGCGTCGTGACTCGACTGCTCCTCAGCAAAGCCCGCGTGACGGCCGTTACGAATGGATCGAAGACTTACCAGATGGCGTCGGTGCAAGGAGTCAGTATACAGTGAGCCTTATCGCACCCCAAATTCAGCTCCAAAGTGAAAAGAACGATGACAGTGCCGTTATTGTGACAACTCAAGCGATCCGATTGAACATATTCAACCTCATGGATAAGGACAACTTTGATGATGATGTCAACGGGCTTATTCAGCAAAGGTTTATGTTCAGTATGGATAACGCTCAGTTCTTCGTCGCGCAGCGGAAGGATTTCATGGGAAAAATTGGAGATCTGCTGTCAGCCAATAAATACGGAACTAACGAAAACTCGTCCTGGCCGCCTTGGGTACCCCTGGAGACCATGTTTGATTTCGTTAACAGTCCTACAGCGTTTGCGCGAATTGTTGATCAGACTTCCGCTTCGTGCACGTACTCTAAATACAATCACTTGCGTCTGAAATACAATAGCTCCGTCGAAGACGATGTTGAAAATCGGAGTCGTTACGGCCTTGGCGAAACCGAACGCTCCAATATCTGCAGCGTGAACTTCCCGAAGTTTGTCGTTTCAGCGGATGCCCGGCAATACCGAGCGTTGTATGTCATCATCACGGATCTGCTGATGTATACGGAACCGTTGCAGAAAGAGCGCACTGAGCGCCTTGAGCGAATCCTTATTGCCGCGGACTTTAGTGACATGAGGGGTGCTGTTGGCATGGTGAAAAAGCTGCAAGAACGGATCCGCCAGTTGCTTGAAATTAAGACACAGTTTAAAATCCAAGCTGAGAATTTGGATGAACAGGGCTGCAATGATCAAGTTGCTGTCGAGGCTGAGATACATGACTGTCAAGAGGAATTGTTCTTCCTGATGAAGACAATCATTGCATCGCAGCATATGCTTGAAGATCACGAAAGCATGGCAAATTCCGCAATGCGCTGGTTCTTGTCTGCAAGTGAAGTTATTTGGCATATGAACCAAGACGACGGAACTCCTATGTTGGATGTCGGACTATCTCATGCCACATTCAAACGAGTTGACAACACCGACAACTCAAATTTTAACACGCTGGAGATCGAGATGATGCAAGCAATAAATCTGATGCCAGGAGCTCGGTACACTGAGATGGTGGCACCTTATTTCGGTGAAACAAGCACAGTACTGGATGCACGCCGGAGCAAAATGCTTCGTGTGTATTGGTACATGCTCGAAGCAATCGGTGGCATCAGTGTGATGGATCATTTTGAGCTGAACCTTTTCCCCATCAGTGTGCAATTAGAGCACAGTGTCGGTAAGAATGTGTTCGCGTATTTCCTTCCAGAAGACATGGATGAGGATGAAGCGGGAGACCCTGACGCAGATGATGTAGAGGGTTCGGCTGAGCTGGCAACCCAAGACGAAGAGAACCCACCGGAAACGAATTTACCAAAGCGAAGTCGCACGCTCTCGAGTGGCTCCAGTGGTGCTCCGAGGCCGTCTTCTAGCTCTTCGCGCATATCACAGTTCACTACAGCGAGCGACGGAACGAACGGAATTATCCGTGTGGGCTCTCTCCATCAGAATCTTAGGGCGTCGCGTTCTAGAGAATCTTTGGCGACAACTTCGACAAGCTCTGATCACTCGGAACATTCAGCTGAGAGCAGCGGGAAGAAAAAGTTTTGGCAACGAAACGCGGTGTCAACTAATCGTGTGGAGGCCGAGGACGATTTATCGCAGATGATGAGCCGTGCCTCTCAGAACATGACGCTGGTTTACGTGAAAGTTCCGAGTACGGTGCTGTGCCTCAGCTACAAAGGCCCGAAGAGAACAAATATTGAAGACGTGGAAAACTTTGTTTTCAATATGCCTACGGTGGAGTTTCGCAACAAGACTTGGTCTTTCGTAGAGCTTGCGGTGCACCTCAAACGAGAGGTGCTCAAGGCTGTGTTACAGCACACAGGCTCACTCATTGCCGAAAAGTTCACAAAGCACAAATCTAGCAAGCACCATCCATCGCGATCCCGTACAAGACAGCTCTCGAGCTATCAGTCGTTCACACCGATCAGCGCTTTGAGCACCGATGAGGACGATGCAGAACTCCCAAACACAGATATGGCACAAAAACGCCTTCCACGCAGCGGTTCAACTGCCCTAACGCGTCCATCAACCCTGAGAGAGGAAGTGGAACCGGAAGACGAGGAATCCACTGGCTCATCGTCATCTCCTGTACATTCTGTGCCTTCGTCGGTAAGACCGCCAATGGCGGAGAACGAACGCTTGCAATTGGGTACGAACGGTATCTTAGATGAAGAGAAGGTAAGTGTATCCCCTACACTCTGGCTCATCCGGTTATTGACAAATGCTTTAGTCTCATTCACTACTGCCCCATGCTTTTGGGAACTCTATCGGACGTCATTTGGCCCATTTATCCCATCTGGCACGACATAGAGATGGTATAGCGGAAGAAAATGAAGAGAGTAGGCTCAAAAAAACTAAAATGCTTTTGGGCAAGTTCGTTAGGTGAATTCGAGTAGCAGTTTTCTGCTCACCTGAAGGGATGGCGTGTCGCTGGGAGCCGATATCTAGTAGGAGTTTCAGATGTAGCATTTTCGCATAAGCAAGCAAATAGCAGTTCCTCCCATGTTTCCTTTTCTAATCATCTACCTCCTGTGCTAACCAGTACGTTGCCGCTTCACACACCGCGTGGGGGTTGGCCCTGTAACGTAGACAGTGAAAGTATATTTACAGTGTAAGGTCGTACGGGCCGTGTCACAAGCAGCGGTGCAATGGGCAAGGCGAAGGTTGCGGCTGTGCCTGCAAAAACTTCTGCAGTCCCCAGCAAGTCCTCTAAAGCTGGTTCATCGGCAACTCCGTCCTCATCTGCAGTTTCAACGACTAAGAAAGGCGCAAAGGGCAAACAGAACGAAGAGCAGCCCCCCACGCCTGTGGTCAAACCCGCCCTGGTTGCCCCAGCCTCATGGACGGGGAAATTGCCCGGAGCATTGCTTCACGAGCACTGCCAGAAGCTCGGCTGGAATAAAGTGAATTATGACATGGTTCGTGAGCATACTGCCTATACAGCAGACGACATAAGTAGCTAACCGGATATCTTCGCAGTCCCATAATTCCTCAGGGTTCACTGCAACTGTAGTCTTGTCGAACATCAATCCGAAGACAAGGCTTCCTGAGACTACCCGCTTGCACCCTGATGCTGATCTGGTTTCGGGCCAACCAACAGCGGTAGAGGCACGGCATATGTCCGCCACTTACGCTCTGCACCGTGTGTCGTCTCACAAGTCCTTGCAGCATGCATTGCCTCCTAATCACCGCAAACTCTGGTCGGATATGGAAGCCAAGAGGAAGATTGATGTGAAGGAAGGGCGTGGGTGGAAATACTCGCCGGACCCCTTTCAAACGCGGAGAGAACGAGCGGCGAATACTCAGTTACCAGCCGGCGAATCTATTTCGGCCAAAAATGTGAAGCAGGGTGGTTTGCAGAGCGCGGGAAAGGAAGTTGCTTCGCTCGCACCCAATTCGAGGAAGGGACAATGGGACCCCTCGCGCACCCCAGCAGTGGAAATGTCCGGAGATGTACGTCAGCGCGTGGAGGGACTTATTCGCAATTACCATACATGGTCAGGCGGCCCTCCGCCGAATGAAGCGCAGCTTGTTGAACGGTTTGTCGTCGATATGGGGTGGCGTAAGACTCATGTGGAAGAAGCCTGCGAGTATGCTGCTGATGCGGAGGAACTGCTGGAGTGGCTATTGATCCATGTCCCCGAAGATGATCTTCCCCCTCGCTTCTTTCCTCCCAAATATAGCGCAGGAGGTATTAGTGTTGGGCAGAACACAGCGGATGGTTTAATTCAAGAAACTACAGCGAAGCGTAAGCTGTTCTTCTGCTGATCTTTGCTTATGCTAATCAAGACGTGCAGGTTTGTCGCAGGGAGGGTATCAGCTCGATCAGTGCCGGTTGGCACTAGCAAACAGCAACGGTGACGAATGTCGAGCTGCTGAGACACTTTTTAGAAACCTAGTTGGCTATCCGGCTCCAGAAGCTCAGGCAGTAAGCAGTGACCTTTGGTCCGAAGAGGCCATTTCCTTGGAGGCCATTTATGTCGAGAGGTTTCTCATGACTCCCACATCATGGAAAGTGTCGTTATCGACTGTAACAGGGACGGATGGCTCCATATCGGTGACAATGTACCCTTCGTCGTCGTACCCTATGGAACCTCCAGCGCTCTTCCTTCATGCAGCGCAATTACCGGCCCATATTCGCCTGGCGATTGCACGTCAAGCCGGACAATACGCCGTTGACAATCTGGTGGGTGACATGATGTGCTACGCCATTGTCGAATGGATTGAGGAGAACGTGCAAACTATCATCGATAACCCAGGGAAACTTGTTGAAGTGTCTGGAGGAATCACTGGCTTCAACGAAGCCACTGATACCAGTGTTACAAAGAAGCGTAAACGCCGATTGCGCCGCGTCGTGAGGTCTAATGTCCAGTTCAATTCTACGGTTGACAGTGCACTCTCTCGACGTTTGAAAGAAGCTTGGCAAGCGAGATGTGCGACAAGAGAATACCAAGCAATGTTATCGGCCCGGCAAAAGCTCCCAGCATACTTGCAACGCGACCACATAGTGCAGACCATTATGACTCATAGGGTAACGCTAGTCACTGGTGAGACCGGTTCAGGAAAGAGCACCCAAGTCATACAATTCCTTCTAGATCACTTGCTTGCTTCGGGTCAGGGCGAAGGTGCATCGATGGTGTGTACACAACCGCGTCGAATCAGCGCTTTAGGGCTGGCTGAGCGTGTCGCCGCTGAACGCGCAGTAAGCGTCGGCTCAGAAGTGGGTTATGCAATTCGAGGCGATAGCAAGTGGGGTCAGGATACAGCGATCAGGTTTGTTACTACTGGTGTTGTTCTGCGGTGGATGCAAACTGCTGACGGTGAACTGGATGGCATCAGCCACATAATTCTGGACGAAGTACACGAGCGATCAGTTGATTCTGACTTCTTACTGGTCATTTTAAAAGAACTTGTCAAGAGGCGAAGGGATCTGACCGTCGTGCTCATGTCCGCTACTGTCAATGCCGACGTGTTCGCGCAGTACTTTTCGGAAATTGGACCTGTAGGACGCTGTCATATTGAGGGACGAACGTTCCCAGTGGAGGACTACTATCTTGAGGATCTAGTCAAGGCTATGGATTATCGTCCCACGAACGTTAGCATGCGCGGCGGGGCGCATCGAAGGGGGGAAGATGGCCCTGACGACTTCGAGGAAGGTGACTTTGACGAGACCGTCAGAAATGTCCTTAAGACTATTGGAGATCGAGTGGATTATGACCTTATTGCGAAAGCTGTACAGTATATTGATGAAGACCTCGGCGACAACAAGGGAGGGTAAGGCATTTGGAGTCCATTACACAGATACATCACTAATTCTTTATGCAGAATCTTGATCTTCATGTCCGGTACCATGGAGATTTCCCGAGCGATCGACGCTATCAGCTCTTTACCCTCTCGGGGTCGCTATCACATCATGCCTCTCCATGCTGCCCTGCCTCCAGCAGAACAGAAGCGTGTATTTCCGCATGCCCCGCCTGGAGAAAGAAAGATTATCGTGGCAACTAACGTTGCGGAAACGTCTATTACCATTGACGACATTGTTGTTGTGCTCGATTCTGGTCGTGTAAAGGAAACAGTATTTGATCCGCAAGACAACATAGTAAGACTCGTTGAAACATGGGCATCCCGCGCTGCATGCAAGCAACGACGCGGTCGTGCCGGTCGAGTTACGCAAGGGAAGTGCTACAAGCTGTTCACTAGGCGAACCGAGAAAAGGAAGATGCTCGAGCAGTCGTTGCCAGAGATTGCAAGGACGCCTTTGGAGCAGCTATGTTTGAGCGTTCTAGCAATGGACGTTAAAGATGTGAAGGGATTTCTCTTGAAAGCGCTGACGCCGCCCAGCGTCAGTGCGATGGATAGAGCGCTAGTCACATTGCGCGAAGTAGGTGCCGTACATGACGATCGTGAAGAGTTGACGGCACTAGGAAGGCATATGTCAATGATTCCGGCAGATCTCCGTTGCGCGAAGCTTCTTATCTTGGCGTCTATCTTTGGTCTCCTAGATGTTGCTTTGACCATTGCGGCCATCCTTACAGTACGAAGTCCATTCCTTTCACCTGCGGACAGGCGTGATGAAGCTAAGGAAGCACGTCTTGCATTCTCGAACGGATCTGGGGATCATCTAACTGATGTTACGGCCTTTAATACGTGGAACGACATGAGACGATCAACCTCCAACAGGGAAGTACGGCTTTGGTGTGAGAAAAACTTCCTCTCACAGCCTACACTGTTTGACATTGCGTCTACTCGGTTACAATATTTGTCGGCTTTGCGTGAGACGGGTTTTTTGCCGTTCTCACGAGATGCTGTGTCGTCCTTCTCCGTCAATAGCGGAAATTTGGCGCTAGTACGTGCCGTGGTCGCTGCGGCGACGTACCCGAATATCGCACGCATCCAATTGCCAGATAAGAAGTACCAAGCTATCAGTGCTGGTGCAATCGAGGTTGATCCCGAGGCGAAGGCTATCAAGTTCTTCTCCCGTGACGATGGTCGGGTTTTCTTGCATCCGTCGTCCACCTTGTTTTCTGCGCAGACGTTCAAGGACCTGTTCCTCGCATATTTTAGCAAACAGGCAACGAGCAAAGTATTCCTTCGAGACGCTACACCCGTGGGAGCCTATGCTGTCCTCTTCTTTGGCGGGAACCTGGAGATCGACGTCAACGGGCGAGGTATCACAGTCGGGCGCTGGGCACGCATCAAAGCTTGGGCCAGGATTGGGGTACTCGTGGGTCGTCTCCGTGCAATGTTAGATGATCTATTGGAGCGGCGTATCGACGATCCTACGGCAGAGAAGAAGATGGATATAGAGTTGGTGGCATGTGTGACACAGCTTCTGCAAGGCAATGGTTTATAGAAACCGAGATACACATTAGATCTAGACGCTGGTTAGCTAGATAGTCAATAAAGACATCTTTCAAAGGATAGGACAGGTGTGATTATGTAGATGATTTGTGTATGCTATATACGATGATGCTCCGAAGATGAAGGGGTAACATGGGGCAAACCGAAAAAGAAAGAACAACGCAAAAACATCAGACAAAGCAACCCTTGACGCAACAGTTCCTAAAACTGAATAGCAAAACCGCAAGTAGAGGAATCCCAGATCCTCCGCGTGAATTCCCATAACGCGTCACGTCCAATAACATTATGCTGATAAAACTGTAGGGGCCGAAAACAAACCAGAAACCGAGAGTCCACGAACAGGACACTCTCTAGATCATACCTCTCTCGCAACACAAGTCTTTCTCGCATCATAAGAAACCACTTACTACTGCATCATAGAGTCGTTACCGCCAGCGAACTGGAAACCACCCGACGGCACGTTCTCCTCGAGACCACCGAAAGTGAACTGACCTCCCTCACCGGTCTGAGGAGCCAAACCAGTGTCATCCACATCTTCCTCACCGAAGTACCTCTCGATGACGTTGTATGCCTTCAAGTAGATCTCCTCGTTACTGGAGCTCTGGGCGTTATGAATCTTCTCCATACCACCAGCCTCCTCAATGAAGAGGGCGTACTGGTTCGTACCACCGTACTGCTCCTTGTCCATCTCACCGACCTTAAGAATGTTCTCCAGACCATCAAGAGCAACCTGGATGATCTTGTTGTCCATGCAGGTAAGAAGATCACAGAGGGGCTTGATGCAGCCCTGCTGAACAAGGTAGCGAATCTGATCAGGCTTGGCCAATCCACCAGAAGTGGCGTTGGAGATGGCCCAGCATGCCTCCTTCTTGGTCTTGAAGTCGGCGTTCTGGAGCAAGTGGATGAGAGGAGGGATAATGTTGGCGTCAACGACAGCCTGGATCTGGGCGCAGTTACCGGCAGTGATGTTGGAGATAGTCCAGCAAGCCTCCTTGCGAATGCCGTCCTTGCTACTGGAAAGAAGGGAGAGCAATGCAGGGAGAACACCGCAGTTGATGATAACCTGGGTCTGAACGTCGTCACCAGTGACAATGTTACCGACAGAACGCAATGCCGGGGTCTGGACAGAGGTGGACTGGTGCATCAAGAGCTCGACAAGGCGACGGGGGATACCGGCCTCGATAACGGCCTGGATCTTGTCGTTGGAACCGTCGGAGAGGTAAGAGATAGCCCAGCATGCATCAATCAAAACCTCATCGTCCAAGGAGAAGATGAGCTTAGCCAACACAGGCAAAGCAGGAGCGATCATGCCCCAGTCGGGCTGAGGGGTCTTTCCACGGCAGAAGTTGGACAAGGTCCAGGTAGCGTTGCGGAGCATGCTCAACTTGCGAGAGTCGCTCAACAAGGCCAAGAGAGGACGCAGAGCACCAGCGCGAAGGACGAAGTCACGGCACTGCGGCGAATCACCGGCGATGTTACCCAAAGCCCAGACAGCCTGCTCCCTGACATCGGCCTCAGGGCTGCTCAACAACTCAACGAAAATAGGGACGGCACCAGCCTCCATGACGACCTGCGTCTGACTGGAGCTACCGGAAGCGATGTTGGTCAATGCCCAGGCGGCCTCAAACTGAACGAGGGTGTGGGGGCTGCGCAAGAACTCGACGAAACGCTGAACGACACCGCACTCGATAACCTTCTCAATTGGTGGGTTGCGCTCCTTGGAGAGAAGCTTGCGGAACTTGGTGGTTGCGGCGATTTGCTGCTCGATATCTTCGGAGAAGACACCAGCCATCATCTGAGGGAGTTCATCGTTAAGCTGGAAAGGAACTGTTAGCAAATGTCCGCATAAATGCCCATGACGGACAATGGGATGAAAAGCAGAGCCACGCATATACGCATACACTGGTCAACGATACTGTTGACTCGAGCCATTGCAATTGCAAGCGCAACGTCAACTGCCCAACACCTAGATGACGAAACTCACCTGAGATTCTCCGACACCCAATTCCTCGTCATCACTGTCCAAATCGCCAACAGCAGAGGCGACAGCCATGTTTCTCCTCTTCGCCAAAGACTCCTCCCTCTTCGCTTTTCTGATCTCAACCTGAGCCTCCTCACGACGACGACGGAGCTCATCCTGCTTGAAAAGCCCCTTGGACTTGAAGTTGGAGCGACGGTGCTCGGCGGTGAACCTGTCAGACATAGTGGGTGTGGGTAGGTATCTATGCTGCGAAAGCGACAATTGAGTTGCTGTTGGTGGTCCGTGTTTGGCCCGTTCACTGAGAACACTCGTGCTCGTGCGTAGTCTCTTTTTTCTGTTTTGATTCGCCCTGGGAGGCAACCCACCCGTACCTAAACAGCGTTGCCCTAACCCACTCACCGTACGGAGAAAGCGCTGCGAGAACGTAAGCTTAATTCTACCAAACGACGGAACTCTTATAATGATGCTCGGGCCATATCCAGACAACGTTATGTATTCGGTTATCACGTGAAAGCGTGGGAATCTATCTGTCTACACAATCCTCGTCCCGAACATCTGCAGAAGCCTGTGTCGACGACCGTCCATGTACATCTCCTGCGTGCAGCACTCAAACCATGGCCTCATCACCTCCTTCGGTTTTTGTTCTGCTATCGCCTTCTTCTTCTTCCCCTTTCCCTTGCCAGCTCTGAGGTTCGCCTCCAACATCCCCGCGGCCGTATTCATCTCCTGCAGGTTTCCCCACATCATGAACAGTATTTCCCTGAGTCTATCGATACCATTCGGTGTCGAAAGACAGGATGGTTTAAGACCACCAAGGAGCTCGATAGCATCTGCTCCTGAAACTGATACAGGTCTGGCAATGCCATCCGTGCCTTCCACCAATAGACCAAAGTGCCATACCCACTTCTTTCCATTCGAATCTGTCACTATGCCGTCCCTGTCCCTGCTCTGTGATGGCGTTGGGGTGGGTACTTGCGTGGTCTCCTCATCGTCTGATGCGTCAGAGTCTGGCAAAGCGGGAGCACTTGAGAACAAGCAGCGTGGACAAGCTTCGTATACTCGAGACAGCGTGGACTGGCATCTGTCGCACCACTGCACGCGGAAATGAGCCAGATCCCGTGGCTGAAAGCCAATTACACGGACGTGCATCCTGTACTTTCGAGGTCTCTCAGGATTCGGATCGGGCACATCTCCTGGCAACGTGAAGGCAATGTGAGGATGTACAGTGACCACATTCGGTGCAGGCTTTTTCCGTTCTCTTTCTGCTTCTTCTTCCTCCCGTTGTTTCCGCTTCAGTTCTCTAGCCTCCCCCTCCGCCTGACGTTTCAAGGCTGCCTCAAGTGCGCGCTGCCGTCGATGGATATTCACAAGCACAGCATCCGTTTTGTGCACCTTCTCGATGTTTACCTTCTCCTCGTTCTCGCGATCACCATGCAGATTCGCTTCTAGTAGCCCATCACGATTACGTTTCGCACGTAAATTCCGCAACAGTACAAATTCTCCCTCCATTAAGACATTCTGACGAGCCCATTGTGAGTGCGGAGGATATAAAGTAACTTGTAGCACAAACCGTCCCTCGGGGAATGTGTGCCGCGTGTTTTCACCTTGCCTCCAGTGTTTCACGAGAGCGTTCTCAGTGAAGTCGCTAACATAAATCTCGCATTCTCCTCGTGGCCCTACGACTGGATAGGCCTTCAATACCTGTGCATAAACATCATAGAAGCGATCAAACTGTAGCTCCGAGATCTTCGCAGTGGGCCGTGTCCCTGGCTGCATTGCAGGAGCAGCGTCTACCTGAGTAACGTGCTTCCTACCAATTTGTTGTGCAGAAACGCCCATTGCACCGGCGGTACCACCACGGGTCGTCCAGTATTTCGAAAGTTCAGTCGCGTAACGACGTTCATCCGCTGTCAAGGTTGACGGCTTACCGATGTGTTGCAATCGATTGCCCTGAGTCTCGCACAGCGAGGTATCCCACCGGCTAAGCCCTTGAATGTTATTACCGTACCTCTGTAGCTTCATATTCCTGCACACCATAACAATAGGGTTCTTGTCATCTCCGGGGTCGTAGTCGGGTCTTGTGAACGTTGGCATATCTGCGATGTTCTCCCGAAAGATGTTGATCATCAGCCCAGATGACACGAGTGAACGAGTCGAGTCGCATAGAGTGATTGAGGTAACGAAGTCTTTTCCTCGGGTCTTTCGAGCGGGTTTGTACGATGCAACAACACCGATAACACTGACGATCTCTCCCGGGGAGGTGTCGTCAAGACCAGCTATCGTGGTGTACTCGAAGCTCTTCAGGCAAGTTAGCTCTAGATCACCATCACTGCTATAAAGCAACTCACTGTGTCCCCTGGTAGGACAGGCTTTGATGGATTCATGATGTCTGAACGGGATTCGGAGATACTCTCCGACTCAAGATGGACCTCGCTGAACGTCGAATTCTGCGCAACTTGCAATTGGCGACGCGTTTGGCGAATCACGCGTCCCGACAACCGCGCTCCGATCGCGGCCAACTTGCAATTGACGCGATGAGTTCTCGATATAACCGCGGTTTCTTGACCAGAAGACGACGACAGTATTTCGAAAAACACCTTTATATGTTCATTTGAACTGCTGTTGACCCAGGGGTCATCTCGCCCAAGGTGACCACGGGCCGATGCTTCCGGCGCATCCACCTGCGTAGACGGCTGTCATCGAATCGGCCGCTGTTACTTCTCGAATCTGAAGGTCATTTCAACCCAATTCTACCGTTTAACACCGTTCTTCGCAGTTACAACGGAAGCGACCAGCGCGGACCTCCAGTTTCATGTCTGAGTATCATATTAGCTGGATCGGTCGCGCCTTCTCTTATGTCTTCCCTGTAACGGCAGACTACGATGTTACGAGGCCTCAGATCACTGCGCCATTATTCCGCCTCGTGCTTCCTCCATATGTCTTCTTCGCGGCGCTTCTGCTGAGACTACACTTTGGGTTGTTGGGGAAGCCTAGGACGACGGCGAAGCGGGCGGAGGTGTGGTTGTGGATCTTAGCTGTCTTGGCTTTACCGGCTGTTGTTGGCGACTCGGGGAGTAAAGTTGTGAATGCAACGCTACCAATGGTAAGCTTCGTCTAAGAATTTTGCGGAATCCGTGCTGACAAACTATAGCTTGGCTTCCTAATCTCGATGCGCCTGTACGACCTGTACTATCTTCACCTGGATGCGCCGGCTACACTACCCCTTCTCTACCTTCATCTCTTTTCCTTCCCTTTGACCGATTCGAAAGTCATCGCAAAACGCCAAGCAACAGGACTGTCACCTCGCTATCGTGCTTTCCGCAGTCTATTAACGCACAACCTCGTCGAATCAATCGCAGTCGCATTCATCATCCGCTTCGTTCCATCTCGGGTACAAGATCTCGACAACCTGTCCTTCATCCAAGAACGCATCTCATACATTATCATCGGTATCGCAATCACCCTCATGATGGGTGCAAGCATGGATGGGTGGTTCAAATTCTGCCAATTGGTTAGTGGGATCGAGATGAAGGACATGTTTGATAACCCTTGGGCTGCGACGAGTCCTAGGGATTTTTGGAGTCGGAGATGGAATTTGGCTATCAAGGATTTGTTTCATGGGGTTATCTTTTCCATGGTGTTTGGAGCGCAGAACGAGGAGAAAGATGAGGTCACGGGGAAGCCGACAACGTACGCGGATGCTGCGAAAGAACAACCGAAGCCGAAGCCGGCGATGTGGAAAACAAGTGCAACGGCCATGCTCATCTTCCTCTTCTCGGGGTTGATGCACGTATACATCAACTTCTTCGCCTTTTCCACGCTGGACCTATCGAACCTTGCATACTTCGTTCTGCAAGGTTTTCTCTGTGTTGGACAGGTCCTTCTGCAAAAGACGGTATTCCGGTCGTCGAAGTACTGGCCATGGTGGGTGTGCTTCTTGATGAACCTCGTTGTGACGTATGGTATCAGCAACAAGCTATTTTCCGGCGTGTTCGTGAAGTATGGATATTTTGAGGAGTTGAAGGGATGGGTCGGTCTGTTTACTGGAGGTTTGTTGAGGGTGGGTGAAGTGGTTTGGGTTGTGGGAAAGCCCAAGTACGGGTCGACTTGAACGGACATTCATTGAGCAAAAGGACAATCAGGGAACGGACAACTTTGGAGAACACTAGACTCCCTTCTACTATCAAACAATGTCATCGCTTGCAACTCCCATGACGACGTCCTTAATTACTTCGCTATATATCGCCGTTATCGTCTTAGCGCGCATGTACACTTTTGAAGTCGCGACATCTGGAGGAGGCCTGGGTCGTAGAAGCTGAGCGTTGAAGGGTCGCAACATCCAAGCTGTCGTCCGTTGTTACTACAGCCATTGCTTCTTGTCATTCATCTATCAACGGCAATCACCATGGTGTTTGGTCCCGCCAGCGCTCAGAAAGCGAAGAAGTCGGGAAGTGCCGGCACCAAGAGGAAGCGCGAGCCGAAGCAAACGCAGCTATCATTTTCTCAACCTTCAAAACCGAACGACGTGCAAGATGCAATCGTAGCAGCGTTCAATTCACGTCCCGCGACGTCATCGCCTCCGCTGGCGCCGGCCTCTTCTGCGCCAATTGAGATCCCTGAAGAGGAATCCAGTGACGTTGAGGTGACGGACGAGCTGGCGAAGAAAGAGAAGGGAATGTCTACGCCAAACAAGAGCAAGGAACTGCCAGAGCCGGTTCAGGAGGTATCGAGTAGTGACGACGAGTTGGATGAACTGGTGATGGATAAGGCGCCAAAGTCTATATCTTTAGCTTTGCGACGCTCTGGTACGACGTCTAGCGAAGAAGATGATGATGAGGAACCCAGGAAGAAGCAAATGACGCCTGCGAAACGGAGGGTGGAGTCTTCATCAGACACGGCGTCAGAAAGTCGTGAGCCCGTGAACAAACGTTCAAGACGGGACACTGGCAAGAGAGTGGATGGAGAGGCCAAAAAGGAGAAACCAGAGACCAAGAACGCGAACGCGAAAGTCCTTCTTCGTGCTTCTCTGTCGCCGAAGCAGAAAAAACAGGCGCCGCCCAGACCCGCGGGAAGGGTTGCGAAGAAGGGGGTCATCCTTTCAAATGACGACGAAGACGAGGAGGATGAAGATGCTATCGTCGGGCCTAAATCCCGGCGGAAACGCTACATTCCTCGTGCTGACGACAAGGAGGCCAGCAGTAAGTCAAACGCCTCGGATAACGATGTGGACGAAGAGCTCAAGCGAGAAGCCGTTTCACTACGCTCAACAAGAGTCATCAAAGAGCGAACACGGGGTCGCAACGCACCACAAACGAAGAAGACTGCATTCCAGAAAAAGCTGGAGATGCTAAAGAGGAAGAAGCAAGGTCATGACGTGGACGTTCTCGGAAAAGAATCCCAGTCTGGATCCGAGGAGGATGGGGAGGATGATTCGGATGAGGGCAGTGATGCAGGATTCATCGATTACGACGAAGAAGAAGGATTGGGGGCGGACCAGGTAGCAATGGCCACGCCATGGGAATTCACACGTGAGAGCCACCAAAAACTCAGTCACCACTTCAAGGTCTTTATCCAACACGAAGTCCACGCAATGCTCGACCCGGAGTTTGCTGACGCTGATCACTTAACTACAAACGACTACTTCCGTGGAGCCTTACAGTCCCTCGAAAGGAAGATGGGACCGATCCGGGATTCGGTTATTAATAGTTCGGCATGGAAGAAACCATTCATGAGGGCGTTGAAGACTCGCCCGTTCATCGATACTTTCGCCAATCATGACGGGTACAACTGCGACGCCTGCAATATCACGAACCGCAAGGCGACATACCGTGTCTACCTCAGCGGACCTAGATATGATCCCAAAACTCTGCAATCATACGAAGAAGCGGACGACGCATCGTCGGGCTCAGCTATCTCCAGCGCGAGTGACTCCGAACACGAACAAACCAAGCGAAAGAGTCAAAAGTCAGATTGGTATTTGGGAAGGTCATGTTTTGCACGAACGATCCATTCGCATTATTTCTATCATTGGAGGTATCAGATGAGGTGTGAGCTCACTGACATATTGGAAGGGGATAACTATCACTTGGGTGAGGGCAAAGGTATTGATGAAGTCGTTGAGGAGTTGGATAAGCAGGGAGAGACGAGTCGGTTGTGGTCCGAGTGGAAGAATAAGCTGGCAGCGGTGGAGGAGTTCCTGGTGACTGGATAGCCATAGCAACACTGACAGTTCAAACCACCATCGAGTCTGCTGATTGAGTAAATTGTATGAATACTTTTCTGTATTGCTCTGACCGGGAAATATACAAGAGAGGAGAAATGCCAAAAATAATATCCAGACGCCCGGCTCGACCGCCTGCAGCCGAAGATCCCTCACTGGAAACGAACAACGAACCTCAACATCAATCGTACAAACATCCAAAACCCAAGTTCAATGTTTTGCAATCACCAACAGTTGCTTAGAAGCCAGCGGGCTTAAGAGCGGAAGCCTGGGCTCCGGGGGCGACGATCTGGTCCACGGTTAGCCTACGATCACGTAAAAAAAATGTATAGGAGAACGAACGTCGTTAGCACCGGCCTGCATCTGCATCTGCTTCTCGTACTCAGTGTACTGAGCCTCCTCCTCAATAGCCAACGCCAACGGGAATCCGAAAAGGATAGCGCTGGTCGCCAAAACCCAAGTAGCCTTTCCACCGAACTTTCCAAGCCATGTCGCAGTGTTCGCAAGGCTCGACGCAGCATTCGCGATCTTCGTACGCTGTGTAGGGGGGATGATATCCTTCAACGCAACGAGACGGTCGTAGAAAGTCTCATCGACGACGTCGTCCTCGATCTCGGACTCGGAGATCTCTGAGTCGGTGTCGGACCACTCCTCCTCCTTCTTGAAGTTCTGCTCAAAGTGCTCGTCGGTGACTTCCTCGAACTGGACCATTTTTGTGATTTGTGTGAGGATTAAGTTTCTGGAGGTGTACGAAATGCGGTCCCTGCGATCAACTAACTTTTCGACCAGCTGCCGCCCGCCATGCCGTAATGTTGGAGTTCCATGAGGAGGAGAGGATGCGATCTGCCTCTGCTTGATCTTAATAATAGTACGGGAAATTGAGGGCTATCTTGGAGTTGATCATGCTCAAACATCTTCACTCAGAACCGGCACTGCTCCCGTGAGACAGGCTCCGCGTCCGCGTATACATCCCGGTACGACACGTAGCCCAACAACTCCATACAAAGGCCGTTGAACCCTTCGATCATGTTGAAGTCAGTGTTTGCCCTCTTCCTCGCCGCCAGCGCCGCCCTCGCCAGCAACGTCGTCGACCTTACCCCGTCCAACTTTGACGAAATCGTGGGCTCCGGAAAGCCCGCACTCGTCGAATTCTTCGCACCATGGTGTGGACACTGCAAGACGCTGGCTCCTATCTACGAAGAGCTCGCCGACTCGTACAAGGCTCAGGACAAGGTTGTCATTGCGAAGGTGTGTTGTGATTGTTCTGCTTGCTATGGGCTTCGCTGATTACCTCAACACAGGTCAACGCCGATGATCACCGCTCCCTCGGATCTCGATACGGCGTCAAGGGTTTCCCTACGTTAAAGATGTTCGATGGAACCACCAAGAACCCCAAAGACTACAACAAAGCCCGCGACCTCGACTCCCTCCAATCCTTCATCGCCGAAACCACCGGCATCAAGCCCAAGGGCAAGAAAGTCGAGCCGTCCGACGTCGCAGTCCTCACAGACGAAAACTTTGATTCCATCGTCCTGGATCCCTCCAAGGATGTTTTGGTTGAGTTCTATGCGCCGTGGTGTGGGTACTGTAAGCAGTTGGCCCCCGTGTGGGAGATTGTCGCGAGTGATTTCAATACGGATGAGCATGTTGTTGTTGCTAAGCTTGATGCTACTGAGCACCCTGCTGCTGCGGAGAGATATGGTGTCAAGGGATACCCTACCCTCAAGTTCTTCCCCAAGGGTGCTGACAAGACTCCTGTTGACTACCCCTCTGGCCGTACCGAGAATGACTTTGTTGCGTACTTGAATGAGCAGACCGGGACCCAGCGTGCCGTCGGTGGTGGTTTGACCGACGAAGCCGGCCGCGTTCCCGCCCTCGATACTCTCGCCCAGCAATTTGTTGCCGCCGATGACAAGGAGTCCGTCATCGCCGAAGCCAAGTCTGTCGTCGAGGGTGACGCCAACGGTTCCTACTACGTCAAGGCCATGGAGAAGATCCTCGCTAACCCCAAGCATGTCGCGAACGAGATTCACCGTTTGGAGAGTATCATTGCGAAGGGTAACTTGGCGAAGGCTAAACTTGATTCGTTCATTAAGAGGAAGAACATTCTTTCTGCTTTTGAGTTTACGGCTGCCAAGGATGAGCTTTAAGTTAGTATACCATGACCAGGGTTGATGGAGGCAAGTGCATGTGCGATTGAGGTTGAGTATGTTGTGACATTTCTTGGGTATTGTATGTATAAAAATCAAGTGAACGCCGTGACCTATACCGATTGTCTTTCATGCCTATGCCGAGCCCTCCTTCTTCTTAGGTGCCGTTTGTGGTACGCCTTCGAGTGATTGGCGTAGCATTTGTTCGAGGGCGTTTAATCTCGTCGACATGTCGTCCACTGTAAACTTTGTAAGTATACTCCATAATATGACAAATTCACGAACAGCTCACTCTTCGTCGTAAGATCTGTAGAAACTCTGCTGATTGAGTATTGTAAATCGTGGATAAGCTGATCAACCTGCATGACGGTGAGCGTGGTGCACCCGCATAACCCGTAACAACAACGCACCATGACAGTCAACTCATGAGACTGAAGTGACTCGCCCTCCGGCTGCTCCATTGCCGTCGACTGCTGACTTGATATGGACATCTTGGATGAATGCTTCTTGGATGAATGCTTCTTGACTTCACGCTGCTCCTCTCGTCTCGGGTCTACGCCTAGCCAGGGCGCGCGCAAAATCTCAAAAAGTCGCAGCCAAAAGCACGAGACCCCAGAATAAAGTTAAAGTCCCCAGCAATTCACAATGGCCAAGCCCGGACTCAAAGCACTGTTGAAGAACAAGAAGGTCGAGGAGCAGGTTTCGCGCCAGCAGAAGAAGAAGCAGCCGGTTGCTAAGGCGCCGGAGTCTGAGAGCGAGGAGGAAGTTTCGGAGTTTGAGGAGCAGGCGCCGGAGTTGGTTGAGGTTCCGAGGGATGCGGATGAGTCTTCTGAGGATGAGGAGGCGGAGAGCGATGCTGAGGTTGAGGACGCGGAGGAGATCGACGGTGATGAGGATGAGGAGGAGGCTGAGGAGGACGATGAGGAAGACGAAGATGAGGAGGACGTTGCGTTGTCCGACATTGAGTCTCTCGCGGACGAGGATGCGGACTTTGTACCATATCAGCGTCTCACCATTGACAACCACGCCGCACTCAACGCTGCCACCGCACGCATCACCCAGGCAATTGACTCCCTCCCCTTCGTCGAGCACCAACAAATCACCACCGCCGAGCCCGTCACAATCGAAGACGTCAACGACGACTTGAACCGCGAACTCGCTTTCTACAAGCAAGCTCTCGACGCCGCCAAGGAGGGCCGTACCAAGATCACCGCCGAGGGCGCACCATTCTCAAGACCGGATGATTACTTTGCGGAAATGATGAAGACGGACGAACACATGGAGAAGGTCAAGGAGAAGTTGATTGCGGAGGCTACGGCCAAGAAGGCGTCCGCGGAGGCGAAGAGACAACGTGATCTTAAGAAGTTCGGAAAACAGGTTCAGGTTGCCAAGTTGCAGGAGCGTCAGAAGGAGAAGAAGGACACTTTGGAGAAGATCAAGGGTCTTAAGAGAAAGAGGGCTGATGGCGAGGATCTCACTACTAATGACGATTTCGAAGTCGCTCTCGAGAAGGCTGAGAAGAAGGGCGGTGCTGGTAAGGCCGGTGAAAAGCGCCAGCGCACCAGCACTCCCGCCTCCCGAGGCAAGCGTGACTCCAAGAACGAGAAGTTCGGTCACGGTGGTAAGAAGAGGCACAACAAGTCAAATACCTCAGACTCAACCAATGACTTGGGAGACCGTTTCGGCGGCGGTGGTCGTGGAGGACGTGGTGGTGCCCGTGGTGGACGTGGAGGAGGTCGTGGTGGTTCTCGTGGAAAGTCATCGCGTCCGGGAAAGTCTAAGAGGGTGGCAAACCGTGGATAAACTGGTGCACGTAGCGTGAAGATTTCCTGGTCTTGTGTTTCTGTTTCTTGGTTTTTGGGCGTTCGAGTTCTTTTGGCATCACTATACAAAATTGCATTTTTTTCATCTGTTCATTTCTGCGTTTTATCTCATGAATTGTTTATGACTGTTGTAAAGTACTTGTGATTCCCGGCTGTACAGACGCAATCTGACTTTACCTTCCCACGGCCTCAGGGTCGCACACGGATATTTGTCATTGTCGACAGCAGGTCTCTGTCAGAAAACTGTCATCTGTTCTTATTGCATATTCCGAGTGACCATGTACCCAGGTACTTGTCTATTGTCGAACGCCCTTGTCTCGCGGAGTCTCCGTAGTCTTAAGCTTGATCGCCGTGGGAATTCGAGCATGGAATCAAGTTGCACGGAAGTCTTCGATGCAACCCGACATGGTCCTCTATGACCTTACTCGACTCACTAGACTAGTTGAGAGCGAATAGAAAACAGGCCGTTTCTACTTGGCAGGTTTCAGACAGCACCCGTAGTTGAAAACATCGTCTTTTTTTTGTGCACTATGTTTGAACATTGGCGGGCATGAGAAAGTGCTCCAGTCAGCGTGTCCGAGTGGTTAAGGAGTAGCACTCGAAATGCTATGGTGTCTCGCCGCACAGGTTCGAATCCTGTCGCTGACGCTCGTTTTGTTGTTTTGACCTGCCATTCTCATAATGATCGGACGCTGTTCCAGCTGACCAAGGGGTGTTTCTAGCACAGTATGACTTGGTTCGACATACTCAGAGGTTCTCTTTCCTATGCCTTACCAGGGCGGAGCCGGCCGGCGGCTTCGCTGCGTGGGAAATTCTTCAATGAGACAAACATCAGCATATATATTACTCGTACATCATCATTACCTGTGATAAATCTAGTCAGTGTCGACATATCGTACATTCTAAGCGTCCAAATCAACTCTTCACACAACTCTTATATGCAAACTCTTAACCACCCCCCACTCATGCCCACCCTCCTCCCCCAACGCCTTTCCCCACCCACTCATCCCCCCTCTCCCCCCAAACCCGATCCCATGCTCCGAATCCCCCGCCGAATTGACCCAAACCTGTCCAGCCCTAACCCTCCTCGTAAACTCCTGCGCACATCCCATGTCCTTCGTGAAGATTGCTGCACCGAGGGTGTAGGAGGTGTTGTTTGCTAGCTCGATAGCTTCGGGGAGGGTGGTGAAGGTTGTAATGGAGGCGATAGGTCCGAAGATTTCTTCGCGGAAGATGGACATGGTTGGGGTTACGTCGGTGAAGATTGTCGGGGCGATGAACCAGCCCGGAGGTGAATCACCGTGGTTCTCTAGAGGTATACCTCCGAGAATGCATTTCGCTCCTTCGTCCAGCGCTTGACGTACATGACGCTTTACCTTCTCATACTGATCCGCATTATTGATCGGACCCTGAAAAGTGTCATCCTCCCACACCGAACCAACTTTATGCGCTTTCGTCCTCGCTACAAAAGCCTCAATAAACCGGCCCGCGACATTGCGGTGTACAAGGAGACGGCTAGTCGCGGAACAAACCTGACCCGCGTTATAAAAAATATTCCCGTGCGCCCATTCGACAGCGGTCTCGATATCCGCATCTTCACAGACCACGAGCGGGCTCTTTCCGCCTAACTCGAGACTCGTGGATTTCATGTTCGAGGCGGCGGTCAAGTCCAGGATTCGTCTTCCTGTCGCTGAGCTCCCGGTGAATGCGACTTTGTCGATGGAAGGATGCGATGCTATGCATGCCCCAGTTTCGGAACCCCCGGGGAGGATGTTGATTACACCAGGTGGGAAGAGTTCTTTGATGAAGTGGGTGAGGTAGAGTGCTGATAATGGGGTGTGCTCGGATGGTTTGACGAGGAGGGCATTGCCGTATGCAAGTGCTGGCGCGAGGTACCAGAAGAGCGTGCTCAAAGGAAAGTTCTATGAAATCTCATTAGTCGCCGTAGCCCGAACAATAGACAGACTTGATGTAATCTCACAAAAGGAAGAATCAGTCCGCACACGCCGATAGGCTCAACAATAGTATATCCCCACTTCCCATTCCCGAAATCCATCGTCCGTCCATTGATCTTGTCCGCCATTCCTGCAAAATATCGACAAGCACCAACAGCGTCCGCGAAATCATCTCTTTCGACGATATGTCGCGGCTTTCCGGCATTCCAAGCCTCAATAGCACAGAGGGTTTCCTTGTTCGCCTCCATTGCGTCTGCGAGACGATATAGACGGCGGCCACGCTCTGCTGGACTCATGGTGGTCCATTCACTGCCGGGCGCCAGGGCTGCTTGGGCAGCAATTACCGCCTTGTCGACTTCTTCCTGAAAAGCAGAAGATACCTCGCAGATTTCTAAGGTCGTTGAGGGATCCTTTGCTGCTCTGACGGGCTTGTCCGACCGTTTCACATGCTCGTTGTTGATGAAGGAAGTGACCGGCTGATTATATTCTTTCTCGATAGGAAGAGTTAGGGTAACATGATAGAAACGACGGGACAGCAATGCAGATCTTGATCCGATAGCAATTAAGGCCCTCGATGCCGAGCAGAACATTGCGACTGAGAAGGTATGTCTACGTTACCACACGAGAGTCTACGTTACAGTTGCCACATGCAGGGGTACCAACCTTATTTCCGACTCCGGGAATTTACTGGGTAAATCATCGATCCGAGAGCGCACCCGTCACTCATCTCGGCTCAGCTCTTTCCATTACCGACGTACATACTGAAAGCTGCTGCCCAGATCAGCCCCCGACATCGGTCTCTTTCGAGTACGAGATCATCGATCGCGACACAATCACATCAAAGCCCTTCGACGCCGAGATGTCCCATGATCAAGGCGATGAGGAGGAAAGATCTTGCTTGGTTCTCTATGCAAGCCAAACAGGAAACTCCGAGGACATTGCACATGGTATTGGAAGGATGCTAGAGCGAATGCATATCAAGAGAAGAGTTTGCGCCATGGATCAGTGCGATTTGATGGACCTCATGAATGAGAACTACGTTATCTTTGTTGCATCAACGACAGGACAAGGTGATATTCCTGACAATATGAAGCTCTTCTGGCCAGCTATTCTGCGACGTTCTCTACCTCCTACCCTACTGGACCACCTTTCATTTGCACTATTCGGGCTTGGCGACTCAAGCTACCCCAAATACAACTTCACTGCAAAGAAGCTGTACAGACGATTAATACAACTTGGTGCACGGCCTATGGTGGAAAGAGGTGAGGGAGATGAAAGCCATCCCCAGGGCATTGATGCTGGGTTTGCGCCATGGTTGAAAGATTTAAGGCAGGTGATGGAAGTGGAGCTGCCTTTACCGTCAGGCTTAGAAACTATACCAGATGACCAGCATCTTCCGCCTACATACAAAATCCAGTTTGGGGAAAACGCTCCCAGCATGAAAACAGCATCACCAAGGAGGTTGGGTCTGACATTTTCAGCTACTGTTACCAAGAATGATCGGATCACAGCGGATGATCACTGGCAGGATGCACGACACATCGTTTTCTCTATTTCAGCGCCTGACCTCGCATATGATCCAGGTGACATTGCAGTCTTGTGGCCAGAGAACCCCCGGAATGAGGTGGATCGACTTATTGAAGTATGCAAGTGGCAGAATATAGCCGACACTCCACTTGACGTCTGGCCCAAACGGAACGACGATGAAATACCACCCTTGCCGACGCCATGCACGCTTAGGACATTGGCCCGGTATCATTTTGACTTTATGAGTGTGCCCAAGCGAAGCTTCTTTGAGTTACTGCGACATTTTGTCACAAATGAAATGCATGCGGAGAAACTGACAGAGTTTTGTGGTACCACCTCCGATAACCAGGAAGATTTATGGGACTATACGACAAGACCTCGGCGCAATATACTGGAAGTGCTTGCAGATTTCAAGGAAACACTGTCAATACCGGTGGAGTATGTATTGGATCTCTTTCCAATGCTGAAGCCTCGACAGTACAGTCTTGCATCCTCATTGAAGGCGCATCCTGGTGAAGCACATATCTTGGCTGCGATTGTGGAGTACAAAACTTCTATGCATATCCCACGTGTTGGTGTTTCTTCTCGTTGGTTACAGTCATTGAAGTTGGGAACTCAGGTGACGATGGGTTTGATTCGAGGAGCGATGAAGCCACCGCGGAAGGGTATCAAGTGCGTTATGGTTGCGCCGGGAACAGGCGTTGCACCCATGAGAGCACTGGTGCAGGAGAGGGTTGCAAGCGGATGTGATGCCAAGGAACAACTCCTCATCTTTGGGAACAGAGAACGGGAGAAAGACTTTTTGATGCGAGCGGAATGGGAAGAGTACGAGGCAAAAGGGCAATTGAGCCTGGCACTCGCATTCTCTAGGGATACCACAGAGAAGTTTTACGTCCAGCATGTTCTTCGTCGCGAATGGCGCCGCGTCGACACATGGCTCAGGAAGGAAGGTGGATATGTGTACATCTGTGGAAGTTCAGGAAAGATGCCACAGGCTGTTCGTGAAGCGCTTATTGAGATCTTTCAAAGAGGGATACATCTTGAAAGAGGAGAGGAGCTGAGCGGTAGCGGAGCAAGGGATGAGGCAGAGGCTGTACTGGTGGAAATGGAAACGAAGGGCAGGTATTTGCAAGAGACGTGGTAGATAGAGGCATTCGCGTACAAGACGTATACTCCTAGAATACACCTAAGGACAAAGACGAGAATGACTACTCAGCATAAACCTCCTGCACATTCCTAATCAACTCATGATAAAACTTAACCCCCTCAACATGCCCCTTCACACTTGCCTTCTCATCAACCGTATGAATGTTCCCCTTCCACATATCCCTAAACGGTCCAAACCGATAAATATTCCTCGTGAAATTCCAGAAATATTTGGTGTCTGTGTTGCCGGTCATGATGGAGGGAGCAACGATGGTGGAGGGGGGGAAGACATGGCGGATTGTGCCGGAGAGGAGAGACCAGGCGGAGGAGTTGAGGGGAGAGGTGGGGGCGGGTTCGAGGACGCGGTCGGTTTCAATCCTTAGAGTTCCAAAATGCGAGTCCTTGTCCGTCGGCTTGTCGGTGAAGGGGAGGAATGTAAGGTTGTGTTTCTTCGCGATCGGTTCCAAGATTCTTGTCAACTTATCCTTGACGTCCTGTGTCCGCCCCTCAACCGCAACACGATGATTCACGACCACCACCGCTTCCTCGGGCAGTGCGTTGACCTTGACACCACCATACGCGACATCCGCCGCGATGGAGGTCTTCATCAGGTACTCGTTCGCTCTATCGCCTGCCAAAATCTCCGCGGCATCCTGTAAGTCGTTCGAGACAATCGCATCCCTCAACGAAGATGGGATATCGGGTGAATGAGCGGCAGCACACTGCATCGTTCCCAAAAACGGGTTGGCGGGGGTCAACAACAAATCATACGTGTCCGCCTCGACAATCGTGATAATTTCCGCCAACATCCCAATGGAAGTGTGAGGCGGTGGGATAGAGGAATGCCCACCAGGCGTGTTGACAGTGATCTTCACATCAATATACCCCTTCTCCCCCGTCCCCGGCAACGCCACAAGAGCCCCATAAATCTCCTTGATATCACTGCCCTCATCCAAAATCATAAACAGACTATCCTTCCCCAACTTCTCCTCAAGCCATGGCGCAATTGTTCCAGCTCCTTTGTAACCCGAAATTTCCTCGTCGAAGCCGAAGGAGAGGAGAATGGTGCGCGTTGGGGTGAAGGATGCGTTGAGGAGGAGGGATACGGCTTCCATGATTCCGACAAGGTTGTTTTTGCAGTCGGAAGAGCCACGACCGTAGACGTAGGTGTCATCAATGTGGCCGGACCAGGGGTCGTGGGTCCATTTGTCCAACGTCTGCTTCGGGACTGGGACGGTGTCTTGGTGGGCCATGAGCAACAAAGGTTTGAGGGTCTCGTTGGTGCCTTTCCAGGTGTAGACGAGACCGTGGGTGTTGACTTTCTCCAACGTCAAGTGCTTGTGCACTTCGGGGAAGGTGTTCTTGAGCCATTTGGCGAAGGGGTAGAAGACGTCCCAACGGTCATCTTCACCGACGGGGCCGAGATCATCGAAGGATTGGGTGGGGATTTGGACTGCGCCAGAGAGGTAGTGTGCGGATTTATTTCTGTATTCCGACGACGCAAGCAACTTCAGGTTGTGTTCCAATGCTTTCGAGGTATGGTTCGGAGCGAGAGCCGACACTTGGGGACACAGCTTCACGGCAGCACTATCGAGCGCAACACGGTCCATCGCGGCATCAGTCTCGAGAATCGGAGCAATGACCCAGTATGCGAAACCAAGCGACGCAAGCCCAATCGTCGCAGCCTTCAAGAATCCAAACCGCTTCTTCGGCTTCGTCCATTTCGGGGCGGGCTCCTGTTCAGTCAAAGCAGCTTCGATGTGCACAGCGTCAAATTTCTCGTAGTCCTCCATGGTGAATGATCTCGGATCGAGTACAGATCAAGAGACGGAGAAGGCGGAGAGGGATTTATCTGTGACGGACTCGGACGCGTCGGCAGCTGATGTTCGGTTACCGGTATCGGCCGGGTTGCCCACCCATGCAGCCCGGATGCACGTGCAGGTGGGCAAGATGGACTGCAAGTTCTTCTCCGGAAGACAATTGAGATGTCAAATTGGGTCTCTCTCGATTCGTGAAATCGAAATTGTTTCTTGTCGACGGATCAACCAATCGGCATTGTCCAATCTCGCGATGCTCCCCACAGAGATCCAGAGCTTGTACGCTTTACGTCATCATCGAATAAAATGCACAATCCATACATAACCTCCAGCTTGATCGCCGAGCGAGAATCATAGACAACGACAACGAACTTCATGGACTTCACCTCAGGAGCCAACATCCCCGTCTGGACCGCGACGGAGCCTTACTCTGATCTCCCTCGCTTCTCGAAGCTCGACACAAACACGGACACAGATGTCGTAGTCGTCGGTGGTGGTATCGCAGGTCTCCAAACTGCCTATGGTGTGCATAGACTACGGTGGCATCCAGCTCTTGTGCTCATGATTTATACACAGAACTCGTTCAACGCAACGTGCGCGTGATCCTCCTCGAAGCTCGCGAGCTTCTTTCTGGAGAAACTGGGCGCACTTCTGGTCATCTCTCCAATGCTCTCGACGACCACTACTACGAGCTCATCAATACCTTCAACCTCGCAGGTGCCAAGCTTGCCGCTGAATCCCATGCTTGGGCCATTGACCGCGTCAAGACCATCTCGACGGAGCTACGCATCGACTGCGAATACCGCAAAGTCAAAGCTGTCATGCTCAAACACCCTGAGATGGAAAACGACCTGAAAGACGAAGCCGAAGCCGCGGAGAAGTGTGGTCTCTCCGTCACTTACGAAGAAAACGGGAAGTTCGGGCGGGACTACCATGGCCCTATCCTCAACTTTGGCGACCAAGCCGTGTTCCATCCCACGCACTACCTCGTCGGTCTCATCAAGTATCTCAAGACGAACTCGCTTTTCCAAGCTTACACCCACACCCGGTTCATCTCCCACAAAGAACACTCCGCAACCTCCGTCACCGTCGAAACCGAAGAAGGCAACAAGATCGCCGCGAAAGCCTTGATCATGGCAACCAACGTACCTCTCCAAAAGCTCGACGTAATCGACAAAGAAGGATTCTGGCGTACGTACTCCATCGCAATGACAGCGCCAAAGGGATTGTACGACGACCTCATCGTGTACGACAACGCTGATCCATACGTGTACGTCCGCAAAACAGCGCATCCGAACCCGGAATTGGAATATATCGTCATCGGCGGCGAAGACCATAAAGTTGCGCAGGAATCTCCGGAGGGTTATGAAGAGCACTACAAGAACCTGGAGGCGTGGACAAGGGATATGTTCCCCTACGTCAAAAACGTCGAATTTAAATGGTCCGGACAAATCGTCGAGCCGAATGACTATATGGCATTCATCGGCCTCAATCCCGGTGCGAAATGCACGTACATCGCAACGGGTGACTCTGGTAACGGCCTCACCCATGCCGTCATCGCCGGCCGTCTCCTCTCCGACTTGTACACTGGTCAGGAAAACCCGTGGGTTGACTTGTACTCCCCCTCCCGCAAGCCCAAGCCTAGGACCATCACGGACGTGGTGCAGGAGAATTTGACCCAAGCCTACTCCGGCCTCAAAAAATGGGTTCTAACAGACGTCTCGGACATCGAATCCATCCCCCGCTGCACCGGCGCAATCATGCACGACACATTCTCCCACGGCGCCCAACCCCTCGCAATCTACAAAGAAGCAGACGGCACAACGCGTACCTTTTCGGCGGTGTGTCCGCATATGAAGGGTGTTGTTGCGTGGAACAGCACTGAGGGGACGTGGGATTGTGGGTTCCATGGGAGTAGGTTTGAGGGGAAGACGGGGGTTTGTGTTGCCGGGCCTTCGAATCAGGGGTTGAGGCCTATTGATGAAGGGGCGACGAGGGGACCGTTGGAGGTTGAGGTTGAGGTTGAGGTGTAGGTTATTGATATTTCTCACGGGCGGTCATCTTGGAGATGGTCGGACTCAGCCGTTGAGTGAGTGTGTATGAATGATAAGCAAGAATATCCAAAAGCAAACATATGTCTAGAAAGTCACCTCGGGGTTCACCCGGTGTCCACCCTGTCCACTTGCCCTGCCTCATTTCGGCGTTGTCTGGGGTGCGTCGGCTGCTCACGCCGCGAATATCCTGTAAACACGACACCTCGGCCTCATAAAACCCTTTCCTTACCACCCCCTTCACAATGACCATGGATATCTCAGAACAATTGCTCCGAGGCGCTCTCCACAGCGACTCCAAACTCGCCCGCGTCATCGATGGCGACGCATCCTCCGACGGCTCCGATCTCTCCGACTTCGAAGACGACTTCTCCTACCCAGCCTCATCCCGCCAATACGATCCCCGAACAGCAAACACCGGCCCAAAAGGTGTGATCGCAGATCGCGACGCCTTCGAAGCCTCAAAACGCGCGGATGTGGCGAGTGGACGGGCGAGACGGGAACAGCGAGCGTTGGAGCGGGCGCCAATCGCGAACACATATGCGCAGGATGGGGAGTTGGAGGATGAGGAGGAGGCGTTGAGATTATGGAGAGAGAAGAGGATGAGGGAGTTGACTTTGAAGGGCCCGGAGATAAGGGGTAGGGATGAATTGAAGCTGGATGGGAGGAGGATGTATGGGACTGTGGAGGATGTGGATGCGGAGGGGTATCTGGATGCTGTGGAGACATCAGAGACCACGGTTGTGTTTATCTATGATGAGGTAGGGTCGCGATCCCACTGGTGAACGATAAGCTGACAGCCATTCTAAAGCTGCAAGACTCCGAACTCCTCTCGGACGCACTACCAATTATCGCGCAGAGATATCCGAGAGTTCGCTTCGTGAAACTGCATTTCCTAGAAGCGGAGATGGACTCCGTGGCAATACCGGCCCTGCTATGTTACCGCCAGGGAGACCTGGTAGCTAATCTGGTACGAGTGGTTGACGAGATTCCGCTGGGGCAGAAGATCACTACGCAGAGTATAGAGGCCGTATTGACACGGCACGAACTACTGGAGCGCAAGGATACTGCGAACGGAGGCGAGAGCGAGGACGATGACTACTGAGCTGGCATCTACACGGAAATCATAGGCGTGTATTTCGTTGAGCTATCCTAAAGCCTGAGTATCCGACTGCAGGCCGTACGCATTTTCGTGCCAAGAACAAATTATTTTAAAGAAAGAAATTAGGCCGTAGCAGCCGCATTCACACAAGCCTTGGTGAAGTCCCAAAGCTTACGCAGCAAGTCATCCGGCAAGGTATACAAGTCCAGATGGAATTCACCCTCTGCAAGCCAGTCGTTAGAGCCATTTTCTTCGCAAACTTGGTCAAATAAGACTTACTCTCAACATCGTTCTTCACGTACATATCGTCGGTCTTCGCGTCGTTCACCATACTCACAACATTCAACAAATCCTCTTCACCGAGCTTTTCCAATCCTGCCGCCAACTTTTCCATATTCACGGGTCTATCGGACTTGCTCTTCTTCTTGGCGTTCTCGTGGCCCTCGAGCTTGCGCTTCTCCTTCTTCAATGAGTAGTCGTCGTCTGCGCGGCCACCGGGGGCTTGGCCGGGTACTGGGCCGGTCTCGGCAAGTATTCTCGCGAATGAGGATCGAGGGTTGTTGAATGTCTGGATATTCATGTCAGTGTATTTCGTTGAGCGGTTGATGGGGATACACGTACAAGAACGTGCTTCTTCTCGTATTTGGGCGCCTGGAAGTGAAGATCGTGTGGAATAACCTTCTCACCCGCACCGCCAGCATAGTGCAAAGTAACAGAGATATCAAACTCTCCCCATCCCTCTTCCTCAATCAAAAATGGTGCCTGGTCCAGCTCTGTACAGATACTCCATTAGCATAGATTCGCGATGTGTGGTGGAAGAAGCGTACTTCGGATAGGCTCTGCGAATGTAGGGTGCAGGGTGTATGTAACTCTCTCGAGGAATGTTGCTGGCACGTCGCGGCCATGGGCATCTTCACACATAATCCTGATTGACCATTTGCGCATAGGGAAACCCTCGGCAGCCGGCTTGCGGTTCTTCAAGATAGACTGTACACTTGGGATAAGCCTGTGCTCGCCGAACATCACGGAACCCTCCCATAACATACAGAAGAAGTAATAAACTTGACGGTACGCTTGACCTGTAGAAAAAACGCGTCAATATACCATCTCGCGCACACACCGACAGCCGAGCACACAAGCAACCTGCAGTGTTCTGTGCCGTTTTAAAGGGAAGACGGACCTCAGACATGATGATTTGACCAAAAAATACTCGAATGCGATGTCCTGAACGGTCTTCCTTCGATACTCTTTCTGCTGCTTCGCGTTTGCTCTTAATGAGGTTGTCGCTAAACGTGAACCTGCAGCGGCGCGGTGTACGAACCATGTCATGGAAATATACGAAAGTTTATATCAGGATCCTCGAGAGACGGCAAGGCAGGACGGACAGGCAAACAGAATGAAACGACAAAAAAGACCTGTATTTTTTGGTATATGGCTGCGGTCCAACTCCTCCTTCAATGTCATCCTCCAAACCTTAAGATTTTTCACTCATGTCTTCTCAAAACACCCACACAAACTGCAAGTTTACTTCTTGTTGGCATCCTGGGCCTTGGTGAACTCGTCCTTGAAAAGGTTGGCGTCTATTGGGAAATGATTAATATCGGTAACAAGGACACAAAAGGAGGAGCAACATACTGTCAGCGTTAGCGAAACGGATGGCCAAAGTCTCAGCAGTAGCTTCTCCCTCAGAAACATCAGCAGTGACGGTGTACACCCAAGAACGGTCGGAGCCGATGTTGGGAGTCAACTTAATCTCCTCAGTAACTGTTCCATTCGTTAGCACATTGGACATGCAGCATGGATATAGAGCAACATACTGTAGTGGTTGGCGCAGACCTTGAGGGTCTTGTCCCGTCTCATGACCAAACGGACCTTGTTGTTCTCCTTGTGCTTCAAGAAACGGACGTCACCGGTACCACGCTCCTTCCACTCGTTGTTCTCCTTGTCGAATCGGAAGAGCTTAGCGCGCCTATAACAACGTCAGCAGACGAACAAGATACACTCTAAAAGCGTACGCACATCTTGAAGACAACCTCCTCCTGCTCCTCGTTGGTCTTGACCTCAACAGCGTCAAGCTTGATGACAGGCTCGAAGTGCACCTCAGGGGACTCAGGGGCCTCATCCTCACCCTACAACATCAATTAGCACCCGCAGAAGTCAATTGACTCAATTGAAACTTACCTCACCCTCCTTCTTCTCCTCCTTCTTCTCAGCGGGAGCACCGAAGATGCTCTTGGTCTCCTCCTTCTTCTCAGCAGCAACGGGCTCAGCGTTGGCGGAGGTAGACAAGGCAGAAGTCTCCTGGTTCTTCTTCTCAGCCTCAGCGGCGAGAGAAGCGAAGGAAGGGGTCGTAGATTCAGAAGCAGACATTTTTATGGAGTATGTTGATGATGTTGGTACTTTCACGACGACCTGCAGCAGGTTGCGTAGCACAGCAGCACCGCCAAAACACTTGCAATTGAGCACGATGCGAAAAATCTGATGAAGTAACCTGGCACTCGAGATGAGAAAACAAAGGAAAAGAGATAAGATAACTTCTACTGCTAGCAAAACAACCATAGCGAAAAAAGAAACCGTTGTCTGCACCAGCTAGTGCAGGCCAATCGATTAAAACGATAAGAACGTAAGATTAAAGCCCAAGAAAAGCGCCGTCCGATAATGATACCCATATCCTACCAACTCCATCCATAACTCATCTCTTCCTCCCGCCGTTGGTCTTCGCCTTCGTGAAGATCGACTGTGCTGCCTTCTGCGCCGGCTTAAAGTACTGATGAGCGAACTTCGTCTGAGCAGCATCAGCCTGATATGAAAGTTCAACTCCTGCTTTGTTCATCAACTGGCGCATGTTTGCAGTGTCCACAGCCACCTTTCCTTGCAACTTCAACATTTCATTCTGAACACGAGAGCCCATTTTTCCAAGATCCTTCTTGAGATGTTCAGTGGTACCATCAAGCAACTCCTTGAAGTGAGAAGCACGATCAGTCAAATCTTCCCGAACGTGAGCGGCGGTGTCGGCCAACATGACCTTGAGATACGTCGCATAGTTGTCGTCCTCGGTAACACCCGTCTTTCCGGTAGGCTGAGGCTCAGGATGATGCATGCCCTTCAACGGGCAATCATCGTCGCACTCTCCGTAGTCAACCTCAAACTCCTCCCTGACAAACGGCTTCTCCTTCGTCCAAGCACGAACAGTGATCTTGCCGAATGCATCCTCACAATCAATGCTAACACTGTAGACACCGTCAAACAAGGGCGCGAGTTTCGCACTGTTGACAATCTTGCCATTACGCATGATTTGAGTGAAGAGCTCAGACGGGTTCTGTACAAACGCCGGAGTGTTCGGCATACGTAGAATGTAGACAGCATCACTCACAAGATGCATGGAGAGTCTCTCATGGATGGGAGAACCACGGTCCGCCAGAGGAGCGCCGAGGTGACCCGGCGCTGCAGCGGTGGGGTGTGGGATGAGCGACGTACTCGTGTCCGGCGAAGCGACTGTTGAGGTTGCAAAGTAGCGTGCGTAGAAGAAGGGGGCGCCGGTGAAGGACACTGCGAGAACGGCCCAAATAACGAGGAACAAACGAACAAGTTGAATCGTTGAGGTAACACAATTTCCTCCCTGTAGAGCATCGAGTTAATTCAGCTGCTTAAGATTGACCCAGCGAAACTCACCTCGAATACGTTCTTCTTCTGTCCACTTGAGATCTCTCTCCCACCCTTCCCCTCGGGGATGGCAGTAGGCGGCATGCAAGCTGACAAAAGGCTTGCGAATTGCCAACAGTCCAACATCATGAACTCTTCAATATCAATAGGCCTGTACCTCGTGACATTCTTCTCAGGCTCATCATACTCAATGTCCACCTTGACTTTAACCGGATTGTTACTCCAGGTAACCACCCGTCCAGCAGGAGAAGAGTCAGAGAACCTACTAATAGAAGTCCAAGGTCCAGCAAGGACATCGAGGCAGCAGATACCACGGCCACGCTTGTCGACGTAGCCACGCACCGCCTTCCTCATGAGGTGGTCACTGACCGAAACGCAGGCAACAACAATATCCGGAGTATCCTCGAAGGTACAAGGGTTCAGTTCAACGAGCTTGATCCTGGAGTCACGGATGAGTTCAGCATCCGGTTCGCCGATTTGCTCGTCTTGGCTCTGTCCAAAACCGATGGGAACAACACTCTGCTCCTCAGCACACCAATCATCCATATCCTCAAAGTTTGTAGCAAGTGCATTAGCGATCTTGTGCAAGACCCACTGACGAAGGGTCTCATCACCAAAATACATGACCTTGAAAGTCTTGTCAACCATGCGCTTCTTAGTCTCAGCAGAACTTAGGGTTTCAGCATAAACGAGCTTAGCAGTAGCACGAAGGTTACCAGCGGGAAGCTCCTTAGTAATAGCAGCAAGAGCGGGAATGTGTTCAACCGGAACATTCCACGTATCACCGTTCTTGAGACGGCAGGGGGAGGGTTGGGTAATTTCCTCATGGGACATCTGTCAGTAATGGAAGGTTATTAGGAAGAAGACAAAAGCAACGCAAGGAAACCTACCTGAGGCAACCTAAGGGTAATCTGAGTGTCATCCAACCCAGCCTCCTCTGGATCAACAGTAAGAGAGTCCTGAAGGCTGACAGATCCCTCTTGCTCGTGGTCCGTGCCATAGTCGGTAATAGGTAACGAATCAGTCGTAGTAGACGAGGTCTCATCATTGCTGTGGACCTCTTCGTTCGGTTCAAACTCCTTAGATAAGATCATTTCGAACTCATCTTCGATACGTTCGGCATTGCTGGCTTCCGGATCCATATTGGAAGTGGGATGAATGCTTCCTTATCTAGTCACACGGTCAGCAGAGGATCCAAGACGTACTTCCGGGAACGAACAGTAGTCAGTCAAGATGATGATGACAGACAGTAAGAGGTGATGGACAGGCTGTCTGGAGGTGGGGTTGATGATGTACGGAGGATGAACGGGGTCGGGTTGGAAGCGTTACGGTTGACCTGGCCGGGTCAGCTGAGAGTATATGGGGCACGATAGGCGCGTATCGCACTACTGCATCCACGGCGACGGATTACGCACACTTTACAGACGGATGGATACCGTATGGATATTCTTATAAATCCATTTGTATAAAAGTCCAAGCTATCAAAAAGATTCAAGGGTATAGATCACTCAATGACCATCCTTTCCAGCCTCTTCGGTCCGTGCTCGTGGAGGAAGTAACCCTCAACACTGTCGTCATCATCTCCAATCCTCGCCGGTGCAACGAACTGTTGCCGTAGACCTTTTCCGAAGTTCACCTCGCAGATAATGGAGTTGACGAAGGTGATCACCATAAGAACCACAGAGATGACAGCTATGCAGCCGGGTCAATAGCCGTTTAGAGACAGAAACTTGCAGGAACATACCAAAAGTCGTCAAACTGATCCTGTCGTGAGAGTAACTGGCCTTCGTGCCCTCGTCATAGATTCTGTAAAGCTTGAAAATGAAGTAGGCACAGGCTGCAAAGAGTCCCACGTCGAATAAGAGAATACCGGCATGGAATTCACGCTTGGTGAACCATACGACACAAAGAAGAAAGACGAAAGTAATGGGAAGAGCAGCGACCGTCACATAGAGCTCGTAGTCGTGCACTCCGGGCACGTTCAGCACCAAAAGCTAGCGAAAAGTCAGTTTCTGCAGAAACAGTGCCGTGTATGCGCTTCCTACCTGCATGGTGAATCCCAAGAAAAAGAAGAAGTCGAACTGAAGCAAGCAGACGAAAATCTGATAGGCTTTGTACAGCCCTACAGAACATGTCAGCAATCCACACAACCTCCAACCATCATGCATTCACTCACGTCTGATCCGCCTATCCGCCCCAAGCGTCTTAAAGATCTCCCAACCAAAGTCCTTATACAACCTCCACGCCAGATAGAAATAGCACACCTGCCCAACAAACACCACAACGGGTATGACAATCAGAAACGGCTTCAAATCATCCCACAGATCCGCTCCATTCACCCCATCCTTCAAGAACTGGGAACCAGCCGAGTCCATAATCGCCGAATGAATTTCCTCTATCTGGACGATCGAGTACGCCAAGAACGTCAGATTGAACAACGTCAACCCAAAAATCTGAATCGTGTTTCGTTGTCGTAGTGCGATGAAGGCGAGGACAGATTGGAAGAGGAAGGCGGCTATGAATATTGATAGGTATGTCGGGACTGTTCTCGCAACTCTGTTTGATAACCGTACGTTGACGGAGTATTGTCCGAAGATGTATGCTTCGAGGGCGCAGTTGACGACGACTTCGATGACCGTGACTGCGAAGAAGAGCTTCGCATTGATCGAGTATGGTCTCTTACCGCCCGCGACAGGCGTTGCTCTGTTAACGAGCGACATAGTGTTGTATGTCAGTCAGAGACGGATGACCTCGACTGAATGCTCTCTGTATATGAACCCGGGAGGCTCTAAGTGGCGGTATAAAACACGTAGCTTCGCGACCCGCGCTGAAGCTGTAGCCTGATCTCCTGTGACCTTCCTGTAAAGACCGAAGACCGTTGAACGAGCTACCGGTGACTGCTAGATATCGATGAGATGTACCGTTTGAACAGGTCTTTTCCTGGCATACAACGCCGTGCAGTCGGCGCGTATATTGACCTGTGCCTCGCTCGGCAGGGTCTGATTAATCGCGGCCGCGGGAGGAGGCTATGTGCATGCAGACACATGCTTCTGAATACACCGCCCAGACTGGGGTACATATGATGACCTTGTTGACGGAATAGTTCTCGAATTATTATGTGTTCTAGATCCTCCTAGATCCCTCCTTTCGCCGTCTATGTAGCGTGTAGCGTGTAGCTATACCGCAGTACTAAAGCCTCAAAGACACAGTGTGGGTATCGTGCGAAATTCCGACCAAAAGCAGTCCCAACCGCAAGCAACTGCACAACTCCGCTATATGAAATGCTCTACCTCAGACCTTCTTTCTCCTTCGTCTTCCTCTAGTCCGTGAATCCACCCATGAGGGGTACCCAGTCGGTGATCAGGCAAGATCCGTCCTTGCCCTCGACTTCGGGAAGGTTGGTTGGGCAGTTACATCTGCATCCAACGGCGTTATCGCGCTCCTGATCCCACTCTGTCGGAAGAGCGTCCTTGTACTGGTGATTAGGCGAGAATCCCGGGCGAGGAAGCTGCTTTCCGGGCGCGTTACCGGGACAGTGCTGAATATCCGTATGACGGTATCCTATGTCACGGAAGTAATGGACCTGAGTCTTCGAAAGGAGCGCACCGACAGCAAGAGAGTGAATAGGCGCATCACCCCATCTCTCAGCCCAAAATCCGCCACTTGCGTCCATCTCCCTGAAGAACTGCATATACTCCTCACTCCTGAAGAAATCCAATCGTGCAATCTCAAAGTTACTCCAGAAATGGCACATGTTGTAGTTCTCCCCCTCCATCGCGTTATCGTCAACTTTGGCTTCGTGGTGTTGGACCTTGCTCGGTAACTGGTCTTCTGGCGAAAGTTCTGGCTGCTCTTCGAATTGTTCGGGCTCTGGTGGTGACTCGAGGAAAAACTCCCACATTCCCTGAGAGGAAACGTTGTGGTTACGCTTATAAGCCGAAGCATATCTGAAAAGGTTAGGCACCGTCTCGCGAAGCTCCTTAATCGCAATAGTGAATCCGTATACCTTGTCGTGCTTCTCCATGTACACGAAAGGATCGTAGGTGATGTCGCACCAGTAGTCAATCTCAGGCTCCACACGCCAGTACCACTTATACTTCAACAACAACGGGTGGTTGAAGAAGAATCCAGAGTAGAATCGACACATATGGTGGTAACTCTCCATTCCTCCGTACATAATCGCCCGATCACCCTGCTGCGCAATCAACTCCTTCGCTTCCGGAATGTCGGTAGTGTTAGGGAATCCCCACATCGATGAATCCACAAATCCAAACTCCACCTTTGAGCTTGTAGCTTTCTTAACTCCTTCCATGAATGTCTCGTTGAAGTGGTCGTTGTTGAGGAAGACGTAGGGGTAATTGAACCATCTGTTGAACCGCGACTCCAAAGACTTCATGGATTCCAAGACGCCGTCGAGTTCGGAGTTTCTGGCCAGAATGACGAATGCTGCATTTGCTCGAGGGTGTGCCTTGGCCGCGACTTCCGGATCTTGACATCCGTAAACGAAAGGCTCGTCGTACTGGGTGTTGATTGGTCTGACAGGCACCCATGGGTCAACCCATTGTTGTACGGGTGATGACGGGTGTCGGAAAATCAAATGAAGAACCACGAGAAGAAGCGGAAGGCCGAGAAGCAGACACGGCAACAGGTACACATTGTACTTCCCAATCCGTATTCTCTTTTGCGCAAACGCCTTTCCGCGTACAACAACAGCATCCAACATCTCCCTCGGCGTCATCCGTCGCACTTCATCGGCAGAAGACGACGCAGCCGATGCTAACGACTGCAAGCTCACCGACGAGCTTGGTCGGCTCGGCAGACGCGAGTAGATGTAGGATGGGTTCAAGTAACTGCTCATGGTGTAGCGCTCTCACGTCCTTGCTGTAAAGTCCCTAACCGACAAAGCTGGTATTCCGAATGATGCACTCGCGACACTCGCAACAGAAACGGCACTCAAACAAACACAATACGCAACACCAGCTGTTGCACGACAAGAGAGGGTGAGGGCAGAGAGCAGCGAAGGGGCTTATCAGATGATAAGCGAAAACTTCGCACTGCCTTTCGAATAAGGTTCACGGGCGTTCGTCCCTTTTCTTCGGGATTATTGTGGAGGGCCGGTCAAGTCGCGCTCGCCCCAGAAATTCAGCCAGGGGCTGTTTCGAATCCGGCCGGCGACTGATACTTGGACCGGTGAACACCCTGATGGGGATGGGATGGGGATGGGATGGGATTGTCTACAGTTTGTATGAGATACTGCAGCTGGGTTCAGGGAGAATTGCTGCTCGTGTGGCAGATTGGTCCCTCAAGTCTACGTTACATTCCACAGTACGACGTCGGGAGCAGTAACCGCCGCGGACCTTCGCTCGCACATCCTTAGCCATGCCCAAATTTCAACTCGAATACGGTACATTGCTCAAAATAGCTGTCTTTTGCCGTACTGACGGTCGCGCAGAGCAAGAGACGCCCAAGTTCCTTCGCATCCTGAAGGGGGAGCAACAAGCTGAAGTCCAACAGAAGCACATTAAGCCACCACAGCTGGATTCCGATGACGAGCAAGATGATGTACGTTTGTATAGAACACCGATACGGTCAAGCTACTTACAGTTCGTACAGGACGCACCACAAGTCGTTATGCTCAAAGGCAAGAAAGCACGGTACCTGGACGAAGACGAGAGTCAACGTGCTCTGAAGGGAGAAAGTACGTCAGTTGCCCCGCAGATCCCTGTGCCCATGTTGACTTGTGTGATTAGAAGTTGCAAAGCCCTTAAAAAATGCCGAGACTGAGGATAAGGCCTTGACCTCCTCAGCTGTCCCCGCGCCGAGCTTCACCAAGCGGGCCAAGGATGCTGCCCTTACGAGGAAGGGCCTCGTCGTTTCTTCTGGAGCGGAGAAGAGGAAGCGGCCAGACACAAACATTGGGTTGGCAGGAGAAAAGCAGGAGAATGGCGCGCCCAAGGAGGAAACGGAGAGGGCGCCCGTGAAGGCAGCGAAGAAAGCGAAGGGCAAGGCCGGGAAGGTCACCCTTTCATTCGATGATGAAGAGTGAGAGAGTGAGAAAGGAACGAAATCGACGCGCAAAACACAGTGCTGCTTTCGTTGAGGGTACAGCTGTGCTCGGGACGTACAGCATATTGCTGTTGAAGGCTAATCATGACGCCTGCCGTCCTTGCTCCACGCGGGCGAGGAAGGCAGATGCACTTCACGCCTTGAGGTGTAGCAGTCTCAGAGCCTCTGTGACTGCTGGATGATTTACGTCTGCCGGCACATGTCTGAGACTGCTACAGTGGGTGATCCGGAGATCCATGGACAGTCCAGCGAATGGAGCACGCAAAGACAAGGGTGGAGGACTTAAATTATAAATACAGAAAAGGCAAGAGTAATCATTGAACTATCCCGAATTGCTGAATAAAGTTCTCCGGTGCCCCAAGAGGCCCAGGGACGGCACTCCGGTCGCGACGCGCGCATCGCCATGCAGCGCCGGTAACCTCCAGCTGAAGTGATCAATTGATTTGATACCCGTCCCCCAGACAGTTCATTCAGCAACAATGTCAATGGTCTGCGCCCTCTCGGGCGAAGTTCCCCAATTCCCCGTCATCTCCTCCAAATCCGGCGCAGTCTTCGAGAAACACCTGATAGAATCCTACATCGCCGAAAACGGCAAAGACCCTCTCTCCGGCGAAGCCCTCACCCCCGAAGACTTGATCGAAGTCAAATCATCCAAAATCGTCAGACCACGACCACCGAACGTTACGTCGATCCCGGCATTGCTGAGCGTGTTTCAACAGGAGTGGGATGCGCTTGCGTTGGAGACGTATACCCTGAGGGAGCAGCTTGCGACGACTCGTCAGGAGTTGAGTACAGCGCTCTATCAGAATGATGCTGCGACGCGTGTTGTTGCGCGTCTGATGAAGGAGAGGGATGAGGCTCGTGATGCATTGGCGAAGATCAACATCTCTGGGCGTCCTGCGGCCTCCGCAAACGGTGGTGATGCTATGGATGTTGACGAGAAGCCTGCTGCTGTGCCGGCATCGGTTGTAAAGAAGATTGAGGAGACGCACGGAGATTTGTCTGCTAAGAGGAAGAAGAGGAAGGTTCCTGCTGATTGGACTACTGCGGAGATCGTCGCGGCGTTCGAAACAACCGTCTCGACAGATGTGATCGCGCCCATGACCAAATGTCTCGCCCTTGACGCTACCGGTACCATTGCTATCGTCGGCGGTGGCTCGCATGCAGTTTTGTTGAATGTTAAAGACCAGGCGACGTTAAATGAGTTGAAGGAAGCTGGAAGCATCGCCGATGCAGTATGGAGCGGTCCCACCCCCGTTACCGCGGCAACGAATGGCATTATCAGGACTTGGAACCAGGACGGATCTGTGGAGAAGACTATTGACCCCGACATGGGACAGGTTGTTAGTGTCGCTTTGCACCCTTCGAGAGACTTCCTCGCTGCTGTTGCGAAGAATGGAACTTGGGCGTTGTGTGATTTGCAGAGTGGAGAGACTGTGGCGAAAATTACATCGAGCGATGGTGAGTCAAATTGTAGAAGTGTTTAAGACTCATGCTAACGAACGTCCCACAGAATTCACTGTGGCACGATTCCACCCCGACGGTCAATTGCTCGGTGTCGGCACCAGCGAAGGCGGCGTGCAGATTTACGACGTCCGAACCGGTCAAGTAATGGCCTCCGTAAACACCAACGGCGGCGCAATCACCTCCCTCCACTTCTCCGAAAACGGATACTGGCTCGCGGTCTCCTCCGCAACCGACAAGAAAGCCCGTCTAGTCGACTTGCGAACTGCTTCCGTTACCAAAGAGTTCGACGGTCCTGGCAAGATCAGCACAGTGAGATGGGACTTGAGTGGGCAGTTCCTTGCGTTTGCGGGTGATGAGGGGGTTATTGTGCAGCAGTATGTTAAGAGGGAAAAGTCGTGGAGGGAGATCAAGAGGTTTGATCGGGCTGCTACGGTTGTGGAGTGGGGAGCGAGGGCTGAGCAGTTGATTACTGGTGGAGCTGAGGGTGTTTTGACCGTCTACGCAACGACAGAGTAAGGAGATAGCATACCATTTTTTGGAGGGAAAAATCGATATTTCTCAGGGTTCAATGCCGCAAAGGAAAGTTCATTTACGTACACCTGCATGGCTCAAGTGCGCGCGAATGCCGTCGCCACACCGCTCTTAACAGACGGCCCATTACAAAGACTTCAACCAACAACAACCAGCTCTCCGTCCATCGACAACTCCTCAACTTCCAGTGAAACTACTCATATAGCTTCGCATTTGTCATGGACGGTCAAAACGGAAGAAATACTCCCGCAGGTGGTCTACATCGTGAGTTATCCCCTCCACAAGCTCCTCATGGGTCCGCGGGACTTAAACATCGGATCAAAGTACCAGGAAGACCTGCGATAGACGTAATCGACCTCACGGGTGACAGCCCTCCGCAACGTCATGCTGTCCCAGTCTCTCGCCGTTCCGTCCCTCCTCCACAACACGAAATCATCGATGTGGATGCGTTACCAGATCGACCACCGCATCCGCAACATCGACTCGCCGACCTGCCACAAGAAGTGAGAAATCAACTCATTCTTGCAGCCCTCAGAGAAGAACCACCATTTCACCAGCCCCAACGACAACAACGCCCACCACAAGAACTCTTCTTCGAAGACCGTCTCATCATGGGAAACCCGAATGGTCAGGCGAGACATCAGCATATCGCACAAGCCACCACGGCGAACGGGAACAGAATCGGTGGAGGAATCTTCAGGAATGTTCAGCATAGGGCTGCGGAGGGCCTCATGAATGCTCTTGCAAATCTGGCAAGACCGACGGGGGAGTCGACCGGGCGACATCAGTTTCGAGCGGCGAGACAGCATCCGTATGCTATGCCGAATTTGAACTACGGCATGGCTACGACGGGGCTGTTGGGCGTTGAGGAACCCGTGAATCCATATGCTGGGGATTTCAAATACCGTGCTCCACCACCGCCTCGCGAAGGATTCACCAGGGCGCCGGTGGAGGACAAATCTCTCATATGTGCATCCTGCGATAACGAGCTCCGAGGATCGGGAGAACAGGATCCCGGTAATGCTGAAGGAAGAGGTGAAGGAAAGGGCGGAGTTTGGATTGGGAGGTGTGGACATGCGTATTGTGGAGATTGTGTGCAGAAGATCAAGACGAAGAAGTTGCCGGGGACCTGTCCGGTTGAGGGGTGTACGAAGAGGCTTAACCAGAAGAGTGGTATGTGGGAGGTTTACATCTGAGATGACGGACGAAAATTTCGCTGTCGGAGGTAGGAAGAAGTATCTTGGGTTTATGGACCGTCATATTGGGTTTCAGGCATTGCTCGCGTTGGCAGTATTCGTTTTTGGTGTACGCTGGCCGTCATCTGGTTGTCTTTTTGGGTCTGGGAGTTCTGTTTACATCGCTATGGTTCGTATTGGAGTTCATCCTATCTTAATTGATTTTGTCTTTTTCGGGATTTTGACGTCTGGGGACGTGTCTGCTGCGCGATGCTCAAGTGCAGTGTGGGGTCCGCGAACCGCCAAAAGTCCAGAGATTCCCGCAGATCCCCATTTCAGTACAGCAACAATGGCCGGCGCAACCCGTAACTCCAGCATGGGCCTCAAGAGCCGTTACCTCGTCCTCTACAACGTAGTCTCTGCTTGCGCATGGGGTGCCCTCCTCGTCCGCGTCGCTGCCCTTCTCTACCTCGGTGGATACGAGAACGTCCACGCTCATGTCTCTGAGTTCGCGAAGTGGACGCAGACTGGAGCCCTCTTGGAGGTTTTGCACATCACTTTCGGTATCATGAGTAGCTCTGGCTTTTAAGAATCGTAACCTGACTGCTATTGGTACAGGCCTCGTTCGATCCCCGTTGATCACCACCATTATCCAAGTCGCGTCCCGTATCCTCCTCGTTTGGGGAATCGTTCATCCCTTCCCTGAGTCCACCGCCATCTCGCCCGCTTACTCCTCCATGTTGATCGCATGGAGTGTCACCGAAGTCATCCGTTACTCTTACTACGCCTTGAACCTCCTCGGCGGTGTCCCCAAAGCGTTGACCTGGTTGAGGTTAGTCCATTGTCCTACCCTTAACGCAATATTCAAGAGGCTAACTGCGTGATAGATACAACACTTTCTTCATCCTCTACCCCCTCGGCGCCGGTTCCGAGGCTTGGTTGGTTAAGCGTTCTCTCGGACAAGCTGATGCGTGGAACCCCATGTACGGATACCTCCTTCGTGCTATTCTCGTGATCTATGTCCCTGGATTCTACACTATGTTCACGCACATGATCGGACAGAGGAGGAAGGTTATGAAGCAGATGCGTGCGAAGAAGCAGTAGAATGGAACTCGATCAGGAATGGGAGTGAGAGTGGGAGAGAACAAACAATGAGATATAGATCGTGCCGGCGGCCCATCACATTTTCTTCATTAATTGACCCACCGTCTGTGCCGCCAGCTCTCTCCGCTCAGCCAACGGAAGATCTTTCCCTTGTTCCCTCGCAGCCAACAATGCGCCCATCATCTTCTCCAGCCCCTCAACCTCATCGTCATCAAGACCATCATTATTCTCCTCTTCATTGTCTTTGTCCTCTTGTGGTATACTCGACTGTGCCAACGCCTCCCGTAACCCAGCCATTTCCCGTGACATATCAAAGAACTCCTCATCGAACTCCGACGTACCGAAATCATCCCCAATCTCGGCTATCGGACCCTCGCCGTCGAGATCATTTTCGTCAATCGTATGCTCATCATTCCAGTCATTCGCTTCCAGCGCTTCCCGGATTCGGGCGAGTCCGGTTTGTTCTGTAGGTCCCTTCATCAACATCCGGTTAGAAAACACGATGGGTTGTACCTACCTCCATATTCATTCCTCCCAGTCGCAGCAAAATCGACATACTCAAACCCAGCATCCGTACACGCCTCCTCGCACTTTCCCTCATCCACCCCCTCCACTGATTTGTGCATTCCCACAGCCACACAAACACCGTTCCATACCCCATACTCCCCACCACACCGCTCCACAATCCTCTCAGCAGCTTTGGTACCCTTCATACAATCCCTCATATCCTCCCCATGCCGAAACGTTACGATAATAGCCCCGAGCACGTCAAGCACCTCCCGTGCTTCCTCGGAGCAATAGCCGTCTACCCACTCATCCTCCTTGCCCGGCGTGAATTCATCGACCCAGATTGGTACATCTGCTGAGTAGTATGGTGTTTTGATCGGTAGGGTGTGCGAGAGACCGGCGTGGGAGGTGTTGGTCGGTAGGAGATCTGAGGGAAGGGACGAGGTGAGAGCTGTTACGTTTGCGTCAACTTGGATCAGGAAAATGGAAGGGTTTGCGGTGTACCTTTGACAAGAGTTAGTTTGCCGGATTTTGGTGGGCCTACGATCAGGATACGTTTCGTCATGATGGGTGGTAATCGAGGGTGAGTGTTTTGAGCTGGGGATGTAACGTAGACCTGCATATGTGTGATATGACGCACATGGTTTACCAGAAGTATCATTTTATATAGTTTCTGTCCTCCTTGACCACCAACTCCTTTCAGGTATCCAAGAACGTGCTGCGAAAGTTCTCTTTCGCGTAACACAGTTGCTTCCGCCCATGTCCTTCAATACGGGTCTTTCGCTCCTGATAGATTTCGTTTCGCTTCGACACCGACGCCCATACGATGACCTTGTTCCTTCAGTAGCTCGATTACTGTCCCCTTCCACCTCTGGCCCTTGCAACCGTCGCCCTTCCTCTTGCCAATCCAATACCACGTCCACGTACTGCTCTTGATCTGAACATTGGTGCATTTCTACAAAACCAGTGTTAGCAAATCGGAATCGAGAACTAGAAAGCCGCATACCTCAACATATCAGGGACGATAAAGAATCGTACGTGACTCCCCCGAATATAAACCTGATCCAGATGTGACACGCGTCCGTCGCGAGCGGTGACGGTGATATCTTTCAGTTGGACGTTCATGTTGTCCTCGGCTGGACGAAAGGAGATGAGTGCTTGAAACATATAGAGAGGAGTTTGGAAAATACCTTCGAAGAGCTTTCCTCGGTATGTTTGACCGTTATTCAGTTCGAGGGTAACGACATGTCCCTGTGATTCGTGGAGAAGCTTGATTGGAATACCGATTGAGCCCATTGTCTACCACCTCGGTTAGTACCACAACCGTCAGACAGCATCCCAAGAGCACTCACAGTTCTATTTGATTGTTTAACTTCCTTGTCGTACTTAGAGTTGCGACTTAAGGTTACCCTTGGTCCCCCACTCCTGCGTCGGCGAGCAGTCCAGCCACCTCCGCCACCCGGGCAAATTCAGACAGCCTGTAACGTAGACACACCACCCCGATCTCACTCAGAACGGCAATGGACAAACCGGCAATCACCGCAATCTGCAAGAAATGCAAAAAGAACCCGGGCGCGATTGTCGTCCGGTACGAAAACCTGTGCAATGAGTGTTTTACCCGCTATGTACAGCGCAAGTTTCTGCGACATATGGCGAAATATCGGGAAGCGTTGCCGGCGGATGAGGGGAGGAAGTTCATGGTGTGCTTTAGTGGCGGTGTTGGGAGTACTGGGCTGCTAGATATGGTCAGCACATTCTACAATGTCATGGAGAGGAATGAGAAGAGTCCGCGAGCTGTGGACGGTATCCTTGTCGTTCACGTGGACGAGTCCGAACTCGGCGAGGAGTCTATCGACGACACCATCCTGAAGGGAGCAGGGCAACGCTACCAAGGATTTCAAGCCGTGAGAATACCCCTCTCCCACGTCTTCGATCTCCTCCCATCCTCAACAACCTACACCTGGGACCCCGCAAGCCAATCCCTCCGAATCTCCCCATCCCACCCATCATCACCACCACCCCCAACAGAACGCTTAAACGCACTCATCTCCTCCCTCCCCTCCCCAAGTTCACGCTCCGACCTCCGCGCCTACCTCCGCACCAAACTGATCAACAACCTCGCCCTACGAGAAAACTGTTCTGCCATCCTATACGGCGATTCCGGGACACGGTCTGCTGCCAAAATTCTGGGGTTGACGGCGAGTGGGAGGGGACACACTGTGCCGTATGAGATTGGAGATGCGGTATCGAGCACGAGCACGAGCACACAGGCGATGATGGAGGGGAAGGGGGAAGGGGAGGAGAGGGTGGCAGTGGATGTTGTGAGACCGTTGAAGGATTTGATGCAACAGGAACTCGAGTCATACCTCGCTCTCCACGAATTGACGTATGTAAAGTCTGAGATCCCGGAGCTCAGTAATGTGAAGAATTACACCATCGACCAACTCATGACACGATATTTCCGTGGGCTCGAATCTACGTTTCCGTCGATCGTTGCAACCGTGGGACGGACGGCTGAAAAATTAGGAAGGGCGGTGGAGAGTAAAGGTGAAGCTGGACGGTGTAGGATCTGCGGGATGCCAGCGGAGAAGGACGTTAAGGAGTGGATCGAGCGGTTAACCGTGAACGAACCTGCGCCGCTTGAGGAAATCGAAAACAACTTTGCTCGGGCGCAAATTGGAGATGCGCCAGCAAACGATGCTGCGGTGGCAGATGAGAAAGATGAGACTGATGTGACGAGCGAGGTTTGCTATGGATGTTTGGCGGCTACGAGACATGCTAAGGCGCCGTTACCTTGGCCTGTGGAGAGTGTGCAGGGGAGGAGGAATGATACGCAGAGTGTGCTGGACAAGTATCTTATAAATTAGAATACTTCCGACTTTCTGAATAGACGGGGAGTTCTCGTCAGTTTTCAAGTATTCCTGTCCTTCGTCCAACTCAACCTGAGGTGTGCAGCACCCAACCATCGTGGGAAAATGACAGATGCGCTTTGCACCCTTGACATAGCCCAACTTACTTTTGATATAACAACAGCCTGTCAGTACTTCCGCCTCTTCGAACCCCGATCCATACTCCTCTCCCGATCATCAAACCTTCTCCTCCTATCATCGTCATACCTGACCCGTTCACGATCATCATCATGTCTCCTACCATCACGATCTCTATCGCGGTAGTCATCACGGCGGTCATACCCGCGTTTGTCTACTCTGTCCCGATCGTCCCTTGGTCTGCTGTCATACCCACCACGTCTGTCTCTGTCACGGCCATCACGGAACTCACCGCGGCTCTGGTCCCGTGGACCACGCTGGTCATGCCCGCCGCCGTACCCACCACCTCGTGATTGGTCGTGTCCTGGCACGACACTGGCTTGCTGCATAACCGGTGAACGCCCGGCGCCAGCGCCAACGCCAGGTTGTCCATGATGGCCGTTTTGGTAAGGCTGCTGTGGCGGGCCTTGATTCATCATAGCCGGTGGCCCATTCGGGGGGTATTGTCCCTGAGGCGGGAACCCTTGCGAAGGACCCTGGAACCCTTGCGGTCCAGTCGGTGCACCAGGCATGAACGGCGGTTGTTGGTTGCCACCCGAAGGACCCATTGGAGGGCCATTACCCGGGAAGCCGCTGTTCTCGGCCATACGACCTGGACCTTGGTCGAATCCACCACGACCGCCCTGGAATCCGCCTCTGTACCCGATTCCTCCACGGCCTCCTCCGCGGTTGTCTCCGAAACCGCCACGCCCACCTTGGAATCCACCACGATCGCCTCCGAAGCCGCCGCGTCCGCCGCCGTTGAATCCTCCCCTCTGGAACCCACCCCTGAATCCACCGCGATCACCGCCGAATCCACCGCGATCACCGCCGAATCCACCACGCCCACCATCGAAACCTCCACGTCCGCCCTCGAACCCTCCCCGTCCACCACGGAACCCACCCCGGAATCCACCCCTAAATCCACCACTAGGTCCAAACGCCGGGGCAATAGGCCTATTCTGAATCTTCGTATATCCACGCCCACCCAACCCACCACCCAATCTCCTCGGCTTCCATCCCTTCACAGTCCTCCCACGCTCAACATCCACAACAACCCTCCGATCCCGGATTCTCAAGCCATCACACTCCTTATATGCGGTTTTCATGTCCTTTTCGCGTTCGTAGACGATGAAAGCGTAGCCTGTGGGTTTACCGGTCTCGGTGTTTTTCACGATGCGGATACGCTCGATGGGTCCGAATTTGCTGAATTCGCGGTCGACGTCTTCTTCAGTTGCTTCGTAGTGAACGCGGGAGACGAAGAGAGTTCGGTATGGATCACCACGGGCTTGGCTATCTGAGCTTGGGTCCCCTACACGATGAAGTCAGCTTAGGCACGTTAGTTGAGTTGAGGATCGACGTACACTTCTCTAAAGCCTCCTTCAGATCTTGCTCATGCTTAGCTTTCTTCTCCGCCTTCAGTCTTTCCTGCCTCTCGGCGATACTTTCCGTCGGCGTATAGTCAGCGACATGATCATTGAGCATCGCCGCATACTTCGCGACTCCAGAAAGACGAGGGGTAATACGCTTCTCGGGCGCGATGTCAACCGGAGCGAGATATCGGACTGGAGGCCTCGGCTGGAACAGGGCCAGCAAATTGGGCGGAAGTTTGTCAGTCTAGGTAAACAGATCAGCCCGAGTCCCCGTGGAGGATTTCGAAAGCTCATACGCCAACCATGGTTACCCTGTGGTTAAATAATAATAGACAATTGCAATTGCGAGCTTTGGCTGGCGACGTCGCGATTCAGGCACCGAGGCCGCAACAGCGCGAGGGCCAGACGTTCCCGTTTGGGAAATGTAACGTAGATACGGTGTAACGTAGATATACTGAGGCACTCCAGAATCATTCACAGGACAGAGCATCGCCATGTCGCCCTCTCGAGGAGTTCTGAACACTATCACATCTGCACGTAGGTGCTTCAACAGCTCACGGCAGCTGCTGTCAGACGAGAAGGTCCGGCTGTTTCTTCCCACTTCTCCGATGTTTACTGACAAGGTTTCTGAAGGTGACCGCTCATATCTCCACATCTCTATCCCCCTTCACGAACCTCGCATACGAGGACCACCTCTTCCGTACTTCCTCTCCAGACGCCCACACCCTCCTCCTCTACCGCAACCGCTCCGCAGTAATCATCGGCCGCAACCAAAATCCATGGAAAGAAGCCAACCTCTCCCTCCTCCACGCCCGCAACATTGCGCTCGTACGTCGACGGAGTGGAGGAGGCGCAGTATACCACGAAGAAGGAAACACGTGCTGGAGTGTGGGCATGGCGAAGAAGGAGTTCGATAGGGTTACGAATGTGGAGATGGTTACGAGGGCGTTGCGGAGTTTGGGTGTGAGGAGTAGGGTTAATGAAAGGCATGATATCGTTATTGATACGCCGGAGGGGGAGACGCTGAAGGTTACGGGAAGTGCGTACAAGCTCGCACGAGAACGGGCATACCACCATGGCACGATGCTGCTGAACGCTGATTTAGCCGCCCTGGGCGGTGCCCTGCGAAGCACTCGTGCCCAAGGCATCGTCGACGCTCGCTCCGTTGAGAGTGTTCGAAGTCGCGTGGGGAATGTAGGCATCCCTCACGACGACTTCTGCGCAGCTGTCAAGACAGAATTCGAGAAACTATACAACGAAGGCAAAGAACTGGAGTGGAAGGTTTTCGGGGATCACACGCTTGAGGAAATTCCGGAGGTGAAGAAACTCGCGGAAGAACTGCAGTCGTGGAATTGGACTTTTGGTCAGACGCCTCAGTTCACGCACGAACTCAATGGATCGTTCCACTGGTCGGACGTCACGGTAATACTCACGGTGAAACACGGAGTTATCATCGAAGCAAAGGTCGAAGGAAACTCTATAGACGACGGAATTCAAACACGTCTTAGTTCCGTGGGAACCAGCTTGGTAGGCAAACAATACGGCCGTGAAAGCGTACGACTAGCCGTCATGGAAGGCGTGGAAGACTCTGATGCACGTGGGAACGCCCGCTTGAAGGAAGAGGAATTATCTGAATGGTTATCTTCTCAGCTCGACTGAGAGTAGGATTTATTGAAAGTATCCTAGACTAGATTTTTCCACCTTCTGCAATTCTAGATAAGAGCCCGAGAAGACTCTTCTGCTTTTCCTCATTCTGAGTAGAGCTCGACGCGCGTCTAACGTTGCTTGGCGGCGTAGGTAAAGGTGTGCTTGAACCAGAACGGCCACCGTTCAAGATAGACAAAATATCCATTGGGTTTCCAGAAGGCTTAGGCGACACCGGGACCATAACATCAGGTGTGGCCGGCGCGTGCACGGAAGGTGCGGTTACGTCGTGGGTAACGGGACTAGGGCCCGTCTGTAGTAAGCCAAGAAGGCTTGCTTTAGAAGGCTTAGACGAACCATTCATGGGAACGGCATCACGTCTGACTGTCAATGTTGTGTCAGGTGATGCTGGTGCTGCTGCCCGCTTCTGGGATGGTGCACCGTTGAGGAGCGAAATGAGGGAAGCGCCGCTGGTGCTCAACGAAGGGTATGGTATACTTGACATCTCCGGCGCGGCCTTGACTCCCGACCCCATCAATGCAGACAAGAGGGGGTTCGCTGGCATCACCGAGATAGGGGGATTGTAAAGTTCAGGAACTGCCTTCGGAGGGCCCTGCAGAGCAGCCAAGAGGGAATTCTTTCCGGGCGGGGCCGTAGTAGAGACAGCGGGTTCAAGAGCAGCAACCTCTTTAGGCGTCTCCGGTGCTGCGACTGGAGGCGGAGGAGACCTTTGCAGTGCAGCTAGAGGAGGGCTAACTGTCGGGGCTACAGCAGGCTTGTCCCTGCTCTCAATAGGTGCACCCTGAAGTGCTGCCAAGAGCGGGTTCGTAGGTTCCTTGTCAGCCTTAGGAGTAGCCGCGGGTGAGTTGAATAACGCAAGGAGCGAAGCAGAGTTCTTCCTCGGCATCTGGGGTGTGTGAATCGCCTCAGCCTCCGGCTCAGGCTGCTGCGATCCCTTCAGGGTGTTCAAAAGATCCCGGGCTTCAGTCATAGCCTCACCCGGGCCGATCTCAGTGGCAGACGGCGCCACGATTTCGCGCTCGGGCTCAGGCTGTGGCTTCACCTCACGCTTCAAAATACGGATCTGAAGCAGGCGAGGCTCCTGCTTCGGTGCAGGCTTTGCCGCCATTGCCGACGGACCATTGAAAATGGACAAAAGCGACGAAGAATCGCGACGGGGCATGGGACGCGCAGTCGGCTGCTCAGGCGAAGGTATCGTCTGCGTACTAATCGTCCTCGAGGGAGCCTTGGGTACTGGGGGGGTATCAATCTTCACCTGTGCAAATTGAGCAGAAAGATCCTCCTCGGACATAGCCGGTGCCTCATTCGACTTTTCCTGAGGCGCGTTATTGAAAAGACCAAGAAGGGATGCAGCGTGCTTATTCTCCTTGCGCGGTGTAGCTGCGATGGGGAATGTATTAAAACCAGGCAATGACTCGGCTGTAGGCGCTCTTGGCTTAGTTGACAGCTGCGGCTTCGGCGGAACTGACGGCTCCACAGGGAACGGTGCCTGCTGCGGCGGAGACATAAACTCAAGAGGATCTTGCTGATGAACATGCATGTTTTGCATATGACCCATAAAATTAGGCAGATTCGACGGAGGCGGGGCATGGTAAAAGTCCGGGCCAGGTACACCCGGGAAAATCATCTGGCGGGTACCCATTGGCGGTGGTTGCCAGCCGGGCGGAGGTCCAAATCGCATACCGTGCTCCATGAAGGGCATGGGTGGTTGAGGATGTGCGGGAGACATCTGCATTTGGAGATGCGCATGGTTAAATTCCGGGCTGAAGAGCATATGCGGAGGCATGGGAGGGAGCTGCTGCTGCATCATTGGAGCAGTAGGTGGCCTCTGAGGAGAATCCATGACCATTGGTGTTGGTGCGCAGGCAGGACTCTGCTGAACTGGCGGAGCAGGTGCCTGAGGCTCTTCCGGAGGTGGTGGGGGCGGTGGTGCTTCACCCGCTGCCAAACCTTCAGGTCGCTTGAGGATAGCCATGATCTTCTGACCTTGACCACTCGATGGTCTCGATTTGGTCTGCCTGCTACCTCCGGATTTCAACATTCCCAAAATCTCCGCACCCGCTGACTTGCCCTTCGAAGACTTCTGTGACCTCTGAGAAGGCGCAGGAGATACGCTCTTGATCCTCGCGCCATTGTTTAACATGGCCAGCAATGGGTTTTCGTTTGTCTTTGCTGCCAGACTCTCCTCTCCAGGTATAGTTAGGTTGAGCAACGCCTTGAGCCCAGCCGTGGTCTCCCCAGAATCCACAACAGCCTCCTCAGCCTCGGCTGCTGCATCATCCCTGAAGAAAGCTGGCAGGTTCGACAAGTCCACTGCCTTCGCCATGGCTGGCTTCCTCTTCGTGATCCAATTCCTCAATGGAGCCAAGAAAGGAATGACCATGTAGAACTTGCCCTTCCCAGTCTTGTCCACAGTCTTCACCATCTTCCTGTCGTTCCTCCTCTTCAAATTCGAGTATGTTGGCAGATCCAGAAGATTATGCCACTCAACCTTCGAGATCTCCTTTCGCGTCTGCGGAACGAATGACGTCTCCATCGGGACACCCTGCACGATATACAGCCTAATCTGCTGCTCACGAATCGTAATGTCGATGAAATCCTCAGCCGTCACAAGCGGCGTAATGTCATACCCTGTCTCCTCATACACCTCACGCGCAGCACAATCAAGATCCGGCTCATCCTTATTGATCTTACCCTTCGGGAACCCCCACCCACTACTTGACTTCCACCCCTTAACAAGCACACACTTATCCAACGTCTGATTCAGCATGATAGCCCCTCGTACCGGTACTCGAGTCTTATACGTCAAGAAATCCTCGAACGCCTGTTCATGCTGTCCCGACCATTTCCACAATAACGGACAATGCTCAAAGATCCGCGACGTAAATGTGCGGAGACTGAGGGATGGCAAGAACGGGTTTTCCTCGCGGACAAAGTCTTCGTAAAACCAATGTGCCTGTTCGATCTGGAAACAGATTCGCTCGACGGAAACGAGTTCTTCTTCGGGTAAATTGATAACAAAGCGGCTGGAAGGTTCATCAGGGATCAGTCTACGGGACTAGGACCGGCATTGAATGCAACATACACTGATAGATCATCCAACACCTCGTCAAACTTCGCGCTTGCGAATGCCATTGCAATCGCAGGTTTCGCTTTCTTGGTATCTGTCTTGTCTGCTGGTGTCGGCGTAGGTGTGCGTCCAGGCCCGTTGAGCTGCACCAGTCCTACAGCCGCGTCGACGTCCGCGTACCGGTACGTTACTTTCAATCGTTGTCAAACTTAGCAGCTGCTGTACATCTCATGAATCCAAAATATGATAGTATTATCTTTATCGCGATAGAGTAGATGCCTTAAAGTCCAATTCCACGTTCTGGGCCAGCCAAGCACATGAAACTCCTTCCCACCAAGAAACCTCCGAAACCTCGATCAATTGAGCCGACTCCAAAAACGCACACCTATCCTTTCCAAGCCGAAGCGTCCCAAGCTAATCTATATTGTTCTTTTGCCTCTGCAATGGTCTGAAAAGCGAGAGATCAAGCTTTTGACAGCTCCCTGTTCAACTCGGCACCAAGCTCCAGTGGAACACCAATGTTGGCCCGTGCCGGACTACCCAGGATCCCGGCACTGTCGAAATTCAACTTTCTCCTCGCAGAAGGCGTAACACCGCCAGGCGTCCACCCCGTTCCTACAGGCGTTCGCGCATTCCTGATCGTCCCAGGTGTACGCGCAAACATCCCACCGGGGGAGGGCGTGTTGATATTCACATAATCCGCGAAATTGAAGCCATTCCCGGGCGTCTGCGGTGCGATCATCGGTGAGGAAGTCGGTGGCATAGAAGAGTTCGTATGGTGTCTCTGAATGGTCCCGGTAGCCGGGCTCGGACTCGTCGCCAAGAAGAGTAGTAAATCGGCTCCTTCTTCGGTTTCTTTCATACCGTTTGGTCTGAAGGATGCCTTCCTTGGTGGGGTGCGTGGAGGTGATGATCCGAGGACCAGATCGGAGGGTGGATCGCTATCAACACCTGGTTGAGGTCGGCGAATGGGGGATGATTGAGAGTGGTTGAGGCGTTGAGAGTTTTGCCAGGCGGTGTTAAAGAGGTGATCCGTATGTTCCGTAGCGCTCGATCTTCTGATACGCTTCGTCGCCGAGCGGGGTTTTTCATAAGGTAGGGAAATGGGCGGTAGACGATCGCCATCTGCAAGACCCAGAATGCGTCTCTTCGAGGGACTTGGCAATCCCGGAACGAGGAACTCGGAGTCAGACGTTCGTGTAGGTGACTCTCCTGAGGACGACTCCTTTCGTCTAGCCGATTCTGCAGCCACCTTAGGTTCGATAGCCGCCAGCGGCAGATTTTCCCACCCACGTTGAGTCTTGTACATGGCGAGATTGAGACGTGTTTTCAGGTTTCTCGACATCTGTGTCACGCAAAGGTTAGCTGTGCACCGTGATAAGGGATGCGGCATATAGCCGCCGTTGCCAGCGACGCGTTAAGTGAAATCAAACAAGGCAAAGAAAGAGGTAGAAAAATACCATCGATCTGCCTGTACTCGAGCCCCAAAGCACATTTCTGCCCAAAGAACATAACGCACCTTGGAAATTTCCACCCTCCTCAGGATTCTCTCCTCAGCTTCGCGTTGTTGAGCCGGGGTCAACGACGCGTTCGAAGGCATGGCGAGGGACGGAACGGTGACCGATCGGATGGATTGATCTGTTGGAGTGTATGCTGGGAAGGTAATGGGGGATCAGAGGAAGCGCAATGACGACTGTTTTGTTTGTCGTTATCTTGGTTGGACGACAGCTTGATTAAGGGGAGTCTTCAAAGAGCGTACAGCTAAAGCATGCCTGCAGCAGAACTGGAGCACTTGAGCAGGTCGACGCGTTTTTGACTGTTGCAGAAAGTAGGAGATTGAAAGTGATCTGGTCAGTTATCTTCTTTGAAAATACAAGCAAAACCTAATCGTGTAATATTCGTGTCTACCATGTATGATACCAGAACATCCATGACGTAAGGCTTCCTCTGTCTGAGGGGATAAGGTTGAAGCCTTGCGGAACTCAACACCAAGGCGATCATCCCAGCATTTATTCCCGGTAAGACCATCCAAAATGGCAGCTATCCTCAAGAGCGTCGTCATAGACCGCGTCCTCGGCGACCGCAAGAAGAACCTGTTCAACCAAGAGGACCCCTACTTCGAACCCGACGTCCCCGGCCAGAAGCGCAAGAGAAAGGGCATTCCCCCAGGCTTAAGTGATCGCGACGCAAAGATTCTTAAAAAGGTATCTCGTTCTTTCGCATGGGGGCAAGCACCGCGACTGACAATGAGGTACAGGTTAGAAGAAAGTCCTACCGCCTCGACCGCTCCATTTCCTGCATCTGCTGCTCCTTCCGCTTCGGCTGGTCCGCAATCATTGGCTTCCTCCCCGTAATCGGTGACGTCCTCGACGCCCTCCTCGCCTACAACGTCATCAAAACCGCATGCGGTGCTGACCTCCCTCCCCATGTCGTCTCCCAGATGTACGCCAACCTCGCTTTCGATTTCGGGATTGGCTTGATTCCGATTGTAGGGGATATTGCGGACATGATTTTTAAGTGTAATACGAGGAATACGGTTTTGTTGGAGCAGGTTTTGATTAAGAGGGCGCAGGACAATATGGCGAGGCAAGGAGGCAGTGGAGGGCATATTGATGCGCCGCTGGAGAGTCATGGGTGGGTTGGAGGGAGGAAGAAGCAGCACACGGATGCGCATCAAGGACAGGTTGGCACGGGTTCAGCGGCTGCTGCGTCGAGTTACGGGGCTATTCAGGGAGGACAGAGCGCGGGGCAGCAGCAGATTGACGGTGTTGTGTAGTCCTGGACGGCAAAAAGGATCAGCGTGTACGATAGGTGCCTACAGAACTTTGGATACACACACGATAGGATAGGACATGCCAATGTTGAACGTTCATTAATGCTACTCCATACCAAGAATCGTACACTCGCTTTATATCGCACAGACCAGCTCTGCAATCAGATGGCTCAAGCAATGACCAACTCCTTCACCTCCGCAATCTCACACGTCCTATTCCAAACCTTCTTCGCGCTCTCCTCCACATACACATCACCATGCATCTCAACCACATTCCCAGCTTTATCCACGAACACCCCCGTCCTCCCTCCTAAATGCTCCTCATCGCAAATAACCCTCGCAATACTCCTCCCACCCTGTGCCGGGGTCCTCGCGAATGGAGCGTAATGGATAACGTGGTTCATCAATAGCCTGTGGTGCCAGGGTGAGGAGCGGGAGAGGAGGGTGGAGGGGACGAAGCCGGGGGAGGCGATGGTTACGGTTGTGTTGTGGGGCGAGAGGAGGGATGACCAGTGTGGGAGGCAATATGCTTGGAGAAGTTTCGCGCAGCCATAGGCTTGCATGGCGTCGTACTTGTAACCCGGGCGGATAGAGCCGGGTGTAAGGGAGAGCTGTTCCCATGTTTGGGCGGGGTCGGCGCGTTTGTGGAGTTCGCTGCCAGTAAAGACGACTTTTGCTTTAAACCCCTCAGCAGAGCGAAGCTGGTCCTTAAGTAAGGCGAGAAGGAGGAAGTGCCCGATGTGGTTGACCATCGTAGTCTCCTCGACGCCTTCCGTGAATCTTGGGCCATCTTGGAAGACAGCACCGGCGTTCAGCAACATAACCTCGATCCCATCCTTTACCTCCTGCTTCACCCTCGCCGCGAAATTCCTCACGCTCTCCAACTTGCTCAAATCACACTCATGCGCCTCAACTTTCAACCCCGGCAACTTTGGCTCCAAACTCTGGAGACGCTGCACAGCCTCTCGGGAGCGGGATGAGCGCGGATCGTGTTGAGCGAGGATGAAGGTCCAGGATTGGATGGGGATTTTGCGGGCGTATTCGAGGATGACGGTTTCGAGGCATTCGACGCCTACACCGCCGGCTGCGATTCCTGTGGCTCTGTGAAGAAGTTAGAAGGGGATGGAGAGGGAGGAATGCATGGGAGAGAGACGTACAAAAGCGTGGGCATCTTTCTGGAGAGTATTGCGCTTGATCCTTGACAGTACTCTTTATGGTTTGGCTGAATCGACCTTCACGGTTCTTAGTTGACGGTAATTAGAAATCTCTGTTTGACGTTCGGTTTCTCAATTGAACTCAATTAAGGTTTCGTCACGGCGCAGCTCTTCTGCAGACCCTGCATCAAATGGGGCAATCGCAACCGCCCAAGGCCACCAGCCGCAAACATCGCAAACACCGCACGCCCGTTCTCGACCATCAGCATTTATACCCATATGATCTAGATGGCACGACAATCTTTATATGACTCCTCGAATGCGAGTAACCCTTCGATTCACGTTCATTCGTCCTCCGTCGACTCGAATGTGGGTGCGGATGAGGGAGATATGGGGAGTGGTGGGTTGAAAATTGGGAGGATACCGGAGTTGAGGCCGCATGGGACGGAGCCGATGGCGATTCCGAACGGACATGAACATGGACATCATCACGATCACCATGACCATCATGGGCACGATCACAATCACAGCTATAGCCACGGCAATGGAAACGGACACACCCACGGCAGCTTCGCCTCTGCCGTCTCCACCATCTCCCCGCCAAAGCTCTCGTTAAGCTACTCCCCCTCACGCCCAACCTCGACCCCAAAAAAGAATTTCGCCTTCGCCATCCCAGCCCCACGATCCCGCTCCCCCTCTCCCACCCGCCATGTCTCGATCCCCGCACCCCCGCGTTCTCCATCACCCAAGCGGATCTCAATTCATCCCGTCAAGGCACCGTTCAGTTTCCCATCTGTCCCGAGTAGTCCGCCGATGAAGAGGCCGCCTGCGTGGGGTGGTGGGAATGGGACGGGGACGAAGCCGGTGTCCAGGAGGGGACATCACCACCAAAGGTCGTTGTCGCATAATATCTTCTTGCCGCCGAAGGAGAGGGCGCCGTTGGCGCTTCCTGCGTCGTACACCGTCCCCACCATGCGCGAGGTTCTCTCCTCCCTAACCTCCGCTCAGAAAAGTCGGTTTGTGGTAGCACTCGCTCATGTTGCGGCAGCGGCACTGTGCTGGCACACCTCCCCCTCCCACTCCTCAACATCCCTATCCTACGTAACCCTATTCGACGCACTCGGATCCCTGACTTGCTCCCTTTCCTCCTCCCTCCAGAACTTCGAGGTATGGGATAAACCCTCCGTACGACGTCCATTCGGACTCAGGCAGGGAGAGGTGTTGGCAGGGTTTTTCGGAGCGGTGTTTTTGTTGTATGGAGCTTTGGGAGTTATTCTGAAAGAGACGTTGGAGGATGTTGTGGTGGGTTGGGGAGTTGGGGCGGGTGTGGTAGGGGGACATGGGCATCATGGTGGGGCGCATGGGGGCGATGGACATGGACATGGACATGGGGAGGGAGGAGGGGTGGAGTGGGGTCTTGTTGGGGTTGTTGTGATGAGTGGGATTTGTGGGATGTTGTTTGAGGGACATGGGAAGTACGCCAAATTCTTCTTGGGAGATATGGGGGCGAGGATGAACCCGTTCAAGCTGATTACGCCACTCATTGCGGTTGTGTTGATCTTTATGCATGGGATGGGGGAGGTGAGTGTGTTGGCGGATAGGGTTGTTGCGTTTGCGATGGCTGGGGTAACGACTTGGTTGGGTTTTACGTACGCACGGACGACGGGAAAGATGCTTCTTATGACTGCGCCCGGGCGGGAGATTGAGTCTGTGCAGAAAGACATTGCGGATATTCCGGGTGTGAGACGGGTTGACAAACTCACTGTCTGGCAACCCCACGACGCGATCTGTGTCGCGAATGTGATTGTCAAGGTTGATCCACTAGATATCATGGGGGATAAAGCTGATAGAGCGTTACGAGAGGGGATTGAGGAGAGGATAAAGGAGAAGTTTGAAGGGGCGAAGGGGTGTGTGGAGGTAAATCGTAGTGAGGAAGATTAGATTAAAGATTAAATAGAAGCCGTCGTCGTTTAAATGGAAGGGCCGTCGTCATGATGACGTGGGGAGTGACGCGCCTGAGAAAAGTCGGCAAGGGAGGCCCCGGCTGGCTGACATCATCAGAGCGACCGGGAGAGCCGTCGAGCATATAAACCCCGCCGGCTCCCCCCTCCCTTTCCCTGCTCTCCATTCAGCATACACCCAGCATACACTCCGCATACACTCGCAAACAACAACAATGTCTTCTTTTGGATACTCCGACAACAAGAGCCACGCCGCTCCCTCTGGCCCCGTCTCCACCTTCGACTCTCAGCCAGCAAACCATGGATCTACTCAGGAGTACGTTCGTGAGGCCGTGAACCCTGAGACCGCAAACACCGCTTTGACCGGTCAGGGTTCAGAGTACGCTCCTCCTTCTGGAACCACTCAGGGCTCTTACGTCCCTACCGGTGTTTCTACCCAGCAGTACACCACTGGATCTACCGGCTACACCACCGGTGTTCAGGTTCCCGCTGACTACACTTCCTCCACGCAGCAGTACTCTACTGAATCCTCCAACCAGGGCCAGGGCTACTCCTCTCACGGATCCTCCGGCCAGCAGGGCGAGCTCCCGACCACTTACGGTGGCCAGGCCCAGAGCAAGCAGGCCCAGTACACCTCCAACGCTAACGACTTTGCCCGCGGCGACAACTACAAGCCTGAGGCTCCCGCGACCGCACACCAGCAGGACAGACGCTCCGATGACAAGCACTACAACATTGACAACCAGGCTGCTACGGGCCATGGTACGGCTGGTATGCCTGGTGCGCAGGGCGCCGCTGGTAACTTGCCTGGAGGACACCAGTCTTCGAGCTCCGGACAGCAGGCTGTGCCGGACAATGCGGGACCCAACCCCCGTGGTGCCCTCTCTGGCCGTGCCGATGAGAACTACGGCCCCGGTACCACCTCTACCGGTCAGCCCGCCGCTGGTGGAAACGCCCCTCACGCTCAAGAATCCATGAAGCCCTCCGCGACCGGAACCTCCGGCCCTACCACCATGTCCGGTACCGACTCTGCTCACCCCGGACAGTCTGGCCTCACTACTGGCGGTGGAGTGGCCCCCGGAGAGGCTTTCGCTTCCGTAGGTGCTCCCCCCCATGACAACAAGCCCCAACACCAGGACAAGCACCAAGGTTCCGGAAACCCACTCGATGACCCCAAGGACCAAGAGGACGTGCCTAAGGGTCGGGGTATCTCCCACGATCAGATCAAGCCCTCTTCCGGTACCGCCGCTGACGGAGGCGATTTTGACGCTGCCAGGCCCGGCGCTGGATACCAAGCCATCCTCCTCGAGGAAAAGATGGGTGGGTTCACGAACTCTGACAAGCCTGCCGAGGGTGACCACGCTGGTGAGTCTACCGAGAGCAAGGCCAAGAAGATTGGTGAGGATGTCGCTGCGAAGCACGGTACCCACCCCTCCAAGGGTGAGAGCCAGGTTGAGCACAAAAAGAAGGTTGCGGGTGAGACTGCTGATCGGATGCAGGATGAGACCGAGGATGACAAGAAGGTGGGATTGCTGCAGAAGATTAAGAACATTATCTAAGCTTGTTATGTGAGCGAGGATTGTGTACGATATAATGGTATGAAAGTAGGATTAGTGTAGGGTAGTGTGCTGGGCACGATAGTATACCTTGATTTCAATTGAATGTTATATTAGACCTGAACTTTCTTGTTCATTGGCTTTGCCTATTGTATTGACTCTATAGACTTGATGCCCTTGTCCATTCACCCACGCCGTCACTGGCCTCATTGTCTCGACACCAACATCACGACGAATACTGCAACTCCAACCCCACGCTCCTCACCGGACTCGTCTTATTCGTCAAATCCAACACCGTCCCCAAACTAAACAAAAAATCCTTAAATCGTCCTTCCCACTGCAACCCAATCCCCAGCGAATTTCCGATTTGGGCTTTGAACACTCCCTTTACATCTTCGTCCTTTTTCTCCATCCCACTCGCTGTTGATGTTGAGAGGGAACCATCGCGCCATTGCCATATTTCGCAACCGAGAGCGAGGTTGGATTCGTAGGAAAACATGTTGAAATCGAAACGAGAGCAGAATGCGCTGTTCGTTAGTGCGTTCTTGACGGCGTAGGTTGTTGAGACTGAACCCATGAGTGGATTCCACGTTAGTGTCATCGTTCGTGGTGTTTGATTCGATGCAAAGGAGGCGTAACGGAGACCGAGGGACATTCCGGCTGATTTGGTGAGTGCGCCGTAGTAAATTTCCGCACCGGCTGAGAGGCGGCCGGAAGGGATGGGTGGGGTATCGTGTACACCGGTATGTGAGGAGTATAGGGACGGCGAAGGGGGTGTCCGTGGTTTCCGGGGATCTGGGCCGAAATTCCAGAGGCCACGGAGGCCGAGCATGCCACCTTCGGTTGAGTAGACGTATTCTGTCGACCACTTCCCTACATCGTGTTGGATCTCTGCGGTAATCGTCCCGCCATTAGGAAGCTTGGTGTCACTCACACACGCGAGGATCAACTGCTTCGTCGGTGCGATTCGCCTTGTATACATTGCCTCCAACGTCGAACTCGGGATATACATCCGTCCATACAACAAACTATCCTTCTTATCCACCCGTTTCCCGTTCTGCCATACCTCCCATTCCCATGGTTCGGGGTGTTTCTTTAATTCTGGTGGTTCGCGGTAGCCTTCGATCATTTCGTGGAGGGGGACGTGTTTGGTGTGGGTTATGGAGGAGAGGGGACGGGTTGTGCAGAGATAGGCCATTGAGCCGTCGAGGACGGGGAGGGTGGAGAGTGTGTAGGAGGACATGAAGGATTGGGAGGGGTAGGAGGAGATGTGGAAGTGGAGGCCGAGGGGGTGGACGAAGTCCAGGAGGGCTGTTTGAAGCACCTCTGTCAGTTTTGTTTCAATTGACGGAGTGATGAGGTGTACCTCGAGACGTCCCTGTAAGGTTTGAGTAGAGGTTCTGGTCGCTCCATCCTGTTTCTTTGTTGAACGACCGTAGCAGGTAGTCCATAAACCCGTACATTTCCTGGTGTTGTATCTTCGTTACATCCGCTGTCCCAATCGAGAAGGCCCCCGCTTACCGCACACAGCAGTATCGTATCGCACGGCCACCTGCGCCCGATACCAAAAAAAGACAAAAGCTGGTCGCCTCGACGAAAACAGACAAGCAAAGTCCAAACACCAGATCAATCATTCACAATGCCCAAGTCAAAGAGATCCAGAGTCGGTAAGTCGCGGTGAAGCGTCTTGGGTTCCTCGAGTCCATCGAGGCTAAAATTGCAATGCAGTTTCCCTTACGCAAACCGATAAGAAGGGAAGGGAGGGAAAGGAGCAGCTCTACACCCAGGCGAAAGAGTGTGTTGAGAAGTATCAATACGTGAGTTCGTTTCCTCAACGTCTGGTTATGCTGTCGTGCTGACGAATGGGGCTCACAGGCTTGGGTTTTCTCCGTTGAGAACATGCGCAACACATACCTCAAGCAAGTCCGTTCCGAGTGGAAAGACTCCCGTATCCTCTTCGGCAGAACAAAGGTCATGGCCAAGGCTCTCGGTACCACCCCCGAGGACGAGGCCGCCGACGGTTTGTTCAAGCTCACTAAATACCTTGCCGGAAATGTCGGTATCCTCTTCACCGACCACCCCGCCGACGTCGTAAAGGACTGGTTCGAGAGCTACGTCAAGACCGATTTCGCACGTGCCGGTGTCGTCGCGACAAGAGATTTCGTCGTCCCCGCTGGCCAGATCTACTCCCGTGGTGGCGACATCCCCGCCGATGACGATGTTGTTATGGCCAACACCCTCGAGCCTACACTCCGTCAGCTCGGTATGCCGACTAGGCTGAAGAACGGTATTGTTACTCTTGATAATGAATACCAGGTTTGTAAGGAGGGGGAGACGCTGAGTGGACATCAGACGAGGTTGTTGAAAATGTTTGGCGTTGCGATGGCGGATTTCAAGGTCAAGTTGGTTGCTTATTGGTCGAAGACTGGAGAAGTTACTGAGGTTGAGGAGTAAAACAAGACCACGGTTGAAGCGTAATGGGTTTTTGGATATTTCATTGGGCGTCTGGGAGGGTCATGCGTGATAATATACCTGCATCTTAGAGAATGGACATGATCCCTGAACTTGACGGAATGATCACGGCGCGCGACGACTATGACAAGGTCTGAGCTGAGTTCAGAGGAAAGGGACTGGGAACAGGGTTCGGTCTCTGTGCGCTCGTGCTTTTGTGTTTTTGCCTTATTAATTTTCCACGACGTCGCTCAGAGACTCCCAAGCTTAAGTGCCCCCCCCCCCCTTCAAGCGGCTTCCCAGCGTGCGCAATTGCGAATCGAATCCGAGAACTGCCCAGCCCGTCATTCCCGTATCCGTATCCGTCCCGCTTCCTCGGCGAAGATAACACCGACTTAAGTGCTATCGGATGTTGATGCTAATTATAGCAGTTCTACTGCTGTGGTGGCTGAATCCGTACGTCGCCTGGACGCCAAGCATACGCGAAATAAATAAAGTTAAGCGACGATTGAGCAGGCCCATACGACATCCATTCACTGCCATTTGATCAGTAACAGTCTCTAACGTTATCACTGCACTTCCACTATCTCCAGCACTCGTTTTACACCTGAAGCACGATGCCTACTCGACCAGCACCATCGTTGCCCCCTTCTTACCGTTCCGACTATCGCGAGCGCTCTCCGTCCCCAGTATGGGATGCTAGTGGACGTGTGCCCACGTCCTACAACTCTTACCGTAACGACAGGAGTCCTGATATCGAGGATGGCGAGCCAGAATTTTACACACCTCACACTGCCAACGATCGTCAATACTCCGACACCATCCCACTACGAGCACCGTCAACCTCAACACTACCATTAGCTGGTCCACCACCACCCAAAGCAAGAGGAAACGTACAATTCGTGTCTCCGGTGGCGGAGACTGGGAAGCAACGACAAGCGAGGAATAAGTGGCTAACAAAACCATGGTTTATCTGGTTCGTGAGTTTGGTCCAGCTTATCGTCTTTATCGTCGAAATCATCAAGAACGCTCAGTTTACTGGTTCACCGATTGAGATTAAACCGTCGTTCAATCCGCTAATCGGGCCATCGTCGTATACTCTCATACACCTCGGCGCACGTTTTGCACCGTGCATGCACACGATCGCAAGTATTACAGACGATTCAAGTTTGGGGTGGCCATGTGTCAATGATACAAGCTCTACTCCTTTGAATCAGTGCTCGCTTGAGCAATTATGTGGGATGGGCGGGTTCAAGACCGACTTGCAGCCGGATCAGTGGTGGAGGTTCATCACACCCATGTTCCTGCACGCAGGAATTCTGCACATCTTGTTCAACCTTCTTCTACAACTTCGTATGGGTGCGGATATGGAACGTTCGATTGGTCCTCTGCGTTTGGTTCCGATCTATCTTGCTTCTGGTATCTTTGGGTTCGTCCTTGGTGGGAACTTTGCCGCGGACGGAACGGCGTCTACGGGAGCGTCCGGTGCGTTGTTTGGTGTGATCGCTTTGACGCTCCTTGACCTTTGTATGGAATGGAAACGATACGAGAGACCGGGTCGTGCACTGATTTTCTTGCTCATCGAGATTGCGGTGTCCTTTGGGTTGGGATTGTTGCCTGGCTTGGACAACTTCTCACATATCGGTGGGTTCGTAATGGGTTTGCTTCTGGGTCTTGCGCTGTTGCGTACACCGTCTCGGTTCACGGATGAGTACACTCAGACACCCTATGCGCCTGTGACCAACCGACGCCTTCCTCGCCTCACGAACCGCTCGAAGGGGTGGTGGTTGTGGATCCTGGTACGCGTGGTAGGCTTGGTAGGAAGTGTCGTCCTGATGGCGGTGCTCATCAACAACTTCTACAATGGCGGAGGGCATTGTAGTTGGTGCAAGTATTTGAGTTGTGTGGGGAGCTGGTGTGATGACGGTGTTATCTCGACAACGACGACTGGATCGTCGTAGGTTTTTCTTCTTGGCTACGATGTCTACAGGCGGTGCGTACGATTAGAATGAGCAACACATGTGGAAGTAGGTCGCTGGTGACAATACCGGAGTGTGTGCACGATTTTGGTCTTAGGTCTTGGGCAGAACAATCATGACTTGACCTACCGGTATGTTTGATTAAAGTCAATTCCTAGGCTAGTCCATTCTATCCAGGGTCATCTCCCCTTCAGCGTTGGAAAGAATCCTATGGTATTGTACCGCAGCCGGTACATAGTAGCGCCAAGGCCAGAATTGAAAAGATATGTAACCAATTGGCTATACCAAAGTCACATGATTCAAGTTCATGGTGAAAATGGCGATAGGCAACCGGAGAAAATCAGCTGGAACTGTGGTACGACTGATTGATGGAGATAGGGTTCTTCATGGCGGATCTACGAGGTCGGATGCGTACAGCTGTCACCTGCATGTTCATGCGTTGCTACGGCAGCCAGGTCAGCCACTTGTTTGTTGTTGCCCGATATTACCAGAAACTCAACACCAAACCAGCAAAGAGAACAGTCTTGCGTTGCTTGATCCGCATTCATTCGCTTCTACATCTCGTATTTTTGGATTCGCAAACACATTCTCTCGCTTTTCCTAGGCGACACGACTAGATCAGATCGGCCAAGCATGGACTGGCAAAAGCTCTTCTCCGCTTTGGAGGAGTCATATAGCAACCTAACGACGCTTCAAGACCGCTTGGGTGCAACAGATGGCGAAAAGACGGCGCGAAATGAGGATATCCTCAATGCTCTATCATCGACCTTTCAGAAACACGTCGATGAATTACAATCAGAATGCGCAGTAATAGAGTCTGAATGCCAAACATTGGTAAAGAGCATGATGGATATGAACCTTGAGATGGGAAACACGGGTCCGGGACGTGATGAGGATGTGTTTGGAAGTGCGGACATTGGTGTGGAGGTCAAGGGACCACTAAGGCAGGCGCTGAGAGTATTTGAGATTGAGCATAAGAAGATCGCGGAAGTGCATACCGAGAGGGTAGAGGTTGTAGATTGTATGCGCCTCTGATCCGCACTTCTTCGCTCTTGCTAACCTCTGGTCTTAGTACTGTACAAGCAGCTTGATACGTTTTCAGGCTACCTTGCCCCGTCATTCGTCAATTTTCAGCCATCAACAACGCCGTACGAAGACCTCTCCCTCGCCAGAATTTCATTCCTTGAGTCAGAAGTCGCGCGCTGTTCGCTTGAGCTCAACCGTCGCAGAACACGCATACAATCGCTTGCGAAGGAGATCGTAGGGCTATGGACGGATCTGGGAACGGAGGTGCGCGAAATAGGTGTGGAGTTCGACATCAGGATTCTCGACTGCTGGAAGGATAGAGCTGAAGACTTGGGTGTTGGCGAGAGTGATGTGCAAAGGTTGGAGATGAAACGCGACCAACTTGCCCGTCAGAAGGAGGAGAGGAGGCAGAGGTTAGATGAACTGAAGGCTGCGATTGAACCACTCTGGGCCAAACTTGCCTTGCCAGAGGAAGGGATCCAGGCTTTCACTCGCTCGCATCGTGGCTTTTCCCTCACCGTCATCGAAGGTTACGAGCTTGAGTACAGGAGATTGGAAGAACTCAAAAGACAGAACATTCACCTCTTCGTGAAAGACTGCCGACGACAACTCGAGACCCTGTGGGAGCAGCTTTACTTTTCCGATGAGGAGAATAATGAGTTTGAGCCCGCGTTCACGGACATCTTCACCGACGCGTCTTTGGCGGCACATGAAGGGGAGGTGCAGAGGTTAGAGCAGCTTTACGAGGCCAATGCTCCGATCTACGCTCTTATCTCTCAACACGAAGCACTGGTTGCCGAGAAGCACGCCTTGGATGAGGCGCAGAAAGACTCTTCACGCTTGTTGGCCAAGGGACCTAAGCGTGTTAACCTGCTCGAAGAAGAGCGACAGAGGAAGAGGTTGGAGAAGATGCTGCCGAAGGTTGAGGGTGAGCTGCGCGAAGCACTTGCGGCTTATGAGGTGGAGCATAGACGGGTGTTTATGGTGAGAGGGGAGAGGTACCTTGACGTGCTTGGGACAGAGCAGCACGCTGCGAAGGTAGACAAGAGGCTTAGGGCACTGGCTGCTCCTGCTTCGACGGGTAGCGCCCCGAGTACACCGAGGAAGACTGCACCGCGCGGGGTAATGGGAACTCCATCAGGCAAGACTCCTGCGACAGTGAGGAGATTGGAGACCAAGCCTGTTACCGCAGGGCGAACGGTCGGTACCAGCATGCTCCGCCAAGCTTTCGACCATCGCGGACCAAGTCCATCCAAGTCTAGGACATTGACTGACCGAGACATCAATGCTCGTCCAGGTAGCGGCCATGGACATGTACGTACTCAGTCAGCTTTATCGGGTAAGCTCACTGCGGGTTTGCGAGCGCCCGGTGTGACGGGAACGATGAGGAGGGTTGTCAGCAGTCCGGACAAAGTTCCTACCCAAATCCCGAACTTCGTACGCGAACCACCCCCGAAAATGGTGTTCGACAGGGAGCAGGATATGAGGAGCATGAGGACGCCGAGCTCGAGCACGAGTCGGACAAGTGTTGAGAGTGACGCTTTTCCAAGGAGCGGGGATGCGCTGGAAGAGATTCACGAGGGTGACTTGACGATGACGAGTGAGTGGGACGACGAGGGATTCTAAATTCACAAGTAGCGCTTACCAACCTGACAATTGCAGGGGCACAAGCAAGCCTGTGTTTCGTGTTGTATGATTAGAACGTCGCGAAGGGCATCTGGGACGGCGTACACGACTTTGATTAGATTGTTCGATGGGTTCTTATTGGAGTTTAATGATATCCAAACTTTGGTATTGAAGCGATTAACAAATTAACGCCTATCGTAAGCTGTCCCTAAACGCCGTAAACCATGATGCAAACCTTTCTATCCCTATCCCCACAACTGCTTTCCATTGTTATGCAATTTCAATGTCTCTTGTGATGATGCAAACGCAACAACTTGTGATGCTTCTTGTGCTTACTCTTCCCCGTCCCATCCAACCACTTATCCTTAATCCTCAGCTCCGACAACCACCCAACACTTTCCCACACCTCCTTCGCAACCTCCTTCGGTAACTTCTTCCCGGCGAGCATACCGTCGATGAGCCACATCCCTACCAGGAATTCTTCACGGGAGAGGTATCCGGGGAGGATGGCGTGTTGGTGCTCGAAGGGGGACGCGGTGTGGACTAGGGCGAAAATTTGGGCGAGATTGGCGTTGGGGAGACGTGAGCGATTCCAGAGTCCACGGAGGACGAGGGGGTCGATGGTGTCTTCGTCCCAGGTGCTGTCATCCACCGCCGTGATTCCGGATACGGAAGTTTCCATGCTTTTCCGGGATGCCTCACCGTCGGGATCTTGGTTGAGGAGTGAAGATACTTTAATCTTGTTCGCGGCCCAGATACCTTCGTACCTCTTCCTCTCCTCCTCCGTCACCGTCGACCGGCTCTTCTGTTTCCAGTTCCCACCCGGTGTCTGTTGTCCATGGTCATCCGGACTCGGTTTCCGTAGTGTACGGGGGATACTAACTCTCCTCGGCGTACTCGTACCTATAGACTGCCTCCGTAACGGAGACGGCGAGCGAGAAGCCTGCGTGGTTGAAGTACGCTGAAATGCCAATGAGGCAGCTTCGGATGAGTTACGGGAGATGAGTTGGGGTGGGGAGGGAGGGGTGATAATTGAGCGTGGTTTGAGGGGTTTGGACTGTTTGTATTCTGGGTAGGGCCGGAGGAAGACTTTTGATGTCGAGTCCTGTTGTCCTGTCGAGGGTGATGTCGGATGGGAAGAGGAGGTAGGCAGGGCGGGGGTGGAGTTTGTTTGGGTTAGGTAGATTGGGCGACTTGCGAGAGAGGGAGCGAGTGAGTATTGTATTGATGGCGCGGCTGGTGCTGGTTGTGAGTCTGTTGCTGAGGTTGATGCTGGGCTCACGGAAGCAGCGGTTCTGCTGGCAGAGCTACTTGTCGATATCGCCCTATGCGTTTCCGTTACAGGATAAGTCGGTGCATGCGGTTTCCTGTTTGGATCGCTAGACTCATTGATCCAAACCGACGCTACAGACGAAACGGATGTCCTTCTCGACTGCAACCCATCATGTCCTCCATAAAGCGTACTCGAACCCCGTTCCACTGTCGGCGTAGCCGGTATAATATTAATAGAGGCAACGGGATCCGAAACATTCCGTAACCTCGGCGTCACAGGCGGCGACATGAGATGCACATTCCTCGCCGGAACAAAATGCGACTGCGTACTCGTCCGAGCAGCACTCAACGCATTCGTCGCCGGCGCCCGCACATTCACTGGACGATCCTGTAGCCGGGTTGTATGCCCCATAGCCTTTGCAGCACCCGATAACGCTCCATTCGCCGTAACACGTGCTTCATCCACGATGGGTTTCGTCACGATCTTCTTTGAGCGGGCGGCTGCTGTCATGGGTTGCGCTGCCCGGAGACTAGCTGCCGCTGTTGCGGAGATGGTGGATCGTTTTTCTGGGGGGTGTCGGCTGTAGGATAGTTTGGCTGCGTTGAGGGCTGCTGTGCCGGCGCCGGAGGAGTCTAAGGCGTGGGCACGCTGGTCGATGGTGTGTTGGATGAAGGAGGCGGATGAGTGAGCACGTTGTATGCTAGGCCTGTCCTCAGAGTCAGTATATACGTGATATGTTGGAGAAAGCGTACATGGTGTGAATGGTAGAGTTCGAGTCTCGAGTTGCTGCTGCCAGACTGACAGCATCCATAGCCTGGACACGATCCCGGACAGACATCCGTTAAGAACACTGACGTGAAGGAATCACCAAGCCTCTAACATGCCAACCTCTCAGGTCCGACTCAACGAAACTCGTAATTAAATGCCAAGATATCGTACTCCCAATGCCGCGGGTGTCGAGCGTCGAACGACGGCGTGTCCGGTATCGTTCGAACCGGCACGGAATCGACAATACAGCGAACGAAAATAGGATCCTTTTGGTCCCAAATTAGTCGGGCTTCTCGCACGGACCGTACTCGGCGTCCTTGTTTGGTGTTTTGCTTCACATTCGGGCCGGGATCTGGCCGACGCAGCCTCCAGCAAGCCCATGCACTACACTACGACCAACGTTGCCGGGAAGACCTCACCTCCAACCAGAATCTTTCCCACGATCCAAAATGGATCCCGAAGAGGAAGCGAGGTTGGACGAGGAATACCCAAATCGACCGAAGAATGATAAACATAGTCTCCCGTTTAGGGAGTTGATCATGAGTGTGTTTGAGCCGTTGTTGCGGAATGTGAAGAAGCCCACAGCCGGTGCTGGAAGGGGGAGGGTCGCGGTAAATCCGGCGGAGGTGAGGAAGAAGATTATTCAGACGTTTATTCAGAGGTGGAGGAAGGGCGTTGGGGCCGATATCTATCCTGCTTTTCGGTTGAGTATGGCACTCCCGCCTCACCTTTTCGTGAATGTATGCTGATCATTGATGAATAGTCATGCCAGACGTAGGAGATCAGGAATTTCTTCTTTGAGTTTGTTTTCTGACATGCTCTGACAGCGCGACAGAAACCGTCTAATGTACGGCATAAAAGAATCCGCCCTCTCCAAAATCCTCCCAAAAGTCCTCTCCCTCTCCCCCGACTCCGAAGATGCGCAATCCCTCCGCGGGTGGAAAGCTATCCAAGACTCGAAAGTCGGTAACCCCTCCCCCTTGTTCATTCCAATATACGACGAGCCACGTGCTGATGATTGACCACAGAGGACTGCGGGTGACTTTGCGGGTCGCTGTTATGAGGTTATCTCCAAACGCCCAGCGGTTACCGAGATGGGTGATCTCACGATCGATCAAGTCAATAACCTCCTTGACCAGCTCTCGCGTGTGTCCAAAGAGGATGAACAGAGGGTTATCATCACCGAATTCTACAAGCGAATGAGTCCGGTGGAGATGAAGTGGTTAATCCGGATCATTCTGCGACAAATGAAAATCGGAGCGACAGAGAAGACATTTTTCGATCAATGGCACCCCGATGCGGAGAGATTATTCAACGTCTGCTCCTCCCTTCGCCGCGTATGCTGGGAACTCTACGACCCAGGCTTCCGCCTCGAAGGCGACAAAACCGAACTTCAACTCAACCAATGTTTTCAGCCTCAACTGTGTTCCTTCCAGAAAAGGGATTTCGCGAGTACGGTGGAGAGTTTGGGAAGGCAGCATAAGACGTTTTGGATTGAGGAGAAGTTGGATGGGGAGAGGATTCAGATGCATTATGATCGAGGGAATTATAAGTTTTTTTCAAGGTCTGTCAGTCACCTCTGAAGAAACTTATATTTGTGCATGTTGCTGACTTGTGGCGAATAGGTGCCATTGTCTTGGGTGTATGCTGTCCAAGCGTAGGCTAATGAAGGTGCACAGAAAGGGAAAGGATTATACGGATATGTATGGGGCCAGGGCGGATGATCCCACCGCGGGGTTCACCAAGCATCTTGCCGGCGTGTTCTCTGACAACATCCAAAAGTAAGTCTTCCCTACTTCGCATTTACCCGACATGTGAATGACGGATGTGCAAAATAGTTTAATCCTTGACGGCGAAATGGTAACTTGGGACCCTATCGCCGACCGCATGGTCGCCTTCGGAACCCTAAAATCCGCAGCGAAGGACGAACAAGTTCGGGAGACAAGCGATAACGCCGGTCACCGACCATTCTGTATGATTCGAACAGCCTGAAGCTAAATCAAGTGTTGACGTTTCCTACAGACCTCGTATACGACATCTTGTACCTAAACGGGAAATCACTATGTCTACAAATTTTATCTCAGCGCCGCGACAACATTCTGGGCAAGATGGTGGAGCAGGGATACATGAAGGAGATCAAGAGGAGATTTGAGCTGCATAGGTATGTGGAGGGAAGGGCGGTGAAGGATGTCGAGGTGCAGTTTAGGAGGGTGGTTGAGCAGGGGAGTGAGGGGTTGATCTTGAAGGATCCGGACAGTATCTATATTCCGAGTTCGAGGAGTGGAAAGTGGGTTAAAATCAAGCCGGAGTACATGAAGGAGTTCGGAGAGGTAAGCCCCATTCTTCATTTTGAGATGTTTCTGACGGAAATATGTATAGAACCTTGATCTCCTTGTTCTTGGGGGATATTACGGTGGTGGTCGGCGCGGAGGAACACTGAGTTCCTTCATGTGCGGACTCCGAATCGACGACCCAAATGAACCGGGTGAACCCGTCATGAAGTTTTGGTCCTTCTGCCGTGTAGGCGGAGGCTTTAGAGCGGAGGACTATGCAAAGATAAGGTGATGGTGATTCGATCATCGGGGCACCTTGGACGTCGCTAATCTCTATCACAGGCATGAAACGGAAGGAGCGTGGCAGAAATGGGATACGAGGAATCCGCCTACGCATGTGATGGAGCTTGCAGGGAACCAGACGTTTCAGAGGCCGGATGAGTGGATTATGCCGGATAAGTGCGTTTCATTCTCAACTCTTTTGAAACGTGATGTTGATGACAAACCCTCAGGTCTTTCGTGATTCAAGTCAAAGCAGCACAGATCATCGCGTCAGATGAATGGAAAACGGGCCTGTCTCTTCGGTTTCCACGGTTTCAACGGTTTAGGCCTGATAGGGATTGGACGAATGCGCTAAATTGGGAAGATTTCTTGGAGCTTAAGAACCAGGCGGCGCATGAGCAGGAAGAGAGGAAACTGTAAGAAATTCCTAAAGCCGCGCGTTACGTGGTGCTGACTTCGGTATTTAGGGAGGTCCAAAAAAAGCGCGTGAGAACGTCGAGAAGCAAGCAGGTTTTCACCGTGTATGGTGCTGAGGGTCACGATGAAGTGGTGAAGAATCAGTATGGAGCGGCGACTTCCGAAATTTTCAAGGACCTTTCTTTCTGTGGGTGACGGTACGACGGCATGGATACGTGGCGGGCTAACCTTGACTCACAGATGTAATGACTGAAATGGTCGCACCCAAGAAGGAGTCGAAAGTCGCCCTTGAAGCGCTTCTGAGAGACCATCTAGCACACATATTTCAGTCTGAAAATGCTAGTCCCGATGTTAACTGCATCGCGGACAGGAACCTCGTCAAAGTCGCGGCTCTAGTCAAGCGCGGTAAGCACGACATCATCAAGCCAGCATGGGTTCTGGACAGTATTGAAGCAGGTTACCCATTACCTTTGGAACCAAGGTACATATATTTTGCTACGGAACAGACCGTGCGAGAGATGAAGGAGAATGTCGACGAATTTGGAGACTCATACACCACCGAGATCAAGGTGGAGGAACTGTCGAATGTTCTCGATAATGTCAATGTGGATATTGACAAGGTGGGGGACCGAGAGGAAATTATCAGGGACTTCATGGAAGAGTATGGCGAGGAAGAAGTCCTGCCCGGCTGGTTATTCGCACGATGTACAGTATACCTAGATACCCCCCAACTTGGACAAAAGTATGGCCTGGCTGAAGCCAGTCAGGACGGAAAGAGGGAAGACGTGAACAGGTTCGGAATTGCTCACGGTAGCTCGGCGTATATGACTAACGATGCCGAGCAGACTATACCTCGTCTCCACCACGCTCGCCTTCGCTGGAGCACATATCTGCACAGACTTCTACGATAATGACATCACGCATGTCGTTGTCGATCCAAGTGACAGATCAAGGTTGCGAAAGCTCCGGGCCCGCTTGGCATTACGAGACAAACAGCCAAGGGTGGTGAGTGCTGCGTGGGTTGAGGAGTGCTGGAAGGAGAAGACGTTACTGGACGAGGAGGCGTTCGGCGTATAATACTGGTTAATACCATCCATTGGACTCATGGCGCCAAGAGGTTCTGGAGGTAGACTTCAAAAAACATCACACCCCTCATCAATCTCGGACCGAACCCCAGTTTCGGGCCCAGGCACCCGTGCCCCGCGTTCATGAGCTCCCCACCAAACACTCCCACCCTGCTCGTATACATCCATTGCTTCGTCAGTCATTGAACAAACAGGCAGGTATCCATTCAACGCCAACATGTCGACCTACAAACAGATCGTCCTCGCCTCCAGGCCCAAGAACGAGATCATCCCGTCCGAGGTGTTCAGGACGGAGGAGGGAGGACCGATCCCGACTGATAAAACGTTGAAGGACGGAGAGATTGCTATCAAGGTTGACTATCTGTCATTGGATCCTGGTGAGCTACTTTGAGATGGGAGGTGGCGGACGCAGAGGGTGACTGATCAAGTGATACAGCTATGAGAGGATGGATGAATGACACGAAATCCTACGTCCCTCCCGTGAAAATCGGAGAGGTAAGGAAAAGCTGTTCTGCTATGTCGTGCATTTTACTAACCAATGACAACAGGCCATGAGAGCCTATGGCATCGGCACCGTGACTTTCTCCAAACACCCACGCTACAACCCCGGTGATTTGGTCGTCGGTACCTTCGGCTGGCGCGAATACGTCGTCACAACCGGTTCCGGAATCGAAAAAGTGATCCTCCCTCAGGGCGCGACTCCGCGTGACTTCCTCTCCACCCTCGGCATGACAGGTCTCACTGCCTACTTCGGACTTCTCCGTCACGTTCCCGAAAACGTATTGGGACCGAATTGTACAGTTGTGGTCAGTGCCGCTGCCGGCGCGACGGGAAGTGTTGTGGGGCAAATCGCGAAGGTGAAGGGGTGTAAGGTTATTGGGATCGCGGGAGGGGAGGCGAAGTGTAGGTGGGTCAGGGGGGAGTTGGGGTGGGATGGTTGTGTGGATTACAAGAAGAAAGGGTGGGAGAGGGATTTGAGGGAGGCGGTTGGGAGGGGCGGGATTAATGTGTATTTTGATAATGGTACGGAATATTTTCGTCGAGCTTGCGATGACTTTGCTGACGAACTCCGTACAGTTGGTGGCGACATCCTCGATGAATGCCTCAAACTCGCCGCTCCACATGCGAAATTTATTATCTGTGGTAGTATCTCGCAGTATAACACGAGTAAGCCGCAAGGTCCTCGTGCGTTTTTGTTGGTTATCTCGAAGAGGATTACGTTGAAAGGGTTTATCGTATTTGATTTCTTGAAGGAGTATGACCAGGCGAGGAAGGAGTTGGCTCAATGGTGGTTGCGGTAGTTCTTGTCAACATCAAAGGATACTAACAACGAGTCACAGGTTACTGGAAGGAAAGATCAAGAGGATGGAACACATTGTCGATGGCGGGATCGATGCTGCGCCGCGTGCGCTGGTCCAACTATTCGAGGGCGCGAACACGGGGAAGATGATGGTGCGTACAGTACACTCGACCTGCTACATCTGTAACATGCTAACAAGGATAAAACAGGTAAAGGTTTCGTCCGACGCAGAGGCTCCTACTTCCTCTGTCTCGGCGTCCAAGTCCAAATTGTAAACGCCCCCCCTTGATCCCTTCAATCCGTCTCGGCATCACGGAAGGCTCGGCACAAATACTTCGCAACTGCAGGGATCTCTGGGGGCAAGGGCTAGATTCATTGTGTTATTGGATGAGATGCCTCGAAATGGGGCAGGTTTGATTTACGGCGCAGAAGGCTGCCGCAGCACTCTGGAAGCTCCGCGGAGGCATTTCGGGTCTCGGGTGCGGCCGTGGGCAGTCGAAGGAGGCCCTGCATCGACCGCGTCTGGAGGCTGAGCTTTTTTTGATGGGGGTGTGATTGGGTAGATAATAGCATCGATTCCTTCAAATATACCGGCTGTCCCATCGCGAGTGCGGGCGTGAAGCTTCCAGCTGTTCAACGATCGCGAAGGCCCCGAGGAGCGACGATCCGACGTCGGACCAGTGCTGAGAGGAGCCCCACCTTGCCACCTGTGAAGAAACATCATTCTCGACGCTTTCTGTCCCGTCATTCAGTAGCTATTGACCTTGTCTACAATCATCACCAATCCGCGATTCTCCGCTCGAACCGCCTCTGAGGTAACCTCCATTCATTTCGCCTACCCGACCACTTCATATCGCAGCGTGAGTGCGCCTGGACCTGCAACCGCAGCAAAGGCGACAACACAACACCAATTACAATCAACGACAAAACAGGAGGCAATTGCAATTGAGGAGAAGGCGCGATGCCATGGTCTACGACTGTCGACACCATGGCCAATCCATTCACGGAAGTTGGAGGTAATGCGGGAAACAATGGCAGCGGCATCCGACGACAACAGATAAGCACATTGACGGCGCGGTTACGACAAAGTAAGACGAATGAATGTCCAATTCCTCCACCGCATGTGGCACGCGTGTTACAAACGACCGCAATCCCGCCTTTTCGCAAGTCAAAGGTGCAGGAAAGTATGAGTGGTCATGACCATGCCTACAGAAGGAGATTGAGGAATATCAGCCCGAGCGCATTGACAAGTTTGGACCATGAGTTACCAGCACCATTAAGTCCGCACCGCAGGGCGAACCCGTGTGGGGAGCCGTTTACGCCTGTGAGGGCCGTTTCTGCGCCATCGTTTCTACTGGCCACGACAGAGAAGGAGCGGGAGCAACTGACGTTGACGTTACCGAGTCCGCCGTCCATACCGCCTTCATTGACGGAGACGCAGTCAACTTCTCCTACACGCGCGAGTTCAATGTTTTCGCTCGAGCACACGGATTTCAGTCACGACGAGGGTTTTCTCGCGTCTCCGACCCCCATAACACCCTGGAGTTCTTGTCTTCGACGCACGAAGTCTCAGCGCGCAAGACGCTCTCCGTTGGCAAGCGAACCTGTCGACGTAATCGAGCACCCTCTCTCTCCTCTTCGCGAAAATGAAGACGATGAGGGCGTATTCATGCTCAGTCCCCTGACAGAAAGCAAGAAAGATGGCGAAACCCAAGACGGGTTCTTCGCGCGTGCACCGAGCAAGTTGAGAAGATCACTCAGCAAGATCGGACGCGCATTGAGTTCGGCGGCTGTTCCAGAGTCGAGTTATATCGCAGCGAACCTCATTACGCCTGCACTTATTACACCGCAGCCGGTGGTGGAGGTGCCGGTTACCTCGTTGCCGGCGCTGTTTCCGTTGGCGGAGATGGAGTTTCCTACTTCGGCGATTGAATTACCGACGTGGTCTCCCACCAAGACTCCACATCCAAATCTCCCGCTCTCGCCCCGACCGAGGGAGCCGAGGCTTAATTCGCAGTTTTTGAGGATGTGGTGTTTAGAACAGGGAATGAGGAGGGCGGGAAAGATTGAGATGTGGACTGTGGGGAGGGCCGAGATGGTCTTGGGGCCTGTTACATGGAATGGATGTTCGAACAGTGGGTTGAGGAATGAGATTATGTAGATTCTGGGGAATTTGGAACGCGGCTGATACAGACAATATTCACGAGATGGAAGTTGGAACTGGTTCTACATGGGGGCGGTGAAGCGTACGATACAGGGTTGGTGCAGAAATCATTTATTTGGGCATAGCGGGCGTTTATTCTTTCTTTATTGGGCTACTTTTTGGATGACATGTGCTACGATACGAATGATAGGTATGAGGCGATGGACAACAGTTAATTTGATTATCTCCTATCTATCACTTCAGTGGCCATAGAATGTGTCATTCGAGCGAAGCTGGTTAACGCGCCTGGACCCAGCGACAATTTCCTCCTTCCTACGTATACTTGAACCCCGCGTGAACAGATTGTACGGGTCTCCTAATTGTATCGGTTTGTTTGCGTATTGTCCTGATTTAGCACGGAACCTCGACTCCACGAATATTCCCTCTTTCTGTTGAAGCTGGATATTGAGGGAAGGTAACGCTACGGGTCTTACCTCTTCTTGAGTTCCGTCCTCTTTGTCACAAACTTCGACGGCGAGAGGAATCTGGAATTGGGTATCGCCGGACATGGCATGATCAGTTGAGCGATTCCATTTTGCCCAGTCATTGGGCGACATCAGTAGTCGAACGGCTCGAAGGTCCCTCGGGGAGAGACAGCGCACGCAAATACGGTTTCGTAAGGTTTTTCCCTTTTCTAAGGATAAACGAATGAACCAACGTCCATCCCAGAGTTCCCAAGTGCCGTCCGTGGGTAGGGGAACGAGTTTCTTCATGCTCTCTTTGTCCAAAGGTGCCCGTCTGACGAACCATAGTATTTGTTGCCCAAGAAGCTGGGTAGATTTAACGTCAAATAAAAGATTCCTGAACGAAACCCTATCGTCCTTAGCAGTGAACAGGCGGTCGACGGTCTCTTTCAGGCGCCCCTTCCTGATCATCCCAACTGATGGAGTTAACTTTTGGGCGATGATGGCGGCGAAGCGAAACCTGATATCCTCTGTTTGTTGCATGATATGAGGCGGAACAGTGACATACATTGCTCCGGATTGCGGAAAAAAACATAGGCGCGAAAGTTCGAGTTGATCTTTGAGGTATATTTCCGCTCGGTCCTCATCAGCTCTCAGACGTTGCGACAGTTTAACGAGATTTTGTGGTTGTAGCACTTCCGGGAGCTCATGAGCCCGTTCAGCAAATAGCTTTCGTATTGTGTTGCGAATCGTGAGTGTGGCATCGTTGTTAGTTGGGTCTTCCGCCCAGGGGACATTGGCAGCCTTGCACGTCGCTTTCAGGTCACTTTTCCTGAACCCAAGTAGCGGCCGTAAGATTTCAATATGCTGCGCTCCGTAGATATTATGGGAACACGGAATAGGAGCCACTGCTGGCATTCCTGATAGACCCATAAACGACGAACCCATTGCAAGCCGATGGAGAAGAGTCTCAGCTTGATCGTCTGAGTGATGTGCGAATAGGAGCTTTGTCACGCCTTTATCGATGCAAGCCCGGGACAACGCCTCATAACGCAACTGTCGTGCATGCAGTTCGAATCTTGTAGGTGCCACATCTTTGGCTTTAGACCAGTCGAGCTTGATAATGTGGTGCTGAAATCCGAACTGAGCACACCATTCGCCGACCTTAGCAGCTTCAGCAGCTGATTCCGGTCGCGAGTCGTGGTCGATTGTTATCGCCGTGACATAGTTCGAGGGGATGTTCTGTTCTTTCACCCAGAGGTGAGTGAGGTAAGTCAGAGCCATAGAGTCAACGCCGCCAGAGACCGCCATCCCTAGTGAGATCGTTTAGTAGGCAACGAGTGCAATGCACCCAAGGGCGCCATACCTAAGCGTTGGCCGGGTTGAGCGTTCCGGAGGAGAAGCGGCCCGAGACGGTGGGAGAAGTCCTTGAGGGTGATCATGTCCTCGTAAAGAACTCCGAAGAGTCCACTTCTGCAATATGCCGCCTTCGATTCGATGTCCAAAAAAAGTGTAACGTTCTGCAACTTCCAATATTGACGGGCTTGTAACGTTGACATTCCCGCCCTGAAATTTCGGCCGTACGTATACCTGCATGACCTGAAATCATTACCACCACCTCTCGCCGGTATCCTTCTCGATCTGATATTATGTCGACGGAATCAACGACTGAGAAGCAGCCTGCCGTCATTCTGGTTATCGGAATGGCTGGCTCCGGCAAGACTACTTTCCTCCAACGCCTGAACGCCCACCTTCATTCCAAGAAACAGCCGCCATACATCCTCAACCTCGATCCAGCTGTACGGAATGTACCTTACGGAGCAAATATCGATATCAGAGACACGGTCGATTACCGTGAGGTGATGAAGCAATACAACCTTGGTCCCAACGGAGGAATTCTGACGTCGCTCAACCTGTTTACCACGAAATTTGACCAAGTTCTCGGATTGGTAAATAAGCGCGCTGCATCTGTGGATCACATTCTGCTGGATACACCTGGACAGATCGAGATCTTCACCTGGTCTGCCTCCGGATCTATCATTACTGATGCTCTTGCGTCGCAATACCCTACCATGATTGCATACATCATCGACACTCCACGAACACGATCACCAGCAACATTTATGTCGAACATGTTATACGCATGCTCCATTCTGTATAAGACTAAGCTGCCGATGGTCTTGGTTTTCAACAAGTGTGATGTGGAGATGCCAGAAGACGAGGAGGGACGTGGAGGTTTTGAGAAAGTGAAGGAGTGGATGAGTGATTGGGAGTCATTCCAGGCAGCGCTGAGAGAGGACGAAGAAACGCTCGGAGGAACCGGTGGTACGGGTGGTTCTGGGTATATGAACAGCTTGATCAACTCCATGAGTTTGATGTTGGAGGAATTTTACAGACATCTTGACGTTGTTGGTGTATCCGCGGTAACCGGACAAGGCTTTAACGACTTCCTGGAAGCTGTCCAGAACAAGGTCGAAGAATACAACAAGGAATACAAGCCTGAGCTGGAAGCACTCATGAAGGAGCGCGAGTCGAAGAAGGAGAAAAGCAAGGAAGACAGTCTGGCACGGCTGATGAAGGACATGAAGATGGATAAATCCGGCATTACTTCGGCCCCGCAAGAAGGCGGGTCGGCGGAGACAATCTCAGATATGGAGGATAATGACGACGATATTGATGAGGATGATGTGTATAACGGTCAGCTCGGTGACGAGGACCTTGTACCGGATATCAGTGGACCTGGAGTTGGTATGAAGCATGATGAGAGATGGGGGCAGAGTTCGGGACAGGGTGCTCGAGGTGGGCGAGGCAAGGACTTTTCCAAAGAGATCTTGGAGGCAATGCAAAGATAGCAACGCTTAAAATGTGTGCGTGTGGGAGGTAGCTAAATCGAGACCATACAGCTAAGGGTAGTGGATTATACATGCTTCCTCGAAACGCAAAACGCGTCGCTGGCTCGAAATAGAATTTATCTACGGCCTTTCACGCGCTGGAGCTGGAACCCGGTCGGCGCCCTTGGTGCCTTGCACTCGCTTCCCAAAATTCGGGGCAGCGCTGTACGTAACTCACAAAAATCCAAGACTCTTTCTTCTCTTTCTTCTGGGATCATAGTCTGAAATCATGGTCGCCGATACCGCTTATTACGACCTCCTCGGCATCTCGCCTGATGCTTCTTCGAACGAGATCAAGAAGGCTTACCACAAACTCGCCCTCGAGACGCACCCAGACAAGGTGCCCGAGCCTGAGCGTGAGGAGGCAGCGGAGAAGTTTAAAGATATTCAGGATGCGTATGACACGCTGAGAGAGCCTGAATCGAGAGAGATGTATGATGAGTTCGGGTCGGATGGTGGTCCTGGGATGGGTGGTGGGATGGGTGGCGGAATGGATATGGATGATCTGTTCGAGCAGATGTTCGGGATGGGCATGGGAGGTATGGGCGGCGGCTACGGACCTGGACGGGAACCTCATCGGGGTGGACGAAGAGGTGGAAAGACTCCGGATGCTGTGCAAGAGTACCCCGTAAGTCTGGAAGACCTGTACAAGGGCAAGACCACACGAATGGCGGCAAGCAGAAAGGTTGTTTGTCAGCACTGTTCTGGAACTGGTGGAAAGAAGGGTGCGAAGGAGAAGAAATGTGGTGGATGTGATGGACGTGGGTTGAAGTCTGCTGTGTCCCGCGATGGTATGGGACAGTTGAGGACGATGCAGGTTGAGTGTGATCAGTGTGACGGTGAAGGCAAGAAGATCCCAGAGGCACATGCCTGTCGAAAGTGTAAGGGTAAAAAGGTCGTTGACGAGAAGAAGATCTTGGAGATCCACGTCGAGCGTGGTATGAGGGATGGTGAGCGTATCGTATTGCCGGGTTTGGCAGATGAGCAGCCTGGTCGTGAGACTGGAGACGTCATCTTCAAGTTGAGGCAGAAGGAGCACCCTGACTTTGCACGCTTAGGATCTGATCTTCGCACAACGCTCAAGATCACTCTCGCTGAATCACTATGCGGGTTCTCCCGCGTCGTCCTTACGACTCTTGATGGCCGTGGTCTTCGCTTCACTCACCCTGCTGGCAAGGTGTTGAGGCCTGGAGAGGTCATCATCGTCAAGGGTGAGGGTATGCCCCGCGGCCGTCGTTCCGACGACAAGGGTGATCTCTTCCTCGAGGTCGAGGTTGAGTTCCCTCCTGACAACTGGGTGTCGGACACCTCTGACCTCAAAAAGCTGGCCACTGTCTTGCCAGACGTGAAGAGGGCGGCCGAGAAGGGGCCTGAGATTGTGGATGATGCCGAGTATGTTAAGGGAACCTTTGATGGGTTTGGTGGTGAGGAGGCGGATCAGCAGTGGGAGACTGACGACGAGGATGGTGAGGGTCCTGGTGTGCAGTGTGCTCAGCAGTAGAGGAGTTGCGTGACTGCCAAGGTGCTACGGGCTCAGAATAGACAGGCTCCTATCAGGACTGAGGATACCAGAACTCCCAAGGCCCATTGAAAATACATGTATTAAAAAAATGTATCGTAGCACTGGACGTCACCAGCTTATCGATTGCCCTGCTGAGCGTCGACGTCGACCGGCAGCTCACCCGGCGCCGCAGCTGCCTCACCTCCATAGCATTCAGAGCACTTCAGTTCAAGGTGGTTGAGTACCATGGACGCCGAAACAGCTCGAAAGACTTGGGAGATTGAGAACAATATCAAAGCGGAGAGCCAGGATGCTCTGTACCGCTATGACGCGGACGAGCAGAAGCGGCAACTCGCGGAGAAGCCGTGGAAGAAAGAGTACGTCATATCCTTCGGGGTAAAGCTTGTAAAGCTCTTCTAACGGGCTGTGACAGTCCACATTGGTTCCAGAAGACAAAGATATCGGCATTGGCTCTTATCAAGATGGTACGTCAATAACAGCCCTGACGGGAGACACCGCTGACACCGCATTTAGGCTATCCACGCCCGCTCAGGCGGCGCGATCGAAGTCATGGGCCTCATGCTCGGCCGTATCGACGTGCGTACAATCATCATCACTGACTCCTTCGCACTACCCGTCGAAGGTACAGAAACTCGCGTCAACGCACAAGCCGAGGCCTATGAATACATGGTTCAGTACCTCGACTCGCTCAAAGCCAGCGGGCGAGGAGAGAACATCGTAGGATGGTACCACTCTCACCCAGGATATGGATGCTGGCTGTCTGGTATCGATGTCGGGACGCAGATGCAGAATCAGATGTATCAAGATCCGTGGTTGGCGGTGGTGGTGTGTAATGAACGTTACATGTTGTCCGTATCTGGGTAAACTGACGTACATTACATAGATTGACCCGAACAGGACCATCTCCGCAGGTAAAGTCGAAATCGGTGCTTTCCGTACGTACCCGGAAAACTACACCCCACCCAACGCCCAGAAATCCGAATACCAGACAATCCCACTCAGCAAAATCCAGGATTTCGGAGTCCATGCCAACTCGTACTACCCACTCGCAATCGAGCACTTCAAGAGTAGTATGGACTCACATCTATTCTCCTTGTTGTGGAATAAATACTGGGTTTCCACGCTCTCGCAATCACCACTCCTCCTCAACCGCGCGTACGCAACAGAACAGCTGAACGACTTGGCATCGAAAATCGATAACGCACAAAAAGCACTTCTCCGCAACCCTTTCGGCGCAGCCGCGCCTTCGGCCAGAAAGAAGGACAAGGAGGAAGGAAATGAGAAGACCGAGACGGAGTTACATAAGGTTATCAGGGATTCGAACAAGATTACGGGAGAGGAGATGCAAGGCTTGATGAGTGAGATTTTCAAGGATAAGCTGTTCAACTGCATCAAGGCTCACGGGCGGGAGGCTCAAGCATGAAGTGCACTTGAACGGGGGTTTGGGAAGAGGTACAATACAATTGCTTGTGATAGGCGCATCTCATATGGATAATATACCCAGAGTTTCAATTAAAGCAAGACGTATGTAGGTATTTTCCCTAAATTGCTTGTAGCGATTACACGACCCGGGCCATGCACGAAACCGGGTCCCCCATCCGTAAACCAAGAATGACCTAAGTTATCCCATATTGATTCAAACGCATTTTTGTGTCCATCACATTCTCGAATCAGAGGAAACCCGATTCCTGCAGCAGTCGTGCAATCTTCTCGTCCTCCCTCTCCCTTGGCTCCATGTTCAAACTCAGATCATACATCTCAGTGACATCCCTGCTCTCCCTCAAATTACTCGAAATGAACACCTGCAATTCAGGGACCGGCTGCAATGAATAGGGCACGGACTGATACTGCTGAATCTCGCGAATGACTTCCGCCGTCTTCGATCTCTTCGAGAAATTAATGAGGTGCTCGGATTTCTTGAGCATATTCGGATTACCGTCCTCGATGAAAGTCAAGTCGGTAAGATAGACACCCAGGAACGGAACACATGGTGGGTTGACGACGTGGAGCATCTCACGATACTCGGAGAAGTTCTTGGTCGAGTTCATGACCTTGTTGAGAGATTCAAGGGTCTGCAGCATACGTGCGTTTACCATCTCCCACGTCCGCTTCAAGCGGTGGATCGGCGCTGAGTTGAGTCCGGATATGATTGCTGTCAAAGTTGAAAAGTTGTTGAGTTGTCGACATTTCTGTACGTTATGTTAGCATCCCACATACGAGAAGGAAGAAATGCGACTCACGTCAGCAACAGCAATGAAGTGCTTGATCAGGTTCACACGCTTCTTGATCTCCGGCTGCGTCAAGATCGCCTCGGCCACCCATCCAGTGACCTGATTTGAGTTCAAAATCATCGCCTTGATGTTCTCCGCAACAACACCTCCACTTCCCTCAGGTTTCGACCAGTTCTTGTCCAAGCACTCCTCGGGCTTGATCTTGTTATACAACCTCGATTCAATAATTGTCAGTTGTCTCGCCAACTCCAAAGCATCAACATCCAGGAACTTCAGTCTCTTTAGATTCTTTGGCAGGATCGGTGGTGGACAGGCCGTTGTCAGGTTCAGGACCATCTTTCTGAATGAAGCATCACCACTGGTCTGTCGTCTCTCAACAAGCCTTTCCAAGACTTGCGCACCAGCTAAGTGATCCTTCATCGTCGTTGCCGCGAAGTGCTTAATCCTATCCAACAACTGCACCGTCCTCTCCTCATCCTTCGGCTCCATGAAATACGTCTCCATCCACGACTTGAGGATATTGAACACCCTCAACCTGATCGGCTTCTGCTTCCTCTCGACCCAGATGTCCAGTTCCTCCTGCATCAACCCATGAGGCGCCATAATATTGAAGCGCCCAACTAGAGCATCGAACAACGCCTCAGCTGTCGTGAAAGACCGGTACGTCAGCAAAAGGGTATTGTTAAACGCCGAGTCAAGGAAATCATGTCTCGTTAACCTCTCAACGAGCACAACGAACGTACCACCCTTCACCATCCCCTTCATGTCATAACTGATTTCATGCTCATACTCAACTCCCAGATACCACGGCTCGTCCGCAATATTCTGTCGAGGAGCACCATTCGTTGGTGTAGCAGCCTTTGCTGGACTTCCAACCTCGGAGAACGCCGGAGGCGGCGCATCATCACCGAAGAATCGCTTGAGTTTACTCCCCTTCTCCCGCTTCGGTGTACGAGGGAATTCCAAATCACTCAAAGTCGATCCCACACTCGTCCTGGTCGGGCTCTCCACCAAACTTCCGGTACTTCCAGCCCGATCTCTCACCGGGTCGTGTATGACCGAGCTTGTGATACTCAACTGACTCTTCCTCCTCTCCGCGACGTTCGGCAAGCCTTGCGGGTTGTTCTGCCTCATAACGATCTCCTCAACCAGGAACTGAAGCGTGAAAACTGCACTTTGCACACTCTTACCCAACTCCTTCGCCGCTTGCTTAACGGCCGCAACGCGCTGCTCCCCTTCGTGAGGGTACATCGGCGCGCACGGCTGCACACCCGTCGTAAGTCCCTGTGCCGCCATCAACAAATCCGCATTATTGTCATACAGCGTCTGCTTCGTCTGCGCAAAATCCGTCAACGTCGGCGACCTAGGCGGTTGTGCCAAAATCGTCAAGTTAAGACCCTCGATCAGCACCAAATAATCCCGCGTGAACTGACAAGCCGACTGCGCACTCATCAGCGCCCTTCCTGCAAACAAACCCTGATCGTCCCCCCCCAACCCTGCACTCCGACCCGGACCAGGCGCAGTAACTAGCGCAACCTGTAGCTTCTTCAACGCGCTCTGGATTTCGCGGGCGATGTTCTCGAGTTTTTCCATTTCTGCCCCGGTGAAATCTTGGGTGGGTTTCTGCATATCAGGGGTGTCAACGAGTCCACCTTGTTTCGAGTTGGGCATGATCCCGTTTCCGCGCCATCCACCACCGACTTGTCCACCGACAACGAACCCAGGTTTGATGCGTCGGACGTCCATCTTATTCACGCCAACTGCTTCCAGGAAGCCTTCGGCGGCTGTCAAAACCTCAGCGGCGTCAGACCGCATCTTGCTAGATGCATCATCAGGTGGCCAGACACCAGCCGCGATCTTCGTCGACAACACCAATTTTGATAGCGCAGCCATGATCCGACGATGATGCGCGCGTAACCGCGCATCCGTCCTATCGAACGAGAGAACAAGTGTTGAAATCGTGTCGACGATCTCCTCGCAGTCACCGACGAAGGCATCCTTCGCGCCGAGCTCAATCGATTTCGCGAGCTTTTCGACAGAGAAGCGGACTTGACGGTGGAGCTCGAGAAGGGTTGGGGTACGGTATGTCGAAGAGTCCAAGAAAAGCAGTTGGGCCGTCGGACCTTTAGGACGAAGCGTGTCCTCTTCGGAAGAAGACGCTGCGATCGTGCTCAGTGTACCTTCCGTCGGTCTGCTTCCGGGTGTCGTCGCTAAGGTGGACATTGGCTGTGCATTAGAAGAGGCAGTCGATGCACCAGTTCCCGTCGAACTCGCAAAGCTTGCGCGGTTGCTACTTGACGCTGCGCCATCTTGTCCATTCCGTGTCGTAGGAGCAGCAAACAACAAGATCTCACCTTCTGATCCAGATCGTTCGTCTTCATGGTCGTAGATCGGTGAATGCAGCGTGGTCACGATGGGAAGTGTCTGCGTTGTCGCAAGCGATAACCTCCGTTCTTTCTTTGTCGGTAATTCCCACAAACTGTTCCCCGTCACCGTGTTGTAATAATATGTCTTCCCATCCGGCGTGCTCTGTTGTATCCAAAATGCCTCATCCTCGACTTCATCCTTACTTCCATCACCGTCGTCTTCGACTTCGTCATCCCCAAGTCCTTCCTCCTCTGATGCTGATAGTTCGCCTTCGGCGAATAGTTGGACATAGTTGGAAGGAAACCAGCCTCGTTCGCCTTCGAGAACACCGTCCCACCAACCTGATTCGAGCTGAGTTAGGACTTGGATGACGGAGCCCGCGGCGAAGTTGAGAGATGATGCGTCATTGGATGTATAGTCGTAGAGTGCTCGACAGAATACTGGCGCTTCTAGAGTGAAGCTGTTAGTATCATATCAGTCGCGAGATGTTTAATGGTATACCTTCAGGAGCAATCCCTTGTGGTTCCTCTGATATCACTTGAGCCATTGCGGCTGCAGCTTGAATGCCTGGCAGTGATGATTTCACTCAGAACGGCCGCTCAGTATGACCGGATAAGCGAGATTGATCCTTCGCGTCGAAAAGAGTAATTTCGCCAGCTGAAACGGGACAGCAGGTTCTCCCTTCGAATAAGGAGGTCGGTTGCTGTTCTGTGTAATGACGGATTACCAAGTGTAACCCTGGCGAGTCCGGTACCGATCTGATCCGTACAAGTCGCTGGATCTGAAAACTCAGACGATACGAGCCTAAGATGGATAGCTATCCAATCGACTGGAGCTCTCCTGTTCAACAGCTGAGATCCTGGTGTTGTTTGTCCGACTGCGACCTCCTTGATACCCAACCACACCAACCCGTTCGGGGAAAGGCCCAATGTAATTTCGGCGCGACCCCGTGCACTGACTGACATCGACGCTCGTGAGGACTTAGAAGAAAAAAATACAGTACAATGGTTCAGATCACCGAAGTCAAGAACGGCATTGCGGCCAATCGTATCTCTACTCACTCTCACATCAAGTCCCTCGGTCTGCTCGAGGATGGCTCAGCACCGGCCTTGAACCCCGCCTCCAATCCCTCAAGCGGGTTGATCGGACAGAACCAGGCGCGTGAGGCATGTGGGTTGGTGTTGGACATGGTCCGGAGTAAGAAGATGGCTGGAAAGGCGTTGTTGTTCGCTGGTGGACCTGGAACCGGAAAGACCGCCCTTGCGCTTGCCCTCTCCCAAGAACTCGGCAACAAGATCCCGTTTGTGCCAATCGTCGGTTCTGAGGTTTACTCTTCTGAAGTTGGAAAGGCGGAAGTTTTGAAGGAGCATCTCCGTCGTGCTATTGGGCTGAGAATCAAGGAGACGAAGGAGGTGTACGAGGGTGAGGTTACGGAGTTGACGCCAGAGGAGGCAGAGAACCCGCTTGGCGGCTACGGAAAGACCATCGCACATGTCATCGTCGGTCTCAAGACTGCCAAGGGTACTAAACAGTTGAAGCTCGACCCTTCGATCTACGAGTCGATACAAAAGGAGCGTGTTGACGTTGGAGACGTTATTTACATCGAAGCCAACACTGGTGCCGTTAAGCGTGTCGGCCGTTCCGACGCTTACGCTACTGAGTTCGACCTGGAAGCCGAGGAGTATGTCCCCGTTCCCAAGGGCGACGTCCACAAGAAGAAGGAGATCGTCCAAGACGTCACCCTCCACGACCTCGACACCGCCAACGCTCGTCCCCAGGGCGGTCAGGACATCATGTCCATGATGTCCCAACTCATGAAACCCCGCAAAACCGAAATCACCGACAAACTCCGTCAAGAAATCAACAAAGTCGTAAACAAATACATCGAGCAAGGTGTCGCAGAACTCGTTCCTGGTGTGCTCTTTATCGACGAAGTCCATATGCTCGATATCGAGTGCTTTACCTACCTCAACCGTGCGTTGGAGAGTACCATCTCGCCTATCGTCATCTTCGCCACCAACCGCGGTATGTGCGAAATTAAGGGCGCAGACGGCATCACAGCCCCCCACGGCATCCCCCTTGACCTCCTCGACCGCACCCTCATCATCCGAACCCTCCCCTACACCCTCCCCGAAATCCGTCAAATTGTCCGCCTCCGAGCCCGTATCGAAGGCCTCTCCATCTCCGAAGGCGCATTGGACGTCTTGGCAAGAAAGGGTGTTGAGACGAGTGTGAGGTATGCTGTGGGGTTGTTGACGCCTGCGAGTATTATGGCACGCATCGGAGGCCGGGAGGAGATCGGAGAGGAGGATGTTGGGCAGTGTGATGGGTTGTTCTTGGATGCGAAGAGGAGTACTGGGGTTGTGCAGCAGACGCCTGGAAAGTTCTTGGCTTAAGCGAAAATGAACGGTTAAGAGATTTGAGTCCATGCGGTGAAATAGGATACGTGTGGCATATTATACCCGATAAATTGATGCTTCATACCCTAATTCATGAATGCGTTTACAGGTAATACCAAGAGAAGGCAGGTTCGAAACCCGTGGGAAATGTAGTGTCCCACCGTTGCCAAAAACCCTGTGTTTGGTGTTTTGGGTTGACAATGCAAACACGCAAGAGTAATGGAATTTATAGGTATGATCTCCTGTTGACAATACGCATTAGATATTATTATCGATAAGTGGATCAAAAACGAGCCCAAAAGCGCCAAAACTACTTTCCAATGCCGTACCCGTGTCACTCTCCCCATCATTCTTCTCCATTCATGCAGAAAAGTTCGCTCTAACCAACCCACGCACCCGCCCAACCCTCTCTACTGCCTTCTCCAACGCTTCAATCCTCTCCCTCCTCTCAACGTCCCTCTTCTCCATATCCCCGAACCTCTCCTCTAACCTCTTCGACTTCTCCCGTTCCCGTGCCAGATCAATTCCCGTAGCCAAAAGTTCTGCCTGAGTCGCCGTAAGCGTGGCGGATGTGGTGGTAAGTTGCTGTGTCGTGGACTGTAGAACGGATTGTGTATGATGCAGTTGTTGATTCGAGGATGAGACGAGGTTGTTGGCTTCGGAAAAGAGGGATGCTGAGAGTTCTTCAACTTCGCCTTGTAGTTGCGCCAGAGCTGTTTCGGCAACACACCTCATTCTCCTCTCTTCATCCAATTCGTGTAGAAGATCCGGAACACGGGGGAGTCCCTTCTCCCTACTCGGCGCTCGTGATCCGTTTTGGTTTCGTTCAGGTGTAGGCGGCACGATATTGACCTGCGGGAGCCTAACGAGCTCTACGTCCGCTCTCGGTGAACTTGGTCTCCTCGTCCATATCCCAAAACGGCCTTTCGCGGGCGGTGTGGTGTTGGTGGTGCTGGAAGCCGTGGAGGGTGTGGGACTTGGTGGTCGAGGCTGCGAGCGACGAAGCTGTTGTTCGAGGTCATTTGCCTTATCGACTGCGAATGCGAGTTTCTCTGTCAGGAGCCGCAATTGGGATTCAAGTTCCTCGATGCGCTCTTGGGGGCTGTCCTCATAATACTCGATTTCGATACTGTCGTTCATCTCGCGATCTCTGAAACTCGAGGGGACAAAGGATGCTTCAAGGTGGTGTTGGACGAGACGGAACAGAAGGTAAGAAGAAACGGAGTGAATTGACTTCTACCACAACAACAACCCTGCAAATGACCGGGCCGAGGTAATCCCCGGCCCTATCGAGGCACACAGACAAAGCCGCAGATCATGTGCAGCCTGACCACCTCAGCCCATGGCATCCCTATCTCCATCAATTCCCGACCAGGCTGGATTGCTTGAGAACATATCCAACGTACTCAATTGTTAATGTGGGACGGACCCTTGCTTGCTGGTGCTTGCGCCGCATGAATGGTGCTGCACCAAAATTCGCATCAGGGAATCCAGGCATCGCGGTCCGAGTACGGAAATCTGAGAGTGTCTACGTTACACCCATCTCGAAAATCCTCTCTGGCATCACGACGTCACTCCCCGCATCGAATGTGATGGATATCCAACCTACCAGCTTGCTTCTGTCGTGGACGATCATCTGATGCAGATTTCGCATGTTGTACGTGGTGAAGAATGCCTTCCATCCACCCCCAAACACTTGGCAATCTACAATGTCTTTGGATGGGACGAGCCCAAGTTTGCTCAACTACCACTCCTGACAAACATCGAAGGCAAGAAATTGAGCAAGAGCGAGAGCGATGCAAATGTGGGCATGTATATCAAAGAGGGATATCTGCCTGAGGCGCTATTGAGCTTTGTTGCATTGATGGGATGGGGAGCTCCGATGACAATCAAGAATCAGGCGTTTACGCTGGAGGAGATGGCAAACGCGTTCAGGCTTGATAAAGTCACAAAAGGTTCAACTGTGGTGGCACCAGGAAAGCTTGTCTTCCTGAACAAGAGGCATCTGTCCAGGCGTCCAGATCATGGTGCAGGTTGGGTTTATGAAGTTGTGAAGCCGACATTGACGGAGAAATTCGCAAAAGGGGAGGAATGCGACACGTATGAAGGAGGGGCTTCCATCCTGCTTGGCGCAGAGTACGTGAAGAAGGTCTATGCGCTTGTTTACGAACGGTTACGAAAACACACTGACCTCCCAGAAAGCTGTGATTATTTTTGGATGAATCTGCATGAAAGCTCCAGACCTGAGGTGGCAGCCAAACTCGAGCCGTTCGGGGCAGCTGGAATGCCCTGTTACAACTCTTCTCAAGTACTTTGGTGCAATCGAGACATGGGATGAGATAAACATTAACAACACTATTGATGCTACTTGGGCAGGGGTTGAGGGAAAGGATCAGGTGCATGGTATCTTCAAGAAGAAGGACTTGTTGATGAGTCTTAGGGTATGTGTCTGTGGAGGTAAGATGGGAGCGGATATCGGAAAGACAGCGGAAATCATTGGCAGGGCTCACGTGATTGCGAGGATTGAGGCATGCCTGGCAGCTGAGAAGAAGTACGTAGAGATGCATCTAGACTAGTTGGTATCTAAACCTCTATAACATTTACTCCTCCTCCCCCTCAAGCTTCCGAAAGACCAAATCACACCTCCCCGACTTCGGCATCAACACAAAATGATCAACCATACTCATACTCTCCTCCGTCGTCCCCTCCCCCGATTCCACCCTCCACCCCCTCAATAACGCCGCAATAATCAACTTCATCTCCATCGTAGCGAGGTGAATCCCCATACACGCCCTACTCCCCTTCGACCACGGCATATAGGACTCCTGCATCGCCTTCGTACCACCGTTCGCCCAGCGGGTTGGGAGGAAGGAGGTTGGGGAAGGGTAGATGGTGGGGTTGTTGTGGAGGGTGTAGGCTTGCATTGAGACTGTCGTACCGGCTGGGACGAAGATATCAGAAATGACACCGCCGCCGTCGGGAGCGACACGGGGAAGTGAGGCGGGTGCGGCGGAGTGAAGACGGAGACCCTCCATGATACACCCGTTTAGAGCCTCGAGGGGTGCGACATCTTTGTAGGCTGGGACACCGTCGATGAATTGGACGTTATGTGTACGGAGCTCTTCGCGGATTTTGTCTTGCCATTCGGGGTGTTTGGCAAGTTCCCAGACGGTGTAGGTAAGCGTGATGGAAGTTGTGTCGGTGCCACCGATCGTCATTGATCCGACTTCGGAGGTGATGACACGGTCAGGGAGTTTTTGGGAGTCGGTTTCACCCTTGATGACTTTTGTCAGGAGATCCCGACGTTTTGATTCACGGCCGTATCTGTCCATGTACTGCTTGAAGGCCCAATCACCGTACTCGTAGAGTCGCTGCGAAGAACGGAGGAAGCGCTGCCATGCTGGAATCGGGAGCCAGGAGGTCAGGGGGAGGACCCACGGCATGTTCCATTTGAGAGCTGCGAGCATGAAGTGTCCGTCAAGATCGTCGAGGTAAGAAAGCGGAGTATCACTATCCAACGCCTTGAAGTCCTGTCCGAGGAAAAGAGACCCCACGATGTCCAATGCGTACATCCGAAACCAAACAGCAACGTTCATACTCTTTCCCTCAGCCGCATACTGCTGTACCCATCCCATAAACTTCCTGATCTGCTCAGCAATAAGCGGCTCAGCATTATCGATATTCACCTGCGCAAATGCATGCGACAAGAGTTTCCGACGTTCCTTGTGTAACTCGCGATCCCGCATATCGAACAAATTCGGCGAATGCGTCGAGAAATGGTCGTACATGGCAGACTTCATATAAGGACTTCCTTGTCCGTAAATTTCCTTGATTGCAAATGGGTTTGAGAAGGCGAGCTCATCGGGCCCGATGCGGATGATGTCTCCGTAGCGTTCGTGGAGGTGGTGGATAGTAAGGGTTCGGCAGCCGCAGAGCTCGGCGAAGGTCATGCGTGCGCTCGTGATTTTGCAGATCAAGGGGCCGGGAACATTGCGCAAAGGGTGAAAATAGGCATTGTAGATTGCCTGTTAACGGATCAAGTCAATCGCTGTCCGACACCGAACAAAGGGCGCACCACACTCACCTTCGCCAGCCAAAACGCAACCGCAGCAGCCAACACAGCCTGGCCCAACCCAACACAATGCAACGCAAAGATCACTCCCATCACTTCCTGTCTGAAGCGAAGTAACAGATTTGCTTGCTGGATCAGCGCGATTGCAGGTTACATGGCAGCCAGCGCACGGACCTCGGGGGTGTTGTTTGGGCACGCGCAACAGCGAAGGGTTTAGCGCAAAGCCTATTACGAAATAGGCTCACCACAGGACCGAGATACATTTTGCAATTGGCTACCGTCGCAATCTAATAGTGGCCATGCAAAAACCGTCCAGCAGTAATGCACCCAAGAAACTCACAACTGCAACGCCTTCCCTTTATCATGCCATACTATACTCCTCAACGTCCGCCCACTCACTCTCCCACCTCCCCAGATGCCTCTCCTCCTCACTCCTCACCCTCATCGCAACCTCCTCTAACCTCTGTCTAGCCTCCCCACTAACCTCAAACACCCTCCCATCACCTCTCCGTCCTCCATCCACCGGAACCCACCACAACGTCTTTCGCTCCCCGAAGACTTGACACCAGTTTGCGTAGTAACCAAGATCGAAGGCGTTTCCGATTTCGATGTTGGTTGGGGCGGAGCGGCGGAGGCGGGAGAGGGGGTGAGGGGTGGAGTAGCGGGTTGATTCGAGGGATTCAATTGTGGTTATGTTGCGGAGGCAGAGACTGAGGTGCCATCCTCCGAACGCACCGACGATGATGGTGATACATCCACTCAGCGCCGCCAATAACACCCAACTCAATTGTAGGAATTCGTCTTCGACACCAGAGTAGGGTTCGAGTGTCCACCAGTATATTGCGAGACACGTACCGGCGAAACATGATGTAGCGAAGAGTGTCACATAGACGAGGAACAACACGAACGGTTTGTAGTTATTCCACCCGACACAGGTTGATAGCCACGGACAGTGGTGATCCATCTTCAACACGCACACACCGCATACACTACAATGATGCGCCCGATCCGGTTTCGGACATTGGCATTTTGTGCAGTATCGCGTTTTCCCATTCTCTTTTACAGTGATGGTGGATGTTGGTGCCCCCAGTTCAACGTCGCGTTCGTGGGATGTTGTGGAGGTTGTGGGGAGGAGAGAGTAGGAGAGATCTTGTAATGGTTTTGGGATTGGTGAAGAGGGTGAGCCGGGCGGTGTTAGGCATGCTGTGTAGTAGCACCATAACGCCATGGCATACAACACCACTGTCAGTGCTGCCCATGCATATCCTGTTCCCCATCATCCCATTAGTTCAGGTAGCAAAACCTCGTGGTCAAAAGAGAGACATACCCGTTTTACCGCCGACGTGGCGGAGGCAGATTGTGTATGCTTGGACGTAGAGGGCCCATGTCGTCAGGAATGCGACGAGGCCGAGGGGGAACCAGGAGAAGAATTTGCAGCAGAGGGATTCGGTGCGGCGTAGGGTGGAGCGGAGGAACATTCCCTCAGGCGAAATGGTCGGTCAGAGGTAATGGCGAGGGATCAGACGGGGTGAATGCTGGAATGGACTGGTGTTTGAGGGAGAAGTTATTAATAGTAACGTGGCCCGAAGTAACAACATCGGGTGCAGGGGGGTGCGGCGGGCTTGACATAATCAACTTGTATCAGGAGACAGATAAACCGAAATTTCCCTTTAATCCAACCATAGGTTTTCTACTGTTTTCGTCGACATTGTCATGACCTTATTAACTCTCCAATCACGGCCTTAATTTACGCACACGAAGTCGGACGCGAAACCCGGCGTAGAGGCGCGTCCACCTGAACGAATCTCGAGAACGCATTGTACCACCGACCTTCTCCGACTACCTACTCCTTCTGAACAGCCAGTGTCTCGTGTTTGATTAGCAGTTCCGTCAGTAGCATGCCAGCCATGCCTCTCCGCCCTTCCCCGTCAGCGGACAACCTCCCTCCTGCAAAACGTGCCAGACACCTCAACACCCATCTCCCGGACTCCAAGCTCACCCGCGGTGAACGACCTCCACAAACTCAGAAAACCAGCTTCGAGGATGATCTCGAGAAGTTGACACAGGAGATTAGAAGTCATGAGGGTGAGAGCATGGAGACGGATCAGAAGTGGGCGAGACCGGTGTTGGCGAAGATTAATCCGAACACAGACTCGATTGGTATGTACCTTGAGGCTCATCTTTTGGATAAATGCTGATAAGACACACAGTGTTTCAGCAGATTGATATTGATGAGAGCACTGACTCGCGTGGACCCACCCTCAGACTCTTCGGTGTCACAGAAGCCGGCAACTCCATCCTTTGCCACGTTACAAACTTCATGCCCTACATCTACGTCCCCGCCCCACCCGGTTTCCAAACACACATGCTTCCAGCCTTCAAAGAAGCCCTCGACTCTCACCTCGCGCAATCCTCAGCAATCGTCCACGCTGTCCAAATTGCGATGAAGACGAATTTATATGGGTATGCAGGCGGCTCTAAAAACCCGTTCTTGAAGATCATCTTGAAGGATCCAAAGTATTTGCCGAAGGTTAGGGGTGTGTTTGAGAGGGAGGGAATCAATTTTAATGATATGTTTCCGGGGCCGACGACAACGTTTGATAATATCGCGAACGAGTTAAGGTTTATGATTGATACGAAGCTTGTTGGGATGAATTGGGTTGAGTTACCGGCAGGGAAGTATTCGCTTACGTCTGAGGACAAGAAGATTGGAACATGCCAGATCGAGTGTTCCATTCCGTGGAATCATTTGATTTCCCATGCGCCACAGGGTGACTGGGGCAAGATGGCTCCGCTCAGAGTTCTGTCATTCGATATCGAGTGTGCGGGTCGTAAGGGTGTCTTTCCCGAACCGAACCATGATCCTGTCATTCAGATCGCGAATGTGGTAACGACGTTTGGTGAGCCCAGGCCGTTCGTGCGGAATATCTTTACAGTGGATACTTGTTTGCCCATCTCTGGTGCGCAGGTTTTCGACTTCCAGGACCAGGGAAAGATGTTGGCCAGCTGGACTGATTTCGTGAGGGAAGTTGATCCGGATGTTATTATCGGTTACAACATCGCCAACTTCGACTTGCCGTACTTGCTCGACCGTGCGAAGCACTTGAAAGTACATGAGTTCCCGAAGTTGGGACGGATCAAAACACAGAGGTCTGAGGCGAGGGATACGACTTTCTCTTCGAAGGCCCACGGAACGCGTGAGTCGAAGCAGACGAATATCGAGGGACGATTGCAATTGGATATGTTGCAGGTGATGCATCGTGATTACAAGTTACGCTCGTACACCCTTAACTCTGTATGTGCGCACTTCTTGGGGGAGCAGAAGGAGGATGTGCACCACTCTATCATTACGGACCTGCAAAACGGAACAGCCGAGACTCGACGAAGATTGGCTGTATACTGTTTGAAAGATGCATACTTGCCACAGAGATTGATGGACAAACTCATGTGTTTCGTCAACTATACTGAGATGGCCCGTGTCACCGGTGTTCCTTTCAACTATTTATTGGCGAGAGGACAGCAGATCAAGGTTATCTCGCAGCTTTTCCGAAAGGCCGCGGATGAGGGCCTGGTTGTGCCAAGTTTGAAGAGTGAGGGTGGGGGTGATGAACAATATGAAGGTGCGACGGTTATTGAGCCGACGAGGGGATACTATGACGTCCCGATCGCCACGCTCGATTTCGCGTCTCTTTATCCGTCGATTATCATGGCACATAATTTGTGTTATACCACGCTTCTGCAGAACGCGACGATTCAGCGTCTGGGGTTGGTCAAGGATAAGGACTACATCCAGACCCCGAACGGTGATTACTTCGTCAAGTCTGAGCACCGCAAGGGACTGTTGCCGACAATTCTGGAGGACTTGCTGAGTGCGCGTAAGAAGGCCAAGGCAGATCTGAAGAAGGAGACGGATCCGTTCAAGAAGGCCGTGTTGGATGGTCGACAGTTGGCGTTGAAGATCTCTGCGAACTCTGTGTATGGTTTCACTGGTGCTACGGTTGGAAAGTTGCCTTGTTTGGCGATTTCGTCGAGTACGACTGCGTATGGTCGTCAGATGATTGAGCGGACCAAGGAGGAGGTGGAGAAGAAATACTGTGTTGAGAATGGATACAGTCACTCTGCTGTCGTCATCTACGGTGATACCGATTCCGTCATGGTCAAGTTCGGTCCCAAGGATCTGGCAGAATGTATGAGACTTGGTCAGGAAGCTGCGGAATACGTGAGTACGAAGTTCGTCAAGCCGATCAAGTTGGAGTTCGAGAAGTGCTATTATCCGTACTTGCTGATTTCGAAGAAGAGGTATGCCGGACTTTACTGGACGAGAGCGGATAAGTACGACAAGATGGACTCGAAGGGTATCGAGACTGTGCGTCGTGATAACTGTCGGTTGGTGCAGAACGTCATCGATACCGCGCTGAGAAAGATGTTGATTGATCAGGATGTTGAGGGGGCACAGCAGTATACGAAGAACATCATTGCGGATCTGCTGCAGAATAAGGTTGATATGTCACAGCTTGTTATCACGAAGGCTCTCGTCAAGGCGGATTATGCGGCTAAGCAGGCGCATACGGAGCTCGCTGAGAAGATGAGGAAGCGTGATCCGGGATCTGCGCCGGCGTTGGGTGATCGTGTTGCATATGTCATTGTTAAGGGTGCTAAGGGAGACAAGTTCTACCAGTGTTCTGAGGATCCGATTTACGTTTTGGAGAACAATCTTCCGATTGATACCAAGTATTACTTGGAGAACCAGTTGTCGAAACCACTGATGAGGATTTTCGAGCCCATTTTGGGTGAGAAGGCAAATTTGTTGTTGGCAGGTGATCATACGCGTTCGATCAGCGTTGCTGCTCCCTCGGCGAGTGTGGGTGGATTGATGAGGTTTGCTGTCAAGACCGAAACGTGTATGGGATGCAAAACACCCCTCAAGCCCGGACAGAAGGGCGCCGTTTGTCCCAACTGTGCAGCACGTGTCGGTGAGCTCTACCAGAAGCAATTGACCAACATGAACGAGTTGGAGGTCAGGTTCGCGAGGTTGTGGACGCAGTGTCAACGCTGTCAGGGGAGTTTGCATCAGGATGTTTTGTGCTCGAGTAAGGATTGTCCTATCTTCTATATGAGGAAGAAGGCGCAGAAGGATATGCAGGAGGCGAGTTCGACTTTGGAGAGGTTTGACGCGAGCTGGTAGACTCAAGACGCGTCTGACGCAGGATGTATGCGTGGGTTTGCAATTACGATTACGATGGGAACTTTGGAGTTTTGGTGTACAGGGATCAAGAATGTCATTTCGTCATAGCTCACGGGTTAATTGAGATTAAAAGAACAAAGAAGATCCAGTCTGAGCATTCCTCCGCATTCCAGATCCCCGGGGTATTTGGCTAACCCGATCCTTCGCTTAGGAATGTCGCGGATCGCCAATTAAGGTTCACTACGGGCACGTCACTGGCAAGAGGACCCCTAGACGGCGCTTCGAAGCATGCTGTTTTCTTTGTTCCATCCATTGCCAATTCTTGTTTTCTACGCGGGGCCGTATTCCTGCCAGGAGAGCGGCAAGCGTCGGCTAGCGGGGGTACTACGAGCCCCCTGCAGTGCGGTGAGGTAAACACACACAAACTCCTAGCGACGGGTCCCGCGGCAGACCATCCACAAGCAAAACCATCGCTACTCCCTGCTGATACACGAGACCATACACCATCCAACTTGGTCCTCTGCAGCAGTTCAAGCGAGCCCTTCTCAAAACAGCTTTCAATCCAACCAATCCGTTCTCTACGACTCCGCTCTCTCTTTATATCAACTTCTCGCACTTCCGCAGCTTTACTCCGCTTTTAGCTACACGTCAATCACACTCTCTACGACCTTTTTCGCGGCATTCAACTCGAGTCAAGCTTTCTTTACCGACTCGTTAACACGTTCTTTCGACCTTTCAGCTTTTACGACACTCTCTCACTACTTTTCAACTTTTCACTTTCATTTTTATTCCTCCTACAGTTTCTATGGATATCGCCAGGGTGAGTGCTCAATAGAGGTACTGTATGCTTCCTGAGAGGGTTTCATGCGTTTTTACCAGAGTAAATGCTGCTCAATGCTGTATTTTCTTCTTTGTTATGAACGCTCGGGCCCCTTTCTCCACAGCATACATCCCACACATACCGATTCCTGGAACTATATGCTAACAGACATGAACAGAGAACTAGATCTCGCGTCAAGAACAACGACGAAAACGCTGCTCCGCGTATTCCCATGGCCACCAAAAACGTTATGGCCACTAAGCCTACCACCACCACCGTTGGCTTGAAGACAGGTGCTAAACGCGCCGCTCTCGGCGATCTCTCCAACGCCGTCAAGCAAGAACAACAAAAGTCTTCCATCCCCGTCAAAGCTATCGATGTCGCCCGTCCTCGATCTTCTCGCGTTCCCCTTGCTGCTAAGACCAATGTAATGGTCCAGAAGGAGGAGCAGGTTGACGTCAAGCCCAACTTGTTGAAGAAGAGCCATACCGTTCAGGTTTTGGCTGATGCGTCCGGTATGGATCTCGATGATGAGGAGGAGACTACTTCTGCCGAGGAAGACCTCTCTGATGAGGATATTGAGGAGGACCAGGACCTCTCATCCGTTGGCGAGCACTCTGTTGGCGCCTTCAGCGGCAATTCCATTGCCCTTGTCGATCACTCCATCACCATGAACATCGACCCACACATGGCTGGTGCATTCAAGCTCACTCACTCGCAAGCCGCCGAACTCCGTGCTGTGCAGGATCAGTTCGTCGACGAGCACGACCCTTGGGACACCACCATGGTCAGTGAGTACTCTGACGAGATCTTCAGCTACATGAAGGATTTGGAGATGAAGATGTTGCCCAACCCTCGGTACATGGAGCACCAGACCGAGATTGAGTGGCACATGCGTGCTGTCCTCGTCGACTGGCTCGTCCAGGTCCACGCCCGTTTCAGGCTCTTGCCCGAAACTCTCTACCTCTGCATCAACTACGTCGACCGTTTTCTCTCTCTCAAGGTTGTCTCCCTCCAAAAGCTGCAGCTCGTTGGTGCGGCCGCTCTCTTTGTCGCTGCCAAGTACGAGGAGATCCAATGTCCCTCCGTTCACGAGATCGTCTTCATGGTCGACCGTGGCTACACTGCCGAGGAGGTCTTGAAGGCTGAGAGGTTCATGATTAATATGCTCAACTTTGAGCTCGGATGGCCCGGACCGATGTCCTTCCTCCGTCGTATCTCGAAGGCAGACGACTACGACCTCGACACCCGTACCCTCGCCAAGTACCTCATGGAAGTCACCCTCTGCGAGCGCAAGTTCGTCGGAGCCCCTCCGTCGTTCGTGGCTGCCGTCGCGCACTATCTCGCCCGCACCATGCTCGGCAAGTCTGACGAGGAGGGCGGCATCTGGACTGAGGCGCACCTGTACTATTCTGGATACACTCAGGGACAGTTGGATCCCGCTGTTGAGTGTTTGATTGATGGTATGCTTAGGCAGCCCAAGGTTTCTCACCGGTCTGTGTATGAGAAGTATGCGGATAGGAAGTTCAAGAAGGCGAGTCGGTTTGTGGAGGAGTGGATGAAGGGGCGTTATTAAGCAGCCGGATGCATTCAATTGAGTTTCAAGGGGACGAAGGGAAAAGAAGTATTGGAGTGATCAAGGACACTCTTTCATTATGCGTCTGCGTGTTTGAAGATACACGGTCTGGTTTGTTTGTGTGTTCTGTTGTTTCCGTTGCATGATACCCATTGATCGGGACCCTTATGAGGTTGTTTTTCTCTTTTTCTTCATTTTCGCTACCTGACAGTTCGTTTTTACCTCTTTTATGCTTTGTTGGCTTGGTTGTTCGTTTGCATGAGATGCTTTGTGGCCGATTGCAGTTGCTTTGGGCTTTTATGTGGTGTATAATTACTAATATTGAGACGAACGAGTGAGTGAAAGGAATATATATCGCTTATCGCTATGCAAATGAATGTGTCGTTGTCACACGTCTGACCGATCGTTTGTATCTTCGTAGAGCATGAAAGAATCACGCTGCCTGCTCCGGCTCGCCACCCAACCTGTCACTAACCGCCGGACTTCCCTTCACCGGGACCTCAACACCTTCAAACCTGATTCCCCTCCCCTTAACCCATCCATCGGCCAACTCATCCGTCTCCGGCTCCGGCAAATCTTTACGCAGTTCCCGCTTCTTAAGGTAATCAGTCGAATATCTCTCATCCCTGTCCTGCAACGCGGCGGTAGGAAGCTGGGTCGGCGAAGTAAAGGACATCATGAGTTTCGGTTCGCCGAGGGGGAGGGTGTCGCCTCGGTCGACTTGCCAGAGGTGGATTGTCTTGCCGTATAGGTGAACGACTTGTTCCATCTCCTGCAACTCGGCTGCATCCCAGATCGGCCCGGGCATCGTCGCGGGTTTGGGCATGATCAACATCCCACTCTTCGCCTCGTAAACGTGGGAGTGCCAATACTTCTTCTCCTCCGGCGGGAGATCCTTGAAGAGCTTCTCGGTAATCATGTACTCTACCCCAATCAAGCGAGCGTTGGGACCGGGGCCGTCGTAGAGGATACATTGACGCATGTCTTCGGTGTGGTGGGAGCAGTAGTGGGTTGTTTCTACGTGGCGGGTTGGGTCGTCGGAGTAGACGTGGAGGCCGTTGAGATGGGCGCAGATGTTTTTGAGGGGGTGGAAGGACTGTATGACTCGCGGGTTAGTAGTCAGGTTGTGAGGAGGAGGAGAGACGGACCTGGGTCATGGAGGCGGCCGTGTCAAGGGCTATGGATGTCCAGGAGCGCGGTTCGCCGGGGACAGTGGGCTCGTGGCAGGATGTCATTTCGGTGGTGTTGATGGGAACAATCGGTGTTGCAATCGCGAGTTGGTGGTGAGCTGGATTTCGAATGGAGTTGGTGATGCATGACGTCAGGATCGGGATTCCGAAATAAATACTGCTGCTATTGAATCCGAATCCATCCGAAAAAGAAAGAAACTCCACACTTTCTCCTACACTTTCTTTAGTGGATACCGTTACAATCACCAGGCCAGGCAACACTAACTATCCCCTCCTCCCACATTTCTCTAACAACTCTTCTCTCCTCCTCCGACACTGGGTTGATTCTCTCGCTCTCCAGCTCCTGAGTCTCGGCGGTTCCCGCATCCGCGTCGATGTTCCGAGTAGGCGCTCCACACAAGACTTTCTCAAGCAAAAGAAATTCTTCGAGAGATCCCTTCGCAGGACGGGTAAGTTTGCGGGTTGTCGGCGACGTGGGTTCGATCATGATGCCAGGCGTGGGAGTAACGACCTCCGTGTACTCAGGCTTGTCCGCCGCGATACAAGCTTCGATATTGGGCATCTGCTGAGGCGTTGACATGAGCAGAGTGAGGGGTGAGCAACACTGGGTGAAAGAACTCGGGCGAGATGTTCCTGAAGTGGTGCTGTCAAAATACTCCTCCCGGATCTTCGCACGCAAGTCCGCATTCCTAGCCTTGACGCCGGCAAGCGTCGCCTTGACCGAGTTTAACGTGGTACTGAGCGCATGCAGATGTTCTTTTCTGGCATTCAGTGCGTTTCTGAACCCGTCCTGCACCTTCGCACGCTGAGTGGTAAGTGACTCCGTATTCGAGGCGCATACATCCCCAGGGTTGTCCTTGATCTCGACAATTTTCTTCTCAAACTCATTTTTATAGTCCTTGATGAGTCGCCCGATCCCGCGATGGACCTTGATACGTTCATTCCTCAACTCCTGGATCGCGATCACCTCCCTCATCAGCGCCGACATGCTTCCGTACTTCGTCTTCATATCCCCCTCTCTCGGCTCGAAAATCCCGTCATTCCTGATAATACTGCAGCTGCGTTTGTTGGAAGCTGAGTCGATTTCAGAAAGGAGGGAGGTAACGGGGGTGATAGGGGGTGACGGCGGGAGAGGAAAAGGGTGGATGGCTTTGGTGATGGTACAGCTGGTAGGAATAAAGCAAGCCATAATTGATAATGTGTTTCGTTTCGTAGAGAATGTAAGTTTGAGCAAAGTAGAGTAGCAATAGGAGACGTTGGTAAAAGTTGTAGTTAGGTCCATGTGGTTTGGAGAGGCCTGGGAGTATATGCGGGAGCGCAATACGTGGTTAAACTCTCCCAAACAGAGCGAACATAGAGCATGGAAAAATGGAAAAAGAGATGAATTAATGCGCATCATGTATCCTGGCTGTGTTCAAACCAGATAGGACTACTTATTCCTCCACACAGCTTGAACTTAGCAAAATCCCACGCTCATGGCCGCCTTCAAAAGTACAACTCCTCGCTATCACTGTCTCCACTATCTCCATCTTCAGGATGAACATCCTCCAGCTTCTTTCCCTCATCCATAGAATGCAACAACACATCTCTCACCTCCTCAACCTTGGAAGCCGTGACCGACGACGTCTTAGGAGAGGACACAGCTGTGGAAACAGGTGTAGTCAAACCCTTCCTTTCATCTTCTTCCGGAATATCATGCAAAGTCCCCATCTCGATATCACCAACAACGGTTGCAGTCGAAGCAGAATCGCGGCTAAACATCCTCGATAACGGGATCCGCTTTGGGGGTGTTAACTTGACTCGAATGATCGGCGTGTTCCCGATCGAAATCCTATTCGCCGCCATGCTCTCGCTGACAGAGATCATCTTCGATTCACTGATCTCGCCATACCCATACACAATCGCCTCACAGCGAAGATAGATCCTGTTTAGCAGACCATCATGGAAGGCGCGTGGAGTCCATCGTCCTTTCCACAGCCCACGAGAACGGAGGAAGACTTCAAGCTTTTCGCGTGGCATTGGGGTATAGCAAATGCTGGTGGGCGAGGTGGGTGAGAAGTCCATTTCGAATAACTTGAGGGACCGCAGTGCAACATAATTTCTTCGCCAGAAATCATCCCAGAAGAGGTACCACCATTGATGTAGTCTTGAGCGGTTTACCACACGTAATCGTTCGTACAGGTAGATAAGGCTCGGCTTCGACCATTCAGGCAGATCGAGGATGATCGGGTCCACCTCCGTCTCTTCTAAGACCTTGGGCAGTTGAGGGTAGCGGATCGTCGGCGTGTTGAAAACATTCATTTGGAATGCATAGGATAGGATCCGCTCCTTCTGCAATGCCTCGTTTCGCCAATAGTCAGCGTAACTTCTCAACGTATCCAACCAGTCCGTCAAACCGCGCTCCAACGTCGAACGATTATTGATGAAGAGAGATTCCAGAGCAGGCGTCAAGCGGAAGTCCGACGTCACTCCAATCAGTTCGCCGCTGATCTTGACCCGTTCCTTCGATTTCTTTCTGAAGCGCCCGGTTTCTGTAGTGCTGTACGTGATCGTCACATCGAACCCTGCGTTCATGTTCTTCTCATGCCAGAGGTCTTGACGGCGGTGCTGGATGCGCAGGATACCTTCAGAGTACTGCAGAGCCTCATTGATTTTGGCATACGACTGCTTGCCTTTCAACCTCGAAGTAATGTTCTCCATATCAAACTGCGGCATCTTGACATAGGGGCGATAAACTGTCTGCCCATCCAGTGCTCTGATCATTTGACGAACCCTTCTCCTTCGCTTCACCTCACGATCCTCATTCTGCTCAACGTATCTCTGGATCTCCCAGGGTTCGCTAAGTGATACTGAGATCGGCACTTCGTCGTAAACGAGAACAACAGTGAACGGGAAAGGGGCCACATACGCCTTCCCGAACCAAGTAGTTACGCCTTTTCCACGCCATGGTTGCGGAGGCGTATAGAAGCAATCCGGCCCGACAAACTCGTTGTAGATCTTCCGCCGCAATGCGATAGTTTCAGCCGCCAGTGGCTCGCAAGCCGCCTTGTAGGCCTTGAGACCAATCGTTCGAGTCAGCTTTAGATTCTCAACATGACGTTCGGCAGCTGTGCCATGGAACTGAAGCATATAAGGCGGATGTGATGCCGCCTGCGAAAAAGCCACGATCTCATCCTCCGGCATCCTCGTCCTATCTTCGCAGAGCAGCATAGCTGTCCATGTGTCCATCCATATTCTCCGCTTAATTTGCCTCGGGAACTTCAATCTCGAACAGAAGATTCGTTCAATGCTTACGTCCACTCGATTGCTGAAGCGCTTGACGAGTGTATCGAAGAACTGTACTCCGGACAAGGCATAATAACCAATGAAGACGTAGATCACCATGCTCACACTGTAGCTGAGATATGTAAAGAGAGCCACAGCTCCCAAATTCAACGCTTCAAGAAGGACGAACATGGTTGTAAGCACGTATCCGCAGCGAGTTGCAAGCTCCGACATATTTTGCTGAAACTTGAGGAAAAACGGGCGGTCGAGAACCATGGTAGCAACATGAATGCCCAAAAGAACCAACATGAAGGCAATTTGCATTCCCGCACTGATGGTCTTGATCAGCTTTGCGTCTGCATGGCGAAACAAACAGTTGTTCACAGACACCACGTCGATCAACAAGATGTAAAACAGCTTCGTGAGAAGCACATAGATCTTGTATGCAGCCCACTCCCTTCGATAACTGGAGTACATGAAGTTGTACGGTGACGGATCGCGGTCGAGCAAACGAACATACTCCTCGCGATCATCCGTTCGCAGTTCACCTGCTTCATTGTACGGGTCAACGCGTGGGACATTCCGCTTCACTACACCAGTCAATGTGTATGGCATGTAAATGCCGATACTGCAAACAGCAATGAATGCGACGGGCAAGACCAGATATACCCAATTAATATCCTTGATTCTCGCAGAAGTTATGTAGCAGACGTTATTGGACTGAATATACCCAGTTGGATCAGCAGCCGCACGTTCGGCATCCCACGTCGGCCAAAACGTCTTCTGCCAGACGAGGGCATCCACAGCAAGTTTCATAACGGGAAGATATAGGGTCGTCAGGAAGAAAATGGTGATGATGTTCCCTAGGCGTTTCTTCTTGCGTTGAAGTGTCCATGGATTGGATTCGAAGCCCTGTACTGCCGGTATTAGCACCTGATGTGAAGCATAAATTCGCTGTCTCTGCTCAGTACCTCCGTGTGGATATTCGGATCATTCCTCCGGATCCTCATAAATTTCCACAACAACAATAACGCAATCAACAAGAACAACCCCAAGAAGATGCTACCACCTCCAAATGCATCCTGCAGATTCAAACTCAGGATGTTGAGCACAGTGCTGTCTTTCCCACCACCGCTAAAAACCAAAGCCATCAACTGGATAAAGTCACGAAAGATCTCGAGCGTGACATAGACGCTCAACGTACTTCCTTCAGCTCCGATGAATGCATCCGCCAAGACACCGATAATATCGTTTTGCAAACTCGTTCCTAGCCATCCTCGCTTCGTCACATTACTCTTGAGGTCATCCAAGGTAATGTTATTTGGGATTAAATGCATGGGTGGAAATTCGGCCCGGCCCTTTGCTTCATAATCCGCATACTGCGTATCATCCAACACTTTCTCCAACGGCGAAAACTCGGTCGCCGGAAGCGACTCGATGAACTTATCCAACTTTGGGAGCTGGATTGGTAATGCTTCGCGTCCGAAGAGTGAGGCTTGTACGGAGCCTTTCCGAAAGTTCTCCTTCCCGAGAACGATCCGGTCGCGCTTGTGCTCAGCCTTCGCTGGGTTATCGCCATGTTTGACGTGCAAGGTATGTGGGATGTACAAACTCTGATCCTGATCAACCGAGACCTCAGGGAAAGGCTCGTTCTTCGTTCGCTGAAGTGGCACGTTTTGTCCACTAAACCTACACCAATCCGATTAGCACTTCACTCTACTTAAGAAAGCAACCCGTTCGTAGGCACACGTACTTGAAGTACTCCTCATCCGCGGGACTCACTTCCCTAACACTCTCAACCAACTGCGGCGTCAACAACCCTACATCCGCACTCCCCATCGGTTGATACGGCTGGAGATGCATACTCGTCTCCACGCCTCCTCCTCCCTCGCCAAAGTACTCACTAGCCTTTCGAGTTCTCGGCGTTTCCGGCGTCAATAAACCAGCATCTTGAGCGCGGTGAAGCGTGTCCCACTGGCGCTGAGCACGATTATTCGCAGCACTCACAGCACGTGGAAACCCGCCTAGTGTCTGGTTCACCTGGCCTTCGATGGGGCCGGAGGCTGATGGGCTCCACTCCTTTTTGCTTGTATCTTCGGTGACCTTCTCGGAGTAGAAGGGTACGTGAGCGCGTGGACGGTGAGCGACAGTTACAGGTTTTCGTGGGACCCGGTTGGTTGCTGCTCTCACCACGATACGTGGGACGGAAGGCGGAGAGTCCATCCCTGGTGAAGCAGGCTTGGTGGATACTGTACTGACCCAACCTAGTTTGTCGCTTCCTGAAGTCATCACGCTTGCCGGTTTGGTGGATATAGTATTGACATAACCGTAAGTATCAGCACCGATATCAGGGGACACAGAATGGGCGTCCAGGAAGGGGTTTCGACTGTTGGGTGTGGGAGACTGTAAAAGAGGCTGGCTTGTAATGTCCATCTCCTCCGGCTCATCAGCGAAGGGGTTTCCGGCTTCAGCAAGGAATGAAGTTGGACCGGCTGGCGAGACTGGCCTACTGAGATGTTCGATCGGAAGATCATCATCATGAGCGGCAATAATGGGCTTCGAAGCTGTCGTGCGGCGTAGGTGAGGTCGCTTTGGTGAATCAGCCGCTGTAGGTTGCGGCTCCTCAATTGGGCCCGTCTGTCCTTTTGCCAACTTCTCGAACTGCAAGCTCGTCCGTCTTACATGCTGCTTTCGATGTCCTCCACTCTTCTTTTCCTTCTCTCTGCCTTTCCCGTCCATTCCAGCGACCACCGCGGAAGGGCCTCCACACTGCTGCTCATACTGCAGACTGACCTTCCTCACCACACCCGCCTCCTTGATCCTCGCCGCACTCCTGGGATACCTGGCAGGAGGCTGCGCCCTAGTCGGAGTAGTTATCGTAATCTCAGACTCAGTCCGATCATCAAGGGCATTAGAATGAGTAGACGACGTTGACTGCCACCGGTGGACAAGGTCTTTGACAGTTGGCGTCTCCGGCGGCATAGCGGTAAGGACAGGACGTGAAGGACCACAAGACCAGCCTCAAGAGAGTGAAAACAGAGCTGGAGGAGTGGTATAAAGCTCATTCCGGATTTCGATGAGACGTATTCATGGTCCCTGATATAGAGTGATGGGCGACCATATAGGTGGTCCGTGCGTTCAGCCATCGCTTGAAGTGGATTGAACAAGGGTCACGTTCGCCAAGCTCACGAAGCGAGGAGTCTGAGCAAACAAGAGTTGTCGAACCCATTGCAAAGAGAAGCTCAGCAGCATACATCTCCGTATTCTTACTGATTCTCCTTCCTGTCAATTGTGAATTGGCTAGAGTTTACCGGGACCTTGCTGTTAGGCTCCCTGCGCAATCGATATTGTATCGGCTGACGAGACCGAGTCCCACTCTCACGCTCATCACCATCATTCAACATTTGAACCCATTGACAAACTCCAATGTCATCAGCAAACAACGTCTTCCGGTACACTGCGGACGGGTTGCACGCCCTCTCCCTCACAATTCTCATCACCACAATCCACCTCCGCCACTCCGCCTCCGGCATCTCCCTCAAATCCCGGATCCTCTATCTCCTCGTCTACCTCACTCGCTATGTGAATCCGTGGTTGTTCTCGAATTGGTATCTGGCGGGGTGGAAAATTGGGTATATTATCGCCGGTTCGTGGATCATTGGGGCGATGTATTGGTGGAGGAGGAGTTGGAAGGGTTGTGAGGATGCGGTGCGGGTGAGGTGGTTGTTGCTTGGGACGTTCTTGTTGTCGGTGGCAATCACAGACTGGACCATTGGACTGTCGTTTTTTGAGGTTGGTTCATTGCTCCACCTCCGAAATTCCGTGATAACGGGGTACTAACCGGGGTGTACGCAGTTCACCTGGACTTGGTCAATCATCCTCGAGTCCATCGCAATCGTCCCACAACTCATCATGCTCATGCGAACCTCCATCCCAACCGTCATAAACTCCTACTACCTCCTCGCCCTCGGCCTCTACCGCTTCTTCTACTGCATAAACTGGATATACCGCTACTCCACTGCCCACTACTTCGACTGGAAATCCGTTGTGTTCGGAACCCTGCAAACGCTCCTTTATATCGATTTTGGAGTCGTGTGGTGGAGGAGGCAGAGGGTGGTATTGGATGGGAATGTTGTGCAGGAGAGGGATTTTACGACGGGGGTTTTGTTGAACTGGTTGTTTGTGAATCGGTACATGGTTGGGGATGGGAAGGATGTGGAGTTGCCGGAGTATCGGGGGGATAGTGTGTTTATTCGTGCGAACTCTGGAGAGGAAGAAAGGTCCGGGAATGAGGAGAACGAGGAAGGAGGTGACGAGGAGCATATAACGGCAGAAGAAACCCGGCGCGCCTTGCTGGACAAGCAGTGAGCCGAAGAACGGTATCTGGATACTACTGGCAGATATCCTTGCTATTGAATGCACGAAGTTCTCAAGACCTTCACATCCGACTTCCCAACTTCGTATTCCGTCACGCCTACAACCCTTTATCGATCCCATGCAGGACTAGCTCTCCAGGCAGCGAAAAGTATACGGCGACTACCTAAACACCAAAAAGTGAACAACTAACCTCCAAGGAGCCCTACAATATGCCTCACAAGAAACCCAAGCGTTCCATCCGTGAATTTCAACGCCTCAAGCTCGAAGAGGATGCCGCTCCTGATGCCGCGCCGGTCAATTCCAAACCCAACAAAAAGCGGAAGCGAGCCTCCAATAACTCCAAGGAAGACGAGAAACTCGGCGGTGCAATTCCAAAGGCTTTCCAGAGAATCTTGGATATGCAGAACCGACACAAACAAGGCATGAAGCGTAAAGATTTTGAGCTCGACACAGGGGAGAGGAAGAAACGCTCAGCGGACGGGGATGCGGAGGCACAAAAGAAGAAAAAGGCCAAGAAAGCACAAGAAACGAAGGAAAAAGAGAAAGAGAAGAAAAAAGAGCTCAAGATCCAGCCAGGAGAGAAGATGTCGGATTTCAAGCGCCGTGTCAACGAAGCCCTACCCATGATCAAGCCAGACCGTGATCCAAAAGACACCACCGCAAAGGGGAAAAAGGGCAAAAAGGCTGCCACCAAGGCCGAGGGTGAGGATGACGATGAGGAAGAAGATGAAGGGGAGGACAGAAAGAAACGCACAACCTCCGGCCGCACGATCCGTCGCCGCGAACCCTCCCCAGATCCTTTCGCCCACCTTGCAACTACCAAGAAATTTGGCGACATCGTCCAAGAACCCCCAACCCTCACCGCACGTCCCCGCTTACGCGAAGGCGCATTGGGTATTCCGAAGACCATCAAGAAGGCGGATGGGAGTGGGGTGGAGGAGGTTACGATGGCGAAGAGGGTTATGCTGGGGAGGGAGAGGGAGGAGATGATTAGAAAGTATCGGGAGTTGATGGCGAGTAAGAAGGCGGGGAACTGAAGGAACAGCAAGGAGGGTATCGAGTAACGGTCATGAGATTTCCGGTACCAGACCAGAAGGAGCGATTGCAGACATATAGAGTGAAACCCAATCAGAACATCGAAACCAACATCAATTCAAAGAATGATTCATAGCAATAACTCCTACACATATCCGTATCTAACTCCATAACAAACCTAAACAAGCCCTGCAAAACAGTTCTTTATCACGTACCCCCCTCCACTCTCCTCAACACGAATAGCCATTCCCTTCTTTACGAGGAAATCCCAAATATCCCTCAACTCACCCGGCATAACAGCCGGATGCAACGCCTTCAACATAGCAGCCTGCGATAAACCTGGCCTTGCCATAGCTGTTGCCAACACGGCGGAAACCCAACTACTCCAGACATGCTCGATACGCTTTCCGTGAATGTTGATCCAAGTACGTCTCCCGATCTCTTGGTTTGTGGTCGCGAAAGCGTCTTCGGACGTGGCAGTCGTAGTGCTTTCGGCTCGTACCGCGTCGGCAGCGAAAAATCTGTCTGTAGGAACGACCAAGATAGGAAACTCTAAATGTCTCCGATCCATCATTCTCGAAATACCGTCATTACTCCATCCCCTGATCATACCAATCTTGTCCTCCTCGAGTGGCTGCAACGTAACCCGCTTATCCGCGATAAGTTCCAATATGGCAGCAATAGATCCATTGTTCGCCAACAAACTGACAGCCATACCTTTCGAACCTTCCAAGAGACCCTTGCGTAAAGTCATCTCGAACGCAGCGGCTTGACGGAAAATTTTCTCCGGGTACGGATGTTTGAGAGCCTGCAAGAACCTATCCGCAAGGATGAAATTGCGACCTGGAAGAACACGGTCGTATTCGGTCGCTTTCTTGACGATGACCTTGCCCTTGAGCATTTGCGTCAAGGCAGTATCGAGGATCTCTTCAGGAACCGTTTTCAGAAGGTCAGCTGCGGCAGCGTAATCATAATCAGTGTCTGGAGTGACAAGAATACTCTTCATGAGGCCCTTGGACTTTTCGACGAGATCGTCCTCGTCGGCTTCGGGGATAGGAGGCTCATCTTCGTTACCAGCATACCAGGCATGACTTGCCATATCATCCCTCCTACGTGTACTCGCGACGACAAACATGTGACCGTCCTGCCACTGCTTCTCCTCCTTGAGCCGGGTAGTCTCGATGTCATACATGGAAAGCAGAGTATCCAAATCCTCCGGCAACTCCGGCACGTTGGGGTTCGCATCCGCAGTAATCTCGTTGGTCTTGAAAAACTCGACAAACTCACGAAGATCAAAGTTCGTATCATCGCTGTCTTCAACCCTAGGGATCAGTCCGAGTTGGATACCACGCTCGTAGCAGACAGGCCAACGAGAGGCGTGGAGTTCACGACAAAGCTTCCATCTGGGATTATCACGCTTTGCATTGTAGTATAGTCTGATATACTCCTGGGTGTGATGCGGCCAGATTTTCTCGACGACGTTCCAATCAATTAGTCGAGCCTTACCGCCAAAGAGCTCACGAACGATACAGACAGCTCTAAGGAGGTCATCATCCTCCTCCATAGGGTGAACGTCGCGACGACGACGGCGTGCCTTCAACTTGTCCAGATCATCCACCTCGGCAAAATCATGGTCAAGGTTCGTCTCTTCGAAAGCTTCAGTGTCTTCGTCATCAATCTGCACTAACCTGTGACGCAGAGAAATGCGGCCTCCCATATTTGGTTCCTTGGTGGTCCGCTTACGTCGCCTCCGAGGCTTTGGAGCACCACTTTCTCCATCGGCCATGTTTTGTAGCAAAGAACGGGCAAGCTGGTTTGGCTCTGCTTGTCTCCTCCTCCTCCTCCTCTTGTCCTGATCTTGAGCCTTAGCCGCAAGTCTCTGAGCGGCATGGAGTGCCTCTTCACCTGACAGAGGATGGATGATGAAATCACCATTATTGCCCTCTTTTCTCGCCCGCGGCTTGGGAACGCTTTTGTGAACTCTTGTCTCGAGAAGTGATTTCCTCATATCATCATCCACGTCCTCAACCTGAAGCTCAAGCTGAGGAACATGAACAATCACCCTCTTGGTAGCGGCTTTTTCGGTGATCTTTTGCCTGTACGCAAGAACTTGCGGACTGTTCGCATCAATCTCCGCAAGCGTTACTAATTTTTTAATAACTTCGCGGCCGAGATGGTCCCTCGCCACGAAGGTGATGATGTTGACCTTCCCTTGATCACGCAACTGCCTCCAAGTGTTGTCAGTCGTTTTCCTATCCAACGAATGACCCGTGTAGTTTCCAGGATCATTGAGCTTGAACCATTCATCATAGTTCTTTGCCAAGGAGTAGGTGCAGTCTAGCAGCCCCCCTTCCACTTGCAGGAACTTCAGCATGTTCCTTTGACGGATCAACGCAGCCACGTTACGGTTGTGATGATGAGCATACCTTCTACTGCGCCCTTCACTTTCGTGCAGAGAAGTCTGGCGCTCCTCGGTCGCAGGCGTTCCGGGAGTTGCAGGGACCGGAGTGGATGGCTCGATAGAAGCTTGGGAAGCTTGAGGTTCCACAGCCGCTTCGCTCACAGCAAGTTCTTGGTCTGCAGAAATGACTTGATCCGCTGTTGCCGGGACATTAAGAGGGTCAGTCGCGTAAGCAACTTCGTCGGGAACGGAGTTGGTTGGAGCCAGAACAGCAGACGTAACACCATCATCAGCAGCTTCAATTGGGGGATCAACTTCCATGGGTGTTTCCGTACTCGTAGCACCACTACCGTCGGGGGTCTCCGTCTCTGCCACCTGAACCTCTGGCTGAGAAGAAGCAGTTCCTCCTTTCTTCAAGAAAGCCGCCATGAACGCCGCGCTCTTACTAGCGCCCGTCTTCGAAGTCGACACCGGCGTGCCTTGCCTGGAGCGTGTCGTCGGCGTACGTCCACCCGACGGAGTTTTCGGAACTTCGGTCGTAGCGGCGGTTGTCTTTCCACGCTTCGACCGCCTGGTAGGGGTAGCGACTTCAGCTTCCGGAGCCGCAAGTCTCTTGCGCTGGGCAGTGCTCGGTGCGACAGTAGCTGGGGTCACAACGTCTTCGGCAGGGGTATCCGCAACAATAGGGTCCTCCTGTATAGGTGCGGCAGCAGCAACCTTTCGTGGCCTCCCCCTCGTCCTCCCAGTAGCAACAGTCGGCGTCCGAGGCTCCACATTTACAGACACAGGCGCAGCCTCAGAGTCCGTCGTGACAGCTGAGGCAGGTTCTGCTGGAGCAGAAGGTGTCGCCAAGGGTGCAGTAACGACAACCCTTGTCCTCAGCGCTGCGATTCTCGCAGGCGTCCTGAGCGCAATATTTGCCAACGCCGGCGCAGAGGTCCTAATCGTCACCGTTGGGCCGGAATGCGCCGCCGCCGTAGCAGCAGGAGTCGCGGACTCAGATTGCACAGCACCCGAACTGCCTTCTCCAGTACCACTACCACTCTCTCTCGTCGTCGGGCGATCAGTCTCACTCACATCCACATCCAAACCCTCCGCCCTCCCGTTCGCAATATCCTCCCGCAACTGCTTCGCTTTCTCAAGTTTCTGCGCATCCCTCTGCTCCTTCGTCAAACTCCTATCCCACTTCCCGCGTGTCCCTCGAACAACCTTCCTCAAATCCGGGGCATGCTTCCTCGGCCTTCCCTTTGGCTTAACTCTTGTCGCCGCATCGTCTGAGTTCGAGTCTTCATCATGTTTGCGTTTGGAGGCATGCGCGGGGCCGAGACGGTAGGAGACGGCGTAGCGGGTTGGGTCGTAGATGGGTTTGCCAATTTTGGCGAAACAGGATTCTGGGATGGAGGGGAAGTGACCCCAGGCGTCTTTGTCGTCGAGAAATGCGTTTTTCCCGGGGGGCGGGGGAATATCGAGCTTCTCGAAGAAGGGAAGCATGTACGGTCGTGTCCAATACCTGAACCGACCCGTTCTGCCTTCACGCTCTAACGAACCTTCGAGTGCGCGATGCGACACATGCGGCGGCGTCTTGAGTTTCCCGTCTGTCATCCGCTTAAGCAGTTCATCAAGCGGTCTCCGAAACGACTGACCCGTGATATTCTTGATCACGTCCGGCCCATGAACACCATCAATCCCACACGCCTCAACATAATACGAGATATAATTCTCAATCGTCATATCCCTTGGCACACGCGCCACAAACCCCTTCTCCTCAATAACCTCCGCCTTCCCCATCGCCGCATCGCTCAACTCCGCACTGATCTTCCCTTCTTCCACATCATCCACCTCATCCTCCTCTTCTTCTGCGTTTTCCCCCTCGTCGGCTTCTCCGGTGTCGTTGTTATTGAGGGTACCGGAGTCGATGGGCAATCCCATATTCATCTCATCACTCGTCACATACTCCTCATACGTCTTCAGCATCTTCACGATCTTCGTATAATTTCGCCCGGTATCATCCATCGGAACCAATGCCCTCTGTAAATACCCCCTCGTACACAACCGTCGAATCAGTCTCGGTAGCGTCTTCCCCACAACCTCCACCGGCCGATTGAAATTCAATCGCTGCTTCAAATGGAAATACCTCATAATCCCACCCCTCTCCTTCTCCAAGACTCCAAAAATGGCTTTTGTGAGATTATCGGTATCAATACTCGTCGCCCCGCTCCCCGAAGTTCTTATAATCTCGCCCTCCTCCTCGTTCCCCTCCCCTTCCTTCCTCAAAAACCGTGTAGCTGTCAACAAATACGTCCTCGACCTCCCCGCCGTAACAGCCTTCGCCTGGATATACCCCTTCCGCACCAGATTCTCTCTCCGGCTCGTCATGGACTTTTTCTCGATTCCGGGAATGTTGCCGAGTTCGACTTGGTCCATGCCATTTGCGCGACCGCGGGCGACGTGGCGGAGGATGAGCCATTCTTTGCCAGGGCATTTCGTGGGGTCGGGCGCGTGGTTGCAGAGGGCCCACCAGAGGCGTTCTTCGTCGGCGTACAGGCGGAGGTCATCGCCGTATTTCGCGATGAGGACATCGTAGTCTTCGACGGAGACGTCGTTTGCGCCCTCGGCGAATATCCCATCCTTATTGCCCAGATATATGAGCTTGTTCGTCGTGATGAACCGCCAAAAGAACCGCTTGTATGCATCATCAACATTCTGCTCCTTCCCCCTCGCCTCGTAGAACTCCGTTATACGTTGCCATAGGTTCTCAGGGGTACTTCCTATCACGAACAAATGTCAGCAATTGTCAAAAAACTCGAAATCCGCAGTTCGCCAAAGAGGCATAAACCTCCAGCCCGAGGTCGGAGTCGAACCCATGACCTTCGCAAGACACAAATGAAGTCGCGTGTATGCGCAATCTCGAAAAATGGAGAAACGAAAATGAGATGGACGTACCTTCTCCTTCAGTGAATGCTATTTCGTCCAGGCAATGATTGATGAGTTCATCCATCACGTTCAATGGCCGCTCAGCTCGAGCGCCTTCTTGACTTCGGACAATTCAGCGAAAACCAAACTTTGCAAACACAAGCAACCTGTTCAAGCGTCGTCGAGTAAGGCTTCGAGCGTCGGCCTGAGCGTGCTGACTGAAGGCGTTGGTTGTTTCCTTCGTATGCGTCGTCATGCAGTCAAGCTAGGATCAGGATTCCCAAATCATGTCTCGTTCCTGGATAACCCCAAGTACCCTGCTGAGGGGAGTAGGCTCAAAAAGAATGGTATTGGGGGCAGTCAAACCAATGAAAGAAATCACTTAACTTTTAATTGCGTAGTTGCTATGGCAACTATGCATAAACATCGATTATTTTTTGAGGTGCTCAAGCAGGGTCGTAAAAAAAAAACTACTTAGAAAATAATCGCCTACGGGCGACCGAATGCGCCCAATAAGGAAATTTTTGCAGGTATCACTCACGGTCTGCGCATGATCTGCGTAGCCACGTTGTGGCTGACCCAGCTGCCTCAAGGGAGACTCACCACCATGGATATTCACTTACCATTCCCAGATGCCTCGAAAGAGCCTGAAACGACAAGTGCGCGACGCAATCCTTCGTTATTGACAGTCCAGAGAAACTGAATTGCTGTCTAGCCCACCGTCGATCTCAGACCATTTCAATAGCTTAGAAAATGCTGCTACGGATCAACTTGACTTCGACGAATGCTCGCCCTCTTCAGGTTCATCGATTTCTACGGCCTCAACACCGTCAACGCCGTCATCCTCGAGCTCCGGAGCACCCAGACGAATCGCCGATTGGGACCTTTATTTGCAATTCGTGGAAACCGACGATTCCGAGGATGAAGATTACCAGGTGCTTGAAATCATCGAAAACACTCGATATATCTCTGCACGCGGACCATTGGCAAAGTCCCGGCACTTCATTGAAGAGGTTCTCAACGGGTATGATGACAAAAGGTTCCAGACCTACTATTGAATGAATCGAGAAGATTTTCATTTCGTCCTCGGTCTGATCGAGACCAACCCGGTATTCTACAACAACAGTAGTTGTGAACAAGCTTCAGTAAGGTATCAGCTGGCTTGTATCCTCTTTTGATTCGGCACCCAAGGTTCTACTAGTTCATCATTGTCGAAAACGGCTGACTTGTTTGGAATTGGTGAGGGCACCCTAACCGTGTTCACTCAAAGTGTTTGCCCTGCTTTATCATTGTTGTACGAAGATTACGTCAAATGGCCAAACCCCAACGAGAGGGAGACTATTACAAAAAGGGTCAAGGAATCCAGCGCAGCGTTGTTTGAGAAAGTAGTCGGTATGGTTGATGGGACCTTGTTTCCCTTCACCTGGATGCCAAAACTCGACAAACGGCGACGTCTGGACTAGCTCTGCCAGCGCAAAAAGCAGGTAGGTCACTCCATCGAACCTTATCAAGCATTTAACGGCAACGGCTTACTCATGGTGTTCAGTACGGCCTTCAAGCAACCATTGTTGGTGACGATTAGCGTCTTATAAGACATTTTAATTGCTCTCTGCCTGGTTCCCAGCATGATTCAACTGCCTACAAGGATTTACCGCTGCACCTAGACCCAGACGCATACTTCGGTCCCACCCAATACCTGCTTGCGGATTCATCATACAGCAATACCATGTCAGTTGTCACTCCCTTCAAGCAGAATCAAAGATACACGGCCCAGAAAGCTGGATTCAACAGTGAAGTTTCCCATATAAGGGTCACGGTCGAGCACACCATTGGAGTGCTGAAGGCTCGATTCAGGTCGTTACAGTGCCTTCCCATGACCGTTTCTGAAGGAACCCAATGAAGGTCTGTTTCGACGGATAGCATCTTGCATTGTCCTGGCCAACATACTCAATTTCCGCGGATCCGTGGACATCGACAAATCATGATTGGCAAATGTAAACATGGACCTCGAGGGAGATCATCCCGATGATATACACGGCGCATTTCGATCAAAACAGCGCTCTAGCACGCCCTCTAATGTGCCGTACTGACCTTTTCTGCAAATACCGTGAGGATATGGAGACTTTTGATGCAAGGGTTGGGAATCGAGCAGACCACTGAGCACATGGGAAATGAACACACCAAATGCAGTATTTACACTTATTTTTCAATCCTCTATCGTCAATTTACCTATTTACAGCAGTCTAAGCATTCACCGGCCAAACATCGACAACCAAATCAACTCCGTACTCCTGGAAGACCGTGGGAAAGCCCTTCGGACGGGAACAATTTATCAGGCATGGGGTCTTATCCATGGCGAATGGAAGGAGACTCTAAAGACTTATAGGCCGAGGATATCTCGAGGTAATCGTTGTCATCAATCGCTTCCATGGAGTTCTGCATGGGCAAAACCTTGGTTTTCGCCGCCATTGTCGAAAGGCCCAAGGAGTTCATATAATCTGCCAGTGTGATGCCTTGTTCATGTAACTTGAGCTCTGAATACATCTGAAGCTGCTTCATCCTAAACTCAAGCTCCTTTTCTATGCGCAGAGACAAGATCTTGCCCTTGGTCTCTGCTTCCGTCGCTGCCCGACGGGACCTGTATTTCTCCTTCTCTCTTTCGAGTGAAGCAATATAAGCCTCTTGCTTCATGCGGCACAGAGATGCGGCTGTTTCCTTCTGGTCCAGTAACTTTTCGACCACATTATTGCGACTTTTGTTGGGTTGGACCATGGCGGGTTTCTTGGCACTCCCTTTGGGCTGGGGAGTAGGCGCATTGCGTTTCACGAGTGATGTCGACTGGTTGGGACTCATTCTGGCTGCCTGAATCATCCTCGGAGCCTTCACCCGAGTCACCGCCTTCGTCATTTTCTGCGCCAGAACGGGTATCACCCTGGGATTTGGGAAACATTGTAAAGCCTGTCGAAGCGATGCCACTGATAGGTGTGACCTTGGGCCGGGTTCCAAAGATTGCTTGGAATTCATCATACCAAGGGCAGATCTCGATGCATTGTTCAACAAGGGTTTGATGCTCGGTGTCACCTGAACCGGTCGAGTTTTCATGCGCATAAGCCTTTTTGAACTGCGTAGCGAAGTGCTGGAACGATTTTTGACCTTAGAGGCATCCAGTCCTATAGCGAGCAAGTCCGTCCTCAACCATTTTTTGATGGTTGGATTGCGATAAGAGTCGTAAGCCTCGTGGTCACGAATATAGCATTCAACGAGCTTGTTTTCACGATGGCCCTTCCATTTGATGCGTCCCGAGGCTGGGTTGGCTGGTATGCCTGGGCTTGGTATGTTGATCAACTGCGACTACGTGCCTACCCGGCTTCGACTCGGAGGATCGGACTCGCGCGGTTGCATGCTTCCGCTGCCCCCCCCCCCTCCCCGCTTGCACGCATCCGCTCAGATTCTCGACGTCGACCCTTGTTGCAATTGATCGGCCACCGAGGCTGCCAAACACCGGCGGTCATGCGGACCCAGTCGACAGCCCGGATGACTGAATCCCGCCCACCGGCACCTCTCCTATATAAGGCCTGATCCACCCCCGTCTTGAGCAGTTCTCCAGCTACAAGCTACAAGCTATCTCATCGAATCACCAAGACAGTATGCCTCCCTCAGCTGATACCTCTTCCGCATCCAACATCCTCGCTGCCCCCAAGCGCATCGAGACCCGCCTCTACATCAACGGTGAATTCCGTGATGCAGTCTCAGGAAAGACCTTCACCCTCGTCAACCCCGCAACCGACGAACCCGTCGCCCAGATCGCCGAAGCAGACAAGGAAGACGTCGATGCCGCCGTCGACGCAGCCGAGGCCGCTTATCCCGCTTGGAGAGATATGGACGGACACGCCCGTGCTGCATGTTTGAGAAAGTTGGCAGCATTGATCAGGGAGAACGTCGATGCGTTCGCGTATCTGGAGGCTGTTTCGATGGGACGCCCAGTCTACAACTACGACAACGACTGCGAATTCGCCGCTGCGTCCATCGAGTACATGGCCGGTGCAATTCACCACCTCCACGGTGAAACCTCCCTCCAATCAGATGGCTACCTCAACCTCACCCTCCGCCAACCCTTCGGAGTCTGCGCTGCCATTATTCCGTGGAATGTACCTATGATCATGTTCGCCTGGAAACTCGGACCCTGTCTCGCGGCTGGAAACACCCTCGTTCTCAAGTCCTCCGAGAAGGCTCCTTTGACCTCCATCAAGATGGCCGAACTTATCCACCAGGCTGGGTTCCCACCGGGTGTGATCAACATCATTGGAGGCTTCGGTCCCACCGCCGGTGCAGCGATGGCCAAACACATGAAAGTTCGCAAAATCGCATTCACCGGATCCGCCCGCACCGGAAAACTCATCCAAGAAATGGCCTCCCAATCCAACCTCAAGAACGTCACACTCGAACTCGGCGGCAAATCCCCTTGTGTCGTCTTCGACGATGCAGACATCGACGCCGCAGTCGCAGGCTCCCAGTTCTCCATCCAATGGAACTCTGGCCAGATCTGTATCGCAAACTCCAGAATCTACGTCCACGAAAAGATCGCCGAGGAATTCACCCAGAAATTCGTTAAATCGTTCGGCTCGGTCAAGATCGGTAACCCACTCGACAAAGATACCCGTCATGGTCCTCAGGCAGACAAGCTCCAACTCGCAAACATCAAGAGATTCCTCGAGAAGGGTAAAGCCGAAGGCGGTGAACTTCTTCTCGGTGGCGCGCAGGTGACTATGGACGGTACCGAAGCAAGCGGTGACGAAGCAAAGGGATGTTTCGTCCACCCAACCGTCTTCTCCAACGTCCCCGAATCCGCAACGATCGTCAAAGAAGAAATCTTTGGCCCAGTGCTTGCCATCAACACCTTTACCTCCGAAGACGAAGTCCTCGCTCGTTGTAACGATACCGAATATGGTCTCTACGCCGCCGTCTACACCAAATCTCTTGATCGTGCGATCAAGTTCGCGAAGGGAATGGAGGCTGGTACTGTTGGTGTTAACTGCACGAGTCCGTCAGGGCTGTTTGTGGATATGCCGTTCGGTGGGTTTAAGCAGAGTGGTGTTGGCAGGGAGTGTGGAATGGACAGTTTGCACCACTGGAGTGAGGTCAAGACTGTCGCGATCAAGTTGTCGTAGTCGTCTTCCTCTCCTCTCTGATAGGTCTCAGTGTACGATAGGATAGGAAGTAGCCGTATGAGTGTGATAGTTGTCTGAATATCTGAGTATATGGATACCCTCACATCATGTTCCCTAATCCTTCGTATGCGCCAATATCGTCGCAATCATCTCATTCCCAATCTTCGTCGCCTCCTCAAACCTCCCCTCAAAAAACCCCTGCGTAGCCTCAAACCTCTTCCGATAACTCCCAAAATCCCCGAAACCAACACACTCCGCCCACCCTCGTGCCGCAAACGTAAACTCCAAATCATCACTCCTAAACGTGTCGTCGGTGAGCGCGATCCGGATACATTCGTCGAGTAGTTGGGGTTGTTTGAAGAGGTATTCTGTTACGCCTAGCCACATGCGGAAGAGGGGGGTTGAGCAGATCATGTGGTCGTAGGGGACGATTCTCAGTTTCCACCAGCAGTCGACGATGGCTAGTAAACTCAGGTGGGAATTGGGTGTTCGTTCGTCTTTGGGGACGGAGCCCAGGGAAAATCGGTCGAGGACTTCGTCTCGGAGGAGGAGTTCGTCGGAGGTGAGAGGGTTGATGGAGTGTGGGGATCCGAAGACAAAACGTGCGGCTTCGTGAATGCGGTTGGTGAATTCTTCGGCGCGGCGTTCGATGATAAGTTTGTACAACTCTGTCACCGAACTCGCGTATTGTTTGATCTGTTTCCGTGCAGAGGGGTTCAATATTGCCAATCCTTGATCACCACAGCGTTAGCATTCCATCCACATATCTCAGAGCCCCAGATAGAGTGACATACCAGCATACACATGCCACTTATTCGAATAAATCCTCAACGTCAAATTAATCTTCACATTCTCAATCCCACCATTATACCTCGTAACCTCCCACGGAAACTGATTATTCGCCGCCCACGCCACGCCCATCGACAAAAATGCCGCGTGTGTGACGGCTTGGGTGTCAGCTGTGATTCGGTCATGTTCTTTTGCGGAGAGTTCAACGATTTTGGAGTCGAAGCAGGAGAGGATGGAGCGGACGAGGGATGTTGCTTCGGGGGTGCAGCGGTGGGATATCAAAACCAAGGGTTGGCCGCGGGGGGAGACGGAGGGGCCGTGGAGGGAGTGACAGGAGACGATTTGGGTGTCGGGTGGGAGGTGTTCCTCTAGAGCGGCTATTTCGGGTGCTTTGCAAGATGTCTGTCCGCCCACGATCGCGCCCAGTTTGGTGGAGGGACCGTACATCGCTACCACGCGATCGATGTATTCGGCTTCGACGGAGTACATGATATAATCACTTCGCCGACTGACGAGGTGTCCGTTTTGGAGGATGTTGATGTTTGTGTCTGTATGCTTGGGATCAGCCTTGATTCACCGACCTGAGTAACAGTGGCCAAGCATACCGGAGAATTCCTGTTTGAGCGCTTCGTATTTCTGTGGTAGATCACAAGCATTGACCCTACAAACCACCTCCATCAGCATTCATCCCCCCGAAGACCGTACTTTCCGCAAAGACTCACTTCCACCCCGCCGCGCTGATCCGCCGGGCGTACATCTTGCCCATGTCCCCCAGGCCAATGATACCCACCTCCAGCGTCTCCTTCCATGAGCTTGAATCGCCGTTCATCCTCGTCGTAGCCATGGTGGTGAGGTGTCGTGTTTCCTCTTTGTCGGCTCGTTACACGCCCTTTCGGGAACCGACCGCAGGACCGGCACGAAAAAGTGTGGGGAGCGCAGGCGCCTGCTTGGACGGAGAGAGTATGGGAAAATCACGAAGGCCGGCTGTGTACCGTCGAGACCTTTGATCCGATACTATTACAAGTGGAAAGGAAGAGTCCAGTTCATCGTAAGTGATGTCATGATCATTAAACCCCTGTAATATGCGATCGCTATCCTATACGCCAATTTCAATCATTACCTTCCCTTACCCAAATTATACCTTCCCAATACATCCACATCCACATCCCCCCCCCTCACGCCGCCGGCGCCGCCTTCGGCTCCTCCAAAACCCTCTCCGCCGCCCTCAACTCCTCACAAGCTCTCCTTAAATCCTCCGCAACCCTCACCGGACTCTGTCCCTCCCCCGTCCCCGCCTTCCCCATTCCATCCAAAATCCTCTGCATCCTCTTCAACGCTCGTATGACGACTTCTTGTTGGTGGTTGTATACGCCGTATAGGTAGAGTAAGTGGCGGATATCGGTTGTCTGGGATTCGTGGCGTTTGAGGGAGAGACGGAGGGAGCGGTAAAGTGTATCCAGCCTCGACTTTCGATGCCGAAGTTCGGCGAGGCGGTGGGTCATTAACCAACAAGCCAGCTGTATGGGTTGTCAGTTCGGCTCCAATCTTGGAAGACATCGATGGCCATCCATTACCTGGTTGTGCCAGAAATCCTCCATAGCAGAGCTGATCAACACACTTATCCTAAAATCCCTGATCCCGGCTAAATCGAGTGCCGACAACTCCTGCTGCCGTACATAATTCCGTCCCTCGAAACGCTGCGTCTTTCGTTCGACGTCGACACGGATCGTTGCGCCGGAGATGAACTGTGGCCGTGGTTTGAGTTTAGTGGACATCATAGCACGAGTACATCCACCAGCGACGTCTGGAGCTGGATGACTGAGTGGTCTGGAAGGAAGGAGGGTTTGTGAGGTTGGTGGGCGAATCATGGATTTGGTCGATTATGTCACGGCATGGTCGGCGGCCGCGGGCTGCGGAGCGAAACCGAAGCACGCGCCCGCAAAACCTTATCGCTTTGGCTGGTCTACCAACACCGATCCCTACTACTCAATCCAACTACCTGCTCTATCCTCTCACAACATCGTCTTCACCCTCGCCAGCGCCTCCAACGCACCAGCCAAACTCTCCATCCTCTGACACGCCTCCACAATCGTCGCATGATCGGTGGTAGGTCTCAGTACCTTAGTATCGTGTTCGAGGAGTGCGGTTATGGCTTGAATTGCGTCGTCGACGGCGGTTGCGGTACTGGTGTTGGTGTGGGTGGTTCGAGGGGTCGTGGTATCTGGGACAGCAGAGACAGCGGTGGACATCTCATGATCATCAAGCGTAGCAGGTGCTATCGACGTTATGACAGTATCTGCGGCACGGGAATCACTTTGATTGGATGACTCCTCCACAGGCACGCGCCGTGCATTTGCGGATTCTTTTTCATGATCGACCAGAGTTGGCGAGGGAGGAACTTCTTCTCCGTCAACATATGCTCGCTCACAAATAACACAATACTCCCTCCTATCCTTCGGGTTTCGCAACAAAGGAACCTGTACACATACCTCATTAGCCAACCAAATAAAGATGTGTAGTTGTATACGCGTACGTACCCCGTAACATGTGTCATTCGAGCATACGGAATTGAGCATTGCCCAGCCTTGGAGCAGTTTCTCACCGATGAGGGAGGAGGCACGGGACGATTGCTCTTGACGTGCTTTGGAGTCAGTCGGCGCAGATGTAGAGGCTTGCTCGGGCTCGTCTGCAGCTGTGTCTTCGTCGATATCGCTCTCGATCTCGTCAACCTGATTTTCGGCGACTTCTGCACTAGCATCCCATGAGCAATGATCTGATACAAAGGATGTGAGGGCCTCTCACTCTTTTGACGGGATATTGTTGATACATCGGACGCAAATCACTTCACCGGCACGACTCCGCATGAGTGGTACGCCGGCACCGCAGTCGTGGACGGTGTTTAGCATGGTGTAGCCTTGTAGGAGGTACTGGCCTAAAGCCTCGGAGATGTTCTTGTTGGACATGTTGATGGTTGCAATTGGATTCGGGAATTAAGGTTTGGCAGTTGCTGCGACTTCTGCTTTGTGCGGTTCGCAATTCGTCGCGCGCTCAAACGTGCTGAAACTCACCTCCAAGAACCCTCGGCCCCCTCCTCTACTATCGCCAGTTTCATCATGAAGCATACATCACATGCCAGACGCCAAGTCATCCATGGGTGTCCATAAATAGGGAGGGCTCCCTTCTCTTCTCCTTTTCTCTTCTTTACCTGAACCGACTTGACCACTTCATCCATCATGACTACCAGTAGGAACACCAGCACCAGCAACACCGAGAAAGACACCCACCCCCCAACCCCAAAGTCACCCACGACCCTCGGCGAGTCAACAGCGCACAACCTCCCCGCACGTCCACCCCGCACCACCACCGCCTCCGAACTCAAGCAGGCGCTCAAGAGTGCCGGGTTGTCTGTTTCTCCGTCCGCGTATGGGACTGGGTTGCGTTCGCCCACGTACTCGCCCACGAGTTCCGCGTTTCGCCGTGGGTTGTCGCCTACTTCGCCCACTTTCCAACCCCAGCCGAATATGCAACTTCTCTCGCCTACAGGCCTCCCCGCTAGTCCTCAAGTTCTGTTGCGTCTCGTTCCGGCGTCGCCCAACTCCCCGCCTCTCTCGCCTGAACAGCGTGTACAGGCTGAGCGCAGGGCTGAAGTGAGGACGCAGATGTTCAAGAAGTTGCGTGCGTTGCCATTGAAGCACGCTTGGACATTCTACAGCGAAAAGGCCGTCTTGGAGGGTGAACATGTCGCGGAGTATTATGCCCGTAACCTCATGGTCATCGAGGAAGTCGAAACCGTCCAGGTACCCACAACCCCTCTCTTTCTCTCCTTTTTCTGGTTTCATGGTTCGCTAACGCTCACCACAGATGTTCTGGCAAGTCTTCAACAACACCCCCCTCGACCTCCCCCAAAAATCCAGTATCCACTTCTTCAAACGCGGCGTCAAGCCCCTCTGGGAAGACCCCCGTAACCTCCACGGTGGAGCCTGGACATTCCGTATCCCATCATCCTACGCTCCCGCATTCTTCCGCGAGGTACTCATGCTCCTCATCGGCGAACAACTCCAAGACGCCATCACCCCCTCCGCGGCATCCACGACGCCTACGCTCTCCTATGCGTCACGTACACCAATCTCCGCGATCCGGCCCTTGAACGACGATATCTGTGGCGCTACGTACAGCAGTCGTTTCAACACCTATTTGGTACAGATCTGGCATAGAGACGCGAGTAATGCGAGGAGTGTGCATGCGATATATGAGAGGGTTATGGGGGTTGTGCCGGGGGATGTGGTGGAGCGGGTTAAGGTTTATTATAAGAAGCATCATGAGCATAAGGATTTTAAGAGGGTCGGGAGTGAGGGTGAGGGGTCCGCTGGGGGGGTTGTAGGGATGACGAGGATGATGTGAGGGTTGAGAGGATAGGATTGTGTTCGGGGGGATTGCAGGAGCATGAGGGACAACGTCGTGTTTTATCCTACGATACTAGGGATACCATACCATACCATATATCGCATAGCAACTTAGTCATATAATCATCGAATTCGAAGCCGCGCACCGCATCAACTGCCGGTTGCAACTGTGGCGCAACCGGCACAATCGATGGATACTCGCGACGATAACCTTCTTTTCCTCAACCTCCTCCAAAGATAGACAATGTCACAACAAAGAGAAACCCTCGATATCAAGCGCTCGACCTCGGGGAAGAAGGCCGCAATTAGCAAGTTGCTCCAGGAGACGCCTGATCGGGAGGAGGAAGAGGAGAGTGTGCTGTCGAGACTACCACAGCAGAAGCCGGAGATGAAGCTTGGTGCTCTGGGTGGTGGATCAGATCGTACGCCTTGAGAACGGAAAACAATGAAATAAACAAGCTAACTCTAGACCATACAGTACTCTCCCGTCTCAACTCGTTCCTCCCACAGCTAAAAGCCGCGAATGAGGACCTAGAGAAAGTCGAGGATAAGGAGACGCTGAATATTGAGAATATTGGGGAAGATGAGGAGAAGTATATTGAGATGAATCTTGGGTTGGGGGTGTTGGAGGAGAAGAGGCCGGGGGAGGAATTCGAGTCGGATAGTGAGGAGAGTGGGAGTGAGGAGGAGGAGGAGGGGGAGGATGAGGTTGACATTCTCGCACAACTTACAGGAGCGACGAAGAAGTCGCGGTCGTCAAAACCCGCAATCGAGGTGGTGGAGACAAATACCAAAGATTCCCAGAAACAATGACAAGACCATGTCTTGAATTAGCAAAGAAAACACTCTATCGAACTACTCCCCCTTCTCTCATGGTATCTACTGAATCTTCTTACACTCCCACCCCCCCTCAAGCATCGGCAAGCTCGCCCCAAGACACCACCCCAACTCATTCCCCCCAATCTTCTTCGCGATCCTAACCTCCCTCTCCAACGGCATCTCATACCCAATCTCTAACAACGCCTCCACGAAACTCAAATCAAGACACCACTCTGGTCGATCCGCCAACTCCTCCAACGCGCCCGGGATGGATTCGAAGGAGGAGTAGTGAGCGGTACCACCGCAGACTTTTTTCGTGAGCGCGCGGAGTTCGGAGAGGGTGAAGGAGGAGGGCATCCCGAGTGGTGCGGTACGGTCGTAAAAGTAGGAAAAGATGAATACGTCTTCGTTTGCGAAAGTCTTTGCCAACGATGGTTGATGGATTCCATTAAATGAGCACGGGGCAAGCGTGCAGTCCGCGCTCTTATTGAGGATTTGTTCGGCGAGGTAACGACACTGAGATGCCGAATCCTCGTCTGGACCGATCATTTTGAGGGTTGTCACCGTTCCGGAGCGGTCGATGTCGAGGTTGATTTCTTTTGAGGTTTTGGGTGCGAGGCAAGGGTTGATGATGGGCAAGCTAGCCCAGTTTTCCTCTTGAGCGTGTTTTTCCTTGAATGCTTTGACCACGAGACGATGGATCGCATCCCGAGCCTCCATCAAGCCGTATCCCAAGTGCGAGTGCTGGTAGAGCTCAAACTTGCGGCCACCGAATGTGAGTTCGTATTTATGATCACCCTCCTGCAATTTTTCGGGCATGCCACCATCGACAGAAGAGAAAGTGGGCTCAAACACAATCTGCGTACTCCCACCCCCCAAATCAAAGATCGCAGCAGTAGGGCTCTCCTCCTTCGATCCAATCTTTCCAAGCAAGTAGTTGGTGGTGATCCAAGCATAAACACCCTCATCCGATCCATCCATGATAACGATCCCATCTTTCGCGAGGATCGGGAAAGGATACTTCGTCTCCAAATGCTTCCTCACAGCATCAAGAATAACCCCACTCTTCTCCTCCCCCAACAACCTCAACCCAGCCGTAGCCTTAACAGCAACAGGCGTACACCCCCTCAACTCCTCCGGCACACTCTCCATCGCAACCTCCAACAACGGATCCAAACTCCTCGCTGCACCTTCTGCATCAACACTAGCCCCCTTACCGAAAGCGGAAAGGCCAGGGTTGATCATTTTGAAGTCTTCGTGTTCGAGGACGGGGGTTGGGCCGCAGTTGTTGAAGCGGTAGACGTGGATGCGGGAGCCGGTTGAGCCGGCGTCGATCATGAGGGCGTATTGGATGATAGGTTTTTTGCCGTCGTGGGAGACGGTGCATTTGTCGGAGGTGGCTTTGGAGCCAGAAGAAGCGATTTTTGGGGCAGCGGGTTTGGAGTCGGTGATGGGCTTGGGGGGTTCGGTTGCAGAGATGGGTGCGGCGGGTTTTTCGGGGGTAGCTGGCGCGACGACGGGGACGGGGACGACCTCCTCCACCTTCTTCGGTGCCTCAACAGTAACTTCAGGCATGCCATAATCCGTCTCCCCACCAACAGGACTCTGCTCATACTCCGTAACACCACCCTCATAAGATTGCGACACAGGCATCAACATCCACAACCCCATCACCGCCAACACCAACACAATCGCAATCTTTCCATACCGAGCCATGAGTCCCTGATTCATATCTTTTCCGTTTTCGGAGCGCGTTCGTGGGCGAAATGTGTGACGATCGCGTTTTTCGTAGGGATCGTGGGGTGGTTGGGTGCGGTTGAATGAGAAGTAGGAAAAGATTGTGGGGCGTTTGCGGAGGTCTTTTGGGGATTGATTTGAGGAGGTTGGGAGCATGTGGTTGCTCTGGGTGAGCTACGGTCTAGAGAGGGTTGATTGACCGTAGTCGTTGTTGTCCTGCCAGCTGCTGGTGGTTGGGTGGAGGAGGTCGCCTGCACGAACGCGCACAACCCAAATCCAAAGAGTAAACGAAGGTGCGCTTCCCGGACAGTTCTTGATTGCAAAAGCTCTTCGATTTCTGTCTCAATCCCTTTAACCTCCTCTCACAACAGTCATGTGAAACTCCCCAATGCGGTGACCCTGACCTTACGTGGGCGATCTGACGTACGCAAGCGTAACGAAGATTCCCGAACCTTATTTATTTCATCGGTCGCCCTCGACGAAAACCACTACACAGACCATAGACCTCAGTCACGATACAGTTCCTCAAGTTTAGATCACGGCTTTTCAGTCCTCTTATTCAGCGTTCTTGCACAGCAACAGCTGCACCAACTTTCCATCCAGGTCTTCGCCTTCCTCTTCGAATTCGCCTCCTCACAACCACTACCCGCAGAATGACAACTGGTGAACCAGTCACGCTTTATGTCTACGATTTGTCCAACGGCCTCGCCCGTCAAATATCACAACAACTAACCGGCGTCCAACTCGACGGAATTTGGCATACCTCCGTCGTTGTCTACAGCACAGAATTCTACTTTGCCGGCTACGGCTCTGGGATCTTCACCGCTATCCCGGGCCGGACCCATCATGGTCCTCCGCTTCAAAAGATCGAAATGGGGACGACTGAGATAGACAAAGACACTTTCTTGGAATATCTGGACACGCTGAGGGGGGTGTGGGGAGCTGAGAAGTATCATCTCTTGGAGAGGAATTGCAATAATTTCTCGGATGCGCTTTGTGAGTTCTTGGTTGGGCAACACATACCTTCACACATCGTCGACCTTCCACGACAATTTATGTCAACGCCGTTTGGACAGATGATGAGACCGCAGATCGACCAGATGTTCCGACGTGGGCCGCCTGCGGGTACACAATCCATGCCCGCCCAGTCCCTTCCATCTCGCTCCACCAACCATTCTGCGGCTGTGGGAGGCGGTGACGCACCACTCTCCCCATCCGCCGTCAAATCCGTCCGAAACCTCACCGAGCTGGAATCCCTCCTCACCTCCTCCCCTGCCTCCATCATCTTCTTCACCTCCGCCACCTGTCCTCCATGCCGTGCCGTCTCCCCGCACTTCGATCGCCTAGCGACCTCCCACCCGGAGTTGACATTCGTCAAGATCGATATTGGGATGGCGTATGAGATTGGTGCGAAGTATGGGGTGAGGGCTACGCCGACGTTCGTGACGTCTGTTAGTGGGGAGAAGGTTGGGGAGTGGAAGGGTGGTGATCCGAGCGTGCTTGAAATGAATGTCGGACGGTTGGTGGAGGTTTTGGAGGCGAGGAAACCTAAGCATCCGCATGCGAAGTTGGAGTTGAAGACGTTTGCGAGGGTGTCAAAGAAGCCGGTGTTGTATGACCGGGTACCGCCATTAGATAAAGTCAAGGGGAGGATTGAGGCTGCGTTTGCGGCGAAGGGGTTGGGTGGGGAGGGGAAGACGCTGAGCGACGTTGTTCGGTTTTTGGAAGAACGCGCCAAGTCGCCGGCGGGCGCGAAGTTACCCGCCATGCCAGCGTGGTCCACTATGATCCAGACCGCACTTGATAGACTTTCAGGGGACGAGGTGTTTCCCGTCATCGACCTTCTCCGGGTCGCAGCGGTGGATGTCCGGGTGAGTGGGTACTTTGCCGAAGAGAAGGATATGTCCACCATTCGTGCCATCCTAAACAAAACCGGAGAGGTGGAGTGTGGCTTTCAATTGAGGTTGGTCACGATGCAGATGTTGTGTAACCTCTTCTCCTCGCCGCTCGGTCCACAGCGACTCATATCCTTGGATGGTGTACTGGACGCGTTATTCGCCGTTCTGCCTTCTGCGTTGTTGGATACCGAGACGAAGGTCTGCGCTGCGGCGTCCGGGTTGGCGTTCAACATCGCGACGTACACGTTCCAACAACGTACCTCCTCCCACCCCTCTACACTTCCCGAGTCAGCGACCCTCGAACTCGTCGCCGCGCTTGTCGAATCCCTCCAATCCGAATCATCCATGGATGCTGGAACCCTGCGAGGCCTGGTCCTCGCCCTAGGCCATCTCGCGTATTTGGCACCGGTGGAGGGAGATGTCTTGGGGTTACTTGCGGGGATGGAGGTTAGTGGGGTGTTGAAGGCAAAGGGGAGGGATGTGGGGGACGAGGAGGTTGGGAGGATGTGTAAGGAGGTTGCGGAGCTGTGTCAGGGTTTGGAGAATTAGAGGTATACGTATGCTTGTCTGGCGTAAAGATGCTTTGTTCGTATAGGCGTACAAGGAATTAATAGATGAACATGTCTGACAGGTATGCAAATCAGCTGGCAGGAGCTAGTGGACTGAACCTACGCTCATAACAGCGAAACTCGAACGTCTAAGTCAAATGCTACAGCAGAGTCCTCAGAAACTGTCAACAACAACTACGCAAAGCCAGCGATATGTCGCTGCAACCCTGCACAAGGCCTGCATGAGGTCTCCACACCTTATTTTCCATCTTACATACACTTCCTCGAATCTCCTCACCACCGCCGATGACCTCCACCCCAACCTCAGCAACCTCAGCAACCCCATCCGCATGCCAATCCCTTATCCAGGAAGTCCAAACCTACCGCTACGGCCCTGCCCTCCAGCGCCAACGTAAAATCTCCGGCATCGCCCAATTCGTTGAGATCCTCCACAAAGAGCTAGCAGTCCTCGAGAAAGCCGCGGAGAACCCGGCAAATGCGGGGCATGTGATTGAGAGTTCGAACTTCGGGTATTTGAGGGCTGTGTGGGATGTTGCGCGGGGAGCGAAGAGGGTGGCGGGGTTGATGAAGACGTTCTATTTCAAGCCGGCGTGGAGTAAAGAGGAGGGGAGCGAAGGTACGAATGGGAGGAGTAAGACGCAGGCGAGGAAGACGAAGGGGATGGTTATGGTTGAGGTCATTGATAACGCTGGACTACGATGGATCAAAGTCTCCACCATCACCGCACGGCGGTTACGGTACGAACTTGCGGATTTGGGCTGGTACGGTCATCCTCAATCAGACACCGAAGACGAAGAATCAACGGAGAGACGACAATGCGGCCCACCATACGAGGAGTTACAATTAACCTCCATCGCCCAAAAACTCATCCAAGCCTCCGCGCAAGAACGGATACAATACCTCCATCCAGAAATCGCGTTCGTACTCCCAAATCTCGCCCAGCCCGCCTCTCCCGAGGAAAAGGAGATAGTGGATGGATACACAAACTACCTCCGCAATCTGGGGATCCAGGCTCAGATCGGTAGCGAACTTCTCCCACCACCAACTCTCGAGACCCTGCCAAACGGGGGCTCCAGCTCCCTCGCATGCACCGGCGACGTCGACCCAGACCCTGTAAACGTCGATGGTACCGCAACTCCACTCTCCCCCACCTTAAACCTTGACATAACAACGCTCCTTGCCCTAACCTCCGATATCTCTCATTACACCCACCCAACCATCACCCACCTGCCCTCACACGGCCAACACCCCGCCATCGCGCATCAGATCGCATGCGAATCTCAATCACATCTATTGGTAGGGAGTTTGTGGCCGGTGTTGGAGGGGAGGGGGCTAGAGTGTACGGAGGGTGCAGCGGAGAAATACAGGGAGGTTGTGGGGTTGGTTGGGAATGGGGAGGAGAAGGAGAGGGCGAGTTTGTTGTTGCATGAGGGTGGACGAACTCCAGAGTGGGAGGAGAAGTGGAGCAAGCTCTCGGAATACGAATTACCGAGATCGATTCAGCTACCGGTCAAAATTGTTCCGTTTACGTTGGAAGACGTGCCGACGGAAGAGCTACCAGGATTCACCTCTCGCCTCTCAAAAGCCGCAAGAGAAGTCTTCGTAGTAGGGTGGGTCCAACGCAAAACGAGCATAACCGCAAACAAAGCCATCACGAAGATGGTAAGACAAGAGACGGAGGATAGACATGAGCTGGAAGGGGAGAGGAGACCGGGGGTTTGGTTACACGAGGCAAGGTCCTTGAGGGGAGACAAACGGGAAGATTAACACAACATGTCTTTCAAAAACGTCAATTGGATGACAAGATATCAAAGAAAAGGTCCGCACACTTAATCCTTCTTACTCGCATCCTTATCCTTTTTCACCAATCTCTGCGTCCCGATATCCTCATCATCCCCCTCATCCTCCGTCCACCGATCGAAATCATCATCGTCACCGACAGCAAAGAGTGTCTCCCCAATTTCTCCCTCGTCGTTCTCTATTCTCCTTGTGGAAGAAGAAGGAGCGCTAGCATCAGGGCGTGCTGACTCGGCTCGATGAGCCTGTAGTGCCATAGGTGTAGAGGTATCCGTTCTCGGGATGGACTTGTCGGGCAGAGTCGTTGCCTGTGATTCCCCGTTGGCAGAGCCTTCTTCAAGGTCATCATCCCCCTCTCGATCCCCAAGCTCAAACACATCATCCTCCTCCTGCGAAATCTCCTCGCTCATTGCAAACCTCCTATTATTCGCCGTCGGCCTCCACAAATAACAAATCGTCCCCAACACCGCAAGATACAGCACACTCATCCACCCATCAAGCACAAACCACTGACTCTTCCAATGCGAAGGTAGGAAATCGGGTTCGTCGCGCATGGTGATGACGACAGAGTTGAGGAAGAACATGAACATGAGGATGGAGATGGACCAGACTAACAAGCGCCAGAGACGGCGGTACATGAGGGCTTTCGCGGATTGTTTACGGCGTTCGAGGTCTTTGCGGGTGTTTGTGAGGCCAGTTAGGATCCAAAGGTAGAAGGCTGTCATGGTTGCGGCCAAGGGGAGAACGATGGCGAGGAAGATCCAGCCTGCGGTGTCTTCGGTGACGTTGTAAGACGCGATGGCGAATGCAACGCCGAAGACGAAGTGCACGATTGCCAAGAGTCTGCATTTCCACATTGTGGGTCCGAGAGATTGTTTCACAACACCGAAACCGAGAGCGACGATCAAGAGGATGAAGAACGACAAGGACACACGTCCGGCGTTCAAGACCGAAAGCACGATCTGGAAGATACGCGCACCAATATTCATCCCATGAACGTTCACGTAGTCATAATATCCCCACACAAGGACCTGCTCCACGAAGAGGTATATGATGATCGCGGTGATGTAGTTCTGGACCGGCAAACTATCGTCGCGGTGTTGCCAGTACAGAAAACCCCAGCCAAACCCGAGAATGGCGTATAGAAGGGCAAGACCACCATAGAAAGGAAGCTTGGGGTAATCAGCAGCGGCTAGTTCACTGTGAGAACGTTGGTCAGTACATAGTCCGTCAGACTCGCGCGAGGACGATCTCACCCATAAGCATTACGCCACTCGACAACGATATCATACTGCTCCCCGGACACCAACGGCGCCGTTCCAACACAGTAAAATCCAGTTTTACTAACCGGGTACTTGATCGGCGTCGTGTCATTCAAATGAATCGAAGTCGTATAAATACTGCGCGTATTGTTTCCCACAGCCGGATCAAGCAAGAATTGTCCATACTGGGACTTCTCGCACAGATCGAGAGAGATGGCGGAGTTGTCACAGACGTAAGCGTATTCTGTCCATCCATACTCAGACTCGGCGGCGTTCTTAACGACTCGGCCGATCCTGTTTACGTCCGTCCATTCGAAGATAATTAACGCAACGACTTGATTCTCCTCAGACCGGATTGGCTGAGGAAGAGAAACTTCAATGAATGGCTTGATCTTTCCTCCAGTAGCTAGTCGACTAAGTTTCAATCCGTCAGTACTTTACACGAGCAGTCGGAACAGGATCGATTTCAAGTATACCTGTACATCCCTGAGCATCGCTGCTGATTCCACTCCACCTCGTTCAATGAAACCTCATTCGCAGCAACCAGACTCAACAAGAGCGCCAATAACGATAACAAGCCAGTCAAATATCGCATCCTGAATGAATGCAGACCCGCGATGTTGTCTGTGTACGCACGCTCGGAGCCCGACGTTGCGCCAGCGTGCGTAGGCCCTGCCCTGCAGCTGCTGAGCCCCCATGACATCTTGGCGACACAGCGTTGGAAATAACGAGATTGCTGAGGGAGTCTTCTTTGGACTATCTGAACCCTAACATCGGTCGTGCTGAATATACTTTTCCTATTGATCCTAGAGCAATGTCCTATAGATTCAGTAGAATATGGTAGGTAGACTTGATCCCCTCCGCTCCACACTCTCGCACTCACTGCCCGAGTGTTCCTATGGCATCCGTCCTAGAGCCATGTCCGTGTATGATATCAATATAATCGCTCGAACCAGCGAGAGATTGTGAAACACCCGTCCTCCATCCTTCCTAATCATGCTCCGATCCACCCCTCCTCTTCCCTCTCCATTCGCGGTATTCCTGTTCAGTCGCTCAGCGTTCCCGTAAAATATATCAAGACGTCTGATCCCCGAACCCTCCCATGCTGACATCAGCAGTCAGTTCCCCAGCACCCGGACCCATCCCATTCACGTTCGCCATAGCCAAGGTAGCCTGCAATTGGGCATTACTCATCTCCATATCCAACGGTTGCATAGCCGCAAACTGGTCCGCTGCCGGCGCGAAACCAGTTGTGTCCATGGGCATCATTCCGGCAGGTATCTGACGAACGTTAACGTCCGGATATGCCTGTTGGAGCGTGGCGCCGTTGACATTGAACCCTTGAGCCTGGATATCGATTTGCATCGCGTCCATGGGAGGCTGCTGTGCTTGCATTGCATTCTGTTGCTGCTGCATGGCCTGCATGACTTGGAACTCATTGTTAAACGCAATCGCAGCTTGGATTTCCGCCTGTTGTTGCTGCTGGATATGCTCCGCAATCTGGAGTTGCTGAAGCTGCTCGATCTGTTGCTGCTGTAGCTCGAAGGTCTGCATATCCTGTTGTTGCGCCTGAGGCTGCTGCTGTTGAAGCTGCTCGAAAGTCTGCTGCATGGCCTGCTGCATAGACTGTGGTGCTGCCATCTGTTCTGACATCTGCTGGGATATCTGTTGTTGCATTTGCTGCAAATCCGGCTGAACTGGGAACATTGAACCAGTCGCGCCTGGCATGCCCGACGTATCCATCATGGTAGTCTGCATAGCCTGACCCTGACTCGCAAGGTGAGTCAATGAACCCGCATCAAGCGCCGCAGGCGAGTGTCCAATCCCAGACAACGGAGTCAAGACATCCACAGGCGACGTAACACCCGAGAACCCCTGTACCGGCTGCGGACTGATCGAGCTCGACGGATCAAAGGTGATCACAGGCGCAGGAGAAACTGACTGATGCATAGCAAAATCACGCTGAGTAGGCGGCGTGGACAAGTGACTCTGCGTCTCGAACAAGGCAGGGGAGGCAAGCGTTGGCATAGGCGCAGCCGGTGCACCACCATTGGCCATCTGAGCCTCTTGGAAGGCAGGGACCGTCTGAGCTTGTTGTGCTTGTTGCTGCGACTGCTGGTCTCCAGGAAACGAGGTCGTGTGCGGATGTGCAGGCGCAGGCGCAGAGGCTGTGCCATCAGGGATCGAGTAGGCCGAGAAATCCACGTATGGTGGCAACGACCTGCTTCGTTGACGTCTGTGACCTTTGCCAGCGCCAGGAGGCATAAGGTGCTGGGGATTCGGCGGAGGCTGCTGTTGCTGCTGCTGGGTCAAAGAGGGCGTAGTGGGTATAGAGCCAGCCGGCGAATTGAAAGGCACGTCAGGCGTGCTAAGCTGTGATGGTATCGACGGTACTGCTTGTAATCCAGCATTGAAGATCATCAACGAGGGCTCAATGGTGACCATAGGGTTTCCACGGCTAGTCGTCGCCAATTTTGTAAACTGATGGACGAGCAACGCTGCCGGTCCGATCAGGGTGTGCTGCAAAATACTCGTCGCCTGCTGTTGCTCCGTGAAATCCGTGCATTGTCTCCATCCTCCAGCTGCGGGAACCTCCATGAAGAAGATGGGTCTCTCACGAAGGAACACAGTCGCCGACACATTCTGCTGTCCAGGGATGAGTTGAGACGTGAGAGCCGGGGTAACAGTAACACTGGAGATGGCGTTGAATCCAAACTCGATCCTAAACCCAGTCGAACCGCTGTTGACATAGTACGTGAACCGCGCTTCCGTGGGCGAGTAATAGATGACCAAGTCGTTCTCGTTACACGCGATGCGACTCCATGTACCAATCGTGAGCGACTGACACGACACACGCTCCGCAACGCTCCTAGCCTGTGGCATTCCGACCGGAGCAAACGGGCTCAAAGGCGCAGCGAAGAAAGCAGGCTGTCCAGCAGCAAACACGTTCGGCCCATGTCCTAAACTGTTCGAACGCGCTAAAGCAGGCTTTCCCATCCCAAACGCACTCGGTTGCGTCGTGTCGAACAGATGCGTAGGCGGCAGCCCATTCGTCTCATCAATCTCCTCGTCGTCGTCGTGGTCTTCCGACTTCTTCTGCAACAGCTTCACCTTTGCACGCCTGTTTTGAAACCAAATTTGAACCGATCGTTCTGTCATGCTGATCTTTGCCGCGACTGCTTCCCTGATCTTCGACGTCGGACTAGGATTCACGGCGAAGGTCTCCTCCAATACGGCAAGTTGCTCAGGGGTTGCTCGCTGACGTTTCTTGTTGACTTGTTGTTGAGTGAGATTTGCGGTGCTGGACTTCGCACGAGACAGAGCTCGTAGACGTCCGACTGGGCGAGAGACAGGCGAGGATGGGGCAGTCCCTGCCACCGAGTGCGCTGGCGTACTCTCCGCGTCAGACTCATTCTTCAGGTATACAGAATCGTCGAAGCCATCACCGCCAATGTGGGGTGATTGCTGAGGGGTGACCTTGGCCGAATATGTTTCTGAGGCAGGAGCGGAAACTAAGCAGGACGTTAACACAGTGAACGATGAGAAAGGAGAACAGGACGCGCACCAGGCTCATGATTAGCCACCATATTTTCATGGGAATCGTTGGCCGACATGTTCGAAAGGTAGCGATCAGCTACTCAAATAATGGAGGTGTATAGGCGATCAGCGGTGCGAAGCCGTGTTGCCGTCGTGGTCTGATCTGCCTCAAAACAGTGGGCAATGACCGCGAAAAAGGAGAAACCGATCCAGGAAAGTGGACAGCCGTTGTCGCTGAAGTTTGGATCAATCGAATGAAGTACTGGAAGGACCTTTTTGGTGTTGCAGAGGTGCGGCGAGCGTGAACCAAAAAGTGGTGGGAAGTTGCCAAAGGAATGTGATGTAGTTGGCGCAATGACGAACTGCAAGTGGTGAGCCGATAGATCAGATACTTTGACTTTTCACAGCGTTCTTGAAGGCAATCGCAACTGCTATTTTGCTGGATCCGAGGTGCTGGCCGAGATCGGGTTTGTTATACTCCTCGTGGTACCGGCTGAGAGTTCTGGGGTGCCTGAGCAGCGCACCCCGGCCGCCAAACGGGAATCACAGAGCGAAGACGAACTTAAATTCACGTGAGCCAAGACATATATGTATAGAGAAACTGCCGGAGATCATCTTTGTATAACGTTATACTTTTGAAGAAGCTTTGCAAAAGAGTACACCGACACCAGAACTCCGTATCCTACGGCTATTTCCTATGGACCCCATGCCTTGTTCGACCAATAGATAACCAATCCTGCGACACTCCCTCTCTCCTGACCATCAACCCTACGAATCTCTCCGCTTCAACGCCGACTTCAGATCACTGCTTGCGGGTAATGATATCCTCCGTGCCGGTGGTCGTGCCGGTGGTCGCGCCGGTGAGGCGTCTCGGTCCAGTTCCGAAATGGAAAGATCTGACCGGGAGCCAATGGACCGCTCGTCGACACGTAGTGAGTTCTTCCGGTAAGGCGGATTGAGGTATTTGGTAGAACCAGATGACTCGCCACCGGAGACAGGGCGCTCAGTCACGCGTGAAGTGCGGGACTTGCTGGTCTCCTCGAGGTTGTCGGGCCGGTTCCTCAACAGCTCCTCGACCTCCAGTTCTCTCCGGATCTCCTCACTAGCCTTCTTCTTTCCGCGATTCCATCCCATTTGCAATTCAGAAGCAGCCTCTTCTTCAAGACGGAAGCGAACAACCGGGTCGTGCTCAAGCTCGGCAAAGACGTCAGAGTCAGTGGGGAACATGCTAGCACGGACCGTCGAAACCAGGACGTCAAAGAGGAGAGCAGCCGCCAAAGACAAGAGAACCGCACACCACCAGGACAAGTTCCGTCCCATATGGTTGATGAAGTTGCCCTTGACCTTGTAGATCTTGTTGTTGGTGTAGATGCCGCTGAGAAGCATATTCCAGATGAACCAACCAAAGGTTGTGATGACAGCCGTAACCCAAGTAATCGCATTCCAGTTACGCGACTCCAAGAATTGAAGCTTGACAATGACCAAAATAACGACGTAGGTAAAGATTGCACTTCCGAACTGGAAGAGGTCACCCGAATCAGCTGAGGGTAAACCAACGAACGCAAGTGCGATGTAGAATCCCATGAACGCCTGACACACAGCAATGAACTGCCACCCAAGATAGACCTTGATGTTGAACGCCTCGTTATGCTGCCCCTTGCGGTACAACTCCGGCACTGCAAGAAGCGTCGTAGCGTGCAAATCCTGACTAAGAACACCAGGAATGATAACCGGCAACGACGAGAACAAGGTGTTGAAGACCGAAAGCGACCAAGACTCAAACAAAGATGTACCAGTGTAACCCACATGACGTTGGAAGATAGCTTGCATGAGGTAGAACACCAACTCCTTGTAGAACGTACCAAGAATGAACTTGGACGTCCTGATGTAACACCATCGTCCATGAACAAACATTAGCTTCTGCAAGAACCTGAACTGCGCAATGGAGTAATCAGAGCAACGGGCAGCCTGAAGACCTTCCTTACCGGTGATCCCGATACCGACGTGAGCCTCCTGGATCATGGCAATGTCATTGGCACCATCACCGATAGCCAGCGTGACAGAGCGCTGCACCTTCTTCCTGACGGAACGGACCATTGTCGCCTTTTGACTTGGGGAAGCACGGCAAACGATGACTGAATCAGCCTTGACACCAAGATCGAGGAAGAGCGTCATCATCGTCATATCGGACTCGATATCCGCGAGCGTTGCACCATCAACGACAATGACTGAATGTGCAACATGTCCATCCTGCAAATCGAGCATAGCTTGCGCCATGGTGCCGGTCATGTCTGTGTCATTGGAGTCTAGAATGGTAACAGTCGAGAAGTCCTTGATCAGCCTACAGGAGTGGCCGATGTTAATGGCAGTTTCGCGTTTATCACCAGTCAACATCCAAATCTTGATACCAGCACGCCTGATCTTGTCAATCGCCTCCGGAACACCACGCTGCAGCTTGTCCTCAATGGCAGTAGCACCAGAAACCTCAAGATCAGTCTCGATGATCTCAGCAGCGTTCTCAATCTTGAGCTGGCGATCAACAAGAGACGTCGTGGCTTCATTGTAAATCTTGCGCCAGACCTGATACTCGTTGTTGTCCAAGAACTTGTGCCCGTACAGCAACGTACGCAAACCCTCCGTCGCGAAATCATCAATGTGCTGGAAGGTACGCTCGAAAACAAGCGCATCATTCAAGACGATCTTATCGTCGACAAGATCCACCAGGTCACTCCTAAATTCGCGCTCCAAGGGCAAAGGAGATTTGAGCTCACCGTACGCCATACTGTGCCGAGAATCGAATTGCACGGAAGTACGGGTGTAGATACTGTCGTCATCCACCGAGTCCTTGCGGTCCTTCAACCACACATCGAGATCACGGATGGTCTCCATGCGATCGGCAGTACTGCGCCTGGCAAGCTGCATACTCGGACGTGGCCTGGCGGCATTCATGCTGTTCCTCGCCAAATACCGCTCCGCCTCTACAGACTTGCGCATACTCGCCGAACGCCTGACATCAGCCTTCTTCTTCTGCGCGATATCCTTCATCCTCAAACGCTCAGCAATGACCGAATCAGCACCCTTACAAAACAGACAAATCCTTCCATCCGGGAATCGGAGAACGATCGACATTCTCTTACGCTTCGAACTGAACTCGATGACGTCCAAGATCTGGTATACTTCGACCATGGGCTGTTCCTCCAATCCGTTGGGGTACGTCTTGACACTAACCGCGTTGACGCTGCGATCGACGACGATGTATCCCAACTCCTTCGCCGCATTGACAAGAGCCAGCTCATCGGGCGAAGCAGCCTGGTATTCCACATCCCCAGTCTCATCATTCGTGTCCGGAAGACACGTATGACACAAAGCTATGGCTAACAAGAAAAACCTCGCACGCCTCGAAAAGATCGTATGCGGATGCGTCTGCAAGTACTCCAACAAATCGATCGTGTTACGGACAGGCTGCTGCTTTCCGGGCTGCGCACTCGGCTTCCAGTGTGGCGGTTCCTCCGCGTCCTCCGACATGGTGACAACGCCATAATCACCACCATTCACCGGAATACTCTGACTCCTCATAATACCGCGATCAACATCCATCGACTTGGCCCTTGACATCGCCTCCTTCTTCTGCCTCTTGATCGTCTTCTTCGTAGTTCTCTTCTTGTGCCTCAAGTACAACTTCCCGTCTTCTCTCCTTCTCTCCTGCTGTAAATCGAGATCATGCAACCACGCATACCCCGCCACCGAGATCTTCCGGAACAACATGATATTGTCCGTCAACGTTCCCGTCTTATCCGAGAAAACATATGAAACCTGACCGAGCTCCTCGTTGATGGTAGCCGTGCGGGCTTCGGCGGGGGTATCCGTCACTTCGTCGTACATGTCGATATCCATCTGCAACATCAGCATCTGCGCCAACTTAACGATCTCCATCGTGACATAGAGCGACAACGGAACGAGCGTGTTGAACAAAATGACGAAACCAGCAGCGATGGGCATGAAAGCGACTTTCGCATCTTGGAGATACCACGCCTCACGTTCGTACTGCTTATGCCAGATCTGGTACGCAGCAGTACAAAATACCGCAAGCAGGATGACGAAGATCACGATAATAACGACGACCTTGTTGACACTCTTCTGCATCGTCGGGGCCTTCGTACGCGCGTTCTTGGACGCATTCATCCTGATTTTCGTCTCCTCGCCCGAGAAAATAACGAATCCGGTGATACTGGGCGTATTCCTTAGGATACTCCCACGATAGAGGATGTCGTTATTCGTCACCGGGATCATATCCCCATCCATCGCGATCTTTCCATCGAAGTTGTAGAGATCCTGGTTTGGCTGCTCGACCGTGATCTCAGTCCTAAAAGTCGCCAACGCCTCATCCGTCGCGCAATGCTCACGAATTTTCGGCAGAGCCTGACGCGTCTTCAAATTCGTCTCTCCATCCAAAGCCATCGTCTCGATATACGCAACCCCATTCTCCCCACCCGAATTCAGCAACAACAAATCTGCCGGAACCCATTCATTCTGATGCAACCGGACGACATCACCAACCCTGATATCCTTCCACTTGATTTTTTGCCACACCCTCGGTCCCATGCTCTCCCCTGGCTCCGTAGGCTGATACGCCCGAAACACCTCCGTTTCCTGGTTATTCTCCACCTTATCCAACCGATACCTTCGAATGTCATCAAACCCCTCTCTCGCCATCGAAATACTCAGAAAGAATAACAATGGCACGATCGTGGTGTAGTTTCCAGTCGTACTCCATCCGGGGATCATCTGCATGATCGAGACGAGGAGGAAATAGCAATTTGCGATTTTGGAGAATTGTGCGTAGAGTTGTCTTGGGAGGAAGTTGTAGATTGTGTAGCGGGAGGAGACGATGAGGTTGTCGATATAGGGTTTGTTGGTGCGAGGGTCGATGAGAGGGTCTTTGTGTTGAGCGTCGAGAAGAAGCACGCGGCCTTCGCCGTTGTCTTCGAACTGTTGCCTGCGGAGCGCCAAGTCCCGAAGGAACTCATACCCCTCAACAACCCTCCGTTTCAGAGCCCCACCCTGCCTCTTCACCGCCCACTTCGAATAATTTGGCAACGCCTTGTCGGTGTACTGCGACAACAACGTCCTCCTTCCCTGTTTCTCCGCACTCTCCTCTTCATTGTCCCCCCTGCGTCCATTTCCCTGCCCAACACCCTCCTGCAACGGAATCGTTTCAAACCGAGCCAATCCCTGTCCCGTCGGCGGCGACGGCGTGACATCATCCTGTGCCCTCCGCTGAAAGAGCTGTGTTCGGAGCGAGTAACCTCGATTTCTCTTTGGCATCAACCCCGTCGTACTCAAATCATCCGTGCTACTCGCAGGACTGTCCACCACGGTCTGCAACACCCTCCCCTTCACGCTCGATTCCCGTGTCGGAGTACGCGGAATCTCATGAATGCGCACATTGTCGTCTTCTTCCGTGATATTGGCCTGTGGCAAGCGCGCAAGTGCCTCCGCGACGTCGATTTGGGCAGATACGACAGGGCGGGGGCGGTCGGTGTATGATTGTACTTCGGAGGAGAAGCGGACGGCGCGTGGTGCGTTGCCGCGGGGGTTGGAGAGGGATGCGCGGCCGGGTGCTGGTGCTTCGTTGTCACCCTGGGATGTATGTGGTGGTTGTGGTTGTGATGGCGACATGGTCTATGCCGACACCAAACGCGTGTGTTGATATCGACGTTTGATGTTATTGAATTATCTGTATGCCTCGGTCAGCGCTGTTTAGAACAGTCGTTCCGTCATATACATACCGTTCTCTTCTGACAAAGTTTCACCGCTCAAGCTCAAAGAGATCGCGTAACAAACTCCGCTTCCAAATACCGTAGAGATCGCAAAAGAAGTACACCAAACACGAACACCGCTGAACCTGAACTGATCACGTATACCGATCCTCTTCTCGCCTTCTTTCGTCCTTCAAATATTGTAGTGAGGGTTGCCCGACTCAGCCACGACGCTCAAGGGGTTAACGTCCGCACCCGAGCAGCAACCTTGCAGATACGAAACGGACAGGGTTCTGGAAACCAATAGGCTAAACCGTGAGCTTAAAGTTCGGTCAACTGCTGGCGCTGTCGAGATCTGTCGTTTATTCCTTCTTCAAAGAGAGGGATGAAGAGATCGTAGTTGTAAGTATGGGGATTTTGAGTAGGGACTCGGATTGCCAAGAGCGTCACGGTCCGCCCTTGTCGTAATTTAGCGGCTTGGCCGGGAATGCATGCAGCGGGGGGTTGGCAGCGTTTGGCTGACGGGGAAGAAGACGGGATGGAGGAACTGAACGGGTGAGTCGGTCTATCACACAATTCATTGAGGTTTCTACGAATTGGCCGTTTGCGGTGCGGTCGATCAAGGGCCTGGTGTAGGAGCATTACGCGCCGGCGCCGTACACGTAAGGCCTGTCTTGCAATTGACAGCTGCCATAACCGACTGGTCGGCCCATCTGTCTGAGCACTGTCTGGCCGTCACGAAATGCAATGGTCCGTGCTTCACGATTGAGCTGTCTGCGATTTCTGTCTTTGTCGTTGGAAGCTGACAGTCGCCACCCGGGCCTTCTAGCCTCGGTCGCCTCAGACCCTTGCAACCGACGCACGGCAATTGATGTCGCCTCCTGTAACTCTATCCACACCCACCCTAGCTGGCTAGCTAGACCTTGACAACAAAAAAGGGAGCATACATCCCCCATACCATCGCAGTTGTCCAGAGAGGAAGACGGTTGTTGGATCATCCTGTTGATACGCCCAGACGACAATCAAGGTTTGAGTCGCTGATTACTCATCTTTTGCCCCACGTAACGTAGCGTACGTACTGTATACCCGGTCCTACTGCAGCTGGGTGGTTACGCACGCAACAAACGACGAATTCATCGCCCATCTCTATTTACGACTCCTTTTCATCCAACGACACTCTCTACCAACGATCCAACAGCATACACAACAACAGCATCACGAGGACGACATAATGAGGGAATCCAACATCTCATCAGTCACCTCCAACAAACCCATCACATCCATAACCTCAATCCTTTACGACCGCCGTGCACTCGACTGCACCTCAACCCTGCCCCTCATCAACTCCCTCACAAACCTCGCTCACCTAATCTCCGACTCCCCCCGCATTCGCGAAACAATCGCCGTAGACGGCGGCCTCGAACGCCTCGTCTCCATCCTCCAAACCCCCCGCACCGAAGACGTCCTGTCCCTCTGGAAATGGTCACTCGCATTCCAATGCGTCATCCAGATCGGTATCCACGGGAGTGAGCAAGCGAGGTTGAGGATCGTGGAGGCGGATATGGTCAGTGTTATCGCATCGATACTTTGCCGGTTCTTGAGGACGTTGGATCATCTGAAAGCGGAGAGAGATGCTGTAAAGGCGGAGAGGGAGGCGAGGAGAATTGCGGCTGCTGCTGCGGCACAGGCTGCGCAGGAGGCGTTGAGGGCGAGGGAGGAAGCTGGGATTGCGAGTGGGGAGGGAAGTCCGGTTGTTGGGGGTGGGCAGAGTGCGTTTCCGGGTGCGCCAGGATTCGGACTTGCGGTGGTCCAGCAGGCACAGGATATCGCGGATACGAGGAGAGGGAGTACGATTAATGCTGCTACCCTTACGCAGCAGGTGGAGGGGTTGGGATTGAATATCGAGACGTTGCCTCGTGCGGAGCCGAGGCCACCTTCAGAACCCACCCGGGCAGAAATAGCAGCGCTCGTCGATGAAGTTGGAGCGCGAGTGGTTGCACAGTTGGACGCACAAGCCCAAGCGGCGGCACCGGTACCGGCATCAGCACCAGTACAAGCGCAAGCAGGTCCCAGTACGCCTCTGAGGAGGTTGAGGGGTTTGACGAGGAGCTTGAGACGAACTATTCATTCGAATGAGAACACGCCAAATGACTCGCCCGCTTCTACCTCTCGTCCCAGTACCCCACCCTCCATTCTCGTTCGCGGCGGATTGGTAAGACGTACAACTGACTCCACCTCCGACGACAACTCTGACGCTTCCGGTATCGCCTCGACCGCCATCGCAACCCCCAATGCTACCGATTCCGCAACGTCGACCGAAACGGTTACTACAGCAGGGAGGGCTAGTGTGGTTGATCTGAGTTCGTCGCCTGGTGCGGCGGGAGCGGAGGTTGTGGGTGAGCCGTTGAGTGTTTCTGCGCAGAATAGCCCGACAGTGTTGACTGCGCCTGTTGAGGCTCAGGAGGATGCTGAAAGGGCGAGGAGGGTCAGGAGGGATTTGTTTGGTGCGCCTGCCGCTGGCATTACCGCTACTGAAGCAACTGGAGACGCGAATGGTGATGTGGAGATGGCTGAGGCTACGCCGGTCAGGGAACGCACAAGAAGGGATGGACTTATCCCTGGGCTGCAGGGTATGCACACGGGTGTGGATGCGTTCGCCATGTCTATGCCCCGTGAGCAGGATATTGTGCAATGCCTCCAGCTCCTCGCATATATCACCAAATACCCCTACTTGCGGTCTTACTTCTCCAACACCCAGCTCATCCCGCATATCGCCCTCTCACCCACCGCCGACCCAACAATTACTTCCACGATCAACGTCTTTGCCCTCGTCGAACGCTTTACCCTCCGCATCCACCCCCGCGAATTCCAATCCTGGGCTGGCGTGATCATGCGCAATTCCTGCAAAAAGGACGATTCGCGTGGTGGGAGGAGACAGTGTGCGAATTTGTTTTGTGGGAAGTGGGAGGATGAGCCGAGGCAGTTTGCGAAGTGTAGGAGGTGTAGGAGGTCCAAGTATTGCTCGAAGGCTTGTCAGAGTGCGGCGTGGGCGGGACATCGGTGGTGGTGTCATGAGAGGACGCCGACGGGGGAGGGGAGTGCGTCGAGGAGGGAGAGCAGTGCTGCTGTTGAGCCAGAACAAGCGCAAGTGCAGCCACAGCAAGCACAGGCGTAGGATGGAAAATGGATGGGCGGGATGTATTGCTTATGCTCCTTGGGACTTCTTTATTGCAATTGGGGTTATCGGTGTTCTTCTATATTATTCTTTTAAGGAAGCAGTTAAATCAAGATTGATTAAAATTCGCTTATGTATGGCCAGAGTCTAGATTAAGCTTGCAGGGTTGCGCGGGTGGATTACGTGCATGGCTCTCCGTGACGTCATGGGGTCGTTGCACGTACGGTTGTGCGAACGTGTGACATCAGACTGCCTAAGCCCGCGCCTAAGCCCAACGTTAACCTGAAGCCCCCTATGCCGACCTGCCCCCCCCTGAATGTGATAGGCATAAATAGAGTCGTCCCCCCCGCCGTCCTCTCAGGGTCTTCTCCATACACACTCGCACACAAGCTCTACTACAACCAATCCCAATTACTACGGCTCTTGGTTTTTGTCTTTTACTAGCACGAACCCGCTCTTACTACAACACAACAACTCTATTTGCTTAATTTCTTAATCACTAACAACAATGGCTCACACTGAGGTATGTCACCTTCTCCGTGCTCTTCTGGGCGCATACAATCGGTCAATTGGGGCTGTATGCTAATCAATGTTATCAGGTTTCCGCAAACCCTTCTTCTGCCGGTGTCACCCGTGCCACCAACCCCAAGCAGCGCGATGCCGACGTCGACCAGAAGCTTCGTCTCTACGGTGTCCTCAATGCTTTCACCAATGGCAAGGTCCCAACGAACAAGCAGATTGATGTCGCCATGAACTCTTTCATCAACTCCGACATGATGCGCAACCCTTCAAAGGACTTGTCCAGCGAGGGTCGCCATCTCGTACAAGACCTTCGCGACGTTGCCGAGCAGGCTAAGATGCTCCTCCTCACAAAGAACTACGACGAGAACTTACAGAAGTTCCTGTGGCATACGCGTGTTGCCTCTCCCGACTCCCAGAACGTCAACGCCCCTGTCTCGGCTGGCCAGGCTAAGGAGCACGGAAAGGCTACCCTTGATGGTATCCGGACGTTGGGTCGTTTGATGATTACCAATGGCGAGTTCAGGAAGTTGTTGTCCGACGCTGTTGTTCTTCTCCGTGATATGGGTGCCGATGCCGCGTCGAAGGCTGCTGAGAAGGTCCGTCCCGACCAGGAGCGTCTTGAAAAGATTGATGAGCCTGCGCCTGAGAATCAGTGGCACGATACCCCCGACGTCGGTGGTATCAAGGAGAACCTCAAGTCCAAGGCTCGCGATGTTAAGGAGACCGCCAAGTCCGATGCCCAGGCTGCTAAGAACAACGCTGCTTCCTCCGCCAACCCCGATGGTTCTACTTCCTTCAACCGCACTGCTGAGCACGCCAATGCTGAGGCTCGCACTGGCGAGTCCCGCGGTGTTGATGCTGCCGGCGGTGCTCAGGCTGGTGCCGACACCTTGAAGCAGCGTCACCCCGAGGCTCACCAGAAGGCTGTGGAGACCAAGGACAAGACCATTGACTACCTTAAGGACAAGGTCCCCGAGGAGCGTCGTCAGCAGGTCGTCGACCGTCTCAAGAAGATGGTCGTCGAGATCCAGCAGCACGAGGACTACCAGGAGGCCATTGACACCCTCCTCTCCATCGCCGAGAACTACAAGGGTGTTACCAAGGAGGTCAAGAACCAGGCTGCTGGTGCCGCTAAGCAGACTGCTGACGATGACCACGTTCAGCTCGCCAAGGATGAGCTCAAGACCGTCATTGAGCGTTTCGCCAACTCTACCTCTTTGGACGACGTCTTCGACTCCTTCAACGACCTCTACCTCGACGCCGACCGCGACCCCCAGATGAAGAACTGGTGGAAGCGTCTTGACCGTTACATCCGTCGCTGCTTGAAGGAGACCGGTTACATCACCTCCGAGGCTGCTGACAACGAGTACCGCGAGATCAAGGAGGAGGGTGACTATCTCCGCAAGGACAAGTACTCCGAGCACTTCGACCGCGTCGGCACCGAGATCTCCGACTTCGGTAAGCAGTTCGCTGAGGACCCCGACAACAAGCGTTTCGGCGAGACCGTCAAGCACTTGATGGAGGACCTTGGTACTGACCGCAACGGCAAGTTCACCTTCAAGAAGCATCTTCTTAAGGATATTACCAACGTCATCATCCCTGGTGCTTTCCGTCGTACCCGCTACGTTCCTGTTCCCAGGATCGAGTACTCTGACCCCATGGTCGATGCCGTCATTGAGAACTTGGTCTTGGAGTCTGAGAACTTGTTCCCCAACATCCTCGAGATCAAGGCTGACAACTACATCCGTTACTCTGCCCGCAAGGCGATTAACAATGTTAACCACCACCGTGTCACCGTCCACATGGAGCAGATTCAGATGGATCTCCGCGATGTTGCTTACTACATCAAGAAGAAGTCTGGATTCCCTTCTGTTCGCGACACTGGTGTTATTGACATCTTCCTCGGTGGTGAGGGTTTGAGCGCTACTGTCACATTGGCCGATGCTACCGCCCTCGACCGCACTTCCTTCTTCAAGGTCGAGCGTGTCGATGTTAAGATCAACAACTTGAAGCTCAAGTTGAAGAAGTCCAACCACAAGCTTCTCTTCAACTTGTTCAAGCCCATGCTCATGGGTATCATCAAGCCCGTCATCCAGAAGGTTGCCGAGAAGAAAATCGCTGAGCAGTTCGACACTCTTGACCACCTCTTGTACTCCGTCTACAAGGAGACCAAGCGTGAGCAGAACACCTACATTGATGACGAGGAGACCCCCAACACTACCAAGTTGTACATCCAGACCCTCATGAAGCGCATCTCTGCCAACTCGAAGGAGAAGAAGGACAAGGCTGCCGAGACTGCGCAGGACAAGCACGCTGCCGTGACTGTTTCTAGGACTGGTGGTATGTTCAAGAACGTTGTCTTGCCTTCTGGATTCTCCAACCGTGCTGAGGAGTACAAGCGCATGGGTCAGGAGGGCCGCGACTGGACTTCCCCCATCTTCGACTTAGGCTCTGCTAAGCCTACTGACCACATCCCCGAACCCAAAAAGATCGTTAGTCGTTCCGACTACGGCCGTGCTACCATGAACGATGGTGGTAACAACAGCTCCTCTTCTCAGGGTCAGTACCAGCAGGGATACAACACTGGACACAACCAGAACACCGTTTCTGGCGCTTATGAGATTACGCCTGGTCATATCAACCATGCCACCACCACCACCGCTCCCGCCACTACCGCTAACTCTCATCAGTACGTTTCTAACACTACTTCTGAGTTCGTGCTCGCCGAGCCGATCAGAACTGGTGCTCCTTACTAAGTCTCCTCCTCTCTCGGGTTGCGAGTTTAAATCAAGGGAAGAAATGATGATGAGTTAGGTATGATAGACGGCAAACTGGGGGTCGTGAAATTCGGCTGGGCTGATGAAATTGTGGGCGTTCATGGTTATTACTACTATTGTCTTTTTGTTTTACTCTTTTACCTTTTATGATTCAGTGATAATGCGGAGTATGAGGACTTTTGTGAGTGTCGTCGATCGGGCGTCTGGGTGAGCGATAGTGTGCGCTTGCGAGCTTGGGCGGTCTTAAACGACTGAGGTTTAATTGTGTTTTAGTAATGCTATTGATTGCTTGTGCTTAACGTCTTTGTTCACTTCTGCGTTCCATTGCAAACGAGTTTGACTCCGTTCGTAAGCTTAAGGAGATGGGCTTCCTTCGATCCACACGACCTGGACGTTTATTGCCATGGCCGAATACGTGCCGACGTCGGTGGATGTTAGGGAAGACAACGCCACATACAGGGTCTGTTTCAGCCACACGCAGGGCTTACCCCTACCCCTGACTAGCTAGCATATAAGGGAACTACTCCCTCATCTAGGTAATACTACCTTTTCCACTCCATCTATTGGGTATCGTCACAGTGGACCAGTCCGCGAAGTTCCCACGGGTACTGGTGAGTCCTGTCCCCAGCGGGACGTGTTGTCGATACATGAAGGGTCGTCAGATGTTTAAAATGTAGCGAGTTCGCTGATATGACATATAAATGGATGTTAAAACGTTTTGTTGCTGATCACCCACGCAGGCACTTAAACCCTCGCTGAGAACCGCTCTGGGTTAGATTTCAAGTAGCTGAGGAGGCTAGGTCTAACCGCACGTTTTAGATCTGCCCGGAAAACTCTAACCCCTGAATACCCGACCTAACTCCATTAAGGATGTTGAGTGAACTCCCTAACCACCATCCACGAAAACCTCTCCCAATTCAATGCTTGCGACAGCTTCTAGTAGCTAGCATATACTCCAGCATACATCCCCAGCTTCATCATGGGCCGGTCGAACCAGACTCACCTCTCCGCTGCTGCGAATGCTAGGCAGCGTAAGAAGGATTCAGATACCACCAAGGGTCGTGCAAGCTTTCGATGGACAAAACAGATGATCCTCTCCCTCATTCACAAGTGGAACCGCGTGTCATGAATGGCTTCATGACCTCCGGTTTGCCACACTCTTCCTGTGATCATGCAACGTCTATGTACGTTCATGTATGTGTCCTATTATTAGGTCCTATGTTTATGTCTTACAGTTACGTCTTAAGTTTATGTCTTAGCTAATATTAGTCTTACGTAGTTCTGGCTTGGTGGCTTGGTGGCTTGGTTGCGTCACGGCACGGCACGGCAGCAAAGCCGGTCCCCAACGAACGGCTAGTCTGGATTAGTATATAAAGGGGGGTTCCTCCCCCCTTCCTTAGTTCTTTAGTTAGCAGCAAGAGTCTTTGAGAAAACCAAGACCTCTTCCTACCTCGCCTTTCTTGTGGGTTCCTTAACCTCTTGAGTCTTCGTTAGTCTCGCCACTTCGAGTTATCCCTGTTCACCAAGTCGTCACTCAGTCTCGGTTACGTACCCAAGCCGCCCTTGACCTTTGTCTACATCTTGTTCCGTCAGTCTTGGTTTGGGCCTGGTCTTACTAGTGATCACGTCTATGCCTTCCGCCTTACGCTTACGTCACTGTTGCGTCCCCTCGGTCTCGGTCCCCTTCACTGGATAGACTCCGCCCGACTCGTGTCAGATTACGCCTTCAATTTCAGCAGCGACGAGTGTTGTGACTTGTTTAGGAGACACAGCCCCCGTCCCTGACACCGCGGGTTGATAACAAGAAGATGGCAGGAGTGAAAGCCGACGTTTTCAGGGGTTGGTACAACGAGTTTTGGGACAAGTATGTTACCGGTGCAGTCAAGGATTCGTCAGTTTTCAACTCGGTCGCCATCAAAAACATGCATACCACTTTGAATGCAGCCTTCGGTAAAGCAGACGCCATTACTTGCGCTATGGGAGGTGGTGACCGCGGTAATGGCATTACTCTTAAGGAAAAAATCTTGAAAGTTTGTCCCTTTCACGACGAGCTCGTGGTATTCCTTAAGGATAAACACAACAAGCGTCCTCCTGTTCTCCTCGATTAGGACGAAGGTTTGGTGCAGCCCACATACTCCGACGAGTTTATAGAGGATGTTGAAGAGGTCGACATGCACCCTAACAACAATGTCGGTCCCCAGCAGACGCCTGCATTTACTCAAATCAATAATTTTACGGTCAATAGCCGAGTTCACAATACAAGTCATTGCAGTGCTTCTTTGCACTCACTCATGCATTTTCTGTCGTCCAAAGGTACCATTCGTCATCAATAACGTTGTGGCATGCCATGAAAAGCATGTTGTGCAATACAACGGAGCTCCCGACCCATGCCAAGGCGTCTTTCAAGCCTGATGTCTCATGGATGACAAACGGTAAAGTGCTCAAAGATCCAAACCGCGACTTCAGCATACCAATTGTATGTTGGGTCCTGATCGGGCCACACCCCTAAGAGATCATTCAGGCCCCAGCAAGGCTCTGTGGTTTATGCAGGCGCCCCAGGCATGATCGGAGGGCATGTGAGCTTCGTGGAACCCAAACACCAAGCCTGACTCAGCATCCTATTGCTCCAGTGAATGGTGGGCCATCTCAACCTTGGTTTGTACCGTCCTATGATCCCCTCCAAGCTGCTCCGGCGCAATATCAGTTCTATGGCCCTCCCCCCGGGGCGCCGTGGAATTATTTTGATGGGTATGGGCACTGAGGAGTCCGTGGGAGTGTTCTGGCTTTTTTTTGTACATACTGCTAATGTAAATAATATTATCTTGTCTTGTTCTGCTCTGATCTCACCCATAATCTTCTGTTGGTATGTTTCCACCCCGACCTGTCAATTCCCATATTGCCTGATCCGGCATTTCGGATCACATCCGCGCTAATGCGATGTCACGAAGCCTTGCAGCAGCAAAACAAACCAGGCTGAACACCAGCAAACACCTCCGAGGTCCTAATCAAGCCGTCAGCTGTCGCGTTCGTAGCATACAGTCGTTCAAGACTACATCACTCTCTTGAAGCCGTCGCTCTACCGTTTGCCGTGCGTCCCCTTCGATAACACCTCGATACCCACAACAATGTCCGGCCAAACACCGGCTAACGTTCGCGTTTTCGTGCGTGCCCGTCCTTTAAATACGCGAGGTATGGTCATATCTCAAAGGTCTTAGATCTGTATGCTGACAATGCCTTGTAGAGCTCGAACGTGGAGCAAAATGTCTTCTCCGTATGGATCCCGAAACCGAAACCACGCATATATCCCGCCCAGACGACGCGGATAAAGGCGCAGCACGGTCATCGAAGCGCGCTGCACCTGGAGAAGAGATCAAATCTTTCGTTTTCGATAAATCCTTCTGGTCCGTCAACCCAGGCGACGAGCACTTCATCAACCAGGACGGCGTTTACAAGCACGCCGGAAAGGATTTCCTTGACCATGCTATGGACGGGTACAACTGCTGTATCTTTGCATATGGACAGACTGGATCAGGTAAAAGTCACACGATGATGGGAAATCACACAGAACCTGGCTTGATCCCTCGCCTCTGTGGTGACCTCTTTGCCCGCATCGGGAAGCTTACCAACAAAGGCCGCAAGTTCAAGATCGAGGTCTCCTACTTTGAAGTTTACAATGAGATGGTCCGCGATCTTCTCAAGCCAGCTTCGAAACACAATCTTCGTGTCCGCGAGGACCCTACGAAAGGGCCCTATGTCGAGGATCTTACGGAGTTGACCGCGGATACTTTCGATGATGTTCTTCGCTTCATGGAAATGGGATCCAAAACGCGTACGACGGCACCAACGAACATGAACGACGCGTCGTCTCGGTCGCATGCTGTTTTCACGCTCTCTATCGCCCAATTGTCCGGTTCTGGCTCCGCTATCACTGAGAAAAACTCCCGGTTCCGTCTCGTGGATCTTGCCGGGTCCGAGCGTGTCGCCCTTACTGGTGCAGTGGCAGGAGGCACTCGCTTCCGTGAAGGTGCAAACATTAACAAATCACTCACTACGCTCGGACGTGTCATTGCTGGACTTGCTGAGGATGCAAAGGGCGCCGTCATCCCTTATCGCGACTCGGTTCTTACGTGGTTGCTGAAGGACTCGTTGGGTGGCAATTCAAGGACGGCGATGATTGCCTGTGTTTCCCCTTCCGACTACGAAGAAGGACTGTCGACACTCCGTTACGCAGACCAAGCCAAGCGCATTCAGACCCGCGCCGTCGTCAACGTCGTCGAAAACGAAAACTCGCGACTTCAGAAGGAAATAGCCATGCTCAAAGTCCAACTCCTCCGCGCCTCATCTGCCATCGACGAATCATCCATCTCAACATCAAACTCCGACCTCGAACAAAGAGTCACAACCCTCGAAGCCGAGAACGAGCATCTCCGCCAGATGACCAACCTCCAGAAGCGCGAGTTAGACGCCGAGATCAGGAAAGCCAAGATCGAGAAAGCTTCGTTGCGTATGCAGTTACGCTTGGCGATTGATTCGTTCAGAAAACCGATTACGTTGCCGCCGTTGATGAGTGATGATGGAAGTAATAGTAGTGATAGCGAGGATGAGTTGCCTACGCCGCCGGTGGTGGAGTTGAGGACAGATTTGAGTTCACTGAGACAGTTTCAGCAATCAGTCAAGAAAGACATTGGCTCATGGAACTTGAGGATGAGGGAGGGAGCTATGAGGTGGCTCAAGTGATGTTTGTCCGAAGAACTGTGGACTCTGTGGTGCGGATATGGCGTTTGATTGTGGTTTTGGGGACATTACTTTGGCGGACGCTTTTCTTATATGGCGTTATTCCTGGGATTAAGTCGTGACTATACACGGGGTATTGATAATACATGTTTTCTATAATGAACAGCTGGTATCACGGTATATTTCGTCCTTGCTCTATTTTGTAGACAACTGTGCGATCCAGCTATCCAGTTCCCGAGCAGCTGATCCTTGCGCCTTCGGTCTCAACTCCTGCAACATCAGTAAATCCCTCGCCTTGAATGCATCCTGTCCAGCACCCTTGTAGTCATTGATTTTCACGTATAACTCTACCCTCTGCCTCGACGTCAAATTCGAACACCGCGCAATATACGCCGCGGCCTGCGTATTATTCCCACTCGCAATACACTCGTTCACAAACGGCTCATACCCAATCGGACTCTTCTTCGATTTCGCGAATTGCTCCAATTCGTGCCAATCCCGATTCTTGACCAACGCGCGGATCTTGATCCACCAGAATCGAGCATCGGGGACTTTGAACTCTTTGCGGAGTTTATCAGCTTTTGAGGGCTGGGAGAGTTCAATGAGTTTGAAGATCGTGTCGGAGATTGAGAGGTTAAGGAATTTTTCGTCTTGGATGTCTTTTTCGAGGGATTCTTGGATGGTGAGGAGGCGGGCGGATTCTTGGAGTGCCTGTGCAGAAGGTTAGTTTCATCGGCGAACCCGAATCGCAGAGACTTTCGCACAAACCTTTACTTCAAATACGTGCTCCTTGGACTCCTGATACAGCTTCATCGAAAGATCCAACTTGTCCAGTCGTGACCGCAAATCCTATACCTCAATCAGCCACTCCATTCCACCACTCACAAACCCACATGCATCACTTACCTGCTCCAAACTCTCCCTCAAAATGACATTCGCACTATCAACCCTCCGATCATCCTGATAATAAAAATCCTTCAATAACTCCACATCCTGTTCCCTCGCATAATTCTCCACCAAATCCATCGCGATGGGGAAAGCGCTGATCAACCGGAAGAACTCCGCGAGGGAGTATTTCCGTTTTAGATGCAACAGCACAAAGTATACTATGAGGACGTGTTTGTTAGCCATCGAGCACATGCAGTGCCATCGGCCATCGCCAGCACGTTCTCATACCAAGATCAGTATCCCCACTCTCCACCGCTTTCCCAAGAGCCCCCCGATCTTCCTCCATACTCAACAACAACGGAACCTGCCTCCCAGCCCTCGGCTCATGATCCAACAACCTCGTCGCCAACCCCACCCTTCCCTCCTCATACGCCGTCCTCGCAATCTCATCGAAACTCACGCCCCTCCTCCCACTCTTCCCCTGCGTGAGTTTCGTGATGATGGTGTGCGCAATCTCGTCTTCGTCAGCGGAGGAGTGTCTGATTTTGGTACATGCCCAGTGGACATAAATCGCTTCTGTGCTTAGATGGAGACTTTCCGCGACCTTCAGGGCCAAGAAATGTTGACGGCGGGCAAGGAGTCTCTCGATCAACATCTCCGGCCCCAAGCGTTGATACTGCTCCCACGATATCGGAATACCGATTTCGTAGTATCGTACCGCATTCAACACCCGTAACGCCTCACACATCCCTACGAACTCCTCGACCCCCGCCCACCCAGCACCACCCAACTCCCCCTCCAAATAACTCTTCCCAAACCCCGCAGCCTCAAGTAACCGTTTCTGCCAGCCAACATCCCACTCCACCCCCGCGGCTTTAACACACGTATCAACCGCCTCCGCCAGACTCGGACGAATAAGCTGGATCGCCGCATCCGCCTGCGGTGCGGAATTGTGTAAATGGGTTAATGCGTCCAAGAGGGTTGAGGAAGGGTGTGTTGAACCGATGCTGAAGACTGCGGCGGTGGAGTCTGGGACGCGGTGGAGGAGTTCGTAGTGCTCGGTTGTCAATATCGAGACACCATCGATTTCGGGGAGGAGGTGGGGGGTGGAGTCGTAGTAATACGTCAATACACCACCACTCGGGCCAACAACCACCACTTCGCCCTCAAAGGTAACGACGACAGCATCATTCCCACACCACACAACTTCCCGTACCTCCTCGCCTGCGCGGCCACTCTCCCACTCACTCAAACTCCGCTGGAAATCAGCGCTAACAACCCACATCTTCCCCTTCCTTTGATTATACAACGCAACAAACGCCCCATCCGGACTAACAGCAACATGCGAAAACGGACCCTGCGTCAACATCTGATCCTGACTCTCAATCGCATCAGCAACCAACACACTCCCCCCATTCGTCGCCAACAAACACTCCACATGTCGAGAGAGCGTGTGTTCGGGTGGGAGGATCGACCAAGCGGTGATTGACGCATCGGGGGAGAGACCGGGGGATGCGAGGAGTCGGGGGCGGGGTTCGTCGTAGCGGGAGATTGAGGTGAGGCGGTTGTTGCCTAGGAGGGCGACGAGGCCGCGGGACCAGAATCGGACGGAGAGGATGAGGTTATCTTCGGCGTCCTGTACATGGTGTTAGTCAGCACTTTCGCGTAATATGTAGAATGTTTGCAGTCATGTGTGTACCTTTCCGAGGTTGAATTGTGAGAAGTCGCCGCTGAGGTCGTAACACCGTACGATTCCAGTTTCTGTCACGAGAATGAGGCTTTCGGAATCTGACCACCCAGCTCCTCTGATTCGTGATTTATCCCACTGTAGCAACCATCTCCGTCAGCATTCCGTTTATGAACAGAAATGATTGCTTCTACCTGAATTTTCCGTATGAGTCGTCCACTGGCGCTATACACCAACACCGCCGGCCTCGTCGCCGTTTTCCCCGTATAATTCTGTATCCGATTCTCATCCCTAATCAACGCTGTAAACCACCCACGATCAGTACTGTGCGTTCAACTGAATTAACAGCGGCTATCCCACCGATTGCACCACCACAACTCGCACCAACGACTTGATACTCGTCGAGATCTATGCCGTCTTGGTGCCAGTCCAGGGTGTATTTCTCGACTTTGCGGTAGAAGCGTTCCTGGAGGAGGGACCATTGGGTTGTTGGGTGGGGGAGGTCGGTGGTGAGGGGTGCCATTGTCGTCGAGTGCCGGCTTTGGGAGACGTCCACAATTGATGAACAGCTATTGGACGTGCAATAAAAACCTGATCTTATGGGAAACTGGTCAGATCGAAGGAGCTGAATGAATGCTCTGATCTCGACTGTTTGGATGACGTCCAGGCTCTCATGCACTCCCTCCCCCCACACCTTATGCGTGATATATACCGAGAAGATGAACCCCCAAACACTACACCACCGCCAACTCCTTCATCATGGTATTTACCCTCCCACCAGTTTCATCAATCTCAGATCTGCCTCGGGAGGAGATCGTGCAAATCCTGGGTCACTTATTCGAGCCTGCTCCGGCATTGGTGGAGTTAGTCCTCCCCGGTCTACAACAAGATTCATTCCCAGGTTCATCTCTGCCCGCTGTTCATTCACGTCTTCCGCGAGTCTGACTGGCAACCACGAACAGACTACCCCACCCTCATCGCACACATCCACACCAAACTCCTCTCCCTGTACTCCACCGCCATAACGGAAGATCAAGAGTCACCCAGTACTGCGCACGCGATGAAATCTCTCCTAACCATCCTCTCCGCACACCCCCGTCTCGGCGCCAAAAAAGTCGAATCAACACACTCCCAATCCGAGCAATCCTCCCTCGGCGGCGGCCCGGACGAGACTCAAGCCCTCGTACAGCTGAATCGGGAATATGAGGATACCTTCCCCGGACTCCGGTACGTTACTTTTGTGAATGGACGATCACGGGGGGAGATCATGGAGGATATGAGGGAGAGGATCGAGGGGGGGAGGAGGGGGGGTGGGGCTGTCGCTGTCGCTGTGCGGGATACGGTCTGGAGGGGAGAGGTTGAGGATGCGATTGAGGCCATGTGTGAGATTGCGGGGGATAGGGTGAAGAAATTGCTCGCTACCAGTTGAGGGAAGGCGTGTCGATGTGCACGTAGTCGGTTCGGGGAAAAGCAGGTGAAGAGATATCACGGATACACAAGTATGAAAAGGGCGGAAAAGGGATGATGAAACCTGTTCATATATAACTCGTCCGAAAATGAGATACCGAAACCATACAAAACTCCGAAACTCACAGACCGCACCCTCGATCCTCTTCATGACTGTAAACTGTACTCTTCAAGAGCTTTCTCCTCTAGAGACGCAATTGTTTTTTTCTTCTCTCTTCCTCTTTGCCTGTGCGAAACACACGTCAGCAATACTTTAGAGCACCAACATGTGTTCAGCGCCTTTGTAGAGACAACACACCCTCTACGAAAACGATTTCTGCTTCTTTCTGTCATTCTGCCCAACCTATATCAGCCAAAATTCCACCCGACCCCCTCAAGAAAGCGACAAAAGGGGGTGAAGAACGACAACAATACATACCCAATTCAACGTCCGACTAATACTCTCAAACCACTCCTGACTCTGCTTACTCCTCAACACCGTCGGGAACGGAAACCGACTCGCACTCAACTGTACATAATCCCCCTGCTTCAACTCCACCCTTTTCCGTCCATCGAAGGAACACCAAGCGGTGGAGCGTGAGTCGAAGGGGACAGCAATACGGAGCGTCATGGAGTCGGGGACCTGGAGGGGGCGGAAGGAGAGGGTGTGCGCGCAGATTGGGGAGATTAGGATGGCGGGGATTTCGGGGTGGACGAGCGAGCCTCCTGCTGACAACTACGGTCATCTCATATCAGCACTGTAAAAAGGGAGAAGGGGGAGCGGGTGGAGACGTACGGAGTATGCAGTCGACCCCGTCGGCGTGGCAATACACAACCCATCCGCCTGCACACTCGTCAAATGCTGATCATCCCCATACAACTCCGTACTACTCATAAACGGATTCGGTCCCCGATCCACCACCAAATCATTCAACACGCTATAACTCTCTGTCGGTTCATGCGTCTCCTCGCCCACTTCGCCTCCGCCGTCGACGCACCTGTTGTGGTGTTGGAGGATGTCGTGGTCGATGTCGCCGGTCGAGAAGAGAGGTTGGTTGGAGGTAGGGTCACGGCGGACGCGCATGACGGTACATTCGAAACGCATGCGGAGGGAGCAGGTTACCCCGTCGTTGAATGCGTTTGTGAGGGTTTCCCGGAATTCTGCGTAATCGAATTTTGTCAAGAACCCCAACGAACCAAGACTGAATGACAACACCGGTGGTACGACACGTTGGAATAACCAGGATGTGAAGAGGACTGTTCCGTCTCCGCCGAGCGTGACGACGAAATCGAAGAGGTGGGGGTGTCTTGCGCAGAGTTCGGGTGTCCAGAATTTTAGGCGGTTGTGATAGGATCCGTTTTCGGCTAGGATTCCGGCTGCGTCGAAGTTGGGTGAGTTTTCGAATTGGTGGTTGACGTAGACGTTTAGGCCCTTTGATTTGCTTGAGGACGAGTGGTTGTGGTTTTGGTGGGGTTGGGAGGAGGACGAGGAGGTGGAGGATGGTTGCACGTGTTGGGAGAGGAGCCAGGTTGCTACGTCCCGGGTTAGTGGGACGAGGGAGTGATCACTGTCCTTCGTGACGATCAGGATGTTCCGTATACGCAGTTTCATGCGAGCTGAGCCTGTGTAGCGATTGTTAGCATCACGATGATCTGTTGATGAAGCAGCGGTACACACCTAGATGTTTCGACAGCTCCCGCACACCCAAAGCTAGTTCAGATAACTCCCTCTTCGATAGCGTGTTTGTCGCATCCGCCGCCTTCATCTTCGGACTCCCCGGTTCACTCGAGCTGAATCCGTTGGCATGTGCTTCCCTCCCACCTCTCTCTACCTCCAAAAGACTGTGCACATACAACGCCGTTCTGTTCAGTTTTGTCGGAAACACTGTATTATGGGATCGAGCTGAACTCCGTCGTCGTGGCCGGCCCGGGATCTGGATACCAGACCCATGCGAGGAAGATAGCGACAGCATCGAGCGGGAGTGGCTAGCACCGTGGTTCTGCGAGGGAGAGGACGAGTGAAGAGGAGGAAGTGGATGCATCTCCAAAATCTCTTCCTCATCTGATTCAGGCTCAGGCTCAGGCTCAGCATTATCCTGCGCAACAGTTTTCGCAGATCCATCCAGCGGCAAGCCTTCCTCAACGACCTCCATCCCACGCGGACTGCTCGCACCCGGCGAACGCGGTGAATTCGATCTCGTCCGTGCGAGTGCTCGTGCGAGGTTGCTCATCCCTCCCTTCTCCAGCGGGGATTTTCCGGTCATTGTTGGATTGCTGATCGAGGAGGTTTTTGGGGAGTACTGTATGGCGGGGTTAGGATCGGGATTTCACCGAGAGAGTCCATTAATCGCTGCGATGACTTAAACGCGCATACAAAAATCCTCAGGGTAACGGAATTCCTATCGATAACGAAAAGATTGCCGTACAACACTGCGAACTCCTCCTCGACAGTTCTAAATTGTTCTGCTCGTGTAACCGGTTGAAGATGGTCAGACAAGCTAGAATTGTACCATGGTCCTCAACAGCCGAGTTTGACCAGGTGAAATCATGGTTTTACCCCTCCACCTCTCCGCAAACCTACGACCACGATCCCCGTCCTCTCGCACTCGCTCGCGTCCGAGCCTGGAGCTTGCGAACACGCTGTCCTCATGCCGTCGAATCAACGGCGCACCTAACTTCCACCCTCCTCCTCCCGCCTCATACACCCTCCCTTACTCTCCGACTCTCGCACAGCATGGCGCTCATTCGTTTTGTCAATGGCTTGTTGGATCCGGCACAACAGGGACAATTCGCGGTCCCGATGCAGATATTGGCGAAGAACCTCGGTTTACCGGCGATGTTTGTGGAGATCAGACATGCCGGAACCCACGACACCCTCCCTTCATTGCCCGTATTGCGAACGGCTGTTGGGAGAGCAATGGAGTGGTTATGGGTCAACTACTGGTCTGTTGCAGAGGGAACCAGAGATGGAGGTGACGCACGGGCACAAGCCGCCGCAGCCCTCGACACCCGCGCAAAAGACCTCCTCCGACGCTGGCGGAAGCTGAGGCAGGAGGATCCCAGTAGGCCATTACGCGTTGGTGACACGACGAAGGAGAATAAGGATGCGCTGGGGTTGGTGAGGGAGTGTACAGAATTCTGTATGTTGCCCGAGAACCTGGCGGCGTTTGTGAGGGGGTTGATGCAGTTGAAGGCGTTGGTGCCGTTGGGGAAGAAGAAGACGATGTTGTTTAAGGATCAGGTTAAGTTGTGGATGCCATTATTACAGAAGCTGGATACGGCACTACCAGAGTTCGCGGCGATGCTTGTTGCGGCGTTGTTGGATACAATCACCGCTTTGCCGAATGGATCTCTGTACAAGCTTGATCCATCGCTGATCTCGTTGACTGCGGTCGTGCCAGAGAAGGAGGAGACGTTGGCGGAGTCAGTAACTGGATACGCCGACGTAATCGTCGTCTGGCTCTCCCACCTCCTCTCCCTAACCTCCGATTTTGGCCCCTCTTCCACCAGCTCGTCCTCATCTGCGGACGACTCCCTCGACCCCACCACAATCGCCCAGAAATGTCTCCTCCACCCCAACGCCTACACCTCCTCCCTCCTCCGCACCCTCCTAAAAGAACACGAAACACTCAAAGAAGATATTGGCGACTTGATGCCATTAGTTGAAGCGTTCCTGAAGGTGAAGCCGAACAATACGAATAAGAGGCGGGGGATTGAGGATGTCGAGAATGAAGTTGAGATGTGGAAGAAGAGGGTGAAGGGGTTGGAGGGGGTTGTTACGGAACAGAGAGGGGAGAGGGGAGGGGGTACGGGACGGGCTGGGAGGTGGAGGAGGTGGGAGGGGGAGTGGGTTGCGAAGCCGATTGGATGGTGTGGACAGTCTTCGATCTCTCTATAATCCCAGAATAATTGAACCTAAGAACATGTTGACTAAAACTTTCGATCTTCCCAGGCTCTCTGCACGCCCTGGTATGCCATGACGTCCCTTCCCCGCGTTCACCTCGGCCGAACAGTTGCTGCACCAAAACCAACCAAACCACCAATCTCAATTGCATGCTCCGATCCATCCGACCATTTATCGCATCTCGTATACCCTCTCTAACCCGCACAATGAAGATCGTCAATATTCCCATGTGGAAGGTACCTCTCCCCTTCCTTCAATCTTCGCAGTGAGAACGGCGAAAACAGCCGAACAGCCGCTGATCGGGGATATAGGGCACTGGTGATAACTACGCTTATTTGGTGATTGACGACAAAACGAAGGACGCTGCGATTGTTGATCCAGCTGAGCCGAAGGCGGTGTTGGCTGTCTTGAAGAAGATGGTCGAGGGTGGTGAGATTAATCTCAAATACCTGGTATGTCCCATTCCACGTTAGTGTCGCATTCGAGCACGTTACTGACTCGTCGATAGATGTACGTGGTTTGCCGGTTTAGCATATTTTCGGATGTGCTAATCGCGTTCTTTGTACAGTAATACCCACCACCACGGCGACCACACCGGCGGTAACAAACAAATCCTTGCGGCATACCCCAACCTTACTGCCTATGGCGGTTTCGACTGTAAACCCATCACGCACATTGTCAGGGATGGTGAGAAGTTGAAGATCGGAGAACTTGATGTAACTGGGTATGTAAAACGGGGTGATGGGTGTGAGCAGCGGCTAATTGAGGAGGAGATAATAGGTTGGCGACACCCTGCCATACACAAGATTCGATCTGTTACTACGTCGAGGACAAGACGACCGGAGAGAAAGCCGTCTTCACGGGTGACACCCTCTTCATCGCCGGCTGTGGTCGATTCTTCGAAGGTCCGCCCCTTCCACATCCCTTCCCCGCCTCCTCTCCCTTTCAACTAAAAGCTAACACCGTAACGCCCCAGGTTCCGCCGCCGAAATGCACAGAGCTCTAGACGCAACCCTCTCCTCCCTCCCGCCCACAACAAAAATCTTCCCCGGCCACGAATACACCGCCTCCAACATCAAATTCGCCGCTTCCATTCTTCCGCATAACCCTGCCATCCAGAAACTCCAGAAGTATTGTGAGGAGAATGAGGTGACGACGGGGAAGTTTACGTTGGAGGAGGATAAGGGGTGGAATGTGTTTAGGATGGTTGGGGAGAGGGAGGTAGGGGAGGCGACGGGGGTGGAGGGGGAAGTGGAGGTTATGAAGAAGCTGAGGGAGATGAAGAATAATTTTAAGTGAGGACTGCACACAGGGCAAATACAAGTGTCAGAGTCGTTTATCTGCTCCATTCGAGCCCTTTAACTTTCCGTCGAGCCACGGGCCGCCTTTGCGTTCCGACGGCGGCGGGCTTGCCGCGGACATCATCGGTGTTGCCATGAAGCTTAAGAGGCAGAGGCAGAGGCAGAGGCAGTGTGTTTGCGAACAATGACAACACTCCAATTACTTCTTCGAGGCCGTTTGAGCGTCGTCCCACAATCCCTACGTATACGTCATGGCATCAGCTCTGCACCCGACGCAGTCCCTGCGACCCGCACCACGTACACCGACGAATGCACCCACAAACTCCAAGAAGAATGGTAAGCTCTTGATCCGTCAGACAAGCCCTAATTAACCCGCCCATGGCCCCCACGACGAGCCCAACCATCATCAACCACCTCAACCCCCCGCCCCAGCACCAAAAAACCCTCAAAAGCTGCCCAACGCCTCTCCCTAACCTCCGACCAAGAATCCGCCATCCATGACGCATTCTCCCTCTTCGATCCAGACAACACCGGGGAGATAGCAACAACCGATGTACGAATGGCGATGCGTGCGCTCGGGTTTGAATTTGAGAATACCCGCGAAGAACTCCAAAGTATCATCCGCACGCTCGATCCTGATAGGGAGGGTGCGGTGGAATGGGAGATTTTTCTAGAAGTAGTGTCCCTAAAACTTCAAACACGGGACATCCACGCCGAAGTGGAGCGCGCGTTCATGCTGTTCGACGATACCGGGAAAGGTGTCATAAGACTCGATGATCTCCGGCGCGTCGCGAGGGAGTTGGGAGAGGAGGGAAAGGTGTCGGATGACGAGTTACGGGATATGCTCGAGATTGCGTCGGGGAGGGGTGATGGAGTGCGCCTGGAGGAGTTCGAGGGGGTGATGAGGAGGGCTGGGGTGTTGTAGCTTATAGACTATAATATTTGATTTGAGGTAACGCCTGCAGTTTTCCGTCCCTGTTATATCTCCTTTCCTAATGTTCCATGCCTACTGGCGCTGCCCATGTCCCTGCACATGCCTCGCAACCTCCTTCCTCCCCGCCTCCGTATTCGCATTAAAGAATATCTGGGGACATCCGCTTGCTGGACACTGCATATACGGCATACCCCCGTTCGAGCCTCCATAACTCACTGCTGGACCTTGGAGTGCTGCGCCCCATGCTGGACTCGATTGGAAGCCTTGGCCGAGGGCGGGGGAGGGGGCGGGGGGATTACTTGGGTTTTGGGGTTGGGCGAAGGAAGAGGGAGCCGGGGGCTTTGGGGGAAAGTCTTGGGAGGGTGGGGGCCAGCGGGGTTGCTGCTGCTGCTGCGGTTGATGATGGACTTGTGGCACATTGTTGTTCGACCACGACATCGCCTTTTGAACGTTTGGTTCTTGAACAGTCGCCGCATCATTCGGCAAGGGCGACGCACTCCAACTCAACCTCATCCCAGGTGGTGGCGGAGCCTGGTATATCGGACTCGGCGGCCGACGTGCAGTGAATAGCGTCTGTGCAGGTCGATGCTGAAGGTGCTGGTTAACTTTACCTGGCGACTGATTCGACTCAGGATGCAATGACGCAGTCGGCGTTGAACGGTTCTCGGATAGAAGCGAGTTGACGGTAACCGGCACGCTGCCCTCCACATTCTCCCCAGACTCAGGCCTATTGTGCAAGAGCTCCGCCGCAAGTGCCGAGACTTTCTCCGCAGTCACAGAATCAACATGATCCAACACCCTCTGTCTCGGGATACTCGCCATAATCGTCGACGTATCCTCGTCATCCTCTACCATCGACACGTTCCCAATCCTCCCATCAAACACCTGGGGCTGCGCATGCGCCTCCGGCTGATGCTGATAATTCTCCATCGTGATGACTTGTCCGCGTCCAGCCAACTGATTAACATCAATACTCTGCCCATTATCCAACACAATCGTCGCAAACTCCCGTGCCCTCGCACCAGATTGCTGTACGGCCGAGTTCCTCGTCAACACATGCGCATCCTTTGCGCCCAAATACCGTTTCTGTTCCGGATCCCATTCACCGAGTGATTGTTTGATTTGCTGCATAAACTGCATATCACGATAAATCGGGCTTCGGCTCCATTCTTTGCTGTCTTTGCGCATGTGGTGGAGGAGGGATTCGACGTGTGCGGAGACGAGGTCATCAGCCATCTCGATGTCCACGCCCCATTCGTCTCGCAGTAGGCAGAGGAGGTGCTCCAACAAGACTGTCGATCGGTTCGAATCGAGACGGTGCTGAAGCAAATCCCAAATCTTCTTCAACTCCCAGAAATCACCACGGATGAGTTCATACTTCGGTCCCTGCGGCACAACCTCCGGCGAAGCCGGCCACACAATCGTCGATCCATTCTCCACATACCGCCTCCCATGGTGGTGCCCACCACCCTCCCGATCCCTCGGCTCATGCTCCCGCCTAACCCTCTTCGGCCACTGTACCAAATTCCCCCTCAAATACAAATTCAACTCCGTCGCCAAGGGTACATAAACAGCCAACTCCGTCTTCTTGTTCCTCTCCAAAATACTCAACAACTCCTGCGCGTGTTTCACCATCAACGCCCTCGCCTCAAGACCTCGAAGTCCAAAGAAGCGTGCGACGGGTTTGACGAGTCCTCCCGCATTCTCCGCATTCCTCCCTTTCTTCCCCCGCGCGAAATGCCCGTCGATAAAGACGAATAGCTCAAACACATTGATCTCAGGCGCCTGAACACGATCATCTTCATCCTCACTAGGCACATAATCCGAACACAACCGCGTCGGGTCAGCAGGCATACGCACAGCCTGCATCATCGTCTCCTCCTCCGCTGGCTCTGACATTAGTCGTTTTCGGGGGTGGGGGTTGGGGTTGGGGTTGGGATTCGGCGTGTGTTTTGGTGCCGCTGTTGTACTCTCACGCCTTACCGCGGCTGATGACCGCCGTCTTTCGGGGGGTGGGGATCGTGACACTGGGTACACACTCTCCGCCACTCTAGCCGGTACTCTTCGCTCCCGTGTACGTCTTGGGCTATCCACGTTCATTGATGCTGGTGACATGTCGGGGTATGGCGACGATCCAGTCTGTACACGTCCTGATTTACGCCGTCCGAATGACTCGTCACTTTTCCCAGGCGTATCGACCGGCACGAGTGATTTCCTGGGTCTCCCTACTGGTCGTTTCACGGGGGTGTCTCCCGGTGTATTCGAAGCAGAAACCGCTCTTGCGCGCTGTGTAGGCGTTGACATCGTCTCTGATTTCCTCGGTCGTCCAGGTCTTCGCTTTGGTGGTGGCATATCCTCAGGCGCGGCTTCCTTCTCGTGTACATCCTTTCCTGCCTCCCGCGCATCTGTCTCGTCTGCTGCTCTCACTGTTTGAGGGGGTATGGTGACTTTTGCCGTCGCTGCCAGGAATGCGGCCTTTCCTGAAGGCATTCCCCTTTTCCGTAGTTTTCCGGTCTTGATATCCCTCGCGAACCGGAGATCGGCTCTGTGCCGCCTTCCCAATTCCTTGAAGAAATCCGTCTTCTCATATTGAAACTCCACATCCCTCGCGATCATCTCAAACATCAAAAACAGATGACACTTGTCAAACACCGCAGCCGCAGCATCCTTAGCCGCAGGATGCGTCGGCGCAAACTGATTCGTCTCTTTCCAATCATCCACAAGTGCCTGACACATATAATCCCACGTAAACTCCAGCAATCCCTGTGGTCGTGGGTCATCCACTCCCCACTCCTCATCCGTCGCGAGCGAATCCAATCTCTTCTCACTAAACCAATCCCACATCGCAGCCTTAATCCTCATCCCTTCATAAATCTCCTCAAACCCCGGCTGAGCACTCTGCAACTCATACCACCCACACCCCCCGAGCACAAACATCCTCGTCGGCCCATCCTCCTTTCCCTCCAGACTGTACTTCGTAACATTCTCAACCGTCACGCGCACCAACGAGTTCGTCTGTATTGGTCGTCCAGTACGGCCGGGACGGAGGTAGGATTTGACGGTTTGCGTCATTTTGAGGTTCCCGGAGACGGTGAAGGGCGCGCGGGCATGAATGTCGAAAAGGTCGATTGGGGAGTCGTTTTTGTGGTGGATTGTGACGGAGGTGAGTCCGAATTGATCCCAGTCGTTTTCGGAGAGTGAGAGATCGCCTGCACGGAGCAAGTCAGCCTCGTTGAAAGAGAGCATTGCTGGAGTTGCGCTGATGATGCGCGGTGGATAGAGGGGGGGGTGTATGCGCCGGATCAGGGTGTACGTCCACGCGTACGGTCTCTATCAGGTTCAAGACAACGCTGCGCAAGCTCTTGCTGTCCGGACAGCGGATGGCCCAGGATGTAAAGACCTGCTGAATGCGACCAGTAAGCTCGAGCTTCTCTTGATAAACTTCTGCTGCGACTGTCGACTTTCGTTGACTTGTAATACGCGGAGACGCGCTCGGGTCGCTTCATGCAAAGTCCGTATGGCCAGGCAGCAGGGTCCCCGACGTCGGTGGACGGACTGTTGGAAGACGATACATGGGAACAGAAAAAGACCAGCTGAGGTGCCACACCTTCCATCAAAACAGTTTGCGACCATTTCAAGCAGCTCCCGCTCGGCTTCGGCTGCCCATGCAAGTATATTGAAGGCTTGCAGGTTGCGTGCTCCGCAAAAATCCCAAAATACACCCATCCTCGTCCATCCTCACAGATTCCCAATGTCCCGACCATCCTCGACGAAGGCCCGGAGACATGTAGCGGGTATCGCTCTTTTACTGGTGGTGGTGGTCATGTGGTGAGTGAATACCCCTCCACTTCGCGAACTTCTAATCTTACTGTTCCTCGCCAGGGTGACATCCTCATTCATCATATCAGCACTCTTCGGATCATCACAAGATCCATCAAAGACATACTTCAAGCCATTTCTGATAACCTATATCAACACCGGGACTTTTGCTTTCTTCCTCATCCCCTTCGCGTTCCGTCGATGGCGGGAACGACGGGCTGCGAAGAAAGCAGGAGCAGCACAGCCAGGCGTTGTATTCTGGGCGCAGACACCGAGTCCAGCGCGGAGTATACATACTGGTGATTTAGAGGCATGGGATGCGGAACAAGAAGAGCGGAGGAGGAGGAAGACGCAGCGTGCTTTGGAAGGAGCCGCAGCGGATCTTGACGTCCAGTCTCGTACACCACTCCTCAGCCGGACGTCCTCCCCCGAACCCGGACCCCTCCATCGCTCCAACTCCTACCAATCATCCCTCACCTCAAAAGCCCCCACCACTTCCGACAAACTCACAATAAAAGAAACGATCCGGTTAGCGTTCACTTTCTCCCTCCTCTGGTTCTTCGCAAACTATTTCGGGAACGCGTCGCTCGCCTACACAACCGTCTCCTCCTTCACCATCATCTCCTCCATGTCCGGATTTTTCACCCTCGCGTTCGGAGCGCTGCTCGGTGTCGAAACCTTCACCTGGCTCAAATTCACCGCACTCTGCGCCTCGATCTTCGGTGTCATCCTCGTCGCAGTATCGGACTCCTCATCCTCCTCCGTCTCCAACCCCGTACCCTCTAAAGGTGGAATCGTCATCTGGGGCGATTGCTTGGCGCTCGCGGGAGCGGGGTTGTATGGTTGCTACACCGTCCTCCTCAAACTCCGCATCAACTCCGAATCCCGAATCTCCATGTCCCTCTTCTTCGGCTTCGTCGGACTCTTCTCCCTATCCCTCCTCGGCCCCCTCCTCCCCCTCCTCTCCTACCTCTCCATCGAGACATTCTCCCTTCCGCCCTCTCGTACCATCGCAGCGGTCGTGGCAGTTAATGCTGGGATCGCGTTCGTGTCGGATTATTTGTGGGCATGGAGTACGCTGTTGACGACGCCGTTGACTGCGACGGTTGGGATTAGTTTGACGATTCCGTTGGCGTTGGGGGGGGAGGTGTGGAGGGGAAGGGAGGTGGGTGGGGGGTATTGGGTTGGGGCGGGGTTGGTGTTTGGCGGGTTTGTGTTGATGAATTGGGAGACTACGAGGGAGGATGGGGAGGTGGAGGTGGGGGGAGGTGAGGTGTGATGTTGCGTGGAGATGGGTTGGAATGGCGGAGTATCTTTGGGGTATCTGATATAAGTAATTCGATGGTCGTGTTGATCACGCCCACTGCAATTCGTTACGATGAAAACTTCTCTGAACGAAGAATTCTGGCGTCATCCTCTATTCTGATCATAAATGCTGTTACCATGCTGTGTACGCACTATCTTACACACGCTAGTTAAACCGTGTCATCGGTTTGATGCAAATGCAATGAATAAAACATCCTCCCAAAACCCTACTCGACTCGCTTATCCACCCCGGCTCCGCCCCACACCCCCCTCCCCCTTCTCAGCCGCAATCTCATCCAACTGCCTAAAATCCTCCTCCGTCAACTCCAACATATCATCAACATACTCCTCCTCCTCAATCTCCCCCGTCTCCGGACTCTTCCTCACAGCCCCAACTGCAATCTTCGGCATAACCTCCTCCAACTCCGGTGTTGGGCTACGCGAAGGCGGTAGGCTCGGCTCTCGAGAGATTGGGCTGCCGTGGAGGGATCCGTTCACGGCGAGTTGATCTGCCATTTCGTTTCCATGGATTCCGACATGCCCGCGCACGTACTCGAATTTAATCTTCCCAACCCCGCGTCTCCGTAGGAGCTCGAGCGCCTTTTTGATGAGATCGACATTCTCAACACCCTTCCCCGTCGCGCCCTTCCAGCCTTTCGCAACCCACCCCCTCCACCACTTCGTCAAACACCCAATCGAATACTGCGAATCCGTCCAAATCCGCACGTTCTCCCCCTTGGAGGTACGTTCGAGCGCACGGATGATTGCGGTGAGTTCGGCGCGGTTATTTGTTTGTGTTGGGCCGGGGAGACGTTCGGTGCAGTTTCGGGGGTCTGCGGGACCGAAGTAGACGCCCACGCCGGCGACGGGGTTGCGTTTCCCGTTACCGAGGCAGGAGCCGTCGGTGTAGACTTCTAGCCATTCGGTTTTGTCTTTTGATTTCGATATTGGTGAGGGTGGGCGTGCTGGTAGTTGTGCTGCGGTACGAGCTTTCTTGAATGGCGTGAGGTCTATCTCGTCCGCCACGCCTCTCTTTATCCCACTCCCAGCCTTGAAAGCAGCGAGACTGTCATCCGGTACCGAGCTCTTCCCCCCTGTCCTCAAAAACTCCCTCGCCGCATCCTCACTCGGAAAACTCTTATACACCGCCCCAGTGTGTCCCTTGACCTCCCTCTCACACGTCGCCCAATCCCTATAAACCCCCGGTGTCCGGCCTCGAACAACCGCATAATACTTGCTCTTTCCTTTCGATCTCGGTTGTGGCATGAGGGTTGATAGGGAGGGGAATGGCGTGGGGGGTAGGCCGCGGGAGACTTCGTGGTAACGGGAGAGAAGCTGGGCTATTGCGCCGGAGCGGACAGCGCGGAGGCTGATGGTATATCTTGACGGCAAGAGAGGTAAGGAGGCTTGTATAGCCTGCACTTGATACCGTACTTGGGGTTTATTCACGATTGCATACGCCGTCGGTAGGACGTGAGGTCTCAAAATGTTTGGGTGGTGTGCCGGGCGTTCCCCGAGGATCGGACGAAGCGGAAGAAGAGAGGTACGCTGAAGTTGTGCTAACTTGGTGAGTATAATAAAAAGGCCTTGAAAGACAAAGGCCTGATGGAGGGATCGGTTGTTCAGCTGTTCAAAACGTTACCTTCCTCTCTCAAATCGTTGATATTTGGTAGAGTCCCCTCCGCTAGGCACCGAGACGTACAGGCTGCCCTCGAGCCCGCAGCTCCCTCGCAACCCCTACACCATCCGCGATCGCAACACAAAATGGCCAAATCCTCAACCCTCACCCTCCCAGAATACATCGACCGCTCCGCCCTCCTCCTCAAAGCGCGCCCACAAACCGTACGCGTCACTCCTCACCGTTTCGCAAAGTTACGGTAACTAATTGTATGTATGGTGATATAGACAAGAATAACCACAACCTACCATGCCTCAGCAAAAGTCAACGACTCACATCTCACCGTAAAAACCTTCGACCCAGTATCTGGAACATGTATCAAATACACCACGGATCGTGCTGCGGAGGTTGGGAGGATCATGAGTGCGTTGGGGAGTTTGGGGCGGTATATGGTGTCGAGTCAAGCACAGGCTCGAGAGGATGAAGGTAGGTAGTGTCGAGAGAGTAGGAATGTGTGGAGGGATGCTAATGTAGGCGGTGATAGATGTCGTGATGGAGGATGCATCGGTGGAGCAGGCGGAGGTCGTACCGCCCGCATCTTCTTCTGCGCCGGGAACGGGGACGGCGACGCCTGTACAGGCAACAACTGACCCAAAACCCAAGGGAAAGAAGAAGAAGGGAAAGCGATGAGCATTGAACGATTGAATCTATGGGAGACGCGACGTACGTCGACGCAAGCAGCGCAAGTAACTGGATGTTGGCAGGACACGAATTGGAGCGCGCAAAAGATACCATGGGAGAGACAGAAAGAAGGATTCTTGACGAAGAGGCTCAGCGGTATACTCGACGGCTATTGACAATTTACATTTCCTTGCTCCCAAGTCTTTTCCTTAGTCCCACGTGATCTCAGAGTTTGCCCTCCACCCCTGCGCGCCCTCCCAAAAAAGTGCCGGGCCTACGAAGCAGCAACCCGTACACCGTCGAGGGAGCAAATCGCGACGACAATGGCAGGACCACCAGGAGACTCTTCCTCCTCCAAGAAGCGCACAATCGACGGCGTCTCCGTCTCGAGGGAGTTATCCGCCCTGCGTGCGGACGAACAGGATTTCCCCCGTGGTGGAGCGAGTGTGTTGACACCCCTCGAGTACAAGGAAGCCACGAACGAAGCTACACGGGACGTCTTGTTCGGGACTTCAGATGCGGCGCCTGAGGCCAAGAGGAGGAAGACACAGAAACCTAAGCCCAACAAGCAGCAAAAGAGCGGAAAGAAAGATGAAGCAGAGACGGAGAAAAAGATTGAGGGACCAAGAATAGAGGGATTGAGTTTCAAGAGGTTGGCGAAGGGTACTGTTGTTTTGGGACAGATTTCGAGCATCAATGCGTTGGATATGGTCGTTGCGCTGCCGAACAATATTTCTGGGTATGTTCCCATTACTGCCGTTTCGCCCAAGTTGTCGGCGAATTTGGATGCGGAGATGAAGAATGCGGAGGATGAGGATGCGGAGGATGGAGATGTCGAGGGTGCGGATTTGAAGGATTTGTTTAGGGTTGGGGAGTGGGTTCGGGTGTATGTCACCGAGAACACGACGGGATCGGTGGAGAAGAAGCTTAAGAAGAGGGTTGAGTTCTCTCTCTTCCCGGAACTCGTTAATGGTGGACTCACGTTGGACGATTGCGCTAATACCGTCGTGCTTCAAGCTGCTGTGTTGTCGGTTGAGGATCACGGACTTGTCGTGGATGTCGGGATCAATGGTATCACTGGTTTCGTGGCAAAGAAGGATGTTGGAACACTCGAGTTTGCGAAGATTAGGGAAGGTCAGGTTTTCCTTACCTCCGTAACTGGTATCCCTGCCTCCCGCCGAATCGTCCAACTCACCGCCGATATCACATCGAAGAAAGCTTCCGTCCCTCTACAGGAAATCTCGTCAATTGACCAACTCCTCCCTGGAACGACCGTCAACGGACTCGTTACCGCCGTCCGTGGTACACAAGGTCTCGTGGCGAAGTTGTATGGGTTGGTCGATGGAACGGTCGACATCTTCCACCTCGACGCAAACTCAAACAAGAAATACAAGGAGGGCGACACGATCCGCGCCCGTGTCATCTCCACCTTCCCTGGCTCCGAACCCCGGAAAGTCGCGTTGTCTCTCCTCCACCACGTGCTCGAGCTCAACACTGCCTCTATCCGCCAAGGCAAGGCTCGTCAGGATCCGCTTGAGGCTTTGCCGATTGGAACTATTGTGGAGGCGGCGAAGGTGAAGAAGGTTGAGGCTACGCAGGGGTTGTGGTTGGATATGGGCGTTTCTGGAATCCAGGGATTCTGCCACATCTCGCGTGTAGCGGATAAGAAGATCGAGACGCTTTCTGCTTCTACTGGAGCTTACAAACTCGATTCTGTCCATCGTGCGCGTATTGTTGGTTGGGCGCCTGTTGATGGGTATTACATCGTCTCCATGGAGGAGAAGGTCCTTGAGCAGAAGATCTTGAGGGTGGAGGATGTGAGGGTTGGTGAGGTCATTAAGGTTGAGGTTAGGAAGATTATTGGGGCTGGTATTGTTGTTGAGATCACGGATAGTGTTACGGGGTTGGTTCCGACGATTCACATGGCCGATACTGCCCTCCAGAACCCGGAGAGGAAGTTCAGGGAGGGAATGTCCGTCGACGCAAAGGTCGTTTTTACTGATCCTTCCAAGAGACGTGTGGCCTTGACCCTGAAGAAGAGTTTGTTGAACTCTGATTTGCCGCTCATCCAATCTTTCGAGAGCGTTGAGGTCGGACAGAATGCCGTTGGTACCCTTGTGACGTTGTTGGATAATGGTGCGTTGGTTGAGTTCTTTGGTGGTGTCAAAGCGTTCTTGCCGGTTGCGGAGATGAGTGAGGCATACATCTCTAACCCCCGTGATCACTTCCGTGTTGGACAGACCGTTAGCGTTTGGGTCCAGTCCGTCGATGCCGAGAACGAGAAGATGCGTGTTTCGTGCAAGAATCCTGCGGCTTGGTCGCAGGGCCAGTCCCAGAAGTTCGATGCGGTCGAGGTTGGTGGTGTCGTTTCTGCTACCGTCGCTGATAAGCCTGAGGACCAGATCATTGTTTCTGTGTTGCCGGATATGATTAAGGGTATTATCTCCTTGCCGCAGTTGAGCGATGAGGATTCTACGAAGGCGAAGGCTGTTCACACCAAGTTGCGCGTCGGACAGACATTGAAGGAGCTCGTTGTTATCTCCAAGAACGAGAGGAGCAAGCTTCTTGTTTTGTCGAACAAGCAGTCCTTGATTAAGGCCGCTAAGGCTGGCAAGTTCCTCAAGAGTCTTGAGGGTGTCAATGTCGGTGACAAGGTCGTTGGATACGTCAAGAATGTTACTGACTTTGGTGTCTTTGTTGGTTTTGCGGGTAATCTTGTCGGGTTGGCGTTGAAGGCGCATTTGTCTGAGCAGTACGTTCCTTCCGTTCAGGCTCTTTTCAGCCAGGGACAGAGCGTTACTGCGACAGTAGCCGATGTCAACCGCGAGGAGAACAGGTTGCAGTTGACTTTCAGGGAGTTGAAGACTGTCGAGGACAAGCCCAAGGAGAAGAAGGAGAAGAAGGTTGCGCCGGAGGGTAAGACGCTCGCTGCTAAGCCTATCGACCAGAACGTCACCTGCGTTGAGGACTACCAACCCGGGTTCATCACTAAGGCTAAGATCTCTTCAATCAAGGAGTCTCAGATCAATGTTGAGCTCGCTAGCAATGTTCATGGACGCATTGATGCTTCTCAGATTTATGACTCGTACAAGGATGTCAAAAACAAGAAGAACCCCCTCAAGGCCTTCAACGTTCACCAGATCATCGACGTTAAGGTCCTTGGATGGCACGACGCGAAGAACCACCGCTTTTTGGCTATTACTCACAAGAAGAGCAACAAGGGTCCCACTGTCTTGGAGTTGACCATGAAGCCTTCCGAGTTGAAGAAGGCTGAGGTCAACATCCCGGGATATGCGGATATTAAGGTTGGTGAGAAGTACACCGTTTTCGTCAACAATGTTGCCGCTTACGGTTTGTTCGTTACTCTCAACCCCAACGTCCGTGGTCGTGTCAACATCCTCGATGCCTCCGACAATGTGGACGAGATTCAGAACCTTGCTGAGCACTACCCTGTCGGTGCCGCTCTTGAGGTCAAGGCTGTCAGCAAGGACGACAAGAACAACTTTGTAAACTTCTCTGCCCGCGCCTTGAAGAACCCTATCACCAACTACGAGTCTCTCAGCGTTGGCGCTATCATCCCCGCTCGTGTCACCAAGATTACTGAGCAGGGTTTGATTGTCCAGTTGAGCGATGAGTTGATTGGTCGTGTCTACCTTACCGATATTGCTGACGAGTACTCTGCTGAGCCTACCAAGGGCTTCGAGAAGGACCAGATTGTCCGTGTCTGTGTCGTTGAGGTGGATGTTTCCAATAAGCGCATTGCCTGTTCCACCAGGGTGTCCAGGACTCTCTCTTCCTCTGCCGCCAAGGTCGATGCTGAGATCAACACCGTCAGTGACCTCACGAAGGACTCTGTCGTCCGTGGTTACGTCAGGAACGTTGCCGACAACGGTTTGTACGTTTCGCTTGGTCGCAATGTTGTCGCTCGTGTCAAGATTGCCGAGTTGTTCGATGAGTACGTCAAGGACTGGAAGCCCAAGTTCAAGAAGGACCAGCTCGTTGAGGGTCGCATCGCTTCCGTTGACAAGGAGCACAGCAGGGTGGAGATGTCTTTGAAGAAGAAGGCCGTCTCTGAGACCAGGTCTGAGGGAATCAAATTGACTGACCTTGAGGCTGGCCAGATCGTTGATGGTCTCGTCACCAAGGTTGTTGACTATGGTCTCTTCATTCGCGTTCAGGACTCTTCTGTCTCGGGTCTCTGCCACATTGCCGAGGTCTCCGACACTAAGATTAAGGACTTGAGCAAGGTTTACTCTGAGGGTGACCTCGTCAAGGCTAAGATCTTGAAGATCGACACCGACAAGCGTCGTGTTTCCTTCGGTCTCAAGTCTTCTTACTTTGAGGATGCTGAGGAGGACGATGAGGAGGACGACAGTTCCGAGGAGGAAGGTTCTGAAGACGATGAGGAGATGGAGATCGAAGGCCTTGAGTCTGGCGAGGAGGACGAGGATGAAGATGATGATGAGGACATGGAGGGCTTCGAGTTTGAGGATGAAGATGCCGACGAGGGCAGCGATGATGATGAGCAGGAGGGTGACTTCGTTGAAGAGAATGACGTCGAGGACGAGGAGATGTCTGATGCCTCTGACGAGGAAAATGACGAGTCTTCAGAGAAGGCGCCTGCTCTGTCCGTTGGTGGTTTCGACTGGTCTGGCGATGTCATGGCTTCCCTGCAGGGTGGTGCCGAGTCTTCTGACTCAGAGAGTGAAGATGAGGATGATAACACCAGCAAGAAGAAGAAGAAGTCAAAGAAGTCTGCCGTTAAGATCGACAAGACCGCCGACCTTGACAAGCAGGCTCCTCAAACTTCTTCTGACTACGAGCGTTTGCTCATCGGTTCGCCAGACTCCTCTTTCCTCTGGATCAACTACATGGCTTTCCAGCTCCAGCTTTCTGAGATCGAGAAAGCGCGTGAGATTGGAGAGCGTGCGTTGAAGAGCATCAACTACCGCGAAGAGCAGGAGAAGCTCAACGTCTGGGTTGCTATGATGAACTTGGAGAACACCTTCGGTTCTGAAGAGACTCTGGAAGATGTCTTTAAGCGCGCTTGCCAGTACAACGAGCCTAAAAAGGTGTACGGTCACCTCTGCGATATCCTTGGCCGTTCTCAGAAGATCGCGGCTGCGAAGGAGCTTCACCAGAAGACTGTCAAGAAGTTCTCCCAGTCCAGCAAGGTCTGGAGCAACTTTGCTCAGTTCCTGGTCGACAACAGCAGCATCGAGGATGCTCGTGCTCTTTTGCCGCGTGCTCTTCAGAGTTTGCCTAAGCGCAAGCACATCAAGACTATTCTCCGTTTTGCGCAGATGGAGTTCAAGTCTGGTGATGCCGAGCGTGGACGCACGATTTTCGAGGGTCTTCTTAGCTCATACCCCAAGCGTCTTGATCTGTGGAACATCCTCCTTGATCTCGAGACTACCCATGGTGAGACCGATGCCGTCAGGCGTCTCTTCAACCGTGTCTTGGCTCTCAAGTTATCGAGCAAGAAGGCCAAGTTCATCTTCAAGAAGTGGCTTGGTTTCGAGAAGGAGCATGGTGACGATGTGAGTGTCACCGAGGTGAAGGAGAGAGCTGCTGAGTGGGTCGCACAAAACGTCAAGGGTGACGAGTAAACTTCTGCGGATACCATGGTATACATTCTTTAGCATTTTTGGGTTTTTTTTTTACTGGACATCATTTCGCTTTTAAGCTTTCTTATAGAAACAAATGGGTTATTTTATTCATATGATCGAGTTCACTCCCACGATTCTCACATACGTGCAGTCACATTTCAGAGTGTCAAACCAAGGAGAAGAAAGGCAAACGTAACCGTGATGATTAAATCGGAGCAGAATACACGTCCGCGTATTGATCATACTTCAATTGATGCTTCAAATTCATTCCAGTCTTCCAGTTCTCAAGACTACATACACAACCTAATCCACCTCCCTTCAAAGAAGCCTATGCAACCTCTCAAACAAACAAGTGCTTCTGAGCCCTCGGGCTCGTGGGCTTAGCCTGTTCCCCAGACACAACTGGTGCCTCAGACGCAACCGCCGGAACCTCAGGCGCAGCAGCAGCACCATCAGCAACGTCCCCAACCTTCGCAGCCCCAGGATTCACATTCAGCATCCCCCCGCTATCTTGCGCCTCCCGCCACTTCCTACAAGCCCCCACCACTGCCTCCTCCCACTTATCCAACGCCTCATCCCCCCACTTCTTCCCTTCGCCGTTCTTCCCATCAAACCACTCCCATGGAATCGCGTCCGAGCTATCAAAGGGGCCTTGTCGGGATCGGTGGAGTTGGACGACGTGGCCTGCGGAGCCGAGGGCGAGGGAGAGGTCGTGGGCGATTGTGCGGACGTAGGTTCCGCCGGAGCAGGACATGTGGATTTGGAAGCAGGGTGCTGAGGAGGGCTTTTTTGGCGCGGGGGTCTCCTCTGAGGTAGTAGCGGTCTCCGAGGCAGCAGCAGCAGGTTCCCCGGCGTCGTCTTTCTGCTTCTTTGCGGAGGGCTCGTCGGTCGTTTCGGACTCCTCGAGTGTTCTCTTCTCACCGGCAGTCTCATTGACACTCTCCGCAGCCGCCACAGCAGCAGGAGATGCCGCTCTCTCCTCAGACTCTTTGACCAACTGCTCCACCCTCTTAGCCTGCTTCTTCGTCTCCTCGTCCGCCTCCTCCGGCTCACAATACTCATGCTCCCCCCCATTCTTCCACCCACTCCATTCCAACTTAAAGATCGTAACCGGTCTAGCCTCAATCGGCCTCGGCAACGGGATACCATAACGGGCATACTCATACAATTTCTTCCCGTCGACTTTACATGCGGAGTAGATGGGCGGTTTTTGCAGGATTGGACCACGGAATTTGGCGAGGGCTTCGTCGATCATTTCGGGGGTGATGTGTTCCCAAGGGGCGCGGGTCACGATTTTTCCTTGGGAGTCGTAGGTGTCTGTTGCGGAGCCGAGGAGGACGGTAGCGGTGTAATCCTTGGAACAGTTGAGCATACTCGAGAGTTCCTTTGTACCATCGTTGACACCGAGGACCATGATTCCACTCGCCAATGGATCGAGGGTTCCACCGTGTCCGAGCTTCGCGTATGAGGTCTTCTTGCTCCTACGTTTGCCTCCTGGCCATTCTTTCGCGAAGTTGGGGCTTTTGGATAGGAGGTATTTGACCCTGTTCGTGATGGAAGCTGACGTGAGATGTCCACTAGGCTTGTTCACGGCGAACAGCCCGGAGATATAGTTTTGATCTCCCTTGTTCTCCATTTCTTGACTTTCGTGATATCGCTTGCGTACGTGGAGATCCTGATATTCAGCCGGAGTGCGCGAGTAATAATCCCGGTTCTCCAAACCGTTATTGCGTGGATAGGATGTCTGGCTCTCTGATTCCTGGGTGTTTCGTAGCCCTTTGAACGCACGGGATAGGAAACCGACTCTTTCTTGGGTGACAGGGGGTTTTTCAAAGATCTTTTCTCCGAGTTCCTTGAATGCTGCACTGTTTCCAATCCTAATCGGCATGTGCCCAACAGCTGCTTCCAACGGTTAACAAGTTTGGAGTTTTGCTCATTCGAGGTGTAGGTGTAAATATTTCTGCAACGGCCTGCGTTTGGCTGTACGGACCGCCGCCGTATACGGTACGACGACCTGTAACGTAGACGTACACCAAACACCAACAATGACCGATTCACCAACCGGATCCTTTTGTAAAGACGTGAGCCTCGCCACGCGCTGTATGGCTCCCCCTCTAAGCCCCATCATTTTCACCCCTCTAACCCTCTACCCACAGCCGCCCACACCGCCTCCAACCGCATCGCAAACCTCAAACTCTTCTTCGCCCTCCGCGACGCAACCCTCTTCCGCGAATTTCTTTTATCATTCTACTTCCTCTACGAAGCCTTCGAGTCGGAATGGAAGGCACAGATGGGGACGGATACGCGGATGGGTCGGATCTTGAGGGAAGCGTGGACGCCGGAGTTGGAGAGGAGTGGGAGGTTAAGACGCGATTTGGAGTTTTATTATGATCATGACGATAGTATTTGGGGACGACTGACGAAGGAGAGGAGGGAGTATGTTGAGTATGTGCATGAGAGGTTGAGGGAGAACCCACATTTGGTGTTGGCGTATGCGCATACGCAGTACCTCGGGCTTTTTGCGGGTGGACGGATTGTGAGGAGTAAGTTGATGAAGAGTATTGGGTTTTTCCCGAAGAAGGAGGGGGTTAGTGAGGAGAAAGTTGGACGAGAGGGAATGGGAATTTTCACCTTTGACGGCATCAACGACATCGCGTCCGAGAATAACCTCCGACATAACTTCAAATCCAAAATCGACCGGATCGCGGCGGATGAACTCACCCCAACCGAACGAGAAGAAATCATCGAGGTACGTCTTTTGTGTCGCGCCGTGTAGGTTACGTTTGCTGATGACATTTACCCACAGGAAGCAAAAGAAATCTTCCGCCGAAACGGGAAGTTGATGCAAGAAATCGAGATTAGGGGGGAGACGACGAGGATGATTATGCAGAGTGCGACGAATTATGCGGCGATGCTGTTTGCGGTTATTGCGGTGCCGTATATTTCGTATTTGTTCTTGGTGTATATTTGGTCGAAGCACTGAAGGATTGCTCCGGCCATGCATATGGGAACGTGAATCACAGTTGATCTCATTTCTAGAATCTTGTTTCTCGTTCCTTTGAACTTCCCATGTACAGCTGGCCATTTCGTCCGATATTTCCACGGGTCGTTCGTGTAACGGATGGAGTAGTAAGAAGTGATTGTTATTCGAATGAAGAAAATAAAGCTACCAAACCTTTAAACATTGTCAATCACACTCGCAAACGCGTCCATGGCAGGAGGATCACCTACTATGAGGTGGAATGGGAGAGTGAAGAAGGCAAGCCTGATTCGTCATGGGAGATTTGGAAAAGGCTGCGCAAGTGTGCTGAGGCAAAACACTTGTACAGGATCGGCAACAGGTTTTGAAGAACCTACCCCCTTTCTTTCTGTTGGTACGAGTTTTTTATTGCAGTTAGTACCGTTTAGAGGGGGGAGAGTGTAGAACGGCTCCGTTGGGGAACGGCTCCCTAGAAGCCGTTACAGAACTTTACTATATAAAGGGGAGGTTTGGTAGCTTTATTTTCTTCATTCGAATAACAATCACTTCTTACTACTCCATCCGTTACAGTTCGGGTACGTCACATGCGCGCTTACTAACATCCGGTCCCCCCGCGATGCCGGTGCACCTCTCCACCAATTCCCTTGATCCCCCTTCACCTCCATCGGATTCCATAACAAGGTGTCGTCGGTTTCTGCATCTATCTTTGAATCAATCGCTGACTTCCTTCGACACAGATGTCCTTCGCAATCCTCCCCGTCCTCGAGCCCAAGGAAGGCCAGGCCCAAGTCCTCGCCGACCTAATCAAGAACATCACCTCCGGCGCCTCCATCAACGAAACCGGCTGCAAGACCTACTACTTCTTCATCCCCGAAACCGCCTCTTCCATCTCCTCCACCCCCACAATCCACGGCATCGAAGTCTACACCTCCCAGGACGCCCTAACCGGGGAACACCTCCAATCCCCCCAATTCGGGGAACTGGGCAAGTGGCTCCAGGCTGGGAATTGTGCGAATTCTCCGGATTTGGGTGGGTATAATGTGGAGTTTGGGTTTATTGATCGTACCCCGCCCAAGGAGAGTGATTTCGTCTTTGTCGCGACATTGATCTGCAAACCCGGTCAACGCGCCGCTGTGCTCGACAAATGGCGCACATGCGCCCCCTGGGTTTGGGAGAACGAGCCGGACACGTATTCCTACCTCTTCATGACCTCCATGGAAGACGAGAACAAGATCGTTATTTTCGAGAGGTATAAGAATAAGGAGGCGTTGACGGAGACGCATTATGGGGGACCTAAGTTCCAGGAGGTACAGCCGTTCATGAAGGAGAATGTTGCGGAGAAGAAGACGGAGAATTTCAAGTGGGCTGGGTTTGGGTTTATCTCTAAGGACAAGCTTCAGTAGATGCATGGGGAGTATGGAACATGTAAGATATTGATATCCTTTCGTTGGAGGTGTAGCGAAACATGATATTCCTCCGCCCATGTTATCACACCGTGGTCCAGCCAATGCTCCAAGAGACCCGAAAGATCACACTCCCCCTCCCTCACTCCTTCCCCAACCCCTCAACCAACCCCCCAACATCCGGCACAACAACAACCTTCCTCCCAACCCCCCCCAAACTCCAACACTTCCGTTCCCCAGCGACATCCATCGCGACAACATCCTGCAAAAACCCGACATCCGAGCCGACTGTTACGTCGAATGCGATTCCGCCCCAGGAGAGTGTCGTGCGGCCGGAGCGGTGGATGCGGAGGTGGCCGGCTAGGCCGGGGGGTGGGGGGAAGGCGGAGGTTGGGGGACGGCGACGCTTTTGGTCTGGTGCGGGTTTTGATGGCGGTGTGGGTTTGGCGGGTGGTTTGGTGTCTTCGGGTTTCACGTCGCCGGTACCTTCTCCCTCCATCACCGGTACTGCTGCCTCACCCCCCGCCGCTGCCGCAGGCGCAGAAGTAGGAGTAGGTTCAGGTTTGACCTCAGACGGAGCAGGCCTCTCAAACCTCGGCAACACACTCGGAAACTGAAACAAAAACAACTTATCCTCCGCTCCTGCCCCCCCTGCGCCCCCTCCTATCCCACCCTCCTCGCCGCCTCCAAAATCGAGCGCGAGGGCCCTGAAATCATCGACAATTCGTGTTGCTTCTTCGCGTTCTTCGGTACTTGCACCGGGAGGGAAGTGCGGGTCGCGTTTTAGTTGTTTGCGGACGGAGGTTGGGGAGAGGGAGGTTTTGCGGGTGATGGCACGGTCGTGGGGGGGTGGGGAGGAGGAGGGGGGTTCGGGTTTGAAGAGTGGGTTGGGGTTGGTGTCGGGCATTGCGTCGTCGTCGTCGTCGTCTTCGTCTTCGTCGTCTTCGATTTTGATTGTTCTGCCGCGACCTTTTCCTTTTGCGTTCGAGTTCGAGTTCGAGTTTGAGTTTGAGTTTGAGTTTGATTTCGGTTTCGTGTGCGTGTGTGCTTTTTCGACTTTTACACCTAGGTCTTTGTCGAGGACTGCTTTTTTCTCTTTTCTCCTGATTCTGTCTGAGGTGACTGGTGCGAGATCATCGAGTGTGCCATCCGCCATGCGTCCCACGTATTTCATCTCTACCTTCCCTCCTTCGCCTCCTCCCTCGCCGTCGTCGTCGCCTGAACTGTACTCCTCACCATCGCTATCCTCGTCTTTCCGCTTTCGCCGTTCGCGGAACTTTGGTTGAGAGGGAGTGAAACCAGAGAACTCGGACCCGAGGTTCGCGAATTGTTGTGTCGAGCGTGCACGAGCTGCCATCGCCGCTGGACCCTGAGCAAGAGGTCCACTCGCAACAAGCGGCGCCTCGAATCGTCCTCGACCGCGGCCTCTACCTCTCGAGCCGAATCCGAAGCCACCGCGGGACGATTCACCTTCAGTTCTGAGGGATGACTCGGAGAGGGATGAGGTTCCTTCTTTTTGTCGACGTGCGACGAATTTGGGGGTGAATTTCAGTTTTGGGCCAGCTGTGCTTGAGGTCCCGCTCGCGTTTGAGGGTGCTGGGTTGGGAGCACTGGGACGTCCTACACCGCGTCCACGACTCGCTCCACCCCTTCCAACGAGACTCGCTAATCGTCCTTCTCTTGGAGCGTCTGGATCGGTCATTATGGATTGTTTGTGGTGTTGCTCTCTTCACCTCGTATACGACGACTCGAAATATACGGGGAATTTGTGCCTGCCCTTGCCCTCACAGCAGAATCCGAGTACGAACGAACATTTACGACTCCAACAAGAACAAGATCCAACGATGTTCGGGGCATTCAGACCATCACAGCCCGTATTCGGAGGTCTCCTCTGGTTTGGATCACTCGGGATTACTGACGTGGATCGCATGTTCTGACTCTTGCACACAGGAAAATCCCCTACCGCCTCTCCTCCCCCCGAAAATTCCGCCAAAGAAAACGTCTCCAAGCCGTCGACGCCGTAATCAACACCCTCTCCAAAGCCCTCGCCTCCACAAACGAAACCTGCCACGCCCTCGAGAAGGTAAAAAAGGAGTTGATTCCCGAGAGTGAGATGTTGCCGAGGGATAAGTACTGGGTGTTCTCGAAGAAGCATGAGAATTTCACGAAGGGTGTGCATAAGGTGCCGAAGTGGACGAGGATTTCGCATCCTAGGGAGAGGCCTTATGGTTTCTAGGCGGGAGTGGTCATGGAGGAAGAGGAGGACGAGGGGAAGGAAGGCAAGGTCGCCGCATGGAAAGGCACTTGCAAAAGCAATACAATTCACGTTATCCGATTCATACCCAATCTTGGCACGCGCAAACAGTAACGATAATATCCAATTCCAATTCGCTAGCGACACTGATCCAATATTGGTATCTTTTACCCGCTAAAGCATACGAAAAAGACACCCACATACATATAACCCATTCACTCAAACACTCACATATCTTATCAAACCGCCCTCATTCCTCTGTCACTTCACGAACTTCTCCTACCTTTAGCCCCCTTCTTCCCACCCCCACCCCCACACTCATCCTCACTCACACACTCCGCCCCCGCATCCCTACACCTCCCGCATGGCCTTTGGCGATCACATCCCTTCTTGCTCTTCCTACACCTGACACAACGTCCAGCTGTTCCCAACACTGGCGTGGCTCCTGGCTTCAAACTGCGCTTCGTCGGAACGGGGACTGGAAGTGAGGCGCTGGCGGCGGGGACAGTTGAGGCGAGGGTCGAGGTCGTGGGGAAGGGAGTCGTGGTGGACGTAGCGAGGGATGCCGTAGATGTCTTATGCGACACCACGGGGCGGGACGAAGTGCTGCTTTGAGCCCGAGGGCGAGAGGTGGAGGATTTACGCCGGCGTTGGCGGTTGTGGGAGTCTTGGTAGACTGAGCCATCACTCGAGATGTCGTCGCTGTCGGGTGAGTCGCTCCTTGCGCGTTTGTGTTTTCCCCATAACGGCGCCGGCTTCTGGTTGTAAGAGTAGGGGTGGTAGTGGTGCGAGGTGGAGGTGAATTTGTGATCCGGTGTCGTGGGTGGGTTATCGGCGCTATACAGCTGCTGCTGCTGGCTCTGGCTCTGGCTCTGGCTCTGGCTCGGACGATGGTACGCACCGGCGCTCCCCCTGCTGCGCTCACTCTCAACCTTCGCGGGCACTTCATCGTCGCCATCATCATCATCATCATCATCGTCCTCGTCTTCTTCCTCACACTCACTCTTCTCATCCTCATCCTCATCAAACGACGGCAAAATCTCATCAAGGGTCTTATACCTCCGACTCCTCGGCGGCGGAATCGGCGACGAACTCGACCTCGCACCACCACCTCCACCTCCACTACTCACATGGTTTTGACTCTGACTTTGGCTCTGATCCGCGAAACGGGGTAAGAGTGATTCACCTCCATCATCTTCCTCCTCAGCCTCCGAATCCGAAATCGAGATCAACGCTCTCCCACTCGAGATACCCAATACACCACCCTCCCCCGAACGCCCATGTCCATGCTTGATAGGACTATGCGCATTCGCTTCACCCAGACGCATGAGTTGCATCGCCACATCCTCGTCGCTGATCGTGCTCGCCGTCGTCGGTGCAGGGGTCGGTAACCCCATTGCCAGTGCTGCGGCGAATGGGTGGCCATGGGGCTGTTTTCCGGTTGAGATTGTTGTGGAGGAGGAGGGGTGGGTGAAGTTGTACCCGGGGTGGGTGGAGAGTGGGGTTGCGAACATGCCTTGTCCGTGGGGGCCACCACCGCTGACTCGTGAGGTCGGGTTGTAGTTCTGGTATGAACGTGCCGAGGAGGTCGTCGTTGTACTGCTATTATCATACGACCTCACCGACGGACGCGGAAGGAGGGGAAGTTGCTGTACCACCCATTATCGTTAGCTCTCATCTGGTAGAGTAGCACGAGACATCTCACCTCAGAAGAAAACTTATTCCGCTTCCTCCTACCCCCCTCAACAATATTCTCCAAACTAATATCCGCACTCCCCCTCCAATCCGTCCTCATCATCCCCACGACCCCACCAAAAACAACAACCCTAACAACCCCCCCATCCCTCATCACACTCGGCTCAAGAACGAGGTTCGAGCCCGTCCTCGCTTCGACAAATGCGACACGAGCGTCGTGTTCGATTCCGAAGTAGTCTTTTATTGTTGATGCGATTGCGGCTGCACGGTCGTGGGGGAGGATTGAGAGTGTTAGGGTCGTTGCGCGGTGGGCTGCGGGGTCGGTGGCCATGGGGATGGGTTGGACGAGTTCGAAGGTTACGGTTTTTGTGGTGTCGTGGGTGGAGGGGGGGTGTGTGGGTGAACGCATTGGGGTACCCATCCCCATTCCCATGCCCATCGCACCAGGCGATAACATACCCAAACTCGACGATGCGTTGTTGGCGTTACCATGGCCATACCCCGCCGCCCCCGAAATAGGCGGTAACTGCAACCCCCTCGGCCCACTCGACATCGCCGGACGGCATTGCTGCGCAGGGCGACGAAACGAATGCGTATTCTCAGGCGAAAACGAGAAAGGGCCCTCGCCCACGCATTCCCCCTGCGCTTGCGTGGAGGTATGCGTCGTCGTCCGCAAGGATCGATGATGACCCCGAGTCGAGGAGCGAGAGGTAGGGCGGGAAAGGGGGGTAGATACGAGAAGGGATTGGAGATCCAGTTTTGCTGATTGTGTCTCGAAAAAGGTGGTTGTGTTGGTTACTGATTGATTGACGAGACACTTCGCAGCCGTAGTCGTAGTCGTAGTCGTGTTCGTCGTCGGCTTGTAGTGTAGTGAGGAAGGGAGACGGACGACGAAAGGGTTGTTGGTGCGGCGATAGTGAAGCGAGAGATGTTGCGCAACGAAACCGTACCGCTAAAAGAACCCTTCTTCGAGTTTTCGATATCGTACGCCCTTGGTCACAGACAACAATGACAACAGGAGAGTCGTCGAAGTCGTGCGGGCGTAATTGGAAATTGATCCTCGGGTATGCAGACACTGTTTGCGCTCTATCTACTCGTGAACAGAGGCGGTACTGCTCAGGGTATACTCTGGACGCTTCCGGTTGGTTGGTCGGTCGGTCGGGAGTGTGAGGTGGTGTTGGTGTTGTTGAGGCTGCGGTACTTAAAGGGAAGCACGGTGCAACTGGGCATATGCAGCACCGCCGAGGTTGGGTGGGTAATCTCCACGGAACGGGAAACTCGTATGAGAAATAAGTACATCCTTAAAACACCTATCTACCACTTTTCTAACCATACAGCTGCTGGAGGAGGACATGGGGGGGCCTCGGGAGTGCATTCGACATGATTACGCATATATATATGTACATGTGCAAAGCCGCGGCGGCACATGCGAATCGATCGCGGTACACATCCTTATTTGGAGAGTTTGGATGCGAGTAAGACTTTTGGCACTCTCGTATGAGCCGACGGGTTGAGATTTGGTATCAACTGCGTACAATACAAAAAGCATTCACCCGAGCCGGTCGCGGTTTGTGCATACTGCTGCGCAAGATGCGACACCCGAAAAGCCCGGCACGTTTTACGCAGACATCGATTCTCATCCTTGTACTCCTTTCGTGTTTTAAAGTTTAACCAATCCCTCTTATATCTCCAATTAAAGTCACTCGGTTACTACAGAGTCTCCTGCTGCTCTTTCGAAGCGGGAGAGACGGGCATATGTATGTGCACCGCCACGTGTTGACATCTAGCCGCGCAAGATTAAAACTTTATCTGGGGGTGACGTATGGGATGCATGCCCGACCTTGGCATCGCGTCGAAGGAGATTGTGAGAGTGATAAGCCGTGAAGGAGAAGATTTCAAGCGTGATGATCATTCTGATGAGGTGTCATTGTCTGAGTTCCGGAGTGCCGAGACGACGCCACAAAATGACGGAAAAAATGGAGCCATGGGGGATCGAACCCCAGATCTTCCGCATGCAAAGCGGACGCCTTACCACTAGGCCATAGCCCCTACTGATGAAATCTCATCACAAGAAAACATTATCAGGTTTTCCATCAACGGTGCGTGGGATCCATCGAGGTGACATTCACAGTCCCGACCAACGCCAGGTTTCGAGGTTCATTGCTCGTTGTTGAGTGTGTGTATTCTCATGACTCTCACTGCACAACATTTGGGAATTGAACACAGTAGCAAAGAATAAAAAGAAAGAGAAAGCTCCTATTCTTTCTATCATATTGTATAATCACCATGTAGGTACTTCAGCTGTAAGCACCCTCCCACGCTCGCTCAGTGCTCACGCCTTACATAACAACAGCAACACCCACAACAACCGCCGCCGCCAACACACCCGCACCCGCACCCGCACCCAACATCTTCATCGCTCCACTCGTCGTCGTCTCCGAGCTAGATCCCCCACTCGCCGTACTCGTAGCACTAGCGGTCCCGCTCGACGACGAAGCCCCAGACCTCGTCGCCGTCGCAGTCCTCGACGCAGTAGCAACACTACTCGCCACAGCCAACTCCACCGCCCCCTCCGGATCCTCACTCAACCTCACCAACGCTTTCTGCTGCACCTCACCCCCATCAACCCCAACGATCCTCAACGTCGTCTCGGTGTCCATATCCGTGATCACGGGTCGTCCGCGCCAGATGTTTAGGTCGGTGGGGATGCCGTCCGCGATGAGGTCTGGGACGTTATCGACTGCGGCTGGGAGGGAGGTGGTGCCGTTGATGTTGGTGTAGGCGCCGGCGTCGGGGCAAGTAGGACCGGTGGCGTAGGCGTTTGAGGAGCCGCCGGAGCGGGTGAGGGCGGGGCCAGGGACGGCGGTGGGGACTGCTGCGTATCGGGTACGGAGGGCTTCGTAGTCCGGGAGTAGCGTGAGAGATTCATCATCGTGATCGATCTCGACGATACCGTACCCATTCTCCTCCATCGAGAACTCGTAAATCAAACCACCGCTGAAAACGGACGTCATATTCGTCGTGTACAACGCCTCGACTTCTTGGAAGATACGGGGTGTGACTTCGATACATCCGTATTCGGAGAAGAAGACGGGGATTGTGAAGTTGTCGAATGCGGCGGTGAGTTTGTCGTAGCCGGAGCTTTGGAAGGTTTGGGTGCCACACCAGCTGTAACTGTTCACACCGAAGAAATCTGCGTTTCCGTCGTCGCCGCAGGCCAGGTATTCAGCGAGCTCGACACGGTACTTCAAGTCGTCTGCGGCAGAGTACCCGACGGGGATATCGCGTGAAGCGTGGTTGGAGATGTAGGACTTCATGTCACGCGTGACGGCTTTGAGATAGCGAGGGGAGAATTCGGCGCTTTCCTCGTCATTCACCACCTCGTTTCCGGCGAAATAGCCGAGGAGGTTAGGATACCCGCTCGTGGCCTCGATAACTGAAAACACGTGTTCCATGTACGGACCTGTATACGTCGTCCACGGCTCATAGCGATTGAGATGTTGTCCCTCCAACGGCGAGTTCACGTCCAGCACGACATAAATCCCGGCCGCATTCAGAATCCCAAAACACTCATCGTGCGAGATGGTGGGATCGATGGAGTAGACTCGAATCGTGTTTACACCGAGTTGTTGGAAGAGGTAGGCGTCACGGCGGCAGATGTCGGGATCGGAGAGGGGGTCTGAGCCGGATGTTACGGCGGCTGCACCGCCGGGTTGGTAGTCGACTCCGACCATGAAGAAACGCTCGTTGGTGACGGAGTCGTAGAGGTAGCGGTCTTGGACGACGATTGGGTTGAGGGCGGAGGCGACGGTTAGGAGGCCTGTCGCCGCGGCGGCGAGGAGGGAGAATCGCATGCTGAACAACGAAAAACGAAGGAAGAGAAGCGACGGTGTATGCTACCAAGAAAGAGAGGGGGGAGTGCTCCTCTTATTATTAACCCTCCGTACAACCCCAAACAAACACAGCTAAGCCTCGCTCCCTCACGCGCGCGCGCCCAAACACCTGCTGCTGCACCGCACTCGCTTAGTCATTCGCCTAAAAGCTTAGCACGGAGGCGCAGCACCGTCGAATGGGGGAATCGAGTATACTTCGGACAGCTGGGTTGTGTCTTGGCGGTGGGTCATGGGGGTCAGCGGCGTTGCTTTCGTCGGCTGTGCTGGTCGTCTTGCTGTTGTCCGATGGGCGTGCTGGTCGTCCTGGGTGCTGTTGTGCTTGGGGGGCACGGTGCCGCGGGATCTCCGGGACGGACGGTGGCTCCGCTGCAGCAGCTGGTTGATCATTCCTCTCGGCCGTTCCGAGTCGGGATTGTATCATCTACTGTGATAACCAACATGATGTCTCACGCTGGTCCCAACAGCGTAGTTGTACTCGACAACACGATCCAAGGGTATATGTATTCCCACGGACACATGGCTGTATGCAGGCACCCCTTGACGTCACCGTGAGAACAACGAGAACAACGAGCACAATGTCCACGACAGAAGACGAAACTTCAACCAGTACGGCCACAGTCCAAACCCTCATGTCTTCTTCCTCCCGCACCCGTCCTTCACCTGTAAACCCAAACGCCCATTCAAACCAAGCCTTCCGCTCCGCCCTCGCCCCCTTCCTGCAAAACCCCACCATCCCGCCATGTTTGCGTATCACAGATCGAACAATCCTCATCCGCGACAAATACCCAAAAGCCCGCATCCACTACCTCCTCCTCCCCCGCAATCAAACCCTCACGCTCCATCACCCACTCACCGTACTCTCTGATCCTGTCATCAGGGATGATTTACGCGCGGATGTCGATGCTGCCATATCGATGGCCCAAAACGAATTACGTCGAGCGGCGGTTGTTGGAATGGGTGGGGTCGAGCGAGTCGAGGTGAGGGCTGGGATCCATGCGAGGCCATCGCTTTCAAACCTCCACATCCACATCATAAGTCAAGACTTCCGTTCTCCCGCCCTAAAAAACGCGAAACATTATCTTTCGTTCACCATGCCCTTCTTTATTCCTTTCGACTCTATTCCCTCGCTCAAGCTGTATGACCATGACACGGGAGGGGTTGATGAGGAGAGGGTTGAGAGGGAGGTTAGGGTGAGGGAGGAGGGGTTGAGGAGGGGGGAGTTGAGGTGTGTCAGGTGTGGGGAGGAGTTTGGGAGGAGGTTTGTGGGGTTGAAGAGGCATTTGGAGGGGTGTGCTGGAAGGACTGACGTTGCTAAAGGGTCGGGCGGAGGAAGCTAGGTGAAGCGCACGGTACACACAGCAACAATGGAAATAATGATGTTGGGGCCAGGGTGTCATATGTGAGAAACGGGAAATGAAATAGAAAAAAAATGACACCTGCGAGTTTCGATCTCGCGGCCTTTCGCGTGTGAGGCGAATGTGATTCCACTACACCAAGGAGCCGGATTTAGGATTGGCAAAATTTGTGAATGCTGTCGTCATGATGGGCTGGGTTTGGAGACACGACGGCAGTCTGCGAAGTCTCAGGATATGTCTGGGTTTGGGTAGGAGCGATTCTGGTCCGGCAGCTTGGACTTGTATCTCGAGAAGCGACCGATACATGTATTTAGAATTGCTGAAACGACGATGCGTATCATTACTATTCTCGCATACGAACAGCTTCACCACCCCGGGCTGGTATGACCGAATCGATTATGAGACTTGATATCCACTGATAGTTAAAGTAGACGTGTGTACGACACGGGACTGTACCGAGGGCTGCTGCGATGCCGGAGCCCGTTGCCGCAGGTATTCGTTTCTACTTGTCCCTCATGAGTACGTGCGGCAAGGAATGCAGAAATGGTGAACGAGATATCCTATTCAAAGGAACCCAAAAGAATGCCAAATAACGCCAAACAAAACAAAGCCCAAACAATTGCAACCAAAAACTCAAACACATTCAAACACACCCACACAGCACAGTCAGTCACACACAAGTCTCCATCATGCCCCCCAACACCCCCATCAACTGCTCATTCTCACAAGCAGCCGCAACCCTCTCCTTATCCGCCAACTGCTTATTCACTTGTCCCTCACTTTGATGCGTCCCTTCCCTAACTTTGACGTCGACCCGGAAACGAGAGGGGAGGGAGCGTTCGAGGCGGACGCGGACGCAGAGGCCGATTAGTTGGGCCATTGAGCAGTGGGGGATTGTTGGGGTTATTTCGACGAGGACTGTGGATGGGGTGGGCCGGGAGTTGGAGGAGGAGGGGTCGTGGACGGTGATGTGGGGGAGATTGACGACGGCGAGTTGGGAGAGGGTTAGGGGGTGTTCTGGGTCCGTGATGTTTGCTAGGAGATCTGTACGCACTCGATTAGTTCTTGATCGATATCCGCATCCCACGAGATTCGTACCGTATACTTCTTGTGCATCGATTGGATCAGCTCGTTCCTCGTCATCGTAGTTCGAGGAGGTGTCGGAGTCTGTGTCGCCACTGCCATCGGAGAAAGAAGTGGAGGCGAGGATGTCGGCGAAAGGATCTTGGTCTTTGGGGGAGGAGCGGGTTGCGACGTGGTGGACTGTTGGGTTTGCGTTTTCCATTGCTGATCAAAGGGGAGAGATTGGTTGGTGGTGTATGGGTTGGAGGAGGAGGAGGAGGAGGAGGGGGTTTGGCGGTGATGTACGGGGGCAGATGTATTGCAGGAGCACGAGAGAAAGAGGAAAAAGTCAAGGGCTGATGTTGTGAAATAGCTTTGATAACAAATATATATTGATCGAGGCTCTTTTCATGACATCCACGGACCGATGTTCCCAGTGCTTCCCCACGCAGCAGACGCGTCCACCTCCGACGCTTCGTGCGACACCCATACTCCCCGATCTCAACACCTCCCTAGACCTGGTAGCTACACCCTCCAATTGAGAGTCGCAAACAATGCCTCGACGGACAACAACAGCCTCTACAGCACTAGGCACAGACGACAGCGGCGTTTCCTCCCCCGCGACGGATAGACGTTCGACGCGTGTGAGGTCGAAGCCGCAGCCGCTGTATACGCCGCAGAATACTACACCGGCGGGAAAGAGGAAGAGGGGCGGGGAAGCCTCTGATGAGGAAGAGAGTGAAGAGGAGGAGGACGATGAGAGTGAGGAAGAGAGTGAAGAGGAGGAGGAGCTTCGTGAGCCCAAGTCCAAGGGCGGTGCTGGAGGACGTGTCCGTAAAGCTGCCTCTACACCCAAACGCACCCCCGCCCGCACCGGCAAACCCGGCAAGAAAGCTCGTATCAATGCGCCTCACACCGAACACGAAGAGTTGGAAGAAATGGACTCACCCCTTTATGACGCACTCCTCGACCCGGATGCCGCCCTGGAGTCCACGATTAACGATTGGTTGGATTCGTATGCTGAGGCGAGTGGAGAGGCAATCACGGAGATGGTCAATTTCATCTTGAAGTGTTGCGCGTGTAACACACCCATTACCGCATACGACGTCGAAGACGCGGATTCCGCCACGCAGACACTGGCGCAGATTCAGGAAGTTGTGAGGGAGAAGGCGAGAAGGGAGTACCCCCTCGTGAGCAAGAAACCCGAGTTCAAGAGGTTTAGGAAAAGTTTGGGGGATTTCCTGAGGAGGTTGGTGGGGGCTGCGGCGGGGAGGGGCGTGCTTTGGGATGGGATTTTGTTGGAGAGTTTACAGACTTGGATTGGTGCGTTGAGTTCGTCTACGTTTCGGCCGATGAGGCATACGTCTACGGTTATGTCACTCAATATCGTGTCGGCACTTTGTGATCTTCTCGGAAAGCTGAAGAAAGAGGAATCGACCGCGACCAGGCAGCTCGAGGCGGAACAGAAAAAGGCGAGGGCGAATGAGACGAAGGTCAAGACGCTTGAGAGGAAGACCGCGGAGATTGGAGAACAGGTCGAGACTGTGAGTGGGATGGTGTCGGATACGTTTGATGTCGTCTTTGTTCACCGATACCGTGATGTCTTCCCGCAGATTCGGACAGAGTGTATCCGTGAACTCGGTGGTTGGATGCTCAAGTTACCGTCCATGTTTCTGGAGGGACAGTATTTACGCTACCTCGGCTGGGTCTTGTCGGATACGAATGCGGCGACGAGACATGAGGTCGTGAAGGTATTGGGGAGGTTGTATGCTGATGATAATAATGTTGCGTCTCTGAGGCATTTCACGGAGAGGTTTAAGCCAAGGATTATTGAGATGGCGGAGAGGGAGGCTGATACGTCTGTTCGTGCCACTGCAATCGGGCTGCTCAACAACATCCGTGCTCGGGGCTTCCTTGAATCTGAAGAGGTCGAGAAAATCGCTGTGTTGATTTTCGATAAAGATATCAAAATTCGTGCGGCTGCTGCGCCGATTTTCTTGGCGCAGGTTGCGGAGGGCGTGGAGGAGAAGACGGAGGTTGTGGGTGGTGTGGAGGAGGTTGAGGGCGAGGGTGAGAAGTGGGGGGTGTGGGTCAGGTTTAAGTGTCTTGCGGAGGTGTTGGGGAGGTTTGATGGATCTATAGGGGTTGACACACAAGAAGAGGAGGACGAGGAGGAGAGAGAGAGGGAGGTAGTGAGGTTGGGGGCGGAGGGGAAGGCGACGAGTCGTGTCTATCTTGCCACGACGGCGTTGTGGGAGGGATTCGAAGAGATGCAGGATTGGGAGAATTTGGCGGAGTATCTGTTGTTTGATCATTCTGCTGTTGGTACTGAGGCTGATTTGGAGAGTTTGAAGACGGTGGGGGAGAAGGTGAGGTGGTTGTGTGCGCCCACGGAGGGGGAGGAGGGGATTTTGTTGCAGGTTCTCAGGGCGAGCGTTAGGAGTGCGATCACGCACGCTGAACAGACCGCGGCGCATAACAAGAAGAAGAGTGATGAGGCGAAGAATGTTGAGGAGGAGGTGTCGAGGGCACTGGTGGGTTTGTTGCCGAAGTTGATGCAGAAATTTGGGGGATCGCCGGGGACTGCGTCGGATGTGTTGAGGTTGCAGCAGTTGATGAAGTTGGATATTTATCAGATATTGAGGCAGGATGCGGCGTATGAGGCCCTTCTCGATGATATCGGGCGTGCGTTCTTCAAGCATACGGATGAAAACGTCTTGCGGGAGGCTGCGGCTGCCTTGTTGCGTGCACAGACGTTCGAGAATATGAGTACGCTTACGGAGGCGAAAATCATTGAAATCCAGGATGAGAGCGTGAGTGGGTTGAGACGTCTTGTCAAGGGGAAGGCATTGGCGACGGATGCGTTTCGGGAGGAGGAGTTGAGGGATGTGGAGACTGCGGTTAGGAGACTGGAGTTGTTGATTGCTGCGACGAATTGTTTGAATTCGATGGAGGAGGAGGATGGTGGGTTGTCTGGGGTCAGTGTGCTGGTACAGATTGTTGAGAGAGGTGTTGCGTTAGATGATGATGAGACTGTACTCATCGTGTCTGCGATGAAGAGTTTGAGGTGGTACTTTATGTGGAAGATTCAGACGCTGGCTTCTACGTCACAATCCCCTGCCGACGACCGCGATGCCCGACAGATGCGCGAAACCCGCGACACGGTTCTCGATATCCTCGTCCAGATTCTGGCACAGATGAGGTGGAGCGAGGCAAAGCACCAAGCGGCGTGTATGTTGCTGGATATGTGGACGTTGTTTGTGACGTTTGGGGGATTGGAATTGTTGCGCGTCAAGGTTGGGAGTGGGATGAGGGGTGGGGTGTCGGAGGAGGGACAGGAAGCAGTCATGAGGTGTTTGGAGCAGGAGGTTGGGAGGCTTACTGGCAGCAGTGGTGGCGGCCGGATCCGTCGTGGTGGGGGTGGTGATGATTCGGATGAGGAGATGGAGGAGGAAGATGATGACAACACACAGGGTGAGAAATTGGAGGGGGTTAAGGCTATTGAGGCGGAGAGGCAGGTGTGTGAGTTGGCGGGGAAGATCGTCTTGGCTGTCCTCAGTGGCACGGCTCAGGAAAAGTATAGGGAGAGATTGGAGAAGATGAAGGGCAAGTTGGGGGTTTCCTATGATCGGATTGTGGAGGAGTTGAAGGGGGAGGAGGAGAAGGAGAGGGAGAAGGGGAGGAAAACGCCCGGACGGGTTGTCAAGCCCACGAGGCCGGTAAGGAAGGAGGATGAGGTTCATGATGATGATATTGAGGATGACGACTAAGTCGATATTCGCATGGCGCATTCTGACTGGAGGAGGGATGTTTGGTTGGATTTACTGGGACATTTAGCTATGGGGTTTTATTTGATAAAGGCTGTTGATCAGGTAATATGGATAACGTCTACCATTACCCGGGACTCCATTGTCATCAACTGGAGTCCCGTTCGTATCACTTCGTCATCACCTACCAAGCCCAGGCCTATCAAGCACAATTGCAAGGCACCGGGCTGTTTGCATAATCTCTCGGCTCGAATCGCCGACGGATAAGGTCAACTCAATGTCGGATTTTCCAACGATTGATTTTACCGTGACCCTGCTTAAAGCGTATCAGATAAGTTTGGTCGATCATGAAATGCGCAGCACTGGGCTGTCGAGATTTGTGGGGGACATGCTGGTTTTCCCGCTGGGCTGCAGCTGCAACCACCCGTGCCCTCTAACCGTGCGCGTGAATTGGACGACGTTGGAGGTGATCTGGAGGTCAATGGAGCTGAAGGAAGGGCTGGATAAAGTGGATCAGAGGTCAATTGGCCTTGGTAAAATGTCCGTCAGCACCTGCTCGAGGTTCAATTGACATTTTGGACTCCTCGGAATTTCACCACCACCACCATCAGATTTACTCCGAGCTAACGCGACGGGTAAAAAAGGCAAACATGCGGAGACAAGGTGTGGAGGGCCCCTAGGCAAGCTCCAACGTATACCCGGTGGATGCGCAGCAGGCGCAGCCAGCACAATCATGGGTTAACTCGTACAGTTCTACCGCATACGGATCATGAGATCACTCGGAGCTCTTTCTTCTGCAGCCAGGTGTTCTGAACGTTTGCCGAAGTGGGAGTCACGGCACTCGAACGTGACGAATTCGCAGAGGCACCACTGGCTGGATATTCCGGCCCTGGTAGGACGGGGAGAGTTGTACCGTCGCCCTCACCCCCCAAGAACTCCGAGGATTGGATCAGCGATTGGGCAGGCCCACCCGATCCTTTATAAACGGGCCACCCCTCCCTCGACCATCGACTTTTGATTTCATCCCTACCACAAGATCAGATACACATAACACACATACAATGGCTCCTCCTCCCGCTGTCGACCTCGCCCCCGCTGCGACCCAGTTCCCCCACCAGATGTCCAACCCCATGAAGGCTGCTCCGGCTCACGCCCACACCGCCCCTGCTACCCAGAACACCACCACTCCCTATCCCGCCATTGATGCCTCTACCTTCGCTTTCCGTCCTATCCACGAGTCCATCGTTTCCCGCGCCATGACCCGCCGCTACTTCAGCGACATGGACCACTACGCCGAGTCTGACGTCGTCATCGTCGGTGCCGGTTCCTGCGGTCTCTCCGCTGCCTTCACTCTCGCTTCTCGTCGCCCTGACTTGAAGATCGCTATCATTGAGGCAGGTGTCGCTCCCGGTGGCGGTGCCTGGTTGGGTGGTCAGTTGTTCTCTGCCATGATCTGCCGTAAGCCCGCCGACGAGTTCCTCGACGCCGTTGGCGTTCCTTACGAGGACGAGGGTGACTACGTTGTCGTCAAGCACGCTGCCTTGTTGACCTCTACCCTCTTGTCCAAGGTCTTGCAGTTCCCCAACATCAAGTTGTTCAACGCTACCGCTGTTGAGGACTTGATCACCCGCCGTACCGAGCAGGGTCTCCGTGTTTCCGGATGTGTCACCAACTGGACCCTCGTCACCCTCAACCACCACAACCAGTCCTGCATGGACCCCAACACCATCTCTGCTCCTATCGTTATCTCTACCACTGGTCACGACGGACCGTTCGGTGCTTTCTGTGTTAAGCGTTTGGAGTCCATGAACGCTCTTACCGAGAACGAGGGTAAGCTCGGTGGTATGCGCGGTTTGGACATGGGTTCCGCTGAGGACTCTATCGTCAAGGGTGTCCGTGAGATCGTCCCTGGACTCATCGTCGGTGGTATGGAGTTGTCCGAGGTTGACGGTGCTAACCGCATGGGACCCACCTTCGGTGCCATGTTCTTGTCTGGTGTCCGTTGTGCCGATGTTGCCCTCGAGAAGTTGGAGGGTGCCCGTCAGGAGTACGACCGTCTCTACTACGGAGGCGCTGCTGCTGCTCAGGGTTTGTCTCGCAAGAACTGAATTTCTTGGTCGAGTTGTGGGGAAAGTTATTGGATTTGGCCGAGGTTGGTTGAGATGATTCATGTGGAGTGATTCTACGATTTATTTTTTGAAATGTTGAGCAAGTGGGGGTCGTCGACTGTGCTTGATGCATGTTGGATCCTAAGTGTCTGCTTGTTCTCGACTTATGATAGTATACCATAAAGACACGTTCGTTTCTCTACTTCTTGTTCTCTTCTCACTGTGATGTCTATCCGTTGCCCTTTATCCAAATATCCTCTCATCCTACACCTCGAGCTCTGCTGTCCGTAGCAGTTGCCAACGCAGTTTTGTCACCGTTCATACTACCAAACAGCTTGTACACACTACCCGGTCTAAAGTCTCTGTTCCCTTCGCTATCTCAAAAGCACAATCCGAAATTCTCCATCCTTTCTCCGATTTCCTCACGGCCGTCCTCTGTCACGCAGCGCGTCACTCGCCGCGCAATTGAACCCTGGCACCGGTGACCTCCAACGTCGCGCGAATCCATCACCGATCAACATCAACCTCTCAATTGCAATTGATCCCTAAAATGCGCTTCTCTCTCCTCGCTCTCACTTCCGCTCTACTCGCGCCCTTGGCTCTCGCCCAGGACGCCGCGGCTCCCGTCGCTCCTCTCGTCGAGATCGGCTCTACCTGGCCTGATCTCGATACTTCCCTCGCCGGTAACAGGGAGGTCATCAATGGCGCGCCTGCTCGCGTGAACATTGCGTTCAAGAACACTGACCCCAGTGAGGCATTGGTTGTTTCTCATGTCCAGGGTGCTTGGTATGACCTTGCTAAGCCTGACATTGTCGTTCGTAACGTATGTACAATTGCGATTGATCTCTTCGGTCAATTGATTCGCATTACACCAGTTCAACGCTAATTCCTGAGTAGATGACTGTGTCCAAGCTTAACACCCCCGTCCCACCAACCGGTTCCCTCAATATCCCCTACCAATTCACCACCGACCTCGCCCCCGGAACCCTCGGGCTCCTCCTCACCGTCTACTTCACCTCCGCCGCGAACCCTGCGACCATCTTCCAGGCTCTCGCGCACAACGCCACGGTCATCATCTCCGACCCTCCTTTCTCCATCTTCGACCCTAGCGTGTTGTTCCTCTACACCACCCTCTTGGCGTTGATGGCCGGCATTGCTTACTACGCTTACGGTGCGTTCATCGCCCCTCCCTCTACCGGAAAGAAGAGGTCCACTGGTGCGAAGAAGGTTGCCAAGGCGGAGCCGGTGGAGGCTGTTGCGCCCGTTGAGGCCAGCGCGGGAGCGACCACCAGTGCGAAGGGGTACGACGAGTCGTGGATTCCGGAGCACCATTTGCGCCCCAGGTCTAGGCAGAGTGGTCCTAGACCTTCCACTCCCAGGGGTGGAAGTGCGAAGAAGGTGCAGAAGAGCAAGGGTGTTACTCTTGGTGAGGCTATCTAAGGGAAGAAGTATGAGCGTGTAGGATGCGATAGATGACTATGCGGAAATGCAGAGGGGAGTGTAGGATATATAGTGTTCTACGAGAGAAAGTTCAAGGCATTGGGATGAAATTTCTTTGGGCGCTTTATTAGGGTAGTATCGATATTGGGTTTCCTCAATATGTATCGCATTGGAATCGGAGTTTGACCTTGTTGCTATGTTGCTATGTCCCCTCGTTGACCTGTGCTCAGTTATCGAGTGATGCATCTGGTTCATCAGAATTGGAGTGTCTGCGAGAGACGCGGGTTTTGAAGCAGAAACGTATCGTAACGCAGCAAAGGCTACGGACAGAACTACGCCCAAACGGTTTCGGTTCCATCGGCGTTGCACCGAGTGCACAAATGACTCGGTTTTAGTCGCGTCAGCGATACTACGTCTTCCAATAAATGAAAAGGGCGGCTTTGTTGAACGTATTTCTGCTCTCGGTCTACTTTAGACCTGGCGAAACTCTACCGTAATCGCCATTTCTATAGCTACGTTTAGGTTATCACCGCAATCGATATCGTTACACGTCTTGCCAGTTCAACCGTATGCCCGCAACTTCCATCTCCATTGCAACTTGATGCACGATTTCTTCCGCTTCAAATCTTCCAAGCGTTTTGCTGAATGTTCGCATCAGGAACAACTGAATATCCTTTGCACTCAGTTCAACCCCCTCGTCCCTCTTCAGGATGTTATGATCCTTGTCTAGAAGCCCAAGGGTCGTGACCATTGAACGAACACCATCCTCGTACCAGATACCCCGAGCAACCACAGATTTACGGCCGATCCCATATGCTACAGCAGCAACGGTTCCCTGATCAGCATTGATCGTCTGCCTGTCAGACATAACACCAAGCGCCACAATAGCTCCCGCTGTGTCGCCCAACCTCAGAAATGTCTTGAGGATCAAGTCGTATGTCCGAACCGTTGGGGCTACTGAACTGTGAAGCATCAATCTGAAAAACTCTCTTGGCGCCATGATCTCCTCTGGCCATGCCTTCCGACCATGCCAAGATACATGAACCTGGCTCACCCACAAGATCGAATATGTACCAATATCCGGCACAACTCCACGTTCGCCAACCATGAACTTCCAAGTCTTCCATAAATTATTGAACTGATCATTCCGCAACATTGCCGCAAGTACAGCATTCACAACACGAGTGGCAAAAGGGATCCTCGCCTCCGACATCGCCCGCGTCCAATTGATGATAAAATCAAGTCTTGATCCACACCCCGGGGGCATCGGAAACTTTCTTTGAGAGACTTCTTCGATGAACAGCGCATATGACTCCATATCAGGCAAAGGATATTCCAACCCATGTTGATCCGAACCAGTTGCATTCATTCTGTGAAACCATCCCAACGCATTCTGAAGATCGTGTTGCTGAAGATACATCTTGATGATAAGGTTGATGTGTGCTGCAGAAATCGCCACTTTGCGTTCGCGCATTCTGTCCAGGATCTGCACTGCTTGGGTGGGTTGTCGTAAACCAATGAAGAACTTCAGAGCAGTGAGATAAAATTCAGGGTCCTCGGACAGCGTACTGGTACTCTCCATGTGTTCTTGGATAACTTTTGTCTTCTGATCGATTGATGTCGGCGAATCCTGGTCTGTTTGCCTGAGCAGTAGCATGATAGTGGCATCATCTGGCTTGTGACCTTTTGCTCGCATAGCGACAAAGACCTCATGGGCATGATGTATTGCACCGACACGAAGGAAGCTGTTCATCATGCTATAATAAGAGGCACTTGTTGCATCTGAGACTTCTTTATCGAATTCGCGGAAGGCCTCGAAAGCGTCGCCGGATCTGCCGCTTTTGTTCAAGGCTATGATGTAAGGTTTCCATGAATGCTCATTTCGTTGTATACCTTCTTGTTTCATTGTTGCAAAGAGGACCTCAACTCCTTCAAGTTCACCACTGCTTGTGAGCATCATAATACCAAGATTGTACCAAGGACGTTTTGTGGAGGCACCCGCAACCATTTCGCGACGCCATCTGTCAATGGCTTCGGATTTCTTGCCTTTGCGGAAGATAGCCTTGATATAACATAGTTCCTCACTCAAAGCAAGTGTCTGTCCTGCTGCAACCATAGTGGACCCAAGGACATAGCAGGCTTCAACCCATGCTGGGTTGTCATGTGGAATATAACCTCTGCCTAACCATTGCCACATTCTTCTCAATGTCTCCTTCGGTATTTGCGATAAACCTTCGGGAAGAGCAATAATAGCTTCATAAGTGCTCCACAATGCTGGCCAGTCCAAGAACCTGTCACTTACTGAAGCCAACGCCATCAGGCGAAGGACCAGTGAGGGAGTATCACCGAATGATGTAAGGCTTCTGAGAGTTTGACGATCTTGCAGGGTTCGTTTCCATGGTCTCGAAGCAGTAGGATATTTGGTAACAGCTGATCCAGTGTGACTGCTATTCACCTCCCGGTCTTCTTTTGCTTTCACATATGTCGCAGTTGTGGTGTTGAGATTTCTTGCAGCCAGTGCTTGAAAGCCGGGTGCGCCAAGGCGGGATGCGAAGGGTCTCCCAAGACTCGATCTGACCGTGGCAGGGACGGCGAACATGACAACTTATCCAAAGTCGAAAAGCGGCGATGTCGTCAGAGTTCTTTGCTAATCCCGACCTCCGGCGTATACATGACAACGTCTCCGCAGTCGAAAAGCAGTGGTATCCTCAGGAATCTTTGCTAATGCGACCTCCCTCGTAAATCCCGTACGTAAAGCTCGTGCCACGAGGAGTGAGGAGGATGGCCGTGTTGATGCGCCAAGCGTGAGTGTCGTTCGCAATGATACCGACGTGAGTGAGGTTGAATGGTAATGATAATGACTTGATCGGTGGCCGCTTGATCGGTACCGCTGTTGGTTGCTCGTTGCTCGTTGCTCGCATTGCTGGGATCTAAATTTAGAAGTCGTGCAAATCACGTGTCTACATTACATTCAGGGATACCCGCTGTGAGCGCACGCAACGACGATTAAGAAAGTTGGAATAGTCGGGACCCATATAAGATTCATATAGCACTCATGGACCTTTAATGAGGTCCGAAATATTCTACGTCGTACCACACACTCCAGGCCGTCCGCACAACTACCACTATATCGCCCTCATACGTGCGGCTCCGTACAACTTCTTTTATCGTCAGCATGAGATAGCTTACCTTGTCGTTCGCTATTAAAGTAAGCTTATTTGTCCAGTTGACATTGCCGCTCGGATCCTGTCAGGCCTGATTCTTCTCATATCTATGAGCGAGCGCAAGGCACGCAAACCATATCTGTTCTCTCACGATTCTCCAAGCACGCAGTCATCGTCGTAATCCTGGTCGCTTCCGCAGACGTCGCGCGTAAATTGCACAACCCAGGGTCAGTAGCTGTAACATGTAACTGGCTACTGAGGTCGATAGGGCTAAATGAAGAGGAGGCAGCAATTCCAATGAAGCAGTATGGCGGGCACCGTGAGAATATGGAATAGGCCAAGACTGCGACCGACAATGAAAGCACCGGGTAGCAATGTCAGAAACAGTACAGCGGGCGCCAGAATGCGATAGTATCGCCAACGCGTAGGCGAGGGATTCCGGGTGGACGAGGAGTAGCTCGCAAGAACTGCGACATCCGACCGACACTCAGACGAGTGGTTGAAAGGTGACTTAGCAAAGACAAACATCGTTTATTACAAGCAACTGGACGCTCAACAACATAATCCAAGCTCGTATTGCAGAGTGGAATGTCAAAGGACGGGCGTGGGAGCTGGGGCGGACGCGTTCAGAAGCCATGGTATTCTGACGGTTACACTCGGGCTCGGCCGCTGAGTAGAAGTCAACAACAGCTTCGTAAGCGCAGAGAAACAACGATAGGAGTCGGAGTCAAGAACCTCGTAGTAGCAAGGATGAAGACAGGCGGCTTCCTGGAAGCCACACGGCAGCAGTAAGTTCATTGACGGTACCATGTTGATTGACGATCGGCGAGGAAATAGGGGGAAGACTCAGAAGACGAATACCGGCCTGTAGCTAACCTCGACTGGATATTGCGGGTGGAAAGCGGCCCATGCGTTGTACGGATTATTAAAACCTTAACCGCCGTGCAACGTCGACAGACATGCACGTGGGAATTTTGACTGCCCGTTTTCGGTGCGAGTGGTTGACATACAGTCCTAGTATTGTTAATTACAAAAACGAACCATGTTCAGTCGGAGTGTCCGAGTGGTTAAGGAGTCAGACTTGAAATCTGATACCCATTGGGTGCGCAGGTTCGAACCCTGTCTCCGACGTCCCTTTTCCCTTTTCGTGTCTTCCTGTCTGGTAGCGGCGAGGGCTGTCTCCGGCGCTTGACTGCTATGCATGCTCTGTAACGCTGCCAAAGCTCTCTGCTGCTGAACAGAATGTACTTCTCTTGGCGAGGAGTCTACCCATTTGGTGGACGGTCGCGCGGGCGGCCCAGGGTGGGAAATCCGTACCCGCGGAAGGGATGTTTTTCGGATGCGCAACAATTGAGGGTTCCTTTACATCGTCAGTACAGCCCCGGTGGCCGTGGATGAACGAAGAATTGCAACACCAAGCATTTCATGAGATATTTCATCTATTAAGTTCTTCATGTTGGGTATGACATAGCTATAACAGCAAAAGAAAGCAAAAATACCAACTCCGTCCAGAAATCCGTATACGTATAGCGCCAGGCCCCGTAGATTAACTGATACATTTCTCAAGCATCGTTTTCCTCACTCTCCCATACTCTTCATGTATCGTGAGTGTGAAGAAGAAGGGGTTTAAACCTCGCCCCTCACCCCAAACCTTTCACTCCCATCCGCGGCAACCCCCATACTCAACACAACCACAACCACCAACAACGCAATCATCCCCAACACCCGATCCAACCACACCATCTTCTCAACCGCCCCCTCGCCATCATCGATCTCTTGCAATCTCTTCTCTTCTTCCCTTCGCGCTTTTGCTTCCGCGCGCAGCTTCCTCACAGGGCGGGAGGAGCGGCGGGCTTTGGAGGAAGGGGAGGAGGAGGGGGAGAAGCGGAGGGAGAAGGAGGTCGGTGAGGGGTCGAGGTCGGGGGAGGAGTCGCAGTCTGTGTCGTAGTCGTAGGAAAGTGTCGAAGAGCCCGAGTTCGACACTACGGACGCGAAACTCGAAGATCTACTCTCGCTGCGCACACTCGCCGCCGTAGTTACGCCTGCTGTCGTTGGAGCAGAAGCAGAGGCAGAGACAGACCCGCTGTCCGCCGCACCCGTCGTTGACCCAGACGCAGACGAGATCGAAAGTTGTCGTTGTTGTGCCTCATGCCGCGACTCGAGCGATACGAGCCATTGGCTCATGGTCTCAACATCCACCTTCTCCTCCGTAACAGTTGTAGTGACAGATTCGGTCGCCGGCGCAATGGCCAGGGTAACCGGCACACTCCTCTTCATCTCCTCAACCAGCAGCGCAGTCGTGACCTCCAACTCAATCGACGACCTCGACGACGCCGGTCCCGAGGATTGTTTGCGGGGTTTAGTGGTCGTACTCGCAGTAACGGACACAGAAGTCGATGACGAAGAAGGCGTCGAATTGTTTCGAGAAGATCGACGGCGTGTTGTGCGGAGTGTCGGCGGATCAGAGGCTCCGGTAGCGAAGAGGATGGGTTGGGATACAACTGGGGATAGGGTCGTTGCCATTGTCTGTTGAGGCAATTGCGATTGCTGTCGTTTTCGAAAAAATGTAGTCGTAGTTCGTGGATCGTAGATCGTATTCAGCTGTCACGGATCAATCGCTGTGAACTCTCTCTCAGCAGCTGGAACAGTCACTGCACGGTGTTGTGGTCACAATGAATGTCAATCGAGCAGAACAACAGACAAACGGCCGCTCCTCTTCCTATATACGGTAATGTAATCCTCCAACGCCATCCGTCGTTCCACCACCACCCCCATGACAACAGGAAACCGCCCCACGTTTTTCACCTCCGACCCACCACCTCCGCCTCAACCTTCAGCCCGGGATGCCCGCCATCAAAAGACGCGCGAAACAGCCGATTTCATTTGGTGATTCCAGCATGCGACTGGCATGATCCTGATCGCTCGAGCGCTCATATCGTACCACTTGCATTCCGTGGTGTTGTGGTTCCAGGTCGCCCTAGCTGCAAGTATGGCTCTCGGTGCGCGTTACAATTGAGCCGTGCGCGCGATGTGAAGGTGTGGGCTGATTTTTTGGATATGCGGTGCGACTAAGTACGATAGTGTGGTAAGTGTTCCAAGAAAGGGAGAATGTGGGAAGGGAGAATGTATCCGCTATTCGCAATTGGGGTTGAATGCCGTTTTCGGGGAAGGTGATCTGAGGGTTATTCTAGAAGTGGAATCGGGTCATGGACGTCCTCGGCCTTCAGAGTCGTCGCACCGGCCGGGAGGTAGTCATTCCCGCAATTGCAATCGCGATACCATATCCATTTTACCCGCGCCCTCGACCTGGCGGTGGTTCGAGGAATCACGATTCGAGATACTTCTTACGTAACGTACGGGCGGACAATCTGTAATGCCTCACACATCCCTGGACCTCCGCCCGCGCCGCTCGAGCGTTTCAACTCAGCCCTTGTCTGTCCTCTGTGTCAAACCACCGACCGACACACACTCTGAACCCTACACACCGGCCACCCGTCGCCCACCGAGATATCGGGACCAGACACTACGGGTCCCACATGGACTCCACCCCCATGGCTGCTGCTGTCACCCCAGGGCTGTTTGCTCCCGCGCCCCCCTGCTCCTCCCCCCGAGCCTCCAGGTGCGTCCGGCGCGCGCGCGGGCCTGCCAGATTTCATTCCACGACTGTTTAAGACGCTTGAGGACCTCTTCCCTTTATCCAAGTTTATCCCGGTCAAACCACCTTAAGCTTACTCAATTGCAAACAGGCAGCTGTCGCATGCGGATGGTCGACGTGTCTGTAATCCACATCCAACTGCAATGCCACACAGCGTGAGCTCCCTTGTCAAACATTAATCTCGGTGATTGCTCACTCATGATCATGATCGTACATAAGCATAAAGCAAATCAATACCTGATCGTGATCATGACAATTGTCCTCTCAGCTGACTCCTACGTAATCACATCACACGTTTGAGCAGATGCCCACGCGCTACGCTTCTGGAATGATCAATGTTGTGATGTCGACGTCGATGGCATGGTTCCATTCATCGCCATACCGGTGCTTCCTTTCAGCTGATCCATGCAGAAGCGGTTTGCCAACCCGCGGCCGGGCAACGCACGCTGTTGGAACGCGTGGGGGATCGTAGGGGGAACTTGAATGGACTCGCGGGCCGGATCGCCGAGTGTGGAAGATGCGGGTAAAAGCCGATGGGAGGATTTAATCCGATCGATTTATGTTGAAGTATACTAAAGAAGGATTAACCCGGGTGCAAGGTGCTGCGGGTTCATGCGGGCTCGGGCGCGACCGACGTCGTCTACGTTACATACACAAACTCCCTCGAACAGGATCAAGTACCTCCTCGACCGCCGGTAATTCTTACACGAAGGAAACAATCGCAATACGGATCAACTGCAATTGGGCCTTAAAGAAGCAAATAAAGCGAAGAGGGACCTACGAGATCATATATACACATCCACGATGTCGGCAGTTAACGATGAGGCTCTTATAAAGGTGAGTCTTGATCTGACTTTAAGGGAGAGCATTCAAGGGATACGAGTGGATTGGCAAGGCTACGGCTTGTACGCGCTCTACCTAGTCGTCGGACGATGCACGAAGTCTTCGACAGCTCGGGTTCATCGCCTTGCCGTGACTTCCCTCGAACATCCCCGACTCCGCGGCCACTGCGCCCCGCCCTCTGCTCGCAGAAACCCCATACTGACAGCTTTGATCCAGCTCCTCCAAACCCTCGATACCCGCGCAACCTCCTCCGCCATCCAACTCCAATCCCTCAACTCCCTCCTCGCCTCCCACTCCCGCACCCACCGCGCCCACCAACTAACCCTATCCGAACTCCAATCCCTCCCGGACTCGACCCCCCTCTGGACCGGCTGCGGCAAGATGTTCATCAGAACAGAGACGGAGGAGGTCGTTAAGGAGATTGAAAATAGGATCGAGGAGGTGGAGAGGGATGTTAGGGATTTGGGGAAGAAGAAGGGGTATTTGGAGATCACGGTTGAGAATGCGAGGAAGCAGATGGAGGAGGTCATTGGGAGGGTGCAGCAGCAGTGAGTATGGCTGTGAAGTGTAGGAGGGGTGTACGATAGAGGTACGGGTGGTATGAAGAGCGGATGTTTGCAACAATTGTCATGTTATTGTGTGGAAAAGGCATCTATAGAATCCGAGCAATACGCATCGAAGAACGTTTGGAGCTTGCTCGTTGAGGTCCATATACGTGGTGCTTCTTCAGATAGGTTAACCTTGAGGTCATTGAACACCGTTCGCGTACACTCGAGCCCTCACCTACATGTTGCCAGCCTTAAGCTTAAGGAAGCACAAGCTGATACAAGCTTACATTGTACCGGATAGGCTCCACCATCTGGCTTCACTGACAAGCTGCAATCGACATCGTTTTTTCCCACGACTTCCTTGGGCCACTGAATGCAAATCTTAGTACTGCTGTGTGCAAAATTCCTTGACGGCGCGCATTTTACCGCCTATATGTGCGAGGGTTTTGCACACAGCAGTACACGCATTGAGGGAGCACAAGAGGCGGCAAGAACGATATTGAGCGCAAAGTTTACCTTCTTCGGCGAGGGACAACTTAAAGGTGATTGTGTCACCCTTGGAGTAGATGGTCTGGCTCTGGCTAAGATTAAACCTGAGACCGTAAAGTGCAGTGATGCAAAAAGGAAAGCATACTGGAGGTTGAAACGACTGAAAAAGCGTTTGAATATAAAGTTAGCTAAAAGAGATTTACAAACTTGGTCAATAAACTATCGCTGCTCACCACCGCCGGAGTTGAATCTCCTTGCTCCTCCAAAAAAGGTGACACGCCTTAGCTCCATGTCCAAGATATGCTGCGTAAGTGCAGTCTACAAAGGATATTCTCTCACAATCAATGTCCGTGACCATACCGACCAAGGGGAATAGCGTGCGGGTCTGGATCAGGTGACGAACCCAAATCATCCTGCAACAGCGGCTCACTAATATTCCCGTCCAAATGCGAACGCTGCGAGCGGAATCCCATCGGCCACCTGGGGCTGCTATCGTGAGATAAATAAGGCGCGGGAGTAGACTGCATCGGAGGGCTTTGATTGTGATGCGTGGACGAATAAGAGTAAGTCGGCGGGAGAGGTGGCATAGGAGGATCTGCCGGGTAAGACGCAGACATACTCAACGGTACGGGTTGATAAGCCGTGGTCATGGCAAGCCTGTATGGGACGGCACCGTCAAGTGGGGCGTCCCATGTCACTCCATCCCCTTTCTTCGAGAATTCCGTGTTAATACTGTCGTAGCGACGTATGAGCGAGTGGCGCTTGGCGTGCTGGGGAAGAGGACTGAGAGTTCTGGTCTTCTTGTAATACATGTCGTAGATGTGAATGAGACCTTCAGTGGTGAGGCATTGGTCACGGATGACGCTTCGAGCGTAACGCTCATGTCGGGATTTGAAGAGATCCCAGCCGTTGTATAGTAACATCGGCACCATCCACAGAGCCACGAGAAGATAAGGCCATAAGAATACTTGCTGCCGACTTTCCATCACTTCATACCACAACCAATATTGGAACAAACGTGAGGAGAGTGTTGTGGATGTGCCGAACGTCGCGTTATTGAACGTGGAAAGCTGCACGTGAAAGATGTGAGAAGCAAGGTTCTGGGCAAGGCTTCGATCGAATGTAGCATTTTGATCATTGTAGCCGAGACCGTCCCATGCTGCCATGATCTCGTCCACGTCAGCCCATCGGCCCGCACCCAAGCCCGGCATCATTAACCAATAGGGAAAGTTGGCTACTGGGGCAGCAGGTATATCCCAAGTATCGTTCGCAATCGTCTTGTTTGGCGGCAAAAAAAGTACGGAATCATTTCTCCAGAAAGATAACGTACAATTACCCAACCAGAACGTGCGGTCGTACGCATGATTGGTTGCGTCTGTCATCGCATGCCAACCAGCCTTAAGGGCGGATGTGTTCGGCGCTTCGAAATATTGATATTCAGATGTAAGATTTGTTGCATTTATGACGAGGTTTGTGCCTTGGGCGCTCTCAACCTCGACTCTGGGTACCATAGGCACGACGATACCGACAGTAATCCACATAGTCGAGTAATCCGTGTCGTATGGTCCAATCTTTTCATATGCGTTTGAAGACAGCACATAAAGACCAGCCTCCAGTGGAAGTGGAAGCAGATAAGGGTACGTCTCAGTATCCGATAATGTCGTAAATGTAACGCTGTCGAGGTAATCTTGAGAATAGCCATCAAGAATGGCCTGAAATTCAGTGGCATCATCAACACTCACATTGACACCAATCCTGCCGTGAAACGGCGTTACCTTCGCAACAGTGCCTTCACAGAGTCCCTTTACTTGAAACGTTGAGTTGTCGATGTTTGCCCAACAGCTTGCAGCAGGGTACGACATGACCCCATCTTCTGCCATTGTCATATTCAATTCCAGCATATTGTGTGTTGCAAGCGGCTGATATGCAGGTCTGTCCGACATGGTCAAGTTGAACACTTCAGGCTTTGAGTCACCAGAAACGCTCAAGAACAGCCTTGACACATCTGCAATGGTGCTGTCGTTCTGATGCGTGATAGGCCGATAAACCGTGTTTTGCAGACTCTGCACGCCTTGAACACCGAGGAAATTCAAAAATCCACACAACACAACAACGATAAGGCGCACAACCATAGTTCCCGGTCGATGTTTTGCGAAATGGATCGTTGAAGCTAAGATATTTGGTCCATCACCGCTCGACACCTCCCCATGAAAATCCTGAGTGGCGATGCGGTCACCAAGCGTAGCTTTGTTTTCTTGATGATACCTTGCAGCAGAAATGAACCCAATACGATCCCCGCAACAATTGTCAACAGTTGCTCGATTGCGTTGAAGCAGAACGCAACGAAACCGGGGGTGATGTGGCCGTGACCCCAATACGTTGCCGGAAGTACGAATTCACTCCATCTAAACGGTTTGGAAGTCGTCAAGTTCGCGAAATTGAAGGCCCAATATGCGACAAGGAAGTAGAGAAACTGAAATGCGATGACAACGCATTCGTTGCCCCACGTGAACCGATACTTGATCATCGTGATCCACACAAGAGCGTCAAAGAAGATATGACAAACAAGGGACGAAAGGCGTGATCGGTAGCGGTGATACGGCGAACAACCGTGAATGTTTGCATGCACCGCGTGTATTGACTGATGTACTGATTGAGTACTTCCAGTCTATCACAAAGACCAATCAAGCATCGAGGTAGTTGATAGCAGGCTGCAATGCTGTACAAAAACCGTCGGTCGGACACAGGCTTCTTATGTATCGCCGTAACCCTCACAAGCACCATGAGGTCTTGTCTCCCGCCAGCCGAGCGTGGTTCTAACGCCCGCGACATGAGCCCATCCTCGGTACGCGATAAGCTTCATCCTCATGGCGAGGATCAACGGCCCGGTTCCCGCTCGTTTAATCAGTGAGGCTATGCTTCTGATAGCCGATACTGGAGGCGAGCCTGGCGGCTGTGCAAAGATCTGTCGGCAGGCTGATTGACAGTATCCGGGTGAGAATTGGGAGACGTCCGGCCTTCTGTTGCGTAAACAGGGACCGTTATCAAACCGGACAGCACTATAAGCGCAAGTCGAGATCGATCAGATTGGCATGAGATGAAAAGCCCGAGCCGGCCCGCCTGAGCCTGACAAGCAAGAATAGCAACTTTGTCGAGGCCCGATTCGAAACCATGATCCCGGTAGGCAGAGCCATATCCATGTAGATGTCGCTTGTAGAATAACGTCGAACCACGAATAGCTCGTGCACACCCTCAAGTTTTGCTTGTCGAAAACCTGGTCCTTGATGTGGTGCCGGCCTGAACCGGCGTACGGGCCGCGTGCGGGCCGCGTGCGAAGCCGGCAACGCACAAACTTTATTTTACGAGCGGGAGATATCCATGGGAAATAGCAGCATCATTGTGATAATGCCATGTGGTTACTATGTGTGCCAGAATTAGAGATATAAGTAGGGACAACTTGACATCTCCACACACGGCCACGATGCCATCGACCAAAGCTCAAGATCTCACTACTGGCTTGACTCCACGTGCAGATCCAAGATGCCGGTTCAGCCATCAATATTGGTGATGATACACGCCCGCTGAATCGTAATACCCACTCTCACCACCCAGTAACGGCTCCTGCATCGGCGGGCTGGACCTGCCGTACGCGTGTTGTCCTCCTCGAGCTCGTGGAAACGACGGCGATTGCATGGGGCTCGTATACATCAGCGGTGCATACGCTGGACTGACCGGTGCCATTGGATACGATGGATACGCCGTATCGGGCTGACCATACATCATATCCTCATCCTTCCGCGCTTCCGGTCCTGTCGGCAAACTACCCGGCCCCTCCGGCGCATCCCAGTATACATCCTCCGAATCATGACGGACCTCTGTTTCGATCTTCTCGTATAACGCGAATAGGGCGTGCCTCTTCGCGGACCGTGGGAGGCGATCGATGTTTTTCTCCATACGTGCGTACATGGCATAAACATGGATCAACCCCTCGGCTGTCAAGCATTGATCCCTAATCACACTCCGCGCGTACCGCTCGCGACGAGTTCGGATGAGTTGGTAGAGGTTGTAGAGGAGGATCGGGATCATCCAGATTGGGAGGAGGAGGTACGGCCAGAGAGTGATGACGGCGCACATGTCTGGTTCTTGCCAGATGTAGTGGTAGGGGAAGGTGGAGGTGGAGAGGGTTCCTTGGACAGTTCTGTTGGAGGTGCCGGCGCGGAGGGAGGAGAGGAGGGAGTGGTATGTGTGCGAGATCAGTTGTTCGGTAAGTGGGTTGGTGAAGGTGTCGACCGTCGCGTTTTCTGTTGGATATTGCAGACCGTGCCAAGCTTGCGTGATGCCTTCGTCTTCACAGATGACAGCGGGAGCGTCTGCGGAAGTTTCGTCGATGGGGTGCAGTGTCCAAACGACGTTATCCACCAGAATCTCTGGATCGCGTGGATCGAATTGAACGCTTTGGTTTTGCGGGAAAAAAGTCGACTGGTTGTCTCTCCAAAAAGATATGGAACATTCGCCCATCCAGAAGGATCGGTTAAACAAAGCACCGGTGACGCTGTAATCGGTCATCGTGTACCACCCATCTCCAAGATGTGCAGGAGAGGAGGTATCAATCTTTTCGTAGCCGGCATGACCATGTGTGATGTTGAGCGAGTTGGCGGCCACGGTCGTGTTTGGAATAACGGGAACAACCACTCCGACGGTCATGTTCCACACCTTAGCGACTTCGGAGAATTTGCCGTGTTGCAATATATATACTCCCGCATCGTCATACAGGAACGGATATGTCGTAGTATCCGCAGCTGGTGGGTTCAACTGAACTGGAGTGATCTTCGAGCTGGTAGCGTTTACGTTGAAGGGACCGGTGTACGGCGTGCATGTCACCTGTGTGCCCTCACACAATCCCACGACCTGGCTTGTGTTGTCCGGCAGGTTACCCCAGCAATTCGCGGCGATGAAGGATATGAAGCCTTCATTCTCCATGGTTGCGTTCAGATTCAGGAGGTCGTAGTAGAGGAGGGGTTGGTAGGTCGGTTCTTCGGCGAAGGTTTTGTAGATGTTGTCCGTTCCATTATTGTTCCCCGAGATGAATAGACAGGAAGTATCGTCCTGTATACCGTGGCCAGGTTTGGGCTGCCAACATGCTGCAGTGTTTTGAAGACTTTGAACGCCTTGGACTCCGAGGAAGTTGAGAAGACCACAGATGATGACGATGACAAGCCGCTTTGCCATGACTCCCTTCTCCGCTTTCATAAAGTGCGCACACGCAGCGAGGAGGCCGGGTCCATCCCCTCCAGTGATCGACACGAATAAATCTTGGATCGCGATCCTCAGTGCAAGCGAGGCCCTCGCATTTTCCACAACACCTTGAAACAGGAAAGCCCCGAGGATAATTCCAGCGATGACGGTGAAGAATTGTTCGAATCCATTGAACATAAACGCCACGAACCCGGAATTGATATGTCCAACTCCCCAGTAGGTTGGCGGGAGTGTAAATGTACTCCAGGCGAATGCGGGGGAGGATGTGATAATGTTTTGCCAGTTTTGACCGAAGTTGAAGACCCAGAAGGCGATGAGGAAGTAGGCGAACTGGATAAGGATGACGATACATTCATTGCCGTATGTGAACTTGTACTTGATCATGCTGACGTTTGCCTCGCAGTTGATAACGGGCTCTGGATCTAAATCAACGACGTGATGTCGATAGGATGACGAGACAGCAGTGCTAGCCGTGGTCGAGGGTCAAGATTGAGGTAACCAACAGCTGTGCAGCCGATTCCTTTTGTAGTTCATCCAACGATCAACTAGCTGCAAGTTTAACTGAGAAGCATGTCCGGCCCGGTTCATGTGTGGGCGGCTGGCGGCATGTGCGGGGCCGAGGAACAACGGCTTGACAAACCGTGGATGGTGATTTGGCAGCCAGACCTCGGCCAAGGCATCTCTGGAATTATGATCACCAAGTCGAGCCTCTTAGCCAGCCTCATTCTTGGGCGAATCGTCGTTTTGTGCGCCGCGGATCAGGGAGGCATGCCGGGCATCATATTATGAGTTATAGATGGCCGCCGACAGACAAGAAAAATGTTCTATCGAATGGAGCATAGCGCAACAGCTGCTTACATCCTTAATCCATCTCCGTGACGGTCATCGTTCACGGGCCGGGTGTAGCAGAACCATGGAGGTTGGCCTGAGACTGCAAGGAGCTAGCTGCACACCAGCGCGACTGGCCCGCACTGACCCCAACTTTAATTGACAAGGATATCGACAGCAGTTTTACCAATAGGCAAGTGATATCGAGCCGGGCAGTTGAATCTGAAGGTTATCAAAGGGTAACTTCATTCGGTCTGTATCCTGTGGTACCCGCACTTTCTGCTCAAGGCTTAGGGTTAGGGTTAGAGTGGGCCATTCCGATACACCGTGGGAAGCGGTAATTCGAAGCTGGCCTATTTCTGCCTGACACGATAAACCGCACCGGTTCCGCAATGAACACGCAGCTGGAGGCTCTACCGGTTCAGGTACCTCCAAATCCTCGCTTCGATCCGCCACTCTCAGTCCAGCGCAACGCACACATACACCAAGAGCTCCTCTCGCTCCCCGTTCCCCGCCCAACGTCTCTCCTCGACCTCGGCTGCGGTTCCGGCCCTCTCATCTCATTTCTTACTCCATGCGATGATCGACTTCCGCTGCAACATCTGAAGGGTGTGGACGTCGATCTGAGTGAGTGCCAAAAAGCGGTAGAGAGGACAGCGGTAACGGAGGCGGATCACGGGGTAGGGATAAGGTGGCGGAAATTGGAAGTTGAGATTTGGGAAGGCGATTTCAGGGATATCGGGAAGGAGTGTGAGGCAGATGTAGTTGTTGCGAGTGAGGTTGTGGAGCATCTTGATCCTGAGATTCTTGAGGCGTTTCCGGAGGTGGTGTTTGGGCGGCTGGCGCCCAAGGCGGTGGTGTTGACAACTCCGAATAGGGAGTTTAACGCAGTTTTCGAGTTGCTCGAGGAGCTTGCCTGGGATGCGGAAGGGGAGCAGGGCGAGGGGGACGCTCGTGTCGGGGGCTTCACCAGACCTGGTGTGCCGTATCGGATGCGACATCATGATCACAGATTCGAGTGGACTCGTCCAGAGTTCAATCAATGGTACGCAATCACCCGAGGAGAAACGAGAACACGATGCTAATGATCGGTTTTCTGTAGGTGTCACGCCATCGCTTTCAAGTTTAATTACGAGGTTGAGATGTCTGAGATAGGCACAGTGAAAAACCTCATCGATGCGTCGTCGCCGTCCATTGAACCGTACGTGGAGTTACTGCTGCCGTTTCGAGATACAGTGGGTGAAGCGAGTCAGTGTGCGTTGTTTACCGTTCTTCCTTCTTCGCCAGCGGCGTTGTCGGGTACCGGTGCAACGACCTCGAGTCCCAGCGCGAACAATGTCCGCAAGGGAAGATCGGCGCTGACACCAATCAGACGACATATTTACCCTGTCGCTGAGAATGAAGGTTGGCCACCTTCCATGGACAAAGTTTTGAGCTGCGTGAGAGACGTTGCCAGCATCTTTGTCCCCAAAAATGCGTTTGAGAAGGCGAAACTGGTTACAGCCACGAATACGGGTTGTGACTTGCGCGGATGCAAGGCGAACAAGGAGAAGGTCAAAGTCAAAGCGACTCCGAAAGAGGTTTGGGACATGAAATTCGAGCTACAAAGGGTATGGAGGTATCATTTTGGGCTATTTTGCAGCATGCTTGGGGAGGTGAAGGGAGAGAGGTGGCCGTATGACGACACCGTCGACATTGAGTTACAGACGGATGAACAAGAGGCGCAAGAGCCTTACGAGGTCCTGCGCGATCGAGACGAGCCGAAACTGGTAGCTATAAACGTTGAAGGGCATGCAGGCCAGAGTGGAAGCGAGGACGACGTGGTGATCGTGTTTGAGTTCTGTTTAAGGCCACCGGGAGGGGAAGAAGGAGAAATTGCAGAGGTGGATGCCTTTGAAGAGGCAGAGTGGGAAATGGAAGTGAACGACGCGGTGCCACAAGCGAGTACGGAGACGATTGTTGGGTGGGACTGAGGACCTTGGAGAAGATCAGGCCGGCTCGGGAAGGGCCTACCGCGCCGTCAGCTACCTTCAGGTCTCCTCGTAGCCTTAATGAAAATCTCGAAAGAATATAAAGCTTATGGTAAATGTCCTTTACAGTTGTTTACCTTTGGTACCCACGCTTGATCTCGTACTCGTACACTGTGCGCCGTACGTCGACATCAAGGCGTTGCCTGAGCAACGACCGCCATAAGCTGGACAGCACAACAAGTTCAAGAGCACTCGACAGTACGAAATGGTGGTGTATACTGATGATCCTCAAGGTAATCTCGCCAATCAAAAGTCTCATGATATCATATGTCACTCCAACCGAGCTTCTCCTGCGTTTGCGTCGTCCGCTGTAGACGCTGCTACATCCAGAAAGTCATCGGGGACACAACGAAGGAAGAGCGTGCACCTAGCATTTGCAATTTTCTGAAGTTCTGGATTTACGTGATCAAGACGGTGGAGACCGGATGTAGATGCCGCACAGGATCGATCCGTGTGTTCCGCCATTGCCAAGTAACGCGCTGGCAAAACCCGCGTACGATCCCGGGCTTGGAAACACCTTCCGTTCGCTCTGACCCGATGAGCAAGATGACCGGTTTTCGTAAAGCAAATGTACCCGCTAGCTCTTCGTGCCATCGGAGGAGGTCCATAAGGGCACGGCGGAACAACCTTATCCCCAACGGCCCGGGATGGGTCCGAAATACCTCGGCTCAGTGCGATCCACGCGAGTGATAACTCTAAAACCACATGCTTCGAGTTGTCACGGGAAGGGATATCGACAATGCTCGCCTTGCCATCTACGTACAGATCACACCTCGCGCAGGGCGCATCATCCACCATTTTACCTCGCCGCTCGGTACTCCGTGGGTTGATTCGGAGGAAGGCTTGAAAAGACCCTGAATCGCACTTACTACCGGCCCTCTCCATCGAATTGTGGTCTGTTACGAAAAACGGTGTAGTCTTCGACAAGACCTGCCTTATTTCTCGAGTCGGTCAATATGATCAAGTTTAAGTTTACCTGGTACGCCGAGTGCCTTATACTGGCAGTCCAAGCCGTTTATTTCCTGCTGGCATACCTGTTCTTCAACTATGGAAATACGGTGCAAAACTACCTCCGCTTTGGTCCGCCTTTTGGATGGAGTACAGTCACGCTGCAACCCTACGCCTGGGGCAACGAGGACGGTCATGGACCTACAATCTCCGCCGGTTTTGTTGCCTTTGCATACAATGCCATCGAGCAGTTCTTAACCATTGCAGCCGGGATCGTTCTGAGCGGGTTTCTGTTCAGGGGGATTATCGACAACCAGCGGGCTTCCCTCGCGAGGAGGATCGGAATTCAAGAGTTTCATCACGAAGTCAGGAATGGAGATGGCGCAAGTTTGATGGCGGCTGCTATCACGTTCCTTCATAAGCAGAACCGTCTAGTTTTCCGACGGGTTCTTGTCATCTGCTTTTGTGGGTTTCTCACCTTCTGCGCCGTTCAAGGTGTTCAGTCCCTTACGCAAACGGTCACTTGCACAAAGTATACCCATTTCGCAACAGAAAACCAGTCTGATATATCTTGGCTATTCCGAAACCGGAGCACTTCGGACGGAAGCGACGTCTATGAGATGTATGGCGGAGGATGGCAATTTCGACCATTGCCATATTGGAACATGCTACACACGGATACGACCATGGAAGTAGATGGATTCCTGTCATTTGCGGCCACGAATTGCTGGTGTCCAAATGCCAACGAGAATACTACCCAAGCCATCGGCCTCTGCGAAGGGACAGTGGCCATCTGCGAGCCATATGACGGTGACATCGGTATTCATGCTTTCAGTAATTACTCCGCTGCCGGGTGGGTGTGGCAATCGGATCCAGGTTTTGAGAGCGAGTATATGTTGAACTTCACGGGAAACGCTAACGGCAACTACACTGGTCAACGATGGCCGCTGAACTTGGACGTCATCGGGGTCTCTCTTCTCAACCCGCCCTCAGACACGACGCCGGTAGCTTCAATTTGGAACGTCACCATTGGCATCATGACACCCTATACGCCGAACGACACACAATGGAATAACACGATCCCAGCAAAAAGCATAATAAGCACCCCGTGGACAAACATCACCAGAGCCAAGAACGCCACCAGTTCTGGCTGGTATGTCGTGAAAGATCCTGACAATGTCATTTACGATCGCTCGTTCTGGATTGGTACATGCAACGTCAGCTTCTGGAGGAATAGCACAACGACGTTCTGGCCGGTGAACAATTCCACTAACAGTCTCTTCGCAAAGCCGGAGCCCCTGAACGTCACAAATCCAGGCTGGAAACCATTTTCGCCGACTGATCTCGCGCCTCCGGAAGGTCTCCTTGGTGCTTGGCAGGGTTTAGGTGCCGCCAACTCCAATGCTACGTTTATCAACCCATTGTTTGTTAACAATCTCACCGCGCACATCATCAATGCGGCAATGTCCGTTCCGTATAAAGTGAATAGTACTAGGGCTCCGAAACTTTCGCCGGTTGTCAATACTGGTCGGAGGCAGCAACAGACGATCTATAACTGCCAACAAGTCACCTTTTGGCCTTACATCCTCGTTGCTCTTTGGATGGTGCCCGTTCTTTGCTACAATTTCTGGGACTTGATCAACTCTCGCAATGAACGTCGCGCAAGAAGTATAATTCGAGATCAAACCCTTACCGCAGCGGGCTTGATCCACGTATACGCCCTGCACGCTCGTCCAGGTCATGAGGTTGGCGAGAAAATGCGTAACACGGTCAAGGAGAAGGAGCTGTTGGACATATACGAGGATATCGACACGCATGTGCAACACAATGATGACGACGTCTATTGGAATGCTGCAATGACGTTGGCAGAGCCACCGGGGAGTCCGTATTCAAGTCCATACACGCCTGAATGGAACCCCGAATGGTCAACGTCGCCGCCGGAGTCGCCGGCTGTGATGCAAACGCACCCAAGTGCCCTTTCTCCACAGCTCTCGCCGTCGTCATTGGGGTCACCTTCATTACCGGCAAGTCCAACAAGAATGGCGACAAGGAGACAGAGACTTTTCAGGAGGGGGACTTCATCGGATGGGATGGCAGAACCGTTACTTGAAAGCGAGCATCACGAATACTACGACTCAGAGGGTATTCCATTGAGCACGTGGTCGGGAAGGAGACGGCGATGAAGGAGAGATGTGTTACCCGGAATCAGAGCATTCCGAAGGACTGCTGGTAATTCGAAACCTTCACCACATATAGTTAGCCTTACCAAGATGCAACCCCGTTTTGACGTTCTTTTGGTGCCCAATCCGGTAATTTAGCCCTGGCCGCGCGCGTGGCGAACGTGAAAACCGACCTGAAAACGCCCGGTAAAAAATTGTGAAATCAGTAAAATTGACCCGGCGAATCTGTTCTTTTATACTTCAGGTTTATTCCTATTACTAGTACATGGAGGGTTTATGGCATAAAACCTCTGTTTTGGGCAAGACTAGACCATAAGCGGTAGGGATCGCCGGGTCTGGGAAGGCCCCATGGTAGCAAGAGGCCCCATGGTAGCACCGGCAAAAAGGTTGGGTGACGGAAATCGACGAAAATCGAACTGGACCTAGAGAACCCGAAAAGGGTAGGGCCGGCAAAACTTTAAGGTACTAGCTCAATCGTGAGCAAAGATATTGACGCTTAGGGTTAGGGTTAGGGTTAGGGTTAGGGTTAGGGTTAGGGTTAGGGTTAGGGTTAGGGTTAGGGTTAGGGTTAGGGTTAGGGTTAGGGTTAGGGTTAGGGTTAGGGTTAGGGTTAGGGTTAGGGTTAGG